GCCTCTTGTCGTGCTGCCTCTTGTCGTGCTGCCTCTTGTCGTTGTTCTGCCTCTTGTCGTTCGGCCTCATGTCGCTGAGCTTCCAGTCGCTCTGCCTCCACGCGCGCTACCTCCAGGCGCTCTGGGTCACAATTACTTGAGACACAGGTCCAGAAAACGGGCCTGAGTGCCCAGGGTGGGGCGCCCACCGAAACCTGCTGCCTCGGCTCCCCGGGACCCCGGTTCTGGGTTTGTCGGTAAGCCACCGCCATAACTTGAAGCCCGACTTCACCAGGGACATTACGCGGCGGTCCTGGGTATGTCCTTCCAGCGGCAGGTATCAATGCGCGCTGGTGTAGCAAAACCCCCTTCCGGTCGCCTGGAGCAGTCTTGTAGCAGGGGTGAGATGTGCGGGTCCCAGAGCTCTGATATACCCGTCCAATGCGCGCGAGTAGAGGCTAAGTGCCTCATCGTAGGCCTCTAGTCTACTGAGGGCATAGGCGACACAGTACACACTCGACAGTGTGACTGGATGCTCTTTCCCCAGCACCTTCTCGCTCAGATCCATCGCCTGTTGTCTAAGATTCTGCACGACGCTTAACCTCTCGGTCACTCCTGCCACCATGGTCGGGTCGCGATGCTGAGGGGCGCTCACGATCCTGCTTCTCAAATTCTCGAATCGTCCAATCAAACACATTGTCATGCTCAAACCCCCTGCGGTGAAAGAGACGATTGAATTGAGTCCGGAGGTACTTGTAATTTGGCCGGTTCCCATTGTCCAAGGTACGGACGTAGTTCATGTAGGTGGCAAATTCTGCAGGCAGGCCATTGCATAAGTCGGCGACAGCAATCGTCCGTTTCCGCTCCAAGACAAGTCGGTCTTTCTCTTCACGGCCGGATGCTCGTATGCCTTGCCAGGGAAGAGATCCCCGGAGGAAATACAACGCCATGTATCCCAATGACTCGAGGTCGTCACGGGGCGATGAACCTGTGTAGGAGGACGGTGAGCCAGCGAAAACAGAAAACCACACAAAGTCGGACTTACTGACGGCTAAATGGCCATTGATGCTAGCATAGCGGCGAGTGCCGACCAAAGAGAGACGGGGCGGATTCGCAGGCTTCTGTGGCGTGCTTTGCGCGTACCATTCACTGCTCCAGCAAGCAGCCAGTCCGAGATCGGTCATGAACACCACGTTGCCGCGCTTTCCAGTTCCGAGCAGGAAATTCTCGGGTTTGACATCGCAATGGAGGTAGCCAACGGCATGAAGACTCTCAATCCGGTAGAGGAGCTGATCCATGAGCATTAATGTGGTCTTGAGTGAGAATTTGTTGTCGCAGAATCGGAAGACATCCTCGAGGTTGGGACCGAGAAGTTCAAAGACCATTGCCTCATACTCGCAGTTAGACCCGTGCCAGAACACTCGGGGAATTCCAGCTTGTCCGGAAAGAGACTCATAAATCTGGACTTCCAGCTCTAAGCGCGGATAATCTGTTGAGCAGTGCTCGAGTTTAATCGCCACCTCTTCACCGGTGACAACATCACGGCCTGCGCGGCTCATTAATCATCGCGCTCTGTGGCTCTTAAAGATTTGCTCACCAAAGTAGACCTCTCCGAACGTCCCAGATCCTAATTTTCGACAGATCTGATAGCGCTCGCCGAGTCTTATCTTGAGAAAGTTTTGAATGAATGGCGTGTCCATAGTAGGGTGACCGGGAAGCAATGGAGCCCGTGGCACGTTCGGACCCTGCCCTTGCAGATATCGGACTCGGCTAACCTTCCTTTCCACGTTGTTGGATTCTGCGCAGGATCTCGGCGTGCCGCTTTGGCCCAACCTCCCCTTGCCCCACGGCCAATGGTGTCAGTACCCATCACACCACTTAATCTGTGCGGCCTCGCTGCGACCTTTCTGCGACCACCTGGATGCGGGGTATCAGCCAACCGAACGTCCCGAAGGGAGCGCCTTCTGTAACGCTGTTCTAAATCGCCTCAGCGCTACGCTCCACAGCGTGCGACAGCGCGAACCGATCATTGTCTTACTTATTCCTCGAACTTCCGACCGAACCATGACCAGACAGGCCCATGTTTGACCTTCGCGAAACCCTCCTGTCCAGAAAGCGGCGACGCGACTCATCCGCTTCACTGCTTGAAGAACCGTCTGAAGGCTCATTTTCCGTCAAGAGACAGAAACGCACCCAAGAAGCAGGATCACGTCGCCGCCACCGATCACCAGGGTTCTGGGACCGCCTCTCCAAGGTTCCGCTCTGTCGAGGATCTCTGAGGGAGTTCGATCGCAGAATTTCGGCTTCTGGACAACAGCCCTTAACGTCCACCGCCCTCGTACCCAGTGCACGCGGGCCTCGATCCCAGCATTTGAAGCGATTCGCACGCCACGGCGGACCCGATTTGACCTACCTTCGAGGGGTAAGCCGAGATCGATTCATCTCAAATCTGACGCTGACTCGGAAAATCATGTAGTTCGCGAGTTCCACCGAACAGGACGGTATCATGAGCCAGTCGAGTTCCAGTCGCAAGCGGTCGTCGGCGTCTAGCCGCAGCGCTACGTCGAGTCTAGGGCGATCTTCCCACGATCCGGCCTTCGAGCAGAATATGATTGATAGAGGGATATATCCACATAATCGAGGTTCCAAGCCCGAAAACCTGGAGAGTACAAGAGACTATCTAGCCAGAAGTCGGGCGTCCTTGTCCCCTTCAAAGTTCCGTGATGAAGATTTCGAAGAGTTCACCGAGCTTTGTGAAAGAGCAAGCGGTGAGACGAGCGCACGGGCCGATGTCATCGCGATCATTGAAGGCAATGGACGAAAAAAGTACAGGCACGGTGCCGACCATGTTTTCAACAACTTGGATCCGCTGGATGACCCGCTGGACTCTAAGCTCCCTAAACCCAAACCCGACCACTACGATGGCGCTCTCCCCCAAGACATCGATCACCGTGTCCGCCGCGACCTCACAAAGCACATCGTTCCCTGCAACAACACCGCGTGGCCCGCGGCGCCCAACTTTTTCTTGGAGGCAAAGGGCGACAGCGGCCGTGCCGACGTCCTGAAGCGGCAGGCCTGTCACGACGGAGCGGTCGGCGCGCGGGCGATCCACAGTCTGGAGAATTACAGGGCACCCGAACCGCAGTATGACGGCCACGCCAAGAGCTTCTCGAGCACCTACCATCACGGCACAAGCACCTTAACGCTGTACGGCCATCACACGACGCAGCCCAAGGTTCCGGGGGGGCGACCTGAATATCATATGACGCAGGTGGGTGGCTATTTCATGACCCATGACAGGGAGGCTTTCCAGAAAGCCGCTGGTGCTTTCCGCAACCTGCGTGACTTGAGCAGAACCCACCGGGACAGTGCCATCGAGCATGCAAATCAAGTCGCTCGTCACGCACCTGCCGACAGCCCATCGACAGTGTTGACTGACAGCCGCACATCACTGTCAGCGCTCCAGGAAGACCCATCTGACACGTCGACCGACGAGCTCACCGCGGAGCACACTAGTGCCAAGCGTTCGAGACACGATCCGCAAGCACTTCCGAAGCCTCCCCGTGTCGCCACTACGCCCACGCCGCTAACCAGCTCGCGCTCCCGGCACGATGCCAACGTCTCGGTGCCATCCCAGCAAGTAGGGACAAGAAGGCACCAGGTCCCCTCGAACTCGGGCTCACGACGCTCGCTCGACGACAGCACATCCGAGTGGCGGTCTAAGCCTGCAGAAGGGTGGGGGAAAAGACACGCTGAAAGCCATAGGCATGCTAAGCCGGGATAGCAAGATGCCGACAATACCCATGTGCCCGGCAATGCCTCACCGGATGCTCGGCCAGACAGAATGGGAGGCTTTGCATCACCCCTGTTGACTGTCACAAGGCAGGTCGGAAAGGGGCCGTGGAAGTGGCTACCATTGGGCATGTGCGGGCCTTGAGTGAGGTGTTGGTGGCGCGACCTGGCTGCAATAGCAAATTCGAAGGCGTCGCTGGGATGAGAAGCACGCATTACTGCCAGACGTGCTGGGGTCTAAGCCGCTGTGACCATCATTGATCCTACGACGAGCAAGTCAGCAGCAGCAGGGGGCAGGCACTTATGCCGGTCCCTTTGGGTCACCAGGAGCTGTCCATTCAGAAGCTCGCTGAAGCACTCAGCAGCGCGGTCGAGAGATACAAATGGCCGGGGGCACTGAACAGGCGCGTCATGAGGCCGAATCATCAACGCAACATCAGCTAAGCGAGATGTCGCTGACTCGAAGTGATTGTCGTCATCTACGAGGCGGGGCGCAGCTTCTGAGGAGTCTGCGACGCCATATGGAATGGGGTGAAGTATAAAGGTAGCTGGAGCCCTCGCCAGATTCTTCTTCCTCAAGCTCTCCTCGCCTCCTCACTCAGGTCCTCCTTGCACACATCTTCCTCGTCAGGTCCTTCTCGCCAGCGTCCTTCTCGCCAGCGTCCTTCTCGCCAGCGCCCTTCTCGCCAGCGTCCTCCTCACCAGGTCCTTCTCGCTCAAATTCTCTTCTCATCTCTCAGCGAATCCTTCTTCAGACGTTGCGACTATGCCCGAAACGCGTTCAACCTTCGACGCGAGCCAGTGTCTGGAGGATGTCGATGGAGATATCGCCAACGAGTACAACACTATTCTCGACGCCGCCGTGGCGGCGAGGGACAAATACGCCAAGCTAATGACCCTGGCACAGAAACTGAAGCGGGCGCTGGTTTCCAAGCAAGCCGAATTCAATCAGCATGCCGGCCATTATCAACATGACGTGGCGTACCACAGAGCCTGCGCTGAAACTGCCCGTGACACGTTACGAGTAGTAAGTGCGAGGCTGCGTAGGTACAAGAGGGAGACTGAGTCGCTCCGCCGCCGTAACAAACATCTATCCGAGGATCTGCGAGCGGCCACAGAAGACCAAGCACCTGTGCTGTAACATCTGCATGGACAACTTGAAAAATGTCGTGACGAGGTGTGGCCACGGTTACTGTACCGGCTGTCTGGCGACATGGCTGAGGCCGACGAACAACGACGACGCCGCCAGTGACGAGAGTGATATGGAATCGTTGGCCGAGCAGGTGGAGGCGCCCTGCCCGACATGTCGGAGGATTCTCAATGCAGAGGAAGACGTGTGGCCCATCTTCATGCAGAATGGCGGCTCTATTCCGGAAGTGGTGTGTGTGGATAGCGACGATGACTAGGTGTATTAAGTGCGAATTCACTCGAGACAAGCCGTAATTCTTGGCGTCTTCCTGCTCCTGTACGCGAATTAAATTACCTATGAACATGATACGACCCTCTTGGGAAGAGTAATCGCAGACTATCCTCCGCCAGCTTGATCGGCGTGAGCACTCGTGTTAATCACCTCCCAGCCAGTGTGCACCTACAGTACTCTAATCCTGGAGCTCTCGAGAAGGCGACTGTCCGCCGGGCGAGAAGTTAGCTTCCAGAAGTGCAAAATCTATGTAATTTGGGGGGGGGGGGGGGGTGGTATTCTCGCAGCGCAATAGCCTATCCTTGTCCAGCCGCGCTAGGCGGTCTCTGGGCTGCAAATAGTCAATCCTCATTGGATCGACCATCAAGCTTGTAGCCATCCAATTAAAATCGTTGAATTCACATTGCCTATATTTGAAAAGTCACTACACGTTGGCATTCGACCACCACACCACCCAGACCCCCCTTCCCCAGGGACACGCCTTCCTCGGGGTGCCCGCCTCCTTGAGGCTCCTCGTCCGCAGGGACACGCTTTCCTCAGGGTGCTCCCCTCCTCGACGCCCTTCGTCCGCAGGGACACGCCTTCCTCAGGGTGCCCCCGTCCTTGAGGCTCCTCGTCCGCAGGGACACGCCTTCCTCAGGTTACTCCCATCCTTGTGGCCACTCTTCCCTGGGGACACGGATACTGAAGGGTCAATGTAGGTGCTGAGCGAGTGTGCTTGCGCTTTTGCGTTGCTGCTCTGCTCGCAGTGCAACAGTGCAACGGTGCAATGTGTTGCCCTGTTGGGGCACTCGCACTGCCAAGAGATCTGGTTCTTGCAATAACTACGTGTCCTTTCCTTTTCCGGCAGTCACGTGATATCAGTATCTTTTGGCCACAGTTTTGCTAGTCCTATGGGCCGTTTCCGTTGGAATGGTACCATTGGTTGTCGTGGAGTGTTCCTGGGTCTCCGGAGTTGTCGCCCTGGGACATGTCGACAGTCGCCCCAGGTCCCTCGGACGACTCCGGCCATCTTAGTGAATACCACAGGCTTAGGACGTTAATGGTTTATGTCCCAGGTCTCAACCATTCTTTCCCAGGGCAATCCTCCGTCCTGGGATAGTTTTGATAGTGTCCCAGGCATCATTGTATGTCCTGGGACGCTTGGAAACTTCCCTAGGACGTCCGTACCTCTGCCTAGGAACAGAATCCTCGATTGATTGTGGTATCTAAGAATATATCCTCGGAACTCAAAGCCATCAAATTTTGTGTCTACCAATCATAGTAGACTGTCAGTCCCCAGGACACGATATCTTGGTCCTAGGAATTGAACCCACACGAACGGGGGGACCACTTTGGTAGCCTAGATTCAAGGCTGCTGCCACCGCGTTGGGATGGGAATGGCGAAGCACAGAGAGCAGAGCGGATATCTCAGTAAAAAAGTGTGCTGGCACGAGCCGAATTTCGCGGGATTGAGGATTGGATCCGCATACCAGCGAGTGGGGGTCCAAAGTCCCTGCTCCCTCCCAGCGTGCACTCGCTCCAAGGCGACTGTCCGTCGGGGGACGCAGGTCACGTGCCAAGGGGGCGCAGGTCAAGAGCAAGGGGACGCAGGTCAAGAGCATGTGGGATGCAGGTCACGTGCCAAGGGGACGCAGGTCAAGAGCAAGGGCAAGGGGACGCAGGTCAAGGTGACGCAGGTCAAGGGGACGCAGGTCAAGGGGACGCAGGTCAAGGGGACGCAAGTCAAGAGGAAGGAGCCAAGGGGGCGCAAGACAAGAGCCAATGGGACGCAGCCTTTGCTGACCTGAGTCCCCTTCGGCGCCTCTACGGGTCTAGATTTGGGCTGGGACAAGTGGGTCAGGACAAGCGGGCCAGGGGAACAGCGTAAGCTATTCATCCTATGACAGGTGAGGGCCTGGGCAAGATATTGGCCTACGCTGTTCCTCCCTGCCCGAAAACTGTCCTGGCCCACTTGTCCCAGCCCAAATCTGGATCGAGGACAAAATGCCGAGGCTCAGTGGCTTCGGACTATACACAGCCCGGGGAACATATCAGGTCAATACATCCTCCGGGAGCTCCTCCAGCTCCTGGAGGACATTGTCAACCAAGGAGCGGAGGTGGGACTTCAGTACTTGGAAGCACCCCGAGGAAAGCGTGTCACTGAGGAGCATTTCGCGGACTCTATGAGAGCACATTGTAGCCAAGCGTTTACTTGCTCCAAAAATAGGCCATGCAACTTCGAAGATGCTATTGGCTGGCTTGGCCCTTGATGTTAGTGATACGATTCATTCTCCACCCTCGGATCCAATCCTCAATTCCTCGAAATTCGGCTCTTGTGATGAGTCCTTCGCTCCCAGAGCGTGCGCTCTGAGTCCCTGCGGGCTCGCAGCGTGTGCGGGCTCTGAGTCCCTGCGCGCTCCCAGCGTGTGCGGCCTCGCAGCGTGTGCAGGCTCCTAGCGTGTACTCGCTCTGAGTCGTGTACTCGCTCTGAGTCGTGTACTCGCTCCAAGCCCCTGCTCGCTCGCATCGAGTACGCGAGATCTTCAAGGAATTCCTATACGTCTAATGTGATCTACTGGTTAACCGGGTGTTACTTGGTCTCGCCCTAAGTCTTGCCCTGAATTTGGGACCGCCCTCCCACGTGGTGCCTTTATTGAGAGCTGCGCTAACTAACTATACAGTATGATATCTGTCTATTCACCATCTGATTTTGTAACGCCCTTTCTTGAATTGGAAATTGACTGACCGATATTGAGGCCACACCTTTGTATCGCACAGAAGGCAACTCTTATCTCCCTCTCTGATTTGTGCAGTCTTTTCGAGTATCTCTTTAGCTGAGCATGGAGTTTGCCTCTTTCATCTCTGAGCTGTTCTATTTCTGTCCGCGCCGCCCGAAGGTCTGCTTCAGATGCTTCCTGTCTATTTTCAAGCCGCTGCCTGGCTTCGCTGTCTTCCAGAGCCACCTTTTTGAGGTGGGAGAGCTCCGTGATCAGGTCCCTGTTCTTCTCTTCAAGGCAACTGATTATGGCTGAAAAGCTTGTGTCAGAATCGGTTGTTCGAGTTTCTTGAGGTTCACAATCTGCGGGAGGATGTGTAGAGGCGCTGCTTCGAACCGCTTCGAACGACTTGCCTACCTCGCGGCATAGTTCCATGTACGCTCCAACTGAGTGCTTGCTTAGTTGCTTTTTGAATAAGTGGCTTCTGGCTGGCAAAACGCTCCATGTATACCCATCTTGCTGTGCATCTGGTACTAAGCGGACATGAATGGGCTCCACATACAGACCAATAGAACATTCTGTATAACTTTAATTGCTATATAACCAAGACATTAGGCCATACTGAACTTACTTATATGATTTGCAAGAGTCTCTCGACATTTCTGACGCCACTGTGCTCGCTGTAGGTTACTGGCTCTAATGCTGTTTTGCTCGTCCATTGATCACAGCAGATTTAATGGCGCTGATAGGCGGTACGGCAGTCATCTAGAGTCAAGGATTGGATTTATGCTCTCCGACTACTCGACTCGATCTTTAGGATCTGAAGTGGATTTAAATACTTTGGATGACCGGATCCAATCCTCAACGTCTGGAGCAGATTATGGCCTGCGCTTTGGGCGGTCCTATGGATGTTTATTGTTTTCCGCGACATACAGCATAATCATAGGACAGTTTCGACTACCCTCATCTCACACTGACAGAGAGTAATGGAGGAGAGATGGGGGCACAGTACAGTAGTTGGGGAATTTATTTTAACTTGTGGGCTACCGGGAAGAACCTCACAGAAGGACAGGGAGGACACATGAAACTGCCAGGGCTCCTACTATGACCAGATTTACTCATATCAGTAATCTGCGCGGATTGTAATTGGCTGGGCACGGGCCTCTAGCTGGCCTCGTAGTCATCAAAATGAACCCTGATTGGTCTGCGCACCAGACCTGTCGGCCCCTTTGAACCGGCAGGCGCACACTCTGATCAATTGACAGTTTGACAAGAAGATGTGGTACTGTACGTTAATCAGGAGATCCTGTTCAAGTTTGTCCCTCATCTCGGCAGAACCTTGCATTTAATAGCATACAGAATCCCACGAGTTGCCGCATGCAAAAAAGTCATACACTTGAGATTGGGAAAGAGGGACAAAAGATTTAGCCAGGATAAATTGTTGCAGATATGGCGAAGGACCAACTCTATAGGAAGTGCCCCAGAGAGTAAGCGCCGGTAAGCGCCCCTAACTTCCCAGGGACCTGCGGTCTATATTTAGGCTGCCTACTTTCACCTTTTCGTCTCAATCGGTACTACCCAAGTCGGTGCTTGCCAAGCCCATTTGCACCCAGCCGCAGGGCGGAAATCGGGTCCCTGCCCCTTTGATCGAACTGTAACCATCCTCTGCCTGAGGGATGCCGCCTCCTCAACCTATCGTGCAGTTGCTGCGACTACTCGAAATCTCAACCACAGCCTGGTCGACGCTTTTCCAGTTTACTGACTGGCTCTGCCGGCGTGTCTGCTTCGTCATTGGTAGAGTCCCTTTTATGCCAAAGTGCAATACAGCTCCAGCAACATACTACCGATGGCAAGGAATGTCTAAGTTGGCAAATGAATGGCAGTATTCACCTGGAGTGCTCTTAAATATATTTGTCAACCATGAGTTGGCGACTCAATTATATGAACAAGGTTATAATTGGCCTATAGAGTAGACCAATCAAGGTTTGTAGTAATGACTACGAGGCAAGTTGGAGACCCAGGTCCGGCCAATCATAGTCCGCGAAGATGACTGCAGAGCTTGAACTGCCAGACGAGACCCCCTATTGGCAAGGGCGAACCTCGGATATGGTTGGATCGTTAGCCGCCCCACGCCATGCCCGAAAAGCTCTCAGTAGAGTAGATCACTGGGTAGAGAACTTTTTGACTTGTGGGCTACCGAGAAGAACCTCACAGAAGAACAGAGAGGACACATGAAACTGCCAAGGCTCCTACTATGACCAGATTTACTCATATCAGTAATCTGCGCGGATTGTAATTGGCTGGGCACGGGTCTCCAGCTGGCCTCGTAGTCATCAGAATGGACCCTGATTGGTCTGCCAGGGTTCGATAGTATTGTGGCCTCTTTTGTGTCAAGTTCACAACCAGCGATGGGAAGAAGAAAGGAGGGCTGAGAGACTCCGCTGGGAAGGTGACAGAGAAAGTGAACGTCAGCGATGGGAGGATGAGCATCCATAATCATGGCGGTAGGCCCAACCCTAGACACATATGCAGCATTTCTCCAGGTTCGTGTTGGCTGTCCGGAAATAGACGAAGATCCCATTTGAGACGACTAGCAACGAGGTTGACTTCTGAGCCTGTCATTTTCATTTCCTTCGTTGTGACAACAGTTAGGCTCAGACCTGCCGTCGAAACAAGGTCCGCGGTCAATTAGGAGCCTTGAATTAATATGCTTGTCATTTATTCTTCCTGGGCAGACTTCGCCTTTCGCCGACGCCGCTGAGTCCTTTGGTGCAGTCTCTTGCGTGCAGGACAACGCAGGACAATCTTTGTCCTGGGTGGAGCCGGAGGCGGGTCTGGCTTGACTCGGAGACGAATACTGATTTTGCTCCGCCCTTCTGGAGGGGCATTTGTTCTCTGATCATCCCGTGATTCCTTCCCTGCATTAGCGCTGGTCGTAGGCGTATCCGAGGTAGGTACAACGTGACTCTTCTCTTCGTCGTCGTCGTCGTCTTCGTCGTCGTCGTCTTCATCGTCTCGTGCCGGTGTTTCACTTTCAGGTGAAGGAGAGCGCAGAAACTGAAGAAATACGCTGTCATCCCATCGCGGTGAGTCGACGAGTGTACCGTCAGTACTGTCAAGTGACGATAGTTCTGTGGGAGACTGGCGGTCTAGGCTGAATCGATCGCCGCGACTTACTTCGCCGTCCCAAGGCGGCATCGACGCCGTAGCGGGCAAAGGAGATGGTGGAGCAACAACGTGGTGGAGCAACAGGGGTGTGACGAGATCGTCTGGCGGTGACCGCGGCGATGGTGGCATGGTTGACGAATTCCGTCGCCTCTTCTTCACCGGGTGAGAGGATGAGAAATCTTCAGGAAGCATCCAAGACAGTTCACCCTCGTCAATGAGCCTCTTCTTTAAACGAGGTTGATCTGAAAGCCTGGGTGAGCTGAGAGCTGAGGCTTCAAGTTGTTTGAGCCGTGTGCGACCGAGGCCGTGCTCGTCGATCAAATGAAACTGCATATCTTTCTCGTCGACCAGGTGATTGTCACACTGAGGGTGAGGACACCTGAGAGGCCAATGCTGTCCCACTAAATGTGAATCGATGTGTGTCCATAGGGAGTGCTCACGACACCACGACCCGAGCCGCTGTCCAGCCAACTTTGAGACGTCGCCTAAACAGAAAGGGCAATATCCAGGACGGACCAGGGTGTGGCAGTACGTGATCGTCCCGCATTGCTTCGAAGGCAGCGTTTGAAGGTGTCTCTGGCAGTGGCTGTCCCACAGCTCCTGCCCGACGAACCAGTCGAAGCACAAGTGGCAGTAATGGACGTCACTTTGTAAGAAATGCCCTTTGCTCGCGATTTCGCGGCGTACACACACTTGGACGTGCTGGTTACGGCCGTCTTTGGGCAGTCTGGAGAGGTTAGTCACGAGCGCAGCGACCGGCTTCACGGGGTCTCACCGTTCAAGCACCAGTTGACAACATTCCACGGGGCAGGTCCCTGCAACAGGCTGACAGCCGGGAAGGTAGAGAACTGAAAAATCTCGAGTGCAGAGAGTGTAGAGATCCTCCATGGCAAGCCACTTGGTCTCTGCCGTCAGCAGTTTATCAGACGCCAGTCTCTGTGCCAGGCGTGCACGTTCGGGGAATAGAAGACAGAGGCTCTGGACGAGGTCGGTCCGATCCAGGTCGCGCGCCTGTTCTCTTCCCCGTGTAATGATTTTCCAGTCCCGACGTTGCTGGATCCAGCTTTCTTGATATTGGCGCAGGGCGCCGCCCCTTAGGGTCTTTAGGTAGCTGGCAAGGCGCTTTTTGGACTCCTTGAGTTGGAGAGGATCCTTTTTGGAAGACTTCTGTACCTCTAACTCGAGCCCCTGTCGTCGACGATCCTGCCTCAGGCTCTCCTCAATATGTGCAGGCAATTCACACGGTAGCCCCGGCTCTCGGAATTTTTCGAGGCTCTGAAAATAATCGATATGGCTGTGGTCGACCTGCTCGCCGAGAAAGGCAGCCTGACCATCGACAGAAGACGTGTTGGCGACATAGCTTTGACCAAAAATCCGGGGATCGGCTTGGGTGAGGTGTTGAGACCGCTGGACCTCGGTGTAAATTTCGTCTACCTTCTTGCCCAACTGTCGTCGAATGGCATGAACAGAGGTGGTGCAGAGGTATCCCGCGTTCCGGAAAGTGTCCCGCAGGATGTCCGAAAAGGCAGATCTCGGCATTGGCTCATCCATGACACCGCTCGCTTTGGTGCATTTGCGGAGAATTGGCTTGTCGAGCATGGATACTTTGAATCGCAGCACCAGCTCGTTCTCACCAGGGGGAATCTCCTGTTCCTGTAGATCGGCAAACGTCTCGTAACCAAACAGCGCCTTGTCCGCCATGGCCATGGTGAGGAGGAACGCAGAATCGTCGTAGATGAATCGGTCATGCTCACGGCCGGCAGTACCAAAAACTATGTTTTCGGGATCCCGATTGTTCTTCACCCATCGCTGGTCAATCTTGTAGATCAGCCTCCAGCGACCAGTGGATGTGCGTTGTAGTACGAGATTGACATCTCGATACCGAAGGCCGTTGGTGAAGAAGGCAGAAAGTCGGGCACCCGTCCAGCAGTAGACACGAATGATGAACGTGAACTGGATTCGATAGCGCTCGTGAATGAAGCTGAGGTCGTCCTTCGTCCACAGGGTCAGTAAGAGTCGGGTCAGATCTCGCTCCTGGAAGTTGTGTTTCGGTCGGTGTTTCTTCACCACCAGGTCTTCGCGGGTTAAGACCTTCCGTACCCACTGAGCATGTTAGCTGTCTACCTTCTCCCGGTTTAACGTGTAGCAGGTGTGGGCCGTCTCACGTTGTAGACTTCACTCCTCTCCTCCTTGTCGGTGTCGGTCCCGGTGACCCGAGTGAACCCGGCAAAAAACCATTCAACTATAGTGTTGATGGAGTCGACGGTGGGTACACTGGTAAGTTGGGGCTTGCTGGTGGCGATGTAGAAGCGAAAGAAGTCCTTCACCGTCACCAGGTCGGGAGCCGCAACACCAGGTCGGAGACAGCGTTCGCGAGCCATTTCTTCGGTTGGTCGAGGCCGTTGATGCTCTGCGGCGTCACGCTGCATCACCGCGAGATGCCAACTGGTTAGGGAGTGTCAGGAACGAGGTAGCTGGGGGGCGGTGAAAGGGGGCCCGCGGGCGTCGATTCACATACAGGACGTAACGCCGAAGGGTTCTATCTTGGTCCTTAATGACCTTCTTGACATGCTTCTCTCGGTTTCTGACTTGGTCACGTTCTGCGTGAGCCCCTCTCTTGTAGCCTTTGGCTTCAGCCTGGGCGAGCAGCTCTTCCGCGGTGGCCTGTCGACCCATTTGCGGCACAGGGAGCGGGTGCAGAGTGTGGGTGGAGGGAACTGCCCGCCGGCGGCCAGTCTGGAGGAGGAAGGCGGAAGGAACAGGACGTCGCAGTCGAGACAGGGGAGACAGGAGGAAGAGGAGCACCGCAACGCGGGTGCAGCGCTGGGAGGGAAAGGGCCCAAATATAGCCCGTCGCCGGCCACGGGTGCAGGTCTGCCCCCCATCGCAGGACGGGTGGAGTTCGACATCGATTCACGAATCGGATTCTGAACGACGGGAGACGGCGTCGAGGCAGGGACGCGCCAGCAGACGCTCAGCCGACGAGGGAGAGCGGGTGGTGAGGCGTGGGTGAGCGAGGGTGAGGAGCGGGTGCGCGAGGGGGTGAGGGGAGGTTAAAGCGGCGGCGGCGAGGTGAGCGCCCGGGTGAGCGCGATGCACTTCTTACTCTGCTTGTGCTGCCAAGGCGCCTCCCGCAACTTCAATGACATCTCAAGGTCTCGAGAGGCATATGGTCTGCGAACAAGGTATGGATTGAGAGCGTCGCCGGGACATGCTGACAAAGAATACCATGTCTGCAGGGCGATGAGACGTGTTGTGGCTCGTATTGCCCGTGGCTGGCATGTTCTGCTTGACGAAGGTGGCTAGCAGGCTCCCGCCAAATGATTGGTCACGTCTTCACACTCATTTACTGCCTGGTAGATTTACGGCCGCATGGCGTTCAGAGCAACGTGCGTTCCGAGCTCAGCAGTATTCCTCATCGTTCGAGATGGCCGAGAGCGTGGCTTCGCTACTTGGCCTTGCGATTTCGCCGTGAGCCAGGAGTCTGCTTACCAGTTGCAGTCCCATCGGCATCCGACTGTGACTCGGCCATTTTGGCAGCTTTGGCGGCAGCTTCATCCCTCTTCTCGGCCTCCTTCTTTGCCATTGCTCTTTTCACAGCGCCTTGCTTCTCGAGGCGCTCGACCTGCTTCTCACTGTACTCCCACAGCTTCTGAGCAACCTCTTCGCTTCTGACCTCTGGTCGTAGAGGTTCAAGCTCGCGGCATTCCTTGATCAGCTTGCCTCCTGGGCTGCTAGCATACTCGGCTTCCATTGACGCAAGGAGGTAGCTTTGAGCGCCCTGCAGAGGGGATTTCAAAACCAGCCACCAGACCGGATATGTCATCATGTAGAGAAGCAATCCAAACAGAGACCCGCCCGTGACCCAGCGCCTGGTGCCCGGAGTCCTCGAAAAGCCTGGATCAACGATGAAAGCACGGGCGTTGTTGGGCATTTTATCCGGACGCACGTAGGCGTCAAGGTGCTTCTGGAAGGCGTAGACAAACGTCATGAGAGCCAGTTTACTGCGCGCATACGACTCGCTGCCAGACTTTGTCTTGCGTTCGGTGTCTTTCAGATCCAACTTCCCTCCGATGTAGCTGCTGCAAGAGCTGAACAGTATCCTGATATCTCGATCGGGGGGCTGAGCTCGAATCGCTGGCGACAGTATGCTCAGCAGATGGAAATTGGACAGATAATTAACCATCCACTCCTCTTCAAGGCCATCAACTGTCGTCTTGCGCCGACCCCACCAGGGTGTCATAACGTTTGCACACAGGACAATCATGTCCAACCGGCGAGGAGGGGCATTGTCCACCCACTTGGTCGCAAAGAGGCGGATGGAGTGCAGTGAAGACATGTCGACCTGCTCGGCATAAATGAGGTCATTGTTGCAGATCGTCCGAAGGTCGTCAATATAGTCAACCAGGAAAGGATCGGTGGGGGCGTAGTGGGTGAGGAGGATAATTTGAGCGCCCCGAGTTGCAAGTTCGCGCACCACTTCAGCACCTATGCCTGATGTTCCACCCTGAGCAAAGATTAGCTTATGCTTTCAAAGAGCCTGGCGAACTCACTGTCACCATAACGACCTTCCCGTGCATAACTCGCTCTGACCGACATCTCGCCCCGCTGAAGTACAATTTCAGGAGGTAAAGCAGGCCGACCCACGGAATCAGCTTGATGACATCCCAGGCGTAAGGAATCCCGCCAATGCCTTTCTCGAAGCCTTCTGCCAGGATGGGCACCGGCATGGCTGGCAGATGAAGAGTTGATTGCTGGCAGGAGGAATGGAAAGACTGTGGGACGGCAGGGAACGCATCTCCAGATTATTTCCAATTCGCAGGCAAGCCCAAAATCCGAGCGCTGCGGGAGATCGACCGTCGATAAGCTTAATTTTTCCGGGGCCTCAAAGTGCGCCTATGACGCAGGGCTGCAGCCTTTATTCTTTCAACTTCGGTTCACTAAAGACTATTGCTGCTCCACCCCAGGCACAAACGCCCCTCTATATGGGAAGATTGCTCCGAGCATGGCGGAATCGGGGGAAGACGAAGATTACTTTGTCCCGCTCGAAGACCAACGCGTCTTCGGTGCGGGTATCAAGCGCAAGCGCATCGCCTTCGTCCCCGCCTCTTCCACCGAGTCCTCGCTTCCCGCCACCAGCGGCTCCGGTTCTGGAAGCAAGCAGAGCATAGCAGACCGATACCTACATATTGTCCTTTCTAAGGCCGCGACCACGCCGAGCACTCCAGAAGGGACCGTCCCAGACTCCGATCCCAGCCCCAGCCTCTGTACCGTCTGCCACCGTCCCTTGTCACCCACACACGAAACCACCATCGCGCACCAGCTCTGCCTCGAGCACTCGCACCCTCCGTCCCATCTCGACCGTTCGCGCCCGGGGCTCCGCTACCTCAACGCCTACGGCTGGGACCCGGATAGCCGCGTTGGACTGGGCGCGCGCTCCGAGGGCGTGCGATTTCCTCTGAAGCCTGTACCTAAACATGACACGGTCGGCCTGCGAGAGAGGGAGGACGAGGATGCCGCTGTGCGCGTCAAACCAAAAAAGGTGGCTTTGAACACCAGCGTGATGCGGCAGGGCAAGGTCTTGAGGCTGGATGCCAAGGAGGTGCGGAAGCGTGACGATGAAGCGAGGAAGAGGGCAGATAAGCTTAGAAAGTCATTCTATGGCAGCGAGGAAGTGGAGCGGTATCTCGGAAGCGGCGGGTGATATAGGTCGGAGCCTGAATGGGCTTCCCTACAGAGAGGATGTCCTCTACTATCTTTGCCGGATACGAATGAGGCACAGCGCGCCGAACGCCATGCTTTATTTGCCAAAGCCGAACCCGACCGGTCTGCGTCCCAAAAAGGGCATCACACGGCATCAGTACTTGTCCTTCTTGTCCTTGCGGTGGAACAGGCCATGTTTCTCCTTCTTCTCCTTCTTCAGCTTGCCACCGCTCTCTTCTGGGGGCCGGAAGGTGCTGACTGGTGGTCTGGCAGGTGATTTGCCGGGTGAGAGTGCTCTAGCTGGACCACCATTGGGAGGAGGCCCAAGGTTCATTCTATTCATAGCCTCGGTGGGTGGTCTGCCATCAGGCGGACGGCCATTTGGTGGCTGCTGTGGTCTTGATGGCAGTCCCGATTGAGAGTGCTGTGGACCCTGACTTCCCTGTTGAGATTGTGGCTTCGGTGCAAGCTCGCTAGGAGGCGCGTCTGACATCCAGGCTGGCATTTGGGGCCTTCCTGAGTCTTGAGGAAGACCAAGCTGCTTTCGGCCAGCACTGAGGAGGCTGACTTGGCGGAGATATGTTTTGGGCGTTTGCATGTGAGATGTGGCCAGGAACACATCCTTGCCAAACTGATGCGACACTTCGTAGCAGGCCCGTGCTTCTGCATAGGTGGCACCACCCGCCATGAACACGATCAATCTCTGGCGAGGTTTATTTGACTGTGCACGGCTCGATGCCCACGTTGGTTTGCCGGCGTTGCGCAGTGAAGTCTGTGACATAGTCATGGCCGGGTTTTGATTGTCCAGATGTGGTTTGACAGGCGGGAAGAGATTCGGGTCTAACGTGCCCTGGCATTGCTCTTCAAGCATGAACCGAAGACTGGGCTCAAACCGCGACAAGCTGACCTCCTCCAATCCAGCCGTGTTATTCATTCTGGGTGGGAAGATGGGCTGCAATGGCGGTGTCTCATCCTTGAGTTGCCTCTGTACGCGAGCACCAAGCATGTCGAGGTTGTAAATGATCTCGCCATCCATGGGTGATAGCTGACCGTGGCATCTCAGCTTCTCAATGTCGCCTCCTAGAATGCCATTGCGGTAAATGATATACATGATTAGCAATCGCAGTCGATCTTCATGGACAATACTGTCATCGTCTAGTAAACGAACCATCTGATCTGCCAAATTACGAGGCTTCTTGTTATCCTCGTCCAGTCCTGTTGCCAGCGACTGCTCGACTGAGCTGAGATCGAGAATCTTGTGGTCCTGGAAGATCTTCGCGCACTTCTCGGCCATATCGATGTGCAGCGAGAACGCTTCTTTCCCTTCTTGGAATTCGGGTAGACCTGCTAACATGTCCTTGATGGTGTTGACGCTGACCTTCTCTCCTTCGCTGTCTGCAAATTGAGGGTTTTTGGCCTGGAACCTTTTGAATGCTTCGCTGAGCTGCACCAGAAGATCTTTCATATGCATGTGTCGATGTTCCACCCAGAGCTTGTCATTATCATTGAGCTCAACGTCTTTCTCCTCCTGGTCTTCCTGGCCTCGGCGGATGGTGTTTCTGTAAGTCACCTTCTCATCGTCATCCTGCATTGGCAGAACGTCCATGGCCATAGCCTGATAAGTCAGCTCATGCACGAGTGGCGACATAAGATCCATCGAGCGGTCCGTAATGAACAGATAACCTCGTGGCCTGGGCGAAGGAGGTGGGAAACGGTCCCGATGCGCTCCGGTGTAGCTGTCTAGCGCTCCTTGGATGAAAGATGCCAAATGGGAACACAAAACACTCGCTTCATGACGCGGATTTTTGGGGCGATAGTATTTGACAATCGGGTACTCGCCCAGAGACACACACAGAGACACGACTTTGGCGGTCAAGGAGTCCAGATGGCTTTTGATCAGGGAGTCACACGCCGGATGGAACAAGGCGTGAAAACTCCAGGGTTCTCGAAATGTCACTACATGGGATTCTCGGGGATAGAAGTCGATGTCAAGGCTCCTGGAGTCAGCGATCATGCGCTGTCGAGTTTCGGACCGGAAGAGCTCATCTTGCAGTGGGCGTGGGAGATGAGATGTCCATACCAGAAACGCGCGACGATAACGGCGACGATTTAGATCCGCCTTGAGAGCCTCGACCACATGCGGCAGAGGCGAGAGGAGGTATATCGCATCAGTAGTTGACTGAGTCTGCCGCCTGTCCTCGAGCTGCTCGATATTGATGATATTTGCATTCAGAATGTCGTCCTCCTTGGTGACATTTGTTACCAGTTTTCGACTGCGCTCGTCCAGTACGAGAACTTTCCAGTCATCGCCGCTTATGGCTCTGATGTTGTCCAAGATTATCCCTCGTTGAAGGTCTATGATCGAAGTCCCCATGTCAGGCAGTGGGGCAGGCGGATGTCGGAGGGTGCGGGTTGCGGCATTCGAAGGAGAGGGTGCTGCAGAGGGTGCAGTCCCATAGGCGTGTCCAAGTGGTGTCTGTTGGGCAGTTCCTGTAGCTGGTCTATGTGATGCAGGGTGGGCAGGCAGAAGGAGAACTGGTGCATTGCGGAGGCTCAAACTGCGGGACAGTCTTGAAGCAGCCAAGCGCCGCGGCGGCGTCAAACGACGCGAGCCGGCGATCCCTGCAGTCGGACATTTACATTGACATTATTGACGTCTGCTGGCTGGCCTCTGTACAAAAACCCTTTCTGGTGTTCGAGATTCATCTCCATTATTCTGCTATATGATGACGCCGTGACTCGTGAGTCCTAACCTCGACTTCTGAGCACGCTGCGTGCACACCATATCCTCTTCTTCGGCAGTCGTCCCCAGGACTACCATGCGAAAATGGTTTCCGCCACAGAGCAGATGTCTTTTCTGCCGCTACGCACCGCGTCCAATCCGCAGCAAAAGCGCCACACGTGCAACATGCGCAACGACTCCTATCAGAAGAGCGTTCACAACGATACGCTACGACGCTCCCAAAGACCGTAACATCCCTACTTGGACTGCGGGTCATACCTTACAAGACGAGGGCGGCCCTCTGATCTCGTTCAGTGATCCGACGGAGGATGTGGATTTAGGAAGAAATATTTCTGAGGAGTTGTCTGTTGTCAAAGACCGGCTTGAAGGGAGTGGCCATAGTACAAATGGCCATCAATGGCAGACCTTCAAGGACGAAATGCTGGATATCTGGACCAGTCATTATTCTACCTTGAGCAAACGTCAGCGAGATGTCCAGAAGGCATTAAGGAAAGCGCAAAGCGATGGAACTGCCGCCTCTTACTTGCAGTGTGCTTTCATTGACCGTGTCATGGAATCCAGAGGCCACAGCATTTCTCAGGCATTGGAAAAGGTTGCTGATATGCGATATCCCACGGAATGGTACACGAGAGCGCGCTCAACTCAAAGAGACATTCATCTTCATATCGGACCAACCAATTCGGGCAAGACCTACAATGCCCTCAAACGATTAGAGGAAGCTGCAAGCGGCTTCTATGCCGGCCCTTTGCGGCTACTTGCTCACGAAGTTTATTCCCGTTTCAAGGCAAAAGGCAGACGTTGTGATCTTGTTACCGGAGACGATGTTCGTCGCGACGAAACCGAGCCTGATGAAGCCCTCCTTACCTCGTCGACCGTGGAGATGGTAGACGTGAATAAATCGTGTGAGGTAGCTGTCATCGACGAAATTCAGATGATGGCGGACATTGACCGCGGCTGGGCCTGGACAAGAGCATTCATCGGATCCTGTGCCAAGGAGGTGCATCTTTGCGGCGAGAATCGTGTCCTCCCCCTCGTCCAGGAACTCGCAGCTTCCATGGGTGACAATCTGCATGTCCATGAATACCAGCGACTCAACCAGTTGGAGTGCATGCCCCACAGCTTGCGCGGCGACTTAGGACAGTTGCGCCCTGGTGATGCGATTGTCTGTTTTACAGTGGTCGGAATTCACGCCATGAAAAAGGCTATAGAGACGAAAACGGGTCGGAGAGTGGCTATTGTATATGGATCCCTCCCTCCCGAAACACGCGCTCAACAGGCGGCGCTGTTCAACGATCCCGATAACGACTACGATTATCTGGTGGCAAGCGATGCTATTGGCATGGGCTTGAACTTGAGCATAAAACGAGTCATTTTCGAAACCGTGCAGAAGTTCAATGGTGTCAGAAGAGAGCAACTTTCGATTCCACAGATCAAACAAATTGCCGGCAGAGCAGGTCGCTATCGAACCGCGCAAGATGCAACCAAGAAAGAGACACGCCACACTGGGCGACATGCAAAGGACCGGCCAGTCGGCCTGGTGACGACTTTGGATGAGATGGATTTGCCCATCGTTCGACATGCACTCGCATCAGAAGCCGAGCCTATCACTACTGCGGGTTTGCTACCGCCTGGCGAGTTCGTGGAAGATTTCGCCGCGAGGCTACCTGCGGACACGCCTCACGAGTACGTACTTACGCGGCTCTCCGAGGCTGCTGCAGTGCATCCTCGATTCAGCCTCTGTCGACTACGAGATCAGCTGACTGTCGCCCGCATCATTGAGCCTGTAAAGAACCTGACAACTGCAGATCGCCACGTCTTCACAGCGGCACCATTTGGCTTTCGTGGAGAAAGCAAGCAGGCGGGCGTTCAACTCTTGTTCGATGTGGCAACACGCGTTGGCAACGGGGAAAGGATGTCCATTGTGGACCTTCCCACTATTCCATTAGAACTGCTTGAGCCGAGCCTATCGCCCGGCCGCAGGGTGCTCGAAAAGCTCGAGTTCCTCCATCAGGCTTTGATCCTCTATCTTTGGCTCAGCTACCGCATGGCCAGCAATTTCGCAGACCAAGAGATGGCTTTTCACGCCAAAGAAATGGTCGAGGCCAGAATTGATACCTACCTCGTCAAATACACGAACGCCAAGACGTACCACAAGACGCCTCTACTCACTTTTCGAAGAGTCGACTCGCTTAGTGCAGCAAATAAACGGGGAGATGATACCAGACCTCACAATAGACTTTCAGGTCGCTTCAAGCTGGACAGGGAGATGATTGAGAACAGAGATCTCGAGCAGAAGCATGCACTCGTGTCAGACGAGTCTATCAGAGATCCCGAGACTTTGATGGGCCCAGAAGAGGCAGCTACGCTCGACGTGCCCAATAATGAAGCCCCAGTACTGCCAATAGACTGGACTCGACCCATCGATTACGACAATCACGACGGGCCTAAACCTACGAGCAAGGACCAAGCCTTCCAACGCGCGGAGAGGGCGGGCGGAGACGCCTAGAAGGCGGATATAGACTGTACACATATTTGTACATCATGTAGACCTACACACAAGAAATGCTCATGTCCAATATTGGTCAATGAATGAATTGCTTCCAGGTCTGTGCTTCCGTGTGTACTACTAATGACATATGCTCAATCGTGTGCCAGGCTCCATCTACAGGTCCGTTTTCCATAGCCATGCGTTCCCCAAGACTGACACCAATAACGAGTGACAGCGAGGACCTGCTTCTGGGCTCCTAGGCTCATGCATAGCGTAATGTTACTTTTCTTAGGTTTTTTGTTGGTCGTTACGCATTCTGTGCACCGGCCGAGGTTTGGTTGACTGCAGCAGGAGTTTGGTGGCCGGCATTGATCTCTGCTTCGGTCTTCTTGTTGCCGTGCATGATCATTCTGTTCAAGAGAGAGCCTGGCTTGCCCTGCTCATGGCCTTCCGCTTCCGCCTTCTCGATTTCGCGACTCAGATAGGTGGAGGTCTCATGATCCTGACCTTCCTCGCTAGAATCGTACTCGTCAAAGTTTTGAGCTGGGTCTGGTGTCAGCAGAGCCTCCAGAAGAGATTAGACGGTTGGGCAAGCTTCAGCAGAACATCTAGCGTTCGAAGAGGACGATGCCTCACAGAAGTCTTCCGCAGGATCGAAGGTGGGAGCTAAGTTAGGTGGCGAGGGGTTCACTCACGCTCAGGGTCCTTGTGCGAGAAGCGGCGCTTGATCTTTGCCCGGATGTTGTCCATTGTTCCAGACATGTTGGATTACTTAACAATAGCTTGGGATGGGTCGTTTCTGTGAAGGAGTACGAAATGAGAACAAGAACACAGAGGAAACTGGAAGACAGAAACAAAGGATGGAGCACCGTGTGCTTCTGGGCAGTGGAGGGGCAGTAGAGTAGCATTTGGCGATGCAGCTTCTAGATGCGGCGTCATGTGGGGTATGCTCTTGCCGCTTCCTGAATCGCCAAGAGATCCCTGAGCCGCGGTTTCAAATGACATAATTTTCGGCGAACTCTGCCGACAAACATCGATGCAGGCCGCGAAACTGCGCCAAATCGTCTTTGATCTGCACTTCACAGGCGGCTGCGCTGTGGCGAACATATCGAGCAGATCCGACGGTACGTAGCTCGCGATGGACGATCTCGCGTCCCTCGAGCTGCTCTCCCTCGTCTCAAGAATCACCTCCGAACTCAACAACCATGTGGGAATCAACGACAAGACTCTTGCTGAGTTCGTGATTGATCAACATGAGAAAAGCGACGGGAAACTGGTTGACTTTAAGAATGCCCTGGCTGCTCTTGGGGCTGACTTCCCAAACAGTCTGGTGGAGAGCATTGACCGACTGATACGAACGATGCATCCGAAATACAAGAACCAGAGCCAGCAGCAGAGCGGTAACGGCGATATGGACGAGCTAGGCGCTCTAGAGAGCAAGGCGAAAAGGTTCAAAGGCCTCGCAGTGCCTGACCGGAACCCAAATTGGGATGATTGGGAGGATGACACTGTTGGCCAGAAAGCCATTGAAGAAGACCCGCGTCGCGCTGGCGATGACACCTTCGCGCTGCTCGAGGGATTAGCACCTTCGACCGGGGCCCATTCGTCCACGAACGGTAACATGAGAAAGCGCAGCCGAAGTCCAGGTCGAGACGACTACCCTCGAGACAGACGTCCTCGTCAGAAATACTGGTCAAGAAGTCCAAGTCCGCGAGAAGAGAAGCGGTCTCGGCGAAGGCATGACGATGATGATGACGATGAGAGGCGTCGTAGGCATAGACACCGAGATCGGGAGCGAGACCGAAGAGATGGGTCCCATCGGACTCGACGAGATCGCGACTACGACGAAAAGCTCGATGATCATCCTGTGCTGTACAAGGTGTACGACGGTGTCATCACCGGGCTAAAGGACTTTGGAGCCTTCGTCAATCTGCAGGGAGTCAAGGGCAAAGTGGATGGTCTTGTCCATGTGTCAGCCATCCAAGAAGGCGCTCGTGTCAATCATCCATCAGACTTGCTTTCTCGCGGACAGCCTGTCAAGGTGAAGGTGAGCAAGATTGAAGGCACACGCATCGGTCTGTCGATGAAGGAGGTCGACCAGGTATCTGGCGAAGATCTAATTCCTTCAAAGCGCATTGCTTCGGGTGCCAACATGGAGCGTATGAATGGTGCCGTCGATCGCTATGGTAACCTTTCTGAGAACGTGCCGGTCATTGAAGGTGACATCAACGGACGTTCTGGTCGAAATAATCGCAAGCGAATGACCTCACCAGAACGATGGGAAATCAAGCAGCTAATCGCTTCGGGTGCAATCTCGGCCCACGAGTATCCTGATATTGATCAGGAATACAACGATAATCTCAACGGCGATGGCGAGCCTGAGGAACTGGAGGAGGACGTTGATATTGAAGTACGAGAGGAAGAACCGCCCTTCCTGGCTGGGCAGACGAAGCAGTCTCTGGAGCTATCACCCATTCGTGTCGTCAAGGCGCCGGAAGGTTCCTTAAATCGTGCCGCACAGGGCGGAACAGCACTGGCGAAAGAGCGTCGCGAGCTGAGACAGCAAGAAGCTACTGACAAAGCCGCGGAGGAAGCCTCTAAAGTTGATCTCAACGCACAGTGGCAGGACCCAATGATCAACCCCGAGGATCGTAAATTCGCTTCCGACTTGCGCCAGGCACAGCAACAGACCACTAAAGCGATTGCAGCAGTTCCAGAATGGAGACGTGCAACTCAAGGCCAGGGCCAATCATTCGGCCGGCGTACCGACATGACCATTAAGCAACAGCGCGAATCCCTGCCCGTGTTCAAATTCAGGAATCAGCTTCTTGACGCTGTGGCTCAGAATCAGCTGCTCATCGTGGTTGGCGACACAGGTTCTGGGAAGACGACACAGCTAACACAGTACCTAGCCGAAGCTGGCTATGCTAATGATGGTATCATCGCTTGCACTCAGCCTCGACGTGTAGCTGCCATGTCGGTCGCCAAACGTGTCTCCGAAGAAGTCGGTTGCGAGCTCGGACGGGAGGTAGGCTACACCATTCGTTTCGAAGATCGTACCTCGCCTGATACAAGGATCAAATACATGACGGACGGTATGCTGCAAAGAGAAATCCTACTAGATCCCGATCTAAGACGATATACCGTGATCATGTTGGATGAGGCACACGAGAGGACAATAGCAACTGACGTCTTGTTCGGGTTGCTCAAGAAGACGCTGAAGCGGAGGCCAGACCTCAAAGTCATCGTCACATCGGCAACTCTCGACGCCGACAAGTTCAGCGAGTTTTTCAACCAGTGTCCGATCTTTTCGATACCGGGACGCACATACCCTGTCGAGATCATGTACTCGAGAGAGCCAGAGGAGGACTACTTGGACGCGGCTTTGACTACTGTTATGCAAATCCATCTTACCGAACCTCCCGGAGACATCCTGCTGTTCCTGACGGGCCAAGAAGAGATCGACACTAGCTGCGAAGTTCTCTATGAGCGGATGAAAGCTCTGGGACCCAGCGTACCTGAGCTCATCATTCTGCCAGTCTATTCGGCCCTGCCGAGCGAGATGCAAAGCAAAATCTTCGATCCAGCTCCTGCAGGTAGTCGGAAGGTGGTCATCGCAACAAATATCGCCGAAACATCCATCACTATCGATCATATTTACTACGTTATTGATCCTGGTTTCGTCAAGCAGAACGCGTATGATCCGAAACTGGGCATGGATTCTCTCATTGTGACACCTATCTCCCAAGCTCAAGCGAAACAACGAGCGGGCAGAGCCGGTCGAACAGGTCCAGGTAAATGCTTCAGGCTGTACACTGAGGCTGCGTACCAGTCAGAGATGCTGCCAACAACCATCCCTGAGATTCAGCGGCAGAACCTGTCCAACACAATCCTTATGCTAAAAGCCATGGGAATCAACGATCTGCTGCATTTCGATTTCATGGACCCGCCACCAACAAACACCATGTTGACTGCACTGGAAGAACTGTACGCTCTATCTGCACTTGACGACGAGGGACTGCTCACACGGCTTGGGCGGAAGATGGCTGACTTCCCTATGGAGCCTGCTCTAGCCAAAGTGCTTATCGCATCGGTTGACACCGGCTGCAGCGAAGAGATGCTCTCAATTGTCGCAATGCTGTCGGTGCAGTCCGTCTTCTATCGCCCGAAGGAAAAGCAGCAGCAGGCCGATCAAAAGAAGGCCAAGTTCCATGACCCGCATGGAGATCACCTCACTCTACTGAACGTATACAATGCGTGGAAGACCTCGCGCTTCTCTGAGCCTTGGTGCTTTGAGAATTTCATCCAGAAACGCCAGATGACGCGCGCGAAAGATGTACGGCAGCAGCTTCTCCAAATCTTCACCCGCTACAAGCATCAGGTGATCTCCTGCGGCCGCAATACACTGAAGGTCCGTCAGGCTCTTTGTTCAGGATTCTTCCGCAACAGCGCCCGCAAGGATCCTCAGGAAGGCTATAAGACTCTCATCGAGGGAACACCAGTCTACATGCATCCCAGTTCTGCACTTTTCGGCAAACCGGCTGAGCATGTTATCTACCACACTCTGGTCTTGACGACGAAAGAGTATATGCATTGCGCAACAGTCATCGAGCCACGGTGGCTAGTGGAGGCAGCGCCTACATTCTTCAGAGAGGCCGACAAGAATAAGCTGAGTAAGAGGAAGAAGGCTGAACGGATTCAACCTTTGCATGACAAGTATCGGGGCGAGGATGAATGGAGGCTGAGCTCTCAGAGGAAGCAAGGTCGCGGAGGAGGTGGCGGTACTTGGGGTTAAATTTTAGGTGCTTCCGGCCGACGAGCTCCGTTAGCGCCATCTAGAACATGAATCTCGACAAAGAGTCTCACCTGACTGTCCTTGAGATCTCAATCCATGATTTCATTCAGTCTGCAATAATCAGATGCTTGGCTGCAGGCAGTGAAAATCAGCCTCGTGCGGAGGCCCTTCCAGCCTCGTCGAATTTCTTTCTGAGCGGCGTTTGACCTCTTGCAACGGTCTTGATCTGGCTTCCACCATATCATTCCTCCGAACTGCGCCTACCATGCCTCACAAACACAAACGAAAGCATGGCGAAGGCGATGCCGCAAGCTTTAATCTTCCCCCAACCGCCCATGCGACGTCGTTGCCCGTGAACAAGCCCAAAGCCGTCGTGGTGGACGGTGATCCGGAGTCGAAGCGGTCGAACAAGCGCAGGAAGCCAAATAAACCGAAATCCGCAGAAACGCAGAAAATGGTTGACGATACTCCGAAGCAGTTCGCACGCCTCATGGCGTTCCAGCAAGGGAAGAAGTTGCGCAAGGGTCTCGATGACGGCAACGGCGGTAGCGCTCAGCGGAAAGAGAAGAAGACCAAGAGTAGAGACAAGCTGCCGGCCTCGGCGTCGGAGTCGGCGTCGGCAGAAGACGTGGTAGCGAGTGCGCATACATCTGAGTCTCAAATAGAGGAGGCAGGACGAGAGGAGGGACGAGTGCAGCAGCAAATGAAGATCCTCCCCGGGGAGCGCCTCTCGGACTTTGCGCTCCGAGTCGACCAGTCGCTGCCACTGAGCCAGGTACCCAAGCACAGCACCAAAAGCACGCAAGTGGTACCGGGCCTTAAAGAGAAGACGTATCTCACCAAACACAACAAACGACTGGCGAAGATGCAAACGCAGTGGCGGGAAGACGATAAGCGTTTCAAGGAGAAGCGGGAGGAAGAGCTCGAGGAGTTGGACGACAAGAAGGAGGAGGAGGGCTTGTTGTGGATGGGGGTCGACGAGGCCCGGAAGGGGAAGAAAGGGAAGAAGGCGAAGCGGGAGGGTGATATCTGGCGTGTGCTGGAGCGGCGGAGGAAAGAAGCGGGTACGTTTGGAGACCGAGGTGGGGGGCTGAACGCTGGCACTGCGGTTCAGGCGCCCCCGGTGCTGAAAGGATTGAAGAACATGTTTAAGGAGAGAGGCGAGGTGCGAAGTGGCCCCGTGGCTGCATGATCGAGCATCCGCGCGACAAATGCCAAGCACCAAGCACCAACGAAAGAACTGAGAAATTTCAATCCAGCATACTTGACTTGTCGCAATGGCATCGTCTTTCTAAATAACGTCTAGGGTATCATACTTCCAGATTGCGACGTCCTTCACATGTTCGCGGCTTACCTTGTTCACCTTCCGCCTCCTCACACTCTCCTCTTTGAACTGCTCCCCGTTATCGCAGATTGGCACCTTTTCGATCTTCTCTTCCCATCCTACAGCCTCCCATACCATGTCTCCGATACCAATATACCGCAACGTATCGTAGCCGCCGTTCGCTAGCAGCTTCGACAACTCCTCCGTCAAGTCATCCGAGTTCTGCCATGGCAGGTTCGGTGGCGTGTCCGAGCACCCCGGCTCAGAAACCATCTTGACCCGAAGTGCTCGCAGCTGTTTCAGGAACGGCATGAGTAGCTTCCAGACTTTGACGTCGTTGCATTCGATGCAGGCGCTCAACTGCGTCAGGCTCGGACACGATCGGATGAGCTTCGCAATCATAGCGGCGGACATGGACCACTTGAAAGGAAAAATGAGGTGTTTTAGGGTGTCACCTGCAGCCTTGCAGATCGTGTCGAGGTAGAGGTCCTTGAGACTCGAGCTACGCATTGACCCTGATATCGGCGTAGAGGTGCGAGAAGAGTCTGTGGCCGACCCGTCGGTCGATGAGTCGGGTCCTGTAGGGCTCTCATAGTCAGGCGGCTGTCCGTGTCGAGCATTCAGTAAGTAGATCCGCTCCAAACCCTTTCTGTGCAAAAATGATTTAGCGTGGCCACGGTGCAGCTGGTCCACTCTCCACATTTTCATGAGGGGAAAGAGTTCGTAAGGGCCTTCTACCCATGCCTGGTCAGTAAAATTGGTCTGCAAGGCTCCAGTCTCGTCCTCATCCTTGCCAAAGCAATTGATGCTCGTAAACTCTTCGACCAGTGAGACGTCGCATGCTCTCAGCAGAAGCTCGGTTTCTGGCTTGCCGTAGAGATTGTAGACACCCACTCGCTTGAGCTTCATTTTCCTGTCTGCCATGATGTTTCGACGCACTATGTGCGACAGTTGCACGCTTGGTTCGCCAGCGTCTCTCATTCTCGGAGAGAAATGTAATTGCAATTCCTCGAGGTCTTGGGCCTCGAATATCATCTTGGATATGTCGTCGGGATAGCATAGAGGGTCGTAGTCCGTGACAACGAGTCTCTTCAGATGTGGCATTGTTGGTATCTCGCATGTCGGCTGCGGTGCTCTGCTAGACGGGAAGCGGACATGTAGAGACTTAAGATCTTTCAGACGAGCTAGTCCTTGATATGTCGTGGGCAAAAGTCGAGTTTGCAATTTCCAGTAGAAACTCTGTAGCTCAGTGCACCTGTCCAGCGCCGCTCTTACACAGATGTTCAACATCATTGCATTCTCACTGACACGTCCAGCTCTTGAGCATCGCTCTAGTTCTGCGTCGCCCTCGCCGTACTCGCCCTCCAGCCCCAGGCTGCGCACGTGTTTTCCCGCGTTTGGATGTGTCACCAGAGCATTCAGGGCTACAGAGAAGGGGCTTGCGCCTCCCATTCCCTCTGGTGTCTCTTTAAACTCGCCATCACGATTTCGCTTTCTACTCCTCACTCCGTTGAAGCTTTGTAGGTGCACCCGCTTCCACAGCACTGGCAGGGCCATATAATACAAGACGCGTGAGGTTGCACACAGCGCTGCAAGACTGGCGGCATCGTCCTCTATGAAGGTCAAGATATGCGCGATCAGGTTCAGAGGAATAAACTCGGCACGGCCGATCAGGATGGAGCCGGGCACAAGTGAAGGGAGAGAAGGAGCGAAGCTGCCACCGGCGCCACCTAGTACTGATATGTTATACGGTGTTGGTGGATCGCGATGGGGCTGGCCCGCAGAGCCAGCGCGCGGGTGATCATACATTCGGAGCGCAGGCAGTGGGATGTGTCCTAGTTGTGGAACACCGGCGGCCGCTGTCGCGTGCGCATTCGCGCGGCTCAATTAGCGGTGAGCATCGGGAGGCGCAGGTTGGTCAAACGTCCGATATGATGAGTATCACAAGTTTCGCGAAGTTTGATGAGTTCAGTCTCCCGATGTCGCACTTTTGTTGTGAGGTCGGCGTAGGGACCATGCAGTGGAGTGCGGAGCGGAGATTACGGTGTACTTTAGAGTGGTGTGACGCAATACCTCCGCTCCGCCACGCGTTTGGTGGAGAAGAAATGCATGGGATTATTGAAGAGGTAGCTCCACTTGGAAATCCCAATCTAACGGCTAGCTGTTGCATGTTGGCCCGAGCAGACCCCTAAATGCGCAGCAATTCATCAACGCACGCGCATCCATGGAGTTGTTTCTGGGTACATGATTTCAAGAAACCGACCATGAGGTTGAGCTACCACGGGTCACGGCGGACATCAACCTAACAGATGGTGGGCTTCCGCTGGAAGTGTACTGGGAGATCCTGACACGTCGATAGCGTTAAGAGCGAGAGAGCATTTCTCAAACAGGAAAAGCCAGTGGATTTTTGAACCTACAGGTAGTAGAAATACAGCCTTGCAGCGTGGTCCCATATCACTCTCCCTGTGGTAGCCCCCAACACCGTTGTCTCTCCTTACGCAACCACTGGGGCTCGGTCACTCGTTGACTCTGCCACACCTGGCTCCTACTGATGCTCCTGTTCTGCTCTGTCGCTCTCACCACCTCATTTTCGTTTCAGCTGAACCGGACCGTGCCTTTGGCAGGCACTACATAACCCTGAGATCCCCGCCAAAATCGCAGCGACAGGCATCATTCACCCGTCGCTTGTGACACGAGACACCCGTGTCGCTATTTCGCCCATCATCGCATGAGTCTCATGCCGTCAGAAACATCATGATTTCGCGAGACTTTCGCAAGAGATACTAGTAGGGGCCTTTCTAGGTTCTAATCGCGGCTCGTCCAGACCTCCTGTTCTACTAGATAGATGGCACCTACTATTAGCCGTTCGGTCAGGCAAACGTGGTCGGCAAGCTGGAGGTTTTTGTCAGAGACGAACGAGTCATTGCACCAGGGGCCGACAAAATCAAGGAGCGACCTCTCCGGACTCACAGCATGGCGTTTGGGTGTGATGGTCTGCCATGACTTCCAAGCGCCTTTTCATCGGAGCGATCGACCACTGGTGTTTAATACTCAGCGAGCCATATGATAATCTAACACAGGCACTGTCGCCTGCGTTTACTCCCCTGGAGTCGCCGACGCCTCAGCGTCGGACCATCCGACCCTCCACCCTACAATTACCACAACTTTCCACTTCGCCCCCCGCACTTTCATAGAATGGATCTTGTGCTCTTTTTCACATCATCCTGACTTAGAATGTCCGCTACATCAATCACTCCCGCCGTCATTCTTGCAACTAGATGCTGGTACGATTCACTCGAGCATGTAGACCCCCACTTCTGCTTGCTTCGGCCCATACCACAAGCTGTACTGCAAATCTGCACACCCATGAACCCTCCACTGCGCATTCGACGTTCCACCTTGCCGGCTGGCTCAACGTCGCCCTTCCTTCGCCGCTTCTGCCATAAATCGTCCAAGTCATTCAGTCCCTCGCCCGGTCCGTCAGCATGGATGATGGCATGGCCAGAGGCGTCACGATAGCCTAAGTCAACATCATGGACTCCCATCCAACAGCCTTGCTTCAACGATTTGTGTCTGATCTTGACGTACCTATTTGGCCGATTGATCGTTCCGCCCGTACGCATCCTTAACGACATGCCCTTCGCCAGGCGCGCCTCCAGTTCGTAGACGTTGCCGGCAGGAAAGCTAGCAGCGGCTACCTTACTATATCGGTGACGAAGCCTTTACTGCATCCAATATCGAAAACATATCTTAGAGAGGCAGCAAGCGGTGCGTGGTAGGTGCCTAGCTGGTCACGCGATTCAAATAGATCGGCCATAAGTTGCGGTTGATAGTCGAGACGCGCTTTATCCAGCACCGCTTGCTGAGGAGCTAATATTTATGTGCCAGCTCAGGGCTGGTGATCATCTCTGGGGTGAAGAAGACTTGCTCATTCGGCAACACATAGACAGCGAGCGTCCTTCAAGACTGCTACTCGAGTCCATAACCTTCATCACTTTATTCCCTTCATTCTTATGATCCATCCCTGACACCGCCGCCAGTTTTCCAATGCCTCTGGATTTGCTTGCCAGTCCTATATGATAGCTCCCATTGACTTACTCGAGTTTCCAAGAGGCATACTCTGGAATATTGCTCGACAGAAACCCCAGACCAGCTGAAGAGACGAAAATTGGCTAGCTTCACCAAGAGACACACCAGGGATTGTCTTGAGGACCGCCTGAGGTCGCGTATTCTCGCATTCAGCTGAGACTTACCTCTATTCTCCTGCCCACGCCGCTGCGAGTGCTCAACGATGCGGCCATTGCCAAGAAAGGCAGACGCCTATTTGGTTGCCGACTACACGTACATCTGCCAGAGAAAAGTAAACCTGCTAAGATATTTCAGGGGTGTTCGGGACGTCAATTTCATGCATTTGTATGAGTTTGCGACCTTTCACGGCATTTCAACTGCCTAGGAGGGCCAGATGGGGCGGTTCAGGAAGGTTTAGGCCCAGCACAGAACCAAGAGCATGTGTGCTTCTAGCAGAAACCAGGTAGATCATGCCGTCAGAAGGGAGACTGTGCTTTGAAGTTCTGTAGGGAAAAGCAGAGCCGAAAGTAATGTCAGTTGTGCTTTGTTAAGCCAACCTCTATCAATGAGTAACACACTTCAGCGCCCGTGGAGCGGCAACGACACCATCGAGCCCCCAGTCCGTTCGTGGTAACGGCAAGCAAAGCTCGACCAGCGGAGGATCTTCACCAGCCTTGCCCAGACATCGGATTCCAGTCTATCGCAGCCCAATCCAGTTGATCCATGTCTACGTCTGCCATCGGTTGTCCTAGGAAGTCGGAGTATGGCCCAATAGCTGCACCAGATGTCTGCCCCGGTTTTGCTACTGGTAGTTCCTGAGTACCAGAGCTCTTCTGTAGCCTCTGCTTGGCGTTTCGAACAATCCAAGGAAGATCCGATGGCAGGTTGGACTTAATACGCACCATCTCGCAAGATTCCCACGCTTGGAGCGTCAGCTTGGCGAATATTGCGAATATGGGGCTCTCGTGGTCCAGGTCGGTGAAGCGAGACTCATAGTTATCACTCATAACACTCCAAGCTTGCTGCACAAGTTTCCCGGTAGGTCTTCGAGCGAGTTCTTGGGCAATGTTCATGTAGGCAGGCAGCGGAAAGTATAGATGCACTAGCCAAAGGTAGCCTTTGGTCAGGGGGGACGTCACGAGTTTGGTGTCGGACCTGAGCATATCAAGAGCATATGATATGGCAGTGTCGCGTTGCTCGTCCGGCTGATGCGTCGATAGCGTGGCATGCCTATCGTAATACTCCATCAGGCGGGCTTTGGCAATGGCTGCCCGTGTCATCCAGATCGTCATGAAGTGAAGAGGGTTCTCAGGATTGCATAACCGGAATCGCTCTTCGACTGCATTTTCAAAGGAAACCAGCCCAGAATCCTGAGGATCCTTGGCTATGGCTTTTAGAGAAGGGCTGGTATAGTTGAGATGGAAGTGGCTATGTCGGATAAGGTCACCAAGTTCATAACGCACAAGCACGAAGAGAGCCTCAGTCAGCTGATTGTGAGACGTTGGCAGGCTCTTCATCTCTCGTCGGAGATCGAAGTCATTGACGTTGAGAGGGCGCTTGCAGTCCCATGTCGGATTCAAGATCGATGCCTTGAAGTCAGATAACTCGCATATGCGGTTGTCGAAGGTAACGAGTGCCCACCACAGCCGTCGGCGCATTTCAGCCTCGAAAGGTGCAAGTCCGGCGTACGATGCTTCATTATGGAGCCGCATACGCTGTGCAATACGGACTGCCACACCTAGCATTGGAGAGACAGCACGGGGATCGATGCTATCGGGGCGTAACGAGACCTTTGGGCATTAGCTATTCAAGTTGGGATTGGCGGTAGACATCTAGTATGAGACTCACCAAGTAGAGAAAGAACGCCGTGAGAGAGTCTAGATTTGTAGAACGAAGCACTCCACAGTTGATAAGAGCTTGCTGGCAGCCAAATTGATAAGTGCGGAGGAGTTCCTTCTTGGGCACGCCAAATAGTGAGTTGCTGTCGAGGCTTACGATTGAGACACAGTAGATGCCGAACATGAGAGCTTCCAAGGGTGCTGAGATGTTTTTCATGTCGCTGGCGGCCTCGATGATGAGGGGTTGGAGTGAGGGCGTGTGAGTGGCTTTAAGGAGGGGATCGACGTTCTCGAGATAGACCTGCCATAGCTTGAATATTTGGACCTGGCTAGGATGCGCCGCTTGGAAATCGATCTCCCTCCGCGGGCCAAACAGGAGCTGGTCGTTGCTTTCGTGAGCTTGGTCCCATGCGTTCAGTCGAAGACTCTCGCTGACATCATTGTGGAAGGGACTTTCGGACTCTTCATCACTGGCTTCTGAAGGCTGCACACTTTAGCCAGGGCGGGACAAACCTACGGGCGACATTACCTGGGCCATGGCTTGCCAAAAACTCCTGGGACCATTAGATGCGCGTCGATGCTGGACAACAGGACATACCTGGCGTCGTAAACGGTCTCGGAAGTCTCTTGGGAGTCAGACTCTTTTGGCGGGTCCTTAGTAAGTTGATGGAGAGGCTCGAATTTGATTCCATGTTTTTGTAGAAGACCCTCATATTTGCCGAGTCGGTCCAAGAGCTCGCGTTCAGGAAACCTAGGACGCCGCTGGCGGGGCACCAATGCAGCGGGGACGCAATGCGCCCCAGCTTTGGTGCAGTTAGCACACGGAAATGTGCGATCGCACTTGACTTTTCGCTGCTGGCACAGTGTACATGCGAGGACCCGTTGCGGTCTCGTAGAGCGTGACTCGGAAGTCGACATGATTGCAAAATTGGTCGGGGCTGAATAAAGAACGAACTCGAACCGTTCTGGACCTCTTGGTCACCGATTCGGGGGCTTGAAGCGTCCGAGCTACGCAAGCGTCATTGCCAAGACAATCAAACTAAACCCTTTAGAGCCCGTATCCTGACCGGCAATTGTGAGGCTGCACATCCAAGGGAATGTACGGCAGGTGTCGCCGTAGATGCAGCATTTGCCAGCATGTATACCTATGGTCCCTTCATGGTAAAGTGCTAACACGAACTGCTCAGCGAAGTGTTGTAGGGACAAAGTTAGGGACGCTTCCCCGTGCTAAAGTAAATTGCTTCCGCTAAATAGCCCGTTATCCATCGTCTTTGTATGTACATGCTATACAAAAAATCATTACTGGATGCATCGGGAAAGTTGTGTTCCAATCTATCGCTGTTGCTAAAGTCCATCAGATTTTCTGAAAGGGCTTTGCAGCGAACTCTCTGCACACTCACCCTGATCCCAGTACGGCACTGGCTTCCTCACACAAATCCACAAGTCCCATCTCCAAACAGTAGCCCCAAGGTAGATAACAGATTCTTCGTCTACCGTCGAGGTTGACTCGTCTCTGTGTGTACTAGGTAAATACTAGGTCATCGTGCTGCTGTCTAGCAGACCATTTTTACTAGTGTGCAGTCTCCTGTTTCTATAACGTTGAGTGTGCAAGTTATCATCCACACAAAAGATACTAGACTGACAACGACAGAGAGGATGGCACACTTGAATAAAGTTGTTAGTCCGGCAACGTCTTGGATATGCGTAGAGTGGTGGCGGATTCGAGTCTGCATGCGATCATTAAAGCTGGAATAGTATGGGTCAGCTCCGCCTAACTAAATCAGCGGGTCGAAACTGATGCGATGCCGGCGCACATTGCGTTCAAGGTTTGAAACAACTTGGGGGTGAAGAGTTGCACCTCTGGAGCACGTGTGTTTCGCATGTACACACACTTACCTACCATATACCAAGGTTGCACCGAAAGGCTCCGTAGCGCTTATAGCTACACTTCTACCACCACTCTGAGCTAGGTGCACTATTTCAGCGGGTGTGCCCTGTAAGTTCCTAACTGTTGTGCCCGAGAAGTTGTATCCCAGACGCTTGGGGCTGGCTCTAGGTATGCTTCTAACCTTGACTATTCAGTGTACTTGATATAGCGCGTACACATGAAAGCTTCTCTACTAAACTCAATGTTACCTAGCAGTGTCGCTAGTAAGTACGCGTGCATGCAAAGACTGCGTGCTCTAAGTAAGGACGTAAGCTGAGAGAAACTTCGGGCTGAATTCAAGCTACGTACCAGTGGAGGGTAGGAGGTAGATATGGTCACGAACATCAACTACCTAGTACACTTCATAGAAGCTCACCATGGTACCCTGAGGGTATGTCGCATCACATAATGTTACTGCTGCTGTGTATATAGAACCTCTACTACCACCACCCAAGAGCTGGAGCTGTTACTGAAGACTACCTAATCGTCTTCCCTCTTACATGTGTACTAGGTACTCTTCTCTTTTACTGGGCTGTACAGGTACAGTATTTATTAATAACCTTGGTTTTAAACACAAGGAATAATGTCATGTTGTGGTGTTCTTGTGGCTCTGTTTGATTTCATCTAAGGTTGTCTAGGTCTATTGCATCACGTATGCAGTATTCGTTGATCATATACTTCAGAGTAATACACAGCAAAATTAAGTACCTTATGGACTCATCTACTAGCCCTGAACCAAGAACTACGGGTTTACTAGCTCATGGGTACAGGTTACCTACAGATGCCCTCAGTCTTCCCCAAGAACCTTCGTGGAAGGCCTGCCAGTGCTCTCGGTGTCACTTGTTGTTCTAAAGGTACCTAGTTAGGTACAACCCCGCTATTCGACGACCCAACACGAGCAGAGGTAGATATGTACTACCTAGTAAGCTGTCAGGTTCAGCATCAATGGGCGGTCGGAGAGAATGCGTAGCGTCACGAATCTGTGCAAAACAAGAGTCATTCATGAGTCCGCTGATCTAAATACAACGATCGGTCATCGCTCGTTTGCCAGACATTGTTAGCTCACGAGCGGACTTTCTCTTCATACCAGGCGTCGTACTAGGAGTTCCATCAGGGTCGACATCCTTCGCCTGCAAAAGCTCAAGCTGCTTCTGAATTCATGGTGAGGCGTTGGCCAGTGTCTTGCGGCCATCTCCCTGCCTCCGAAGCTTATCCCGCCCTTGTTGCCACTTCATGGTTGCCCGTGCTTCTTCTGCCTTGATCTCTGTTGTTTGGCGTTGAATATAGGCACTTTCAGTCTCGCTATGTTGACGCAAGAGGGTGATAGTTGTGGCTCCATCACCATCAAGAACCATCTTGCAAGCCAGCATCTCGGCAAGGAACTTGACATCTTGTCTGTCAACTCCAAAGCCAGTAACGGTACAGTCCCTATGACAGTCCCGGCAAATTTCAGGTGGGCCTTCAGCACATTTGGTGGGGCAGGGTGCAGGTTTGTTGAAGCCGTTGTGAAATAAGAAGTGAGCGGCGGGTCCCTGACAGGCTTCTGCTTCACAGGTATAGCGATTTTGCCATATACCATGGTCAACCATATAACCACAGTCAGCCCACGATGGCAGGTCAGCGTCATCACCACAGAGTGCTGCTACCTCGCAGCAATCCGGGGCCTGACAGTGAATCATGTTATTGTCCCGCGCAATTTGCCACTCAGTGGCATGAGGACCATAAAGCGTGGCGACGCGGGAGCATTTGGTACAGAAAGATTTGCTACGTGCTTCGTAGTTAGAGTCTGTATAAGCACGATGGCCATCGCAAAGTGTGGCAGGCTGCGCACAGTGTTTGCAGGGCTGAGAGCGAAGTGGACGTTCGTCAAGCAATGCGCGACGCTGAGGGCTGATGGGAGGCTGAGAAATGACCGGATCGCGATTGCTGGTCGAGCATCGACAAGTTCTAGTCGACTATTGACAATTGTGACATTGTAGATGTCCATCGCTATCACTGAGCGAAGCCCTTGTAGGGGAATCAGTGACATACAAATTGTCGCGACCTGTCTGCCTGCTAGGCTCAGTCATTGTTTCCACGCACTGCTTACAATACTTAGCGACACTAATGGTTTCTTTCTTCTGACTAAGGTAATACAGCTTTAACACTAGGTTGGAACCAGGTCCAAGCTGGTTGTGTGGCTTTACGAGTTGCTGTGTTCTTGATCGTCCTCGTGTTCATTTGGATTATAGCTAGTCCCTATATAGCGACAGGAAGGTTATTGTTACTATTGACCTATATCGAATGTCATATATGACCAGTGGGAGTGAGGAGGTGTTAAACCTTTGCCTGAGGGCGGTAATGAACGACAGGACTGATACCGAGTGCCTAATTTGCTGGGGAACAAATCATCAGTCCACCAAGAATGTAGATAGTGTGTACTGGGTGTAGAATGTACGAAGTGGAGGTGTCCCACGTTGGTCCTCCTAGACGAATGAGCGTAGACCACGAGGTGCTGCTGACGTTGTCGACTCCGTAGCCATGAATCGCGTGTCCTAGTCTGATGCAGCCTGCCCTGAAACCGTCCTTGTTTGCTTCACGAACCACTTGTTCCATCGCCGCCTTTGTTGCGGCATAGCAGGTATTGAAACTTTCCGGAGGCGAGTCTATCTCTCGTGGCTCTGCGTTAGGGATGATCTGGGCGAAATTGGTGGGCTGTAAACACCACGGCGAGATGAAAAACTTCATACGCTGCAGAGCGACAGTGAAGAAGTCGCTACAAAATAATCAAAACCGGCCCCTTTGGCAGTATCGAGAACATTGCAGGCGCCCTGGACATTGATGCCCCATGATCGATTGAGATGTCTGTCTTGATGTAAACGAGTTCCGAGGCCTCAGGGCGAGTCGGAGCTGTTACCTAGTATGTCGAATATACGAACCGCCGAAGGTGCTTCTCCGCGCCAGAGTAGGTGTTGCACGATCCAGCTTCCTAGAGGACCTACAGAGGTTAGCTATGACGAGCGACCTCTGAGCCACCGACCGGTTCCACCAACGACCACATATCGACGGTTCTTCTTTGTCGGTAACAATGGTCGCGAAACTTGCTCGTCGGTGCGGGCGTGCTTATTAGCTTCGAGGATCTCCTCTTTGGTCCAGCGGTGGGGCGCATGTCTTGCCACTTCAGGGGAACACCTCTCTAAAGACTATTGAAGGTGCCAAGCATACGGGGCCAGGCGTAGAATGCCCCCAAAACGACTAATAGCGCATTCATGGTCGTTGGTTGAGCAATGTAGCACGGAAGACAATTGTGTGGTCGGAAGCGGGGAGATCACAATACCGGCCCGAGCAGTTAATATCTCACGGCGTGCGAGGCTCGCGGAGTGCGGCAGAAGACCGAAGATCACTGCATCTGACATCTTTTGGAGTACAGACCCACGGACCCGTGGCAGAGTGACCAGACACGCGACGAAAATAAGAGTCAAGGTCTTATTCAGAGATCAATCCAGGGGTCTCGGGCAGCCTGAGGCGGGGCTGATAGCGTTCCATGGTGGTTGGGTTGCGAGCCTGCCCACCACAGATCGTACACAGGAATCCAAGTCGCCTCTCCCTGATAATCACGATATATCGGATTCAGCCAGCTGCTCAGTCTCCCCACCGATGCTCGAGCGCCAATGCTGCAATCACCGCGGCCCCAACCCCAGACCCGTCCTCTGCCGAAGTCATGGTGATGGGAGTTTCGCCATCTTGCCAATCGAGAATCTCACCCAGAGCCTCCGACCATCGGTCCTTGAATTTGGGATGCTTGTTCGCAACGGACCCGTCGGCAGCAATATGGCCCTTCTTGATGCCCGTCTTCATGCAGATCGCCCCTACTCCGCAAGCGCACAGCCGTGCGCCACGGACAGTTACCGTCTGTGCGAGATGCTGAAGCGCAGCTAGCTCCTCCTTTGATGGCTCGACGCCGAGTATGTCCTTGAACTGCTTCAAAGAGTCCTTCTGGCCTGGAGACTCGTCGTTCTCTAGTCCCGAGAGAAAACCGGTATCTAGAATATACGGTGCCTGCAATTTTGATATGTCCTGATTCTGCAAGATTACACCCTGCTCATGCAGATCTAGCAGAACGAGTCGGTAAATTTCTCCTAGATAAAGGCCAGCGCTCATCTTCTCGAAAGCCTGCTCGCCGGGCCTAGGTGACTGGGCATCGATTTGCTTGTCGTACTGTGTTCTAGGCAGAACCTTGTGATCGTTATCGAAAGCACCATACTCACAGTTGATGGCCATGCGTCCGCCCGAAGGTGCATGCTTCAACTTCGGAATCGAGAATGTGTTCTCCATGTAGGCGGCATTGCATCCCGTGCCGAAGATTGCTCCTATTATGGTCTCGCTATCGCTGTAATGAGAAGCAATCAAAGCACCTGTTGTATCGTTGACTAACGCTACAAGCTTCACAGGCAACTTCTATAGCGTGTCAGAGAGATATTGGGCACTGGAGGTTGCGTACCTTCTTCTGCATCGCATCTTTCAGCTGCAAAACTACGTCTTTGCCCTCAACACCTTTGATGTCGAAGCCCTTGGTCCAAGTTTGCAACACACCGTGATCAATCTTGTCTTGTGAAGCAGGGTATGAAAATGTAAATCCAAGCGGTAAGGGATCCCCCTGGGATCCGTCTAGGTTCTGGTCTCTGATGAACGCCTCTAGTGAGCCCGCCACAAAATCCCACAACTCCTCTGCATTGCCGGATTTGATTCCATCTCCGACTTGATACTGCTGCTGCTTGATCTTAGCGTCAACACTACCGCCAGTAAGGGTAATCCAGCAGATTCGGATGTTTGTTCCGCCAAGATCGATGGTCAAGAATGACCCAGTCTCCTTGCCAGTGGGGAGAGCCTGCACCCAGGTGACATTCATTGGGATATTGCGGCCATTCGCAGCAAGTCCATCCTCGAGTTCCTCCTGGAAACGTTGACATATCTCTTTGAGCGTTTTCTGATTCACCGAGAAGAGCTGATCGAGCCTTTCGATAGCGTCTGCGAGATTAGTCGATACTGATCCCATAGTCTTCGGATGCGGGTTAGGGGTGCAGCGAGTGTGCGGTGTTGATCCTGTGTTGACCGAGTCCAGGTTGATGGTACCTAAATCTGGGCCTAAGAACTTACCTCGGATAGACTATCCTTCCAAATCATAGTGACGTCAGGCCCTTCTGTCCGTTCGAACGCGATGGGCCCAATAGTGGTGCTCGAGAGGCAGCATTTGCGTCAATATGTGCGGGTCAAGACATTTAGCCTGCGTAAATGCCGTGCTTGGCAAATTGAGGCTCAAATGCTCCGAAGCAGATAGACGAATGATGGTTCTGGGATAGCCAAGACGGACCTCTGGGCCGGAAGGTTTTCTGATAGGTACTCTATGTAGACGACTCCTTATAATTTTGCCTTCCTGCGTTGCCTCCATTCACGCCTGTAGGTACATCAGCAATGAGCTCGAGAGCCATTGAAGCCAACGCACCTGAAAAAGCTGGACCTACCTCTCGCGCCCGAACTTGCTGGGAGGAGATGGCTTATTGTCGAGAATCTCTTCGATCTCCTGCATAGTCTTGTCATCTAGCTTCTCGAGCAGCTTGATGGCCTTGCAGTTGTCTTCAATCTGCTCGACCTTGGTAGCACCCAAAATGACAGTGCTGACATTGGGGTTCTTGGCAGCCCATGCGAGAGCCAGCTGGGTCATATTGCCTCCGAGTCTCTCAGCAATCTTGGTGAGCTTCTTCACCTTCTCAATCTTGGCCTTGCCCTCAGGCTTCTGTAGCGAGGCAACTGTGCTGTCAAAAAATTCCTTGTGGTTTGCGAAGCGAGAGCCTTCGGGAATTCCATCGTTGTACTTGCCGGTCAGGAGGCCAGACGCGAGAGGTGACCAAATTGTAGTGCCATACTGGAACTGCTGGTAGAGAGGGGCATATTCAACCTCGAAGCGTTCGCGGTGGAAAGCATTGTACTGGGGCTGTTCGGCGATAGGAGCAATCAAGTTGTAGCGTTCAGCGATCTGAGTGGCCTCGAGGATCTGAGACGCAGACCACTCGGAGGTGCCCCAGTAATAGGCCAGGTTGAGGTTGCGAATGACCTGAGTAAAGCCTTCAACGATCTCCTTCATAGGAGTGGCGTAGTCGGGTCGGTGAGCGAGGACAATATCGACATATGGCTGCTGCAAGCGTTCGAGCGACGACTTGAGGCCCTCGACCACGTGCTTCCGCGATAAACCGCGAGTGTTTGGTTCCTTCCTGCCCGTGCCAAAGAAGATCTTGGTGGACAGAACATACTCGTCACGAGGCCAGTCCAACTCCTTGAGAGCATTTCCCATTTCAATTTCCGACTCACCATTAGCGTAGGTCTGCGAAAGTCAGCACAGGTCAGGTCCGTGGGGCGACCTGACGTACCTCGGCAGTGTCGAAGAAGTTGATGCCATGATCCCAGGCCGTCTGCAGGCATTGCTTGACGATATTGCCTTTCTGAGTACCGCCGTACGTCAGCCAACCTCCAAGTGAGAACACGCTGACCTTGAGACCGGTTGGTCCCAGGTGGCGGAAGACCTGCAGCTGTCAGTGAGAGACTAATGGTAGACGGGAAAGCCTTACCATATCCTTGGGATCAAACATCGATCGGACAGCCATTGTGGATGGTGGATTCGAGTGTAGTGGCGGGTTCAACAATAATTATGCCTTGGTAGAGTTCAACTTGGGTATGCCGTTTGGGAAGGGTCGATTTGAGGTGTTGATCTAGAAGAAGGAATTGCTTAAAAATCAAAATCGAAAAGTCTAGCGGTGACAGCTTGAAGCAGGCTGTAGCTTGATGACGTTCGGGAAAATAGGAATACTACCTACCGACTGAGGGGCCGGGGGTTCAAGGTGGGGCTGCTTTGGGGAAGCTAGCAGCATGCGGAGTTATGCTGTCTTAAAATCCGAGCTGCCGTTTGTTCGTGTCCTCCGTCTACCCTTACAGCCTCGCCTTCGCTGAACGCAGAGAGTTGGTCCGGTCAAAGACATCCTCTGCTTCTCGCTCCATCCTCTTCGCCAGCTCTTTGCAGCTAGGCACATCATGAATCAGCCCTGCACACATGCCGAGGCTCCAGACGCCCGCATCCACATCGCCCGTCTTGTAGACACCTTTACCTCGCTGCCCGCTCATGAGATGGGCCACATCCTTGAACTCGACGTCCTTCTTTGAGTTCTCAATCTCAAAGACCTCTGTGCTGACTTTGTTTTTGTGTAGACGCGTGGTATTCCTGAATTTTCTCAGCACCAATACCGTATCGTTTTCCGTCGCCTTCACGATAGCCTCCTTAACTGCCTCATGGATTGGAGCCTCTTTTGTGGCCATCCATCTCGTGCCCATGTTCACACCAGCCGCTCCCAGGGCCAGAGCGGCTGCTACTTGTCGTCCGTTGGCGAATCCACCGGATGCCAGGTATGGGATCTTCAGCTGCTCTGCACACAAGGACAGTAGCATGAGCGAGGTTGTATCATACTCGCCGCCATGACCGGCGCACTCAATGCCATCTATCGAGATGCAATCCACGCCAAGCTTCTCCGCTCTCAAGGCATGCTTCAGCGTCACGCACTTGTGGATGACCTTGCAGCCATTGTCCTTGACGTATTGGAGGATCTTACTGGGATCTCCGGCCGTTTCAATAACCCTGATCCCTTCTTCGACTGCGACCTTTGCATACGCTAAATAGTCAGGCTTGTTGATTGCTGGTAGCAGTGTGATGTTGACGCCGAATTGCACGGCATTAGGCTCAAGCATCGACCGGCATTTGCGAATTTCTGCCCGCAGCGCCTCTGGCGTGGGTTGAGTGAGTGCCGTAAGAAAGCCCAGGCAGCCAGCATTGGCAACTGCAGAGATGAGCTCTGCTTTTCCAACCCACATCATGCCGCCCTGAACCAAGGGCACTTTGACCCCAAGCTCAGTAGTGAGCCAAGTATTAAGCGGCATGATGACCGATTTGCTGGGCTGTGCGATGTGACTATTCAAGGAGGGATTTGATCCCTTTCCGATAATCTCAGGATCGACGAGACCGTGAGAATGACGGACGGAGGGTTTCTTAAGAGCTTACAGTGCTGCGGTGACACTGAGATGGTCTTACGGCCGTCTGAGGTAGATAGCCGGGGGGGAGCGTGGCACCCCACATGTGCCGAGGTATCTGCTTTCACTGCCTGGTCTAAATCTCACCCTCCTCTCTAAATTTGTCCAACACCTTGAACAATGCATTTTATTGCGCGTTCGGGCCAAGGAATGGTTTCCTCGGCTGCCCACCCATGTCGGAAGGACAAAATCTCCATGCACCTTTATGCGTACGGGCAAACCAGTACTTCACCACCGCTATGAGTATCCAAGGCACGTCGGGAAACTTATGCTTGCCCCCTTCAAATGTCACATCGTTGCATCCCAGGGCGAATGGGAATTGTTCGTCTTTCGTGGCGGCCGCTGCCGCTGCATTGACCCCGTCTCTGAATGTGGCAAGGATCTTGTCGCCATCGTACTTTCGCATCGCCAAGATCGAATCAATCTCACTCGTCAAGTGCTGCACCAGAATTGGTATGAACTGGTCCATGATGGCCAGTAGGTCCTCGCTTCTGTATGCCTGTGACTCGGTGTTCTGAGTGTACTGCTTTAGCTGGTGCAGTCCTTCCTCGAATGTCTTGTGCTCTTCGATGTTCTCATTCATCAGATCGGGAGTATTGGAGGCTTTGACCCACATGGGGAAAATGATGTCTTCTTCAGTTTTGTGGTGCAGACTGATCTCACTGACAAAGGCTTGACAAAAGCGCAGGAAGTCCTTGATGTCTCGAGGCTCGCTGACGTATGGAGCATAGTAGAAAATGCTGTTGATGGCACGGATGAAGCAGTTGTGTACGAGCGTCATTTCGACGGCGCATGCGATGGCGCCATGCTCTTTGGAGTCCAGGTCCGGAGTTGAGATCAATGGCAGTGGCTCGCGATGTCCTTCTCGGGGAGACATGTTTGTATCGTGCAATGACCGCGACATGATAACCACATCGCCATTCCGGCGAGCTCTGTTATATGGCTTGAAACGCTAAGTCCAAGCTCGTTTAGGTAACCAAAAAGGGTGGAAATCTGGCGACGCCATACGCAAGGCCACCCATTGAATAAGCAGGACCGTGTCTTCTGTCATACCTACCTATTAAGTCGGTAGCTACCTATCCAGTAGTCACCAAAAACCAGGAAAGTTGTGTGCTACTGCTTGGAGACTCGGTCTACTGATTGGTTCTATCAGCCTTGGCTGTGCGAGAGGACGAATGGGCTGGATCAACAAACCCGGCACATAGCATTCCTCTGGCCGCTCGTCAGGGGCACGCTGTCGCTTCCTTCGCGAAAGCGAGTGTCCGTCAGACTCAAATCCTAGACATATCCGGCATGTTCATAGGAGCCGGCTGGGCAAATATGCGGCTTAAGAAAGTCTTGGCAGCAGGTCCCAAGGTATCAAACGGTAGCATTGAGTCAGCAGTGCCCCCATTTCCACCCTTGGTGAGCCTTCGCGTTAAACAGCAGAGGCGATCGCCAGCGTGATGCTCTTGCTGATCTGTGCCCTAGAAATGAGCCAAATAAAGCACCGAGGCATGCACATGTGTAGGTATGTCCTGGCAGAGATGAAATAGTGAACGCATATCAGTCTTGGCTATTCAGCGCGAGCCATGTCGCAGGACGTGGCTGATCATACGGTGTAGTCCAGCGCAGTAGGTAATTGACACCCGAAGCCGCCACAGTCGCTATGTAGTAAATGGCTAGGAGACGGCAGGTCATCAACCTCGTCTACAATAAGCGCGGAGGGGCTGGAGGATCGGAAGTGCTGCATAACAGAGGCTGCGTGTTATTACAGTCGAGCGCTGGCCATGCAGCTCTCGGGTGGGAGCCATGTGACTGCTTGATCAGTCGTAGCACCTGACTGCGCCGGTATAACGTATTGTTACGCATGTGGCAGGCTGAGGCAGAGACAGATGTGACAGTGTCAGTGCATTATTGAGTTCTGGCCCGCAACGCGTTCGATGGTCGACCAAAGTAGCTCTGCTCAACCTCTCTGCCATCATTTGCGCGGTGTCGACTCCGTCATCGCTTGACCATAGCTGGCATTGGCGCGTCGTTGATGACTCAATGAACCGGGAGCGGGAGTCTGGCCAAGGATTGGTTGGGCCCATTGTCGAGGTGGGTCTAATGAATGGTCTTGATTGGGTTCAGACTCCCAAGGCAATTAGCGACAGGAGACGCTAGCAAAAGCTACAAAACGCTAGTCCAACGTGGGCGCTCAGCGCCAAATCAGGGGGCAGTTCTCAATCAACCAGTTGATGGCTCTGCACTTCTTCGCCCTCGAGAGGAAGAGAAAACAATGTGGTAAAGAGAATGGTGAGAAATGGGTTGTGGTCATTTGGAATTGTCTAACGTACTCATTTTGAGCATCACAGCCATGAATTCGTTATTGGACAGAACCCGATTAGTTAACAGTAATGTTGGTAGTATATCCAGAACCAAAATCCCCTTTGTCTACATTTGTGACCAATACCCCTTCAATATGGACAAGACGCTTACAGCATCATGGCGAGACCAGCCAGAGCGATGGCACCAGCACCAGCGGCACCCTTGGAAGCAGCACCAGTGTACTCGCCGACAGCGGGCTTAGTTGGGGTGTAGGAGACCGGGGCAACGGGGGTGGAAGAGACAGCGATGCTGGTCTCAACCCACGAGGCGGCAGAGGTAGCAGAAGGCGCAGGCACATCGGCCCAGGTAGAGGAAGCCGCGGAAGAAGCCACAGGGACCTCAACCCATCCAGTCGAGCTGGAGGCGGCAACGGGGGTGGTTGAGGAAGAAACGTCCTCCCAACCCGGGGCGGTGGTCGAGGTGACCTTGACTGGGGCGCTCGTGGTGGTTGTGACGTCCTCCCAAGTAGCGGCGGGGGTGGTGGTCGAGGTGACCTTGACGGGAGTGGTAGTGGTCGTCGTCGTGACGTCCTCCCAGTCGGCCTGAGTGGCGGGGGCAGCGGCCGCAAGGGCGACGAGGCTGGCAGCGATGAAGAACTTCATTTTGATTATTGGTGGATTTGGTTGTTTGGTTAAGCGAATGACTAGAGTTGGACTCTGTGATGCAGCTGATTCGATGAAGCGAGTGACTGATGGAGGAAGGAAGACAGAGGGATCTGGGAGCAGGACTTGTCTTAAATGCTCTGCCGTGTGCCACCCAGCGAATGTTTACTGGGCTAGTGTCACCGGGTAAGGTACACTGGTTAATTTCCACTGTGGTAGTGCTCGCTCTGGTATCAGTCGGTCTGGTTACGGCGAGTGCTGGTCCGGACCCATCTTCGAGGCCGCGCTAGTGGCTGAAGTGGCGTTGAAATTGGCCAACCCGGTAGCGCACCTAAAAATGGGCTGCAGGCAGTGACCCAACGTAGCCGAGATGGGAGCTATAGTTCTGGACCAACGTTGCGACTGTAGCCGGTATGGAGACGTTTGTAAAGGTTACCGCCGGATTTGCAGTCACGATTGGACTCGCCTATGGCTTGTCGATGGATCTTGACCATCTCAGTCGTATCGTAGCATCAGGGGAGAGGAACTTGTGTACCTACCCCGGAGTCCATGGCATGGCAAAAATTTGCAGAGCAATCACCGAAGCTCCGCTGGTTCCCCTGATGGATGGCAGTAACCGCTTACAAGCAAAGAACCGTGTTGAGCCGCCGCTGGCAGCTCTCGTCAGATCTCCAATCGTTTTCATGGTGACAGGGTAACAGCTCTGGCGTGATCGAGAGCGCTAGAGTGTGAGGCTTGCCCAACGAATTGAAGAGCGGACTCGGTATCAGCCACCGCGGGCCTTTCCTCTAGCAGCGCCCGTTGACATCTGAAACCTGGGCGAACAAGCGTTTGCCAGGCCCACGGGAGATTGGCAGTCTGGGGCTGGTTGGGGATACCAGGATGGTGATTCGAGAAAGTCCTGGAGGTGCCATGGAATTGAGGTGACCACATGAATCTTGTTGTATTGGCCACTCAGCATCGATGGCGAAGCTCTAGCCGACAGATGCCAATTTGGCGAAGCCTTTCAAGCGGAGCGGTCTCCTCAAAACGGCTGTAGGCCAGGCGATGGCGGAGTGAGAAACAGGAGGGTAGTAGGCTTAACACGCGAGATTAGCCTTGGCGATCTATTCCAATAGAAGGCTACCGCCAGTAGCCAATGATGCTTGAATCCATCGTAGCTTCCTCCTGTTTCACTTACCATCCATCTTCTCCTTTCTTTCCAAGGCGGCAACACTGTTCCTACCGTCGCACTGTGTGGCTACCAAGCAAAGCACGACTAAAGTTGTGAGCCCCTTTTACGGCCTCCGTCTCAGTACTACTTTGCAGGACAGTGCCGAGTCTGCCGCGTTTACCGAGTTGCCTTGCTCCCGTATTTCGGGGAGAGTGCTCAATTTGCATAACGCAAAAGCAGCCGCGATTCGACGCGTCCTCGATGCTGGCTCGCTCGTGCGGCTAACACGCCACTCATACGCCTTCTTTCGTCCTCTGGCGCCTATGATCCCATGATGGCGCATGATCATACCGCAACTAATACTCACTGTCAAGCCTAGATTGGATGGCAACATCTAGCCCGGCGCTTTCCACTGTCCGAAGCTATGTCCGGAGGTATATCCGGTTCAATGGTCGCAATTTGCGGCTCTGTTCGCGTGCTCACACTTGTAAGCCAAATTCACGCATTTCCCTCTCAGGCAACAGCACGCCTTTCGTAGTTCGTGCAAACCCACCCTTCTCCTTTTCTAAACATAGCCGGTTTCTACTCGAGCGCGATCGACTTTGCACGTCCTCGATCAACCGAGCCAGTTTACAATTACAAGGAGCCTCCACCGTGGTCTTCGGAGTGGAGGACATTCAGTATCCGATGATTGTCTCACCCAGTTCAGCTTGGGCGACAGAACCAGCCGAATGCTGTGCCCTTGAGATCCTTCCACTGCTGCATGAGCTGTTTCTGCACTCCTGGCACAGAGAGAGTAGACTGTCCTCGTCTCCCATCACGTTATGCTCAGGTACCTTGGAGACATGAATAACGCATCTCAATGTGGAAGGACCTTCAAAACCACAATGTTGTAAAATGGAGGCTGATTACTAGGTAACCTCTCACGTTTCGAGTCGTGGGTCGGCTGGCCGGGGGAACCACGTGAGATGGATCCCGTGACAAGAACCATCGACATACTCATGCTGGAATCGAGACGAGCTCGGCCTCGATATCACGAATGAACAACCACAACGAAAAGGCTCAAGGGCCTTGGTAGTATCAGACCAGGACTGCACGCTATGTCAATTGGCATCCCGGAGAATTAACCTCCTTTGAGAGCATCCTTGCGATCCCGTGAGAACACTCTCAAGATGTGCTGCCAGGTAGAGCTGCTATGGGATGGTCAGCACATGTTTCGTTTTTCAGAAAAAGATCATAACCAACTTTGCACAGCTGTGCGGCGACGCGGATGGGTTGAATTGCATGGCATGACTGCATCAGGTTTGTGCTCACGATGACGCGTGACCAAGATACCTTATGCAGGAGTTCGGCCTCCAGCAGCTGGATATGGTTATTAATTTGTACCACACATCTGGTAGCATCGGAATAGCGCGGCCAACAATCTGATACTCAAAACAACGATGCAGAAGGTATTGCTTGGGCCTATCTGAGGCTTTGCCTTGTGCGTTGCACAACACAGAGGCCTAGTGACACCGTGTCAAGCGCTCTACTGACGCGCAGCTCTCCTCTTCGGCGCCAGCGCCCATGCGATTATGTTACCGCCACAATGACGCCGACAGTCGTCCCTCTCGTCTGGAAGGGAAGCTTGACTGACAGTCTCTAGACTGCGCCTACGAACTTAACGCACTCCTTGTACCTCCCTCCCCGTCGTCAACTTAGGCCGAGCCTACTTTACGGAGAGGAGAGATGCCACCCCATTCTCAGCGGAGCAGACAAGGAAATAATATAGCTCTATTGAACCCGCAGTCACTCTTCATCGATAGGCCCAGTCCAGCATCACTACGTACTCTCAACAGTTTGATGCGGCGACGAGAGCAAAGGGTCATCTGTTTTGTCCGAAAGCGAATGACTGCTGGGCAAAAGTCGCAGCCAGAGCCATCAAGATACATAATCAACGGGGTTTTGAAAGCGCTCGGACTGTAGCCATCACGATACGTTCGATCGCTACAGTCGGTGGCTTCAGGCAGTTGTCGGAATGTACAACCGGCGGCGATCGCAACTGGAGGGGAATTCAGAGCGAGTGCGCTATTTATACGCGGCTTGCGAGAAAGAGAATCCATGGTTCAATGCAACGCAACACAGCGGCCTGGATGGGAAGAAATCAACAGAGCACTCACCTGAATTGATCTGGCGAGCGTCTCATGTGGAAGTTGCGGATGTGGCAGGACTTAGTATGCCGGACTCATGCCGCAAGTTCGGGATCAGCATCCTTCCCTCGATTTCTACGTTCGCCTTCTCTGTTCCTTCTTTGACGCTCTTCTTCCTCATCGCCGATTCCCTCGTTCTCCCATCCAAGGCCTGAAGGTTCCCATGCGTGCCATTCAGTTGCCCCTTCCATCCCTTCGGGAGGGAGAGCCCAAACAGGCAAGGGACTTTGATACCGCCATGCGCCGTTCAAATCGCCATATGCAAGAGCATGGAGATAGATGCCCAAATCTTCAGGGGCAGGATCGGAATATAGTGGCGTTTCGCAGGTCTCACACACCTCACCGGTCATTTTCTCGCCCTTCCGCTTGTTATACTCCTCGACCTGTGCATCATGAGCGCGAATGAGCTGGCCATGGTTCGGGTCGGTGTAGCCCAGGTCCAAATCCAGCGTCGCTTCAGCTGCCTTCCCGGCCAGCATGTCTGGAGCAGAAAGACGGCCATCAAGCGCTGAAGACGCGTGAAGAGTACCTTGCGGTATGCCTTTATGCGGTTCCCCGTCTAGCCGGAGATGTGTCGGTCTCTGCGGCTCGGAACATTCAAGCGCCTGGGCCTCGGAAACTGTCATTTGCCGCGTTTGGTCAATCAATTTGGATGCCGAAAGCGTTTCGGATGTTTCTGGCAGTTCGTCCTTGCCCATACGAGACAGGCGGGCTATGATCTCCTTGTCGTGGTCCCCACTCGCGTCATGCTGGGCGAGGCCGTTGCCAAAAACTTTCCTATTTGAATAGATAGGGTCATTGCTGATGGGGTGGCCGAGAAATTGCAAGTGAACTCGTATCTGATGTGTTCGACCAGTAAGAGGTAAACAGTGAACGATCGAATACCCAAGATTCTCTGTTGTCGGTAATGTTCCATCGTGAGCTGCTCCGTCTGGTATTGAAGAGGAAGTTGGCTTAGGTGGGTAGTAGGCTATCCGCCTGAAGATCGTCTTCGCTGATTTGCCAGTCGCGCGTGCCCTGTTCAGGCCCAATATTGGGCTGATCTGGAGAATGCTCTCCTCACACTTCACAACGCCTCCCTTGCCGTTACCAGCGGCCTCATCGAAACCCGCTCCTTCGCCGTCCGGGAAACGACCAACCACACGTGCCACGTATTCCTTTCTCACGGTACGAGATCGAAGCTTCTCGCTCATCCGCTCGGCCTCTTTGGCGGTCTTTCCAACAAACATAACGCCAGATGTCAGGCGATCCAGACGATTGCAAGGCAAGGGGTTGAAAGTGTACCCCCGCTCGGCCCGCATGATCTCGACGACCGAGTTGAACTTATAACGTCCAGCTGGATGAACAGGCACGCCAGACGGCTTGTCAATCACAATCATGCTGTCATCCTCATGAATCACTCCAACTGGTTGCGCAGAGACTGGAGGTTCGTGTCTGTGAAGAGTATGGGCCACCACGTCCCCGTTCTTGACAATCGTGGTCGTGTCGCAACAAGGCTTGTTGTTGATCGCTATTTGCCCGCTCTCGATTGCATGGCGATAGTATTCCCGGTCCCTGTCGCGGAATTCTGACGAGAAGATATCTAAAATCGTGCGGCCCCTCCATCGCTGCTTACAATACGTGTTGTAAGTGAAGTGATATGGTCGAACTCGGCGCAGGCCCTTCTCGATGTAGTATGGAGGCGGCCAGAGGTCACCTGACGGAGTCGTTATGGTGTCCGGAAGTATTATAGGCGCAGGAGGGTGGCCTCTCTGACTAGTATCCGTGATGTCTGTAACCGGCGCGGCCAGTGGGGTAGTCAGCGCCATCGGAGGAGCGGACGTGCCCAAACGGCGGCCGAGCAATGCCGCCAGACGTTGGGAGGAAGCCAGGGGTGAAGAGGGAAATGTCTATATCTAGTCGGCATGCGCACGCCGATATTGCATGCGAGGTTGTCGGGTGGCAGAAGCGAAAATGCAAAAGGGAGCGGGAAATAGATAGTAGGGTTAGGGCATGCACGAGAAAATGTACTAGTCTTGCATCATCCAGCATATCTCGCCAATGCGAATGAATAGAAGTCTTCAAAGCGCAGGAAGGAAGAGGATGGATGGGCAAGGTGGTGCAAGGGAAGCTATAACGATCGCTTGTGGTATTAGGACGCAGCTTAAGCAAACCTCAGCCCTTCGGCAGGCATAACAGCCACGACCACTTGCATCGCCCTTGTTAGCCATAAAGCAGCTCGAGGCAGTCTTCAATCGGGTTGTGAAGTTTTGAAACTGTTTCATTCAACCGTCTCCGGCATCCAGTATCTCAATAAGTACTTCATGATGCAGGACAGCTTTTATTCCACTTTGATGTACGCCATTCAAGCGCGATGCTGATCTCGGAATCATCGTCTGTCAACTCAACCATAACCTGTACTTCAACTCCCTTACGACTCGGTGGTAACTCTAGCCTTGGGGTTGGTGACTTTGACACCGAGGGCTTTGGCCTTGCCGATGATTTCGACTCTCTTCTTCGATGACACGGCGTGGGCGATCTCGGCAGCATAGGTACGGTTGTGCATGAGCAGAAGCTCGACGTCCTTGGGGTTGTGGACGAGGAATGCTTTGTGGCCGGAAGGCATCATATGGCGGGTCTTCTTGTTCGAGCCGAAACCGATCTGTAATTCAATCATCAATACCAGTCTTTCTTCTGCGGCTACAGATGTTCGTAGCCAGACATCTCCACCGTCTAAGTAGAACGTACCGAAGGCATAACCATCTGACCCTTAAACCGTCTCCGCACCCGGTTGTCGATACCCTTGGGCTTTCTCCATGCTGACGGAACACACTTGAATCGGTCGGACTGGTGGCGGAACCAGGACTTGCGGTGCTTCTTGACAATAGGAACGTGCTTCTTTGCGGAGACCATCTGAACGAGAAGTTAGCAGGCAGATTTCTCTACACTTTTTCGACGGGTTGAAGTGGCAATTGTGCGCAGACTTCAGACGATGTTGGCGCAAAGCGCTGACGGGTTCGAGGGAGTAATAGTATCGTACCTTGACGGTGTTGTGGTCGTCCGAAGAGTTGTCGATTCGTCGAGGTTGTGATGTCCCAAAACGAAGGCGCAGGCGGTCGTCGAGATCCGCAGGCCCAAATTCTTCTGTGTGAGGCCTTGGCGCCAAGATTGACATCGATTAGTACCAAAAGTGGACTAGTGCAAACTGGACGCCCCGTCAGCCTTGCCGCTGGGACGCTTCGATTTGAACTACCTGGTATCTGAGGCATACTCTAAGTGAGACCCACAAGTAAAGTGCTTACCGAAATGGACTACACTGTTCAAATTGTCTAGAGTCTGCTCGTTTGCCTATCGTCATTCTAAAACTCCTGGTACTTCAACAGCATTGCCTTACCACCTTGCTCACCGCTGCGCAGGGCCGCCTCGATGAGCTCGAAGTCTGCCAGCGCTTCCTCGGGCGACTGCTCAGGGCTGCTCGTACCAGCTACTAGCGCTTTGCCCCATGCTCTCACCTCGGGTGGCACGCCTGATCTCTCGTCTTGGATCTCCCATGTCTTATCGCCCGCGGTCACCGTCGAACCTGACACACTGACGTAGCCCTTCTCGCACCCGACTGCGCATACCTTACCCTTCTGCGTCGTACCAAAGCTGATAGTAATGGTACCGACTGCACCATTCTTCGCTTTGGCAACGGCTTCAATTGTATCGACAGGGGGAAGATGAGGCTGCAGTTGTGCGGTATGTGCTGACAATGTAACCAGTGGGTTCTCTCTACCCATCAGCAGACGCAGACCGGCAGTCTGATGGACTCCTCCATCAAGCAAAAAGCCTCCTTGATGGGTCGGGTTCTTGCGCCACCTGCGACCGAGTCAGTCGGAAGCCTCTCGCTGGACGTACAACTCACTCTGTCTCGAAATACTTCCCACCTGAGACTAGGGTCTGCATCCGGCATCTGAATGTCAATTGCTTTCCCATTGCCTTGACTTGCTCAGCTGCATGATTCCAGGCGTTGAGGTACCGGTAATTCTCGCCGACCGACCAGGTAACCTTCTTGGTGTCGATCTCCGTACGATACCATTTCAGTAGTGACACGGCTCCCTCCATATTCTCGGCGATTGGCTTTTCTGACAGCACATGCTTGCCGGCAACAAGAGCCTTGCGAATGTATTCTGGCTGATTCTTGATTGGCAGGGCGATGATCACAGCATGGATGTCTGGTCGTGCTAGCAGGTCTCCCAATGTTTTGCCTGTACCTGAATCTTCGGAGTATAGCTCAACCTTCCCTTCATCTACCTCAAGAGATCTGGCTGACTTGAGCGATCGTGACCAGGCAGCCTTGAGGTCTAAATCCTTGCTGGCTTCAACCGCAGGCTGCTCTTGCGTCAGTGATAGAATACAATAGTTTTGCCCAGCATACTTTATGCTCTTCCCGGGCGAAGATGCCTCCCCCCAGAATCGCAACACCTAGAGTCATTTTAGCAAATTAATGATTTCTAGATTCCGTAGAAATTATTCTGGAAGCTTTCCGTATGAGTGATACAAGGAATATAGGCCAGCCGGCAAAGCAATATGGGTAAATGGGGTAAATCTCTGCGGCTATTTTATTCAAGCCTATACCGAATTTAGCACGAGCATGACACCGGGAACCCATTCACATCGTCACGTTAACATGCTCTCTCTCATCGAAACCATGCCGGCGACGGAAGTCACTGGGCGTGCAGTTACTTCATCAGGTCGGCTTCTGCTTGCGACAAATGAATGTGGCGCAGCACTATTAAAATGGCAGTTCGATCGTGGCGTCAAATCTCTCGAATGATCTCCGATCTTTTTTGCCAATGCGGGCCATCGCCTTTAGCTTTCGCTGGGCTTTCAGGCTTGATAACCTCGCCCTCATGGTCCACGCTCTAGGCTTGCCGTAGTCCCCAGCGCGGGACACGATAGTGTGCATGTGGCAGCACAAGTTGTGACAAGCATCACGCGGATTGTTTGACCCTCATCAACGCGCACCGTGTCACATTTCGTGTCGTGTAAGTAGGGCTCTCCAAGTCTACCGATAGTTGTCCGGTTTCGCTCTGTTCAACCTTGCGCCTCATCCTCACCACGAATTGCAACCCCAAGTGTTCCTGCCTTACTACGGCTCCATCATACTCTCGCTACAATCTTTCCTGCTAACTGTCGTCATCGTCACTCTCCAGCTCCTGAGGAGTGAACTGAATCCCACTATGCCTCGTCCGTCCATCTCGGAAAAGAAGCTCCAAGAGGAGCTGCAGTATGCCATTCGCCACGACCACTTAATACTCAACCGCCTTATCGCGAGTCGCATGCCGCTATGCCTCCCTCCAAAGACCGATAGTCCCCTCCGCTTCGCCCTCGGCCTCACGGTCTTTGGTCACCTTTACACTTCGTTCGAGTACGCGTGGGAAACACTCCTTTCGCAGACCTCAAAACCTCCCATATACCTTCTCGATCTCGAAACCGACGGTATCTCCAGACACTTGCGTCTGTCACGCGATCTTCATGACTTGGCACATCTACTGGGGACGAAGGCGTCGAAGCGCCTGCAGAAATTACACAAGAACACGAATTACTTTCATCAAGACGTCTTCCGGCTGTGCGAGAAGAAGCCATACCTAATACTTGCGTGGGCGTGGACAATGTATCTGGCCATCTTCAACGGCGGGCGATTCATTCGCGCGGAATTGGAGAAAGCGGGCGACGACTTCTGGGGCACGAAGAATTATCCGCTCGAATTCTGGAACTTCGAGGGTGGCGATGATGGGGAGAAGATTCACGATGCATTTAAAGAGCATTTCGACGATGCTGCGGAAGGTCTGACCCGGGAGCAGAAGGACGAGGTCATCGCGGAAGCGAAGCGAATATTCCACGTTTGCGAGGAGGTGGTGCATGTGCTCGACAAGAAAGTGGGCGAGGAGGAGGGACAGCAGGCTGTCAAGGCACTGTTGGGGGCTGTAAGTCCTATGATGGCTGTAAGGGCGATCCTGAAAATGTGCTCGAAGGGCTGGCGGGCTGTTGTCAGAAAATGTACCGGGCGGGGGCGGCCAGGGATGCTACGGGAGGAGCCTCCCATGTCCAAGAAGGCTCGAATGTCCTCCTGAAATTACAGGTCATTGTAAGAGAGCGGATTAGAGTGACAGCCACTGTGTGTGATCAACCAACAAACCCTCAGATATCCAAGACGCGGGCTTGTTGATCAACAACGTTCAGTTACATCACATTTTCTCGATGGAGTACATCTTAGAATACAGTAGCCTGCTCAACGCCGTATGAACGCTCAGATGTTTGCATTCGAAAAACGCTTCCAACACCATGCATCGACTGCCACAGAATCACAGCTGAGCCCGTACTCTCTGCGCTCCTCCTCCAAGCCCAAACTTGGGCTCTCTTGCCCTCGCCTTTCTGCCAGTCTTGTCCAGGAAAGTAGCAAAATACCCTTCCAGCGCATCCACCGTCTCTTTGCCCACCAGCCGAACCGCGCAGGCCACGTGGCCATCCGGCCTCACAACAACCACCCCGCCCTCATCACCTTCGAAGCCTGTCTTTGCATGACTCGGCGCCTTCGCATCTGGGACGGCTTTCTGCCACACATCATCCGCATAAACCCTTGCCGCATAGTCATGGAACAGTTCCGGCAGATTGGAGACTTCAATCTCGGGCCTTCTGGCTGCTACGACCAATGCGAGGGAGAACAGCGGCGTGTGAGGGTTATTGTGATCGTGATGCGTATCCCGCTCCTCGTCCGCCCAGCCAAAGCGGCTATAGAATGATGTGGGAGCCTGCAGCGCGGTGGCAAAATCAGATAACGCTTTGTGCTCCCCTTTCTTGGCTGAAGATTGCAGGCCGGCGAATATGAAGAGTCGAAAGGATCCATTGCAGGGAATCTCGTTCTCGAGATGCACAAAATTGGCGTCGGCAACACGCGTCGCATTGCTATTAGGCATGATCCGGCCAGTCCGTAGTTTAGGATGGTTGGTCAGTAAAAGAGGATGTTGATAAGTGTGCTCGGCTGAATGGTTGTAGATATTGGGCCCATAAGCGACGCCGTAGCCGGCAGTGAATTCACAATTGGCTTTGAACATCGCCACGAAGGGGTTCTCATCCTCGGGAGCTGATGTGTTGGTGTGGTGAGAGGTACTGCTATTCGAGGCAGAGGAAACTTCGGAAGAAGAGGGTTGCCGCGTGGAGAAGAGGGCGGCATACTTGTTGTCGAAATCGAGAAGCGTTTCGGCGACCGACTTACGCTCGGTCTCATATGTGGAGAGAACGGAACGGGAGGCAAAACCGGACTCGACGTGATGAAGCTTCCAGGCGAGGTTGATGGCATCGTGGAAAGCAGTGTTCATGCCTTGGCCAGCTTTGGGAGAGTGCGTGTGGCAGACATCGCCGCCCATGAAGACCCGATGGTCAAGCGTGTATTTCTCTGCGATGCCCTGGCCAATCGGATATACGGAGTACCATTCAACACGGTCCCAATCGCAATAATAGGGCTCGAAGATATGTTTGGCTGCAGCTTGAACTTCTTCCACGGTTGCTGTCTTGCGAGGGTTGAAGTCCGGGTCAGTGGAGGAAGCGATCTGGATATACAGGCGGACCATGTTGTCCTCACGAGGGATGACCATGATACTGCCATGGTCGGAATGAATCGTACATTTCATCTTGATGTCGGGAAAATTGGTCCGTACAACACCATCCATGACACCCCAGACGTGAGAAATGGGATCTTTGTGTCGGATCGGGACCTTGAGCTGTTCGCGAACGAAGCTTTTTGCGCCCTCGCCACTGAAGAGGTATTTGGTTCGAACGGTGTCGGTGACATTGCTATCCAGGTTCTTGAGTTCCACTTCTACAGGATATCCTGGGTCTGCGTTATTGGTCTCAAATCGTGTGATGGTCCAGGGTCTCTGAACATTGTTGCCGTTCATGCGGAGGTCGTCGATCATGACTCGTTCAATCAGACCCTGGTGAAGCAGTGCAGTGAAGGGATATCTGGCATCGAGGAAGCTGGGACAGCTGGCCCAGGTGCCAGTCCTGACGATCTTGCCACCTGGCGCGGGGTCCCAGAAAGCGACTTCAAAGACTCTAGCTGGGTCGTAGGCCATGATCTTCCGTTTGAGCCCTAGATTTCTAAGAATCTCCAACGTTCGAGGTTGAATGCCATCAGCACGACCGGTGGCCGTAGGCACTGGTCGATTGTCGATATGCCTCACATCATAACCCCATCGTGTTAGGCAGACAGACAAGAGCAGACCAACTGGTCCAGCTCCGATGATGACGATGTCGTGCTTCTTGAAATCTTTGGTCATACTGGCGGGCGTGGCCAGCGGGTTAGCGCAATGCTGGAGAATCACAAGAAAGCACTGAATTGAAAACGCACAGGTATGAAAGGAGGCATACGGGAGTGCCGGCAGGCTTATATCTATGACATGCTGAGGCAAGAGGCCAGCTTCGGCCACAGAGCACGGCAGGTCCAGCGGCTGGACTCTGGGTGGACGGTAGCTGCATTTGGGTCTTCATGCCTCACAGGGACTCATCCGATGACATTGCCGTCAGGGTCTCCATAAGCCTGCCACCGCTTGGAACTGATTCGAACGAGTCGGTTGGCCAAATTCCAGCTCCAGGTTCAACAGCCGAACCTTGTCCCCGCAAAGTCGACACCTCGGATGTCCGCTCGGCAGTCTCCCTTTCGTCACGTGATAGGGAGACGTCAACTTTATCGGGAGCCAGCGCCTTTTCTTCGCTCTTGTGGAATGCCGATGTGTCGACCGCTTATGCTTGAGACACCGACTAGTATACATCTTTGGTTTCATTACAAGTGGTAGAGCTGGTTCGGGTCGACTCATTCGCGGGTATGCTCATTAGGTATGACTGTGGCCACGAAACCGGCGTGCTGCTACGCAGCGGTTCCCACTCTGAGTCAGAAAGCTTTGAGAATGAATGTACCGTCGCTCACTCGACAGTCCGCACTCCTCCAATCTGTTGACAAATGAGCTCATCGTGAAGGGCGTGGTAGGGTGCGGGAGAAGGTCAAGGATCGTCTGGCGTTTTGCTTTGCGTATCTGTGTTGCTGACAGACCTCGTCCGTAGGCCATGCGTTGCGTTCAATACGAACATCAAAATCACTCCGAGATGGAATTGCCAACAAGTAAGTTTGTGAGCACTGGGCAAGAGCTAAGCGCCGATATGTCCCAGCGTGCTCGATCGGCTCGTCAAGATAGTATCGGGAACTCCAACATATCCCAACAGCTTTCTGGGCGGTGCAGACTTGAGGTTGAACCAGGACATGTCCTGGCTGTGTGAGATACCAAAACCTGAACTCGCTCGACAATTGCCACCCTGCTCACCTTCCTTCGGATTAACATTAATGCGGTAACAGCAGAAGGGAGCGCAGGCATGCGGCTGCAACTTCTCAAAACTTCTGCCTGGGACCACCTTTCGCGCGTCACCTTTATCCTCTGCACCCTCACATCGCATGTTGCAACGCTTTGCGCACAGTCCTTCGTTATTCTGTTTCTTGTGTCAGAAGCCCTTGCCCAGGAGCTGACGGCCATGCCTCGGCCAGCGGCCGCCGCTGCCGCGCTGGGTCGGTCGCCACTGCTCAACGATGCCATGGATGTCGATCGTGAATTCAACGAAGACGAGTGTCGTGACTTCTTAAACGCTGTCGGAGACAAGGTCGTGAACTCGTATATCTACTCAATCGGCATGGAGGAGGCATATTCCTCCATCTGGTGGAAGTATGGTCCTGACGGCGCAAGCGACGCTATCAGTCTGCTCCATGACATCCTTGAGGAGGATGATACCGCCGGTGCAGGTCTCGGATTGGATACTGACATTTGGAGACCATGGAAGAAGAACTTTCGATTGCGCAACGTAGGTCTTCCAGTCTCTGTTGCGCGTCCTGCTGACTTGCTCCAGATCAATCCTCAGAATCCCTGGGTCCCTCACATAGGAGTGCGCATCCTGCCTCCAGCCACCCCAACCCAAGTTCGGAAAATTCGGGCCTTGAATTTCCTGCGTGCCACTTCAGCTGCATCCAGTATCTCCGAGGGTGGTGATCAGTCGGCGGCTTCGGCTTCGGAAGCTGCTGCTTCACAGCCTACCACCAACTCAAGCCACGAACACTCTTTGGCTGCTTCCCCCAACTACTTTGGTGAACACGCGCATGGCCCTTCGCCAAAATCAGATGGCGCTGGTGGCAATCGCATAATGACCCCGGCGTTCGCACACCAGCGATATCGTACTCTGTTCGCAACAGGTAATACGTTTGAAGAGTCGCCCCCAGGCGAGACCACAAATGGCAGACAAGACCTTGGCAGAATCACACGGTTGGACTCGATCCTCTCCCATCGGCCGACTATCTCATCGGCTTCGTCTTCGGCGGGAGCCTGCATTGCCCCAATGCAGATTGACTCCTCGGATCTCAGCCCAGCTGTTCACGAGGCATGGATTGCTTTGACAGCAGGGGCGTTGGATAATTCTGGCCCAGGCGAAGCTGCGAGCAATGGTGTTGCAACTTTGCGGCCTTTGCGCTATATTCCGGGTTCAGAAGCCGCGGATTTCGCCGTCTATGCCGAGCAGAATGAGGCCAAACACACGACTGACAATGAGCAGTCCGAGAACATTGCCATTCGTCAGGCTTCAACTGCCGTTGACAACTTTCGCGAAGACGTGCGCCGCTCTCATGACTTTCCAGAAGTTTCCAAGCCGAAGCAACTCTGCCTGGATGTTGGTCGCGACGAAGCATTAGGTCTGCACCGCCTTCAGCAGGCACATCGAAATGCGGCGCTCTTGGCAGGTGAAATCCGCACCCCAGTGACGCCCAGTCACAATCATCGCTCCAGCAACCGAGAGGCCAAGACCAATGACAACACTGAAAAAGAGCACACTGAAGAAGATAGTGGTCGAGCTGAAAGCGCATCGCATGGACAGCCAGAGAAGCGCAAGAGCCATATTGCTCGCCTACTCTCCTTGTTCAGATTCGGCGAAAAGAAAGAGCGAACTGAGCTACGTCGCTCGTTCAGTATTGGAAGAGACCACAGTGCATTGTGTTTCCTCGAATCTTCAAGTGCCTCTCCGAAGCGAAAAGTCAGCGACAGAAGACCTCGGGCTATGACGATATCTGCCGGCTACGACGGTACCTGCTCGCCGCGCAGTACATCTTCATCTGGGTATTACAACAAACCTCTTCCACTGAGTCCTAGCGAGCGTGCTCAAGCCGCTTCTTCGCGCACTCAAAGTTCATCACCGTCACGTATGCGCAGCAGCCATGCCAACCCTCCGTTGACTGCTTCCTCCGCTTCCACTCAAGCTTCCTCCGCCTCTAGCAAGCAACGTTTCCGTAATACCACACGAGATCTGCTCGACTCCTCAGAAATGGACGTTGCGCCGATTCTGCCGGTGGATTTCGTCAGCCACCGCAGCAAAGCCTCTCACCCTGAGCCCCAGAAGTACGTGCAGGAAGCCCTACCGTAAGTGTGCAACAAGTCTGCAGTGCTCTCACTAACATTCGTAGGCGCTTGTCATATTCCAGCGATGCCGCGCGCAACCCCTATTCAGACGCACCTATTCTTGTATCGGCGCCGTCTACCTATGCGCCGCGCAATATTGTACAGCACTTTGGAGAGGAACTGGACAGCGAAGTGACGCCTGTGCCAAAGTTGCCTGGTTCACACTCGGATCCGTATACTGACGAGCTAAGCACTGCGGGTCTTCCCGCGCATGGCCACTATGGTCCGTCTATGTACGTGCATACAAGCTCATCCGCCAGTCCCAAGCAGCCCTTCCTACAACAGCGTGTTGCTGCTGTGTCCTCACGGGCTGGACTCTCCTCGAACATTGAGCAACCTAGCACTGACCTCGAGGAATCTCGCGGAAGGATGAAAGCACGCGCTCAGACGCCCGTGCACCAGAACGAATCCTCTCCACTAAGTGTAAGAAGTCCTCCGAAGCCAGCCAAACGCTCTCAGTCCCCAATGAAGCGACTTCTGGGTTTGGGCAAGAAGACTCCTGTTAAAGACCCGAAACGTTCGACGTCCGGGACGAGAGACCCTACTCCTGGCAGCAGCGCGAAGAAGAGTCTGAAAGAATGGAGCCACAAGATCAAGCACGGTTTCCTTGCTGCGGACATGGAAGAACAACAGCACGAGAGTCATATGGAAGACTATGCTACGGGCAAGTCTGCGCCGGAGCTCCTCGCACCGTCGACATTCCCTATCTCTCTCGATCCATCTTATCAAGCTCGTCTACAAGCTGATCTGGAAATGATGTTAGTCATTAGCGCCAACCGATTTCTCGTTAGGGAAGCTGAACAGAAACGCATTTCCAGGACCAGCATTGACAAGTTTCGACATGATTGGGAATCTAAGAATTTGGCCCAAGTCGTCGAATATCAGTTCGATATGCGCACTCAGCGTGCTCTCATCCTAGACAACCTTAGAACCATCGAGTTCTGCGGATCAATCGCTCGCGACCCCGTTGCACTGACTGCTGCGCTACATGCTTGGGGTGTCATGGCGAACGAAATGCTTGTGCGCACCTTCTGCGTCGGCGACAGCGTTATTCGAAAGTGGCTGAACGACTCTCAGCGCATACTGGAGATGCTCGACGCGCCACCCATCACCTTTGCCATGTTCGACAAAATGTTCACTAAAGCCCTGCTCGTCATCAAGCAGCGACAGCAGATGGCAATTGAATACAACGCGGAGACTGAGGCCAACTCTGCAAGCGAGCAGAGTGAGGGTCACGCTCGCAGCCATTCTCGCAACCCAAGTGAGTCAAGCTATGCTTTCCGCCTTCGAGGTCACAACCGAAGTGTCAGCAATGACAGCTACATTCACGGCCTCTATGGTAGTATGGCTGCACAGCTTGAAGCTCTAGAGGCCACACCTTCCGAACATGTCCCTTCCTCTCGAACCGTCAACATAGACTATGGTCCCAACACCATCCCTCAGCCCCGTGTTCAGCACTGGGACGCGGTCACAGCAATCCCAAATGCTAGCTCATCTGCGCTTGAGACTTCAAACAGCGCGACGCGAGAAACCTTTGACAAGTCCCGTGGCAACCGAGATAGCCCCAGACGGCGTGCCACCCCTGCGGCCCGCGCTGACCCCTTTGACCGCCGCAGTCCCAGCCGCGGTGGCATCCGCGAGGTCTGATTGAGGGGTTGCCACCATTTTGGGTATGAACCACGATTTGGCCGAAGAAGTAACTTCTGGCTGTGTTTATTGATTTTGTGATTTTCCGCGATGATACCCTGTGCGAGAATGAGATGCGATCCATATGACCTTGATTCAATCGCACATCGGCCACTAGTTCGAGCAGATGACAGTCCCGCTCATATCGGCGACCAGACCGACCAAAAAGTTTGAGATTAGACATAGAAGATGAATGAAAAGTCATGTCATGACACTAGCGCTGGGCTGTCCACTCGTCTACGATGTCTTCCAATTGCTCTTCGCTGACCAAGTTGCTCAGAGTGCTGAGCACCATCTTCGACACATCGAGGACGCATCACGAAAAGCCGTAACCTTTGCCAGCCCGCACACTGCCCATACCGTTCCCACTCGCAGACATACCGACTCCTTCGATACCACCCATATCACCTCCCATCTCGCCGTCCTCCCACTCCCGCCAGCCGCTCATCGCCACCAAGCCTGTGTAGCCCCAGACACACTCCCCCAGCACCCGCTCACCCCCACGGTTCACCTTGCCACTAACTCCCCTCCACTTCTTGAAAACTCCCACCATGTTGGCGCGATAGTCCGTCAGGAATGACCGAGCCAGGAATACCGCCTGCTCATTCTGACTCCCTCGGCTCGTGAAGACACTGAGCAGCACTCGCAGTGTTGGTGCCAGTAGTTGATAGTAGTTCTGCAGCGCACTTTGGCTGGCCATCGTGGTGGTGGCTTGTTGCGAGAGGGCGGTAGCATTGCGGGCTTGTCGTGGGTTGAGGCTTTGGTTGAAAGATGACATGTTGGTACCAGAGGCCGACGCAGGAGCAGAGAAGCCCAAGTCAGGGTCGGCGCGAAAAAGGAGCGAGTCTCGGATTGCGGGTATAAGGCCAGCGTCAAGCAGCGCGGCGGCCCCGACACGCGTAAGAGAGATGTGTAGAAGTAGAAGCATCCGGGATTGGTGAAGGGTTAGCAGATGGTATCGGACTATTTGTTTGCATTAGTAACCCGGTGAAAAAAGGGCAGAGGCAGTCTTACGTGAAGGCTCGGTGTCCTGGAAGTCAGCGGCGATGTGCTTGATGGGATCAATGATGATCTCGAGGACGTTGGCGTTGACCAGGGAGTCGAGAACGTAGGACGACTTTTCGCTACGGGCGAGGGACACGAGGAGTGAGAGTAGATTGAGGGCATTTAACCGGGAGCTATCGGCGCCGTCCTCGGCATCATCGGACAGTATGTTGATTAGCCGCATGTTCGAGGAGCGAATGCAATCCATGCTGTTGGCGCGGGCCTTTCGATTGGTGTCGTTGTTGGCAGTGTCAGCACTGGTGATACGATTCAGATATTGCGTACAGATGCTGTAGAGGATGCTGCGTTGCCCCGGAGCGCCGGTGGCCATAAGAATCCCATCAACGCTGGCTCGGAAGAGCTGGAAGAGCTTCTCGGTGATGATGTTATCAAGCCGCTCCTGCTTGAGTCGTTCGTGCTCGACGTTGATCTGACTGGAAGCCTGATCACGAAGGACTTCCGATGTGCTAATCGACGACAACGCGAAGAGCAGACTATCAGCAATCCGTGCTAATTCTATCGTGTCCTCAGATTCTTGAGCCACAAGGGCATCAAGCTTGGGGAGGATGAGCTGAAGAACTTGCAAGATGAATTGTGTCTTGGCAGATGCCTCCATCGGGCAACAGTCAATGATGGCAACAACCATGTCAACATAGCTGCGCAGTGTCGTCCGCCATGCTTGACGTGCCAGCAGCAGGCGATTTTTCGCTTCAAGGTGAGCTGCAATCATCTCACTTTCGAAGCGAAGTTGCTCCTCATCGATCGGGGCAGAAGAAGTGGGCTGGCCTTGTCGCTTCAGAAGCTCGTCTTTGTCTCCCTGAAGAGCTTCCTTGATGAGCGATACATCATGAAGGCTGGGTTTATCATCTGTAGCCTCAGTCATGAAACCGGTAGCATCAAGCATACCAAAATACTGCGTCTCTGGTACGACAATGTCAAACGACAGATCCAGCTCCAGGAAGTCGGCAAGATCGAAAAGATTCGCATGCCCAAGAGGCATTCCCGCAATATCGCTACCAAGCATTGTCTGCAAGTGCTGCTTCATCACAGTGGCAAGGTTCTCCGAAGATGCGGTACGGATTTCCTGGGACGTATAGAGGTACAACGCGCCACGAAAATCTAATAGCTCTGTCAAAGCGTCTCCTGACCTTGAGAACCAGTACTCTGGGTCAAACATAAGCTTGCCGTCCCAGTGACTGCTTTCTGAGATCACCTCCTGACTCGCGATGAGCGTCTTCAGGAGCTGGTAGCGCCGCAGTTGCGAGATTGTGATCTCAGTAGACACTGGTGACGACCAAAGCTGACGCAGAACTTGCATGCCAGCAGATTTGAGATGTATTAACCAAGACACAAAGCCAGTCTCGTCACCATGCGGATAGTCCCGAACGAGAGCTATGAGGCCGTCAAATAACGACATACCATTCTCGAACGCATCTGCAACAGTCAGGCGCTCCCCGAGTCGCCTGAAGCCAAGTAAGATGTGGGCAATGTTCGCCAGCTCGGGTTGTGTTTCCAAGCAGGCGTTCAAGAAAGCAATCACCCCGTCTTTGTACAGGTAGCCCGGGGCTTCGAAAGCACCCTCGAGCTCACGCTCATCGACCTGGAGCTTGACAGCAAGCAACTCTGATACGTTCATAAGGGTGGCGATAGCGTTCGGGCCGAGAAGGTCGACAATTCGCCTTGATCGATCGTGAAAGGTATGCTGGGCCATGAAATGGTTGTTCAGCTTCGCCGAGCTGGACAGCTTCTGGAGAAGTGATAAGGCCTTCAACGACAGATCAAGGTGGTCGCTTGCTGCATACTGACACAAGTCTAGAATGATCTCGGGGTGTGCCAAGACGTGCTCCTCCATAGATGCCTGGCCAACCAAAGATCTCTCGTAGGGTGTCTCTTTAAGTAGTGGCTTGACTACATCGAGATAGGTTGCCTGCGATGTCAAGGCTTGGTTAATGACATCGACCGTTCGCTGAATGCTTTGAACGAGTGGCGACTCGGAGAAAGCGCCAGTCACATCTTGTTGGGAAGACTTGAATATTCGCATGAGAGGTTTGTCCATCTCTGTGCTCAAAACCCATTGCATCAGCCTTGCAAAAGGATGCCGCTGCATGTAGGTGACAATCTCTGTCGACGCAGTCTTTGCTAGCCCGCGGTTGAGTAAAGCAGCTCTGTTCTGATCGAACGACTCCAGGCCAATTGCAATTGCATCGAGGCAGTGAAATGTACACAGGAGCGCTTGCGGCGTTTCTGATACTTCACCAAGGCGCTTGGTCAGGATTTGCCCGCAAAGGAAATCGATGTATGGCACGATTCCGGCGCTCCGATATGTCGAGCCGAGATCCTGGGGAAAAGTCGGCAGGCTGTGTCCTTGCACGGGGATTAATAATGTGCGCAAGAGGCTCACGAAAGCGTCATATTGATCGATCGACGAGGCGATCGTTGCCAGGGTATTCTGGAGGGCAGCAATTGTTGACGCAGGAGTGGCATCCGTCTTCGTTGTGGCGGATTTGACAAGCTCGCTGCCATTTGACGCCCATTCATCGATTTTGACCCACATCGCTGCGCCTCTATGCCAATCCTTGTCTGTTAGCATAGCATCGAGGGTGGCAAAGATGCTGGCTTTGAGATACGAAGGAACCGGACCAGAGCTTAGCAAGAGCAGCACGCGCGGGAAGTCGACAGAATGTTGTAGCACGAACTGCCTCGTAACGGGACTGTGCCGACACAGATGAGCGATAAGCCTTAGGTAAGATGACAACATGATCGGGGTCTCGGTTTCGTTCATATCAGTCGGGAGAATTTTGCGATTCGCCAGGTTCGATGTCGTAGTTCGTTCGTGAACCTTGAGAGCATACAGTTCGAGCTCGGCAAACATCTGTGCAAAGTTCATGGACGGTACACGGCGCGATCGTGATAAAGAGGTAGGAACTGATTCTTCCAGAAGAAAAGTGTGAGCCGCTGCAGCTCCATCCGCACCCTCGGCAATCGAACAGAGCATCTCGCAGAATGCGCTGACACGGGGAACAGTCTGTCTTTTCGAGGCCCACAAGAGGAAGCCGTACAGTGTACTCTCTTGATCCTCCCACCATTGCTCCGCTGCATCTGGTCGATTCTCAAATGCGAACGAGATCAAAAGTAAGAGGGCTTCCATATGCATAGGTAGAGGGCGATCTGACTTGGGGTCGGGGCGGATGCCTTGCTGCATCGTAGCAATCTGTTCTAAGCGCAACTCGTCTTCTTCAGTCTTCAACTGTCGAATGCTATCGGGCATGTTTGAGATCCATGCTTCGGTGAACGATTCCAGGGACTCCATCATCATGATACGGAAGTATTCTGATGTCTGCTCCCCGTCCAAGCTGAACTCGGGAGAATTGCTCAGAAGATGAAGCACCAATTCATTACGAGCAGGGGGGCGCCAAGCATTGTTGGTTATGGTCAAGGAGATAGCTAGGAGAAAGCTGAGAGCATGTTCCTTTAAGGCGTACTTGAGCTGCTCCGGGCACCTCTTCGCATCTGGCTCATGTTCTCGGCCAGGCCCGAACAGACTGCTATACTGCACAGTCCAGCAAGCGCGCAAGACTGCATGAAAAGGGTCGAGAGCGGTAGCTGCGCGATCTGGCTTCGGCAAAGCGCCGAAAATGCCATTCAGAGTTTGTGCAGGTCCAGGCTCGGATACGTAGTCCACTTGACCATACTTTCTGAAAGCTGCAGAATATGCAGGTAGGTAATGCACGAGCAGGATATCAAGCTTTTGCCATCTCTGCGTCGTGGCGTGCAGCTTATGCAGATCATTGATGCTCGAATAGCCGGGCTCTGGCTTGAAAAGATAAGCAAGAATGCAGCTCAGGGCTTCGTGTTGTTTAAGAAGGCTACCCTTCTGGAACTCTAGGATTGCATCGTACTCTGGCCCAGCAAGCTGCCCCACGGTCTCCTTGTTTTGTAGTTGGTTGTTCACAGCGTTGTACCGGTCTTCGAGCATCTGCAAGCCAGCCAGACATTTTGAGATGTAAAGAGATCCATTGTCAGGCTTTACTGTGGTTTGCAAGACCTCTTTGACGATCTTCTCAAACCCGTCAAGTCGCAAAGCTGAATCTAGTTCGAGATCCTCCGCATGTTGCAACACCAGGCGCAGAGACTGTAGAAGGAGATCGCGACGGTCCTGATAGTCGGCTACAGCTTTCGCGATGAAAGTGAGGTTTGGTCCGACAGTGTCGCCATAGTCTCTAACAATGATTTTGGCTGTCTCGATCTCGTTAAGGTCGATTGCGGTGCCCAAAGCGACGCTGATGTGTTTGAACTCGTCGTTAATGCCGAATTCTGTGGCGTCCGTTGCATCACCAAGAACCACTTTGCCTGACCTGTATAACTCCTTATCTTTCTCCGAGGGCTCGGGCTTGTCAAGCAGATTGCGGAAGTCGTCCAAGGTTGACTCAAGTTCGAAGAGAAGGCGATCGAGCGTCGCCAGGCGCTTCTCGGTGAAGGCCACTAGGTCAGCATGTAGACCCTGGAGTCTTTCAAGGCTGTCCATACTGACCGAGACGTTCAGCGGCGATGTGCGGTACAGTTTGTGCTCAGAGAGGACGCGTCGAGATACAATGCAAAGAATTTGGAGCGCGTTGGAGGCGGAGGCGGAGAAAGTCTTGGCGCGGCTCGCTTATAAGAAGGAAACCCAGCATCACGCGGAAGGCACAGCTTATTCACCATCGCTTTCCTGCTCCTAGTAATTTTTCGACAAGCTTGGTGCTATCTCCATATGATGGCCGTCGAGTCTCGCACGAGCCACAGTGGATGCAGTTGGTCAGATGGCCAGGGACGAGAGGGACGATATCTTCTCGGCTTTAGGTACGCCCCGAACCCTCTGAAGACCTTTCGCGCGTACTCGCGCAGATCCCGTGTTGACCATATACTGACGTGCGCACCAGCGAAGCTCGATGGGACAACTAAGAATGTGAGAAAGAATGGCATCGAGGAGCTTGCATCCGTTCTCAAATCGAGACGCAATCGGGATACTCTCGCTGATCACGATCTCCATCGCGTGCTCGAATGGATCTACCAAGCCGTGAAGACATCCAGATCGGCCCATGTCAAGGCCACTCGATCTTCCAAGTCGACCACTGCTACCGACAAGCTTGAAGTTTGTGCGGCGGCCCTCCGCGCCACAGTCGAAGCCGGTCATGCCGTGCTCAGTTTCAAGACCGCTACTTCGGTACTAGACCATATCAGAGAGTCTCTGCCCATATCTGATGATGAGCTATGCGAACCTCTTCGTACTGATTACATCAAAGCATTCCGAGTACTGGTAGACTATGCCTCGTTTACAGAATGTCTGAAGGAGAAGCAGTGGCAAGGCTATCTCGAATTCATCGTCAACTTGATATCTGTGTCAACAGGAGATGATATCCTCGGGAGTTCGTTTGCTTCGAGCCGAGAGGCAAGTTTATCTAAGAGTGGAACCCCTCTTTCTGTACGGATAAGCCATTCTGCGGCTTCTCGCGGTGCGCAATCAAAGTCTCACAAGACACTGGACGACCTGATCGCTGCTCTACGCTCTCTGACTGCGCAAGCGAATGCTCCCGTCCTTGAGAGAGCGGAGCTGATTCTGGATACTGTGATCGATTGTCTGTTCTCGACGACAAGATCACAAGACGTGGCTCTCGAAACTTTCAACAATGTGGCTCAAGTGCTGCTGGGCAGTGACGTTCGTCTGCTGCACCGAAGTATCCTCGCACTCGTCCCAATCTTTCGACGAATATGGACAACGAAGTCTTCGACAACACGAGATCAGCTGCTTGGAACTCTGTCATTCTGCCAGTGCTTTTTTGTGGCAAAGCCTACGTCACCGATCGCTCTCGAGCTCGACACCAAAACGCAGCTGCTGGACGTCCTACAGACGGAGTATCAAAGCAGAAGCATTCGGGATATCTTCCAGATTGATGACCTTTCCCTCCTCCTGAGGATGAACCCAACTGGCCAGGTCTGTCATGCTCTGATTGCTCAGCCCAGTTTAGCCTCTCCGCTTTCGAACTGGCTTATGCTCTTGACAATAGCTCGATTACACTACGGAATTCATACCTCGACGCCACAGTCAGAACAGGACGACATATCGCAGAACCAGCCCAGAAAACGTCGGAAGGTGTTGACTCCTTTTGGAGAGCTCTGCCAACAAGCCACGAGGAGCACTGGCTTGGCTCAGGTTACCTCACTTCAGATCCTGGCCTGGAGCTTGAGCGAGCCCTTCGGTGATCAGATGTTTGAGGACCATCAATACGTGTTCGAGGATCTAGTTGCTTTGCTTGCCAACGAAAGCTCACCCGCTACTCCTTGGACTCTGTTGGTCTTGACAAATCTTGCTTTGTTGAGACAAGCTGCGGACAGCCGGTACGGGGTGCTCTGGAAGCGTGTGTGGGACTCGACCTGCAGGGCAACTGCTACGGCGAATCTAGCTCGTCCTGCTTGTCTACTAATTGCGACTGTGGTTCAGAGGCGGCTACTTGAAACATACCTGACCGCGCCTCTCTTGCAGAGCTCTCTTTTCTCCGGTGGTAAGAATGGCCCCGGCATCCTCGCAGATACCGCCTTCCTGATGTTCATCAACATCTTGCAATCAGATCTCCTCGACCGTGAGACCGCCTTCGAGGCTTTCAGCATGAAAGTCATATCATGGCTTTCAATCTATTGGAGCCTACCAAGCACGCTCGATCGAATACACAATGCACAGGTGGCAGCTTACGCTCAACCAGAGCTCGTGTGTACCTTACTGGCAGCCCTAAAAGGCGCGAGTCTGGCGATCAAAACCGTACCTAGACAACAGAGTGTATCGTCACTCGCCTTACTCGAAGCGTGGTCTCGAGAATCACAAGACCTGGGATTTATTATGGCTGGGAGCCCATTCGCTGTTGAGTTAACGTCGAATCAGGTCATAAACCTCACGTCAGTCTCACTGAGCGGCAAAATTCGTCTTCGTCTTGAGTCTGCTATCGTCGAGCTCTTGCAAGTCAAGCTACACGACTTCCAAGGTTCTTGGGGGATATTCAATTCAGCATCACGAGGAAGTGGTGTCAGCAATGACATCCTTCTCATTGCAACGTCTCTTTGCGTGGTGAGCTACGCAAGCTCTGGGCGATCCACAAATGACCCGACGCCGCCGAATACTACGCAAGAGCTGCCGACACAGTTGTGGGCTTCGATTCAGGACTTGCTCTCCAAAAAGAATCCCGAGTCCCATAGTCGATTATTTCTCGTAGCTTCTAGGGTTCTACGAGTCCAAGATGGTCTTTACGCGGAAGACTATTTTCACGCGAAGCAACTCTTGCCCTGCACAATAGTGCTCCGTCAATTGCTCAAGGACGCAGTCCAGCAATCTGAAGACGCGGAGATTGATGACGACGCAGAGGTTTTCGAGACAGTTCACTCACGGACTTCGCAAGGATCACAGCTCTCATCCGCGGTCTGTCAGGTGGATGTTGTGCGACGCGAGCCACTCAACGCCCAAGTACTAGCTGACAGCCTGGCGTCTTGCATCCTAGACCTTACTTCGGAGATAGAGAAAGGCCGCAGCGATGGCCATCTCTCAGCCAAGGCCTCGGCATCCTTCGTCGATGAAGTCTTGCTATTAGAGCCGGAGGAGCTTCTCAATGCTCGAAAGTCCCTTTACAGCTTCCTCGCAATTCACCCTTCCTTCGAACGCCAGGATGTTGCCAGGCTCATTGAAGCTTTAATCAACGCATGCCTCCACAAAAGCAAATTTGAACGAAGTGAGGCAGCGCTGTGTCTCTGTGCCAAGACCCTCACTTACCTTGCCCAGTACTGGACTGCCGATGGCACAGATGATTTAGTATCACTGACAGATGACATGTACACGCATTTCATTGAGGATGTGATGGGTAAACGCAGGGCCTCCTCGACAGTCCTGTACAGCATTGCAGAAATGCTCGACGCTGTTGCAAGCCACGCTCCCAATTTCGGAAAGGGGAGCTATCCATCGATACGAACCAGTCTGCTGAACGTCCTCCGCGACGCTTCGTGCCTCATTAAGGTTCGAATTGCACCTATTCTGACCCGACTGTTCGAGCGGTTTGTGCTAAGTGAGCACGGTGCAATCTTCGGTGATATCGTAGATGCGCTGCCAAGGAACAACGATAACATCGATGGTATCAGCGCACGTTTTCACATCCTGGCAGACTTAGGTTCCAAATGGCATACGATTCTCCGGCAGGCGATCTATTCACTCTTCGAGACTGCTGCCAGTGTGCCGTCATTAGCTGAGCTTGGCTCATCGCAGGTCGTCAGCATGTGCACGAAGCTTCACCTGGGATCCCCAAAGGAGCTGTTCTCGTTGTTCTCTTCCCCAATCCTACATACGTGGCTCGGACTAGGGAAGCTCAATGAGGTACCATTTCGCACCTTTGGCTACCACTCTCTGAAAGAATTTTGCCTGGAGAATGAGGATGAGCTAGTCGCTCAGACTGCGCTTCGTTCTTCTGGAGCACACGCAAAAGAGCTTGCTGAGATCCTCGATAAGACGTGGAAAGCCATGCTGCAACAAAACTTTGCGCGCGCAGAGGCATATTGCCTGGCGTCCCAAATCTCTATCCCAGATAAAGACCAGCTTGCAGCAAATTCCGAGGCAGCAATAAGAAAAGACCTCACAACATCGACCTATGCTCTGTCGATCCAGGCGGAGCTACCTGCAATTATAGCCATGTTGTTCAAGACGTTGCAGGATGATCGGAACATCGAGAGGGCTTTCGAAAAGGCTGGCCTGGTGAAAGCCCTGGCCGTTTTCCGTGAGATGTGTCACACGTCGAAGTCTGGTGCGGTATCATTTTCGGTGCAACAACCAAATTTCCGTTCTCGATTCCTGATTGACGAGATTCAGTGGCTCTGCAGTCGGACCGACCACGAATTCGCTGACATCTGGTCACCCGCAATGCTGACCTTTGTACAGCGCTCTCTTCTGCAAAGCGCTCACCCTGCGCTTGGTCCTCTACATGCTTCCACTGTACTGCGTAAGCTGCGGATCGTTGTCGCATTAGGCGCTGCAGATTCTGTACGAGGATACCCTCTCGAGATGCTCCTGCACAATCTGCGCCCCTATCTCACCGTCTTTCAGTGTTCTGAGGATGCAATTAACATCTACCAGTACCTACTAAAGGAGGGGCAAAGATACTTACAATCGCGCCTGTCATTCGTCGCCGGGCTTAGTATTTCTGTTTTCGCGTCTCTTACAGCTTTCGTTGCCTTGTCTCAAGACAGCACCACACAAGAGAGCCATTTCCTCTCGACTATGTCCAATGCTGAATCATTCCGGAACTGGCTTGGTACGTATTTGCTTGGGTTAGAAGTGCAAGAGGGAGAGAAGTCAAAATTTGAGACACTTTGTGCCATCGTTGGACATGCGAAATCCATGAATGGTAGTGGAAGCAGCTCACAGAGTTCACACCAGGGGGCAGTTCTCCTTCTGCTGCTCGAGGACCAGTGCTCCGAAAAGCCATTGCTACAACCAACGGATTACTATTTATCAATTTCGATCCTCTGTAACGATTTCGTCGGAGCCACTAGTCCAGCAGATGACATACTGGCTTCCCCTGCAGACGCAGCCCGGATGATACCGACCCTAGAGAAGACCTTGCGCCATGCGACAGTCAATAAACAGTTCCAAGCGTGGGCTGCTCACACAATCGGCAAAGGGATATCGCTCCAGGGTCCGTTTGCAAGCGTGTCCCTTACGAGGGAGGCAGATCCGCTGATTCAGGCTGGACACAGTCTGAATGAGTCGTCGTCTTATGGTAGCATCGTTATATTCTGGGAAAGATTACTCTGGTCTCAGACCGGAGCAGCAGCAGCATCGGCCGAACAGTGTCTCCAGGTTATTGCGAGTGGCCTCGAGTCCAGCCATGTAGCTGAATTACTCAGCTCAGAATCAAGTCAGCGCTTGTTGAAGGAACTCCGCTTCGAAAAGGTCATCTGTCCTGCCATGCGGAATCAGTCAGGCAAGGCTCGACAAGGAAGAGCACTTCAACATTGGCATCTCACTATGGCTCGTCAAAACTGGGCTGCAGAGTTGCTTGTCACTTTGTGCACTGAACTGGAGCAGGATCTCATTCTCAGTACACTCGAGTGTTTCGCAAGCATTGAGCCTGAATCAGCCGCACTTCTACTACCATATGTGGTGCATATTGTTCTGTCAGCAGAGCTAGACGGCTCCCAGAAGGTTCGTGCCAAACTCTCCGACATTTTCACAGACCTGTTCGCGAACGACAACAAACTACGACAACAGGACACTCGTCTCGCCCTTGATACTATCATCTACCTCCGAAGATGCAGCATACCAAACGAGAACAATATCTCCCGACGGGATGGGTGGCTTGATGTCTCCTATGCAGATGCTGCAAAAGCTGCGGCACGCTGTCAGATGTGGCATACCGCATTACTACTACTCGAGTCGCACCAGGCAAACATACATCTACAGTCAAGTCGTACATCTCGCAGGTCCACGGACTCAGCAGAACGAAGTCTTCCTGACATTGTTGATGCTATTTTCCAAAATGTTGATGATCTTGATTTCTTCTATGCAGGCCACGAAGACGTGGATGTCCAGTCCATTGTCCAGCGACTTGAACATGAAGCCGCTGGGGAGAAGATGCTTTCGTTCCAGTCCGCCATGTTCGACGCTCGAGGCCGTGCTGATGGCCGGTCCAGTGCCTTTGCAGACTCGACCAATGCCACGGTGCGGGCTCTAAGTTCAGCCAATTTGAAAGGCCTATCACAAGTCGTGAGCGGACTGTCAAATGGACAGCTCAATGCAGTGGCCATAATGGCTGATGATGCCGCATTCGGCCTACTGGATTGGAACGTGCAGCCCGAGGAAACTTCCACAAAACACACCGGGTCTGCGCTCAGTCACCTGAGAGCTCTTTCGACCGCGTCCGACAAACATGCCATAATGGCATCGCTTGACGATGGCCTGTCGTCCCTCGGCCAACATCTAACGACATTTCGACTTCAGCACGGAGAGCATGAGGAGAGCCTCATCGGCCTGGCCCTTCTGTCGGAAGCTAAGGATGCACTATCTTGCTCCAGCAAAGACGATATCGAGTCATACTTTGAGTCCCTGGGTAGTATAGACAAGTGGGGTTCGAAGGAAGACTTCGATGTTGTCTCCAGGTTTCTAAACACCCGGGAGTATGTCTTTGGTACCATCTCGCGCAGCCAGCACCTGCGTACAGCTGTCGGTCTTACAGCGCCACAAGCGCTACTCCTGGAGGCAAGATCAGTTCGGCAATCTCTGCAGCTTGCGCAGAAGCACAACAGTGCTCAATTTTCGCTCTCTCGCGCAACCTACTTCTCCGACCTTAGTCGTACAGCAGAGCCACTGGGCGTAAATATCGAGGTCGCCTCACACTATGATCTAGCGAGAACGCTTTGGGCGCAGGAGGAAGCAAGTGCTTCGGTTAAGATCCTGAGGGGTCTAAGTCAGAGCTCTGACCTGGACAAGCAAGCCATACCGGTTACGCTCTCTGAGATACTTGCAGACCTCGGCCAGAAAGTAACGGAGGCACGGCTTGAGCCTCCTAATGAAGTCATCGAGAACTACCTGGTGCCAGCCTACAAAGAGCTTGGATCCGACTCCGCAAGCGCGAAAGCAGGCCAGATCTTCCACATATTCGCCGCGTTCTGTGACGGTCAGCTGCAAGATCAAGAAAGTCTGGATGAGTTCCATCGCCTCACAGCCATCAAGGAGACAAAGGAGGCCGAAATTGATGACTTGAAAAAATTGCTGAATAACCGTGAGACGAAGAATCGCGATCATATCAAGAATGCCTACAGCAAAGCCGTTACTTGGTACAAGCTAGACAAGGAAGAGTGGGATCGTGTGCGGCAGAACCGCGAAAGCCTTGTGCTAAGATGCATCGAACACTACCTTCTTTCGCTGAAAGCGTCAGATAGTTTTCCGAACGACACGCTTCGAGTGCTGACCATCTGGCTCGATGAGGCCGACGAACCAAAGGCAACCGAAATAGTAAATACTCATCTCAGAAACGTCCCGTCATGGAAATTTGCGGGATTGGTCAACCAACTGATATCGAGACTTCTGGACAGCGAGGACGGGTTTCAGCAGTGCCTGATGGATATCATGTTCCGCATCTGTTCGGATCATCCATTCCACAGCCTTTATCAGCTTTTTGCTGCTTGCAAGAGCAAGAGCAACAAGAATGACGAAGTTGCAGTCTCCCGCCACGCGGCAGCGAACAAGCTGGCAGATGCGATTTTGAAGCGAAGCAGGTCCAAAGAGGTTTGGCCTACGGTTCACAATATCAACATAGCCTTTGTGAGAATCGCACAAGCAAGGCTCAACGACAAGGATGTCAAAATGAACTCCAAGCTACCTTTGAGTAATCTTCCTGCCGGCGCTGATCTCATCCGAGATGTGAAGAACGGCTCCAGGCGGATCCCTCCACCGACTATGAAGATCGCCATTCGGCCTGATCGAAAGTACTCTTCCGTCCCGGTTATGGTCGATTTTGAACGCGATGTCACCATTGCCGGTGGCGTGTCGGCTCCAAAGGTGGCTGCAGTCATTGCAACGGATGGCTCCCGACACAAGATGCTGCTCAAAGGTGGCAACGATGATCTTCGACAGGACAGCATAATGGAACAGGTTTTCGAGCAGGTGTCCAACCTTCTGCAAGATCACCGCGCGACTCGCCAGCGCAAGCTGGGGATCCGCACCTACAAAGTCGTTCCTCTGCTCGCCAACGCTGGCATCATCGAGTTCGTCCAGAACACCACGCCTCTACACGAGTATTTGCTTCCAGCACACCATCGCTACTTTCCCAAGGATTATACACACAACCGTTGCCGCAAGGAGATCAGCAACGCCTCCTCCAAACCACTCGGACAGCGCATTCAAGCCTATCGCACCGTATGTCAGAACTTCCACCCGGTCATGCGCTTCTTCTTCATGGAGCATTTCCTTGACCCAGATGACTGGTTCTACAAGCGCCTCAATTACAGTCGCTCGACCGCTGCCATTTCCATCCTCGGTCACGTCCTTGGCCTCGGCGATAGGCATGGCCACAACATCCTTCTTGATACCAACACTGGCGAAGTGGTTCACATCGATCTCGGTGTTGCTTTCGAAGCAGGTCGCGTTCTGCCGATCCCCGAGGTGGTCCCTTTCCGTTTGACCCGCGATCTGGTAGATGGAATGGGCATCTCCGGCGTCGAAGGTGTATTCCGACGATGCTGCAACTTCACGCTCGAGGCCTTGCGCCGCGAGCAGGAATCCATCATGACAATCTTGGACGTCTTGCGCTACGATCCTCTCTACTCGTGGTCAGTCTCCCCTCTGCGTGTGGCGCGAATGCAGGAAAACGCAAATCGTGCTGGCGGGGCAGGGCAGGAGACCAATGCGACGAGCACAACTGACGGTGCCCTCCCCGGTGGCGGAGGGAGGAGAAGAGACATTGACGAGAGTGCAGAGGCGAGCAGGGCCCTGGCGGTGGTGGCTAAGAAGTTGGGCAAAGGCCTGAGCGTCGAAGCCACCGTCAACGAGCTGATCCGACAGGCGAGCGATGAACGGAACTTGGCGCTGCTGTTCTGTGGGTGGGCGGCTTATGTATAGAATGAGGGAGGCATGGAAGGGAGTGCTATTTCCTGTAGTGACTGCATCTTTCTAAAAAGGATGCGTCTGAAAGGTTCATGGAGGAGTCGAAATGCTGCGTTCGAGCAAGCGATTCAGCGGATATGTTTGTTCTTCGTTACCCAGAAATAGAGGAGTACATTAGCAGCGACGAGCACATATATTTCGATCAAAAGTTACACGAGACTCACCCCTCTGTCGCGGGATGCGTGTCGATACCACGTACGTCATACACCATCGCAAGTTGTGCCCAGAATGAGCTGCTTTGTTTTCTACGTATTAGCGAGCGAGAGACAATGTACTTCGTTGTTGATACTCGAACGGCAGCTAGGCATGCTTCCAGCCATTCCAGATGAGCAGGTGCATCTCATCTATCAGACACATCTCGCCCTTGCCCAGCTCTAGCTCCCGCTTGGCCAACGTTTCCTCGTCCTTAAGCCATTTCCGGACTCTTCCCGTGACCGCCTTGAGCTGCTTTTCTGCACTGGGTGTCCGCAGACGGTTGATCCGGTGCAGCCAAGTTGCTAGAACATACTGTGTGCCGGAGAGAAACATGTTTTCATCAGGTCCAAAGTGCGTTTGATTATAGGCTTCGATCGTATACCCGACACGGACAGAGGGGTTAATATAGGTGCCAGCGTTCGATGGGTTGGAGGTCGCAAGGTCTGTGTGGATGAGGCAGCATTCCGATCCCTCGAGGTGTTTGCTCGCGAGAGAATCGGGAATGGCGCGAAAGGGGAGGCCAAGCTTGCTATCGTCCATCGGTGGTGGGAGAGAGTCGGGACGTGGTCCATAGAATGGCGCAGAATCCATCAGGAGCATGCCATTCCAACAGGAGGAGACTTTGGTGGCGGTGCCGCGAAGCATAGAGTTGAGGGACTCGGAGGGCCTAAAGTATGGAAACTGAGAAGCGAGCGTGCGGTGGCCGTTGGTGTCGCGAAGTACAAAGGTATCGTAGTACCCACCTAGGGTCACGGGGTCGGCATAATCGAGCGCGCAAGCGGCAGTGTAGGAACCTTGATTCGTGGCCAGAAGGGAGACAACGTCAGATGGTTTAAAGACGACATCGTTGAGGAAGAGGATCTTGTCATAGGACCGGCCAGCCTCCTTCTCAGCCAACAAAGGTTTCAGTGAGAGATTGCGCAAGCGGGCGAGATATGGAATGCGTCGCAATTCCTTTCCTTTTTGACCAGCGGGCGGCAACACCCAGCCAGGTCGGGGTTTGCCGCCCTCGTCGAAAGGCCCAACGTCCATCTCGTCCTGGTGGGTCGTGTTATCCAGAACAATACTTCGCTCCAGTGTGGGGAAATGCTGTGCAAGCAGACTCTTGTCGAGCCAAGTCAGCATGTCTTTCGTGTTGTCCAAACTTCCCGACTCGTAAATGCTAACGAAGACATTATCGGGACCTAGCGTTTCAACCAAATCCACCAGGGCCTCTGCCCATCTGTAGTAGATTACATATGCATTGGTCCAGAACGTGGCTACTATGAAGATTTTCTGGTTCCGTGCAGGTGTCGGTAAGGACGATGGGTCTGTGTACGTATGCGACAGCAAGCTGTTCGAGAACTCTCGATAGTTCTTGAGGATTGTCAGGACATCAAGGAGTGTAAGGGCCGCGAGGGCATAGAGCGCAAAGCGAAGGAATCGTCGTTGGGGGTTTCGACGAAACCGACGTCGTGGTAGCATGGCTGGACTGATCACGACCCGGTGCCGCCATCAGGTCCAGCTCGAAATTGATGCATGGCAGCATCGCTCATGCGTGTCCAGAAGAATGCCAGACAGGTCAAGGGGGGGGAGCGCGACAGCGGCGTTCCCGCCTGTCAAGCGCCACTGCCGCGTCGCCCAGAAGAGTATCAGCCTTGGCACCAACGCTGAACGAGCACCACTCTCAACCTCAGCTCAGACGATCAATAGTTTACAAGAAGAATACACTCTGAATCCCTTGAAATGCTCTTTATTATGCGACATTAGTACTCTTGATAGCTGGCACACAAACCAGAGAATTGGTCGTGCCCCTGATGACAACGGCGCGAGAAATCTACGGACGGAAGTGGTTTCAGCAATGGATTACTAGCTAATGGGACATGAGGTCCTGGCCGCGGCGTTTCCAATGACTTGCGCTTCTGGGAGCTAGTGAAGCCATACGAGTACGGAGCACTGACAACAGAAATTGAATCCAATGTGTTCGCAGTCGCTCAGCCGAACAACGTGCAGGTATACTGTGTAGGAGGCCGGCACATTATACGCTAGACCCAGAATGGAGATGAGTTGACCTCACCTTGAGGCAGCCCGCCGTCATTCACCACGCTTCTTCTCTCCTTCCACCGTTCCATATTCCCGCGCGCTTGACCGTGCAGCACTCTTCGATAGGTAGAGGCTCGCCGATGCGACCGCGAGCATGCTGCCACCAAATCTCGTAGAGCACTGCACCGCTCTCACCCGAGTCAATTATACGAACTTCGCATTAAGCCTGTATGCCTGCAACTACCCAACAGCTGGTCTATACTGATCTCTCTACAGCCTTCTCTTCATTGGTATCCTGGTTTCGTACCTCCCGCAACATGTTCGTATCATCCACCGCCGCTCGTCGTTCGGCATCTCGCCCTACTTCGTCCTACTGGGCACCACCAGCGGAACCTGCGCCTTCGCCAATATCTTGGTGCTGCCCACCTCGCGCGCAGATATGGCTTGCTGCCACGAGATCGATGGCTTTCCTTGCTTCGCCGGCCTGCTTGGTATTGCGCAAGTGGGCATGCAGTGGTCATGTTTCTGCCTCATGTACACCAACTCTACCCCGAAACTAAGTAGAGCGACCGCTAACGCGACCGCAGTCTCCTTCTCTTCGTCCTCTTCTTTCCGCGCGACGGCACCACATCCGATCCTGTGAAAGACCCCACTGCGCCCACCTATCGCACAGCATTGGTTGTCGCGGGCGTCTGTGTCGCTCACGCCGTAATCGTGATCGTCCTCTCGTGTGTTTTTGTATGGGCGGCGCAAGATCATCTCCAGGGTTGGGCGAACTTCCTCGGCATCCTGTCCACTATACTGGCGAGCATACAATACTTTCCACAGATATACACCACCTACCAGTTGAAAAGAGTGGGTAGCCTGAGCATCCCCATGATGTGCATTCAGACACCAGGTAGTTTTGTGTGGAGTGCCAGTCTGGCGGCTCGTCTCGGGCCGGCAGGATGGAGTGCATGGGGTGTGTATCTGGTGACGGGCTCGCTGCAGGGGACTTTACTTGTGATGGGGAGCTACTTCGAGTTTGTGCATTGGAAAAGAGAAAGAGAGGAGCTGGAAGGAAGAATTGCGCAAGGCAACGGGAGCACGGCGCCTGGGGAAAGTGTCTCTGCTGAGCATGACGAGCGGACACCCCTGCTCCGGCCAGATTAATCTATGGTGGGCAAATCTAGCTCTAAACCTTACTCTCTTTCAGACCAGGCACCGGTGTGCCTACCGGCGATGTGACGGGCGTCCCTTCTTCCGGTGCATGTGTTTTGCCATCAGCCATTGCCGTCATCTCCTCCAGCTCCTTGTCCGTTGTGCCTGCTGATGCAGGCTGCCCGCTCTCGCTCACATACCGAATATCCGCGAAGGAGATACCGTATTTCATATAGTCGAAGTCCTCCAGTGTCGCCAGCATCTCAGCCCACCCATCCCCAATCTCACCCACATGCCCCGGACTTCCCTTGAGTGGCTCCCCCGCCGTGTGATCCAGATCTTCCTCCTTATGCTCCCCTGTGTTTCCTGCCAGCACCTGTTCCACTCTATCCTTGTAGACCTCAAGCAGACCCTTGTGAGGACACCAAATGGTCCGCATCCCCGCTCTCCTGCCCGCCTCCACGCCCGGCACACTGTCCTCAAATACCAAACACTCCTCCGGCTGCACATGCCGTTCGCCATTCCCCTCACTATCGATCCCGTCATTAATACACTGCAACGCCAACAAGTAGATATCTGGTAACGGCTTTCCCCTACCACGCGGGATCCTGGGGTCATCGCCTACCACCCGCTGCCGCTCCGGGAACACCCCAAACATCTTGCTCATGTATTGCGTTTTGATGTCATAGTTGCGCCCATGACTGCTGGTCGCCAGCGCCAGCCTGACCTTCTTGCCACCTCCGGCGGGACTCCGCCCGAAGCTGGGGACTCGGGTGTGGGCACCGTCCAGGCGGGCCAACAGGTTCTTCACGCCTGGAAGCGGTTTGCACTTCTTGAACGCCTCGGCCTGCAGCTCCTTCTGGCGGGCCATGAACTGCTCTTCGGTGAGCGGCAGCTGCGCCCATGCCCGGAAGATCTTGCCCGCGGAAGGGCCTGGCCGACCCTGCAGTTGCGCCTTGATGGACCAGGGTAGGTCGGGCCGACCGTTCTCGCGCAGGATGGTGTTGGTGACTTCGGTGTATTGGTCTTCGGAGTCTATGAGGAGGCCGTCCATATCAAATATGCAGGCACGGACCGGAGGAAACCTGGAGGAATGTGTCAGTGCATGCCGCAGGGCAATGACAGCGACGCTGAGCGCAGGGACAAGCATACTGGGTTTTTTGCGGCATAATGGCGGACGCTGTGGCAGGCACCAGAGGAATATTAGTCTAGGAACAAAGATACGGAAGCTCGAGGTTCGAAAGCTCGAGCGTGTATCTAGTAGGAGAAGATAGAGTCGCAAGTATCGGGCGATCATTCAAAGTCTACCCTGTACCCTGCACTTTTTTTCGAAGATCTGCGGGCACATGGCGGGGCAGTAAGATCTTTCCGAGACGCGTCTCGATCCAGGGCAGTTACAAGAACTACCATCTTTCTCACAAGCTTCCATTACCGCTCTCACGCCGCATCATCGTCGTCGCAGACTCAGCATGTCATTCAAGTCCTCGGGTCCCAAAACCCGTCCTTCACGCGTCAAATCCCCATCCGGCGCACCTCCCTCTCCACCCCACCCGCAACCAGCAACCACTTCGCGCACATCCCGGCCACGCCGCGCCTCCAGCGCCTCCTCCTCATCCAGCACGACCTCCTTCCACTCTGCTCACTTCCCCGCCGCCGAAGAAGCCCGCATGGTCGCCGCCTCCCACAGCATCAAGACGGCCGCCAATGCGCAGTTCGCCGCCGCCGACTACACCTCGGCCATTGGCTCATATGATCGTGCGGCGGCGGAGCTGCCCAGCTACTTGGACTACGAGATGGCTGTGCTGCAGAGCAACATTGCCGCGTGCCACCTGAAGATGGAGGAGTGGAAGGAGGCGCTGGCGGCGTGTGAGCGTGGGCTTGACGGCTTGGAGAAGGAGTGGCCTTTGCCGAAGAGGAAGGGGGTTCGGTCGGAGGAGGAAAAGACTGGGGTGACGGACGGGGCGAGGAAACATGAGCAGCAGGAGAAGGAGCAGGACACGGGGGAGGGTGAGGGTGAGGGAAAGGTGGTGGAGTTGCCGGAGGATGCGGACGAGGACGAGGTGCAGGAGCGATTACGGGATCTGGACTTGTCCGACAGCAAGAAGGCGGATATCACTCGCATACGGATCAAGCTGTTGCTGCGACGAGCCCGGGCACGGTCGTCGATCACGCCGGCGAGTTGGTCGCATCTGGCGGGGGCAGTGGAGGACTACTCTCTTCTATCGACACCGGAGTACATGTCGCAGCTGCCGACGTCGGATCAGAAGACGGTGCGAAGAGCACTGGTCGAGTTGCCCCCAAGAGTGGATGAGGCCAAGCAGAAGGAGGTGGCGGACATGATGGGGAAGCTCAAGGATCTAGGTAACGGTATTCTGAAGCCGTTTGGATTAAGTACGGACATGTTCAAGATGACGCAGGATCCAAACACTGGGGGGTGGAGCATGGCGTTTGACCAGGGCGGTGGGAAGGGCGACGGCGGTGCAGCGAGCAGGGGTGGGGCAAAGTCAGAAGAGTGACGAGCAAGCCTAGGTGGCTCTGGCGACCCATAGCTGTCTGAGCCGCGGACATGGCACAGGCGGTTTTGCGAGTCGCAATCGTTGTGAATGCTCTGGTGTGCTTCGATGAATTGCGCCTCGACTGTATTATCTTATGCGCCGTAGTCACTTGCGTGGGGTGCGGCAGTCCCGCCTTCCTTCTTGCATTAAGTGTATCTCCTGCAGCACTTGGGCGATCTCCTGATTATATTCTCTTCCCAGCGCTGTAGCCCTCGTAACGCAAGCCTAAGTAATAGAAATCGTCAATGGTGGTTATTTCAGGTGTTGCGTTGGGTTCTTGGAATCGAATCTAATTGGGTGCGGAGACGAGGCCAGGGCTTCAGGGGTAAAGTGAAGTCCACCGAGAAGTGCTCATAATCAATCTTATTGTGAATCGAAGAAAGGCAAAGTCACGATCACCCACTCTGGATGGCAAATGCAGCAACAAAAATTTGCAATGCAGCGATCAGGGTTTCTGAAAAAGTGTCTCGCGGTTATGTCTGGGTCAAAGGCCACTGCGAGGAGAGACGACTTCATTACGGTCAGCTGGATGGGCGATATCAAATCATGACCAGGAAGGAAGTTTATCTCAAAGACCTGTGGCCGTGTTACAGCTACCAAGCAATGCTACGGTACATTGAGTATGCAGTGTATCTGCTTCAGTCCTTGAGAAGTAAAATCAAAGCATTGTTGTATGCCCATTCCCATCGGAAGATGCAAGACTTCCGGGAATATTGCGTATTCGTTATTCCCGTGACATGGCCTCCCATCGTCATCAACGCGCTCAAATCACGCCAGGATGCGCTGCATGCTCGATGTCGTGAACTGTTCTGCTTCTGGCATTAGGCACTCCCATCCGCTCGCTGTCGTGCGGTATGCGTGAGTCGGGCTTTGTGTCCAACTGTAATGCGAATAGAAAGAAGGTTCTGGCAGTCTGGTGAAGGGGAACTGCTCCAAAGCCTATCATGTTGCAGAAAGTCGCTTCTTCTCTGCAGTGTAATCAAAACAAGGAAATTTGGTGACCCAAGGTCGATGAGATGTCCGGTGCATCTGTAAGGGTTATCGTGGACAATAGGGAGATCCAGGCAATAGACAGCATGTCGATCTCCTACATCGACGAGCTATCTTGGTCGTAGTCGCCAACGGAGTGGTGGGATTCGTAGTTGTCCAAGTTCTGCTCGGAATTGTTGGGCTGACGAATGCCGAAGAGGCTGTAGTTGGTCTGGTAACCACTGGCAGGAGAGTACTGTTTCACACAATTGTTAGCATGCATGACGTTGTAAACCCAGAGGGATTGGCATACCTGTTGGCCCCACATGTGAGAGCTCGCGCTCTGAATAGGATGTTGAGGCTGCATGGGAACAGGCGAGCCAGGAGGTGCAGGTCCCATACCACCACCGATACCATGAGTGAAGTCGCCCGTGGACTGGAATGGGGAAGGCTGGAACATAGGCCCAGCTCCACCAATCGTACCGAAAGGCGCTTGCAGAGCTCCAGGAGACTCATGAACATATCGAGACTCACTCTCCCGCTTGAGTAGCCGTCTCTCGGCATATCCCTGGTCTGACTCGACGTCCACCAGCGCACCAGGTGACTCAAGAGGACTGCCGGGCGAAAAAGGTCCATGGAAGTAGTCAGCTACAGGGCTTCTACCCTGCTGACGCCGAGAGGAGCGGGTAACATGGCGCTGGGGAGTTTGAGGAGGTTGGAGCATTGGATATGGCGTCGAAGGCGCTTGGAAAGGGTGAGGAGAGTGGGGAGAGACGTCATCGAAGTCATCCTCGGGGCGTGGAGTGGCAGGGGCCACCATGACAACACCATTGTTCGACTTCTTGCGCTTCGAAGGCGGCGGCGCACTGCCATCTTTCGCTTGCTGCTCCGCGACGATCTGCTTCCCTGCAGTCATCTGTGCTGCCTTGAGCTTGTTCAGAGCACGATTGGACTCAACGCGGCTCTTGGCCTTGACCGGGTCGTCTACAAAGCTGTACCGGTAGGGAGCGTCGAACAAATGCTTGCAGATAGTCTTGGATGAGAACATGGCAACTGCGATGGCGTCGAAACGCATGGCAAAATTGTCCAAGCTGACACTGTCGCGGGCCTTGCTAAGATCCCACGAGGTCAAAAGCGGATCCACGAACACGCTTCGCGAGATACAGGCCTGCAGAATCTCCCAGCAGAGGCATTCGACGAGTTTTTGGTCGTGCCGACGCTCCAAGAAAGGTTTGACCATTCCCTTGTTATCGTCACAGTTCTGTGAGTTGTTGAAAGCTCTGACGAGGACTCGAATGTGGGATTTCAGGGCTTGTGGGGTGATAGGGATAGTATGGTCGGTAGGAGCCTTGGCCTGGCGGCAGGCAGCACGGTAGAACTCGGCAGTCAGACCATCCGGAAAGTAAGTCTGAGCGTTGGTGTTGTGCAAAGTCGCAGACTGGGGAATCTCATCCAGACCCATCTTCTCATATGCCTTGTCTCGCAGAGCATCGTTGGTAACGATTCCTTGATCGGTGTGAAACTGAGAGTAGATGTGTTTGCCTTGTCTAGAAGCCAGGTCAAATTCTTGCGGACGGGGAATGTTCGCATTTTGCGCGGTGTTGAAGGATTGCATATGGAAGGGGCTGACTTGAGGGGGCACAGTGTAAGTCATTATGGCAGACGACTGCGGAGCCGAGGTTGAGATCGGGTAGTCAGTCTGTTGGAACGGATGGCTATCTTTCTGGTCGTCACCAGAGTATGAAGAACGGTTGCCTAGACTCGACATGATGTTGGAGAAGGTGAGAGGTAGGAACTGTAGTCCGTCGAGGTGGTAAGAAGGTCTTTCGTGTGGAGGTTTGCGGCGCGTCCGTCGTGTTATGGTGGAATAGTAAGAACGAGGAAGGTGACTGTCGCAAGATAGAAGAAGTTGTCACTTCGAGAGCGTGATCTCGAGGCACTGGCTTGGATCGGCAGTGAAGTCCCTCAGGGTTTGTTTCGTCAGGGAAGTAACAATTCCAGACTCGCGCTCTTGGAGGCAAATCTGGACTGCTCTCGATTGAGTATCGAGGCAAAAGATTGAAAGGTGCGAGTGTGGTGGAAGAAGATAGGAAGGTCGTTCGGACTTGTATGAGGTTGCCAAGACTGAGTTCTGGTTGCATCGGGAACAGGAAGGTCTGCTGCGGTTACAGCTGGCGGTGATGTCTCACTGCAGGCACATGCCCCGCATGTATCCTTCACTTGCCAGTGAAACTGCTCTCGTCGATTGTTCCTATTCTGAAAATCCGGGCCATCAGCCTTTTCACCCTGCATAAGCAGTCATCAAAGCCTTCAATAACCGCTCTGCGCATTGGCGACAGCACTGGCATCGGTCAACCAGCTTTGTTCCTCTGACCTGAAGGCACCAAAGATTCAGAGTATGCTACCTGTGAATGTGATGACAATGAACAACTGATACTGTTGTCTGCGGACAAGAAGCGTATACAGGATGGGGAAGCGAATTCGGAACCGTGCCATATTCACGAATCACTTCATCCTCATGGAGCCACCCCGCTCCAAGAGAATGAAAGATCCTCAGCATCGAAGAGAATCTCACTCCCAGCCGGCAGACATGGACATATCATCGCCTCTTGGAGCTTGGGCAGCTCACTCTGGTCTATGGGCTCCGAAATTAGACAGCATCGACGATGGTTGCTGAAGAGCCGGGTCAGAGAAGGCTTCCAGTTATTCTGACTCTCACTAAGTCCGCCAGATTTGACAACGAAACACATCCAGTGTGTCCAATAGTCGTCAGGATCTCCAACGTCGAATTCGCCCATCGGCAAATCGCCCGCTGAACAACGAAAGCGGCCTTAGAAACAACATTCTCGTAAAAGCACTGATCCAGCTCTTGGGCTGATCTGTTGACCAAACAAGATATTGAACGTTGCAGCGTGGTGCTTTCTGTAAGAGGAAGGCCCTGGTCCTGCCATTCACTGTTGTAGCCGAGATTTGACAAAGCTGGGATGGCCACAAGGTGATTCAGAGAAAGAAGAGGCTAACTTCGCTGTCATGCACAAGCACCTTGGATATGGCTAGCATGGGACTCGCTCCAGAGCAAGATACCATGAGCTCGGCCACTGCAACCAAAGTGAATCGATGACAAGATCGCTCAGAGACCGCTGTCTCGATATCTTCGGGTTCCGCCGAGCACGATGTGCTCGAGGACTAGACAAAAGCCCATATAAAGCCCTCTCGAGGCTTGCACCGAGCGCCGATACCGACTGGCGTGCGCCTTACGTATCGATCGCCTGGTTACTCATAGCATCCGATATGTACATCCAGAGAAGTGCTTTGCTTCGATCGCATCTTGATGGTCTCGGGACTAGTCGAACCGCAAGAGGCGGACAAAGTACAAGTCACCATGACTGAATGTCGACGAAGTCATCAAAGATGCAAGAAGTAGGATGAAGGACCTGGCATCTTCCGATTCAGTACAAATCAGCGATCTCGTCCTGCCGGCGGCACGGTCCAGAACAGACCTGACTTTGTCTGTATTGGGTGACAAGACCGTCAACTGCACGGGATTCCAGGCCTTCGAAGCACTATTGCGACCGGCACATCCTGTCTGTCACCCTCTATCGGAGAGACTCTAGATCTGGACGACCTCCCGCCCGTCATGGGTTCGGGCGTCGGATAACAATATCTTTCGGGAAATTCGGTCCAGGACTTACGCTGCTCCTCGGTATTTTCGACGCTGTATACCCAGCCAGCTTGTTTAGCCGATTTATCACGCTCGGACGTCGACAACAGCGACCTGACTTGGTTGTCCCTGGATGTTGGCTCTTCCTACTGGGGCGGCGCAATGTTCAGTAGGCGTTAGATTGTTCACAGGTTTGAGCAACCGCCCGACTTTGCTGCTGTGCAGTCTGAGCAACTCAGCGCACCGTGTCTAGCCTCATCTCGATCATCATGGTGTTGACACCTCAAGCACTGGCGTCGGTGGTCTTGCATAATCTCGTGTTGTTGATTATTGCCTAGCAAGCCGTCAGCAGCATGAGCGCGAAAACCTTATAGCCTAGCAATGAAGCCACGACCAATGTCGCCATCGAAGTGGGCAATCGCAGGAAACGTGTTGGACGTTCCGATATGTCGACTTGATCTCTGTTGCGCTCTTTCGATGCCGCAGTCTTGTCGGCTTGAGAACCGTTCCCGATGATGGTTGAATGCTCGCACGACAGCACCATAGTGGCCGTAGCATCGGTCGGCATGTGAAGGTTGTGAGACTGTGTTGCCACATCGACAGCGGCTGGTGGCCCGATGGCGCTGGTGCTTCTGTTGGAACACTGGCAGCGACAGCTCCCAGGATGCTCTGCACAATGAGACAATGTCAGTGGACATCGACACCTCTGATTCTGAATAGTGGTCTGTGCTTACGAGCTCTGGGCCCTGAGAGACCAACGATTGATACCCCACGACATTCTTTATGGCTGATGTCGTCTCATCAATCAGTCTCTGCTCCATTAGACGCAGACTTGAGTGTGGCTGTGTCAGTGCCGCTTCACAGGGCGGAACTCCGTGGCGACGAGGATGTCTGCTTTTGTCACCCTTCAAGAGAGTTGCCAGGGTGGACTGCGACTTTTCCGGTTGCTCAAGCCTGGCCTGGACGACTTGTTCCTAGTTTGGAGAAAGCCTGGCTCGGGACTGGCACGGCTTCGAAGCTAGTAGGCAGAGGCGGTAGGGGATTGCACGGCAGAACAGCCTACTAGGAATCTCATCGAAGGTGAGCCGTCGGATGGGTGATGGTTGATTTGAAGGTTCGATGGTGGGATGGAGGCTGGTTGACGATGGTGAGGAAGGTTAAGATTGGTTGGGGAGGGTGCAGCCCAATGGAACACGTATCGAAACAAAAGTGCTGCAGCTTTTGTGTGGGAAGAGCACAGACTTGCAAAGTCTCGGCGAACATGGGAAAAGATCCTATTGCACAGTCATTGCACAATCGCGGTAATGCTTGCACGAGGGGTAGTCCAGCGGCTGGAGAGATCACGGGGGTCGACGCGTCTCCCTTAACCTATGTCAGGAAGTGTGCGAACGCAAAGACCTTCTGATATGGGCTGTTGTGAAGAGTTCAGGTGAGGTGTTTGGGTTAGTATTGCTCTCGCTCTGAAAGCGTGCAGCATTAGGGAGAGGGTGATTGCAACAGATGTTTCACAGGATGTGCAGAGTTACCGCGGCTTGCAACACGCAGTGTTCCCAATAACTGTTATTTGTGGTCCAGATAGTTGGATCCCTAAGAAGACAAGGCAGATAAGCTCGCTTGCTTAGTTGGAGACGTCCAGGGAGCCCCCCATCTCATATACCAAGGAGCAACGAATCTACTATTTCGTCGTTACTAGCCGAGGCAGCGTCGCACATATTATCCCTCCTCGTGTCGGTGCCCAATATATATGCAATTGCCGGTGTGAAACCCACGTTCATGCTTGTACTTCGGGTCCAGTGCTATTGTGGAGGGCATGAGTATCCTTTCTGACAAGCAAACAAGAGTCTCTACAAGATGAGGTAGGATTAACCATGAAGGTAGGCAGTAGTGAAGTGATTTTAAGGACAGATTAGGCTCAACCTTCAGTCTAGACTATTTACAGCGTGCGGCTCCCGTTCCGCTACAGTACGAAAGCTTGGTATTAAAGATACAACGGTCACCCAATGTGCAGAAGAGCCTGTCGTTTTCCATAGTCCGGAAGTACGCTGAGAGCAGAGGCCTCTTCCTAGTCAACTCAGTGGCTCGCTCAGTGGCTCGCTGTGCTGAAAGTCTACCCGGTATCTATGCCGTCGTCTCATTCCCATACACGCAGAATTTAGCTCACGCTGTAGCTTACTCTCGAAGTGCCCTTCTGGCGCTTGATGCTCCTGACATTGATCTTGCCAACACCCTTGGTATCAGTCACATGCGTCCCACCACATGCGTAGGCACCACAGCCTTCTATGTCTACGGCCCGAAATATGTCTCCCTCAATCTTCTCCGGCAACGCCACGTTGTGCTCGGCGCACTCTACTCTGGACCAGAAACAGATCGTTAGCGGTCTTGCCTCACCAACTAGCTCATCTGATGCAGCCTGTATCATGTCCTTCGCCTTGCCTTCGATGAGGCCCTTGAACTCGACGCACGCATCGCCCGGGTAGTGTTTCGCTTTGGTTTCGACGAGCTCTGGCAGTTTGCCCTCGCGAGAAAGTCGCATGATTGCCACGCCCAAGATGTGACCAGCGCTGTGTATCCTCGAATTCAGTAGACGTCGGTCGACATCGATGGACATTTGGACCTTGTCACCTGCGGAGAAATTGGATTTGTCAACGGAGGCGAAGCGGCCGGCGTGTCGAACCGTCTCGCCATCGGCATTGCGAACGGAAGTGACTATGAAGCTGCCGGTTGCGGATTCGATGTTACCAACGTCGAAGGGTTGTCCGCCGCCTTGGACATGGAATATGGTTTCGTCGAGATAAATCGCGTGAGATTCTTGTTCATCGGCCTTGTCGTTTCCGGCCTCAACAGGGATTGGCTCGAAGCCGGTGATTGTTGCTTCATGTTGGTGCAGATTTCCTTGCTGTTGATACAGCAATTTCGTCTTTGCTAAAGCAGCCTACACATGCGTCAGACTGCTACATGAGATTGGTTGGCAGTCAGTCGACGGAGTGGGATAGACGAAGACTCACCATTGCTGCGGTTGACAACGAACGAGATACCGTCTTGGCAGACGCTGCGATGAATCTCGCAAGCATATATTTACTTATCACGCGCCCTTCATAATGCACGACAAAGCCTGGAATCTTCGGCGTCGATGACTCAAATCGGTCTGATTTGGGGTGTTCGCCTTACGTGGCGCCGAACTCCGCCCCTAGACGCCAAGAGGCAGCGAATGGCAACTGTTCGCTTCGCCCACTCGTAGGTTTGCAATAGTCCCGACCATTGACTGTCCTCGTACTCATGGGGAGATACTCCACGAAGTGTCCATTGCGAATTTTGGATGGAACGGGTAAGTATGTCATTCGACAGCTGGGCTCGCGGCGCCTGCTTCGTTTAGCAGTGACCAGATCTTGACCGCGCAAGAAGGTTGAGAGGTGCTTCCATCCCCGGTTGCCGACTTCTCTTGCGCCGCGAAGTGGTCCTGGCCAGAGCATGTTGCAATAACGCCTCCAGATCGGTGAAGAGCAACTCCAGAGATGGGGTCTGTAACTTGATCAGTTGGGAATCACGGACAAATGCAGGAATGTTACCATCGTGTGCATCGAGGCAGAATGTTGCTGCAACTCCTCCCTCTGACATGTGAACATCCTTCCATATCCTCACGACGCCGTCCTTGCCTCCCGCCCAGACTTCATGACTGCTCTCTCCATTGGTGGTGATGTCGAAACCGAGTCTCTGGTTCGTATTGGCGTTTCTGCCTTCGCACCAGGAGAGAAGCTGCCCAGTCTGTCGAATATCGTAAAGCATAATGCCATCGCTTTTGCGTTCAGCAATGTAAAGGTAGCGTCCACAAGGGCTCCAGTTGAGCTGAGTGATGCCGCCGCCACCAATGTTGGTATCAGCATCGTTGCCAGTCACAGTGAACGCACCAATGCAGGATCCCTGCCCCTCGGCTTCGTACAAACCTATCTGTCGAGTGAAAGTGCCAGCCGCTAGAACCTTTGAAGACGGCTCGATCGCCAACGAGGACACTATGCCGCGAATGCTTGTGCTTGGGTTCCAACGATCGTCTTTCACTCTCTTTGGCCCCGTCTGCACCGTAGCTAAGGGTTCTTGACCCGGGCTTGAGATGTCAAAGATTGAGATAAGTGACTCGGAGCCTGCGATGAAGTGCTGCCCAGTAGAGCTGAATACGAGGGAGTTGGGGCATATGTACTCTTCAGTGAGAGTATTGATGATAGCGTAAGATGCAACGCGCTCACCGGTCAGCGCAGAGCAGAGCCGCACGGGATGGTGGCGCTGCGAGGACAGCAACAGCGTTGACGTCGGGTCTTGAAGGCTGAAGAATGGGTACCCGATTACGGCATTCACTGGATCAGGCGATGTGAGACTAGAGTAGGCGTCGAGCCTATGAGGGAGATCTCGCTCCTCTAGCAGGTTGACAGTCACTACATATGTGTCGATGGAATGATTGTAGCTGGTCGCAAGAAGACATGTACCGTCTGCAGACCACTGCAAGTTGCGATAGGACTGGCGGGAACTTCTAAACTTGAATCCATTCGAACCGGAGTTGTGGTCAGCAGGAGACGCTCCCACACATTTGACTTGCATTTGGGATATATCTCGGTCCGGGGTGCTCACGAAAGAGCAATATCAAGGCAAACAAAGGCAAGCTTCTTGGCGATTGTTGTTTAGGGTTAGGGTCGCCACCTCGATCTCTTTGACGTCGCGATTGTCGCGTCGGCCAGGAGAAAGCAAGCGCAATCACTTGGGAATATAGCAGGAGCCGCACTACTTCCAGCGCTGTCTACCCAGCCGCTTCGCTCCTCTCAACATGGCGTTCAAGTTTAATTTCGCGCCGGGGCAGAGTCAGTCAACGAGCAAACCCGCCTTCAGCTTCTCACAACCGGCCCAGCCTGCCGCACCCGCACCACAACCTCAAGCTTCCACGTGGGTTGCACCACTAATCTAACAAAGATTTGGCTAACCCTCTCAGGAACATATCATCCACAGCTATCGACCTTGAGCACTTGCGGCCTACCACGAAGTTCGACGCTGCGCACCCCAACATACAAAAAGTGATCTCCGACCTCGATAACGCCATACTCAATGAGATTCACAAAGCCAATGAGGTACCCCAGATTTTTGAAAAGGTCACCGAACGGGGGGACCCTTTGCCTGCTTCTCTCGATCTCGTCACTGCCAAGCTAGATCATCTTACTCATAGCCTGGAAAATGATGCAGAGGCAATCGTAGCTGTGCGTGACGGCTCGTTGAAGAAGGGGGAAGGTGAAGCTAAATGCGTTTTCCGGGCGGTCGACAGACTAAAAGTCCCTCGACAGTATCAGGTCGGGCACAAGCAAAACGAGAGCATCAATGGCGGCGTCTACGGCGGTAGTGGCGTGAGTGGATGGTGGAACAATCCCCAGACGCTTCGTGCTACTGGCTCGAAGGCCGACGTGAAGGGCGAGACAATGCAGCTGCCTGGAGAGGAGCTGGAGGACAGTGGACCCAAGAGCCTGGTGGAGCTCTTCGGCACAAGGGCAGACGAGATGGCTGAGTTGATGCAAGGCAACAGGGCCTTGTTAGCGGAGATCGAAGATTTTGTTGGTGGCTTGGAGGACAAAGTCAGGAGCAAGGAGAGGCAGCTCAATGAGCGGCTGAACTTGGGAGCAGAAACCGGTTCGACCGTGGGCGAGAAAGAGCATCAAATGCAGCTTTTGAAGTACGTATTCGGAGAAGTGGATCGGGGGATGTATGAGGTGGCGGGGCGAGTTGGGGCATGTCGAGATGATGTTCTGGAGCTGGCAAGGACAAAAACATAAACTCTGAACGCGCAGTCTAGCGTTTGGACACCATCACTTCCCCGGGCGGGCATACTTTATTCTGGACGGCGAATTTACGAAGTTCACGAGGCTGGCTACGACGTGTATCAATACCAAACAACAGGAATATTCAACGGAGCATGCGATGAGATCGACTCGACTTGTTTCTCGACGGTTACCGAACCAAAGCCTTAGCATGTTCCTCCGAAGTGGCCCGGAATGCATATCTCCCTTATGCTAGCCATACGCCGTCATGATACATGCAATCGTCGACAGTCTAGTTCTTCTGGCCGGTGGTCTTGCCAGTACCGCCCTTTCCTTTGCCGCCAGATGCAGCATCCTTCTTGGCCAGGATCTCCGCTTCCTCGTCAGCGAGCTCTTTGTCGATCTTGGCGCCCTTTGACGGCTCGTTGCCATGCATTTGAGCAGGGAGTGTCGCGTCTTTTTGGGCAGCCTTGTCCTCCTTGGACAGGTTCTTGCGACTTTGGTCATCGTTTTGGGGCTCGGCGGCAGCGAGGCGGTTGCCAATGGAGCGCTCGTCCTCTTGTTACATGGTCAGTGCTGTCAAATAAAGCTGTACTGCTGAGACTCACTGGGGTCGTTCTGGTCATGGGAGTTCGACTTGCCCTCCTCATAGGGAGTGGCTTGGTTCTTTGCCTTCTCCGAGTCGGGGGGGTTACGCTGATCACCAGCCTCGTACAGGCTAGAATTACCAACGTTGGATGCCGCCATGTTGTAGATTGTTTGAGGAGTAGATTGATTAGAAGATAGGAATATTGGAAGTGTCGTGTGAGCACAAGCTGATTCTGGAGAAAGAAAGCTGCAGTGTCCCTCCGGGATACAAATCCTTTTTACGTGGTGGGATGAATTACATCACCAGCACGAGACTTCGACGAACGTCATGCGCCAAGCACAGCAGCCCCTGTTGATCAATCCACCTGTGTCGATGTCCTTCTAGTACTCCTTCACTATGGCACCCGCCAGTACACACGGAACTATTAGAGAGCTACATCAATCGAAATGACCCGTCCGGCGAGAGCTGTTACCGCGACAGCTACAGTAGGGGATCCTTTGTAAGGCACAGGGCTGTTAGCAATAACAGTCCATTACAGGCAGATCGCGATGAGCGTCATCGCTCCCGGCCTGGGCCAGATCCTGCGTTCGGTGACCAGGAGGAGTGCGAGCGCTGAGATGCTCACTGAATGGTGATTTGAATTGCCAGTCGAGACATCTGTCTGCCAGGCAACATGGAGAGCACAGCCTTGCGGCTCCACTCCTGCGCTGTATTCACTGTAGGTGCGCGGTGGGAAAGTCGTTCGACTCCATCGATTTATCTAGACAGTTTGTCTTTGACTTGACCCTTTGTTCCCAGTGATTCCTGATCAACCCTCACTTAAAAGTGTCATTCAACATGGCGGGACCTTCACGTCGTTACAATAGCGATGATGAGGTCGATCCTTACGTTGGAATTGATACCGAGAGTGCTTTGCATACCCTCGACTCTCGCATTGCAGAGCTTCTCGGCTTTCGGGCAACCATTGCGGAAAACCGAGACAGTGACAGTGATGCAGACCGCCGCATGGCAGAGAGTATGACTGCGGCTGTCCTTAGCGATGGCCCTCTAATTACGACCCACATCCGCGAGGAAGAGGTTGCCGCTCACGATCATCGCTTGGCTCGCCGTCTCGATGATGAGTTCAAGCGCACCCGCAGAATGACGCCACCAACGGACGGAGACCTTCCTCCTCTGTCGAGCCTTCCTTGCGAATCCGAGATGGCATTTCTGTCAAAGATAGCCGGTCTCTTCGTTTCCGAGTCCGCCGCCCGCTCCCTCTTGCCCAACAACATCCTTGTTGCTGAGACTGAAGCCAACGGTCAACTTAAGGCCTCTCATCAGTGCACAATATGCTTGGACTCGAAGACCTGGGTGGAGGTTTTCCAAGCCCCTTGTCGCCACGAGTACTGCGGTGACTGCATTCGCACCCTTTTCCAAGAGTCCTACAAAGATGAGTCGCTGTTTCCACCTCGATGCTGCAAGCAGACCATCCCGATCACGGGCAAGTTCCTTGCGCTGTTTCTGCCTACAAGTATTCGAAACCGCTACGCCACTCGCAGCATCGAAGTCACAACCACCGATCGCACTTACTGCAACAAATGCAACACGTTCATTCTGCCGAGAACTACTGAGGACAACGTCGCAGTCTGTTCCGCATGCAAGGCCAGAACCTGCTCCAAATGCAAGCGTGCTGCCCACACAGGTGACTGTACCACAGACCCAGCCGAGCATAAGGTCCTGCGGCTGGCTAAAGAGCAAGGATGGCAGCGTTGTCCGGGCTGCCGTGCCATGGTTGATCTCCGTTCTGGCTGCAATCACATGACGTAGGTTCCAGTCTCATTTCAAGCTCCCGAGGGTCTTCGAACTAATTTCTCTAGGTGCCGTTGCGGTCACCAATTCTGCTATATCTGTGCTGCGAAGTGGAAGTCTTGTAGATGCGTTGCCTTCACTTTGGAACGACTACTCGAACGAGCAAATCAGATTGTCGATCGAGCGCCTGTCCGAGCCCCGAATGCAGTTGCTCGCCGAGCACAGGTTCAGCAAGTTGCTCGCAATCTTGAGGGCCGCCATGAGGGCACGCACCCCAACCGAGCTTGGAGGAGAATTGACGGCCCAAACGACTGCGAAGAATGCCATCAGACCTTAGCACAATTCATTTTTGAATGCGGTCAGTGCCATCTGCGCGCCTGCCGGAGATGCCGCCGCAACCGTCTGTAAGATGAATGAATGCCCACTGCTGCAGCACAAGCGACCGTCGGATCCGAGAACGAGAATGTTGGATAATGGAGACGTGCTGGGCTTGGGAGCACTATCATTACCGACCACGAACAGATACAGAGGTACCAGATCCAGGGACGGGAGAAGCACTCGACGATGTAGCGAATACAACGATGCTGGGTCTGAGACCATCCGAAGTGTGATAGTCGAAAAGAGTGTCTCTGGAATCTCCTTGAGGTGAAATGCAGTTCAATTCACATTCACCGTCGCACTGGCAAGTGCCGATTACTGATCCCTAAAAATGCCATTATTCCATCTAGAAATCCCACCCTCCAGGTCTCTTGGTGTTGCAGGCTAACATGCGGGTCTGCTGCCAAGAGATTCACATATCTTCGTCGCCCCTGGAAGCCCAAGCCTCGCCCTCGCATTGCCTCCCCTCGTGCTAGACAGAATGAATGCCCAACAGCACCCTCGAATGAGTCAAATGACTTACTGGTGGGAGTCATCGATCACTACAAGCATTGATCGCCTGCCTGTCTGACGCTAACGACGAGGGTTGCCTGATGGAAACAAATGGGAGTCACTTGTCATTGCTAGTTGATCTATCGCATATCGTCGCCTTCCTCAATTGCATCGGAGCTTGTAAGGGTCATGTGGCTTCACTGCTACTTGCGCAGCACGAACATGACGGGGAGCGGCCACGTCTCTTTAATGTTTCAGCCCGTTTGTGGTAGGGAGACCTGGACTGCAATACGACTCCCGCGCGAGGACTATGCTAGTGTTCCCTCGGCGATGCTTTGTGTTGCAAGTCGACTGGCCTGCAGGAGCTGCAGAATGCGAGGACGCGGCTGTCTAACGATGAGCACGGGCAAAAGGGATTGAAAAACGTAACAGGCAAGACGAAGAGGTGTTGTTCGGCGAGAGCCAAGCGTCAGAGCGACGAAGTATCGCCGCATGAGGAAACGGGATTCGGAAGAAGCCGTCTGGAACCGGAAGGCAAGGAAATAGAGAAGCTTGGGACATCGAAACTGCGCATTACCGAGTCGTTAGGAATGCATGCACATGCCTCCAGGCACCTTTCTTGGCAATACCCCAACGCCTTCTCTGACTAGGCAACTCACGACCACGAACTGCTCGGGAGAGAAGGGTTGAAGTAACGCCCTGCATTCCGGTGGTGATACTCAAAAAGGTCACCCCTACCGGATATCGTTCGGTCACGGGCATGTGTCGCGGGAAGGGCTGCATGATGGCAGTGCTCATGATTGGTCTCGCCTGCATATGCTCCATCATCATTACTGCAGATGACTACAAGGGTCGCGACAGGGCTTATCTAACCGCTATCGCGTGCTCCCCCCTTGGGTTCACACCATTCATCCTATCCATCAGTGACCATCTGAACATCTCCCAGATCATCGACAGCTGGCTTTCAGGCAGCTGAGGAGAAGCAATGGCGCACATTGTTGATGGGGACAGCCATATTGGCCGCTACCTGACTGCGCAGCCTGAACTGAATACTTCGCTCGAGTACAATGGCGACTCCGGCGTGCTGTACGACGCCTCAATGGCCAGCAAGGCACATGCACGCACCGCGCTTGTTGCCGGTGCTGGCATGAGCCGTGCTACGGCGGCCAAATACGCCCAATTCGTCGGCCCCGGCATGCTGTCGGGTCTGATGGTCGCCCCCAAATCTCTTGAACATGACAAGAACAAGGCACCAGCATCCTCTCTTGGATCCCAGCTTGGGAAACTGTCAGATGCACTACGTCTTGGAAACAAGCACACTGAGATGCAATGGATCGGACCGACCACTCTCGACCTGGACCGCTCTTCCGATATCCCACGCTATCACGGAATGGCCTCGTTGCTCGAGGTCGATGACGGACTTGCTGGAACCGAACAGGGGGCCGAAGTCAGCGTTATTCTGCCGATGAAGATCTGCGGTGCGCTCGCTTCCATGGGCTACGACTCCAAGACCGTCCATAATGTGGGAAAGCTTGTACGCAATAATATGATGAGCGCCGACGCACCTGTCTCGGACAAGCCTATGGCGTTCTCCAGCATTCCTTCGGCCGTCGAGAACATGCTTGATGGCCTCTTCAAGCCGTGGTGGCCCAACCAAAAGCGGGTCAGATCGGTTCATTACAATTCCAATGAGCCGGTCCTGCTTATCAACGATTCTGGGCGTTGCGGAGGCGTCAAGCTTGGGAGTGTTGTGACTGAGGCGCTGGAGCAGCTCCAAAAGAAGCACAACACATGGCCAGTCCGCGTGTATGCCGGCAACTTCATCGAAGGCGATGATCCGAATGGACCCGAATTCTCCATCACCTTACTGAACGTCGTCAACACCGATATCGGCGGACCGTCCATGATCCAATTGCTGGATCATCCATGCAACACTCTTGGATGGAATGGCTGCATGCGTCGCGAGGTCTGGAATGGCCGCGACCTGCTCGAGCGAGTTCAGCAGGAAGACGAGGTAGTCGGCAAAATGCGAGGTCTGACCACGGACGAGAATGCCGCAGACGCAGGCGGTCGCGAAGACGGCGAGATGGACGGCGAGGGTGAGGAGACCGAGACCGAGGATGACAAGTCTCCATTCTCGTATGATGATCCGTATGCCAACCGCACTCCTGTTCATCATCCGACCTGGGACCATACAACCAAATCGGAGAGCCTGATTGACATAGTCAAGAATCAGGGCTCCAGTGATCCGCCTGGTGCAAAACCTGGTGACAGTCCCAAGAGTGAGGAGGGAAGCCTCGACAAAGGTGCTGAGAAGAAGCGCCGCACTGAGTCCAGTAGCAGCGAGGGCTTCACATTCGTGTAGCCGTTTGCTGCCCACTTGGACTTGGGTTCTCATTGCAGGTCGCATTTGCTTTGACTTCGGATATCCGATGTGATTACGACCTCCCCGAAACCCCAGACTGAACCCTGTATTGGTGGAAGGTTGCAGGTCGTAGATTGCTCAGTCGCTCATTGATCCACTTAGGCTTCGGCCGTTGACACTCTGTCCATCTGCACTAGCCCCGTCTTCGCCATCCGAGTCCTTCATTTCTTCGTCCTCATCCATAGCATCCAGCTCCTCTTGCAACGGGCTCTCGCGTGGCTCAAGCTGGTCTAAATCTTCGAGAGCCTGTCTAGACGGCATTGGCCAAAGCGCTGTACCCATACTTCGCTTTTTTGTCAGAAGCTCGTCCACAAATTCGTCCATATAGGTCAGCACATAGATCTCCTTGCGCCTTCGGCGAAGCTTGCGCGAATCTTCAAGGAATGGCTCGAGAGTCTTATAGATCTCCGCTGGATCAAACGTGAGACGTATGTAGAAGGCAGCGAGTGCTCGCAAGTATTTCCACTCTTCCCCGCCACGGTTGAGGTATTCCAGAACAATGTCTCGATCAGGCACAATCGTCAGCAGTTTGAACGCCAGACATAGGAACGGCGTGGGCCTCATCCCAACACCGTAGGTGCCACCGATGTACGTCAACTCAACGGCTCGATCGAGCAGGGTTGCCGCATTCAGACCAAAGCACTGCTCTTTCCAGTACAGCGAGTCTGTGATGCGATCGCGGGTCGCGGTTTCGATGAAGGTCGCGGGGTTTTGGCCACGGATCAGCGGACCAGTGTAGCCCCGATTGTCGAGCGAATTCGAAGCGTCGGCTCTGTGTGACATTTTGGGTTCCTATTCTGGGTTATTCAGGTCCTTCGTACATCGCAGACGGCTCTCGAGTCGTCGTGTCAGTATTCAGCTTTTTCTTCGAAAGATGCGGCACGGTCGACGAGGCTGTACAAGGCTGAAGGTATGGAGATTTGTGACGAAGGCCAAGACTGCGGTCGCTCCTGTCAACGGTATTGTTAGTTTGCCTATTTGGGACAATTAACTGCCTGCGTTTCTTCACCCAGAAATCTGTATATGCACGCCTCAGAAAAGTGGAATTGACGCTTCGACCGATCGCAGCGAGGCAGCTGGACACACAACGACTTTACGAAACAACGGTAGAAGAACCCGAGCACTAATGGTCCTCCTCACCTCATCCACGGTCTCGGCGGTCCTCTCCGTGGCCATCATCTCTCTTTTCACATTCCTCCTATTCCTTGTCGGATACGTGCTACAGCAACAATCGGTGAATTCCTTAAGGGAAGCTATTCGAGCTCCTCCGCCAGCAAAACACACACCCACACTCCCGGCTCGCTTTCGCGAGCCAGACAACGAGACAGATACTTTGTTCCTCGCCGGCGAAGATGACGAGGAGGCGGAGGATCAAATAGTGCAATTCATGGATGGGGCTCCCACGGATCCTTCCAATATCATCGAAATCGACGAGACTGGGCGGTCCCAGTTACCGTCCCCCAGCACAGAGTCCCTCGCCTACATCCTCGCCCTCTCCCAGCCAGCCACCCTCTGTTCTGCGGCCCTTTTCGCGCAATCTCTGTCTCTTGCACCTTTAGAAGCCCGCCCCGATCAACCGAGGCTAGTCCTCCTATATCCATCCACATGGGAGACGGTTACTTCAGCCCTCCACATGGCTGCCCTCTCGTTCATGCGCGATCTGCATGACACTTACTCTGTGATCTTCCATCCAGTTGAGTTTGTGAAAGGGTGGGAAGACGCCTCTACGAACTCGCACCTACTCGGTGAGCTGCAGCGGACCATGTGGGAATTTGATCGAATGCTATATCTGCGGACGCCAGGAATGGTACTGGACCAAGAGCGTGTACGGGAGGCGCTGAGGTCGAGTAGCCTGCGCAAAGCGTGGACGCCTTTGACGAATGCTGTTGGTGCGGAACCAGAAATGCTGTTGTGGGAACGAAAGAGAGGATTACTGATGCCCAGAGGGGAGATGAGGCGTATGGTAGGGTCGGACAAGAGCAATGGGCTGTCGATTCAGGAAGGTGAGTCAGAACCAGCGCTTGAAGAGGTTGACACGGCATATGTGCTCTTTGACCGAGCGGTGCAGTCGACGGAAGCGGAAAAGAGTGAGGTCCTTCAGCGGTACGAGTCGGGCCTGGCTCAGGCTTGCAAGGGCAAGGGCTTGTTGCCGGGAGAGGAGGATCGGGTGGATCTTAAGCGGGTATAACGAATCAACAAGATGTCCACTGCGGATATACCATACATGTACAATTGATGATAGAACTTGTGGCGGCTGGCCGGGACTCGCCCCAAATGTCGTGGCCGGCGCTGCTGTTAATAACGATACACGATTCTTCAACATGACGACTTGTGCCAACGAGGATGAGGAGGACAGAGAACCAAAGTCCAATTCCAGACCTAGGGATCTATTGAGAGAGAACTGTTTACTCATGAGATGGCGTGCTCGGGCATATGGCCCGCAGGGCCTCAGAAAGATGCCTCTTGATCTGCTGGTCAGCCAGCGGCTCCGACGAAGTCCACGATGGTCGCGAGTGCGTGGCAACAGGCGAATGTGCTGAAGTGCCAGACCTAGGAGACGAATATGATTATTTCGCTATGCCAGCTTTGCAGCAAAGAACACGCTGGAGTACGACCAAGGGGTACTGATCGAGAATCGAGAACATGGTGTGCACACGCACGCAGTCTTTATAGGCACTCCCACGTTGCTGGTATGGACTTTAAAGGTATCTTCATCATGGCTCACCTTGAGTTTGCGCGAGACGATCGATGCAGTCGTTCATTGGCGAGTACGAAGTTGAATTAGCTGCCAGTCACATGGCGGTCAGGAAGACGTGGTATGAGGAAGAGCATGGACCGTTGGGCGTGGGGCTGCTCATCATGAAGCAGCCCGCTTAGAGGTATACTTGGCAGACGACGGCAGCTGAGCGGCCGAGAAATCTGAGCAGTGGCCGCTGTCATGTCAGAGACATTAAGAAGGGCACATTCGGCCGTAGAAGCGATGTGGTCTCCATGAGTTGGTCGCGATAAGGCGCTCGCTACTGGGTTACGTTGAGGTGGACTTCGCGCGGCGCCTGATTCCATCATCAACGCACCAGCTTCTTGGCCTCTAGACTTCGGATTTGATCTTGCTTTCAACTCGGAACGACGGCGGGGTGGCGGCCGTATCTGCTCATTGGCTTATGGCCACAGGTGCACCTGTATCTGTTCTCCGCGCGCAAACACCGTAATTTATGGTAAGCGTAGCCTGTTGTTCGAAAAAATGTCAGGGCTGTGGCCATACGGCCGCATGTGAAAGACTGCCCAACACGGGCATCGCATGAATTCTGGTCATACATACGGCGCCGAGTGCCTAGTCCTGCAAAGTCACGGTCGTGGAGTGCTAGTTGAGCTGGCCGGGTGTGGAAGGCTGCTGACAAAGCCTTCAAAGAGCATGCCTGTTTGGACAGGTCGCAGGCCAAGCAGGGTTAAAACGGAGGTTCGAACCAACATCGACACGGCTGCTGAGTCAACAGCCACACTTTCTCCCCTGTCTATCATTCTCGGATTCGAGTGTGACACATTCTAAGAAACACAAATACGTTAGCGAGAAGCGAAAGCTTTCGACACCGGGAGCTCTCGGCAGTCCCGCTATGGCCGCGCAGGGGGGCTGACGATTTCGGCATCATGACGCAAATTAAGATGCACCGAGGCTTGTTTTCTTGAGGCACCGACGACGCGTTAGCAAGCACGCATATTTGTCACGGAGTATTGGTGTGGACTGTGGCTTGTGATGCTAAGTTTGACTCCCAAAGGCTGCCGTAGTATATATTGTGTACCTCTCGCACGGTCGTTTCTTACTACATTGCTGCGTCAGAACTCTATACCGTCAACAGGTCTTTATAACAGCGCAAACCGGTGCAAGCCGCCAACCAGGAACAGACCCTACTCTTCTACCTCGACACAGCTTTTCAGGGAGACACGCTCCAGCATGTCTGTCTCAAACTCCGCTAAGTCGCTCATCCCTAGCGACCCGTCCAAGGTCATGGTCATTCGCGACGTGCATCACACAATCACCACTTTTTCTACGCCTTTCCTCCGCTTCGGGCGCATCAAGATCGGCGGTCGCGGCACTCTCGTCAAGCTACAGTCCGGCTCCCTGGCCATCTTTTCCCCTGTCGCTCTGACCGACGAAGTCAAGTCCACCATCGCCAGTAAAGGCGGCGCTGTTCGATACATCGTTGCGCCCGACATCGAGCACCACATCTTCGTGACGCCCTGGGCGCACGCCTACCCAGATGCCGAGGTCATCGGCGTGGAGGGTCTTCCCGAGAAACGCGAAGGCGATGCGGCGACCAAGGGCGTCAAGTTCCACCACGTCTTTTCTGCGAGCAACAAGCGCGATCTAAAGGTTAGCCCGGAGTTCGACTCGGAATTCGAGGTTGAGTATTTCCACAGCCATCAGAATAAGGAACTAGCGGTGTTGCACAAGCCCAGTAGGACACTGATTGAGGCGGATTTGTTGTTCAACTTGCCGGCGACGGAGCAGTTCAGTAAGAGCGGTACGGCGGCGACTTCGGGCATATTGACCAAGCTGTTTGGAGGAATAATGTGAGTTTCCCTCGACTTGACTTCGTAATTCCCATGCCACGAAGGATCTGTCGCAGGCATACTGACAGCTACTGTCTTAGGAATACGAGAGGCAACATGGCGTGGCAGAAGCGTGCAACGTGGTATGGACCTGGAAGCAGTGACAGAGCGGCCTTCGGAGAGAGCGCGCGGAGAGTGAGCGGCTGGGACTTTGATCGTATTGTGCCGTGTCATGGAGATGTAATCGAAACGGGAGGGAAGGCGAAATGGGACACCCTGTTCAGCTGGTTCATGGAGGTCAAAAAGTGAAGAAGCGGCCAGGAGCACGGCTGAAAAGGCCGATTGGGACGAGTTGCGAGATACCCTTTGTTTTATGTTCCGCTGGAAATGTTAGAGTAGGTGACAGGGGTCGTGTTCAGTTTCGCAGCGATATCATATTAGAAGCCCGTCAGCCATGTCGCCGGTCAAACAGATCTGCGGAGATTTTCTGCTACTCTTTCCATGACTTATCGAATATACTGGTCCTTTCGGGTAACAAGTCAAGACCACTCAAATTTATTAGTCGTACCGTTATGGTCTGGTGCAGTGGACGTGCAGTGGCTGGAGGCGCTTTACGCTAAACGACGTTGCATGTCTTGGTTATCTGAGCGCTCACTCGGGAGGATAATGAACGACCGGAGACTTTGCATGCTGCCAGGACATCCACACGATAGTGTGATATTACGATATCAGAGCCGTAGCCCGTAATAAACCTGGCTAGCGTTCGGCCACTCCGCCCTTCGGATTTCTAGACATAGGCATGTAATCAGCCGTAACCACGGGGTTCAGTAATATGTAATGCTGACGGCTTTTCGAGTAGTGTGCGGCAAGCGACACATGATGATTAGCCCCAAGCTGACAAGATCTCGATGGACGGGAATCATCTGTCAGCATATCAGTGGTGATTTGTAGACACATAGCTAGCGAGCATCACTGAGCAGCAAGCGACTTCAGCCACCAACACCTTAAAATAGTGTCAAGGACTGGCTTACTTACGCAAAGACCATCGGCTTTGGTGATCCAAAGAGGTATCCTGTGAGAAATCTGCAACATAATAGCATCAATGACAAGGACTTGACAAGGACTTGCCAAGTCAAGCAGCGAGGCCCGCCCCGCACCGGGTCGATGGTCTCATCAACAATGCTCAAGATGTGCTCGATACTCAAGCCGAGTAGCAGACCCAGCATGACCGGCCATAAATCTCGATTGGGTAAATGCCAGAGAACACAGACAGCCTGTCAGGAACAGCTCGTGCTTACCGCGTAGTCGAGGCGAATCCAAGGGTGCTGACCAAGTAGCATTTGCCGAACGTGGCTTAGGTCATCGTGGAGGATCTTGATGCTTGTGGTAGCCAGCAACTTCCGGCATGGGAAGTCCTTCGCAGATCACAATATCTCGCAGCTTGTAATTGTAGACCGAAGCAGACTTGAAGACGGGCGTCTGGTATCGAGGAAATGCGACCGGGTTCGATTATTCCACATCAGCTTCCGTTGAAAAGTATGATGTGCTCGGGCGCACTATGGACTGCGTTGTTAGCGCCCTCGAAGACAGAGATATATGATCGGGCATGTAAATCCTGACTGGCACTCGAAGCCGTCCAGGCCAGAGTGGCGATGAATTTGGTCAATACCGTAGATACGTTCTGGGCATTCATCCGACAGATGCTGCGGGTATGTTGCTGTCGGATCCCGTTGCCACTGGGAATTTGTGGATCATCCAGAACTTGAGAGATGGCGGGACGATGGAATTGAGTTCCGAGCAGATAATCGAGTAATACGTCAACACTTCGTGAAGCCACAGGCAAGCCAGGAGACTACAGCTGGTTCCGTCGAGCGAAGCCTGATCGATGTGCAGGAGCTTGTGGGGCTAACGGTGAAACCTGGGGATTGCACTGGAAGAAGACCAAAGATTGAGGCGAGATGGATTGCCTCTTCTGTCTACAGGCAAGGATACTCGAACCCTCCGAGGTGGGCTGGCGGCACCGGCCGAGTGTTTATACCAATGCTGTCAGAATGATCACACGTAATAAACTACCGGCACGACAACACGTTTCCCCTCGATCAGCAGGGGGTTGGACTCGTAGGATCGTAGGGTCAGGGGCGGTCAGAATACAAGGATTGTGGGAAAGGAGATGAGGACGCCTTCGAGGCTGACAGATTGGTCAACTACCTCGTGGGCGCCGGCCACATCGTCACGAACTTACAATTCGGAGCCCGTGGGTTAAAGCCTGGTCAAATGCAAGTAGGCGAGCAGGAGCAGAGCTTGTGCTTGGGCCGAAACAATTGGCTGCACAACAGCCCGTTTTCGCTTGTCACGGGTGCTCCCTGGAGGTGCACTTGCGGGGCTGCGGATGCGGCGGCGTCGGCAAGCTGCGCCTCGCCGGACCCGGTAGCGCCGTGCTGTACCTCCGTATTGCCACAGACCGTGGGCCCACACCTCGGTCCCAAGCACAAAATCGGGTCTTAGCTTTTCCAGGCTCAAGGCCTTTCGTTCAGCGATTAAGTAAGATATTGCTAATACACCCCTTCCTCGTCTTCCACTCTCTCCCTCTGCCACCCGCCTACTCCTCAACCGAGTCCTCAGCCTAAGCCTCCCTCCTCGTCCTCGGTTTTGGACCCCTCAGGCTTACCCAAGCCTGAAGCCTTGCGGGACATTTTTCTCTACCTGGAAGGTGCAGAGCTGTGAGCGTGCGACCTCGCAAGTGCAACAACGCGACATTGCTGCTGAGAACCCGGAATACCGCTTTCGCTGTCCACATCGCGCCTTGGACTACACGCACCTCGCACAAGGGCCTCGCAGCTTTTACTTCAGCAATGCAGCCAGCTCTGGCTCCCAGAATATCGCCTTCGCTGAATGCTATGCCCGTTTCTCAGGTAAGCCTCCAAGCGCGCTTTTCATTACTCAGACGACTGTATCCCTTCTTGGCCTACACCAGCATCTGAGGCTGCACTCACTATGCGCAACCATCATTGCGATGCAATCGCATGCATCGCCATCATCCTACCGTTAGCTGCTGGCTGCCCTAAGCCGATGCCTTGAGATCTCGCATTTACGAGACCATCGCTACTTTTACCCAATCGTCTGACGCTGACACTTTTGATCAATAGGACCACGCCGCTTCCAGTTCTAGTGAGTACTTGTAATCCAAGCCCCACCCTCACCGAAGGCCGCCTCGTCACCTCAATCGCAAGACCCACCCCTGTATCGCCCGATCGTACCGCATGTTTGATTACAATACGGAAACATGTCTATGTACTAGCGCATCATCTCCGAATCCCGGTCCCGCCCTTGTCTTGGCCTAGTGTCGATGCAAGCTAGGTTCATTCAAGTCCAGGGTATACCTACATATAGCTCGTGCCTCCGCTCCTTTTCATTGACCATACCCCGGGTACTGAACCTTGTTGATTGCTCGAAGTACTCGATTTCAACTTGCTTTCAACAACCTCTACCTTCCTGTCCCTCTCGCCATGACATCTATTACTCAGCTGCTGTCGCCATGGCCTACAGTTACTAAGCAATCCATAGTTCTTCGAGAGCACTACATGCCACCACCATCCCAAGACCATCTCGACAATATGGCTCAGCAGCAACAACCTCCATCACCACCAACCGATCCTTCAGGAGACGCTCATTCTGGCAATCCGGACAGCGACGGTGGCGATGGCGCCACTGATGGACGCAAAGGCTATGGGAAGCGGGAATTAAGCACCAGCAAGAGGGCAGCACAAAACCGAGCCGCACAGGTATGATCCCACCCTTCCTCTACCCTGACAAGATCACTGAACTAGGCCCAGCGAGCATTTCGACAGCGAAAGGAGGGCTACATCAAAAAGCTCGAGGAGCAAGTTCGAGACTATCAGATTCTGAGCGAGAACTTCAAGCAGGTTCAGTCCGAAAACTACCAGCTCAGAGATTACATCATCAATTTGCAGTCCCGCTTATTAGAATCTCAAGGCGAGGTTCCCCCACCACCCAGCAACGTGGACGGCCTGCAACCAGGGAAAGCGAACCAATCTCACCCGGTCGGAACGCTACCGAGGCTATCAGAACTGGGTGCCGTGGGCAGTCAACCGCCCGACACAATGTCTGCTCACCACGATTCTCCTTTATCCCGAAGTTCTTATCCCGACCCGTCATATTCTGATCCAACTCGCATGAGAACTTCTTCTGCGGAGCTTACGCCTTCTCAGGCTGCCCTGCAGGGTGCTTCGATACTCGCCAACTCGCCAAACGGGGGCAGATAGACCTTCATCGTTGGTCAGAACCTGTGTGAAGAGCCTAGTGCTGGACTGAGGTCCTGCAATTTTCAGCTGGGGACGGACGAAACTCGAACGTTGCCATGCACCAAGACACACCATACACCTGCTTGAAGTGGACCGATCGTCTCAACGCCAACGCGTGAGCCGAGCAAAGAGAGCTTGTCGCATCTTCGTTACAACTCACTCCGCTGGGTCAAGCATGATTCTGTGTGTCACACATGCGCTTGTCTGAGGCTGACCAGGAAGTACAAGATCACCTCTGCCTAACCCTCGAGCCTCGCACATACTACAGCAGAGACCTTAAAACAAGGTCTGTGAAAGCTTATCACACTGGACGCCGGCACAAGCACCTTCGTCTTATGGTAATGAGCTGCACGAGGCGGGTAAAGGCGCGGCAACCTCGGTGTCACGAGCCCCATGGTATCTTAATTAAGATTTACAGGAGACGGTATTGTACGCAAGCGGGTGATTGAAGACCTTACGCATCGAGGCCGGCGCGGCAAAATTTGAGCGAAATTCGCTTGATGACTGCGATGGAGCGGTACTGAGACTCTCCACAGCTCATAATTGCCTGTCAAAGCCTACGGAGTACGCTTGGGAGGATGAAATATGCGAGCACAAAAAGCGTACAGATTCGCCGCTTGTCTGCGGGATGGAGGATATTTCACAGTGGGCAAGATATGCAGCTGTAGTGGGGATGACTGGGTCATCGTTCACACATATTCACCGAGAGGTCTTATCCTGCCAGGGATCCAAATGAAGCTCGTTTGCTCACTCTCTCGCATGCATGACTGGTTTCTGGATGTCACAATTCCCGATCCTGCTCGCCTGATGCGAAGAGGGGCACAGAGCTTGTCTACTTGTCATCAGATCCTACCATAATCAGTAAACTGGCAATCGCCGTGCGGATCTGCCGGCTCGTCCGAAACACCAATATCCGAAAGTGGACTTTGGTTGCTTACCTGAGTATGCTGGAACTTTGTCGCTGTCAAAGGTGAAACAGGCTAGAGCCACAACGTGAAGACGTGTCCTAGCTACACGCTTCGTCATAATCTCACCTTCCTCATCGATCTCCGCGGCGCCGACTTATGTAAGTCCGCCGAGGCGACAAAACCCAGGAGCGCCGAGCTCTCGGGGGCCGATGCGATAATGGAATGTAACAGGGCCAGTACGCTAGGTACTAGCCTTCTCCGCACAAGGATCAAACTTGAAGTGCTCCAGGCAGAGGAGTCTGTGCTCCTTCTAGAACAAGCATGCTCGGGCCATATGCCTTCTTAGGTAGAGACACCAACGTGAAGTAGTTGCTTGCCTAAGGCCAGTTGGAGCTTTCTGACTTGCGCCGACTTCTCTGGCTGACGGAAGGATTCTAATCAGTCGTGGATAACGCATTGTCGATTTCGGTCGGGTGAGAACATGCGCTCATCGTCACTATCGCCATTTCCTACGCCTCATCCGCCAGGTTCGCCACGCCCAGTTCCAGAATCGTCGCTCGGACCGAGCACCACGGTCATCAGGAGGCAAGAAGCCAACTTATATTGATTCGTTGAGGCCGCAGCTTTGCCAGGACTGTATTGTGCGGCCCCACGATGATCGGACGGATTTGGCAGGTAGGAAATCACACTGCTCAGTCTTGCTTCAGAGTCGCACACGACTTTCGCACGCTGATCACCTTCAGGAATCTGGACAAAGGTCGACGGCTCGCTTGATCGGCCTCAACGCCCGCCAAAGATGATCTCCCGCCATGGCTAACCATGCCACGGATGGAAATAGTGTATGCCAGGCGTCCAGCCTCGTCTGTTGCGGCTCGTTCAGAGACAGACCCTTCAGGTTGGATGGATCCGGGTCCAGCCGGCATCTTTTCGCTTATATATACAATATTAGCCCGATGTCGCGCCCGTCTCTCGCAGCCTGAGTACTCGAATGGCTTAAGGCTGGCAAAATCCACGAGTTAATCCATCCGTACAAGGATGGTCAGTCTCAGCCTGCTGTCCACGGAGAGAGTTCATCGTCCGATCTTCAAAGAGGTAGGAACGACACCAAATCATGGTCGCGGAAGCACACCGCGGTAAGGGGTTACAGCACAGCCGCGGTGCTCCTATCGGTACCCCACAATACGACAGCCTGAAGGTTGATTTCAGGCCTCAAGACCCGCAACTGGGCCAAGCCAGAGCATTCTCTACTTGAGGGAAGGTCGTAAGGCTGAAGCGCGTCTCGGCCTGGAACGGAAGACTTGAGTGGGTGGTCACCGCTCGCGAGGACATACGAGACTCCAGTATTTCCTCGTACACAAGTTGCCAATCCCTACACATGCCGCATTAAACGAGCAAATCATCTCTGGCAACAAGCATTCTGTGGAGATCTTGTCGCTCTGACCCAGTCAGCAATTACTAAGTTGCGAGCACACTAACGCTTGGCGACCACGAGGGGGATGAAGGCCAAGCGATCGGGAATCGACGTGAAGCCTCGTGTATTACGGCGTATCGCCTAAACAAAGCCCCGCTAGTGACGCAGATGATACGGTAAGGATGACATGTTTTCCTTTCTTTGTATAATGCACGAGGGCGCATCCACTTCGACCTGTGCGAGACAAGAGCCCAAACCAGGACCGTTGATGACCAAGCTACACGAGCCGCGGTTCCGTGCCTTGCAGCCCTCTCAATACCTGTAGCGAGACAGGCCACACGGTATTGACTGAATTGCGTGCGCGAGCTCGTAAGTCTTCACATTGTGGCCCCTTCTCCTATCGCTGATCGCGACTGCTCAGAGAGCTTAGCATCAGGAGGCGGAGCAACTCCATACCTCTCACCTTGAACAGGGGGGGTCATGCAACGCAATGCAGACCAGACGAGCCGAAACCTGTTAGCGACTTCGACCGGAAATGCGCTTCTGCCCGGCGACCGCCTCTCGGGCCGCATGCCTTAAAGTCTGCTTGACAAGAATCGGTCGTATCTTCACCAGTCAACAGTATCACGACGTTTCGCAGGACGTAAGCCGTCAGTGGACGCATAAGCCAGTCGTTCCTATCCTTGACTTGATTGAAAGGTTTAGAAGCCTCTGTGGCTCCCAGCGTTTCTGTGCCAAGGCGCTAGGACCCCAGTGAACTTGTGGGTGTTTGTTTGTTACCAAGGAGCACATTGCCGGCGATCAATTGTCAGATGCCGAATGCTTGTGGAGTGGTTGTATCTGGCTTACAGCATCCGGACACTTGGCAACGTTCCTTCGACAAGGCAGACAATGCCAGAAGGATGGTATGCCACTTCCGTCAGCTCTTGTCCATCAGTCGGCCCCGCTTTGAGGCTTCCTAGGCTGCTAGACCGCTTTATTGCTCGAGGCAAGAACGCGCCCTGCAGCTGCACCTGCCAGCTTCCGTCACAACGAGGAGTGAGTCAAGTGCTCGTGTTCATGACTCGATAGCCTCAACGAAGAGCCGCTGCCTGGCATACAAGATCTCAAGTCACCCTTGGCGTTACCGCGTGCCGCACCGCTGCCCTATCAGGCCGATACATGGGTTTCCCACATTGGTTCATGATCACTTCGAGCGCCACCAACATATATCCACGATTCAAGTGCTTCCGAGTACGTAAGCGAATAGTCAGACGCCGAGCTGATGCCTCCCTCGGCCTGTATGGAGAATACTTGCCAATACAGGTAACTTTGGTCCGCGGCAGAAGGTATAGTCATTATTACCGGCCGAGCGCGGCCCAAAGTTCGATACCATGAGCCCCGAAGAAAGACAAGCTCGGCCTTTTCCAGCAATGTGATGCTTGCTGATTACACCTGAGAGGGTGAAACTTAGACCTCGTCCCACAAAGTCATCCCTGGTCGCCGCGTTACGAAATTGTCCAATGTTAGAAGCCCGATGGCCTCTACTATCTTGTCACCTCTTGTTGTAGAATGTTTTCAGTAAAGCACGCCTCATCGCCGAAACGTACCGTAAGCCAGCGGTCGAAATCCCGATTACAGCTAGCAACATTCGCTTCTCGCTACGACAAAACCTCCGACTCGGAACTCATTGGCTGCTGTGGAGAAATTGCCTTCCGAGCACGCCGGCGCGCTTTCGCTTGCTTAGGCAGGAATGAGTAAGCCGCGTTCCCTTCAGTATTTTTGACAGCTTCATCCCAATGTATCACAAATCATGGAACTCGCCGGTTAGTTTGTTGGCTGTATTGCCGTCGGAAAATGCCCGCCAGTCAGAGTGTTTCGCACAGAAGTCAGACGAACGGTCAGGAAATGGTCAGATGCGACTTTGAAATCAAGGATAAAAGTAATTGGGGTTGATTTGACTCAGCCACGCAAAGGAACTGCCCTGGGCGAGTCTGAAATCAACCATGGCAGGTGTTGTTGCAGCTTGGGAAAATATGCCATGCCGGTAAAATTTGTCGGCGTAAGCAGGTTCAGTCGACAACGGGGACCATGCATCATTTATCAAAGCTCCAGACACGGAAAGCTTCCCGCCGCTTCGAACGGCGTATCTGCTCGCATGCGTACACTTGCTTTCACGGTAAGGATTTACAAGATCTCCTGGCATCTATGCGCTCGACACTGAAAAGACTCTCGATGGCTGTCTTACCCAGCATGGTTGTGTTTGCCTACTTACTGAGGGTCCTTGCCCCCATCCTTCTGGAGCATGTTGCAGGGCTGAGGGTTCCATGAATGGGCTTATGATGGCTTGACTCATGGGGAACCTGCACTGTCTGCGCTTCCAGCCAGCGTGAGGCTCACCAGCCCGTATGCGTCGGGAATAGTGGCAATGAGACTTTGAAGCTATCGGCGGATTCTGCAGCGCAGCCACAACAATACCTCGCAGGTGAGGCGGCACAAGTCCTACTACTTTGCCGCAGCAAGCATCACGCATTGACACCTCGCAACAACACTAGGCCGACCCCAACATCCCGTGTCCGTGGTACATCTTCGCATGTACCCACAATGCATAGCAGATGCTGCCAAAGGACCTCTTGTGCTCCGAAGGCGACACAACCCGTTTCCTTCGGAGGCCGAAACCCTCGCAAAGAACGATCAGTGATCAGCCATTTTCACGGGTGTGACCTGGTGCAGGTTCCGTATATAGGGTGGGTGACAGTCATCATGACCGACGTACTCGTAGTTACTTACTAGTGACTGCCTGGCCTCCTTCCGCATGGTGGGCCATTCCTCCACACACCCTTGTATCTATTCTAGGTCTTTCTTGGATTCAACGGCCCCCTCTGACCCCACGCGCCAAGCTGAGTTATGATCCAGTTACGGGCTCATTTGGCGCCGCGAAATTCATGATTACCTTTACTTGTATTTACTGATACGATGTCGTATCAACGCCTCATGGGGACCCGCATTTCGTCGATGACAAAGCAAAAAGGCGGGAAAGCGCCCATCGCAGAAGGATGGGTTGGAGAGGGGGGGCCCGAAACTTACCGGGCTAGTCACATTTTACGGAGTACTGTTTCGGGGGTCGTGGGCAGGGCCAGCGAAAGATCACGTGGTTCAGTGATTTTGGATCATGACTTGAAATGGCTTACATGCCCAAGAGTGAAACGCAAGTTTGTAGTGTAGGGTCCCGGGTCTCTTTTCGAGTGTCTGCACTACTGTACTACTTCGTTCGCGTGTTACTGTATCATACACAAGGGATACTAGTAAAGGGATGAAAGTTCAAATGATGCGCGCGACCGGTGTCTGTGTCCTAGCGGAGAATGGTCGCAACACGATAACTTGTTCAGGGCAAAAAAACGACTTTCGTTTGCATTGGCGGTCTCCGCTTGTCATCACCGCTCGTGCCGCCTACAGTAGTGTGTCATCAAGCAAAAGCACGAGTGGGGTGGAAAGTGTCGCGAAAGGGGAAAGAATTTTGCGAACGACGTTGTCGTGCAACGATCTAGACAAAATTACGTTAACCGGATGCCAGCCCCCTGCTTCATCTCGCACGGTCAATAGGAATACCCTGGCGTAGCAACGCTGGGCTGTAGCACATCATAGATAGGGTGATTGAAGGGCAGCAGATCCTGGGGCCATAACGGCCCTCGGGGCATTTCGCATTGCAGGTGCCTCAAAAAGAGGTTGCGCTTCACAGAAGGTTTGTACTGGGTAGCGCTAAGCCAAGGCGATCCCTGACCGCGCGTATGGCTGTATGGCCGTATGTACCGTATTGCAGTCGAGTCATGGATGCGTTTGAGCCTTGTGTCATTCCTGACCGCCGCCAACACAATTGGGCCGGGGACAGCGTCATGGGCGACTGTAGTCTGCAAAGAGCATTGAAACTGCGCCTCTGGATCTGAGTGCTCGAAATGGTATCCATCCATCCAGTGCATGTTAAGCGCAGCCGAGCAGCGGATTGGGCCCCTCCACAGATACGGATACGGATACTCATGCCCGCATCACCTTTGCAGTGGCACACAACCACTCCATATTCTTTCTCGAATCCGTTCCCAACAGTTGCGCTTCCGCAATCCGAGGCTGAGAAGTCCAACATCGCCCGCGGAGGTGGTCCAAGGCGTCGACAAGGGGGTGCAAGAATTCCGGTTTTTTGGTTTGCTGAATACGAAAGTTTTCCCCCCCCCCAAATCCTGCCTCGCCTTGCTTCTAACCACTGGCATCTTGAACAGTCTTGGAGTACGTAAGCCCTGACACACCCACCCGCGCTATAAACGCCTCTTTTCCTGGGTCACCTGTCCTTGCCGTGATGCTTTCTTCCGCTATGATGAGAGACATATTTACTCCGTACGTGATGAGGCTTGTTCTCTACCGTTTCCGCTTCCGCTCGGTGCCCGATCAGCCTCGTGACATACTTTACTTGTCCCTCATGCCAGAGAGGCGCGCGAAGACGCGTCGACTCGTGTCTCGGGTGGCTATCTCCTTCTTGCGGCCGGAAGAAGATGCAGTCTACGGAATATTGCCTGCGTCAGAGGGAAGCTGTGACGATGGATGTCTGCCTTTTGCCAGCAGCCCGTCAGTCGCACCGGCCAGGCCTAGCGGGCAGTTGTTTCTCGGTGCTGAAGTGTGTCAGATATCGTGCTCCCACGGCTTCCGTGCGCGGATATACTGCGTAGGTTTGTGCTAAATTTGCCTGTCCTCGCGCGCTTCGGCTGCATGGGTGCACGACACGGCCAGAGGCTGCCTGAAGTCGGCCCGCGGCTGTCCTGGATTGTCGTCTGGTTCTGTCTCATACCGTACCTACGTATTAGTGAGAAACATTACTTACCACTCGGCCGGTTTGCACGGCAAGCGAGTGCGTGATCGCGATCGCGGCCGTGGGTGCGATAGCTTCATGGTGAACCATTTTACGCGAGTTTGGAGAGTCCGAGAATGCGCCACGCCAAGCATATAGTACGAGCTGTTATCTTTCGCCCAGCAAAGCCGCAACCTCCGACAAAACGAAAGGCGGGTCAGTTGTTTGGGAAGAATGTGCCGGCTCGTATACACGTGCCACTCCCCCCGAGTCCTGAGCCTCGCTATGGTGAGTCAGCAAATGACACTGGATGCGTCGCCGCATATTGCCACGGGTTCGGGAAAGGCCGCGGCCTGTCTTGGTCATATATGCGATTCGTGGTCTAACTTTGGAGACGCTGCAATTACAGGCGAGCCTCGGACGAGGCATCTGTACACATGTTTTCAGACCTGCGCGCTGATATAGTCTACCTTCTAGCTGTAGAGCATGCACTATACTAGCTCAGGGTCGACTATCTTGTCAGCCGTACCAAATATGCTGGAACACCTTTCAAAAGATGCGCTTCCATACACGCTCTGCTCTCATTGACTCCAACCATCTGCGCCACATGAAACCCGATTGCAGCTGGCACGCTAGTAAGCGCGTAGCCCATGCATGTAGGTAGACAGTACAAGCCCTGTTCGCCTGGTGTAGTACATACGTGCGCAGCGATTATCCAAGCTCGGAGAGATCTGACTGTCAGATGTCATCGCTCTCTACTTCCTGCTCTCTTCCCATCATCTCCGCTGTTTGCCTCTGAGAGGTACAGCGATTGATACAGGTTGGGGCCTTGCAACGCTTACCTCTTTTGGCCCAAGTACCATCGGGGAACTTGAAGTGTGACCAACGGCGTTTCCCCGTCAAGATACCGCAGTCAGATTACGTCCGTGCATGCGGCACAGCCTTCGGCCCGCTTCTGAAGCTGCAAGACTCACTTCACGGCGAAAGAGCGACTGGCAAGGCGGGAACAAGGATGTGTGATGGGTTGTGCAAATCGGCGTTTGCCTGGCAGACCTGCAAACCGGCGAGAATGGCGTAGACATGGGGAGTGCACCGTTGCCGAGTGCTCGTCTGCATAGAGTCCTGGTGTAGCGAGCTGTAATGTAAATAATTAGTAATCTATGCGAGTATACGAGCAAAATTATGCCACATGGCCCTGTGGTGGAGCGGAAGTAAAGTGGACCGCATATCCGCAAGCCGCCAAAGCGGTTGGAATGGATCTAGCAGTGGAGAATGTATCTCCCTGGAAGTGGTGGAGATGCTGGCAACCACTACGTGGACGGCAAGTGGGAAGGTAATGGACACAGTAGCGGGTGAAAGTGCAAGAGGGATCATCATACGCTGCATTGGATGCAGTCTTGAGAAACAGCTCACATAACGATCGACATGACATGTTGAGGATTGGGGCAGGTCAAGATTTCTGTCCAAGAGGAGCGCCGAGTTTGCTTCTGCACCAGCTTTTGGCGGTTCAGGCAAAGCGGCCCTTAGGTAAAGTACATGGTCCTCCTGTTCGCTGACTGTAACTTCGTTCACATTGGTGCGAGGCCTGGCTTCACGCGCGTTTGACACCCCTTTCATTGTATTCACGTCCTTGGGTCCATCAATCCAAATTGGACAGCCCACAGTAGATCCTATAGAACTGTGGAGCAGGCCTGGTTGAACTCCCAGTCGTAGGTACGTGGATGTTTGGAGTTACGAAGCAAGACATCGTAAACCAGGACTTCCTCACAATACTTCGAGTTAAAGATGGCTCTTTCCCACTGAAGCTTCATAGCGGTCCTGTCATGCAGTACCCGTGCAGCAGGTAAGCACTGAGGAGCGTAGGTGAGCTTGCACTGGACAAGGAGGCACTGGATCTGAGGAGCTTCGCTCCTGGTAGAGGTGCATTGCATTTGTCAGCTGTGGCTTGCCGATCGCCAGGTAGCATCGACTGATGGCTTCGGCGATATCCCGTAACAGACCAGGAACAGTATCCGATCTAATCGAGATATCGACGATGAATAGTAGCGGCAAACGTTCGTTGGCTGGCTATTCGAGCGCAGCAAGCACCGTAGACGTATGCAAGGTATAGCACACCAGCCTACTCGTCCAAACCTGAGGGAATACTGGAACTTTTCCTATCGTGACTGCAGGTTTAGTGAGGTGCCTCGACAATTTCTGGCGCAGACCAATAATGTCTGCTTGACGAGGTAGCTGGTGGCCACCTTCAGCTTTGCTGTCTTGGTTGAGACAAGGCAGTAGCGACAGGTTCACTGAGCCGTGAGCGAATGGTATGGACTCAACGTAGTCTTCTCTTGGAGGGCGGTACAACGGATCCTTGATCGGAACTCATTTGTTGTTCCAGTTATACATTATTGTTCATGTCCGTGTCACTCAACCGCCAAATCCGATCGGAGGTGCCAATGAGTTGCCTAAGTCATGTTCCTGCCAAAAGCGTTAGCTTGCGGGATTCTCCAAGGGGATGATGTCTATTTACCTTGATGTAGTCACTGCCTTTCTCGAGGTACTCCCCTCGTGTTACAGTCGCAGTCTGACGGTCCACCGCTGAGCTTGAAGCCCACCAGCCTGCAGCACCCCTCCACGCGTCGAGGATTGGGTCCGAGGCCTTTCTGACGTTGAGGTCGAAAGCAGTCGGTAGCACAGCACTCAGCTCCCTTGCCAACCGCTCTTCGAAGCTCAGGAAACTAGTGTTGCCGCCTGTAAGAAAGACGTCTCTCAACAACGCCCTCTGCTGTGATGGATCGGAGAAGCGGTTCATGACGATTCCTTCGATGATCTCAACGATACCCGCTTGGTCGACGCCAGCAATGCCCGGTTGAAAGACCACCTCTGGCACACGTATACGCTCAACGTTGAGATGGATCTGATTGATTTCTCGTTGACTCTCGGGATCGAACGGTCTTGCACCTCTTAAGAACGCGTGCATCAAGCTCTTGGTCCAATCATTCTGAGCCTCAAGTGTGTCCTTCTCTTCAAATTCGTCGTCGTACTGGAGCAGCTCACTCTCGAGAGCCCTAAGCGTAGCCGCTGAATCCTCTTCCGGCTCATCGTCGTCACTTGCAGGCTCGGTAGCAACGGTTCGGTAAACGCCCCAATCCTCGTCGTTAGCCCCGAAGTCATCGTCGTATTCTCCACCGCCACGGCGTTTGCGCTTTGGTCCATCCGAAGCCAGATTTGCGAGCGTCTTCATGCGCATCTGCGACGCGAGGCCCTTCCGATTGCCGATGTCTGCCTTCATACGTGCCTGCTCCTTCATTTTCACGAGAAGCGCGTCACGCTGCGCTCGGCGGCCGATCACCCAGTCTTCTAGATTGTTCTCGCGGTGTTCGCGGTCCAGGCGCTCCTCTTCCGCAACTCTCGCACGTTCTCGCTCCTTTTCTTGCTTGGCGCGGATGCGGGCCTCGACGCCTGCCTTCATGAGGCGCTGGTGACGTTTCTCCTTGATACCATCTTCATCCAGCTGGTCATCCGGTACATCGAGTAAGGGGAACTTGTTCAGCTGCTCCTCAAGATTTGGCTCCTCTTCAGCGCCTCCAAGATCCTTGTTTCGTGACTTCTTGATCGACTTGTCCAAATCGCGAACAACCCGCTCTAGGGCTGCCTCGTCTTTAAGCTCTTCGTCATCCAAAATTCGTCTCTGCTCCTTCTTTGTTGGCGCATTTTGAAAGTCCGTCAGTAGTTGTTGGTAGTACTCGAGCTCCTGTTCTTTCTTAATGAGCTTCTCCAATCGCATCTTAGCTGCTTGTTCTTGTAGCCGTCGTCCGGATTCCTTCTTCCGCTCCGCGATACGTGCAAGATCTTCCGCAGACTTCTCAACCACAACCTGCTCGGTGAAAGGATACTGAATAACAATGTTGCGCTCCTGCTCTAAACCAGACCATTCAAGAAAGGTAGACGTTTCCTGGTCGTAGTCCTTGGACAGGTAGCAGAACTGCTTAATGTAGTGCTCCATCTGCTCCATTGTCATCTTTCCCGTGAACGTGGGATACTTCAACCGGATTAGCTTGAAGAGAAAATCTTGCGCCTGAGATCCACCCCAGTTGAGCCTGGCACATGACTGAAACATCGGCTTCTGATCGAGCACTGGAATGATGTGGGTCGAGCTGTGTGAGGATGAGACGATTGTACCCGAGTTGCCCTTATTGTAGCGATATGAGAACAGGCTGTCGACGCCAACGGTCAAGCTCGGGGCCATATAGCATTCGAAGATCATTTCGTTCATCATTTTGCGACTGTGCCCAAAGTTCGCGACAGGCTCAGTGATGACAATCGGCCTACCAACACTTCCTTGGCTGTCGACCCCAAGCTTCAAAAAGATGTAGTCGAACACACCCTCCATGATATCCCAGTTCGTTGGGATGCTCGTATGTGTTTCGAACGCCTGTCGAATTTGACCCCTGGTTGTGGCATCCGCATAGGCATCCCAGCCCACAAAAGCACAGTACTTGTTGTATTTGCGATCTTTAAACTTGGCCATTATTGGCGGTACCATATATCGAGGCTTTTTGTCGAAGGAGAAGCCAGCCTTGAAGGTACTGGAGCCATTGTCGATGATGATGGCATTTTCGGATGGGTTTGCTGCGCTCTGCCTGTAGCCTTCGGGCTGTGGAGGCTGATGTCCTTTGAAAGGAAATTCTGGAGCTGGGTAGATGCGTGGTGCGGTCGGTTGCCCGTCCGCAGGAGGCGTGGGAAGAGTACGCTCTTTTATGATACGCGACACTTGCGTAATCGCCATTTCGTCGGTCTTGGGGAGGGGTCGTAGAGGTTCAGAGCATGCAACAGTTGTTCATCATGTATGCGGATCTTTGCGTAGCTACGATAGAGCGCTTACGCGGTGAATGTGAGGACTTAATTCCATGTGCAGTCGCGATCTATTTTGCGGGGATCTACAAGGCTGAATGGTAGCCTCGTCATAAGGACTTGGATCACACGGCTTAGGTAGATTCACTACGCCAGCAAACAATGTCTGCTGCTTGTTAAGGGCTGGGGTCCTGGTCAGGTCACTAAGACCCTGGGAATAGCTCTGAGAACAACAGGAAGAGTTCTAGTCCAGTCCATACACAACCTCGGAATTCACGACGCAATCAATAGTCCGTTTAACAACTCACAGCACTGCGACTGATGAGGCACCTTCTTGGAGGATTCTGTCTTGATTCGAGAGGCGCCAGACTTGGAATGAGGAGACTGAGGAGACCCATGCTCATTCACAAGTCTGATATTAGCGCCTAGCTTGATCTTCTTCCTTGGATTTATCCCAGCGTCCCCCCATCGAGGCACTCGGTGGATTGGACGGCAAGGCTTATGCCGCCATGCAACTGGCGCGCTGTTCCATACTAGTAACGTCAGATCTAACGAGTGACGAACATGCACAGTTCAGGTGTGGCATGAAGTTGCCCTTCGTGTGTCCAGCTCAGTTGGTCAATTGTCAGATAAGATCAAACAGGGTCTTTTAGATTGTCCGTAGCTTTGCGATGTTAGCTCGACACGCATGAATTGACACTTAGTCACAGACCTTCGAGATGAAACAGAACGTTCGATTGGTAATTCTTGAACATTTGAGCAACCAACTCAACATTCATATTCTGGATGTTGACCTCTTGGAGGCTGCGGTTCATGACCATGACGGCCTCGTTGAGCTTTTCCTACTACGATCAGCAATGGCGGACATACCAGGCGGGAACAGCATACAATATTGGTAATAATCCTCGAAAGCAGGAGGCTCTGCTGTTGCTCGTGTGGGCTTTCCTGTAGGGGTGAGCACCCCGTCCTACAATTGCAGACTCCCAGAACTCACCATGATCACAGATGCAGACTAAAATCTGCGGCAATTAGCGGCCTAGAACACGTGGAGGGCACTTAACAGACGCGTACCAAAATAGTAAGGACGTAACGCGTCGGGCTTGGCATAAGGCAACACGGTTCAAGCCCTAACCCTCGTGGGTGCGCCTTCTTGCCCTGACTGTCAATGCACGGCTCGTCCACCAAGTAGGCAATCTCGCATTACACAAAAGCAGGCTGACGCATCGCAAAAATCTCAAGCCACCGCATCCTCGATCCGCATCTGGACAGCCGTCACAATGCCTGCCACTCCTCAACCGCAAGACGACTCTCATCAGCAACTACTAGATACTATGGACATCTACTACACGCAGAAGCCTTTTCGCAACCAAACCTGGAAGCCGTCAGGTCGACGTAACAAGAACACCAAGCAGATCATCGGCGAGACACAGAGAAGAGAGGCATCGGTGATGGTGACACAGAACAATTCCGGCGCATCGACACCGTTGCCAGCAACTGGCGCAACTTCGGACGGCGCAGCTACGCCAGTGCTCGGCGCAGGAGCAGCGAAACCCCTGAACATGGCACAGGCTACGCAAAGCTTGTCGACACTGGTGCTCGAGAAAAATCTACAGAAGGCTGCGAACGGCCTGCCTACGAGCCTAGGACCCGCAGTGACATATACCAACATCGAGAGCGCGCCTAGTCTAAGCCCAGCGCGCCAGAAGCAATACTGCGACATTACCGGTCTGCCGTCGCGCTACACCGACCCTAAAACGAAACTTCGATACTACGACCAGGAGATCTTCGGTGTGGTGAGGACTCTTCCCCCCGGCGGTCCGGACCAATACTTGGCGGCAAGGGGTGCGAATGTGGTCTTGAAATGAAAATACAGACGAATCTATGACTACCAACGCAAAATCCAGTAACGGAATGTACGGCCAGCTAAGTCAAGCCCATTCCACCCACCACAAACCTCTCAGTTCGGGGTTCAGGAAAGCGCTCCGGCTTAATTGTGGTCGAATTTGGTCTCCGCCAATATGGCACCATACCGAAATCTCATATAGGAAGCGAGATCAGTTACAGCACGTTTAAGTAGCTGTGGCCGCGGCGGGTTTGAGGCAAAGACCTGGTCGAGGTGGATGAAAAGATCGTTCCACCGCATTTGCGGCATCACTACCTTCCGCAGCAGCATGAGACGGACGGTAAGTCCAGGTGGAGCAGTTACTATAAGTTATCATAGCAAGCAGCGGATACAAGTATAGGATGCGGCCAATGCTAGAATACGTGACGAAGAAAAGGCAGATAGAGTCTCGTTTTGTATTTTTTAGGAAGATCGACAAAAGACGGTAAAACATCGGAGCCCATTCGCTAGATCCGGGGAAACCTCCGCCGCATGTATTCAGACCACTCCAGTTTCTTATACCGCGTCGAACTATAGAGTACTCGTTGCAGCCTTAGGGGTGAGTAGTGTATAGACCGTCAAGGTGGATTATTTTCAGGTATACTTGCCATGCCGGGACGAATGATGAATGCTGACCACGTGAAGCGCCTAAAGGGCGCGATAGACACGAGGATCGCTGAGGAACAGGCTCGACAACGACAAGCCGTCACCTCGTCCACCTCGCAGCGCGGTCCACAACGACGGCGTCCGCAGACACAACAAGATGGCTCTGCTCCACGCTTGGCCAGTCGTCAGAGAGAAGTCGGCACTGCGCAGTCGAACCAGGGGCCTGATCCATCTGAATTCGAGGCTGCATTCTCCGTAGTCGGCGATAGTAGCGAGGCCCCAAGCAGAGTCGAGACACCTAGGCCCGAAAGCGAGACCAAGGAAGAGCCGGGTGCAGTGCCCGAAGAAAAGAAGGATGAGGGTACAAGTCGGGAAGTTGCAGGCGCCTCGTCAGAAGAGACCGATGGCAGTCCCGTGCCACAGGCAAGAGCTCCTGAAATACCGGCAGACGTTCGCCTCAAATTTCGCAAGCTGGAACGACTCGAGTCAAAATATGGCGAGCTACTGAAGGCCTACCGCTCTGCTCACGCACGGGTGCAGACGATAGAGCCATTCGAGGCGTCCCTTCGTGAGCATACACCTCTGACGAGCATTAACGACCCGGCAGCTTTTACCGAGTATCTCACTCAGGTCAGCGCCAAGGGTGATATGGTACTCGATGAGTTCAAGAAGGTCAGTGCGGAAAGAGACGACTACAAGAAGAAGGCAGAGCAATCCGAGGATGACGCGAGCCAACTGAGGGCCAAAGTCGCAGATTTGGAAAGCCGAGCAGCAGAGACAAAAGCGAGCACAGAGACCCAAGACCCAGTCGTGCAGCCTGCGGAAGACGCAGTCTCGTCAACGACGGCAGTAGCAACTCTGAACACTGCAAATGACCCCTCCTCTCCCAAAGACTCCATCAAGTCTCCTGCCTCGACCTCGTCACGCATACCGAGCTTCTCCTTGTTCTCGCCACGCTCAAAACCCGTGTCCCCGCCCAAGGACACTTCAGAAGATTTTTTTTCGTACGACAATGAAGTACCGCGTCTCGAACAAGAACTCGAGGACAGCAAAGCCCAAGTTGAGCAGCTCAGGGCGCAGATGGAGAAGATGAAGGCTGACTTGACTGTTGCCCGTGAATCCACCGAAGGCATGGTCACCAGCCTCGAATCAGCTACACGGGAACTGCTCGAACTCCGGGACACGAAGGACAAATTCGATGTTGAAAAGGCTAGGCTTGAAAGTCGCATCCAGGATCTCGAAGGTCAAGCGCAGTTGGGAGAAAGTCAAGCTCAACATATTGACCGCGAGCTTGAACAACTGCGCTCGCAAAGAGACTCCTTATCTGGCGAGATTGATGGCCTTAAACAGAGAGTGCAAGCGTTGGAAGAAACGAAGTCCGACCTTGAGTCGCAACTACAGAAAGCCCGGGCGGAAACGAACATCCTAAATGAGAAGCTTGGCCAAAAGGATGCTACAGTCAAGGATCTTGAAGATAGCCTGGCGATGGCGAAGATGGCTGCTCGCGAGCAAGAACAGCAGAGCAAGGGAGAGACTTCGAGCGAAAAGAAGCTCAGCACCATGCAAGGTATCATGGACACATTGCGCTCTCAATTAACCTCCACAGAAGCAACTGTGGCAGACTTGAAGGCAGAACTCGCAGCCAACGAGGAGAAGTTCAACAATCGTCCTTCTGCCAAGGTCTTCGGATTTCTGGATGAGGGGACATCGTCGAATCTCGACCAGCTTAAGAGCCGAGAGGACGCTGTCAATTATCTGGCTGCCAATTTTGGCCTGAAAAGAGAGACACAGGAGCTGCCAGCTGCTGTTTCCAGGCCTGTTTCCACTACAGCGCCGGATCTAGGTACTGCTCAAACTTCCAAAAAGAAGAACAAGAAGAAAAAGAAGGGTAAAGGCAGTCAAGCAATACCAACCGAGGAAAACGAGCCGGAGGGTCCCGTCAAGGTGTCTGAAAACCTTGCCGAAATTGAAGAGGAGTCTAAGCCAACGGCTATCATATCTATGAACACCTCTCAGCTGGAAGAGCAAATAGCTGCCCTGAAGAAGGACATCGACACCAGAGATTCTACCATTGAGAAGCTTTCAAAGAAGATCAAAGACCAAGAGGCCCTTCAGGAAGAGATCGAGACTCTTCGCGATGACTTGCTGCATCAAGGGGAGGAGCATGTCGAGGCCCGAGACAAGCTGAAGACAGCAGAAATTGAGAGGGCAGCACTCCGATCAAGAGCCGAAGAGCTTGAGAGTGAGCTGCTTGGTCTCCAGAGGAGCATTTCCAACAAGTCTGCGGACGATGAAAAGCACAAAAACACGATCCAGGAGCTGGAGGAGGCGAAGATCAAGTCCATATCCTTGCAAACCGATCTCACTGCGGCTGAAAAGCTTGCTGCGTCGCGATTCAAAGACTTGACTGACCTTCGGGATGTCCTCTCCAAAGCACAGCCAGAATTGAAGGTCTTAAGGGCCGAGGTCGCGGAGCTCAAGAGTGCCAAAGACGATCTGAAGAACAAAGAGGGGGAGCTCAAGCGGCTAGAGGCTCGACACGAGGATCTCAAGTCAGAAATGAAGGGCTTGAGCAAGCGACTAGGTGACAAGGACTCTGAGATCAAAGAGTTGCAGCAGAAAATTGAACAAGAAACTAGCACGCGGACAAGAGCCGAAGAAGATCTGAGGGTTGTTCAGACTGAGCTCAAGTCTACCGAAACGAGAAGGCTAGACGCCATCAGCCTCTCGGACGACAGGAATAACGAGCTAAAGAAGAGTCGTGAGGAAGCAGCAAAACTCAAATCGCAGTTGAATGGTCTTGAGGGACGAGTGGCTGGACATGAGCGAGAGATTTCACAGTTCCGCGAGGAAATCAGTCTGAAGACCGCCTTGCATTCTTCATCGCAGCAACTGGTACAGTCCTTGCGCGAACAGACTCATGAGCTGAACACCCAAGCTCGAGAAGCATCGACGCGGGCTGAGAATCTCGAGGAGGAATTGGCCGAAGCTCAGCGAATGCTTACTGAACGCACTCGTGAAGGGCAGACGATGAGGATGCTGCTGAATCAGTCAGAGGCCGGCACAGAGTCTAGAGTACGTGAGATGAAGGAGCGTATGGATGCGGCCATCGAGGAGCGCGATCGCATCGAAGACGAAGCTAGCGTGAGCAGTAGACGCATGATGCGCGAGCTGGATGACGCGAAGTCAAGGGCTCGGGATATGCAGAGACAGGTTAAGATCCTGGAAGACGAGAAAGATGAGCTCGATCTGAAGCAGCGAGATGCCAAACGCAGGTTACAAGACCTGGAGCAAGCCAGCGAGAGAGCTACAAAGGAGGTGGAAGAAGTCCGCGCTGCCATGGCTACCCTGCGCGAGGCACTCAACGAGAGCGAGCGGCAGGTGCAAGACATGGAGACCCAGAAAGGAGAGCTACGGCGGATGGGCGATGAGGCCAAAGAGCGCGTTGAGAAGCTCACGAGAGCAAACAAGAATCTGACCGAGGAGCTCAAGGTGCTGCAGGCGAACACGCGACAAGGACCCAGACCTGGCGTGGGATCCGGCGTTCAGAGCTCAAGAACATCAATTGACTCTGCGTCAGCTAGATCTCCAGCGCCCACAGCCAGGGAGCGTGACAAGCCTGCCGGGGGGCGCGAGACGCCTACCAATGCAGGCTTGAGTCAGGGTTCGGTGGATTACGTCTACCTGAAAAATGTGCTACTGCAGTTCCTCGAGCAGAAAGACAAGGCGCACCAGCGGCAACTGGTTCCTGTGTTGGCGATGTTGCTGCACTTCGACCGGTAAGTATCGCAGCCTGTTTGACGAACAAGCAAGTCTGACACGTATGCAGGAAAGACGAGCAAAAGTGGCTGTCAGCAATCTCTGCGCGGTAGAGGGTGGTTATCTACATCCCCAAAAGGTAGCGCAGACGGCAACTTCATGGCAAGTTGCTAGTTTGCTTCCATCCTTGGACGCACTAGCGACCTCAAATTCTCCATTCCAGTCGTCTTTTCCAGAGTCCGAAAACAGGGAAGTGCGCTGCCTGAGAATTGGTGTGTCTTGCTTAGTGTTGCCGCATCTGCGAACGTTTTCTGGCCGGTCACTTCTACCAGCGCAGCTGGAGGCGTCAACTACCTATTCGGCACGATCAACCTGGCCGGGTATTCCAGGTCAACCAAGACTTGTGCGTTGAGAGGGTTGAGCCCGCGTGCGGTAGCGAGTGAAAATCCTGTGCGAGGTTCGGGATCTCGCAAGGAACTGAGTTGAAGCATGAGTGCCGACCATGCAAGGGACCGTGGTCTGTCATTGAGATTCTTCGATGTGTAACATAGGCAGGACTAAGCATCGACTCGCATCGCCTCCTACCAGAGTATGCAGGCTTATGCGTAGAACAACCAAACATCTGGCGAGACCGCCAAAACCGCGGTTGCCTCGTTGCTGAAACCATACTTCGTATATCTGCCAATCATGCCGAAGCATATGCACGTTGCTGAACTCTATTTGATCCCACGGACTTGCTGCGCCCGTAGCACTTCACCTCAGTCGTTTTAGGTCGTACCAATGCTCGCGAGACTCGGGCAGACCCCTGAATCCCATGAGATCCTGTCAGTGTGTCTAGTAGTTTCAATGCTGCACGGGTTGGAGGCTTGATATGGAGCCATTGAAGGCCAGCTGGATTATTCAAGACTCCGATCTTCTGATAGCCAGTGAACTTCAGGGCACACACCTTACGTAAAGGTTCACGGGGCTAAGCTTGAGTGTGGCCGCTGTGGGAGCTTACATGAAGAGCGAACGGTTCCTTCAGGGGCCCACTTTCAGGCAGTGAAATGTAATGCTAAGATTCAGGGTACAACCTACACCTCTGTGGCGACACAGGCGACGGTACGAATTGCCCATTTTAACACAACAACCAGGGGGGCGAAGTACAGAGTCCCGTGCGGGAGAAAAGGGTTGAATCTAAGAGCTTTATATGAAATGTGCTTGCGAAACGCGCTACATGGTTACGAAAACAAGAAAACTTTCAACCTACCAATTTCTCCCGTATCTAGCTAGGGAAGGCCTGCATCCCTGATATGCGGCGGCAACTCACACAAGCCCTCCGGAGTCAACCGATCCATGTCGGCGTGCTGCCTGGCGCAGTCACTGCCCCGCCGATGCCTTCTGGGTGTGTAGTGAGGCACCCGGGGCGTCTGAGGACACTGGGTGTCTTGGGGTTTTATCTTGCTCACGCTCTCCTTTATAGTGCACGGTTCCGATGCTGGCCAGCCTTTATCTACACCCTCGACACAGGCGTGGCATGCAGAGTTGATGGAACTGGGCGGGGTGGCGACTGAGCTGGGGGAGGCCGTGTCGAGGTCGGCGTCGCTGCCCGTGTGGCTTGTGCTGCTGGAGGACGGAGGGACGCGCTCATGACTCACCCTATGGGAGCGATGGCAGTTCGTGGACGGCCTGGTCTCACAAGGCCCGGTACGCTCTAACTTAACGTCAGGCTGGTCGGTGAAGCTGGGGTGTGGCTCGATGCTCGCAATTGGGATATCGGAGTTCTCGACCTTGACATTGGGCTGGAAATCAGGCGAAGACGGCCTGCGAAGGAGGCTCCCACCGGCGTCGGCGCTACCGGATGTGGCCGTGACATTTGAGGGAGGAGGGGGAGCTGGAGACCGATCGGCACGCGACGACGGGGAGCGCTTGCGCAGGGATGATGGTGAGAGATGGGTCCCCGAAGTCGGCGTCAGCAGCGAAGAAGTCTCGCGATAGCCTCGACGCGAGCTCTGAGCCATTGTACTTTGACGTAGAACTCGTGGCTCGAAGAAGATGGACCCTTTGTGATTACCTTTATCCGAGTTAACACTACCCCATTGCCTAGAGGTATGATTAGGCGGACACGGGAATGAACAATGCGTCTGTGTCCTCTTAGTAATGTTTTCAGAAGCCTTTTCCCATGCAGACCAGGCAGAGATGGCGTAAGACGCCGACTGCTGAGAGGAGCCTACTGAAGAAGCCGGAGAGTTAGGAGTTGGAGTGTCATCAATATTGAAGAAGCGGTCGAGCAAAGCTTGCTTGGAAGTGGAGCTGCTATCACTAGTCAAAAGTGTGGCCTTGCGGCTTGACATCGTGCTGCTTCTGGTCTGGAGGCTGCTAGTCGAAGAGCTCCACGAAGGGTTGCCTGAAGAATGTGTTTTCGAGGCGTGGTTCAGACCTGACGAGCCACCAGAGCTTCTCTGGTGGCTTATGGTTGAGGAGGCCCACGAGGGGGTGTTTGACTGATCTGTTCTTGCGGTATAATACTGGCTGGTACTCGACGATCCGTAACCAGGCAAGCTCGACTGATACGGATAGCTCAAAACTGTACTATAGACATCGAGAACCACAGGTCAGTACGCCTAAACAAGATTGGAACGCTAAGGGATGTGTATAAAACTTGACAGGTGTAGAAATGGCATTAATGTCATCAGGTGAAGACTTGTCTCCGGTGCTTAGGTAGAATTCGGAGCCCTAGGGTGCTCGATCTGGATGTTCAAAGGATCAGGGAACTCACGTGCAGTGCTTGCCGGAAAAGTCCCCAGCCTCAATTCCGTCATTGTTCTCCTCGTCCTGATCACTGTCGTCACTACTAGAGCCGTCAATTTGTGCATCAGCATCAACCGCGGCCAGGTTGCGCCCAGACCAGGCAACATTGTAGAATGTGAAGAGGGCGTAGAGCTTGTAGAAGCTGTGGATGTAGGCAAACAAGATGTACGCTGGGATCAACATGAGGTCAGCAGGGCATCTCCGAAAATGGGGAATCAACTTGACCATCTTGCTGGCGAAAACCCAGGTAGCCATGACGAGTGTAGGAGTCCAGGTGCCACCGAAAGTCGTGCGCCTAAGCGTGTAGAATAGCGCAGCGTCGTAGAACAGCGCAAAGTTGAAGAAGCTGCTGATGTAGACGCTGTAGGTGCACCAGGGCTGAGCATACCAGACAGTACGGTCAGTGAAGAGCGAGCAGCTATTCGAGCGCCAAGTCGTGCGAACCCAGCGTAGACACTGAGACATGTACTTACCTGGAGATCCAAGTTCAGTCTCAATGGTAGCATCCTCGCAGTATTGGATCTTGATCCTCCAGCCCTTCTTCACCTCCCAGCGGGTGATGAAATTGTCATCATCTGGATTGATGGGACCGAGCTTGCCAAAGAAGAAATACTCATTCGCAAACCCGCCGAGAAAATCGGGGTCTTGGAGAATGCAGGTGCGGTGAGCGGACGTGCGACCGGAAAGTACGAAGACGCCACCATCGATTGCATTCGTGGCGGCAAGCTCAAAGTTGTGTCTTTCAAGGTAAACACATGCCAGAAAGTTGAAGATGCTGTTCATGCCCCAACCGGATCCAGTCCGACGAACGACCTTGTTGGTACCAAGTCCACCAACCTTGCTGTCCTCGAATGGAGCACAGATGGTTTTAAGAAAATCCAAACTTGGCCAATAGACATGGTCATCAACGAGGACAGTGATAGCCGTTTTGACTTGAGGTAGTGCATGGCACACTTGTCTGCGCTTGTTAGCTACATCCGTCTGCGTGACGGAGATGGTGGTTGAGGGCCAGCTCCTGCGAAATGGCTTGACCACTTTCTTAACCAGCTTGACTTTCGCGTTGCCAACCGTGACGATGATGATAGCCCCAGGCTGATTCTGTAGAACAGTACGAATGCACTCCAAGAAACCGGCGTTCTCGGGATCAATCGTTGGGATGATGATAGTGCAATCGCTCGGCTTCAGGGTAGGGTTGACGGGAAGGGGGGTCGGTTTGTAGACGCAGTAGAATGACAGAACGTGTACAATCAGCCGGATGTAGCGAAAACAGAATAGTACCGCGAACAGGAAATTCTCTTTCGTACTGACCAATAGAGAGAAGAATGCCACGAGGCTCAGGAGCCAGCTCAGGGGGGTTGTAATGCGTACTAAGTCCATAGTTGTTGAAACCATACTCACCAGAATGTCGGTCATGATTCAACCGTACAGGATGTGTCGTGTATTATGACAAGAGGTTTTACCAGAAGCCCTCGAAATCAATGCTGAATGGTATCCGATAGACTTGAATGAGTAAGCGGAGTCATGATCGGCGCTGAAGATATTTTGTACCTGATCGCAATCTTTCTGCAGCGTCGGAAATAGCCTGGAGTCAATGAGCGGACAAAAGGTGTCAAAGCGCCTTTGTGTAGAATGTTGAACAATAGTCACCGTACTGTCGACGGCAGAATTAGCACAAAGGGCAGAAACACATCATCAAAGGAAGGTAGTTGCAGCCTCATATATGACTCTGGTCACCAGCTGGTCTGCCGCTTTCGTGGAGGCACCTTGCGTCCCAGACAGCGGCAACTATGCCTGTCTGTTACAGCACTTCTTGCCTGAAGATCACATAGTCCGGCTAGCTGAGCACACTGTCATTCGCGTAGACAGTTTAATGAGAGTCGACTCATCTTGAGGGTGAGAATATTGAGCACCGCCAAGTCAGAAGGCCCGGAGCAATACTGGTCGTCACATAGATTGCCGGACACTGACCTTTTAATGTATAGATGACGGGATCTGAAAAAATACCAGGGATAAAGAATGAAGAATGGTGTCTAGGACTTCGATTTGTATATTTTTCCTTGGCTTATGGCGCACCAGCGTTCGAGGCTCGCCAGCGATGTGATTGACAGTCCTAATAGTAAAAGAAAAATAGCCCTAGAGCAAATGCTTCATCCGGGTGAACTCGACTGTAAGGCCAGTATCTCAGTGCCTCCTGGCAAGGGTATAGTTCAGCTTGTAGAATACATGGTACTCGCCCAATGTCTTACCTAAGTCCTTAATCGTAAGCAGGTGCCGGTCGGCTAGCGCGGCGGCCATTGTTGATGAGAACCAGTGCTGTTCAATTAGAGATTTCTGAATCACGCTCAGTTCCCCGTAGCAAGTCCTAAGCCTCGTGCTATAGGCATTGATGATGATTTGCTGGCTCTCTTTGAACTGCTTTGAGAAATTGCCTGTAGACAGAATGAGTTCCACGTATTTTTCGAAGCCTGCCATCGTATTCTTAGCCACTGACATACCTTCAGCAAGTTGAAGCCACTCCTTGGTTCTCCCCAACCTAGCGATGGCGTCCTGGGTTTGCTCAGACTCCATGGCCGGCAGGGACACGGTCTGAATGAAGCCCAACTGATGGAATGACCTCAAGATTTCGAAGACTTTGATCGCGATTGTTAATGGCGTATCCTATCGTAAGTAGAAGCAGCACTATCAGCTAGAGTGTAGTCGTGTGCTTGACTCAGCTGATGGTGCAGGTTCTGCTTCTTAATAAGCGAGCGAGCGAGCGAATATATCTTTCCTTCCAGCTCGTCTATGTCGACACCCTAACGTCTTTCATTATCGTGTTCGCAGAAGCAAACAAGGAAGCTTGTTAACTCCTTCAATTGCATTATCATCGAATAGTGACTTCTTTATTGGAAGCGGCTGCGTATGTCTCTCACAACGGCAGCCTGGCTTGTCCTCATTGAAGGTAATTGTTCCATTCACGTGGTCCGGAGTTCCTGATCGCTATGCTACGTAGTGTCAGACAGCTTCTCGTGAAAGACTTGCCAGTTAGCGTACGTGGGGTTGTAGTAACGCAGCACGAGATAGTGTAAAGGGGCAATAAGTGAAATGTGGGCTCGTTATTCAAATATACAGATACCCACAGGGCCTCACGAGGCCTCACCAAGCAGGCGAGAGCTCTACTCGAAGGTCATTTTGATATCCTTCTCTTTACCAAGGCCATCTTCAGCCCAAGCGTTGTGCTCGATATTATAGGGATCAACAGGAGGCGTGATGTTATTGCTGGGCAGACTTTGGTGCTTGCTCCAACTCGAGGGGGAAGGCTCAGTCGCGTGCGTTTTGAGCGCTGGTCTCGAGACATCTGAATCGAAACCGCCTTGAGATATCGAAGGAGTGATATTAAGTGGCGGAAGGGTGCTGACTAGCTCTCTCGGCTGACCAAAGCCATAGTCTTCAGGCTCGGGCGAAGGAATACGTCTTGGCGATGGTTGTGACGACGGCGCAGGAGAGTGTCTGGGAGACTGGCCTGGAGACTGCCTCGGCGATGGTCGGAGTGACGATGTCCTTGCTGGTAGTGCAGGCATGGGTATTACGCCTTGCCCGTCCTCATCCGGACGTGGAGGTAGCTTCATCCGTGATAATTCATCTGCCGAGAGATTGACGTTTTGCGGAAGTCGCAGGAACTCCGTCTGCTTCTCTCCATCTTTTCCAGTCGTCACAATCTGCATAGCCGGCATCGTGCTGTCGAGCTCACGGACCTCGACATATTCGCTCGCCAATTCCCTGCGAATAGCGTCAATATCAAAGAGCACATTCGGCTCTCCTGGACCCGATTTCGACTCATCACCATTGCTCGGGCTGCTTGCATGACCGCTAGCTCCGGCCTTGTAACTCTCCCAATCTAGCTTCCCTGCAGGTTTGCCGCGCTTGAAGAAGCCAAATCTTTTCCTTTCGGGCTCTTTCTCCGCCTGCTTCCTGGCCTCGTCGATCTCTCTGATAAGCTCACGCTGGCGTGCTTCATGGTTGTCAGGATCAGGATCCTCAATTTCGGAGAACTCATCGCTTTCAACCTCCCAACCAACTTCACGCAGCAGGCGCGGCATTGCGGCTCGGTAGGCCATGTGTCCGTTGACAAATTCGCCCACATCCTTGTTCTCCATTCCCGGTATGTTCTCGACGGCCGCTAAGCCCGCCACTCGACCTAGACCTCCTGCGGTGGCACGGAAGAGATAGCCAAGAATCCAGTCATTGCTAGCATAGCCGTTCACGAATCTACCGGCAATGACCGAGCGCGCACGCAGATACTCATCCCTTTTGGCCGTGATGGGCGCACCGAACAGATAGACATTCTGTACAATACCATAGGCACCTCGGTTGGCCAGCTCCTTCAAGCAAGAGAAAATTAGCCTGGCCCCCAGAGAAAAGCCGACCAATGTGATTGGGCGCTGCCCAAGGTGCCGTTGGATCAGGGAGTCGGCAAGGATCAGACCAGCCGCATTCGCCCGATCCAGCGATACGTTCCAGGGGTTGTCGATGAGATATGCCAGCTTGGTCAATATGATCGGGAGCTGTATGGCTGACATCAGACCGATCAGTAGAGTGCTGCCAAGAACTTGCTGGATAGTCTGCGTTAGAGCTTCGGTGGCCAGAATATTGATCGTATCACCAGTAGAGCGGAGCATGTCGGGCTCCCAAAGTAGGGAGTAGATGTCGCCCATGATCGGGTCGACTGTACTGAATGGCAAGCGTACATCGTCCACCTTGCCAGTCATCCAGCCTGATACAGTCAAAATTAGGTTAAGTCGCTTGTTGTTGTGCAAAGGTCGATATTCGAAAGTCTTGACATGCCCAAACCTTCGATCCGAGGCCCGGAGCGCGATTGTGCCACCCGTTGTGACGCCGATCGATGTAACGATGGCGGCACCACCCACACCCGTCAAGAAAGCAGTGGTACCACCAATACCAACGGTAGTGAATCCAGCCGCCAACCCCGCTCCGATGAGAGGGGCAAGTAGTCCGGCAGATAATCCAATTACTGCGGCACCACCAACGGTCACAAGGCCCATTGTAATATACTTGCGCTTTAGACCAGCCTTGCGCCTTTTATCCAAGTTGTCCGTCTCATCCAAACTTTCTCTGAGCTCAGCCTCTTGCATCTCAAGTGCGTCGATGATTCGCCTTTCGAAACGACAAATCTGCTGCCAAGTGACCTGCATGGATGAGGCAACACGTTCCAGAAGCCTTCGAGATCTGGAGTCGTAACTGCCATCTGATATCAATACCAGAAAAAGGTCGCACAAGACTGTCCATCTCAGATCAAGATCGACCTTATCCGTTGTTGGCAGTGTTTCTTGTACTTCAGGCACTTCTTCGCCGGCTTTGACATTAGCTGGATTCAATCCTTCATCTTCCGTGCTGGATTTGTGGTCCAATTCATCCTTAGTCCTATTGTCCACCGTTTCTCCCGGATGGTCGTCTGATTTCTCACCCGATTTCCGTTCGCTGTTGGGGTTCTTGATTCTGGCATGCTGCATCAGAGGAGGCACCAGGTCGTGAGGAGTAACGCCGTGTTCAGCCAGTTGCTCAATCATGACCTGCTCGGCAGTGTCAATCTCCATATGAGCAAAAAGCCTCACCATCATTTGCTGACCCCAAATTTCCATACTTTCGAGCGCTTTTACAAGGTCTTTCTTGGTACCTTTAGTCCGCTCGACGTCGTCCAGAGCCTTAAGCATCTTGTAAATGGTCAATCGAACAACACCGACGTAAGCGATGCGTTGGCCTTCGGTCAAGAGGTCTTTGGTGTTCTCCAGTTGCGTAGCAGCATCCCGACCGAGATCGTCGTCGTAATCATCATCGTCGTCGTCATCGGCTTCGGCTTCGGCTTCAGCAGCTTTGGGTTTCTCGTCTTTCTTGAATAGATAATTAGTATCGTCATCCATGCTTGTGGTCGAATGAGCGTCCTCGTCAAGCTGAAGTTTTGTGTAGCCTCTGCTCGAGAATCCCATGGCGGAATAGCCTGTCTTGCCCGGATCCTCCTCTCTGGCCCCCTTGGCGACGAGGCGACCTCGATCATCATAGTAGTCCATTTCACCGAGCGCAGGCATGGCCTGCCATTCGACCTCTTCTTCTGGTTCGGATTCCTCATCTTTGACCACTAGTGCTTGGTGAGACCATTCAGACACAACCGCGGCACTACTTCTCTTTTCCTTTTTGATGCTGGGAAAGCGTTTTGGCTCACTCGGTGACGAAGGCGTCGACTGGTCCTTGGGTTTAGCAACTCCCGCTTCGCTGACAGGTGAAGAGGGTTTGTCCTCGCCAGCCCTTTGTGTTTCCACACGTGCTGTTGGCGAACTCTCATCCTTACTCCCCGAATGCTCTTCTGCGGCCAATGACTGTGATGATGACGCTTTCTCAGCCACCGAAGCACCATTTGTTATCTCGGCGTTCAACGAATGTGTCACTTCGGGGTCATTTGCTCCGTTTCCTCGCTCGATCTCGGCGCTACGGCGCTGATGTTCGGCAGGATGTTCGGTAGACTGTATCTGCTCCTTCGGCGGCGTAGATGTCGAAGAAGTGACGACGTCTTCAGCATCGTGGAACGCTGCATCGTCATCGTCATCACTACTATCACTGGAGAGAGGTCTCGGTGTTCGGCTTGCAGGCCTTCGCGGAAGTCCAAAATCGTCTATATCGGCCGGGTCATCCTTTTGAGATTCCGGCACGGACGTATTGCGAGGTGCGGAGCCATCCTTGCTGGTGGCTGGCGGGTCACTGCCTGCTGTCATGATCCTGGGCAGACAGCATCGAGAACGAATGGTGAGCCCCTCTTCCCGAACAGTACCACCCACTCAATCAAACAAACGTGGAATCACTCTTCTCTTGCAAGTTGCAACAGATCCCTGGAGAACAAAAGAGATAGCTGCGTCTAGGCCCCTTTGTTCTAAGTTACAATAGAATTCGGAGTCGCAGTCTCGTTTCTCTCCGCTCGCCTTGGCAGGAACGAGGCAACAACCGCAGTCGATCACGAGACTCATTCAATTGCAGCTCACGGTACGCATATGTCCTTGAGAAAGCAGAATATGGAGATGTACATCGGAAATGCCATGTGAAGTTGACTGAATGTGGTATCTTTTCGGAATGGAGACCTGGGAGCCTGCCTGCGGCCATAGGGCCACCACTGTACAAAGGTGCTCGCAACGACCAGGCTCTCGCAACTCTCATCTCGGTCTTGTATGACTCATGATGCATTATTGCAGCAGGGATATAGAGCTGTTGTACAATGATGCGACCTGATTACTTGCGCTTGGTGAACTCCTCCAAAGCAGTGTAGTCTCCCTCGTCCATTTTAGCCCAGACAGCTTCTATCCGTTGCCGCCGCTGCAGGCCAGTTTCTCGGTTCTTGCCGCTTTTTTGCGCTCGCGCTCCCGACAAGCATTTGTTTACTTCTCGCTTGATATCATTGCAGCCGCCAACGGCTTTGTAGAGGAAGCCTCTGGCATGGCATTCGTCGAGAGCGTTCATGATCTCTTCGCAGCCTTGAGCTTGTCAGCAAGCGTTCTGGACCACTTTGGTTGGATATTAGAACATGATCCTCTTGTCGCGCTACGAGACATAGAGGATCAGGTGAGAAAAGCAATTGGGGGGTGATGCTTACCAACGTTGTCCTGGGTGTGGAGATGAGAATGCATTTTGGCGGAGACACGCCTCCAATATAGATCGTGGGGCTCCAACCAAGCCCACATCAGTTGCACACTCAGCTTCGCGCTTTGCAACAATGTCGAGAGGAACACGGGAGGGATAGATTGTAAATGCATTCTGCAGCCAAGGCCGAGATAGTTAGCCCTGCGCAGCCTTGCAGATCGGTTGCCCCACCATTGCCGGAAGATCGACGTCAACGGTCCCGAAAAAAAGTTCATAGCATTTCTTCCAATTAATGGCAACGATTGCCAACAGGTGTGATTGACTGACTGAATTCTGTTCTGGTGAGAGTTCCTGAAAGATGTCTATGACACTTGCGACTACGTGGGTGCGGCGGGGTGTTGCTGCACAATTCCCCACAAAGTACGATGTGGACGAGGAAGAACTGGGCAGGATTTCGAAAATGGCTAGGCTACAGCTTGAAGACGCCCAGGAAGATCTGAACGCGGCTCAAAGCAAAGACATTGACTCGCAAGGTTCCGACGATGACTCCGGTGGTGCGAGTCTTTCCAAGGAGACTAAGACCAGTAGCGCATCGAATCAGAACTTGGCAGAGGACGATGAGCTGAGGGAATACAACCTCGACGACTACGACAACGATGATGCGCCTGAAGCGAATGGGGAGAAGTTCGCCATGTTTGGCAATGTGCGGTCGTTAGCCTATCATGCCCCTGGCGAAGACGACCCATACCTGGTCTTGCCTGCTGGTGAGCAAGACTCAGACGACGAACGAGACGAACTGCAAATTCTACCCACCGACAATCTCATACTGGCCGCAAAGGTTGAGGATGAGGTAGCACATCTGGAAGTTTTTGTCTACGAAGATGACAACGACAATCTTTATGTACATCACGATATCATGCTACCAGCAGTTCCACTCTGCGTAGAATGGTTAGACTTGCCTGTGGGTCAGGATACGGGCAAGCGGAGAAATGGTAGCTTTGTCGCCGTTGGCACTATGGGGCCGGAGATCGAAGTTTGGGACTTGGATACAATTGACAGCATGTACCCAAACGCCATTCTTGGGCAAGAACCGTCGGAAGATGTAGCAGCAGAGGCAAACGGAGAAGGGAGTTCGAAGAAAAAGAGCAAAAAGAAAAAGAAGAAGCCAAAAGCCAACGACGAATATCATGTCGATGCCGTCCTAGCGCTAGCTGCTAATCGACAGCACCGGAATTTGCTTGCGTCGGCCTCTGCCGACAAGACTGTCAAACTCTGGGATTTGAACACAGGGAAATGTGCCAAATCCTACACCATGCACACCGACAAGGTTTGCGCTCTGGACTGGCATCCTACAGAGTCTACAGTCCTGCTCAGTGGCAGCTACGATAGAACAGTCATTGCCACAGATATGAGAGCACCCGATGCCGAGGCACCGAAATGGGTTGTTGCCGCAGATGTCGAAAGGGTACGATGGGATATTCATGATCCGAATTACTTCTACGTTACCACCGAGGCCGGCACGGTGCAGTACTTTGATGTACGCGACCCTCCGAAATCTCACGACAAGCCCACCAAGGCTATTTGGACTCTGCAAGCCCATGACAGCGCAGTCAGCGCGTTCGATATTAATCCCGCTGTTCCTGGTTTCCTTGTGACAGGATCCGAGGACAAGCGAGTCAAACTTTGGGATGTTCAGAATAACAAACCGAACATGGTAGTTTCGCGAAATGTTGAGGTTGGGCGCATATTTTCGGCTCAATTCGCGCCAGATCAAGAAGTGGCTTTCCGCTTAGCGGTTGCGGGGAGCAAAGGACAGCTACAGGTTTGGGACACGAGCACGAATGCTAATGTCCGAAGCGTTTTTGGTGGAAGGGTCAGCCTGCCGGAAGATCGTGGTAGAGGCGAACGAATGGTTGGAATTGCACAAAGCGACAGCGAGAGTGATGACGAGGAGGAAGCCGGAGGCGTGGAAGACGGTGCTGGCCCAGGTGACGGCTGGGAGTCGATGGATGAGGATTGAGGTAGACTGAGGACCATGTGTGAATGTACTACTGGTTCGGGTATACTAGATCAATCAATCCTCCACCAATTCAGAGAATTGGTTGGGAAGTCGAACAGCTTAGGCGGCGTTTTGCGCAACATCGAGCCATTGGAAGGTTGCTCGACCGTCCAGACGAGGCTGAAGCGTGGACGACGATGACCATGTTGCAGAATCCCAGAAGGGAGATTAACACGTGTGGCACGGCCTAGTATGTTATTCTGAAACTGTACGATCGCTACTTGCACATAACAAAGCCTGGAAAGGATCTAGGAGACGACAAGGTCCAGTGCGAGACGTTGCTCGGGATGAGGCGTAGCCGAAGGACCCCCGGACGGAGAGGAGGCGCAGCAGATCTGATCAGGCTGCGCAGGGGTGAGCGTCCAAAGAAGCCAATCTATGTGCCAGCATCGTTATTCGCACCGTCTGACTTCATTCATTATTCCCACGGGCTTAACCTGTCTATCTTTCCTGCTCCGTGTTTTGCGTGTCTTATTATTCGTGGCATTGACCACCCTGCCTTTGCCCCTCTTTAACCACGAACGAGTCCGCGATCCGCCTCCTCCGACTTACCACATTCCCACGCCGTGCAATGCGAACATACAAGACCAAAACCAGTTCCTAAGATAATCACGCTCATCTGCGGGCTCATATGGCTTTTACACCATCAAGTCTGGACCGCCGGAAAGGTAACTGGTTGGTGAGATGGAGTGCCTGGGCTTTGGCGGTAGCCCTGATGGCTCTGCCACTGGCAGGCGCCCAGCAGCAGAAGACGCAGGCAGACTACTATGTCAAGTCGCTACCAGGGCAACCGGATGGGCCGTTACTTAAAATGCACGCTGGGTATGTGTTGAGCATCCTGTAATGCGAATCCGACTAACCTGCCGTAGTCACATCGAGGTCAGCCAGGAGCACAACGGGCACCTCTTCTTCTGGCTCTTTCACAACCGACATATCGGCGATCGGCAGCGGACGGTCATCTGGCTGAATGGCGGACCGGGGTGTAGTTCAATGGATGGAGCGTTGATGGAAGTAGGCCCGTACCGGGTTAAGGGGGACAAACTGGAGTACAACGAGGGGTCATGGGACGAATTTACGAATCTCCTCTTCGTTGACAACCCAGTTGGCACCGGCTTCAGTTACGTCAACACCGACAGCTATCTCCACGAACTCCCTGAAATGGCGGACCAATTCATGGTCTTTATGGAAAAATGGTTTGACCTGTTCCCAGAGTATGCCAACGACGACCTCTACTTTGCTGGTGAATCCTACGCAGGGCAGCATATTCCTTACATTGCGAAAGCGATCATGGACCACAACCAAAAAGGGGGACAACAGTGGAATTTGAAAGGGCTGTTGATCGGTAACGGCTGGATCGCGCCTGCGGAGCAATACCTCGCATATCTACCGTTCGCCTACAACAAGTCGCTCATTCAAGGCGGCACCCCCGAAGCGAACCGCGTTGAGTCCCAGCAGACTAAATGTATGGCCGAGCTTGCCAAGCCATCGGCGATGGAGAAAGTCGACATCTACGCGTGTGAGCAAGTGTTGCAGGATATATTGAAGGAAACGCAGAAAAACGGACAATGTACGAATATGTACGATGTTCGGCTGACCGACTCGTATCCTTCGTGCGGGATGAACTGGCCCCCGGACCTCACGGATGTGACACCTTACCTGCGCCGCAACGATGTGGTGAATGCGCTGCACGTGAACTCGGACAAGCGTACTGGCTGGACGGAATGCACCGGTGCGGTCTCTCAGGCGTTCCGCGCTGCTCACTCAGTTCCTGCGGTGAGGCTTCTACCTGACATTCTGGAAGGTGGCATCCCTATCCTGCTCTTCAGCGGTGCGGAGGACTTTATCTGTAACCATTTGGGCACGGAAAGTTTCCTGTCCAACCTGGAATGGTCTGGAGGCACCGGCATGGAGCTCTCACCTGGCGTACTCGCGCCCAAGAAGAATTGGGAGTTTGAAGGCAAAGACGCCGGCATCTACCAGGAAGCTCGAAATCTGACCTACGTCCTGTTCTACGAATCGAGTCACATGGTCCCCTTCGATCTCCCGCGGCGATCGCGCGACATGCTGGACCGCTTCGTGGGCGTGGATATTGCTAGCATTGGCGGTAAGCCTGCGGATAGCCGGATCGATGGCGAGAAGGCCGGCTTCGAGACGAGCGTCGGAGGCCATCCCAACAGCACTGTGGCTCAGGAAACCCAGAAAGAAGAAATTGAGGAAGCAACCTACAACGCGTACTACCGCAGCGGCGAAGCTGCGCTCGTGGTGGTGCTGATCGGTGCAGCATTCTTCGGCTGGTGGGTATGGCGCGGCAGAAGGAGGGCGAGGGCGCAGGGTTACATGTCTGTCCCACTAGGCAACGGGTCCCTCAATGGCAAGAGACATCCTGGTGATGTGGAGGCGGGCGATTTTGACGAGAGTGAACTTGACGATCTACAGCCTGGTGGGAGGGGTGTTGATCGGAGAGACATGCATGCTGAAAGGTATGACATTGGGAGCGATTCTGACGAGGATGAGGCTCAGGTGGCAAAAGATGCTGGAAAGGGAGGTAGGTAGCACAGCGTGTGTCGGTGGGATTGTTCTGGCCTGGTTCGGATCAGGGGCTGGCGTACAATGATCTACGAGTCCTCTTGAACTTGCGATGCAATGCAAAGGCACCGTTTTCCCCCTCCCATGCAGGGCTGTCACGCTGGTCTTTGGCCGGTACTGCCGCACTCCCTCGTATGTTTTGTGTGTTTGAGCCTGGCTCGCCCAGCGTTGGGTCATTTGCTTGGCTGCCCGACGCCCGAGCCATGGGGACCCTGGCACGTTTTGCGGATCCGGGCCCCAAGTCCGGAAGATCTAATAGTAGTGATAGTGCGCAGTATTGTGGGGGCAACGTCGGAGCAAGGGGTGGTCCAGACTTCATCAGATCCGTCCCTTCATTTGAATCGGCAATTGTGGCGGGACCGCTGCTCATGCTCATTGGGAATAATGCTGCGTGCCCTAACTGCTTGGTACTTGGTCTCCAATCTTGATCTTGCAAAATACGCCAGCGGATCTTGCTAGTCATACTTCAGATACCATATTTGATAGTCTTGGGGAGAAGGTACCTTCCGAATCATGTGCTGTCACGCACCGACGATCGAGGCAGAGATTCAAGTTCCTCCTGCTTGGGACGTTCCCGGAACGCAGTGCAAGCGAACTGGTACGCAGCACACTTATGCACCCTTGCATGGCAACGTCTGCGCTCCAGAAAGGCGATGCATCACCTTGCGCCACTCATAACAGTCGACGCCACGGCCGCACAGAGTTCTGTGACGTGATCGATACGAATCATCGACCAGGGTCTCGGCACATCCGATTCTATAATCGTTCAATCGACGTCTTCGGGGAGATCCCATTTCATCGAGCCTGTGAAGGAACGGCCCTCCTCCCGTGTTTCCCTCCCCGACGGTCTTGTGCTGAGCTGCAGTCTTGACACAGAACCTGATGAAGACTCTCTGCCCCATGCCCGCAGCCAGGACAACATAGGTAGACTTCTTGGCTGTAGTCTTGGTTTGATGGAGTCATCGCTTAGCGGCTCAGATCCTTGTCGCTGGCCCCTTCGCTTGTCTCGCTCGCTTGTGCCTCTAGGTGATCCGATCGCACACGTCCTCTCTGCCCTTCAATCGTCGGTCTTGTCTGCTTTTGTTTGGGTCCAAGCGTCACCGCTACCCGGTATCCATCGCCATGTCCTACCGTCTTCGCCTCGATCCGTGGTCTTGCCGGACCCTCCCTTCCCAGGTACCAATCACCATCTCCATTCGTCGAGATGCTCGCCGAAAGCTCTGGATCAGCCTCCCATTTTGACGCCACATCGGCTGGTATGCATCTCATCATCATCCCTGTCTATAAGTCCGACTAGGAAGGCCCTAGACATCCTTGTGCCTTTTCGCAGACTAGGTGCATACAATGTGTATCCGGGCTTTCCCTTTCTACCGCGAGCTGTCCGCTCAAATCCAGTCTCTGATTTCGATTCAGGATCAGGATTCGGACAAGAATTTGTGGTGGCACCTTCCCGCCGACCTACGTATCAACCTGGAACGCACCACCAACCAATAGGTGCTCTCGTACCCAAGCGAGATTCGTAGCGCCTTCCCCAAGACCTGGTTCTAGGAGTCAAAGCTCTAGGCTTCGCGAGTTGGACACATGGTAAACTTGGGTCGAACTACTTTGGCATCTATCGAGCAGACTCACACTAGTCTTGCTTTTCCCCCAGCTCCACGACTCTGTTACACGTGGCCCCAGGCCTTTACCGAAGCTCATAACTCCTAGCCTCCTTGCTCACGCCTGAACTCTGTCGACGCGGGACTGGCCCGACGTTACGGATCCCTGTCACTCGGTCACTGAGCCCCATATAGGACCCTCGCCTGTACTCAAGCCGATGTCATATTCTTTTCGAACTGCCAACGAATACTAAGCGGCCAGAGCCATGACATCCTGAGCAATACTTCCACCGCTACCTCCTGAAGCCTACGCAGCTCAACTCAGCGCCATGCATCATGCTCGGGCCGAGCATATAGCTGCCATCGTCCACTACGATGTTGCCTTCACCATACTGTCCATATTCACGTCACTGGCGGGATGTATCACAACACTTGAGCTGCTACATCGAAGGACTTCGACCAAGGGTCTCTTCAATTGGTGAGTCGCCTTCCCAAGGATTTGCAGCTCCCTGCTGACCACGGGCTAGGTTCCTGTTCATCGGAGCATGTATAGCCATGGGTGGCACCGGTATCTGGTCCATGCACTTTATTGCCAATCGTGCTGTCATCATCGGTGATGGGACCGCCCCCGAGCAGATTCAGTACAGCCCTGGCTTTACTGCCCTGTCAGTCTTCTTACCCGTGCTTGTGCTCGGTGCCGCCTTCTACTTCCTCGGCACCGACCGTTCGAAAGCCCGACCCCTCTATCTCACCCTAGCTGGTGTACTCACCGGCACCGCTGTCTGCGGCATGCACTACGTGGGCAATGCTGGCATCCAAAATTACCGTTGTCAATATCGAACCGCAAATGTCGCGGGCGCTGCCGTCATCGCTGTCGCTGCTAGCCTAGTCGCGTTGAGCGTCTTCTTCCAGCTTCGCGAGAGGTGGACGGATAGCTGGTGGAAGAGAGCTTTGTGTGCTGTCGTGCTGGCAAGCGCCGTGTGCGGCATGCACTGGACTGCCGCTGTTGGAACAACCTACCTGGGGCTGGGAGGAAATACCTATCAGGGCACGACGCGTGTCCAGACTGTTATTGTTTGTGCGGTCCTGGTCAGTACTTTCAGCCTTCTTACTTTTGATATGCTAACACTGTCAAGTCTATCGGTTGCTGCCTTGTCCTCCTGATAGTCGCCGTCGTCAGGGGTCAGAAGATACGGCGGACTAGAACTCGTGCTCAGCAAGTCGTCCTCGCCTGTGCTTACTTTGACGAAACAGGTCGTATCATGGTTACCCAGGAGGGCGCCTTTCCTTGCCACAAGATCACCAACAGATATTTCGAGAAAAATTTTGGCGAGGATGAACTGAGCCGGTCACATCCTACGTTCTTGTGGATCTTTAGGGCATCCAGGAATTGGTCAGCGGTCAAGGAGTTGGTACCCGGCATGATTGAGCATCTCGACTCCGACCCACATGCCCGTCAGTACCGACCAGGTTACAGTACACCGTCCAGTGACGCGTCCAGTGAAGTGTCTGTCAGCTTCAGCAACGTTTTCAAGCAGCTGTTTTGTGTAGCAGCCAGCCAACTCAGCTCTATTGTGCACGAGCCCCTTGAGACCCTCGGAGTACTATTCGAGGAAGCGCTCGATACTGGTACAACCCATTTGATCAAATCGGTCCGGTATAACAAGGGAAGCATATCCGCCGAGTCCGCCAAGGTAGACCTGGAAGCTGACCCGTTCGGACTCGGGCGTGGGAAATATCTCTTCCTGAACCGCCAGCTCACGAAAGGTGCCGCCGACAGATTCGCTGCAATGGGTTATCGTTTCGCTTCTATCAACCAGGTATCAGATCTGCTAGCAAAGAACATGGAGGTCAAACCGGAGCGAATGCACATTCGCTTGGATCGCATGAGATCTTCGGTTTCGAGCGACCACCTTCCTCCACCTGGAGTCCATCTTGCCTGTTTCATGGTCCGACCGTCTGTTTCCAAGTCTTTCGACGTCCTTGTGCCTACGGCACTGCAGAACCAGCTACCTACAAGCCAGCTCAAGCTCTCTCTTCTTACGGAATGGCACAAGCAGGCCATTCACAAATACGATGAATGGAAGCTGCGAAACGTACTCGAAGCACTTGTTCATGCCCCAAACGAGACTGTGGGTGAACGTGACTTTCATTTCACATTTCATGCCGCTCTTTTGCGGCTCATCGACCAGGTCGGGGACATGGAATTCATGATGGATGCAGTCTTCAGCGCGAGACCAGTCGAAATACGTTGTCAGGAGAGTCATGACGGCGGTGCCCTGAGTGGCAGCAGATGCACCCTCCTCACCGTGCGGATTATGAACACGATCCACGCGAAGCCCGTTCAGGGTATGACATACGTACCGCTGGGCTTCTTCGGCGCGCAGCAGGTGGTCGAGGCTGGTGATCTCCGCGAAAAGGAACGTTTTGAGAGACGCGTGAGGATGGAGTTCGGATATGGGATTTTGAAAAAACCGTTTGAGACAAGCGACATGCAGTCCCCGCCAGGTAGCCCTTGGGGAGCCTGGGGCGGCGAAAGTGGCAGAGGAAGCATTGGTCAGAAATGGTCTAGGCTGTGGCCTTCTTGGAGTCGCGGTGAACGAAAGGGAAGTGAATCCAGCCACGATAACCACGAGAACGAAGACGAAACAAGGATCGTGAAGACGGTCGAGATCAGTCTTAAGGAGGAGAAGGACGAGGATGGAAGCCTCAGCAGTTCACCTGATGTCAACCGGGCTGCCACTGCCGACCGGGACTACTCCACTGAAAGTGGCATCGCCAGTGACGTTGACGAGTTCGAGAAGCGAGAGGTTGCCAATCGAGGCAGATACACGGCCGGAGTTTCGGGCGGTGCTGGAGACGGTGTGAGGTTTGCCACCAAGGGCTGCAGATTATCGACGGTCGGCGGTGTCGAGATGGTCGAGATGGAGGCCGCAGAAAAGGGTGGCTGGGTCAGTGATGTCTTTGGCATGTTCCGATTATGATGCTCCTTTTTCTTGTCACGGGCTTTTTCGGATACAATCCAGATAGAATTGGGGGAAAACAGGAAGACGGATTGGGAAAAACAGAGGGCCAGTGGATCAGCATCAGCAACAGACGGATATCCAGCACACACGCCGCCACAAAAAAGATTCGGGAGGCAAAAAAGATCTTGTTTCATTGGGGGCCCATGGTCATTCATTCACCACCAGGTTCTGCAAAAGAGCTGACTGGGGGTGGGCTCAATGTCGCGCAGAAACAACCCCGGGGCTGGGGAATAGAAGGGGTAACAGTACATATAATGTGTGTGGCACGCCACGCGGCACGCTTTGACGATGAAAATGTATATCGACCGACGACTATGAGGAACGAAAAGAAGAAGCTTATATTTCTTCTCCCTGATCTCATCTCATGTTTCATCTCATCTTATCACATCCCATCCCATCCCATCCATATTCTCTTCTCGAATCACCACCCAGGGCGCTTAGGTAGTCTCTTCCAAGTGTGTGTCATCTTGAAGTGTGAGTGGGGACCAACACCAGGGTTGAAAGCGCGGTTCGATATGGGACGGACACCATGTCTGAGCAGCAGCAGCGCACGAAGAAGCGCCTGACGCCCCTTTGCCCCCTCCCATTATCCGTCATGATTATGATTATGATCATGATTATGAAGGATCGGTGTTTCACGAAGAAAGTCATCCTAAAGTCTCTGGAAGGAAGAGAGAATAGCGTCAAATTCAGGATTCAGAAATCTTGAAATAAATTAAATTCATGGCATTCATCTAGGCAGAATGGGGTATCTCAAACAAAATCAGACATGATGAATGTCTCCTCGTTGACGACGAGCCTCTCGCTTCCTTATTTTCCCTGTCCCTTTTTTTTGCTCTGTCGTCGTCATCCCGTAACGTTAACACACGTTGTCTCGGGGTTCCTCTGTTTATTGCGCCGGTTTTGTGATGTATAATAGGTAATAAGTTTTTCTCTCTGTCTTGGAAACAGGAGGAAAATGCCAACAAAATAAAAAAAACACCCATCCTGAGAATGCACTTTTTGGTAGTAGGTTTGGTTCAGTTCGCTGTCGTTTGTGGTCGTTGACTTCGATAGCTGCCCTCCTGTGGCTAAGAAACAAGGCTCTGTATGTGAGATCTTGGTTGAAAAGCTCTCCAGAGGTTTCTTTGGCTAGTTGGGCAAAGCTGATCGTCGTGACGCTGCCTCACGTGCAAAGGCATCGCTCCTCAATGTCACTAGGGGAGATGGCATTGCAACGGGGCCGGAGGCGCTATGCTGTGCTCAGCGCCTTACGCTGCGGGATAGCAGCGCATCTAAAACTTGAGTTCCAGAGGCTTCTCCCAGCTGAAGCTCTGGTTGGTGAAATGGCCGTTCTTGGCGGTTTGCCGATAGATGGGCTTGTCGAGGCCGAGTTCCTTGACAATGACACCGGGCCGCATGTCAAAGTTTTTGCGAATGATTTCTACCAGCTGGTCAGAGGTCTTGTCCGAGGTACCGTAGGTCTCAACGAAGAGGGAGAGCGGCTCTGCGACACCAATGGCGTAAGAGAGCTGCACAAGGGCCCGACGAGCGAGCTTGGCGTGTACGAGGGACTTGGCGATCCAGCGGGCCAGGTAGGCGGCACTACGATCCACCTTGTTATAATCCTTGCCGGAGAACGCACCACCACCGTGAGCACCCCATCCACCGTAGGTGTCAACGATGATCTTGCGACCAGTCAGTCCGGCGTCACCCTGAGGACCGCCAATGACGAAGCGGCCAGAAGGCTGAATATGGAAGATGGTGCGGTCATCAAGGTACTTGGCGGGGATGACCTTCTTGATGATCTTCTCCTTGATCTCCTTGCGGAGGAGCTCGGTGGAAATGTCGTCGGAGTGCTGAGCAGAGACGACAACGGTGTCAACGCGGAGAGGCACAACGGCGCCGCCATCCTTGGCGTATTCGATAGTGACTTGGGTCTTGGTATCGGGTCTTAGCCAAGGGAGTTCTCCAGAGTTGCGAGCCTCCTTCATGGCGCTGTTGAGCTTGTGAGCAAGCAGGATGGTGGCGGGGAGGTACTCGGGCGTTTCGTCGGTGGCATAGCCGAACATGATACCTTGGTCACCGGCACCGAGTTCCTCGTCCTTCTTCTCATAATGGAGACCCTGGGCAATATCGGGCGACTGCTCTTCAATTGCAACAAGGACATTACACGTCTTGTAGTCGAAACCCTTATCGGAGTGGTCGTAGCCAATGTCCTTGATGGCATCGCGAATGACCTTCTGGTAGTCAATCTTGCCAGGGCAAGTAATTTCACCAAAGACCATGATCATGCCTGATCAACGTTTAGTGTGGAGGAATGGCGGAGGGAGGGGAAGAGCGTACCGGTCTTGGTGGCAGTCTCGCAGGCTACGCGAGACTTCGGGTCAATGGTTAGGCAGGCATCGAGGACAGCATCGGAGACTTGATCACTAGCCCGGAGAATTAGTATGTGGTTGTTCTAACTGAAGGGCGGGGACGCACGCAATCTTGTCAGGATGACCCTCGCCTACAGATTCCGATGTGAAGAGGAAGGTCTCCCTTGGCTTGTCGCCGTTGACAGCAGTGCCAGTAGTCATTGTGGCGGGGGAAAAGAAGTGGTGGTAGTGGTGGTCTTTGGGATTCGGTCAAGGACGGCGGGGTAGGATAGAGAGCGGCGGTAAAGAGAAGTAGAGAAGAAGGATGAAATTGGAGAGATACTGCGAGGGAGGCGAGCTGTATCTAGGACACAGGTTTGCAACTACCGATCCATACAAGCGCGTGGGAGAAGTAAGTCTGCGGAGACCCAAGGTCGAGTAAAGGCTTGGAAATTTTGAGTAGGTTGGTAAACGTGGTCACGTCAACAAGAGTGGTGGACGGCCTTCCTGCAAAATTTGGAGTTGGCTCGGAGAAAACACAGGGACCAAGCGTGGGATACTGGCCGATCCTGGTACGCAGTATCTTTGCGCTGCCTGAAATGGCGCCATTCGGGCAGTTGAAGAAATTTTGGCTCCGAAGCAAAAGCTCGTGGCTGCGGTGCCGGAGCGAATCGAGGTGGGAGGTCGTGGGGCTGCGGATACACAGGATGTGGCCAAAGGCGGTGAAGATGGAGGCTGGCAGAATTATTTTCGTGTACCTGCGGTTGCACACACGCGAGAGCTACAGCATTGCTCGATCATCAGTACAGGGAATCTGAGTTGCAGTAATCGACAGCGGAACTGGTGAGGATTGGACCAGTGCTCTCTTTTTGCGGCGCACCTTCCGTTGTCAACCGTGTCTAGGCCTGTGACCAACTCCGGCAGCTGGCTTTGACTACGACTCACAGTCGCTGCCCCGCGACACACCTCCGTTGATAGTCCTCATACTGCCTCTGTCGCCATGTCGAAATTCGGCCTGCTGGTGATGGGCCCGGCCGGGGCTGGCAAAACCACCTTCTGCACAGCCCTCATCCAGCATCTACAGCATTCGCATCGCTCGTGCTTCTACGTCAATCTAGACCCCGCGGCTACCGATCTGGCCTATACGCCGGATCTCGACATCCGCGATCTCATCACGCTCGAAGATGCCATGGAAGAGATGGGCTACGGCCCTAACGGCGGATTGATTTTCTGTTTCGAATTCCTGCTGCAAAACCTGGACTTTCTGAGCAATGCCATAGAGACATTGACCGAAGAGTTTCTCATAATTTTCGATTTGCCAGGCCAGATCGAGCTGTATACACACATCCCGCTGCTGCCGGAACTGATCAAGTATTTGTCGAGAATGGGGCCGCTGAACATCAGCCTGTGCGCAGCATACCTTCTCGAGGCGACTTTTGTGGTCGATAAAGCAAAATTCTTCGCCGGTACACTTTCTGCCATGAGCGCCATGGTGAACATGGAGTTGCCCCACATCAACATCCTCTCCAAGATGGATCTGGTGCAGTCGCAAGTCAACAAGAAGGAGCTGCGCCGCTTCACCGACCCGGATTCCAGGCTGATAGAGGACGAAGATACTGGCCGAAATGCTTTGGACAACTCGGTGGAGGTCGATGTCCATAATCCGGCAGAAGTCGACAACATTATGACCGGCGGAAGCTTCAAAGCCTTGAATCGCGCTGTGGCCAGGCTGATTGACGACTTCAGCATGGTGAGCTTCCTACAGTTGGATGTGAATGATGAGGATAGCGTGGGCGCTATTCTCAGTTATGTCGATGATGCGATCCAGTATCACGAGGCGCAAGAACCTCGTGAGCCCAAAGAATTTGAGCAGGACTTCGAACCCGAGAGTTGAAGGTGTAGGCCCGAGAGAAATCGGTTGGTCGGTCGCGGCGCTGGCTCGGTTTAGCGACGGCGTTGGGGATTTCCTGGTTTATTCTCGTGATACCCAAACTCATGAACCAAATATCATGTCTTCTGCTTTGCCATCTTTTCAGGTCCACCGGTTTCCAGTTCTTCCGCCGCCGGCTTGCTGCCTCCCTCGACTAGCATTCCAACCATCGCCTTTGCCCCTCCTGCCAGCCCCCGCAGCGCCATATCCTCCATACACTCCGTTATTGCCTCCCACATCCACGCCCTCCCAGGCCCCTTCAGCCCACCCCCATAAGATGCCCCCCACCCAGCCGGCATCATGCAGCGCTTTTTCAAACCCATACGCATTGACATACCACACGCCCTGTAGCAGCAGAGCCAATAGTGCGAGCTTCACGAATAGAAATATCCATCCGATGACGCTGCGGCGGATATAGTCCAGGGTACGGAGGGAGAGCCAGAGAATGACGAGCAACGCGGCGATGGAGGGCAGATCGCCGGAGCGGAAGATCGGGAAGATGAGACTGGAGACGAAGGCGGCGGCGCCCTCGATCGTGGCGGCGATCGGGGCGGGAAGGAGGGGGGCGATGGTGCTGCTGTAGAGGTACGAGATGATTGAGAGGGTGCGATCGATCGCGTCGGTCAAGGACATCGTGTAGGCGTTGGGTGTATTAGTTTCGTGAATGCGAGTGGGAGGAGAGGCGCAGCCCTTGGTCTGGGCGGAGGACTTGTGAGGGCTTTTCCTTTGAGCTACGGATCAGAAGACTTTGTCGGTGTAATACAGGCTGCGATCGTGCGGATCTGATCGCGAAGGACGCTTATATGCGTGAGTGAGTCCAGCAGCCCGCAGTCGAAAGTGCATGTGGTAGGATTGGGAAGATAGCGAAGTGCTGAAGAAGGCGCAGACAGCCCAACACTTATACCAATAGTGCTACAGCAGTCGGTTGAGTGTTCACCACAGAGCGACACAAGGCAGCGTCTTTGCTGTAGCCGTAGGCATTGAAAGAAGCCGCCGTCTCTTCAACTAAGACGCAGTGTTTCGCGAAGCGCAACGCAGCTGCGGAGAAGCGTGCTTTCCCGAAATGGTTTAGTCTAAGAACTTCTACTGCCTGTACGGATTGAAGCCCCATCAACATAGTACTGTCGACCATCTTCCCTCTGAATGACTTGGTGAATTCACTTCCAGAATTCGTTGGCTGCCTCAAAGCAGTCTCGGGGCCATATTGCCCAAGAGTCGTAGCTCATACCTCGTAATGTAGTATACATCCATCCACATTGCTCCAAGTTGCGCCGAGTCAATCCTCCAGCGAGAGTTCGATCTGTGAACCTCCCGAATGCGAGGAATACTCGTATTCAGTGTGTTGACTGGATTGTCTCACATATCCGTTGTTCAACTGTGCCCGCTCCTGTTGGTTGACAAAGGCAAGCCGACTCCTCTCCCGCACGTACCTCAAAACTTTTGCTTTGGTAGCCTCATCGTCCTCTTCTTCGTCATCTTTAGTGACGGCTTCTGGCTCACTGAGGTTGTCTTCCGGGTGTACCGGGATGCCTTTGCGCTCCATGTGTGTTCGCCAGCTCTTTCTCCATTCTTTCTCCAGCCTTTCGTCGATAAAGAACCTAGCCAGAACCGCTCGGAGCCCTTTGGAACCGTTCCATCTGCGAGCGTATGGGAACTCAGACTTACCTCGCGCGGTGGGCCCAGACGCCTCGTCGTCCAGTAATCGGTCCATTAGCACATCGTTGACTTTATCTCCATCAAGATTGTGTGCGCTCTCATCCTCCGTGCCCGCGTGAGATGCCATAACAATGAACCATGCTTTTAGCTCACGCTCGAGCTTTCCTTCGGCGTCTAGCTTACCCTTCGACGACTGATCTTCTACGACCAATGCTTTAATCAGGCGCCAACGGGCTTCGTTCAGTTTATTACCCCGCATGCCTGTAAAGACTTCCATTGACAAAATCATAAAGGCCAAACAGACCAATTGTTCCGCATTACGCTTCGAGCGAGATTTGGTTGGCCCTGGAATGCGAGTTGCGACTCTCTTGAGATCGTACAGGTGATCACCGGGACCGTGTTCGAGGAGAGTGAGGCCCGGTTTGGCAGCCCAGTACAGCAATCGCTCCAGGATGCCGATGAGTTCAACTGAGAGGTACTGGTGCATAGCGAGGTCGATGAAGCCAGTGGGGATCCTGGCAATAACTTCGCACAGATCTGGTGGGAAGGGATGGGTTGGATACTTGACAGGAGGCTCGGAGACGCTTGCGGTCGAGGCTGGGGAGGGTTCGCTCGGTACTGTCGGAACCGATGATTCGGAGCTGGATGGCGATGCTGCTGCTTCCGAGGGATTGTCGGATGCCAGGCCGAGGCCGTCAATGTATAGGATGCAATTCTTCACATATCCATCAAGACCCAATTTGTCGAGACCGCCACGAATCTGGATCATCCTCTGGATACCGAGGTAAAAGGTGTTGCACGCTTCCTGTTCCTGGAACCGTGCTGCTGCACCCATCAAATAAATGTTGCTCAGGATAGCAGCGTCATCAGCACATTTCTCAGGATCGCTCATCTTCTCTTGCAACAAAGAAACGGTCTTGCCCCAGAACATCAGACTGTCGACGCTAGGCTTGCCCTCTGGACGAAGAAGAGTGTCAACGTGTGCCTGCGAGAACGTGACCAGGGCACCGAACATATCTGGGTTCTCTAGGGCATGTGGGAAAGCGACGGTGATTAAGGGATTACCGAACTTTGGATAACTCCCGAAGATCAGAGGTGCAAGATAGGTGACCACTGTAGTGATGATTAGAGGAGCCGCCAAGACCTTGAAGGGTACATACGATGGTCGACAGCGAAGCCGATATCGACTTCAGAGGCAAACGGATAGGCATTGAAGCAGTCAGTGCGCATGCCAGTGGTCGTGATGCGGCGACTGAGTGAGACCTCAACCTCCGGCCGTCTGATTTTGTGCTGCCGCCGTCTGCCATGGTTGGCAATAGTGGCCCCATTTGGTTGGGTTGGTTCCGGCTTCTTTGAGCAGATGGGACATTGCGGGCGTTTATGTCTTGAGCAATATACCTGTGCCGGCGACCTTGAAGCCACAGTCTGCCTTATATGACTGTGAGCCGCCTTAGGGGCCTATCGAAGGCATAAGTTGGATGATCTACACAAGACTGGGGCCGGAATGACATACGTTTGAGGGGCGATTTGGTGCTCGTGCATTCTGATGAGCGTTGGCAATATTAGCCCGTTTCGACTGAACAGCAGAGGTTCGCTGTTTGAGAGCATCATCGAAGATACTTCTGCGACTCTTTTTCGTGGCAATCATGGCGCATCTTGGGGCATCAAGGAAAAGAAATGGAAAGAGATATTAGGAGCCTTCCCCGGGGCGTCGGGAGAAGTCGAAGCCTAGAAGTGGTTGACAATGGCGGCGGAGGGTCGGCACTTGGGTCCCGAATCTCTGGCGGAGAGTACCCAGAAGATCGAAGCCCCAACTGCTGACGATCGAAGTTGGTCTGCAGCGTTGCTCACTTGCGGCCTGAAGTTTCTCGTAAAAAAGGACGTGGTGCGAGCTTCTTGCGTAATCTGTGTTCCCTGGTACAAGAAGAATAGCGGCGGAAGACACAATGACGGGGCCAAAACGGGGCACATGCACGGCTTAGAGAGCCTGCTCAGGGGACAGACTCAGCGCTAAGCGTTATGGGTCTTAACTAACCCCCGAGGCTTTGCAAGCTATGATCGCCGGATCGCCATTCGGATCTACATCCTTTGCCCAGTCAGCAGAAATGACCTGGAGCCGAGGCATAGGCTCAAACCCAAGGATAGATGCGCGATGCAACTAAGCAAATCCAAACAGGCGCTGACGTATTAGCAACAGAGCGCTTTTTGCTTCGGTGGTTACTCGAACCAGCGAACGGGTGGTGCAAGTTGACATGCGCTGACGATCACCGGGAAAGCCTCAAAAGATCCCCGGGACGGGCAAAGCACCGGTGCTATCATTTGTGAAGATACATCCTCACCGCGTGGTGGAGCTAGACCCTGAATTACTAGTTTTCCGGTCCGAGCGAGAGCGAGAGCGCTGCTCACGAAATTCCCTCTCCACAAGTCGGACGCATTCTTCCATCACGTCAGTTCCTACGCGCCATGTTCGGAGTACAACCCGTTGCCGCTGCATGATGTCTTCGGCACGAGCCCAGCGGCGCTTCCACATTTCCTCCTTCTTATCATACGGAGCGCCTGGTGCACCACCATCCCCGCCGGCCTGAGGATCGCCGCCAGTTGCGCCGGTGGCCCATCGAGCAGCCGCTGATGGGACTCCTGTGATGCCTCGTCGAGGGGGTACAGGCGGTGCACCCTCCCCTCGTTCGCGTGATTGAGACCGAATATTGGGGAGCGCATTGTATGCTGTGTTGAATTTGCGTTGCGCCGCTGCAACATAGCCTTCTTCTCCGTAGCCAGACTGAGCAGAATAGGCTGAATTAGTGGAGTTGGCTGACCTCATACTCAGGTTGGTTGGTGTTCGTCCTATGGGTGGTGGTCTCGGAAGGTCATCAGTGTGTCCAACTCTTGGAGAACTGTAGTACCGTTCGGGCTGTGGTCGCTGTGCATTTCCAGGTGTGAAATCTGGCGTAGTAACTGACTTCGATGACCTTCGAGGTTTTGGCGGAGGTGGCACCTTCTTGGCCTCTCCCATGTCTGACTGCTGTTGCCTCTTCTCCATTCCGGCTTCTGGTGTTGGTGACTGATTGGAGAAGTTGCGAAGATTTGATGGCTTCGCAGGACGCGCTGGGGGCTGTCCATTGCTAGCGGTCGTCTTTGAAGACTCCAGCCGGCGCAGGTCGTCCGCATAGGATGTTGACTTTGCCTCATGCAAAGAATGCGTGTCCGGCTCATCCGAAAAGTCTATGAGATCCCCCTGTGCTGAAGATCTGTTCGCATCCTGCACACTAGGTCGCATTGGCAGCGTTGGCCTATCCACGACGGCATCTGATTGCTCACCGTGCTGACCAGATATTGACTCCGGTAAAGGAATAGCCGACTGGTCAAAGAAGCCTTTCTGCATCGGCGTGGTGACATCCCGAATGAACACACCCAGTACCCGTCCGGGGTGCGCGAGGACTACATCGGTATAGACCTCCAAATCCGCTTCGCCGCTGTCACCCACGAGAACAAATTTCCTATCTGGAAAATCATTCATGATCCGATCGAGAGATCCTCGTTTCCGTTCGGCGGCCGGCTCGAATATACCTTGCAGCATGCCGGAGTACTCTTTCAGGTGGAATGAGCCTGGTGGTAAGCCCGCCAGCGAAAAGTAGCTCTTCAGCAACGGGTACAGCTGCCACGGCGAATTCGAAACGTAGTGCATTTGCACGCCTAACGAAGCCATTTTGCTGTACCATTCTCGGACTCCTTTGATTGTCAGCTCTCCCAGTTCTCGCACGAATGTGTTCTTGAAGATCTCCTTGACACCACCAGCTATTGCAGAGTGTTTGATAGTGTCATCCACATCGCTTATGAGGCTGACGCCGTTGGACTCGGTAATGATCACATCTTCCGTGGCGGAGAGGTCTTCCGAGGCCAGGACTCGCACTTGCGTGGGGACGAAGTCCAGAGCTGCTCGGACATTGAAATGCCCGGAATCATTCGTCGTGACAGATTTCGAGGAGGACTTCCGATCGTTGAAAAAGAAAACCGTGATGGTTGTATTTGCTAAAGGCGACGTGAGGAAGGGCCTCAGCCTCGTCATCAACAGATCGTTGGCTTTGAGAAGTTCTTCCCTGTTCATGAAAGACTGACTGTTCCATGATGCCCGCTTGTTGACCTCGCCGTCTGCATCAAACGTAGGAAGGTTGGCCGCCCTGCCACGAGTGGATCGAGTAGGGGAGCTCGATCTGCTGCTACTCGGGCTGTCACGATACTGAGTGCTGTAACTCCCTCTCCATGCAGCATCGGCCTCTTTTTGTCCCCGTTGAGCAAGGTTCTCTGCTTCGAGAGCCGCGGCTGCTTCCTCATTCTTCGTTGTAGCGTCCGATGGGTGAGGACTATTAGATCTGCTTGACACTGGACTTGGGGCAGGGATGCCGCTGAGCCTGCGGGCGACTGCGATGATAAGCCTATTCCTCCGTGACATGGGCCCTTTCTGAGGAGCAAATATCCAGCCTCGAACATCCACATCAACTATTGCGTTGGCATCCTCATACCTCTCCCACTCGCGCTTCCAGTAGTCTGCGTCACCACTGCTTACAGGAGCTGCAGGATCGCTGTAAGAGCCTGGTTGGCTCCTTTCCGCCTCGGAGTTCATTCGTCTGACGTGCCTGCGGGCGTAGCTAGGGAAAAGGACCATCTCCTCATCTCCACGCCGTACAATTTCGACATCTTGGAAATTGCCTGCCTCGCCATTCTCGGCTTGGAGCTTCTGTTGAAAAGTGTCCTGGTAGGACTGTCTCAGCTCGTTGGCAGCTTTCAAATATCCTTTCAACTTCTCTCTCCTCGCGCCAGGGACTCTTGCACCGGTATAGTCATAGTTCATCATCGATACGAGTGAGTTCCTCTTAGGTGTACTTGCATCATTGGCGGGCAGAAGGTCAAGTATACGACTTCGTCGGCGAGTAAGAACAGGGTATATGTTTCGCCCAGACGCACGCCGCGCCTTCTTCCTTTCTTGACTGCGGACGATTGCCTGGTAGATCCGAGACTGCGCCAAACGCTTCAGTTGTGGTATTGTGTCGTGGCGAAAATTCGCCAATTGCTGCCGCGTTCGTTGACGGGTTCGAGGGAGAAGCCACCGGAAGAAGGAACTGCGGTCAGACCTTCGACTTCGCAGAGGACTGGGAGGAGCCACGATGGACTAGCGATGGACGTAGTAGCGCTGACACAACTATGTGACCAGACTTGTAGACGTTACTGCAAAGATTGCACGGATTCGTGATGAGTGGCACTACTTGTGAGTCTCAGAAACCTGTGTTTCGTACACGGTGCCTAAGGCTGGCTCGTGTTCCCGTGAGAACCCGCCGACGTCATGGGCCTCTTGAAATCCCATGTCTCGGAACCAATTAACTTTACAAGATACCTACTCACTACATTTGCTAGCATTTACCAGCTGCCCTGCTAATCGACCTGGAGGCACCTCTCTGTGTATCCTTGTAGCACATAGCGGACCGTGACCAAGCCACGCCGATCGTTACTTGTGTCTACCTAGGTATGGACTGAGAACCCAAAGTCACCCTAATAAGATATCTTCTCAGGTTATATTAACGAGATGCCTACTTGATTATTGCTGCAACTCTTAGGCTCTACGTTTTCTAGAGGTCTATAGCTGTAGCAGATATTAGTATTCATTGCAAGAGTGCCGGCAGCGTAAAGGAAGCCACCAACTCACAGTGATCATTGCATGCGCACTTTCCTTGTTCTGCCTAGCGTGCGAAATCTTGGCGGCTACCCAGACATTTTCACCGTCTTTGCTGCCTGCTCGTGAACAGGATCAATCACTGGTGTGGAGGGGTTGTCATTGATTATTGTTGTGTCTTTCCAACTTTCACACACATAGACCGTCGCCTACCCTGACTCTTTGCGCCTCGGGCACCACGGTCCCTATGATTTGTCGTCCAATCAGTCTTGATGACTTCGCTAGCGCCCCCGCTCCAGCCTCCATCTAGGACAACCGCCACGATGTCGATTCTACCTTCCAGCAAACCTATCCGCCCTTCCCCTGCACAGCACCGATCCACGCTCAAGCGATCTATCGACGAGACTCAGTTGATGCAAACACCGTCGAGCCCTTCTAAGCGGAGTCGTGTGACTTTCGACTCTGACGTTGAGATAGTGTCCGCGGATGATGAGGCGGTGCCGGATCCCTCCGTGGTCAAGGAACAGGTCAGAAGAGCTATTGAGAGACACAGACTAGGAGCCAACGAAACGTACGAGCGCGTGCGGGCGGTTTTCAGCACCGACCCAGAGAAGCCTAATGCTCCCTCCACGAAAAATCTGCGAATACACCTACAGGCTATTTTGGCGAATGTTGCTCTCTTGACCAAGGATTCTAGCAGCCTGGTCAACACCATTCTCTACAGCGAGTGGGTCGGACGGGATGATGCCTACTATGCGCTGTTTGTTCGATTCCTGGGAAATCTGGCCGCGGCTCAGTCCGGCTTCCAGAGCAAGATTATGCAGATGCTCGTCGAACTGCTTGGGCCTCAGAAGACTCGCAGGCTACCGGATTGCAGAGCAGTGAAGCAACCAAAGATCCACAAGCGCATTCTTGAGGCAATTCGACACGTAACCGTCAATGTTCCGGCATCCCCTAGCGCCCTTGCCGACAGAATTGCCGTTCGTTTGCAATTCGAATTCAAGGTGGCCGAAGACCGAATGACGTACATTCGAAACTTCATGTCGATGATCAACTACGTTCCTGAACTCACATCTCAGATTTTGACGGATGTTTTACGAGAACTTATCAAATTGGATGTCCAGATCCAAGATAACCTGGACGATGAGGACGACGACGAGGAGGAGCTTCTCCAACACATGTCTTCTTCCCAGACTTTGTTGTTCCAGTCATCACAGACCAAGATCGAACCTGCGAGCGATGATGACGACATTACCACCAGCGACGAGTCAGACGTGGAGGACGAGAGAGACGATGAGATGACCCCAGAGGATCTGCGAAGGCACAAACTGAGGGAGAATGTCAAGCAAGTTGACATGATCATGGACATCCTTTTCAGCTATTACGACAAACTCATCCAGTCCAGCTCTCTTGAGGTGCGACACAACACGATCCAACAACTCGTCAGCCAGTTCCACAACTACATCTTACCCACCTATGGAGCTCGACACCCGCAGTTTCTAGTCTTCCACTTCGCCCAGTCCGACGAGATTACTGTCGATAGCTTCGTTGTGTCCTGCGTCGACATTCTAGTGAACAAGAAGCATAGTTCGATCATTCGACACGCCGCAGCCGCATACTTTGCAGGTTTTGTGGGCAGAGGGGCCAAAGTCTCTTCCACGGTTGTTCATGACTGTGTAGATCTCTTATGCGACCAGTTGAGACTTCTCCAGAAGACGTTTGAGCCACAATGCTTAGGTCCCGACATTAAGAAGTTCGGGGATTTCTATGCAGTGTTCCAAGCCATCCTCTATATCTTCTGCTTCCGGTGGCGCGACATTGCCACTTCTTCGTCAGAACTCGACTTCTACGACGACATTGACGACCAAGAGCACGAAGAGTATCAGTTCTCGGAGCTGCTGCGTGAGTCTTTGCATGCGGCGATTTTCTCACCTCTCAACCCACTACGGGTTTGTACTCCAGTCATTGTCGAGCAATTCGCCAATCTGAGTCAAGCGCTGTCATTGTTTTCTCTCTTCTCTAAGATTGAAGAGAACAAGCACGTCAGAATAATGAGCCACTGGAGAGGTATGTCTGATTTGAACATCAGCCAACCTGATCGAGATCAAAGCTGGATTGGTGATGACGGCATGCTTGAAGGATATTTTCCCTACGATCCCTATCATCTACCTATCAGCCGACACTGGATCGAGGATGATTATGTTGAGTGGAAGGGCATCCCAGGGGACGAAGAAGAAGAAGACTCGGAAGACGAAGGTATGGATCTGATCGCGGACGGGGACTTGAGTGATGATGATGCTTGATCTTCTCCGTACCAGAAGGCGTTGCCAGCGGAATGATAGCGTTTAGCGAGCCTGTGTTTGGAAAAGCGACATAGACCTCCCAGAACTGGAGGGAGTATCGGTGTATGAATCATGCTGATTTCGAAATCATGACCTGTTTGCACCATCTCAATACTGCCAACTCGCATTGTTTCCTGCCGTTGATCTTTGACCAAGCATTCACTGCCTGAGCACGGGCCATCCATTATGATCGACCGCTAAAAGTCCGCGCCTAAATTTAAGCTCTCCGCGTCTCCAAACCACGAGCTGCGTTCCAGAAAAATCCTCGTTCCCTTCCGAGTAGACGACTTTGACGGCGCAACCGCAGTTCTATTCTTCGTACGGCTCTCGAAACTCAGAGTAGATACACTCGTGACCAACAAATCCTGTTCGACTCTCAAGGTGGTGTCTGAGACCACGACGAACGTCTAAAGCCGCCGCCGCCATGCGCGCCAAACGCTCCAAAAAGTACCGCAAGATTATGTCCACGTACGGACAAGCGTTCTCTTTCCGCGAACCCTACCAGGTGCTTCTTGACAGCAACTTCTTGCGGACTTGCCATGCCTTTCATATGCCCTTGCAGAAATACCTCGAGAACACCCTGCACGGTCAATGCCGACCATACATCACGCAATGTACCCTTGCCAAGATCGCCAACGACTTCGAGAAGCACAAGGAGAGAACTGGAGACAAGAGGAAAGGTGGAAGAGCTGACTTCCTGCCACCACCAACAGAAGTACCACTGAGGTACTGCAAGCATCGCAATGCGGAAGGACAGGAGGTTGGAGTGATAGAAGAGGGGAAGTGTTTATTAGACTTGCTGAGTGGGCAGGTCAAGGGCAACGAAGTGGCGAGAAACAAGCAGCATTACATTCTCGCAAGCGCCGATGCACCCGAAAACGAAATGAACAGGAAAGGCCATGTGGAATTGAGGGAGAGGGCGCGACTAATCCCGGGCGTGCCAATCATATACGTCAAGCGGAGCGTCATGATCCTGGAGGAACTGAGTGCGAGTAGCGAGGCGACGAGGAGAGGCGATGAGAGAGCCAAATTCAAGGAGGGTCTAGTTTTGCCAAATGCAAGAAAGAGAAAGCGTGGTGAGACCGAGGACGATGAGGTTGAGGATGAGGTATTGAAGCAGCTGCTGAAGGAGGAAGAGGAAGAAGTGCAGAGGCCTACGGCAAGAGGTCTTGGGAGAGCGAAGGGTCCTAATCCATTGAGTGTGCGGAAGAAAAAGGTACGGGTTTCTGGGACACAAGCGGATGATCAAGGTACGAGGGAAGGAAAAAAGAAGAGTTCGAGGAGAACACGAGGTAAGAAGAAGAAGGGGCCGGAAGGCGATACGCAAGTCCATGCGGAAACGTCCGAATGAACAGTATAGGACCTGCGCACGGAATGTGATGCCTGTTGCAAAGCTGAGATACCCACGAATACATTTTCTACTGCCGACTTCAAGCCAACAATGTTTCAAGCAGACTTTGGACTAGCGTTCTGAGAATATGCCCGCCCATAAACCAACAGCCCCGAAACAGCGAGGACGCTCAGTCCCCATGGCAGGGGCTTACCAGTCTTGATGGCTCTGGGGAGGCTGCTGCCCGCGAGAACGAAGGATGCGAGGAGTGCAAGCTCGACACCATAGGGGGCTTTGGTGTGAATTCTATAACCACCGAGGCCGTACTACAGAGAGTCAGAGGGAGGAGTCATGCGCGAACGATGCAGTCATACCAGAGCGCCCACTGTAAGACCTGCGGCAATGCTGGGTACGGAGCCAGTGCGGACTGGATCTGTCAGTCAGCCTGCACTGCGAAGATCTTGAACCATGTTGAGGCAAAGTTGTTTCTGGTAGAGTGACAAGTCTATTCGTTCTCCATGGCAACCGCGCAGGGAAACTCACCGTAGCCGATTGAGCCACCAATGCTCGTGAGAGCACCCAAGATGAAGGCGGGGAGGGGAGAGACGGTGTCGAGCAAAGGGGCCTGTGGTTGTGTGAGCAGTGGACTGACATAGAGGGCAAAGTCCTTACCATTTTCGATGATCTGTTTGACGGCAAGTTTCGTGTAGAGAATATGCAGGAAGCGCGCTGCTCAGAGGTATCGAACTACAATATCACAGCTGCGCTCGGTGGCATCATCGCCGCACTCCGAGGCCAAACGGGGGATCCACTCCTGAATCAAGATCGGCCTTGGCGAACACGGTTGCTTCAAGTTCAGTCGACGCCTGGACTTGTAGCATCTGGATCGACGGCACTTCGAACTGCACTGATCTCTGCAACTTTGTGGACACCGTCTGTCGCTACATCATGGCGAAGAAACCCGCAAGCCAGCCCCAGGCGGCGAAGCCAGCACCTACAACCCCGGCGAAATCACCAGCTGCAGTAGCAAGACCTACCCCTACCGCATCGACATCAGCACCCTCTGCGAAGGTCACGGCAAAAGAACTGTCCCCTCGTTCTTCTCCACAAGAGATTGCGGTTCATGTGTGGAATCGTTACATTCAAGACACTCCCTCACGCACGCTCTTCCTCGATGTCTTCCTTCTCTATATTGCATTGAACGGAGCGGTCCAGTTCATCTATTGCATTATTGGGGGCAATTACGTAAGTTTGTCGTCTTGGACTCGTACATCTCTCATCCAGGGAACAAAATTAACGTTGTTGTAGCCCTTCAACGCCTTCCTCTCTGGTTTTAGCGCAGCAGTCGGCCAATTCGTCCTTACGATCTCTTTGCGCATGCAGACATCTGAGCGACCACCCTCAGGGGCCAGTTCTACGGCGAAGAAGACGTCTGCGAGAACCGTCGATGGGGTCACGGGAGAGCTGGTGGAAGAAAAGGGCGAGAGTAAGATCAGCAGCGAGAGAGCATTTGCCGACTTCGTTTTCGGCAGTCTCATCTTGCATGGATTTTGTGTCAACTTTATCAACTGAAGGACGAACGGCGACGAAGGGCAAGAGACATCTGTAACAACAGGGACACAAAAGCTATTGCCGATCTATAGAGGCGCAACAACCGGCCCAAAATGGAATGATTTCAGAGCATCGTGCTCTTCGCAAGGAAACCATGCACACCATCATCTCCACCTGTCATCTGCACGCCATGTGCGAGAGATCACCCAGACTATATGTGCCTTCACTCGGGGCGTAATGCTCGCGGGCATTGTTGCTTCGCCTTGCTGGCACAACGACTGGCGGGAGGCCGTGGGGCATGAGGAAGTTCGGTCTACTTTTTGGGCAGGCAGTTTCGCAACGCTCTGCCTTCGCTGCTTCGTTGCCTCTGTCGATCAAGAATGATCATGCCAGGTATTCGGCCAACGACTACTGTCAGGCATTGGGTTCACGCCTTCGTCATGAATTCCCCTCCAAGGTGGGTCACGGGTGGCTTGGCACTGGCGCGTCGCTCATAGCGTATATTGCGCCCTTTAATGACACTTTAGACGATTCAAACATCAGGTAACATGAAGTGCCAACTCCCTTCAATTTCAACTTCAAATTGAATCAACGAGCTCCTTCTACTTGTACTTTCCCTTTCGCTTACAGCAAAAGCCTCAGTTGTTTTGTGGCAGTGAGCACAAACCAAAGTCCGACTGCACGCCTTCATTTGTCCAGCCTACCAGTCCCGGGTCTCGGTCAAGATGAGGACCATCGCTCTGTTGGGAGGCATGACCTACAATGCAACAGCGATCTATTACAACATCATCAACCGACAAGTTCAGAAGAAGCTTGGCGGGACTCATTCAGCGAGCCTTCTGCTGCAATCCTTCGACCATGCCGAGATGGGTGGCTATTTTACCTCCGGTCAGTGGAATGCAGCCGCGTCAAAACTCGGCAAATCGGCTTTGAATCTGAAAGCTGCCGGGGCCGATGGTGTCATGATCTGCTGTAACATTGGGCATAAGGTCGCCGACGAAGTCGAGCGCCAGTCTGGCCTGCCGCTGCTGCACATTGCCGACCCGACGGGCCGAATAATAAAAGAAAAAGGGATCAGCAAAGTGGCTTTAATAGGCACGAAACCTGTCATGGAAGACACGTTCTTCACCGACCGTCTAAAGACCAAGTTTGGCATTGATGTTGTCGTCCCGGGCCCGGAGAAGCGAAACGCTATCCAGGACATGATATTCAAGGAGCTTGGTGCGAACATTTTCACGGCCCAACAGAAGTCTATATTGCTCGGTGCCATTGAGGAAACTGTCGAGCAAGGTGCTGCCGGTGTGGTCTTCGCATGTACAGAACTTCAGTTCGTTGTCAAGCCTGAAGATGTCAAAGTCCCTCTTTGGGATACGATGGAGGCTCATGCCTCAGGTGCGGCTGACTGGGTACTTGCTGACGATTAGACTATGTAGATCATGTCATACGGGTCCAGAAGGATCTCTAGATGCTTCACTTATCCTATCGCGGAGGGGTCAAAGCGCTATTCGGGAAGAAAACCGCGGATCGGATTGCTTCAGGCCACCCAAAGAAATTGCTTGAGGTACTCTGCGCGTATTGACATCCCTCTTGCAGTGTGGACGCAGCGCCATGCATCATTATAAGCGAGCCCGTCCTTTCGATGTTCGAACCGGGTTCACGAGCCACTGCCTTTGATTTTCGGCCGCCATTGTACGATGCTTATACAACTTCGCTTCGCTGGCTTGCCTGAACGGCTGCATGCATGGCTCAGTATATGTAACCCTGTCTTGCCCAGGTGTCTGCTGCAATGCTCTACTTAGAGTATTGAAACCCCCATTGGAAACACAAGATAAAAGTCATGGAGAGCGAGACCTACGATCTCATTGTCGTCGGCGCCGGTATGACACCCATTCTAGCATAACTCACCATCAACTTATGGGACTGCAGGTCTAAATGGGCTCACTACGAGCAGAACATACCTCGATGTGAACCCATTGGCGCGTGTTCTGATATTGGAAAGCTCTTCCACTGTTGGGGGGACTTGGGCCAAGGATAGATTATACGCCGGCTTGAAGACTAACAACCTAGAGGGAGGCTACGAGTTCGCTGACTTCCCGATGCGAGGCGAAGCCCGTTACAATCTCAAGCATGATCAGCATATTCCAGGAACTACCATGAATCAGTACATGCAAGACTTTGCGGACCATTTTGGCCTAAGCGAACGGACTAGGCTCAAGTGCAAGGTACACACCATCGAGCGGCTGCCAGATGAGTCCTGGTCCGTTGGAGTGGATGACCAAGGCATTGATACTCGCTTCCATTCTCGGAAGATCGTCCTTGCGACGGGGTTCAGTTCTAGGCCCTTCATACCGTACTTCGAAGGCCAGGAGAGCTTTAACGCGCCAATATTACACGTGAAGGACCTGAGTGCATACGACAGCTTGCCTGCAACGGCCCAGAGCGTCACCCTACTCAATGTCACGAAGTCAGCATATGACGTTGCCTATGCTTGCGCAACAAAAGGAGTCCAGGTGAACTGGATCGTACGCAAGTCCGGGCATGGGCCAGTCGTTACGTCGGTTGCACGGGTCACGCCCCTCAAAAAGCGCCTCGAAGACCTTACGACTGTGCGCTTCCTTTCATGGTTCAGTCCTTGCATTTGGAGCGATGCCGAAGGCTCTAACTGGATGCGCTGGTTCTTGCAACACACGAAATTGGGCCGTAAGCTTGTCAGCGCCTTGTGGACCATCATCGACCGCGACGTCGTAGAACGATCCGGCTACGACAAGCATCCAGAGACGGCGAAGCTCAAACATCGATATCCTGCCGTGTGGTACGCCTGCGCTCTCGGCATCCTCAACTTCGATACCGACTTCACCGAATACGTCCGCAACGGCACCATCAAGATCTACGAAGACGACATCTCTCACCTCTCATCCGGCACCGTGCACCTCACCTCCGGCACCTCTCTCCCCAGCTCCGCCCTCGTCTGTTCCACCGGCTGGGACCACCGGCCCTCGATCAACTTCGTGCCCGCCTCGCTCCCCACCGAACTCGGCCTCCCCAGCTCCTCTTCCCCCATCAGCCCCGCCCTCACCGCCCGCGCCGACGCCGAGATCCTGCGCTCCCTCCCCTGGCTGGTCGAAAACTGTCCTCCGACCTTGAACCCCAACTTCCGCCCCCTCCCCACCACCGATCCAACAACCAAGACGCAAACCGACGACACACGCACACAACCCTACCGTCTCTACCGCTTCCTCGCTCCGCCCACCCACGTCGGCCCGCACAACCCGGACCCCACCGTCGCCTTCGTCGGCTTCACCTGGGCCGTCGGGACCTGCATGCTCGCCCAGGTCGCCGCTCTGTGGGTCACCGCCTACCTCGGCGGCCAGCTCCCCCAGCAGCAGCCGCTCGCTCCTCCCTCCGCGCCGACAGGCAACAACGCCTCCGATCACGCCAAAGCGGAGCAGCAGAGGCAGGAGCGCGTGCTGTACGAGACGGCGCTGCACACGCAATTTCCCCGCTGGCGGTATCCGCTGGGCTTCGGCCACAGGTTTCCGGATATGGTGTTCGACACGGTGCCGTATGTGGATCTACTGATGCGGGACCTGGGGCTGGAGACCAGGAGGAAGAAAGGGTGGGGACCCGTCCGGTGGTATCGGGAGTGGTGGGAGCATTATTCCGTCAAGGACTACGTGGGCGTGGTGGGGGAGTGGCTTGGGAAGGAGCGGAGGGGCGGGAGGGAGAGGAGTTGGGTGAAGCTGACGGACGGTTGAAGAGGGTGTGAGCAATGCGGTTTGGTAGACGGTGGGGAGGAGTGCGTCTACCAGTGTTTGACAGTAGAAGATGCCTTCGAGGAATTGAGTGAAACGGGTTAGCGGGCAAAGATGTTTTGTGTACACCCAGCGAGCGGCACGATAAAACCTACCTGCCTTGAGGCCAAATCATCATCTATGCTCAACCACTTTATCTTTGGCCCTCAAGAAGTGCCACGATAGCTAGCACCCATGAGCTCTACTGAACCCCCAGAATCAAACGACAGCAAATGGTAAAAGATGATCCATGCAAACTTCCCCACTGGGTCATCTGCTCACCTTGGAGTAACGGCGCGGAGACCTCGGTACTCGTATTGTATCTGACGTTGTACAACGAAGCGCGACATTCGATTCGTCTGGCATACGCATCCTTCGCTGGAAATGCCTACGACAACTGTGGGGAAGACCCGTTCGTGGCATGGGCTACTACCCCGGATTTGGCGGATGCTATCGTACATCACAGCACCAAACGCGGCGTGAACTCCTCCGGTGTTTCTTCCCCTCTCCTCTGAAATATAGATGTACAAGTATTCGGTGTGGGGTTGTCATTCTCACTTTTCGCTGTTCTGACTACTTCATGTAGTACTGTACGACGAGTTTCCCATTCATTACGCCATTAACGCCAAACAAAACACCACCCCGAGCGTCATAAAGAAACAATGGCCACCGAAGCCCTCGCCGCCCCCGTCCAAGCATTCGACGGCCTGCCACCCTTCCCCGACGACGTCCCCACCGCACCGCTCCTGCGCCTGTCCCTCGCCTCGCTCCTGGCCCGCGACCCGAACGAGCTGTCCCGCTTCTTCCAAGCCTGCACGGACCTGGGTTTCTTCTACCTCGACCTCTCGACCTGCGCCGAGGGCAACGCCATCCTCGCCGACGCGGACAAGCTCTTCTCCGTCGGGGCCGATCTCTTCGAGCTCCCCACGGAAGAGAAGGTCAAGTACGACTTCTCCAAGAGCCACAAGAGCTATTTCGGCTACAAGGGCTATGGCACCAATGTCGTCGACCGCCAGGGTAACCTCGACCGCAACGAGTTCTATAACGTCAGCAAGGATGATATCCTGGAGCAGGGGACGCGGTGGCCGGCGCCGACGGTGCTCGACGAGCAGCGCGCGCCGATCAAGAGCTTCATGCAACATGCGCATGGGATCGTGACCTTGGTGCTGGATTTGTTGAATGATTATCTGAGGTTGCCAGAGGGGACGCTGCAGAATATGCATCGCATCGAGGGCACGTCGGGAGATCAGGTGCGCTTTATCAAGGCGCCACCGCAGCCGCAGGACGACAGGCGGACAGCGTTGGGTGAGCACACTGATTTTGGGAGCGTGACGGTCTTGTTCAATCGTTTGGGAGGTCTGCAGGTGCTTCCCCCAGGCAAGGAAGCGGAATGGTGCTATGTGAAGCCGTTGCCGGGACATGCCATCATCAATCTCGGCGATGCCATGGTCAAATTCACCAACGGCTTGCTGAGAAGCAACATCCACAGAGTTATCAGTTCCCCTGGAGCGCAGGCCGACACGACGAGATATTCCCTGGTGTATTTCAATCGACCGGAGGACGATGTGATGCTGAAGCGGCTTGATGGGAGCGATATGATTCCACCGCTGGCGGCAGGTGAGATCGAGGAGGAGGTGAATAGCAAAGACTGGATCATCCGGCGAGCTCTGGGGAAACGGCCCGGCATCACTGGCGCCAAGGCTTATGACTGGGATGCTTTCAAGGGTTCAGAAGACCAGTCCAAGCGAGTCAATATTCCCGTAGCCTCGACAGCCTAGCCGTGTCTAGCACTGAGACGGGGATCCCTTTTGGAATCCCGATATTGCCATCCATATTTGTTGTGACTTTTTCCCTTTTGAGACCATTCGACCTCGTGTGTCGAGCGTTGGGATTTGTAACAGTGAGTGGCCTAGCAGGCGTATTACCCGCACGCCGATCTGCATTCGACGGTCGACTCGGCTTCCTGCGTATCCAGGCCAAAGGATCCGTGGCTGCTTTCCCCGGGATGCTCTCTGGCGGCTTCGGCGTCTGCAGGTGTCATAGTGATATTCGACCCCCACTGCGACACATCTTTTGGCAGCAGCTTGTATGCCACTTCCCAGGTGAAAGAGCTGTCACCAAAGCCAATTGATTTTATTTGAGATTGACATTCGTTCGCACAGACCAGAAACTTGGATAGGGTTGGGAAGGCAACAACCTGACCGTTGAATGTCAGGACTGGCAGAGTGTAACGCGTCTTGCCTGCAGCACACTGATGAAGAATGGACTGCAGCTTTTTCCAATCTTTCTCCCGCATCACAGCTTTCAATTTCGGGGCGTCGTCGATATGGTACGGGCGTATTCTAATAGCCTTCATCATGTCGGTTGCCGGTCCTTTGAACAGGTGCGTCCTGGAAACAAGTCTCAAATGGATGCGAATCCAGAAGCGATGATCCCACAACAACCACGGACTAGTGCTGTTGTTTGGGTTGCCGCTTGGGCGAAAGCCAGGGCAGAGGAGCTCTCGCTCTTGTGACGTGAGAGGCGCTCGGGACAGGCGCCAGATAGTCGAGTTTCCGACCACTGACTGCAACCCGTGGAGACCTTCAAAGAGCACGCCATTGTAGGTGAACTTGGGCGGCCTCAAGTTTCCTGGAGCGTACCAGAAGCGATCCGACAAAGACTTCCATAATAGACTTGTAATCGAGCCGGGCGCAAGAGCTTCTTGCTTATCTGCGGATGTGGAGCTGACCAAGCTAGACAGTTTAGCCACTATGTAAGCTGCGACATTGTTGTCCTCTTCGACCAGAGATGCAAAGCTGGTTGGAATGCGCAAATAGGCCACACCAGAGCGAAAATCAAATGTCAGGATAGAGATCCCACGCAGGAGTTTCGAGGCGCGGCTTGAGATGACTTGCAGAGTGTCACGTGCTGTTTGAGATAGTCGCAGGAGTGATGGATCTTGGAGCGCATGAGGTAGCTTATGGCGGGAGCGGAGTACTCGAATGGCATTTCTTCGAGTGAATGCTGGGTCGTCGTTGGTCTTATCTTTGACGTAGGGTACTCCGTTTGCTTCGCAGGTGGCAACGAGAGCATCTTTCGTAAATTGGAGGAATGGTCTGTGCAGTGCTATACCCCCATGGCGTAGACCCAGAATCGCTCCGTCGCAGGTGTAAAGCTTCTGGCCCAACCGAGTCTCTTGAATTGCCATCATATGAGGGGGTGTTTCCGAGAGACCAATATCAATGTCCTGTCGGAAGATCGACTCCATCGATACGGACGGCTCGGCATTGTGTACACCGCGGAGACTTTCGCACTCCGGCACCACTGTAGGAGAGAGCATGCCACGTAGCGCAAGAAGCGAAGGATTGTCTCCCCGTATCAACCGCATCAGGAGCGTCTCGAGCTGATCATCCAGATGATGGCCAGTAAAGAGATGCCCAATGCCATTTGTCCTAGCCAAGGAAGCGAGCTGATTGTAACGCTTGGTACGAGCTTCGGACTCAAAATTGGTCATTTGCGTAGGGCTTTGGCCTTTCCAGTCGATCACATCCACCGTGGAAGATATTCCCATCTTCTCCAACCAGGCCGAGACTGCCAAAGCCTCCCGATGACTGTTCCGTCGTGCATTGTGATCGATGACAAGGGCATGAAGACGAGTGGAATCGGATGCATTGGACGTTTCGTCCATGAGAGTTTTCAGCAGATAGGCCAGCGCCATCGAGTCGGGCCCTCCACTAACACACAATCCAATCTTGGCGGAGGCAGAATCTCCAAACACCGTACGGTCATTGAGAGATGTACGCGCGACATAGCGACGGAAAGCTGTCCAGAACGGCCTTAGACTGGCTGTGCTGAGAGGTTGGTGCATGAGGTTAGCAATGTCGAACGTGGGCTAGCCCCAGGGGACGGGCGCGCCTCAGGGACGGGCCTGGCGTGTTCCAGCACCAACTTAATGCAATGCGTGTGTGATCACGGAGAATAGTCATCGCGGTATTCTCATGAATTCAGGGGCAGTATTGGTCTGTTGCCCCCAGGAAATAGCATTGGCGGTACTGTCCAGAATAGATTTCCAGTTCTCGTTCGGGACAATTCGATGGATCCAATCGCGGTAGCAGCGAAATCTGAGGAGAGTCTCGATATTTACTTGAAAAGTAGGGTCTCAATCGAATAGCTGTTCTGTGTGTAGAGATGCACGCTGTCGCGAAGTACCCTGTTGGAGCTCACAAAAGAACTGGCCGGAGCGGATTAATCTAATTCCGATATGAGCTGCAGCCCTGCTCTCATTTTCACAGCCTCGTCAACGCGCTCTCTGTCGTGTGCTTCTACCATGTCATATCTTCCTACCTCTGCAGCAACCCGCCCATTTCGGGATCCTGGTAGCGCGCAGGCTTGATGAGCCTTGAAGCTCCCTCACACCGGAGCTCGACGCCGCTTGTGTCGTCACCATGGAGCCAGTCTTTAGTCGTATGTCTTCCCACCTCTGACTCGCATCGAGGGAGAGCTAACGATGTTTCGTAGGCCGGTGCCGTCGCCGGTCTCACGGTCGATGTTTCCCTGTTCCCCATTGACACGATCAAGACACGTCTACAGTCCAATCTGCGCTCCAACACGTCCTCCGTGTTGCCCCGTCACACTCTTTTCGGAACTGTGAGGAGCATATATGCTGGTCTTCCTTCTACACTCTTGGGATCAATGCCGTCTGCGGCGTCCTTTTTTGTCGTGTATGATGGTGTCAAGAGATCGATGATTCACAATGATATGTCGCCAGCACATAAGACGTATGTGCACATGCTGGCGTCGTCGTTGGGAGAGATCGCGGCCTGCGCAATCCGTGTGCCAACAGAAGTCGTTAAGCAACGTGCGCAGGCTGGCCTGTTTGGTGGATCTACCCTACTTGCGCTGAGAGACATCTTGTCCCTGCGGAGGAGTCATGGCCTTTACACAATGACAATGGAGCTATATCGAGGTGGCGGTATCACAATTCTGCGGGAGATCCCCTTCACGATCATTCAGTTCAGCCTTTGGGAGTACCTGAAGTCAGCCTACTCCAGGCGTCAAACCGAGCTGACCGGGCGTGAAAAAGGTCTCACGACCACGGCTGAGAGTGCCATCTTCGGTAGTGTATCAGGGGCAATTGCCGCTGGGCTAACCACACCTCTGGACGTCCTAAAGACACGGATCATGATAACCAGGAGGACCTCTGGCGATGGGGCGGCGGAGCGTCAAGGCGTCGTAACTGTGGCTCGTCAAATCCAGAGGCAGGATGGATTGCGCGGCTTCTTTCGTGGTTTCATTCCTCGAGTCGGATGGATCAGCACTGGAGGAGCAATATTCCTGGGATCCTATCAATGGGCTATGCATCAACTTGGAGCACCGCGCGATGACGGGACAGCTGTATGACGAACTAAGTTATCGTCCGAACGTAGCTCTATGCTTCGTGCTTGGGTGTTAGTGCACCCTGCATAATTCACTGCCTGAGCTAAACCGTATTGGGCCGAATACTTCCGTATGGACTGAGCGTTAGCTGAATAACCGAACTACACTGTATCTCAATCCGGCCGCGTCAAAAGCCATTGTGCCATACGGATGATTGGAAACTAAACTGTCGTTTTTCTGTGTTTTCTGATTCCATTTCTCGCTCCGACGCGACTGCAACGACTATCGTAGAGATCCCTGACAGAGTCAGAATAAGAGCAGCACTACACATGACTGGGTCGGTTGTCTGTTGGGGCAAACGCACATCGAGTCTCGGTGACTGTCTCTGGGGCCCGCATATGATAGTATTGACCCAGTATCACACACTCCCTGACGCCCAGACTGTCAGGTGACATGGCAGGTGTTTGTATTGCCCCCCAGAGTTCCCGGAAACATTGCGCCGCATTGTCACGAGTCAGGCCTAGCAATTGTCGAGCCTCGCCGTCCACCGTTGGCTGTTTGACTGCCTTTTGTTGCAACAAAACGGCTCAAACGCCCATTGTTGTTGGTTTGAGTCTCGAACAATGGCGCTGCACCTGTTGTAGTCTGCCCAGCTCCTCATAGCCCCTATTGTAGACGATACCATTGACTCACATGAACGAGTCCTTGCTCCTCCGAATCTACGCTGCTGAAACAAACATCCCCTTCTCGACGCATACAGATCAAACCAGTCGTGGGAGAATAATGCTGAAAACACAGATTCTCCTACCACTCTTGGGGTGGCTTGCCTGCCTAGTGCAAGCCAAGCTCGCCCTCCTCGAAGACTACAGCGGAAAACAATTCTTTCAAAAGATGCAGTTCTTCAGCGACCCGGACCCAACCCAGGGTCACGTCAAGTACCTCAACATGGCCACCGCCAACAGCACCAGTTTAGCCGGCCTCATCGAGGACGACGGACCCAACGACACTGTCTTCCTGGGAACGGACTATATATCCGTCACTCCCGAAGGCCGCCCGTCCGTCCGCGTGCAGTCCAAGCAGACGTACAACTCCGGTCTGTTCATCGCGGACATCTCACACATGCCCGGTGGCGTCTGCGGCGCGTGGCCGGCGTTCTGGCTGCTCGGAACCGCCGCCCCCTGGCCGCAAGCCGGCGAGGTGGACATCATCGAAGGCATCAACGTGCAGACCGAGAACCTTATGGCCCTGCACGTCTCCGGCTCTTTTATCGTCGACAACACCTCCTCGCTGATGAGCGGCGCCCTGCAAAGCACCGATGGAGACGTGGCGTCCCCCGTCCAGCCGCATAACAAAGGTGCTCTCGTGCAGGCCATGACGAACAACACCTTTGGCGCCGGCTTCAACGCCAACCGTGGAGGCGTCTACGCCACGGAGGTGACGCCAGACAGCAAGCGTATCTCCATCTGGTTCTTCCCACGCGGCAGCATCCCCGTCGACATCACGGCCGGCCAGCCCGAGCCCACCTCTTGGGGCAGGCCACTCGCCAACTTCGCGGGCGATGACCTGGACTTCCATTCCAAATTCAAGAGCCTGAAGATCATCATCAACTTGACCTTTTGCGGCGAGTGGGCCAGCAAGCGCGCGGTCTGGGATGCGTCGTCCTGCGCGCGGCTGGCGTCGACGTGTGAAGACTACGTCTCGAACCACCCAGAGGCTTTCCAGACCATGTATTGGGCCATCAGGTCGCTGAAGGTGTATGAAGCGAGCAACCGGAACGAGACTATCGCGAATGTCAGTGACTCTAGGGGCAGTGGACCATTCGCCAATCAGACTGTGCCTGCGAGCGATGGACATGGCTCGCCCATGCCGACCGCCACAGCTCTACCAAAGTATCGGCGACGGGGACGGAGCATGTTCCGATCACGGATCGGTCCGGAGGTCTGAGAGGCTGCTGAAGAGGTGTTGACCCCACGCCAAACGCTCGCCGGCTCGTTCATTAGATACCGAGGTGGAAAGTGGTTGAAACATAGGTAATTTCCCCCAACGTAATTGTGCTCGAATGTTCGCTTTTCCCTCCCTAAGTGTTTCGCAGGCGTAGACCCGCTGATCTCGTGTCTATAGTTTCAAGCAAAGACCGGGCCCAGAAAGAAGTGCGTCGAGACTTTTCATGCCGATATCCATATCCAGACATTCGTGATCTCGGGACTCAAGGTTAATAAGAACTCTTGAAGAGCCAGAGCCAGCCGCCCCATGCAGCGCTGCCCCAGGAGCCCATGATTCCAAAAGGTGTTATGGCCGACACCCAGTTCCATTCGACGCCGTGCGAATAGCGTTTGACCAGCTTGACAGCCCCTGTCAGGTGGCAGACACGGCCCCTCAACTCAAAAGCACCGGGCAGGTCATGGCCTGTCGTGCACCAGATGCTTGTCCGTTGACCTTCGATTGGGACGCTTCGGTTTGTATGCCAGCCATCATGGGTTCGTATTGGAGCCGGGGCCCGGCTAAGCTATAGTTGTAGTACCCAACCCATTCTCCATCTGTGATGAATTCCGGGGAACTCATAATTCCAGGTGCGATGTACCGATCACAGAATCTGGTAGGTAGGGGGGCTTCACCACCAAGTATTTGCTCAGCGGCAAGCGATCAGCCGGCCCTGGTTAGAGGTTGACCATTAGAGAGGGCTGAGCACTGACGACTTGGCGGAGCTCCAATCGGAAGCGACAAAGTATGAGATTGGCATGAATCTGGTGGATATGACTGCCAGTCCGGCGAGAATAGCATAGTGGAGAGGCAAGGTCCTTTGTCAGTTCGGACCATTGGTCAGTGCCTATTCGAACGGCCAAATTCAGAGACGTCGTCAAGACTTCTTCGATCTTCCAAATGGTGCAGTCGGTCAAAGTGGCGAACGCGGAAAGTAAGCTCACGCGCCATTGTTCGTTGGAGCTACCGTCGCGCACGTTGTGTATCAGCTCATCGAGCTGGAAAGTCCGATGGAGTTGGCGTCTGCATGGATGTTCCCACCAAAAGCAACTCTGGAAGCCACGATAGCGTGGACCGGAAGTCAATGAGCTCCCCATAGCGTTCGGGATCATGGGTCGCTCTGGCCAGGCCAGCTGGGAACGGTTTGCAATTAATTCGAAAGAATTGAGAAGCCTGTGAATCCGTCGATTGCTGGTCCACTTCGAGCAAGACGGGCAGCTGACATCAGGCAGTGAAAGTCTTGGCATTCACAAGCAGTCTTCAAAGCCAGGGTCTACGCGAATAGTGATTGCCTATCGCCCTTCATCCACCTCGATAACGATGATACTGTTAGAAGTGTATGAAGCGTTCGACTCGCCGCTAAAGTGACCTGCGCAAAATGCTCTCTCGATGTACCAAAATATCCAACTCCCCAAACCCGAAACCCGAAACTTTTCGCCCCCCTCCATGCAGTATTCTTTTCGAGACTCGAACTCGTTTTTTACGTTGCCAATTCCGTATCGCCATTTTGATCTCAAAAGCTCGTGTCGAAGCTCGCTTTCCTGCCCAGCTGCAGTGCCTGTCTGCTGCTCTCTCGACTCAGTCTGCGGACTGTTTCCACGCTGTATCGTGTCCGTGTGGTCTCTCTACTCAACGACATGGCTTTGAACGGGTGAGGGGCCTCCAAATCGCCGCCATCGCCATCGTCCTCGGTGTCATAGCCATCTAGGTTACCGTAGTCGACGGTATCCTGGTGTTCCTGCTCCTCCTCGAAGTCCTTCTCATCTTGGCCCTGCAATTTGGGTAGCTTCACCGGCCACGTGAGTACGATGACCGCTGCGGCGAAGATGAAGCTGGCTGCAAAGGTGACGCGCATGGACAAGGCGTAGGAATGGACGACCTGTGCTTTGTGGACAGGGTCAAGAGACCGGATCGCATCCACTGACTTTCTGACCGCCTGCACAATCTTCTCTTTCATAGCTGGATCATCTGCCTTGACATTGCGCTCAAGGTAGAACGGTAACATGTTTTGCAGTATCCAGCTGCTGATGGCCACACCGTGGATTGCACCTAGCGCTCGGAACAGTGCAAGAGTGCTGACAACGATAGCTTGGTCGTCCAGAGAGTTCATCGCAAGTGTGGCGATGGTACAGGTTGGGAAGTAAAAGCCTTGGCCGATGTTGACCCAGGGTACGAGCAGTAGCATTGCCCAGACCGGGAGATGTTGGTTGAGACATGTCGTTCCAATGACGCCAATGACAAGGAGTACCTGCCCTATGATCAGCGGCGGCATCATTCGCCTGGTCATGGCAATCCACCAGCCAGTCCCAATGGCGGTAAGCGCCACTCCAACAAGCGGAATGACGAGATACATGCCTGAGACAGTGGCACTCGTTTGACGCACGGTCTGCAGAAACAGTGGCACATTGAACAAGACCGAGTTCAAGCATAGCGAGAAGCAGAAGCTCGCCCACATGAGATTCGCGTTTGGCGATTTCGCAAGGAGATGAAGTGGGAGGACCGGGCGCTCTGCTCGTCTGGAGATTGGAACCATCAAGCATCCCCCCACGGCAGCCAGAATCAAGGATACGATGACGAACGGATGACTCCAGCTCAGAATATTTCCACCCAAGTTGATGCCTAGAATCAGGCAGGTGACCGTGACACTTAGGACGACGGAGCCTCGGGCGTCGAATGACTTGAACGCTTCCCTCAAGCCTCTGCCCTGAGACTGTGCCAGGTTCGGACCTAGATTGTCTGGAGTAGCGAACCAGGAGGCAACGACGAATACCGCGATGAACGGGACTTGAATACCGAATGCCCACCGCCATCCCATGGTGTCACACAGCATCCCACCGAACGCTGCCCCGAGTCCGTTTCCCACAGCATAGGCGACGTTGTAGTAGCTTTCTGCAATGCTGTGAGCTGATCAGTCCCAGCCGCGTCGGGCAAACTTACGGTATATGCCTCGATACTCAATCTTGACGATGTCTGAGGTTATGATGTTGGACATGCTCATGACGCCTCCCGCTCCCATCCCACAGACAGCTCTTGCGGCAATGAAACTGCCAATGTCGCCCGCCAAAGCACACCATATCGTGCTCAGCATGAACATTACTTCGGCGAAGATGTAGACCGGCCGGCGCCCGATCGTGTCCGACACCCGGCCGTAAAGGGGCTGCGATACCGTCGACGTGAGGTAAAAAACGGTGCTGAGCCAGGACGCCGAATTGGACGCGTTGAAATAGGACGTGATGTTCGGATGCGCGGACGCCATCAACGTCGAGTCGAAGAAAGCGACCGTGTTGCCGAAGATGATGGTTCCAAAGAGGATCCAGAAATCCTTTTGGCTGATGTTGCGGAAATGGACATCCTTGTTGTTGTGGATCTTGATGGGCGTCGCACCGGATTCCTTCTTGATCAGTAGAGCTGTACGTTCAGTGACTTCCTCCACCTCACCAGCAGCCGGTTGAACGAAGGGGCCGGGGACCGAGTCGATGAGGGGTCGCGTCTCTCGCATTTCGGGCACGGACATTTTGAACTCTTTTACAAGCACAAAACAATGGGGAGGGCGGCCGAGGAGGGTGAGGAGGGAGGGAGGAAGAATGGGAGGAGGCTTTTCGTTCTATGTCTCTCTCTCTCTAACTGTGCTCTCGCAACTAACTTGCACACACAAATCCACCAGACATGTGCAGATGTTCGACAGGTCAACGGGAACAGCTCTCCACGAGGCTTATGAAAGAGCGTGACGACGAAGAGCAACTCAAGCCTTACAGCCAGAAGGGTGAGAAGATGAGTCAGAAGAGATTCGTGTATCGGAGTCTGGCCCAAAGAACTGCTTAGATGATGGTCACTCGGTGGACACTGATGTATCTACAGCTTGGTCAGTGGTACGAAAGCGGTGTATGACTGAGAAAGAGGATCCATGGGCGTCTGCCGAATATGAAATAGAAGTCTAAGAGGCGTCGGTGTTGGAGAAGTGCACAAGACAACACGGCCCAAGACTCAATGGATGCTGCCGTCCCAGCCACTAGTGCGCGAAAATTGTCGTTGTGCAGACGGGAGGTGACACCATCCCGCGCCTTTTGATCGTGTCGTGGGGTTTGGAGAATCAATCGGGGGAGAAATCCGCGTACAGATCCCCACTTGGGAGGGATGGTGCTTTGCAGGCTGCACGGCCGATGCTCAAAGCAGCATAGGAGGCTGCCGCATTGAAAGTGGCCGGCAAGTACATGGCAGAGGGTGGTCACCAGGCCGACCAGGCATGTCTTGGGAAGGCAGCATTCGCGGTCAGATGAGTGATCCGCAGTCGGGCACACCCTGCGCTTCTTACGTTGGTGGTGGCGAGTCCATGCCAGGGTCAGACTAAATGCCTCGGATATTTGGACCTGGGAGTGGCGGTGACAGTGCCTGGACAGCTTTGGAGGCGCTGCAAGCCTCAAGGAGGCTGTTTTGCGTGCAGTGGCTACACCGAGGCAGCCGGGTAGATGTGCCTACACAGTGGGGAATCCAGTTAAATTGACCGCGAAGGCCTCGTTCAGTGAGTGGGAATGGGATATTGCGAAGAGGAGAGGCACAGCAGAGGCCGAAAATCGGTGCGGGAACATCCGTCTAAACGAAGTCCATGCGGCACCATGGTGCACGCCAGGCCGCGTGCTGTTGAGGCGGCCAAGAGGATGATAGAATGACTAAGCGGCGGTCGAATGCTTCGCCATGTCATAATTGAGTCGGTCGCCTGATGTTCGCTTGCGACATAGGCACCGGAGATGCGATGGTGGAAAAGTCCTATACCGAACACGCCTCTGGAAGTTCAACAAGAAATATAGCGCCAAGACGTCGCCGCAGGGCAGTCCATGGGCATATCCGCAAAGCAGGAGGCCATCTCCGGCCCCTGCATTACATTATAATCAACCTTAGAACAACCTTGTTACCCCTGCTCTCGTGCTGAACACCGCTGTAAATGACGATCTGACGTAAATTACCGACTTTTTTTACCCCATCAAAACCCTATCAACTTTTTTGACTATCGCCCTCGCTTCCGGTACGAGGCGTCGCCCATCCATTATCTCAACGCTGCAAGCCACGCCCCCACCGATCAGGCTATATTGCTTTTCGTGTCCGAAGCACTTGGTGCTACTTGCTCCGCTACACAACGTACGCAATCCCTGAGCTGCTGCACGCTCAGACCCCTTGTAGCCAAAACATCTCGGAACAACCATCCGGCCAGCACACACCATCTGCCTCTTCCCACCGCACGCCGCTCTCACACCACGCTCACCCTACCATGCCCTCCCCACCCATCCGCCTCGGCATACTCGAATGCGACACGCCCCTCCCCAACACCAAAGCCCGCTTCGGCGGCTACGGCGGCGTCTTCGAGTTCCTCCTCAAGCGCGGCGCCCGCGCCCTGCAGGACCCCCAGCTCAACCCGGACACAGCCCTGCAAATCACCAAGTGGCAGGTCGAGCAGGACCCGACGCGCTACCCGTCGCTGGACGACGTGGACGCCATCCTCATCACGGGCTCCAAGCACGACTCGTTCGCCGACAACCCCTGGACCAACACGCTGGTCGAGTACACGGCCAAGGTGCTGGCACAGGACCGCGTGCGCGTCATCGGCGTGTGTTTCGGGCACCAGATCGTCGCGCGGGCCATGGGGGTCGAGGTGGGGCGCAATGACGGCGGGTGGGAGGCGGCCGTGACGGAAGTGCAGCTGACCGCGAAGGGCAAGGAGATCTTTCGGACCAAGGGCGACAAGCTGGTACGTTTTTGATTTGGAACCCTCCATTTCACCCCTCTTGTATAGCCCAACTAGACCTAGAGTCGCGTCATCATCATCATCATCATCATCATCATCATCACCACCACCACAAGAGCGCAACCCGACTAACAAACACTGCTTGTGACAGGCCATCCACCAAATGCACCGCGACATCGTCTACCGCTACCCCCCGGGCGTCGAGTCGCTGGGCCACTCGCCCGTCTGCAAAGTGCAGGGCATGTACGCACCGCGGCGGCTGCTGACCGTGCAGGGCCACCCGGAGTTCAGCCAGGAGATCATGGACGAGATCCTGGACACGCGGCACAAGACGGGCATCTTTGACGACGCGGCCTACGACGCGCACATGAAGAAGGTGAATTTGGAGCATGATGGCGTTCTTGTCAGTCAGGCGTTTTTGAGGTTCTTGCTGGAGGATTGATGGGGGAGGGAACTTCGTGGGCTGGTGCAGAGGGCGAGGACGAAGCATGAGGAATGACTGCATGGCACGGCGCGTATAGATTTGTGTATGATGGATGCAATCTAGACTTTACTTCTTCATCTGAGCAGCAAGGCGACGTAAGGCAACCGTGCCAAGAAGTAACCTGATTGCCTCACTTGTAGCCCCTGCTTCGGTATGCTGCTCCGGGACAGCCCGTCGCCGCTCTGCTAGCGGCAATCTCGGTGCCCCCTTCGAACACTTCAGCGGAAATATCTTCAGCCTTTCGAGGTTGGCCTGGGCGGGTCGTTCTCGACGGCCCGGACGCAGGTCGTCCCCATGAAGATATGGCGCGTGGTCGAATATCTTCGGTATCAGGTCGACCGGTCGACCAGTGCCGTCATGCGGTGTGATGGTCTCGGATCCGGTGACTGCCGTGGCACCTGCGAGCACACAGCTTCGTCGCCCAGTGCGTGTCGGCGGCGCCAACTCAACTCGTTTGCCGTGAGGTACATTGTTAATAACCTCACGAGACCATCCGGTCAGCATCCGCGGCACCCTGGGGAATGCGGCCTTCGGCAAGGTCCTTCTCGATTCTCGCGATTTCTGCCAGACTGCGCGCATTCTTGATCAGCTCCTGCACCCGCTTCTTCTCACTGTCTGTAAGCTGAGTCCTCATGGCCTTGGCCGTGCTTGCGCCTTTTGTGGCGCCCGCAGACGAGTCCATGGCCTTGCTCTTCACTCCCCGCATTTTGGCAGCTAGTTCAGAAGGCTCAGCCTGAGTACCAAACAGCTCTTTCGCCTGCTCCCGCTCCACCTCGCGCACGCGCTGAAAATCGAGGAATCGAAGTGAGGGAATGAGCCATATTAGGTAAGATCTGTAATGCTACGGAAACGTCAGTCGGCGCCTCAACAGTAGTAAGTAGTATGTGGCTGACCTCTTTCTTCGTAACTGGGTTCTCCAGCAAACTGAGGTGTGTCAAGCCGTAGCATTTGCTCAGGCCGTCGAGATCACCCACTTCCTTGACGAGATTCGAGGTCAAGACCAGCGTCGTCAGACTCGGCAGCTGGTCGCCGATCCTCTTGTCCACATTCTGAATGCGGTTGCGCGCGCATAGCAAGGTATTTAGTCTGGGCGACAGTGGGAAATTGGAGAGGGTGGTGATATCGTTATCGGTAAAGTCGATGGCATCTTGGGGCCCAGCAACGCCGAGGTTTTCTATGGTTGGGATCTTGTGGCCTGTGGATGGGCAACAACAAAGTAGTGGTCAACTATGCTCTTATTCTCAAAGTGTAGCATCTGCTCTTTTCAGTGGACATACCTCGGAGATCAAGTTCGCGCTCCTTGAGCGGGTTCAGGTACGAAAGGGAACTGTTGATCAGGTCTGCAGTGAGCCGCATGGCTGCGTGAGGCTATGCGACTGCCACGATCGTGGGACGTGCAGGCGGGGTGACGCGTAGAGGGGGCGTCAACAGACTCGACAAAAAAGTTCAAGCAAGCGCGAACGGAAGGCACTTGAGATCGGTGCCGAGGGCGATCGTGCTTGACTACTGCTGGATAGGGTAGTGCCAATGTGGGAGGAGAGGAGATACAAGGGTGTTCCCTATCAGTAGTCCCTCATTTGTCGAACGATGTGCGTTGGTCATCTCTTTACAGAAAACCTGAGCACTGCCGCTTGACGAATCCGATCCGAAAATCGCCAAGACTGTGCCAAGGCCAGGCGGGAAAAAGGCAGCCGCAGAGCCGAACGCTCGGCCGTAGCCGCTTCCCAACTTCCCAACCATTCATTCACCAGTGGCACCACCACTCAGATCACTGTGCCAGCACAATCAAGACTTTGTTATCGAGTGATGTGTCTGGCGCAAGATTGGATCATTTACACAATGGTACTGACTAACGACGCACCCCAGACTTCATAGCGCGTTTAATATAGGGTTATGGCTTGAGTCACCGACGCTTCGTTGCCGTTCCTATAGGATTCCAGCCAGCTTATCACTTGGCAAATCCCGAGTCTCCACCCCTTCCAAAGATAACAGTCTTGGTCAAACAACGACAGCCCTTCATTTGCAGGAACCCCTACTGCGAGCCATGCTGAAGCTCGGACATGGTGAACGCCCATCTGGCGGCGGACTGTCTGCCGAGCCGTGTCGGCGTGGGACATGTCGAGTGACAGCCCCATCCTGAGCCATTGACCGCGTTGTGTGAGTCCTGGGCGCTTGTTTGAAAGAATGGGTGACCCCCAGCGACGGTAAAAGCGGATGGGGTCCTCGTTTGTTGTATAAGTACCACACCCCTGCTCGGCTCGCTTCGCCCTCTCTCCCTCTCGTGTGACCTTTTCTTCCGTCAACAGCAGCAGGTTTGCGCAGAGACACAGTCCAGAACCCATCATCATGTCTGAGGTGGGTCGCAGCATTCCCCTTAGCTGGCTTGCATCACTGACCACCACCACAGGCCGAAGTTATCCCCCCGAACCCTCGGGAGATGGACGTCAACGAGAACTTCGTGGGCCTCGAGTTCAATGCCGTCTACATCGGCATGTGCGCCTACCTGGTCTTCATGATCATTCCTGGCCTGGCCCTCCTCTACGGCGGTCTTGCGCGCAGACGCTCCGCCCTGTCAATGCTGTTCCTCGGATTAGCAGTCACAGCCGTAACGTACGCACAACTGCCCCTCACACCACTCCTCCACATCCGACTTACCGTATCATAGAACATTCCAATGGACCTTCTGGGGCTACTCCCTTGCCTATTCCGACACCGCCGGCCCCTTCATCGGCAACATGGACAAGTTTGGCCTGCGCACGGTCATGTCCGTACCCTCCGGCACCCTCCCTGAAATCACTTTCTGCCTGTACCAGCTCATGTTCTGCATCGTCACCGTCATGATCCTGGTCGGTGGAACTTTCGAGCGCGGACGCATCATCCCCACCCTCGTTTTCGCCTGGTGCTGGGCTACCATCGTCTACTGCCCCATTGCATGCTGGACCTGGAACGCAAACGGATGGCTGTACAACCTGCCCTCGCTCGACTATGCCGGCGGTGGCCCGGTCCACATCGCTTCTGGCTGCGGTGCGCTCGCATATGCCATCGCCCTGGGACCCCGTAAGTCCTACGGCCAGGCCCACCTCAGCAAGCCGCACAACATCAGCATGGTCTTTATTGGCACAATCCTGATCTGGTTCGGCTGGTTCGGTTTCAACGGAGGCTCCACTCTCAACTCCTCCGTCCGCTCCTACCTGGCTGCGTACAACACCAACATTGCCGCCTCCATGGGCGTGGTGGGTTGGGTTATCGTCGACATGATCCGGACCAAGGGCAAGTTCTCCGCTGCTGGCGCATGTGAAGGCGCCATTGCCGGCCTTGTCGGCATCACCCCCGCGGCCGGTTATGTTCAGATCTGGCTCGCGGCTGTCATTGGCCTGCTGACCGGTGCCGCCTGCGCAAGCCTGCACAACCTGAACAAATGGATCCGCGTGGACGAGGGTCTCGACGTCTTCAAGCTCCACGGCGTCGGCGGCATGGTCGGATCCTTCCTCACGGGTCTCTTCGCCACCAACGGGATCTCGCTGCTCGATGGCGCGACCGAGGCCCCTGGTGCCATCGATGGTGAAGGTGTCCAAGTCGCTCGTCAGCTCGCCGACATCGCCTCTGTGGCCTCGTACTCATTCGTCGTCTCCCTCATCCTCGCGTTCGCGCTGAAGTTCATCGGCCGATTCGTGCCCCTCATGGACATCCGCATCCACGAAGACGGCGAGCAAGAGGGCATTGATATGCACGAGTTCTTCGAGGAGGAGGTCGGTGACTGGTCCATCCTGTCGCACAATGCTCACCCACCCACACTGGAAGGCAACAAGGTGTCGGCCCCCAGCAGCCCGCCCAACGGGAAGATGGAAGATACCAAGCCTGTGAACACCACTGTTTAGAGCAACTTCACTGGCTGCAAAAGAGCGAGGCGAGTGTGAATATGATGACAATTAGATACCCCTGCGATGGAGAATGGTCAATGAGGGCCACTTGCTGCGCTTTGGTGGGATGACGCACATGTTGCGTTGTCCAGGACGGCGATGATGATTGGAAAGTTGTGCTGCGTTGCTTGCGATGCGACATCGCCACCATGGCGCAGGACACAAGATTAATAGAGCGCGCGAGGCAAAAGCACAACGGCTCCCTGTGACTGATGCCTTTGTCAGGCCTTCGGGCTGAAGAGATGATATCCTAGCTTAATACACAACCGTATACCCTAATTCAGTCGAAGCTCCGATGTCCGTACTCACAGCGGCATATATAACGCACGCTGATGACGACTAGGTCATGCCATGCCATGCCATCTCAGTAGAACAAAGCCGCGGTGAGGCAGAGCAGCGGGGACCCCGTCACAACGTAGAAAATGGCACTCAGGCTGAAAGCCCGGTATGTGGAGGGAGCGGGAGCGGAAGCGGAAGCGGAAGCACACCCTACCAAGCCCCTACCTCATATATATATGTCCATATAACTGTCCCGACCCAACCGACCCGAGCCCCTGCGTGCACGCCGTGTCAGCACTCAAATTCACCCTCTCTATCTCGCCAACGGCCGACATTCCCTCGAGCCTCTACCCCTCTCCGGTCCAATCCCGTACTCATCTTTTATCTTTTCCGTGACCGTCTTTTCCGTCTTATCTACTCACTGCGTACCGAACACGGGTCCCACCCGCCGTCCGGAGTACGGACGCCCCCCTGATCTGCAGTCTTTTGATTCCCGAACCAGTTGTACGGCGCGCTGAGGGGGGTGAGCCTGGCGAGGCAGGGGTGAGCACTAAGTCTTGCTTGCGCCGCTTGCGGCGCCCGGCATGCTACCGGACCAATTGCTCGTGGACTGTGTACTCGGTACTCTGCTGTGTGCTCTGTGCTGTGTGCTGTGTGCTGTGTATGAAGCGACACCTGTCCCGTTCACTGGCGCGCGGATGCCTTGGCTGCCTCCTGTTGGTGTGGCGTGTCGTGTCGTGATTGGTTAGGTAAACTGTATGTTGAGAGAGAACGAAAGTGCATCTGCCCGGCTTTTGGGGTAGGGGGGAAAGTGCCTCTGTCGAGTGTAGACTGTGGTACCATTTTGGGTCGGACGTGCCGCTCCGGCGTGATGGTACGGACGGGAGGGGGATGAGAATGCAGGGTTCACGTCTGCTGCGGGGGGGGCCTACGGGGAGCACAAGGACATGGTGAAGGACATGGTTGATGGGGATGTGCGGCGCGAGGGACGCATGGTCTGGGTGTAGTAGACCTTGTATCAACAACAGGCTGTGAGATGTGTGTGTTGTTCGCCTCAATCCAAAGGTGGTGTCCATGCGCTGGTAGCGCTGACGTGACACCGATTGTTCCACCCACACGTCTTGGGCACCTCCTCTGCAGCATTCAACTTTAATGGCAGGTAGATGGTCTGTCGAAGTGCATTACGTCTTGGGGACATCGGGCCTAAGCGGCGAGCAGCTCGGAGATACATCGCCCGTAGGAGGGCTCGAGTTACAGGTGTTGAAATCTGAAGGTATAGCCATTAGAATGTTTGTAGTCAAGAAGAAACTATCAAAAACCGCACGTCGTATTGTTGCCATGTGGCATAATGCCTTCTCCGGAGCGAAGCTGGGTATTCGAGATAGCGCCTCCAGCGCCCGTTGCTTTCATGTTGTAGCTGGATCCATTACTCCCGCGGCAATTATTCATTGATGTAATTCAAAACCATTCTTTGCCTCTTGCAAAGCCCTCGAAAGCACAATGAATGCCTGATCATGCAGGGCAATCGCTCAATTCGGGCGAGGTAGGATCTGCAGATTGGTTAGCTTAGAGACATTCGTCGGACGGCTGTGCGTTAAGAACTTACAGAACCAGGCAGCGACCGCAATGATGACATACAGCGTCATCAGTAATACCCCCTCCAACCAATGACTCTTGCCGTCCTGAATAAGGTAGTTCACCAGGAGGACCGACACGAACAGAACGGTGATCTGAAAGCCATCGAAGAAGAGCGTCATATCATCCTTGCCAATGATCCAGCCGAGCACCACCACAAGCGGAAGAACCAACAGAGCGATCTGCATGGACGAACCCACAGCGACACCAATGGCCAAATCCATCTTATCCTTGATGGCAACTGTTACGGCAGTGGCGTGTTCGGCAGCGTTTCCGACGATCGGGAGGAGGATTAGACCGACAAAGTTCTTGGAGATACCGCCACCGCAGGTGACTTCGTTGATGGAGTCGACAAGAAATTCGGCGTTCAGCGCGACTAGAACGGTAGATCCGCATAGAGTGAGAATGGCAACCAAGACAGACAAATTGGGCTCTTCAGGCCCTTCGTCTTCCTCCTCTTCTTCGGCTTCGCGAACCGCGTTTGATGAGACAGCGCCGTCGGCATCATGATGGCGGAATCTGTCGGGAACAAACGTGTTCTTCAATTTACCACCTACGTTTCGCGTCTCGGTCTTTTCGCTCACCTCGCTGAACATCTTGACGTGGGACTTGAGTTGGAAGAACAGGTAACAACCGTAGACGATGAGCAGCATGATGGCTGTACCGCGACTAAGATCTGCGACATGTGGTTTCGGATGGCTTGGATCACCGGATGCTTGCGACTGATCGCCAATGCGCGCGAATTCGTCGAAGGCAGTCGGAATGAGAAGTGAGCTGACCGAAAGAAATAAGAGAGAAGAGGCTGTTTGGGCGACAGTAATGTTGAAGTTTTGTTCCAGGCGATTCACTCCACCGAAGAAGAAACACATGCCCAAGACTAGGAGCAGATTTGAAAGCATACTGCCAATAAGGGACGTCTGCACAATCAAAGTCTGGTCCTTGACTAGGGCAATGATTGAGACAATCAGCTCGACGGCGTTGCCGAAAGATGCGTTCAGGAGACCACCAATGACTTCACCAGTCCGCAAAGCGATCTCTTCGGTGGCGTAGGAGAGCAAGGCGGCCAAGGGAATGATGGCGATGAAGTTGACGACGAAGATGGCGATAGGCTGGACTTTGGCGAAGTGAAGGGCGATTCCGACAGGACTAGCGATCAAGAGGATGTTGATCCAGGAGTTGAAGAGAACGGCGCGCAGTTGGTTGCCGACAGTAAACTTGTGATGCTTGTTGGCTTTGTCCTTGCCAGTGGAATCTCGGTCGGCCTCTTGGCTGTCGGACGTTGAGTGCTTGAAGATTCCGCCCAGAAGGCCCTTTCTACCGCCCTCACGACGCTTGAGGCCGTCCTGTTCGGAGGCTGAGCGGGTGCCACCGACTATCGCATCGCCGTTCTCGTGAGCCCCAGTCTTTTCCGGAGACGCTGAGAGTCCATTCACTTCATTAGTCGGGCTCGAAGATCGGGGAATGTCGATATCACCACCAGCATGGTGCTTCTCCTCTCTTATCGCAGTCGGACTGGTATCAGCGTGTTTCGGCGAGTGGCCAACTAGTTCATCTCTCCTCTGCTCGGTGCCCTGATCATTGTGCGTAGTGCGGACAGGTCGTAGGCCGTTCTCCTCGTCCCGTCTCGTTGACTTTGAGCTGTTGGAGCGATATTTGGCGAAAGGATTGAAGTTTCGATCTGAGCCATCACTGTAGTAGCCCGCCTGTTTTGCGCGATGCTTAATGCTGTCTGCAACACGTTTAGTATGGACTGAGGACTATGGCGCAACAACTTACGCATTGTTGCGATGTAAAGTTCCTGCTACGAGCAGGACGGGTAGCGATCGTTAGAACTGTGATATTTGCAAAGACGGGTCGGTGTGATCAAAATTGTGCCATCGAGAGCGACCGTAGGATGGACTACGGATGGCGCGACGTGACACGTTCAGTTCAGGTGCCAACTCCCAGACTTGAAACAAGTGGGCAAGCAGGCCGTTTTTTGACAGTGACGTCTGGATCCCTGGCGATTGGGTCGGGAAGATTGTAGAAAGGTTCACGGCAGGACATACTGTAATGCAAAACAGGGAAGGGGAAAGGTGAAGCGACATGACCTGTGTGTGGCATAGCCCCAATGGACAGACTTCAGAAGAATGCGAGCGAGAGTGGGCACTAGGAAGAGGTCGGCTTGGTGCCATTGTGTGTGGCTGTACCCAAGCGGCAAGGCCGCTGGCCATGGAGGATTGAGTTCGAAATGAGATTTCCGTGCCGCGCTTGAACTGATCAAACGTTCCGAGTCGTGTCTCGCGAAAGCTGAATCTGCATTGTCTGATGTCATCTCATGTGGCTAGTCTCCCGAATTGCATGTTGTTGTGGCTTGCTGCCGTACATCTTGTGGCTGTGTACGGAGCAGTGGCGACGGCGGTCTTGAACAGCTAGTGGCAGACACGGTATCGCTGGAGAAGCTGTGAGCTGGCAGCGTGACGTTAAAGCTGAAAAATGCTGGGGATAATCATTAGGCTTAGCAGTGCTAAGGGCCAACTTGGCGAGGCTTAAGGGCTGCGAAGCACGCCCAGAGAATCTTAATTTCGGGGTCCCCCAATCTGGAAAACCACAAGCGCTCCTTCCGGGTCCAACTACCTACACCCCCCGCAGCGTTGTGGTCGTCGCTGTTGTCGTCGCTGTTGATCAGGGCGACCATTGTTGCAAATGCCCGATAGTGGATGAGATCTTTACCATCTACCCGAACAAGCTTGATCAGTCTCTGCCATTGTCGAAAACGGCGGTAAGCAGGTCACCTTCGACCCCTCAGTTGGGTACAAGGACGACCACACCCGGATTAATCTCCTTGCCATCCTCAAGTGCCCATGCTCAAGTGCTCAAGTCCCTTGGCTCAGGGAATCATTCGATACGATTCTGATCGAAGAGGCACAAGGTGCAGATTGTTGTACAGCATCTATCGATCTTCGCGCTCTCTTTCAGCCATCGCGAGATTTCTGAATCTACAGACCACCAGAACCACCCTTGCTCCTCAGTCTGAAGCTCTGCGCCGAACAAAGCTGCGATGTCCTTGCCTACTTGCACCGAGTCTGTTCATGTTAGTGCCACTAGCTTCATTGTGCAATTTCTCTTGCAGATCCAAAACAAGCCTGAAACCAACGCCGCCTACTTGGCAAACACCATGGGAACCGGCAATCAGGATTGGCCATGATTCCCACCCACCGCTTGACTGAATCACGCCTGGTACTGACTGCTGTACGGAGTATGCTAACTCACTCCCACTAGTTCTCGACTTATGAGGTGTTTCGGAGCACTCGAGGAGTTATTTCGCTTCCCCAACTGGGGTTGTGCACTCCTTTTTCAGACCTCAGTCGCGCCCACTGTCGATCTATGTTTGCGCAACAGCACGCCCAGTGTTGTCCCACGGAGGACACTCTGTACAAGTAGCTCCTGGAGCAGACGCCAAGCTACGCCCTCAACCTCCTGTGTCTTCCACCGGTGCTCAAGACTGCTTCTCAACATTGGTGCAAGGCAATGTATGCTCATCACTGGATATTGCTTATGATAGTAAGGTGCAGGGCAACCTAGAATGCCGGACCGAGGCTCGGTATGGATTGGTTCAGGGAACGGCCATCGTACCGGCGCGCCGAAACTGATGACCTTGAGATGTCCTCTTATACGCCATCTGCACCCGAAATGTCCAAAGCTACGGCTTCTGAATCGACTCTAACACACCCGGGAATACACAAGTCTGAATCCAGATATCGTTTACTTGAATCATCGAGAAATCCTTCAACCCTCGACACTACCCATTCTCGATGGGCAGTCCGCTTCGAGGGCTGGCGTACCGGCGCCAGTACAGCTGCTACCCTGGCCTTGCTATCGCTCTTGATTAACTTTGGTGTGGTCATGTGGCTAGGGACAAAGCAGCCAGGCGGAGCTTTAGTTGAAGTGTATCATGGCTCATGTGGTACCGTGGCTAAAGTGGACGTCTGGGTGCACTTGGCCATCAACGTATTATCGACCCTCCTACTCGGAGGTTCAAACTACTGCAGTATGTTGCCTAGTACCTACGACTCGCGGGCACTCTGTCTGCATTTCACGTTGATGGACCTTGCTAACCAGTTCAGTGCAATGTCTGTGCGCACCCACCCGGGCTGAAATAGATCGAGCACATGCAAAAGGCAAATATCTCGACATTGGTGTCCCTAGTATACGCAACTTGTGGGCTATTCCAAGGTCCAAAGCCTTGCTGTGGTGGGCTCTTGGACTCTCGTCGATCCCTCTGCACCTGATGTACAACTCCAGCTTCTTCAAGTCTCTTGCCACTAACGATTACAACTACCTGATCGTTACCGAAGAGTTTGTTGGTGGAGCAACTTTCAACAACTCCTACTACGATGAATACGTACAGATGGTGACTGATCAACAAGAGTTGATAGGGACCCAGCGCGCAACATCTAGTGGTCCTGACTATTATCAAATCGTGGATGCGAAACGAATACAGACCGAATTACCTGAGTACAACAGAATTGATCCGGTTACCTGCCTGAAAAGCTATGCAAGCAGCTTTCTGAGCAACAAAAGACACCTGATCCTCGTGACGAGTGAAGTTACGATAGACCCCGATCCTCAGTACCAGACTGGATACTACACCCCGGGAGTCTATGGTACGGTGTTGGGGTCTTCAGTCAACGTCTCAACCAGAGCAGACGATCCACTTTTCTTCCAGGATGCTGAACCATTTGACATTGACTACCAATTCGATTGGATATGCTCCTCCGTACCAGACGCACCAACGGATTTGGACGCGACTTTTTCTGAGATCGTCGGACAATGCCCTCCAAGGTACAAGAAATGGCTTCCACAGATTGACAGATGGAAGCCCCTTGGTCAAAACATCGAATACTGTCTCAGCGAGCCCGTCCAGGAGCGATGTGCATACACGGCTAATGTTCCCATCATTGCTGTTGTCATTATCTCCAACTTCATCAAGCTCGTTGCGATGTATATAGTCGCCACACAGCTCCACGACAACCCTCTGATTACTATAGGCGACGCGATCGAGAGTTTCCTCGATACCCCAGATCCTTCAACCAAAGGAATGTGTCTGCTCTCCCGTCATCAGGTTAGACGCAAACTCTGGCCGGCGCGCGGCAGCAACGGTGACAACGACACCACCAATCTACGACCACTAGCTCTGCCCGCCTCTCTTCAGCGGCTTCAATGGGTCCACGCCGCCTCGCGAACCCGCTGGGCTACCACCACCGGCCTCCTCCTCGCCGCAATCGTGGTATCCCTCGGTCTCTTCGGCATGGCCATGAACGCCATCACCGACACCGGCGCGTCCATCGCCTCGCTCGGCCTCGGCCGCGTCGACGCCGCCGCCATCATCCAGAGCTGGAGCATCCAACGCATCACCTCACCCACCCGCCAGATCATGGCCGCCGTCCTCATCGCCAATCTGCCACAAACGATCCTGTCGTTCCTGTACCTGCAACTCAACGGCCTGCTGACCTCCATGTGGCTGGCCAGCGAGTACGCCGATTTCGCAAAGGAGCGCAAGACCCTGCGCGTCAGCAACGCCAAGGCTGGCCAACGCAGCACCCACTTCCTCCAGCTCCCCTACAAAGTGGCACTGCCGCTCATGACCATGTCCGGCCTGCTGCACTGGCTGCTTTCGCAGAGCATCTTCCTCGCCGTGGTCGCCGAGTACAACTCGAACGGGATCCTAGTCAATCGCGTCGCGGTGGCGAGCTGTGGTTTCAGCCCGCTGGCCATGCTGCTGACGGCGAGTATGGGTGTCGCGTTGGTGGTCGGCACGGGCCTGCTGGGGTGGTATCAACGCTTGAGTGGTGGAGGGATGCCGCTGGCGGGCAGCTGCAGCGCGGCGATTAGCGCGGCGTGTTGGCGGCCTGGTTGGGACGAGGGGGCGGCGAGGGGGAGTGTGCGCTGGGGCGTTGTGCCGGCCATGGAGTCGGCAGTCGGAGGGCAGATTGTACGACATTGCTGTTTTACTAGTGGGGACGTGGATGTTGTGAAGGCGGGAGGCCTGTATACCTGATCCCATGGACGCCGGTGCCGCGAGGCTGCTATAGACCGGCCTGGGACTTCTTGAACGATGAACTGAGCTGTGAGTCCAGAATCGGTCTGCTGCTCTCTATGTTGCGCTCGGCCTAGCCGACCGGGGGTCTTTTTTCTGTGAGCTAACAATGACCTTGTCATCTAAGTTGATGGCACAAAGCGATCGGTTGCTAGGGGTCGGCGAGCGCGTTCTCGTTACGGGCGCCCATGTACATAAGGTCTGTCACCTGATAATTCCGCTTGGGAGCCGGTGTCGCGCCTTCCTCCTGCTCGCCCTTGACTATGGATGGGGATTCACTGATCTTCGTCCTCGTCAGAGGAGAAACCATCGGTGATGGTCATTTGGTCGCGAGAGAGGAGCAGACATCGGGGGAGTACCGAGAAATGAAACGTCCACGATTCTTGGCGTTGTTCACGGAAAGCACCTGCGTAGTCTGTCCGACTTCACCTGTTGATCAGTTCCTCGCAGTTCTGCCTGACGGTCGTCTGTACCCGAGTTTGACTCGATACCAGCAAACAGTCGCAAAAAGCGACTTCTCGCGGGCAGGAAACCGAGACTTCGTCATTTCTTCAACAGATTGAGTCGCCTTAGGTCTTTGCAAGCGAAGGGACGTTTACTGCTGATGTTAGTTGTAGTGGCATGTCAGTTCGCGAAGCCTGGTAGAGGACGGATAACGTAGCCCATTCAAGAGCAGAAAGAAGAGCGAAATAGATGCTTGCAGGAAGAGGATCGGTTCAGGACATGGGGAAGGTAGGCCTGATATGCTAGCTCTTGCGGATAGCTATGTACACAATCAATGAGACAGTCTATGCTTGTGCTCAGTGAGCATTGTTCTTGTGATGTCCTGAAACCTGTTAGCGAAAGTGTCGATATCCTTCGCAAATACTTACTCAGGTGGAAATAGTATTCCATCGAGTATCCCAGGGCCATAATGCCGAAGATCGCGTGCCAGACAGCTATGGTTTGTTAGCATGTTGCCGGTGTCTCATCCATGTAGTTTACGTACGAGCTGCTGAAGAGTTCTTGCCCATGTATCTAGCTTGGTAGCGGCCGAGGAGACCCGATGGTTGGATGGCGGGGGCGGGGCCTTTGGGAAGCTGCTCGTAGAACTTGGCTATCCTGGCCATGCGAACGGCATCTTTTGCGGCGCCGAGGCCCTGTTAGATCGTCAGACGTTTGTTCAACATCGCAACATGTTCGGAAGCAAGGAGCTCCAGACTTGGCGTAGCTGGGGACCTCGGGAAGCTCGATCAGGGGACTGTCATGGTGTTGAACATACCTCTGGGCTGGCGACCTAGTGGGTAGTGTCAGTGATGTTTCTTGCGGGATTGGACAGGTAGTCCTACCTTCGGGGGGACGAGGGTTGAGACGGCTCGGCGGATGACGAACGACATGGTGAGAGCGCTGCGACTGTCAGAGGGAGCTCGAGAGGCACTGCGCGCTTTCGAGAAGGGAAAGCACTCACGAGAGGGAATGTCGTGCGTTGGAGTAGTAGGCGTCTGCGGCATCGACGAAACTTGAGGTCAGGGAGCTCCTCAACTTCGCAGTCTTGGCACGACAATGAGAGCCAATCAGAGGACGGTTGGAGTCCCACCTCCTTACGGTCCCTTCAGACGGCGACGATGGCCAGATATGTCTACTCACTTGCTTCTACTTCACATACGAGTCGTCTGGCCTCCCAAACTTGAATTTTAACTGCAAACACGTGGCGAGAAAAGTGTCAGCGTCAGCGCCTGTGGTAACAGTTGCTTTTCCAGGTCTCCGTCGTGGTATAGAATTATGTCTACTCTAGCACAATCAGCCGCCTGGCGTGAGCGCGCACACAATAATCAATTGGCATTCGTGGTTCTGGCGAGTGCCAATCAATGTGTAGAGTGCATGGCAAGGTTCCTTCTCGAAGCTGATTTGATTTCAAGTTGTTACTGACATGACTCGGCCTGCAACCAGCGACGTCATCTTGCATGACTCGGTGTATTCCCTCAAAGAACCTCCGACCAACGCAACGAGGCGCACGCCACTGACCTGCTGTGTCCGAATGCAATGACTGCTCATACACTGTACCAAATGGTCCCACCAACAATTCGCAGCATAATTTCGCGGTCCCATCAGCAGGCAGCGTTCTCGTTCGTTTGCCCGAGTTGTCAGCTCCGCACACCTGCTGCCTCCCGGTTCTCCAGAGCCAATTCCTCTCCGAGAGCGACTCTTCAGAAGCATCATGGCTTGCGATCGCGGAACTTCTCTACTACTACGCGACGCTCAGCATATGTCAATCTAACGAATCGCGGCGTGGTCCGAGTCGCGGGGCCTGATGCTGCACATTTCCTCGACGGCCTACTCCCCGCGAAGATCCTCGGAGTAGGACCAGAACCCATCTATACCGCCTTCTTGACGGCGCACGGCAGGATACTCGTCGATGCTTTCATTTACCCCCCTGCCTCAACGGAAGCCCCGGAATGGTTCATAGAGGTCGATGCCGAGAGCGTGGATATTCTCACGAAGCACTTGAAGAAGCATAAATTACGAAGCAAGTTCGCAATAGAGCGTCTGAAAGAACCGCCGATCTTTGTTAGCCATGACACGGCGCTGGACGGGTCTCAAGCCTCAGGTCCTAGTGCCATCGAGGGTCTGAGGGCTGGAGGAAAGGATCCACGGCCAGGCATGGCTAGCAGATACGTTGTGAGTGAGTCTTGGGCGGCGGAACTGCGCCAGAAATTAGGAGACGAGCTGCCTTTAGACGCCTACACGAACGAACGGATGCGGAATGGGTTGGCTGAAGGCCAGTCGGAGTTGAGCAGCGAAGCTTCACTACCACAAGAGAGCAACATCGACCTGCTTGGTGGGATTGATTTCCACAAGGGCTGCTACCTGGGCCAGGAGCTAACAATACGGACCCATCATACCGGCGTGGTACGGAAGAGAGTCCTTCCCGTACAGCTATACGACAAGGACAGCGAATCTATCGAGCACAGATCAGAATTACCTCCGCCCGGATCCAATCTGTCCAAGGTGTCTACCCGTAAAGGCCGTAGCACGGGAAAACTCCTGGCGTCTGGACAGAGCGTGGGATTGGCCCTATGCCGGCTCGAGATGATGACGGATATCCAGCTGACGGCCGATGCGACGAACTTTGATCCGAAGGAAGAGTACAAGGTGACGTGGCAGAATGATCAGGGCCAGGACCAGTCGGTTTTCGTCAAACCGGTGGTCCTGGATTGGCTAAGGAATGGAATTGAGGCGAACCTGAGGAGGAAGGAGCGAAAGCCTGCGAAGAAGCAGGATGTGGATGAGGACGAGCTTGACGATTGAAAGTCTGAGTGAGCGCTGCACATGGTCCGAGCTGAGCTGATCAAGCCTCTTGAATAATACTTCTCTTCCTCACCAACCTCGACCATTTGGCGCCGAGGGTGCTCGGCACGTGGCGCATGTCCTCTCTCACTTGGCGATAGTGATCACTCGTTCGCTGTCATAGCCGAAAGGCTCATTCAATGTTTGTGGACATTGGTCGGGCATGAATGCCAGACGTTTTCGTTCGCCACGGTGTTTCTCAAGTCGGTGCCTCTTTCTCCTTTGCCCAATTCACGCTCTCAATACCATCCCACGGACCTCTCCGAACCGCCTTGCGCGCGGCTGCCAGGGTCGCAAAGACCACCACAGCGGTGCCCATGGTAGCCTTTTCCTTCCTTCCCTCGAGCCGCCTCCTCTTGTCTTTCAACATTACAACACTCTCCACTTCTCCCACCGCAAACTCATCTTGTATGCTGTCTTGATCGATCTCCAAGCCCTCGCCCTCTTTCACCCACCTCAGTTTGACCGAGCGATCCATGGCCTCGTTCCCACCATCTGCATCGTCGTCGCGGTCTCCATTCTGCTCCCGCCGTTCTTTCTCCTCCTTCTCTTCTCTCTCCCTTTGATCTCTCTCTAACCTCCCCCTCGCCTCCTCCGCATCCTGCGCCCTCCGCGCCTTAATCTCCGCCATTCGCCGCCTGTTCTCCTCCTTGATGTTTGCAATCTTGACTTCCCTCTCCGTCCAGCTCCGTTTAGGCGCACGACCCATACCGACAGATACACCGCTTGTTGCCGCTGCCGCCTCGGCCTGCTCCAAATCCTCCTTCAGCCTCTGCCTGTTGGCCTCCAGCTTCGCGTGCTCGGCCGCGCGGCGGAGTTTGGCTTCGCGCGTCTGATCATATTTGGTCTTCTCGTCGGGCGTCGTGAGCACATTGAGGGCGATTTGAAGGAGGTGGAATTTGTCGAGGTTGGCCGGTGTGGGCTCGACTTTGTCGGGGTGGTAGAGGATGGAGGTTTTGCGGTAGGCGCGGCGGATCTCGGACTCGGTCGCCACAGGACTAATGCCGAGGAGATCGTAGTAGTCAGGCTCTGAAGGAGTTGAGGGCCCGGCCATAGCGGCGTCCGAGAGGGTCAAAATTGGCCTGGGGTGTGGTCAAGGACAGCAGATGGCGGGCGAAGTAAATAAATGTCATGCAGGCAGCGAACTCAGATCCAGGATCGTCCCCGCACGGAGTTTGGCGTCACAATCTCCGGGGAAGGGCGATCTATAAGGCAACCACCGCGTTCCGAACTTCCTTGTCTCTTTTGCAAGATGACCACAGCCCGAGAGTCTTGCACAGAGGTGGAGGTGATCGACGATGCACACTCTCCGGGAGCTTGAGCGGTGTGAAGCACGAGGACAGACTGCTGTTTCGCAAGGACCATCTCTTACCCACTCCCTTCACTACCACAGCATGTATTTCTGAGAGCAGATTCAGCATGGATGGTGACTTTGACCGTTGCGACCGCTGTGTAGGAACTCTCTGCATTGTTTGTGTCTCCGGTGTCTCTTGTTACCTGATGCCCCGAAGTGTGGTCGTCAGTCTCCTACACATCCCAGACACGGGCTGAGGCACAGATGTTCATAAGTCAGACACCAAGGGCTATTGGTCCTCTACTCCTTCAAAGCCGTCGGTTGAAGTGTTTGGAACGCATTCGGCGAGCTGGTTGCGAGACAGTCACAATATTGGGTAGGTTGCTCGATAGGTTGTTCCTGCCATAGGTGTGGGGCGCTCCTTCTCCTTTACCATGAACTGGGTGGCATCTGCCACTTTCACTGAAATCATGGCTACAGCCTCGAACTCATCAACGAACATATCCAAAGTCTTCATGTTGTCTTCCCTGAATGTTGCTGGGTGATCGTATCATGACTACAACAACTCAGCCGTCTCGTGACTCCCATCTTCCAGCTCCAGCATCCATCGCCCTTGCATTGGCTGTTCTGCGCTCAAAACCACAAGATGTTGATCTTGACGGTACGTATGTCCAAACTAGGATTTCGTCTGCCTTCTAAACTTGCGGGACAGAGCATTTGGACCGGATCACAAGCTGCATCAGCCGCGAGCCATCATCGACACATCGAGTCCCTTCCGACCATCTGGATGCCATAATCTACTGGAAGGAAGAGTCTCGTCGTGCAAACAGTGAGAAATCCAAACTTCAAGATGAGATCCTCGAACTTCGACTCCAGCTCGAGGGATCGAAACAGTCCGGGAAACCATCGCAGAAAAGGAATGCTGAACCTCAGATTCCCTCCGAAGCAAACACGCAGTCCAAGCGGAGGAGGCTAAGCGGGAACAACGAAGACTTCAATGGCCCTGATGCACTTGAACAGCTCGACAAAGCCTGCGACCCTGGTAAGTCGTTCGCTACGTGACTGACACACAGACTGCAGCTAACACTGATCAGATATCAAACATCTACTTCGATCATTATTCACACTCAAGCAGCTGCTCGGAGGTAATTCCAACGACGCTAGGAGAGTGTTCAGATGGCTCTCGACCCTCTGCACGTCTATGGTCAATCTAGTCAAACGTCCAACGGAACTTTCTCCTCGGTTACCGAAGGCGTACGGCTGTATGCTCCTTGGTCTCCGTCGGATTCGTGATCTGGTAAACGACCAAGAAGACATGTTCACCTCGGCCATCAGCACAACGACTCGGCTTTTTCAGACCATGCTAGGCTGTCTTCATCAGATCGCGCTCGATGAAGTAGCTAGGCGTGAACGGGAAGAGCAGCGCAAAAGCAAGAAGCACAAATCCAATACCAAAGCTGTCAAGACATCCGGACCGGACAGTGAGGTTTTGTGTAAGACGAATCTCGCGGCTCTCATGCAGATGCTCTCCATTTTCTTCGCCCAGCTGGAGCATTTTCACAAGTCGGATCGCGTTCTCTACGAATGTATATGCTCTGCGCTGCTCGACCACATAGGATCCTCGTTGTCACTCCTGGTGTTCCTCGACCCACAGAGTGAAGAAACGGGCCTGAAATCTGTCACCGGAATTGTCGACGTCGCGCATCTGGAGCCGGAGTCAGCCATATCCACGGCACGCCTCTCAGCTCCATACCTAGTCAGGGTCCTCCGCACTGCACTGGGGTCTGCAGCAAAAGATGACCGGGGAGGGAAGGGCCAAACGCAAAGAGTGCCGGGGAACACATCAATCGATAGATCGTCTCACGGGGCGCTCCAATTGCGAGCGGAAGAACGACTACAGCACACCTTACTCAGGGGAATATTTGGGGACGAGGACGAAAGATTTCCAGATGCGTTACTGCGAGCAGAGGAGATGGACGGTGATGTCCATCAGGAAACGGTAGAAGAGGCCTATGAGGAGCAGGATAGCTCCGACTGGTTCATTGGGCAGGTATGGGAGCTTCTTGGCTGGGACATCTTGTCTGGGACAATGCCAACGTCCAGAAGACTATGCGAGTGAAAGAATTCCGGAGTAGAGCACCGGGCCGGTAACAACATGTTACTTCGAGCAGATCTTGGAACATATGTCAAAGAGCTAAACCAATCACCCGTAATGTTACACCGTAATCATATGGTCCCATCGCATCAAGTACTGTTTCGAATCAGGGTCCTTGACTATTGTTTCTCAAAGCCCATCCCCGCCCCTGATCTTATTCTTAATACGTCGCAGCCAACCTCATAACCAGATAGTCACCGCTCTTGATCGACTCCCACTTCTTATCCGCTTCGGTCGCATACGTCCCCGGAAGCGCCTCGATGGTGCGATCAAAGTTGGGGTTGCAGAAATACGCCACGCTGTACCTCTCCGGGAACATGTCACTGGTGTCGCCCTCCTTGGCCGGCGGCTGCACCACGCGATGCCTTGTGCTCTTGATCATCCCATTACTCCAGCGATTCAGCAGGTCGCCCGCATTCACGACGATGGAGCCCGGCACGGGCGTCGCGCGCACCCACGTGCCGCGCGGGCTCTGCACTTCCAAACCCCCCACGTCGTCCTGGAACAGGAGGGTGATGCTCCCGTAGTCCGAATGGGCGCCGGCGCGGACCTGGTCCGGGTTGTGGCGGAAGACGCTCTTCAGCACGGCCGGGTAGTGCAGGAGGCGCAGGTTGTTGTCGCCGGCGTCGGTGAAGCCGTCGAAGAAGTCGGGCCGCAGGCCCATGGCGAGGGCGATGGCGCGCATGACTTGGCCGTGCAGGGCCTTGCAGGTGAGGAAGAAGGCTTTCATGTCGGTGGCGAAGGCGGCGCCCGCGGCGTCGATCTTGTCCGGCCACCGGTTGGGTAAGCCTTCGACGCCTTCGCGGCCGATTTCCATCGACTCCTTGAGGTCCGGGTTGGAGGCGCGGAGCTTGGCGATCTCGTCGCGGTCGTTGAGGTCGGCGAGCGTGACTTTTTCGCGGCCCGAGGCGACGTACCCTCGGTTGGATTGGGGGGTCGTCCAGCTGAGTGCGTCTTTCTCGGATTGGGGCCGCGCGAAAAATTGGCTGGATTGGGAGAAGACGTGGCTTATGGTGGAGGGGGGAATGCCGTGGTTGGTGAGGTAGAGGAAGCCCGAGTCTTGGAAGCCTTTCAAGACTTGTTCGGCAACGCGGGCTTTGGTTGAGGCGTCGCCGTGTAGGAAGTCGCCGAAGTCGATGATGGGCATGACGAGGCCATCGGCTTCGACTGCTGCAGGAGCGCTGGTGCCATTGGACTGGCCTGCTGAGCCCATCGTGGTCGAGTTTGATGGAAGCGGAGTAGCTGATAGATTGTGTGAGATATACTCCACGACCGTGAAGGTGCTCGTGATCCGCCTTCACTGACAAGCCTCCTCGCTACTCAGATACGTACTAATATATAGGAAGTTCAGTCTTAGGTGTCATACGACCATCTCATAGCTGAAGAGTGAGGTCTGGCCTTACAGAGGGGCTGCAAGCCGTGACCAATGGGAATAGACCAGCATCTGATAAGGGAACGGCGTCCTCCGTGTGCCTGGCCGCTCAATGCCAAAGAGTAAATATTGACTGTCCATCTCTTGTCGAAACTTCGCTACCTAGCGCTCGGGACGCTTTCATATATCGAGTAGTCTCAGCCGAACACGACTGTGTTAACCTTCCTTTTCACGATCTGGCACGACAAAACATCACTCTCTTGCCCTCGTCCACCTCGTCTTCGAACCCCTCCCCCCGCCCAGCTCAGCCTCGCCTTCCTTGCACCCCTCCTCTCACCATGGCGGGCACACATCCAATAGTAGATGTGCACACGCATATGTACCCTCCATCCTACATCTCTCTGCTCTCCTCTCGCAAAGAAGTCCCCTATATTCATACGCCCTCTTCAGGAGATCCCCGCCTCATCATCCTACCATCCGATGACGATGCCTCGAAACCACCCGAACAGCGCGGTCGCCCTGTCGACACCAGCTACTCCTCCTTTTCCGAGAAGCTCAAGTTCATGTCTACCCACGGCATAACCTGCAGCGTCATCTCCCTAGCAAACCCCTGGCTCGACTTCCTCGACCCCTCCACAGCCGCCAAAACCGCCCACCAGATCAACTCCGACCTCGACGCTGCCTGCCAACAACAAAACGCCACGTCCTCGGCACTCAAGCTCTACGCCTTTGCCTCTCTTCCGCTTTCCGCCCCGGTGCCAGAAATCGTCTCCAGCATCCACTCCCTCGCCACACTGTCCCACACCAAAGGTGTCATCATCGGCACCTCCGGTCTAGGACTTGGCCTCGACGACCCAGCCCTGGAACCAATCTACGCCGCCCTGGCCTCAACACGCACCATGGTCTTCCTCCACCCGCACTACGGTCTCCCCGCCTCCAGCTTCGGCCCCACCGCCGCCAACTACGGGCACGTCCTCCCACTAGCGCTCGGCTTCCCACTCGAGACCACCATCGCCATCACGCGCGTCTACCTCTCCGGTGTCTTCGACCGCCACCCGGACCTGAGCTTCCTCCTCGCACACTCCGGCGGCACGCTGCCCTTCCTCGCCGGCCGCATCGAGAGCTGCGTCGCCCACGAGCGCGAATTCACCGTCAACGGCGGCGACAAACCGGGCCCGCGCCGCAGTATCTGGGACGTACTGAAGACGAACGTCTACCTAGATGCCGTGAATTACGGGGAACCTGGAATGAAGGCGGCGCTGGCGGCTGCCGGGGGCGAGGACGGCCAAGGATGGGACCGCTTGATGTTTGGCACCGATCACCCGTTCTTCCCGCCGCTGGCAGGCGAGGAGAAGTGGCTGAGTGTGGAGAGCAATCTGAGGGCGATCGAGGGCGTCTGTGCCGGAGACGAGGCGAGGAAAGCAAAGATATTGGGTGGCAATGCCATTCGCGTGCTGGGCTTGGATGCATAGATGCCGAGTGTGTTGACTGCGAAGCCATAGAGGGGGGAGATGGATAAAAAGAACTCTAGACATCCAAAATTCTTAGTAGGCAGTCAGAGCCTGTATAGATTAGCCACAGAGGATCTATCCTCGGATGTAACGCCATCAGAACGCCTCTCGCTCGTCTCCCAAAAGCAGCAGCAGCAGGCATAGTCTTCCCGCGTTTTATTTCCAAACAAGCCATGATCCCTCACGCCTCGCCTCTAAAATCGCCATCGCCCGCCACTCTCGAATACCCTCCTCTCGAGAAGTTGAATCCCGCACCCGCACCAGCACCTCCTCCATCTCCATCTCCTCCTCCGTGGCGACCCCTCTCATCACCCTCCCCAACATCCACACTCCCCTCTCGACTCCCCGCCTCACTCGCCGCAGCAGAGATGCCCATGCCCCGACCACGCTCCATACTCGTATCCTCGCCACGGAGGCCTCCCTCGCCATAGCCAGATCCACCGTAGCCGTAGCCATAACCATACGCGCCCTCCCTCGCCGGCACCTCCAAACTCCTCCCTCTCAAGCCACCAATTCCACTTCCCCCTTCCCCACCCCCATCCCTGGGCCCACCGGCCCCCCTCCCCACCATAAAATCCCTCATCTCAAACCTCATACCGGGCCCGACATCACTCCCGGCCTTCAGCCTCCGCGGCCCCAACTCCCAGTCCTCGTCGGCGGCACTCCCGTCCGCGCGGTCCCCGACATCGACGCCCCAGCGCCTTCGCCGTCCCCGATCCCGCCTCTCGGCCCACCACCCGGAACTAAAGCGCTTGCCTGAGAACACCGTGTTCCATCGCCCGCCCCCACCGCGGCGGCGGCCGCGGCCGTGGCCTTGATACCACTCGGCACCCACGGGTATGACGCCCTCGCGCTCCGCCCCTATCCCCCCTGCTGCAGTCACGAAACTCGGCGCATGCACGCTCACCCTCCCGCCACGCCCCGCGCCCAGCGGCCCACCTTCCTCCTCAGCCTCTGCTGCCTCTGCCTCCGCATCAGCCTCCGCGACGGTCCCAAAACTATTCCGTCTCGGCTTTCCGCAGCACTCGCACAGACCGTCGTCGACGCAGTGCGCGAGATCCGAGCCCGCGAGCAGACTCATCGTGCCCGCGACGCTGTTGGGGTCGAGCGGCAGGACGCGGCGGAAGCGCGTGAGGAGCCAGGCCGTGCCGCTCAGCAGCGTGGTGAGGGCGAGGAGGACTTGGAGGAGGAGCTTGCTGGTGCGGCTTTGGATGAGGCGCGGGGTGGAGATGGTCGTGTCGATGGTCGCGAGGGGTGCGGGTGCTTGGCGACGGGAGAGGGGTGGAGATGGAGAGGAGGAGGAGGAGGAGGAGGAGGAGGAGGACTGCGTGCCGTTGTTGGAGTTGGTGTTGTCGTCGTCGTCGCGCATGTTCATGCTGATAGCCTGTGCCATGTATAGGCGATAAAAGTCGAGCACCGCGCCGAGCAGCTCGCTGTCATTGTCTTCGCCCGCCAGGCTCTCTGGATCCAGGGGCCGCGTTGGCGCGTCATCCGGGTTCAGCACACCCTGGAAGAAAGCGTCGAGATCGAAAGCCGCGGGGTCCGCGGTGGCGGCAAAAGGCCGCATCTGCCACGCCAGATTACGCTGGATGTGCATGTTGAAGACTTTGTCGTCGCCGTCCGTGCTGAGCGGGTTGGCCAGCAGCTGCGCGTCCGTGGCGTCGATGCTGACGCCGCGTGCCACGTCGATGGCCGTCGTGTTGCCGATGAGGGCGAAGGAAGCGCGCACCGTCTGGATCTGCTGGTAGCAGAGCATGCTGCTGACGTCCGCGGAGGTGGTGTTAGCCGAGAAGCGGCCGTACGTGAAGGCGAGCGAGGGGCAGCCGACGGGCGGGTTGTCGGCGATGAGGGATGACAGATTCAGTGTCGTAGTGTTGAGGGTGTTGCCGATCAGCTCGGCGCCAGAGCCGAAGAGGAGGTCGTTCTGTCGACCACCGAAGACTGTGCTGCTATCGGAGGGAACATTGAAGGTGTTACTGAAGTCAATGAACGATCCTGCCCCGCTGGTCCCGGCGAGCTGGCAGGAGTCGGGCAGAGTGGCGAGGATGTCGACGGTTACCTGGCCGTTGTCGTCGTTGAAAATTGTCATAAAATTGCGGTCGACACGGTAGCATTGCAGGTCCGGCATAAGCGCATCCAGAGTGATTTTCGTGCTGTTGGTGGCCGTGGTACGTGTGGAGCCATTGCCGGTCTCGAGGTCCCCATTGTCTAGACTGAAAGTTGGGAAGACCAAGCTGCGATACGTGAAGGCAGGGTAGCTGAGATTGTCGTGCAGCACGGCGTTGATGATGCCGGCGGCGCCATTATCGGTGTTCGCACTGTTGGGCCATTCAAGCGTGAAGCGCGAGGACGAGCTAAGAGCGATGGCGCTACCAACAGTATCAAAGCTATCAACGTTGTAGAGGCCGGCGGCCACAATGGCGAGAATGCTGGCGATAAGCGTGGCAATGGTCGAGAGAACTACGTTGATGTGGCGCACTTTGATGGCTTCGAACAGCGCCCAGGGTGAGGTGATGCCGAGGTAGTGCGCCAGGATGGACTTCTGGGCCGTGGCACCGCCAGCGGCGAGAGCGGAGCAAGGTGTGAATACGAGGATGTTGAAGTCGAGGAGGTTCAGGAGGGACGCCACGATGATCATGACCAAGGAGGGGATGTAGTGAGTGAAGATATCTGTGGCCTGATTGTCCGGGACATTCAGAATACCGCCATCTTCGCTTCGCTTCTGAGTAAGTTCGAGCATGCCAATGAGGACTATTGGTATCGCAAGGACGAATAGAGCGAAAGGAATACTTGCTGTGATGGGATGCCACCATTTCAGCGTGTTCTCTGGCTTAGGCGCATTGTGGTCCTTGATACCCTCTGAGGCCACGACTTTAAAGGACGCCTGTCCGTGCTCGGTTGTGGCAATCGCGGTGCCGAACTCGTAGCCATCAAGCGCTGCCTCCTGGTTGTTCTCGCTGGGCACGCCTCCGCGACGAAGCAGTCGGTTCAGCTCGATTGAGTTTGTCAATGTCGCAGCGACTGCTGCGATTGAACCTGGGTCCCGGGGGACAACTGCTCGCGGCGCAGAGAAAAGGAGAATGAATGCTGCTACGATCGAGACAACAAGCGCTCCGATCATGAGAGCCGCTGAAGGATCGTTGACCACATATCTCGTTTGCATGCGTTGTGCGCTTCCCCGTATCTCCTCACCAGTAGGTTGTGAGAGGCTGAGGTGGGCGTATTGAGCCATGACGCCCTTGAAGGTCACTTCCGCAGCACGGCTGAGGTCATCCGTATTCAGCAACCGGCTGACATCCCTGGTTCCATGATGCAGAGCCATCAGAGTGAAGAAGCCGCTGGTATTGTCTGCTCCTTGCACTTCGCCAAACTGGCTACCACCCGCAGACACTGTCGCTGCGAAAGTTGCCATAACATCTCCATCCGAAAGATTATCCAGCGTCCGGTTCCGGACGTTGTCGGCAGGCTCCAAGGTAACACCCTGAGAAGGCGTATTCATCTCGAGCGTATTGTTGGAGACCTTGATGGTCGTGAGGGTGTGGCCTGCCTCGCAGATGACATTCGTCATGTTGGTTACAGTCCGTGACGAGCTAGTCGCCACGTCCTCTCCAGCAAGAGCCAACTGAACCGAGCCATCCCGCAGATCCTGCTCGAAGCCGAGATTGAGCACCGTGAAGAGGAGAGCTCCTGGTGGTTCGCCTGTGCCACAGGAGAGCGCTTGTAGCGAACCATATACCTGATTGCTCGGTGCCACTTGTAGCTGAGGATTCAAGGCTGAAATGACCATGGCAGCCCAATTATCACAGGTGCTGTCAGATGGTATCCTTATCCGTATACCGTCTCCAAATACGTCCCCGGTGCTCGATTGCTGTCTGGTCGAGTCGCCATCCAGAGTCACATCAACAGCTCTGCAGCTGATTGTCGGCACAAATGCATCCACATCCGCCGAAAAAGTCGCGTTCTCCGCGATTTCCTCATCTCTGCTCTCATCGTACTGGAATGGTGCGTAAGCCAGATCTATCGCCACACCCGGCTGAAATGGTATGCCTTGGTATACACTGCCGTAGTAAGCGCTTACCGGCGCAGAAGTGGCGTCATTTGTAATCGCCGCATCGAATCGTGATAGTGATAAAAGAGGAAAGTTGCCCTGAGAGACATTTTTCGGCAAAAGGATGAATAGGCCGGTGGAAAATACAGTAATGATCTTGAGAAACATAAAGCTTGAGACTGTCGCAACAATGGGTATATGGTTATGCACGAACGCTTGAAATAATGCTACAATCTGCAATGGTGAAACATAGTTGAGCAGAAGACTTTTGGAGGCTGTGACGGGTCCTCTTTGGAGTTCGTCCCAGGGCATGAGGGTCTTGGTGTGATAGTCGACCTGTCGCCACAAGCCCACGAGGAGGACGACGGCGATGGTTGGGACATATACCCACCAAGCATGATGAGGGCCGTCGAAGTGGACATCGAAGCCGGTTCGCGTGGCGGAGAGAACCCATAGGATTATCAGCGCAACGATAGACACCACGAAGAAGGCGATGAAGACGGCGAGGGTCGACCGTCTTAACCAGATGGGTGTCCACAGATCTGGCAACGGCACTAAGGGCTCGAATGATTTCTCGGATTGGGGGATGGTCCGGGGTCGTGAGGGCACGTCGCTGGCGGCATCGGCGATGTCTTCCTCGTCAATGGGTGAAATTGGAGCATATTGATTGCCTTGATATGAATGAAACCTTCGTGGCTGGCTCGATTCACCCCGCACCGATGCAAATCTGCTAGGTACCGGAGAAACGAGATCCTGACGGTCATCTTCGAAAGGCTGAGAATATACCGATTCGGCGTCCGGGAGCAATCGTTCAATGGACGTACTCCGCCGGCGCGCTTCTACGCGTTCGCGCTCGGTGATAGGGACCTGCAGGAAGTCTGCGGGTTCATTTTCCATTGAGATAAGTGACGCAGGTGGTTGTTCATCGAGAACGCGTCTCTCGAAGGGACTTGTTGAAGAAGAAGACGGTAGTACACTCAACTCGAAACGAGCTGATTCTAGGCGTGGCGGCGCTCCAAGCCCTACAGCCCGGGGCTGATGCTAGTTTTAAGGCGGCCCGTATGGACGATTGACACCACTGGGGGCCAGTCGTTGGAACTGGGTGGCTCAGCGTGCTATTTCCAGCAGATTGACAGCTCTGCCGCTCAACCAGGTATAGCGTCAGCTTCGCAAACGACAAGTGTGATTCGTGTTCCGAGCAGGGCCGTGGAGCTGAGGCTCTCTCGCACTAGTTGAAAGTTGAAACGAGGGCTGTGAAGTCATTGCTTGTTGAACAGAATTCTACCACTTTCGGCAGATAACGAGTTGCCGTCAAGCAGGTAGGCCAGTACACCACAGGGAATGGTATATCCTCTAGGGTGTCTGACCCAAGGTAATCCCTTAGCATTTCGTTATTCACGTGCTTCTAATACATGTTGGCAATATCATAGACTACTCCACGCTGTCAACGTGTCCAACTGGTAATCGATAATGGAGTTCAGTCCAGTTCGCTCGTAAACGACATGCGCTGTGAGCGATGAGATCCGTCGCGCTTTCTCAGTGTGCCCGGCTGCATTCCATTCCTCATATCGACGCTTTCTCCAGTTCAACGCCTCTGCTATTTCGTACAGCTGTGGTTAGGTTGATCGTGTCGCTCGTAATACTGCAATGTAGCACCACGAGAAACACCCACAACGGCCACAGAATGTGCTCAGTACTTCAAACAATCATCTGTGCGACACCTTGGCCTCCAAGGGTCTTGCTTCCCACGAAATCCTGGTGTTTGAGGCCGGCAAGGGCGTAGCATGCGCCAGCCAGGAGAAGCACGACAGCGGCAGCGATCAAGCTGCTGCCCGCCACTATTAAGCTCAGCCATTGTGCCAAGCTCATTAAACCGTACATTGCGGCTCCTGTTATTGATTGTTATTATCGCATGCAGCAGCGGCACGATCTTAGACACGTACTCATGTAGTTGGTCGTGAACCGACGCACGAAGGCGTCGAACTTGGCCGACGTCGGGCAGATACGTAATAGCAGTGGCACCTCAACGAATATGAGGATAAATGAGCTGACCCTACGGAAAGTTAGGTCGCCGTTTGGGTGCCGGAACATGATACATACAGCAAAATGATGCTAAAGAGAATGAGGAGATTGAAGTGGAAGATGTTGGCGATACCTAGGGCAAAGCCTAGGATGATGCACAGGACGCCGAGCCTGGGTAGCTGTTAGCAGGCATTGCGCTCGAGATGCGCTGCGAGGGTGAGGCCGTCGTCGCAGGTTCGCTCCGGGACCCTCCCTTGATCGCACACCAAGGCGAGATACGTACCATTGGCCATAGATGGAGAAATTCCTGGACCTGAACTCTTCGGCGAGCGTCATTCTGGTGGTACAGCGGGGGTGTTTGTTGCGCAGTCAACGCGAGCTGCGAAGGAAATGGTGTTCAGAAACAGGCCAATGCTGCTAGGATATCGCTGCGAGGTGAAACGGCGCGACGCAGATTGTGAATGTGTATTGTTGTGTCGAATACTCGATGGCTTTCAACACTCGTTCCGGATGCGTTGGAGGCTCCAATTGTGCTGTGGTGGAATGTATGTAAAGTGAATCGTGGTCAATGTTTGCTGACGGGTGCCGGAGACCTGTAGGGCGACTGCGCCTAGGGTTAACAGGGTCCTGCTACACTAGTGCCAATTGGGAAGCGACGAGTGCAGAGGTGGAACGACAAGGGTGCACTGTTTCTGCTGCAATGATGAAACGTGCTTCTTGTAAAACAACGAGAATTTCTATCGACTTGAAAACGTACGTAGACACGGGAACGTTTTTATGTTTACGAGTCACACTTTGCGGGTGTAGAAACATCGCAGCCTGGCATCACCGGAGCCACAGCCACGCGTCATATTGTAAGACCACTCGGGAATCCAATGCCAGCTGTTATACCGGGGGGGGCACTTGGCTCTGTCGCCTGCCGCCTTTGAGGCTGTGAAGATGCAGTCTTGTTATGGATGCTTGCCTGTTGTCTAGCGAGATAATTGCTTCATGCTGCGTGCATGGGAATCTGTCTGCCTGCTTCTCCAGTTTCTGTTCATCGCTTTCTCCTGTGTCCCTTTTGCTTTCGCAACTGTCTACTTGTTCTTTTTATGCTCGCAACCCCGAAACCCGAAATTAAGGCCGCAGCTTTGAAGTGCGCCTCGTTCGCTGCAACGCTACTAATCAAGACGCAGGGTAGATCAGCTTGAAAATATCGTTCTGGACAAACCAGTTGCCGCCCTCTGTTGCATATTAGAGTCCTGTCCTGTTTGAGTGTGGGAGCATCTTCACGAACCTGGCAAGAGCTGGAAGGTCTGAGCGAAGCTCATGGGCTGTGGGCTGTCGTCAAACTGCAGAGCACCGGTGACCAGGACAATGATGCCACCTTGCTGGCTTGAGGGCTGCACATCCTTCGTATCGACCTTGTGCACGACCCGCTGAAACGGAAGGCTCTGTCGCAAGATCAGTTGCCAATGCTTCATAGTATTTCCCTGTCGCCTACCTGTAGCTTCTCGGAGATATTCTGAGCTCCTTGGAATTGGGAACTCTCGAAGGAAAGCATAGACGAGTCGCGCTTCATTCTTTTCAGCCTCAATTCATAATGTTTGCACGTTCAATCTTACGTAAAGAGCAGCCAGGCCGGCGCGGTTGTTGTCGAAGGTGTTGTAGTAGAAATCAACGAATTGGTCTGGTCTTCGTTAGACAACTGAGTCGGTTGGTGGTTAGGGACCGACATACTCGCGATATCCTGGGGGTCTGTATCGAGCGTAGTTAGTACTGCAACTGTTCCTGACTTGTGGGGTATTGATTCTAGGACGCACTGGGAGCAGCCATGGTGGGCAAGGTGTTGATACCTGATTAGGAAGAGAGTCTCTGAAAGGGATGATGAGAACAAGCAGGTGAATTTGTATTGTGAGCTGGCGCCCTATGCAAGATTGGGTAGCAAGCAACAGTCAACGGGTCAATTGTTCGTAGGCTCCGAGCCGCGGGGCTCAAACCAGCGCAGTCACCAACCAGGCTTGGCAACATCTGCAGCCTTGCACGCCAAGCTCAACGCCATCAGGCACAGAAGATGTCGGTGGTCTTTCACTTTCCACCAACCCCAGCACAAGCTGTAAACTTGATACCCTAGAGTGTGCAAATCGCCTTAGGTATCTCTGAATTGTACATGGCACAAAGTTGGCTATAACGGTCTGCGCGATCTACACGTAAGTTTCGCCATTACGATCCTTTTCCTCTCCAAGATGATATCCTTTTCGATCCTCAACTTGAAGCTCCTCGAGCCTGAAAGCGATCAAAAGTTCAAGCTCAACAGTCTGAACGAGACGTCTACAGCAACCTGATACCTCGCGACACATCTTGTTCCTGTGCTGACCCGCTCCACAGTCCCAGGAAGAATTCAGCGGGTATTTGAGGTTCAGCTCGGCGGCACATTCTGTCCCCTGCATCAGACTCGGCCAGGCTGGAGTCGATCCAGGTCATGTCTACGGCAGACCCTGATTCATGGTGATGCCACGACTTCCTACTAGGCTGGATTATCCCGGCGTAGTCTTGAAGTGTCTGTCTGGTATCTAGGTAAGTCAAATCAAAGCGAACACTCCCAGCCGAAGCTTTTGCTGTTGTGTCGGCGACATGGCTGCTGCAACTCGTGGGTGTCACTTTGTATAGCTTGACAGAAGACGTGCTAAAGCCATTGCCTATACTTGATCCGCATCAGCAGAACCATACAATGATATATACAAGCCAAACATCACCCAATTTGCTGTCCCCTTCTTACCAGAAACCGTTCGAGTTAGGCACTGACGCAGGACGTTGTGCGTCGTGCGTCGTGCGTGGCATAGGTATCTAAGCCTCATAGCCAGCGTCCAATACTTCAGTTGCTTCATGCTGGCTCCGACTTACCTCCGCGCAGGCAGTCTACCTTTATTGGGCACGCTTAAGAATGCTGGCTGGGTGATGCCATTCGGAAGAAGCACCGCAAGGCGATCCTTGGACGCACGCTGCAGGAACGGAAGGCGATTTTGCGGGTGGCACGACCTGCATGGTGGAGTTGTCTGCCAGGGCCAGAAGCCTATCGATTGGTGGGACACGCCCGCTACTCGAGATTAAGATTGGACCCCAGCTTCAACAAAATATATTTTTCCAAGGCAGTGACGAGCATGGCGACGGAGAAGGGAGGCAGCCGCAATAAGTAGATCAGCAGCGATCACCCGCTTCCCTTTTCACCTTTGTATGAAACTCATCGCAACCAACACACTCTTGACCTTCCTACTTCACCGTGCTGCTGAAATTTCGCTTGCCCTCGCCTGATAGACCTGTCGATCGCCCCCGCGACCCCTCCACGACTACCTCACCGCCTCCGCTTTGCTGGCACTGGCTGTTTGGAGTGATAAAGCACGGAACTCCCAAGACTCGCACTTGCATCTACCATCTTGTTTACCTACACATCCAACATGGCCGCCCGACCGCAGAACATTGGCATTAAAGCCATCGAAATCTATTTCCCGACCCAAGTAAGTCTCGCCGTCAATTGCTCACGTGCCACCTGACCTTCCTCCAGTGTGTCGATCAAACCGAACTCGAGAAGTTCGATGCTGTCAGCGCCGGCAAGTACACCATTGGTCTTGGTCAGACCAAGATGTCCTTCTGCGATGACCGGGAAGACATCTACTCGATTGCGCTCACCACGCTCTCCTCCCTGATCAAGAAGTACAACATCGACCTCAAGAACATTGGCCGTCTAGAAGTTGGCACAGAGACCATGTTGGACAAGAGCAAGTCTGTCAAATCGGTTCTGATGCAGCTGTTTGAAGAGAGTGGCAACCACAATGTCGAGGGCATCGATACGGTCAATGCCTGCTTTGGTGGCACCAATGCTGTTTTCAATGCAGTCAACTGGGTAGAATCCTCTGCTTGGGATGGGCGTGAAGCCATCGTCGTGGCTGGCGATATCGCTCTCTACAAGAAGGGCAACGCCCGCCCGACAGGTGGTGCCGGTTGCGTCGCCATGTTGATCGGACCTGATGCTCCCATTGCCTTCGAACCTGGTCTACGTGGCACCCACATCGAGCATGCTTACGATTTCTACAAGCCCGACCTGACCAGCGAGTACCCATACGTTGACGGCCAATTCTCTCTGCAGTGCTACACCAAGGCTGTGGACAAGTGCTACAGTGCCTACAACGCTCGTGAACAGACTCTCAAATCTCTGCAGAACGGCCATGCGAATGGTAATGGCGCGCACACGGAAGAGAGCACCCCTCTGGACCGTTTCGATTATATGGCTTTCCATGCCCCTACCTGCAAGCTTGTATCCAAGTCATACGCTCGCATGCTCTATAACGATTTTCTCAACAACCCTTCCGACCCTGCCTTCGCCGAGGTTGCTCCCGAGCTGCGGGACCTCGAGTATCAGGCCTCTCTCACCGACAAAAATATTGAAAAGACATTTATGGCTTTGACCAAGAAACGCTTCCAGGCGCGCGTACAGCCTTCGATTCAGGTTGCCACCATGTGTGGTAACATGTATTGCGGCAGCGTGTATGGTGGTCTGGTCAGTTTGATCAGCAACATTTCGCCCCAGCAGATCCAAGGCAAGCGTGTGGGTGTGTTCAGCTACGGTTCTGGTCTGGCCAGCGCTCTCTTCAGCTTGAAGGTAGTTGGCGATACCACCGAGTTGGCAGAGAAACTGGATCTCCAGAAGCGGTTGGATGAACGCATGGTTGTCCCTCCCGAGACATACGATGAGGTAAGCAGAGTTCCACTTGTATTGAACGTATGCTAACGGTCGACCAGATGTGCCTGTCTCGTGAGAAGGCCCACCTTCAGAAAGACTTTAAGCCTACGGGAAGCACCGAAAACCTCAAGCCTGGTACTTACTATCTCACCGAGGTTGATGGCATGTTCCGTCGTAAGTACGACATCAAAGCTTGATTTGGGACATATTTCATGCACTGGCGTTGGGGTGGAAATGATCAGTTGACAGCAGATCTCACTATAGATGGAGCTTTGATGGCCTCGTAGAGAGCAGTCAGCGAATGCTGCTCGGAGGCACCAAGACTGACGGATCGATGGGCTTGAGTTGGTGGCAAGGCTGTACATATGACATAGTCGAGCTTCGTGATCATAGAAAAAAACATTTGACACGAGACATAATCGCAGTTATAGACGGCCACTTTTGCTAAGACTATGGGTAGTATAGATCGGATGAGTCAATGCCCCAGCGAAATGTCTCGATCATATCACCGCTCGACCCCACCATCGTGCATATATACCTACGTCAAGGTATCACCCTCTGCCTGCGACAATGAACTCATCCTGGCTTAGTGCCCTTGTGATTAATAAGACGGTCCATGACATCGAGTATAGATTTGTCGTTATCTAGCTGCTACATGAGTATAAGCTCTCGATCTATTGCAAACAACGCGTCGAATTCATAGACGATCACAGCCGAATCTCCACCCCCCACCAAACGCCAACAGCACACTGCGAGCATCATAGCATCGCGACGATGACCTCCGACGCTAACGCAGCACTCAAACTCGAGAACCTCTTCGCCGTCAATGGACTCATCGCTGTCATCACCGGTGGAGGTAGCGGTAAGCCTTCACTCCCCTTCGCAACCCCTTCTCAACCACAGTACTCTGCCCATATTCGCCACTTCCGATACTGAACATCTCCTCAGGTCTCGGCTCTTATATGGCGCGCGCCCTAGCCCTCAATGGTGCGGCGCATGTGTTCATCCTCGGCCGCCGCCAGGCTTCTCTGGACTCCGTCGCTTCCACGGTCCCCGGCAAGAACATCCACCCGGTCGTGGCAGACGTGACGTCCAAGGACAGCCTGGCTGCAGCGGTGAAGACCATCACCGATCAGCATGGCGTCAGTGCTATCGACGTGCTGGTCGCCAATTCGGGCATCTCCGGCCCTTCGGTGCCGCTTTACGACGAGAAGCAGCAGCCGCTGCCCGTGGAGAAGGTGATAGAGAACATGTGGAAGCCTGAGACGGACGAGGTGACGGGAACGTTTGGCGTCAACGTCACGGGAATTCATTTTACTGTCGCTGTAAGTTGCAAGTGAGCCAGAGACAAGAACGTGCCTCCTTGGGTGCCCCCATGGCTCTCCACCATACAGGGCCAGTTGTGGAAGGTTGCTCAACTTCTCGAACGGTCAACCCCAATCGGGTCAGAGAAACCATGGCTGATACTCCCATCTCTTTCCTTTCCCAAACAGGCCTTCCTCCCCCTCCTCGTCGCCGCCAACAAAGCGCGTCCCGAACCCACGTTAGACAACTTCCGGCCCCGACCTCAAATAATCACAACCTCGTCCATCGGCGGCTACAACCGCCGCCCCCTCGCCAACCTGTCCTACGGCCCCTCCAAAGCGGCCGTCCTGCACCTCAGCAAACAGCTCTCCACGGCGCTCGTGCCCTACGACATCCGCGTCAACTCCATCGCCCCGGGCCTCTACCTCAGCGAGATGACGGGCGGCATGTACGCGCGCCAGGGCAAGACCGAGGGCCACAATGTCGAGGGCACGTGGGACAAGACGATGATTCCCGCGACGAGGGGGGGCGATGAGGCGGATATGGGGGGGTTGGTGCTGTGGCTGGTCGGGCGCGCGGGCGCGTATGTCAATGGGGCGGTGCTGGTTACGGATGGGGGGAGGTTGGCGGTCGTGCCGAATAGCTATTAGTGAGGAAGGGTCTGTGGCGACGGTTGCGTGGTCGGCGTGTCGGCGGTTCTAGGTAGAGTTAGAGATGGCTGCATAACCTACCATAGCCAAGGGGAGAGAGAAGGTGGTTGCTTGGGGGTGGCTTTGGCGCAGGTGGTCGTTCGTTGTCGTGGGGGTCTCTAGACATGATATAGAGTAATAGACTCCAAGAACGAAGACAGACAAGAGGCGTCCGATACGGGGTGGTTGAATTTTTACCATCCTCAAATCAAGCTGCGAGCGGAAACCACTGACTAGAATAGAACAGAGAACACACATGACCCCGAAGTGGTGCTCATCGCGCGCGTCGCTCACAGTCAGTGTGTATGCACCATTTCCCAACCTCAGTCCGCAAGCTCGATGGAAAAGGTTTTTGACCAAGTTGCTTAAGAGTAAGTTGGCCCAATAGGATGAAATCTCTTGTGTGTTTATATAGATGAAACAATTCTCGGAAGAACACTCCGGCTGCACAGATTCTGTCCATCTAGAGATTGCCTGTGGCCCGTGGCCCGTGGCCCGTAGGATAGTATATAGCATGCCAAGAAACTTCTTTTGCCCTTCGCCGCCCTCGGGCGTCGGAGACACAGGTAAGGCAATACGAGGCAAAACGTGGAAAAGTGAGAAACAGAGAGTCTGTCTGGCCCTTTCAGGGCCTTTCAGGTGTTTTTTTGAGACACGGTACGAAGAAATTCTTTAAAGCTAAGGAGTTTTCGAATCATGCAATTGATTAAGCATGTTCTCGGCTTGGGTATTGGGTTCGTGTATGTATATACATATATAGCGCCGCCCGTGGGCTGCAGTTACAGCAAGTTCGCAGCAAAGGTCCGTGTAGGTCGTAAGAATTGATGGATGAATGGATGAGAGTAAAGGACTTGCAGCAGCGCTCCAGTGACTCCCTGGGAACCCACGAAGTGTAGCGTATGCTTCAGAACATGATAGTGCAGAAGGAACAAACAGGGTTACTTTCTAACGATAGGCGCACGTCCGTTGTCTCTCTCCGTTTCCTCTTCTTCCGTGTAGAAAATCCAAAACCGACTTCGCCGCTCATCTTGCGCGACAGCGATGCTCAGTGCTCAGTGCTCAGTGGCTCACAGATCACCATCACAATTGAGACCCCTCTGGTCTGTACCAAGAGAAAGCCCGCAGCACACTAGGCTCAGAATCACACCACAGCATATCAACGCACAACCCCAACCACTCATGCCTCTCCTTAATGCAGCATCCTCTTTCCGGCCTCCCCTTGCGCGGCACCTCAAAGCTCAGGTCTTCGATTTGAACTGATTCCCCAACTTGTTCGCCAGCCTCCCCAGACCACGGGAGGGCTCGTAGTTCTCGCCCTTCTCGCCGCCACAGAGCTCGTGCGTGCCGTCGTCCAGCGTGCCGGGCGAGACGCTGCGTTCTTGTCGCTGCGTGTTGGAGGGTGGGGCTAGGGTTCGGCCGCGGGTGCTGTCGCCGCCCGCGGCAGCGGCGGCGGCGGCGGGCTGTGATGATGATGAGGAAGTTGGGGCTGGCTGGGACTGGCTGGTGGTGGTGCCGTTTGTCTGCGCGGTGGTGGTCGTTGCGGTTTCGGTGTTTGTTGTTGGTGGGGGAGATTGGATTGTGGTGTTGACGGGTTGGTCGCCGGCGGTGGTTTCTACGTGGCGCGTTGCGTGTTAGCTTTCCAGTAGCGACAGTCAGAATAATCTGAAAGAGGGAAAGAGCGTGGAAGTTCGGCGCAAGAAGGAGATACACTTACCATCCTTATTCCCCTGGTCGTACGGCTCGTCCACAGTGCCTTTACCCTGTGCGCCGCTTATCGGCTCTTCTGTCGACTGGGCGGGTGTATTGCCGGCGAGATTCTCAGGCGCGTTGCCCTGGTCAAAGGGCTCGTTGACGGTGCCCTTGCCTTGGATGCCCGAGGGTGGCTCTGCGCCAGACTGCTGGGGTTTCGTTGGCTCCTCTTTATTGTATCTGTGGCCCGGGCCGAAGATGGCAGCCATGGCAGATTTGCTGGCCGAGTATTGTTGGGTGAGGGGTGCGCCGTTGGCGGAGGCGCTGCCGTTGCTTGTGGACATGGCTGCGGGTGACAGAGTGCTGCGCGGGCTAGGTGAGGGTCGCGGTCAGCGTGCGAGTGAGATGAAGATCGAGGTGGATGTTATGGAGGTCAGTGGTAAGCTCCGCGATGATTGCGCGGGCAACTCGGACGCCGGGCGATGCGAATCGTGCTTTGCAGGCCTGTAGTGTAGCGTCTGTCGATGCGAGCTGAGCGCAATGTGAAGCAGTAGATTGGGACGCGTGCGAAGAAAGAGTGAAGTCGAATCGCGCGCTCAATTTGTCAACCGAATGATAGCTGTAGTCTTCGAGGATAAGCAGGTGCACCGGAGGCGAGGAGGGTCATCAAGATGTATATACTTTCCCGCCAGCGGATGCAGTGCCCGTAGCTGGTCTGGCGGCGCGATACGACGTCAAATCCAGTTCCAATTCAACCTGTCAACCTCGCGGGGCGTGGGGCGTGGTTGGAGGGACAAGGGGGTACGTCATCGGAAGGGGGCTAGATCATACACTGTTCGGGGCGCAGGAAATACCTATGAGCCCACAGACTCAGCTGACATGCTGCTCGGCATCGGCTGTCTGTGGTGGAAAGATGTTGGTCGGCCGATGATAGGTTCCTGGGAGCGATTAGCGAGCGTGTCTAGCACGAGTATTCTGTACGCGCCAAGAGGCAGTGAAATGCGCCTTGTTCTTTACGAGGTGGATGAGTGGTCGCAGCAGTGAATGAATCTGAGCAGTTGTATTACTTTTTCTGATTATCGTGCCTCATTGTCCAGGAGGTTCTTGTCGATTCGTCACCAGGACGCCAGTCGTCCTGTTCGGCACTTGAGCATTACAATCCAACAATCATCAATACAAAACATGCTATGCATCAAGCATCATGGTCAACCCCGTCTCTTGCCGCCACCGCCCTCCCTCTTGTGCCATGGGTCGCTGGGCATGACCCAGCCGCGCACCGTTTTGGCCTCTCGCTTCTCGCCCATCTGTGGTTCAGGCATCCATTTGTCACGGCCTTCCTTGCCTCGCTCCTCTTCGTCAACATCACTACCATCCCAGATCCGCTGGCGGCTCAACGCTCCGGATGCACCGGCGTCCATGAAGCTCCCCGGCTGACCAGGCAGCGGGTGCTGCTTCGCGAGCATGAGCAGGAAGTAAAGCGCAAGCGTGGCCGTCATTGGCATGTCCTCACCTTCCATCATGTCTTCAGGTTCGATATTGAAGGACGTTTTGGTAGGTATGGCCTCGGCGAGCTCCAAGTAGCCAAAGAAGGGCGCCCCTCTCTCGTCGCAACCGGCCCGTACGCACAGAAGCTCGATCTCGGTAATGATGAAGCCGTATCTGCAGCTGTGATCGCGCATGCATTTCTGCAGCTGTGCGAGACCCTTCAGATATTCGACCTTACGAGCCGGGCCCTCACGCCGCATTCCCGTGTTCCATTTGTCAAAAGTCTTGCAGATACCAACGACGCGGCCACGCGGAATCCCACTGAGAGTACGATCGCCGTCCGAGGGATAGTTGGCGAGGAAATGGGGCCCGGATGCCGCTGTCTGTGCGGTTTGCGGGGCCGCGTAGAGGGCGATGCTGTTGGGGCCACCAAGAGAATGAAGTGCGGCGGCATTGGCGCGGGGAAAGTAGACCTTGGTAATGAGAGACGTAAGATCAGTTTCACTGGCAGGGGTGGCGGTCTGGAGATTCGAGCCAAAAGGAGAGTAGCCAGGCAACGAGCTAGTCTCATGTTGAAAGTTGAGAAGTGTCATGAGATCAGGCAGCATCGAGAATGTAGGCAGTGAGAATGAGTGCCAGGTGCGGAGATTGCGAACGTCCCACCAGAAGTAGTTCACTGTACCGCGACCTGGGCCAGGATTCAGATGACGGACCAGATTGATGGGCTGGGTAGGCTGAGTGAGGTAGTCGAGAAGACTCGATGTCTCGAGCGGTGGCTGCGAGGCAAGCGTCGGAGGAGGCGGCGACAGGGACGATGGACGAGAGAATGATTCGAGGTCGATCGGACAGTCCAGAGTCCCTTCCAGGTTGATCATAGGAGGATCCATCAGAGCAGTCGCAGCACCATACGCGTTGTAGTCCTGTGCGAACAGAGCAGGTGACGGAGTCTGCTGCTGTTGTGGCGCGTAAATGGGTACATTGCGGTAGGTTGGGTAACCATAGCGAGATAGAACACTGCTGTCGATACTGGAGGCGGATCCGGAGCGAATGTGGCACTTCTTGGTCCGGTCCAGAGTGGCATTGGTGTAGCCTGGAGAAGGAGCCACTGAAGCAGCTCTTGATCGAGGCGCATTAGAGATGGGCGACATCAGCGTAGCGCACTCGACAGGCTCGGTGCTGCTCCGGTACATGTAAGGACGCTGAGCTCCAATACTTTGATGAGCGACATTGACCGAAGAGGCTCTCCGGTGGGCACCCTTAGTCTGACCAGCAGACGTAGCAGTAAGTCCTGAATCCTGCGTCCGGATCTTGGGGAGAAGAGTCGGGCCATTCTGTCGTAGTACTGGAGAGCGATTAGGCGTGGTGATGGTGGTTAGGACAGACTGTGGCGAGGTGTCGGTGGCGCTGTTGTAGTATGAAGATGCGTTGGAGAAATTGGAAACGTTGCGGTGATGACCGCGCTGACCAGCAGCAGCCTCTGGAGGCGTAATAGGTCTATAACAATAAGGCGCTAAGGACATGCTATTCTGGTGAGTCAAGGTCGGCAAAGTAGAATGGAGGGTGGCTCACATGATGAGTGCTTTCTGGGGAGAAGACCTGCTTCTCACGAGACAGACTGGCTGGGAGAGACAGAGAGACAGAGAGAGATAGGAAACAGAGCAAGGAAAGACCAATGAAATATAGAAAGTTGAGGGCCAAGGGTGAGTGGGTGAGAAAATGAAAGGCTATGCGAACCGGGAACAGAACCTGACCAAGAGCGACCTGCAGGAGAGGATCGGGCGCGGTGTATGCAAGTGATCGCGTTGTTGAGTAGACACGTCGAAGAACAAAGGAGAGTTGACGCGTTGAGCCGGACGAGGTGGCATCAGCGCGAGGATATAGGCGCACTGCAGCGACTATATCTCACGCCAGGACATTGTGTCTAGTGCAGTTACCCGTGTAGAATAGTGTCACAGACGGGAGAAGAGACATGGCAATCTCTCGCCTGGCGGCTATACGCGGTGCAGTCGATACAATCAAAGTGTAGGCGTGGCATGGCGTGGTGTTTTGCGCGCACGAGAATAGTACCAAATCTGGGACAAGCGCGGGGAGTGAGGCTCAAAATATGATCGGTGGGGGGGTCAGCCCGACGGCATCAAAAGCGTTGGCTCAGAAGGCACTGATTGGCGCCGAGCAGCGCCCGTGAGATGGCAGAAGCGCCGGCCAGGAAAAATCGACCGACAGCCTGTTTCAGAATATCGTCGCAGGCGGGTGTGCAGTGCTGATTGGCCCTGAAGCTGGGGGCTGTGTATTTTCCTTAGGCAATGTCTGCCTCGGTGCTAGAGCCCGACCATGACGCCTGAGCGACGCCTGAGCGACGCCTGGGAAACGCGTGGCAGTACACGCTAATGCCGGCTTCAACAGGAAAGCACCACGAAGTCACGGGATGCTGCTCCCAGCCTCACCGGGTTCGCGGGAGCTGCAGAGAGCTGCAGAGAGGTGCATTGGCTTGCAGCTAGGTCGACAGAAGATGGAGACTTACAACTGTCGAGTGGTCAGCGGCATGCAGCGACGTATGGTTCTCGTGAATACTCGCGATGATGGGTCACCACTTTGACTGCTGCAAGCTTCCCAAGTGTTTCAGGACCAGTAGTCAACCCATCAAGCGACCTGCATTGAAACAATGGCTGGATGATGGCCGTAGTAGATGATGGTGAAATGTGGTCCGACCTTGAATTGGGTTTGACGCGTACTGAGGCGCTCGCTTTCGGCCACGATGCATAACGCTGTGCTGGTGAGTAGACGGCTGGCCTTGATGAGGTCGTTTCGTCACTGTTTGGTGGACATACGTAGTTGCGTGGTTCCAGGAAGAAAGCGCGTACCGCAGTCACGACAGAGTGATCCAGTCTTGGCACATTCTGGTTGCTCCTGCGGAAGGCGCATTCGACTCACGGGGGCATGCCTTCGATTTCGAGTTCGAGCTCGATCTTGAGCCTGAATCAAGTCGACTCGATTCTTGACAGATTTCAAAGAATGGTACATTCAACAGCACAAAGCCTGCTGTGTCTTAGACACGACGTACCAACGTGCTGCACCCGCAGAATGGGACCCAGTATTTCACTTTCGGTTCCCGGCGAGATCGCATCGATCTGCCAGTGATGGCTCCAAACTTTTCCTCCCACGAAGACTTCTCCTTGACCTCAAAATTCGCCGAATTATCTGTCGATCGTCAAAGACCACGAGATACTCTCAAAAGACGCACGAAAGCTTGTCGACGCGGCACGAAAGCATCGTTCTACCATCTGCGATTCTGCCCCCGAAAGCCTGAATCAGGCTTTTTCTCCCCTACAAGGTACGTGCGAAAAAGGGGTCAATGGACGTTCTCTACGGCCTTGTTCATCCCGGTTGAAAGCTTCATGTATCCGGAGTACTACGTACCTTTGCGAGGCTCCCAACCGAAGCGTCCTGGTGATCTTGACCATACTAATCCATGTATTGGTCAAGCACGAGTCGATAATCCAAAATACAAGTATACAAGACCAACCCCAATATCGAGACTCGGTCACAAATGCTATCATGCCGAGTCGTTAAAATTTTGAAAGATATCGCTTCAGAACTCACGGGATCAAGGATTCTGAATGCAGAATCCGCCAGCGAGAAGAGGTCCGCGGGGGCGCTGTCAGAACTGGCTCTGAGCTCAATTCGTTCTCTGTGCACTCCACCTAACCCCTGACCTGGAGGCATGGATGGTCTAGCTCCCGCCTCCGGCCGCCACCACTGCAGGCCGGGTCTCAACTGGCTCGCCGCGAAGACACACTGCATTCTCGCTTAACACCTGTGAGTGATACCTCCGACGCAAGACCATAGTGATGAGCACGCTGATGCTGGCAGCTGCACCGGACCTGTATCGGAACTCCCGGACTCACCTGAACTGATGTCCTGGGCAGTGGGTGGTCCACCCAGAATGTTCATACGGGTAAATTGCCGATTCTCACTCTAAGGAGATCAACTTCCCGCCCACCACAGTCAAATACTGTCAAAAGCTGTCAAAAATCCGACGCGACCGTCCCGACCGTTGTGAAGACGCACGAGGATTAGCTGGATCGACCTCGTCGCAAATTGATTTCAAAGTCTGCTCCGAGATCTTGACCTTTTGCAGCTAGCCATGCCAACCCAATCTCAGGCACGCGGGGCTACTAATGCGACCCCAAACCACGCCCAGGCGACCCGCCAACGTGCTACTGGCACAGTAGCGGAGGCTTATTATGCTTGCAAATATCCCGATTGAGTCCTTCGCACCCTGACGCTGGGCCAGCCTCCCGCGAGCCTGGCTACCCCTCATCCACTTGCGCTTCAAGCACCCCTGAACAGTCGACATGTCCATCCGCTTCCACTCGCGTTCCATCCACAGACTATCGGTCCTCGGGTGTCGTTAACCCCTGCTACCTTTGGCCCAAATCAGGCGTGGTCGTACCACAATCGTCTCTAAACCCTGGCTGGACTCCTGCACGCTATTCCTTATCCATGCATGACTACGTTCTTCATTGCTTCGCTTCCACCCCTCTCCGACCTGAAATCTTTCCTCCTCTCCACGCCCGTCGAGAGCTCACTTCCACCACCGGCACCGGCTCGGACCTTCCTTTCTTCTTGCGCCGTCGACCTCCCATCTTTCATCTTCTTGCCAACGAAGTGGTCTGTCTCGAACCAGCTTCTGGATCCCTATCAGCACCAGCTAGGGGACCTGATTTCGTCCTTCAGTCTCCGCGCACTCATTGCTATATCTCCTATCCCAGTCACATAGGTTGAATGTCTTGAGACACCCACCTACAACAGCTTCACCCCTCGCAACCATGGTCCAGTCACTGAAAGGAGGCACCTCCATGACCTCGGTCGCTAGACCAGGCACACGGGACACGAACAGACCGACCACCAGAGAACAGACAGTCGACAATGCTATGGTCCCCAGCAGGACCTCGTCACTGCATTCGCGCATCACACAGCCAATGCCTTCTACATTGGCCAAATCTAACAACAGACCGACACCCAAAACCCTGACTCATGCCTACATGGTGTGTGGTGTTGGCCGTGAGCCATCCCAATGGGTCAAGGCCCCTGCACCTGCACATGGCAAGATCCAGCACATGAAGGGCGCTGTGGGCCAGTTCTGGCTCCCTGAGATTCTTGGCAGCAGTCCTCGTTTGGAGTCAGACAACGAGATCGCACGGGCTCTGCACGGAGCAATGAGGGTAAGTACTTGTTGACCCATGCGTGTAGTTACAGTGACTGACCATGCCACAGGCCTGCTTTCCCCACGACGTGGAAATTTGCACTGGACGCAGCCAGCCCCATTGCGTTCACCATTCATTTGTGCTGCAGCAAGATTCTCAGCACACTCTCTACGGCATCGCCCTCCGTGTCTGGTCTAGGGCCGATGAGAAGCGAGCGGAGACCATCCGCGAGCTGCGCCGGAAAACCGAAGCCGACTATAGAGACGCCGCAGATGAGACCTACTGGATCCCATACTGCTTGAGCTTCTTGTCCCGCTATCCTTTGTACAATCTACTCGGCGACTACCTACGTGGAATGTGGATTCACTGGAACAAGGCTACGAATCTGTTCCACGCTGAGGAGGTCTCTCGTATCCTTAGCTTCCCGGCGCCTAGGCTCAACGACCTCGTGCGAATCGATATGAAGGACTATGCTCTGTGCTATCAATTTCCTTCGTCACCCACCGGCTTCCAGAACTTCGCCATGTGGCCACTCTTCAGCTGCCTGACCATGCCTAATATTGTTGGCGTTATCGAGGCCGCAGTGTCTCCCACCAGACGCATCATCCTTACCAGCCACCATCCCGCCATGCTGACTATCGCTGCGGAAACCATTCGCTTCTGCGTCCGGGTATACGAATGGAGTGGCCTCTATGTCCCTGTGGTTCATGCTCGTAACGTCAGCGAGATGGTTCAGGAACCCGGCCCTTATATCCTGGGCATTACCACTGAGTGCCGATCTCTGTTTCAACCACCCAAAGATGCCCTATTAGTCGACCTTGACCGCAACCTGGTCATCACCGATCACCCACCTAACATCCTCAGCACCAAACAACGCCAGAAGATGGTCACTCGCCTCACTCAAGCCCTCAACCACGATGTTGAGATCAGCGGTGTTCCTCAGCATCTCAAGTCTGCCTATGGTGGTGGCAAGCTCATTCCGGCGGGTCAGATCATTGTGCTCAGAGGTGAAGTTGAGTCGGTGCAAGATCCTTCGTGGTGGAACCAGGACTCGGTCATGGCTGTCATGGACCACGTCTGCGAAAAGCTTGGACGCAACACGGGACTCAAGGCTGTCTTCGGCGGCTCGACCAAGAAGCCATTGATGACCAAGATCTCGATGAGACACATGAACGAAATCGTGCGCGAGCGCAACCAGTACTCGCGGGATGCTCTGGAGGCGTGGCAGGATTTCATCAACCTCAAGGGCCGTATGGACACGGAGCTGCAGAAGGTGTCGAAGCGCAACAACTATCTCGAACAGGAGGTCGAGACATGGAAGCTACAGTTCCAGAAGTTCCAGGCCTTTGTCGAGTCTCTCAACAAGGAGCTCGCCGAGCTGCGTGTCAAGATCGAGTCGCACAAGCGGGAGAACCGCCGTCTGACCGGGCTGATCGATCAGCAAAAGGACGATGCTGCGCGCCTCACCCTCCGTCTGTCTGGCACCGAGAGACAGCGCGACAATGCTCTCGAGGCTTTGGTCCTGCAACAGGGTATCGCCGAAGACCTAGAGAAGGAGCGCACCCGCAACCGCAAGGAGATCGCTGCTCTCCAGCACGCCAACTCTGGTCTGCAACATCAACGCGACGAGGCACACCGGGTTGTGCTTCACCTACGCAGTCTCATCACCGGCCAGACGCATCACATGGAACACATTGTGCGCTCGATCGGGTCGTCTGCAGAGCTGCAAGAGTACATCCGAGACGGCTACGGAGATATCGAGGACGAAGAGTATGACGACGAGGAGATGGAGCCAGATACGTCTCGCTTCTCGTCTGTGACCCAAGACGGTCAAGATGTCAGCCCACAGATGGAGAAGCAGCTGCTGGCCGCAGATAAACGCCGCAGCAAGCGCTACAGCACTCTCAGCATGACGGACGTGGCGGACCGCCATCTACGCGAGAAGACGGATGCCATCGCCGACATCATTCGCAACATCAGCGAGCAGTGTGCCGCCGCGGTTGAAGGACTGCAGCTGGCCAATGACGCGGCGGAGATTGATGGCGAGGAAGAGCTTGAAGAAGACACCAGCTCGGCCCCTGGCCACAGTCGCGACGTCAGCGCGGACAGCGCCGACCTGTCTCCCGCTGCCCATGCCACGGCTTCGCGGAATGGCACTGGCCACCTGACGCCGACGAGCGAGCGGAGTTCCATTCCTCCCACCCCCGACCTAGTGCACCAGAGGTCGAGCACAGCACTTTCGATGGCCAGCACAGCACCTACGAACTACACTGCGCGCGAGTCGCTCAACCAGAGCACCGGGCTTCGTACCAAGATTGTGGAAGACGAGGATGCAGAGCGTGTGCACGCCAGTGGCAGTGACAACGGTGAAGCCATCGAGAAAAAGTATCAAGCCTCGCCCAATCGCCGGGAACCAGCACTGAGCCGCGTCATTGAGTCGCAGTAGGCGAGAGGCCGCACTTTCGAAACCAGAAATGTACGAAACCAGTACAGAATGAAGCAACAATGCAACAAGATTTACCACGCTACGACTTGCACTGCACGGCGCTACGGGCGCACACTTTGGGTCTGCCTGATGGGGCATCGGCGTTTGAAGGATGATTGTCATCTTACTGTACTATTTTCTACCTGTCAGATACCTTTTTCCACGCCCCTACCGTTTTATCTGGATGCGGTTGCTACAGTTTCGCGGATGTTTAATTGCTGTTCCCTGGATTTGGGGAGGAGTGTCGAGAGTGATGGGAAGAGAAAGAGGTCCGTCGAGGAGGAAAGATAGAAACACGATCGTGACGAGTGTCGCGATACATGTAGTGGACCGAGGGGAGCTATTCATGTAGTACTCTTATCTTGCCCAACTGAGTTTCCTTTAAACTGCCGTGCTGACTGTGTACCCATCTCTGTCTTGATGATTCTTTACGCAGATCAGGCGCTCCATTGCGATGTGCCTGTAAGCAGCTAAGACACATCCTTATCGAGGTAAGATTCCGAGCAGCATCCTGCGAACCAACGGTGTGAAGGCACCAACAGCCTGACGGTCGACCTCGACATCAAAGAACAAAATCTGAGCGTATGCAATGCAACGTATATGATGTATCCTCTGACGAGCTCTGTAAGTCTCTTCGAGAGGAGTAGATCTGAACATTGATCGTCAATTTTACCTCGGCCGCGGTGCTTCTGACTTTTTTTCTACCTCTCGCTCTCCGTTTAGGCACTCCTCACCGACTATCCTCCTCCTGCATGGCCATCAACGACGAGCGCACACCACTGCTGCTCGACGCCGACGAACATGTCGTCCATCCAGAGGAGGCGCGCAAGGATGACAACCCCAACGTCGTCGACTTTGGGCCCGCGCCTGACCCCGACAACCCACAGGACTGGCCCAAGCCATACAAGTGGGCTCTCGTCACTGTCCTTGTCATGAACGCCTTCGCCGTGACCTTCACCTGCGTCGGCGTCACGCCCGTCGCCTCCCGCATCATCCGCGACCTGAACCCGACCCACCGAAACGACAAGTCCGCCGCCGTCCTCCTCGTCACCATCTGGGAACTGGGCGAAGCGGCGGGCCCGCTCTTTATCGGCCCCCTCAGCGAGATCTACGGACGCCTCCTCGTCGTCAACTTTGCCAACCTGCTCTTCGTCGCCGCCACCATCCTCGCCGCCCTCTGCCAGAGCGTGCCCCTGCTAATCGCCATGCGCGCCCTGACGGGCTTCGCCGTGGCCGCCAACGTCATCAACCCGGCCATCATCGGCGACATCTTCGTGTCCGAGGAGCGCGGCGCCGCCATGTCGCTCATCATCTTCGCCCCCTTGCTCGGTGGCGCCATTGGACCCTCCATCGCCGCGCTGGTCACGGAGCATTTCGGCTGGCGCTGGATGTTCTGGACCTACGCTTTGCTGATGGGCGCCTGCGAGCTCGTCTTCGCCCTCTTCTTCCGCGAGACGTACAAGGTCGTGATTCTGCGGCGCAAAGCCGCACGCCTACGCACCGAGACCGGCAATCCCCTGCTACGGGACCCCTTCGCCCCGGATCCAGCAGCCACGTTGACAGACAACGGCAACGGCAACGACAACAGCAAAATCGCCACAACACGAAAATCCCTCCTCCGCACCATCCTCCACGGCATGCTCCGCCCCTTTCCCATCTTCCTCACCTCGCCTGTCCTCATCCTCGCCGCCCTCTACGGCTCCACCACCTTTACCTTCTTCTACATCATGAGCACGACCCTCCCGGACATTCTGCTCCGCTACTACGGCCTCACCCCGTCCCAAATCGGCCTGGCCTTCACCACCTTCAGCGCCGGCTCCCTACTGGCCGTTTTACTCTGCAACCGCACCTTGGACCGCATTTACGTCTGGCTCCGCGACCGCGATTACCCCCCCATCTTCCGAACCGAGGAAGACGCCACAGCAACAGACGCCTCCTCCTCCTCGGGAGGGACAGGGAAAAAACGCACCGGCCACCCAGAGCACCGCCTCCCCCTCGTCCTCGTTGGCGCTGTGACTCTTCCCATCACCATCCTCCTCTACGGCTACCTCCCCGCGCACGGCCCCGCCGCTGCGCCCCTGTGGCTCACGCTCCTCAACGTCTCCATCATGGGCTTCTGCCTCCTCCTAGGCTTCTTGCCGATCCTCAGCTACGTCGTCGACGCGACCGGCGTCTACAGCGCCAGCGCCCTCACGGCCGTGATTGTGGTGAGGTGCCTGTTTGGCACGTTTCTGCCGTTGGCGGTCGAGCCGTTGGTGCGGAGGGTGGGGTTGGCGCAGGGCTTTGCGCTCTTGGCGGGCGTGTGTTGGGTGTTGGGCGTGGTGCCGTGGGTGTTGTTTTGGAGGGGGAGGGACTGGAGACGGGGCAGTCGGATTACGAGTGGGGAGTGACGTGTTGGAAGGGCGGAGCAGAGGGCATGCTGGGGGAAAGGGTGCGCCGGTCAGGGAGGACGGGCTCGGGCTGTGTGAGCCGTTGGACGGGAATAAAGGGATTCGAGGTTCGAGGTTGTCAGTGTTCGACCCTTTTTCTAGAACCTGTTTTAGATGGATTGGGTTCAGACTTTGACTGTTGGGACAATACAGATCTGGCTCCAGTGTCCGTTACCATGATACTCTGCCGGATATGTCGGTTATGCACAGAGAGTTCAAATAGATATATACATACGCCGAGACCGACACGAGCAGGGACGGCAGAAGGGATACACCGATGGCGACATACTACAAGCTATGTAGACAACAAGAAGAGAAATGACACAGTCAAACGGACCAGCACGTCACACGTCACACGTGAAGCGTACACAAATCTACCAAGCAAAGGCACGAAGATCATCTTTCGATTAACGCCCTGTCACTCTTAATCGACGTCTATACTCCAAGTATCCACACACACCATTCATGACATCCTGGCCAGACCATCATCTTACTGGACGGAAACGCTGTTAAAAGGAATATGTTTCCCCGCGATGCTGCGATGCTGCGATGCTGCGCTACTACTGGAAGCACATAACGCCACCACCGCGATCAACCGTGACCACAATACCGTACGGCCTCCGCAGCACCATCACATCCGTGATCCCATCCATGTGCGTGCTCAGTAGATGCTGCCCAAAGTTCGCCAGCAGCGTATTACGCGTCGGCTTGTTCGCGGGGTCAGTCCTGCCGGCCCCGGCTCCTCCCGTTCCAGCTTTCACAGGCGTGGTCCCAGCTGTGGGTGTACTTGTCCTGGGCGTCCGTGGTGTGGCGGCTTCATCGGCAGCCTCCTCACCACCGCGCGCCTTTTGCGGCGTGCCCCCGCCGCGTACCTTGTCTCGCTTTCGGACGTCCTTGTTGCGACCCGGCTTCGTGGGAATGTCTGGCTCTGATTCTTGCACGCACATGACTTGCGCGCCACTGCTCAGCGCGAGTGGGTGTGACACTGTATACCTGGCCTTCAGGAGCCCGGCACTGTCGTCGCTGTGGATCATCGGTCCAGACACAATGTAACTGTCTTCTGGGCTCGGCAGGTCCCAGTAGCGGAGAGCTCGGTCTGCTCCGGCTGTGAAAAGGAGCGCGTACTTCGAGGGCTCCGGCAGAGGGTGTGCTGCTGAGGCTGTGTGGGTGGAGGTGTGCGGGTGGAGAAAGTCCAGCACAGGGAGAAGAGCGGGGACAGGGAGCTGTCCCGATGAGTGATATGCGGACGAGTCCTCAAGAGAGCTGGAAGGACTGGGGTGGGAGCTCGGTGTAGAATGGACGTAGGGCGTGGACCTTGAAGATTCGGATTCCCAACTATACGGCCGATACACTTCCCGGCAGACCAGCTTGTCAATGTCCCATACGCTGATCTCACCGGCGCTAGAGGCCATGACCCACTTGCCATAGCCCTTAGAAGGGTGCACAACGAGGCGGTCGACACGGGACCGTGTCGGTAGCGTTATGCTGCGCAGGCGGATACGGAAGCGTAGGTCGTAGAGGGAGAGTGTACCGTGGGAGGTTCCGGTCAGCAGCCAATGGCGGTGTCGATCCACAACGAACGCAGTCAAGGAGCCGTGGTGCAGAGACTCGTGAAGCGAGTGCATAATGGTCATCGTCTTGAGCTCGATTAGCAGAAGTCGGTTGTGCGATGTGGCGGCTACGAGAATGGACTGTGAGCCATTCTTGCGGTAATGAAAGAGCTGTATGGCGTGCTCGATTGGGCCTGGATCGGATGAAGATATTTGTGAGGATGGGATCTGCCAATCGCGAACAAGAGCAGGACGGCCGTACTTCGTGCTTTCGCCGCCATCAACAACCTTCTGTTCAACCCGGACGGCGTGTATGCTACCATCATCGGCTGCACTGATGAAGGTATGACTGTCTTGGACAAAGCACAACGCCTTGACTTTGGCCCCGGACGCGTGTCGATACGTATGCCGTGAGCGAGGAGTAATGTTCTTCTCGAGCCTCATGGTATCCCAGATCTTGCATGAGCCATCGTCGGAGGCAGTGACAAAGAAAGCCTGATCTGAGGAGGCGCAAACTTGGTTGATAGCCGCCGTGTGCTCCGAAAAGTGCGTCAATACCTGACCTGTTGGCCTCCATGGCTCGTAATGTGGGGCGTTGGCTTCCGATGAGCCGGTGGTGCCGTTGAGGACGAGATCTGCTGCTTTGTGGATAGGCATTCGGCCAATGGGTTTGATCTCCTCACCAAAATCTACTGTATCGACGTGATAGTTATCGGCGAAGTGGTGATCGAGTAATCGTAGCACGTTTGGATCGTTTCCACCATAAGAGTGATTTGGCTCCCACGCAGGAGACGTCGGCGACCGGCTGAGAGGTGACTTCGAGCGAGAGTTGACTGCAGCAGTGGCCTTCAAAGCCAAAGTTGAGGGGCCGGCGGCCACGTTGTGATGCAGAGGTCCATCCACCTTACCAAACGCCATTTCGTCACTGGTAGAGATTTCTGCGTCCGCTTTGCCCGAGTCCCTCTTCATGAGACTCATTGCGCTATTTCTGTGTCGAAGTTCGAGCTTTCCTCGTCGTAAAGACAGCTTGTCGAGCTCAGAAGAGGACGGTTTATTGCTCGTAGAGACCTCTCGGGATGAAGTGTCAGAGCCGTCGATTTTGATCTCTGGTCTCTGTCTAGGATTTCTGCCCCTGATGTCTAGTGGCTGAGTTGACTCTATTGGTGTACCAGCTTGGGTGGATTGCCGGGACGGAGGACCGCCAATCGTAGTCGATGCATCGAGCAAAGCGTCTGCGAGTGTATGGTGGGAATCATAGTTTGATCGTGAGCGTTGCGCTGGTGGTCTTTTTGGATCCCTCGGCCGGACCGGATTACTGAGATCAAATAAGATATTCTGTGTTCGTACGCCGAGCGTATGGAGGGAAATTATATCTTTCAACTGGGACTGTTCGTCGGCTGATGGCCCGGAGTTCCGCGTCGTTGTGGTTCGTAGGATGTATTCGCGTAGAGCCAAGAGCTTCATTTCGTCCTCCGGAGTCATGCCGACATTCTTGAGTGTCTCCAATGACGACTGGTCATCTTTGTCCTTCTGGGACGGCGGAATTCGCATCGGTGGACGCTTCGTAAAGTTGACTGGGCTCTGTGCAGCATCCTGCTCGGATAACACAAAGGCTCCATCCCGACTTGCTGCCGTCCAGAACAGGCTCCTTGATTTCTTTTCCGCCCAAAGCTCAGCCTGTTGAAAGACGCTCCGCGGCAGTGGCTTCTTGAGGTGGTCGAGCAACTGCGCTTCCGAAAAATCAATCATGGGAGTCTTGAGGAAGGACTGCAAGATGGGTAGTATAATGCAGTATTTGTCGGCCTCGGGCGTGTATCTTGAGCAAAGAACGATGAATTGAACTGCACTCTCGCGGATCCAAATACTCGGATGCACCAGGAAGCGAGCGGACATTGCAACAAGCTCCCACACGGTGGACTTCTGCATCAAGCCCAAATCTGCCATACGAGCCAGAGAACGGAACACCTTTTCGACGACGAAACCTTCGGGATCCGTGAGAGACCCAACCATTATCGGCAGAATAAACTTCTCCAAGCTTGAGGTACCCACGTAGGAAGCGATCCCGACCAGAGCATCGAAGAAGGAGCACTTCAGTATCCAATCCTTCTCATTGAGGTATGTATTGAGATGGGTCAAGATCACATCATTGGCCTTTGCGCTTCCGAAGAAAACACACAGGCTCGACACGGAACCCAAAAGCGCTCGTTTGACGGTAGCTTCGTCATCGGTGATGAGCGCGACCGTGGCATCTTCGAAATGTTTGACAAGCTCTTCCTTGCTCGGATCGTACAAAGCGTGGAAAGAAGTAGATGGTGTCCATTCAGCATCATTGAGAGCGGGCAACCGGCCGTCCGCACGGATTGCTTGCACCATGTCGAGGATTCGAGCCGAACTCAAGGCCAGTGATGCTAGACAGGATGCATAAGCCGCTCGGACCAATGTGGACCGTGATCTAGCCAAGATCTTCAACCGCGGGAAGATGTATTCCGGGAAGATGAAGGCATTGATTGGAGATACCACCTCGACCATCTCGAAGATTGTTGATAGGGCGCGAACGGCCGAGGCCTGAACTATGTCCGATTCATCAGTCAACAGAGTGACAATATATGGAACGACTCTGTCAAGTTTGATCTCATCCGGGAGGCGCTCGGCGAATGCGACCAGCAGATCGCAGGCTTTCAGCCGAGACGATGCCTTCATGCTGCAGCGAATGCTGGCGGACACGACGGTCAAGAAAATGAGCGTGCCGTCGTGTGGACTGGCATCGGTAGCTCGTACCTTCTTTGGGCGGCGCTGACCAGTGTACTCGCCAGGTCTTTTCGACAACTTGGTCCCGGAGTCGTACTCCAAAAAGTACGAAATCTTGTCGAAATCTTGCCACACACGGTCGATCTTCTCGTCTGACTCCAGAAGATTGCTCGCGTCTAGGCCGTACTCGTGCTGGGCGTTGGTTGACTCGGTCAAGTCTAGAACATACTGATGGAGAAAACTCTCAAAGTACTCTGGAAAGATCCTCCCTTTGTAGAACGACAGGTGCTGATCAGCGTTATATCTCTTCTCCGGGTCAAGGTCGATCAAGTTCAAAACCATATCTCGGACGTCGCTGTCCACGATCTTATTCACATGTGTGTGCTCCGGACTATAGTCGCCGGACCGATACTTGAAAATTTGGCTGAGGGAGAAGATAGGACTCTCAAGGAAGATCTCAGCTATCACACAACCGACACTGAACATGTCCATTGCCCAATTGAGTTCATGACGAGGCTCTTCATCCGCGCTAGTTGTGAACCGTTCGGGGGCGATGTAGCAAGTACGTCTGCCCGAAGTATCGAAGTAAAAAGAAAAGTCGGCTGGATTATCTTCCGGTAGTGTGGTTGGTTTGAAGCATGAACTGAAGTCGGTAAGATACAACCAGTTCCATGAGGTGACCAAGACGTTTTCGGACTTGATATCGCCATGGTAAATATCACGAGCATGACTGTCTCTCACGGCGCAGAGTAATTGGTACGCCAGCCACTTCTTCTCGATGTCCTCCAGGAATGGCCTGGTGCTCACACGATCCCAGGACGAGCTGAAGACGTACTGGCGAACCAGAAAACCTCCAGTAGCCACTTCGACAATGCGCTGATAGCCAAGTGCGTTCGGAATGTCAGCCAAGGCATTGCGTTCTTCCCTGATCCGCTTGATGTATCGTTGGACGTCAAAATTGGGATGTGGCTTCATGAAAGCTCTGACGTAGACATAACCATTCTCACCGCGCGCACGGACACTTTTCATGAAGCGTGCAGGCGCCAGTGTTCTGTCGTATGCGAGGTCGGCCAGCTCGGGAACATCGATAGTGGCCGATGCCGCCGACAGGGTGGTCATTGAATAACCTTGCCCCATGATGGCGGACAGCGATAAGTCCCAGTCGAGTGGTTGGATCGGACGATGACGGTTGGATGTCAGCGGTTGCCTCTTGCCCGAAGACAGGCTCGAGACCGCTTAACTGGCGTAGATACCAAGACGTGGAGAACTGTGGGAGGAAGGCATGGCCGGAAATGTTCCATGCAGGGACCTGTTCAAGGCCAGAGACACCCTTCCCACGGACCTCGCTAATTGATCTTTCGCTCTTGTTAATACAGAATCGGTAACCAGATATTGATGTTTCACAGACGATGATGGTCGTTGCCGATCAGGCGACAACGATGTCGGTGATCAGCGGTACGGGCCACCGTAGCTGCAAGGCAAGACTCCACTGGCAACGGCGCAGATGACGCACGACATGACTGGCCGCATTGCTGCCACAAGAATGCTCAAGCCACGTAGCGACCGAGAGTGAGACTTCGGTGACGCTCGTGGCTAACTGCTTTATTCAGGGATCCTGATCCGAGACGCGGTCTCGCCTCGCACATCGATGCGACCAGGTAGTCTGTTCGTCGGCTCCAACGCCTCCGTATCCTGTGACATCAACGGGACAACAACCCACTGCAACGTCTTACATCTGAAACCAGTGATGCCTGCAGCAGCTGGCTAAAACTGTCGCGTGCCCTTCCCGTCACCACGCGCGATACTGCCGCACTATGTCCGACAATGGGAGCAACCTCTCCAGGCGCTCGTCCTCCCAGACCTCCCATGCCTCGAGCGACAGTAAGAGAGCAAGAACCCTTCGGGACCGACCAAAGCGGGCCGGCTCAAAGACTTCGACCACTTCCCTCAGAGCAGAAGACCCTTCTCTTACCTCATTTCCATCATTCGACCCAGAACAAGGTCCAACACCAGAGTCTGGCCACCATGAGACCCTGCCAAAAGTCACGCGGACGACTTCTCAAAAAGCAAGAGATCGGAAGGCAACCCTTGCAGGTCTGACGAGTGCATCTCCTGGCCTTGGTGGCAAGGCTCTTTTTGATGACTCGCCTCGATCGTCGCTAGATATTCCGGGCTCGCTGCATTTGTCGAACGACGACCATATCAAGAGACTCATTGCAAGAACGGGGGCCGTCAAGTTGATCCGGCAGTATGCTGCAGACCTGGCGCAGAGGGACGCAGAGATATCTGCTTTGAGAGTTAGAGCAGATAATCGAGAACGCGAGCTGAAACGCATTCTCCGAGAGGCAGATGTGCCCACCACCGAAATCGAAAGGCGGTTGCTCAACCTTGAACATGCCGAAAACTCGAACAACGTCGGCCAGAGCAGCGGCACTAATTTCGACAGCTTGGTGAATGAAGCAATGGATACAGATATTACCACTACATCACCTCAAGCGCTAAACGAAATGGGAATGCCTATTCCCGTACCCCAACAGTTCCCGGCGGCGCGTAAGAGCTCTGCCAAAGCAAGCGCAACATCAAGTCGCCAGAGCAGCCTTACCAGCAGTCTTCTCAGTGACAAGAGTCAAGATCTCGACCAGACTGTTCGACCTAAACCTTCCAACTCTGCTTCCAGCAAAGCGTCTGGACTCCAGAGCATCTTCACCCCTCCATCGCAGTCGACCAGCTACTTTATTGGTGGTTCTAAACCGGTCCGAAAGGCAAAGGCCGCGGATGAAGTAAGCGTCAAGTCTACCCAGTCATCTCGTTCATGGACGCAGATATTTGGCGGAAAGGGTACGACTCGCGCAAGAGCGTCGTCAACACTTGAGCAAGTAGCGCAGAAGTCCCCCAGCGAGGCAGAGTCGGCACTCTCGAAATTATCAACGACATCGACGAATCCGCAACAAGCACCTAACCGGCCAGGTCCCAGCCACAGTGCGACATTGAAATCTCGCCCAGCTGGAAGACGGGGCCCAACCCCAGTGAGACTCTCAAGCAGTCCGAATCACACCCGCAAAGACTCAAATACGAGCTTACCGCTCACTGTGGAGATGGACAGCGTGTTGGAGCCGGCAACTCTGCCACCGACAATGACGGTCAACAACATGGATGCTACAGGTCTCCTCACAGATCGCTTTGGCTTCATCTACGATCAGAGGCGGCGCAAACGACAGTCTCTACAACTACCAAAGCACAAGAAGAATCAGATGAGTGCTGAAGTTAACAGCATCAGATCCGTTGATAGCATGCCGTCCAAGGATCCTATCGCGCGGTCATCCACGCCGGTGTCTGTTGACGAAGAAGGACCCAAGAAGTCGTGGCAGGATTACCTGAAACCGGCATACTATGTCGGTCGCCCGAAAGAGCTACTCTCGCATACACCGTCGGCTGGTGCAGTCGTCACCGTCGGCACGTTTGATCCTTCCGATACTCTGTCGCCACCTAAGCAGCCCGGCGCTGTCGTTTCTGCCGGTGAAGGAGGCCTCATGCCAGCGAATAGGACCGTCTCGCAGCCACAATCCACCCCAATTAACGCCACCTCTGGAGGGTCCGCTGTTGAGGACGATGCCGAGCCAAGTAATGATGCCACGCCTGCGCGATTACTGTTGGATCAATTGAATGAGCTTCACGACTCTCTGCAGTCAGAAAGAGTAGTCAAATGGAACAACTTTTTGCGTCTAGTCCGCGCCGAACGAGCTAGCAACGCCGATCCGGCGTCGAAGAACGCACCAGAAGCTGACCTGCTCGACGGTGAACTCATTGGCATTGCTACGCTGGGTCGTTCAGCAAACCAGCGTGCCAAGTATACGCACTTCAAATCGCTGGTCCTGGCAGGAATTCCGGTGACCTTGCGACCTAAGGTCTGGGCCGAATGTTCTGGTGCCACCGGCAGCCGCTTGCCAGGCTATTACGAAGACCTTGTGCTACGTTCCGACCAAGGTAGTGACATTGATCCAGATATCGACGTTCAGATCAAGGCCGATATCAGGCGCACTCTTACCGACAATGTTTTCTTCCAGACCGGGCCCGGTGTCAGACGTCTAGAGGAAGTCCTACGCGCATATTCCCTACACAATCCTTCTATTGGATACTGCCAAGGCATGAACCTCATCACTGCTTCTCTACTCCTCATCTGCGCCACCCCCGAAGACTGCTTTTGGTTGCTCGTCGCGGTGATCGACACCATCTTACCTTCAGGATACTTCTCTGGCAGCCTGCTCACCGCTCGTGCCGATCAGATTGTGCTCCGCGAATATGTCACCCAGCTTTTACCTTCTCTTTCCGCAAAACTCGAAGAACTGGGAGTGGAGCTCGAAGCATGCACTTTCCACTGGTTCCTCTCCCTGTACGCTGGGGTTCTCACGGGCGGTGAAGCTCTCTATCGGATCTGGGATATCGTCTTGACCTTACACTCGACCGAGGCCATGCCGAACTTTAACGAATCAAATCGCGCGAGCCTTGCGGTGGCGGTGGACTTTCCATCTTTGGGACTCAATGGCTCCTCGGCGCCCCCAACGCCTACCGCTTCGACAGATCCTGCAAATCGCAACGCGAAAGCACAGGAGCCTGGCGCGCACGATGGCACCTCTTCTCCATTTCTCTTCCAAATCGCGCTCAGTCTCCTTTATCTGAATCAGAATGAAATCATGGCACTCGACAGTCCTGCGGAAGTGTACACTTACCTCAACCACAATGTCACAGATCACGCGGTAACCGTGGACGCCTTGGTACAGGCGAGCGAAGCCCTTGGCCGGAAAATACGCCGACAGGATCTCCTCGAGCGACGGCGCGCAGCCATCAAGACCTTGGGCGGATAGAGTCCGAGTATCGATCATAGACCAGGGGCTTCCTCTGCTGCTACGCGGACCTGGGGGAGTCTCACAGGGAGCCTGAGAAGAAGCTTCAGAGGAAGAGCTCTGGTTGGACTATTCGAACCACGATAATGACTCAACGGTTAGTGAAAAGACGTAGTGGCTTGAAGGTCCAGCTGAGGGACAAGAATAGGTTAGATCAGAGGAATCCGGAGGATTGCTCGATGGATTGAATACAATGGAATGCTTTTGAATTTGCGGCACAGACAGCAATAGAATGAGAAAAGCAATGGAAGATGGGAAGAGGAAGCAGCAAGCAAAAGCTGCAGCAGCGCCCGGGTCGAAGAAGAAGTTCGCAAGGAGGAAAAGTCGGGTTTGGGGTTTATTCACACAGCGGGCGTCGGTCGTCCTTTACAACATATGTAGCATGCATGATACCCCCTCCTTTTTTTCTATGTTCTACAAGTCAGGACAGGAGGGATGCGATGGAAACGGAAAGATGTTTGTATCGTTTGGTCGGGTGGGCTGGCCAGCGTGGACAGTGGTGCTAGACGAGGGCTTTTTTCTTTAGATGGAAAGTGAAATGAAATGAATTAATTAATAAATCGAATTGAATCGAATTTCTCTCTTGTGTGTTGCTACCACTGTACCTATCACTGTCACAGGCTCTTGGAGATCTTACCTGACTTTTTACTTTTTACTTTTTACTGTGTGTGCTCTCTGAACTCCCCTTCGAGTAGTCTGTCATTGTACGGTACGGTGTCGCGCTCCATACCGCGACAGAGGGGGAGATGGAAGATGAATTGGGGGGGGGGGGAGTACGGTTAATGTTGTGCCGTCTTTTTTTCCCTTTCAACCTACCCAGCTGTCATGATCTCGATGTCGATGGCCGCCCCCTCGGTGTGGTCGATGCGCCGGCAACCGTTTGCAATCGTACAGTAGTACCGGAAGAGTCGACTCGAGCCTTGATAGGATGTGGATGGGGGATCAGAAGGGGGATACCTACCGTACACGGCAGGAGACATGCCGCTTTGGGAAAGCACACAACTTTCATCCGCGGCGCTTGCATGTTAACCACTCGGCCACTCAGCCACTTGGCGGATAATAGCCGCCGGTGGACAAATGTGATTTATGAGGCGCATGAGTCGAAAAGGAAACGGTGCTTGAAGCGCGTACAGACTTTGTATGCTAGCTAAAGATCTGTTTTATGTATGCTAAATCGCGTGCATCTCATCTATCGTCTCGGCGCGATATCTGGCAGGACCCGCGTGGCTCTCAGCTCGTGTGCTAGTGAGCATTGGAATAGCCGGACTTCCAGACCGACAATCACTTGTCATCGTGTGCCATACTTCCATTGCCAGAGCATATGGCGACGTATCTCTCCTTGGAAAGTTTCACTCATCCTCCTCAGCTCCAGCAGGGACATCCTCCGGAAAAATGAAGCCATTCGCATCACCGCCCTGCCCATCATCGTCGTCATCATCGCCGTCTCCGATCCCAAACAAAGCTAGCAGCTCCTTGGAAGTGAAAGCGGCTTCGCGGTTCTTACTGTCCATCACCGCAGCAATCTCGGCATCCTTTCGTCTCTGCATCGCAATCATCTTGGTATCAATCGTGTTCTTGATGATCAGACGCACGATTTCCACCTCACGCTCCTGACCGATGCGGAAGGCACGGCAGAATGCCTGCGTCTCCATCGCACTGTTCCACCAGAGGTCGATCAGAATGACCTTGTTGGCCGCTGTGAGATTCAGCCCGACCCCACCAGCCTTCATTGCTGCAATCAGCACTTTGCACTTCGGGTCCGTAGAGAACTTCTGGATCGCGGCATCGCGCGCTTCAAAGCTCAAAGCGCCATGGAATGCAGCTTGACCCCACTTCTTCTCCCGGCAGACAAGCATGAAGATCTTGATCAAAGCGCGCCACTGAGAGAATACCAGAACTTTGGTCTCCGGGTCGGCTTCGAACCACTTCTCCATCTTGTCGATGGCGGCAATGACCTTTGTAGAATGCAGGACTGGTCCTGGCATCGACAGCCAGTCAATGTCTTCTTCGAGCGACGCACTGTTTGGTGTTGAACGTCGGCGTTTCTGGACATCAACACCTGGCGTAGCACTTTCGCTTCGATCGCCGCTGGTTGATTCGTCAGGAAAGGCCTCGATCTTGTTGAAACGTGTGCCACACTCTGTGCAGCGCACCATGGTCTCATGTTGAGCCCTCGCAGTGTGTGACAGCTCCATCAGGCAGGCGTAGCAATACACATGGCCACACGGGGTGATACATCGATTCTCTGGCGGCTGACTGCAAAAATGACACAGCGCTTCCCTGTTAGCATTGTCCGACTTGCCCTGGTCCAACATAGACTGTAGGTATTTCTGGAACCTGTGAGTCGCCGCACCGCTAACGTCATTCGTGCTAACGGATTCATCCATTCTTTGGACAGAGCTGAGCGTGGTGCCACCTTCGTTGGCGCGATCAGAAGGCCCAAGGTTTCGAAGGCCCTCCTGGAGCCCCAAGAGAAGGCCGCCACCACCTGCCGCAGCCAATTCCGGGTCTGATGATTCCGTTAATGCCCAAAGTTTCTTCAGATCAGGTCGCTCTAGCAGATCTTTGAGGGTCTTCTGGATAAGGAGAATGTTGGCTGTGAGCTGACGCAACCTGAGCAGCAACACAAAGATAAAGGTGTAGTTCTTGTTGATGGTGCCACTTTTTGCGAACCCATTGATCTTTGCAACGAAGCGCTCTCGAACAATCTCATAGACCGCTTTCTCGATAGGGTTGAAGTCCAGATACAGATCACTTTGTGTGACTCTGGGTAGCTGCACGATGGGTTTCCCAAACATTTTGTCCTGATGGGTACGACGGATCATGAACTTCTGCAGTAGTGTATTCAATCGCTTGAGAGCGGCTGCGGAGCCTTTCTTGCAATAGTTATCCTTCCACAAAGTAAAGTCGCCCGTGTTCTTCACCTTGAGAAAGCGGAAGAATGCATAAAACTCCTCGATCGAGTTCAGTACCGGTGTCCCAGTAATGGCCCAACGGTACTTTCCACTTAGACGCCAGGCAGACTCACTGGTGCGGGATTCATGATTCTTGATCTGCTGGGCTTCATCCAGTATGATTCTGCGCCACTTGACCTGGTGCAGAATGCCTTTGGTAGCCTGAAAGTGGTCTTCCCACCATTTCTCCTTCGCAGCGGGCGTAGTCAACCAGGCTGGATATAACTTCTTCGGCATGGATTTCAACAGCTCGCTATAAGAAGTAATGACTATGTCAAAACTGCCTAACATGGCTACCGGATCATAGCCGAGGCCCGCAAGGTTCCGAGACTTGAAGATTGTATAGTTCTTGGGGTAATTGTTTCCCGAGTGCTGGGTGATTTGGTGCATCCATTGAGTCAGGATGGCATTTGGTGCAACGATGAGGGTAGCTCGCAGCTGTTCCTCATCATCTGGGCGGCCGTCGATGATGTTCGCAATAGACATGATAGTCTTGCCGAGACCCATTTCATCAGCGAGCAGACCACCAAAGGGGTCTCCTTGCCGTTCTCTAAACCGCATATTGGCAGCACCTACAACCTGGAAGTTGTGCAGAGATGTCTTCATCTCGCGGAGTCTGAATTTTCCTTTCTCCTGCACAATAGACTGGTATGTGCGAAACTGCTTGAGGCATTCTCTGAGTTCATCCTCATCATCCTTGTACTTGCGCTGTTCCTCAACTGGGAGGGATGCGATCAGTTCGGCGAGAGCGTCCTTCCGCCTGTGGCTCTTGAAGCCGGGCTGGGCTTCCGCTTCCGCATTTTCGTTTGCTTGAGTGATGATATTGTATGGCAGCAGAGATGTCATGTTGAACAGAGACCGAGGGACATACGACTTGCGACCGCGGCCTCGACCCCTTCCGGAGCCGCCACGGGTGCTGTTCTTTGGTTTATGGCTTGCGCCTTTCAGCTTCTTCGTAGTGGCCGGCTTTCGGTGACTGCGGGAACTGCCGCCGCGCCCCCGTTTGGAATTTGGACGTACGCCTGTACCTTGATCTTCGTCTTCGTCTTCATCGTATTCTTGCTGCGTGTCGTTGTCTGACTCTCCTTTTGCTTCGATTTCTGAGATCTCACGGTAACCACCAGTGTTGTGCTGCTCTTCCAGGTCCAGGGTGCGTGACGAGACAATATAGGCATCGGAGTCGTCAGGACTTCCTGTATGTTGTCTCACGGCTGTCTCTGGAATGAACATAGCGTGCTCTTCGCGAAATTCTTGTTCTCGATAGTCTTGCTTCTCTTTACGAAGCTGGCGACGGTCAAGCTCTTTTCCCTGGCGCTTCGTAAATTCAATCCGATCTTCTAACGTGGCTGTACCAGCGGCGCGCTTAGCATCGTATGCCTCTTTGATGTCGGCGAATGCTGCTGTAGCGTGGGCATCCTCTTCGTCGCTGTCATCATCGTCGAGGTCGATACTGGGATGATCAGCGTGCGCGGCGATAATGGCGGTATTCTTCTCAAAAGATTGAAGCATATTGACCATATCGAGTTCCTGTTCGTCAGCCAAAGCTTCACCTGGAGCCCCTTTAGCTGATGTCTCCTCGATTGATTCTCGAACCGGCATAGAACTGAAAGCGTCTTCATCGAGTTGTAGTGAATCCGGCATGGTAGGATCCAAGTCCATGTCTACATCCTTCAACGGCTCGGGATTCAGCTCTACTTTGACAGCCTCGACAGCCATGCTGAATGGCGCTGTAGTCATCGGCGCATCATCGTCGTCATCTGACTCTGCAGTGAGATCCACGAAAACTGGTGCAGAGGGTCTTGCGGAGTCTGATAGATTCTCCGCGGAGGCAGACTCATCTGGATTGGGAGATGGCTGAGCTAGGTCCATGATAGGACTTTTGGGTGCTCGAGGCTGTTGCTCGGTAAGGCTTGAATCTTCATCGGGATTGAACGGCGTGGTATGTTGTGGAACTTCATTAGAGATCGAGGTAGTTGGCTGTTGCGGAATAGGATTGGGTGAGGATCCCATGGAGATAGCCTCTACAATGTCTTGAGGATCCTTTGTTGGTGGCATGGCTTCCGGGGTTGAGGAAAGAGTGATCGAAATCCTTGACATCTCCCAGGACGAGAGAGTCTGCCTCTGTCCAATTCGTACCACTCGAGAGGATCGGCCAAAGGCAACGAAAAGCTGGTTGACGGTTTGGTACGATAGAAACTCAACGGTGTTTGTAGGGATCGGGAACAGTGTAGGGTTTAGATAGCAGGAGAGAGGGTGGTAGGAGGATAGAAAGTAGGAGTTGCATGAGAGGGAGTGGCATTATATAGTTGGGCATTGGGAAGTTGGAAGGGTCTGACAGTGAATCGCAGCCAATATTGAACCTATAGTGACAGGATCCGGGCGACTCCCAATGAGAGCATTATGAGCAGATGATGGAAAATCAGCCAGAGTACTTCCGCTGGGCTTTATAAGAGGTAGCTCAGTCGGAGCTTGATGCCTGGTGCCGCCATGTTGGACGGCGGCTGCTCGACCAGGCGCAAGACGCCGAAGTAGGCACACGCTTGTTCCTTCCACATAGTAATTAGAGCCATGTCTAGCTACGCGATACTGCATTCCAGTTTCCCGAACTGGAAAGTTGACGGGAAAAGGTCAATACAAGTAGCACATGGTTGACGATGGTTGTTGGTCGTCGTCGTTGTATCGTGAAGCTTGTGGTGGAACCGAAAGAGGCTAGCGTGGAGATTCACCGCTCATCGGGAATGATGGCACCCTTTGCGAGAGCCGCCTCTCTTTACACACCACCATCCTATTCTTTGCGCAACAGTGTCTCGGTCACTGTAGACGGTCACCACTTGCTCAAGAGCTGTCTTGTCGACCAGCTGTTAGCATGGAAACTCGAGCACCACTTCCTCCGCCATCCCGTCAACCATCCTAACACACCCGGAGCTCATGGCTTTCACACCGAGAGAAGCATTCCAATAACACGAGCCCGTCCTGACGAGACAATATGCTGGGCCGGCTGATCCAGGGCTATGGCAAGGGCCCTTCGAACCTCGAGTCCACGACCGAAGAGGCCCACAGTCGCTCCCTGCTATGGCCTTCGCACATCGTCGACTACAATCGAGGTCTCCCTTCCTCGCCACCCAGTACACCTATAAGCTCTTCTGCCGTCCGCATTGGCCCATTTGATGACAGAGGTGGAATTGAGATCAACCAGTCCAGAGATTTCCGAGTCATTATTGCTCAAGATGCGTTTGGCACACTGGACAAGCAATTGGTCTTATTCGATTCGCACAAAACCTCGCCGGATCCAAGTGGGGGACGAGTCTCCACCGGCCCTAAGAGTATACCGAGGGACAATGCTAAAGTTCGCATACAGCCTCAGCAACCTGCTGCTCATCAGCGCAATAGAAGCTCCACAATCGCAGGCCCTCCCAGCGCATGGTCACGCCCAAATCGGGAGCCTGAAGCTGACGACAAGGTAAATCGCTTATTGGAGTGCATGTTTGGCAACACGAGCACAACCAAAAGCGACTCCAGTACCAAAATGCACATCCTCTACTCCGGACGGGACTCGAGGAGCACAGAAGCTCCGAACTCAATGGCTACCTCGGCTCGTCCTCCCTTCGTCAAAGCTCTGACATCAAGCCAGCCTGCTGCAAATGGCAGGGGGCTTCGGACTGTAGGCCAGGAGGCCGTCTCCAACGAAGACGTGATACTGATTACGAGACTGTTCGCCGTTCCGCTGCCCGATTCCCAGGAACCTGTCCCTTCTCGATCCAAGTCTGGTGATCAAGGAAACCTGATCACGTCTCCCACTAGCGAGGATGGATCTGCCGTGAAGCGCACTAAGCTAATAGAAAAAAAGACACCCATGTATGCTGTGGCGCTGCTGGTAACTTTACCCCCCGAGGAAGCCCGCTTACCCTTCTCGCGGCCTCCTTCTCGCATGTCGATGGCCTCTTCCTCGTATCCAAATTCCTTTGGTTCCGATTTTGCGTCATCCTGGACTCTTCTCGAAGCTATTTCGGATTCCTTAGCTTCGTCAACTCGTTCATCCAAGCAGTTTGACAGGCGCATCGATGCACTCACAAGCGTTTGGGATGTCATACTGAGAGGACTTTCAGACGTTGAAGCCGTTGCCAAGACTGAAATCCGGACGTTGCTTCAATTGGTCAACCGTGAGCTCATGTCCTCGATGGTCAAAATACCCAAAGGGCCAAATGAGCAGCGAACCAATCAACGCAATATCTATCTCTCCCAAAGCTTCGCTTTGGCCCATGTTGCAGCTCTTCACCGGTCTAGTAAACATGTTGTGCAGCGTATCAGCTTGGCCCTGCGGATTCCCAAGGCTGTCACTGGAACAGGATTTGTCGACGGGCATTGGATTGACGAAGCACGCTATCTCGTACAAATCTGCGGATCCAAGACGCAGAACTACTTTTTCTTCAACTTATTGACCGCCTTTCTGGGCAACCATACAGAGTGGTTGGAGGGAAGCGGCTTTCGATGGGCATTCAAAGCCAAGAAAGCCGAAAATGAAGTTGATTCAGATCGCGACTCGTGCTCTCGGACGGTCATTGTTGCTGATCATAGATCATTGGCGCGGCGTCTGGTCTTTTTGCTGGCATCCTTCCTGCCTACATCCTCGGGTTTGAGCCCCTTTGAGCAACAAGCACAACAATTCAAGTCGCCCCTTGCCACTCCGGGCCTGCCGTCCTCTTCGCCACTGAAACATATCAAATACGCGGATCCCAGAGCATCAGATCTCAGCAGGCATGGCCATCACGTTTCATTTGGTATAACGGACACTACGAACCTTTCTACCAGCGCTTCGTCGACCGGTAGTGTTGGCCACGCCTCGGCCCGTCGCAATCGTCCGCAACTCGAACGTAAGGACTCGGACGCGGTGTCGGTCAGGACAGCTTCTCGTTTTCCAACTGTCAACTCCAGCACACATCTACGTAAAACCAGCGCCGCCAACTCGGCTATGACTCCTGACCCGGTCACCTCTCTTCCCTACTTCTCAGCTGCAGCAGACAGTTACTTTCCGGAGAACGCTGTCGTTGATGGTAGCGAAAGTGTCGCTAGTGATCAATTAGCCAAGATATTGCGGCGAGACAGCAGTAATACACTGCCTCCCCGGTCGTCTAGCGGCTCCTGGGGCTTCCTGGGCTTGTGGTCAAAAAGACCTACTCCGACGGGTAGTACTGAGGGTCGGATGACAGCAGATTCCAACCACGCTGACAACCCAGCAAACGTCGGTCCACGCAGAGAGCCAAGCAAGCTGGAGTCGATGGTGGGCGAGGCTGCTTCTGTAGCTATTCCAGCTCGGCCGAAATATCCCGAACAGGTTCAGGATCCTGGCTCGTTACCGAAAGATCTCCCCAACATTGGTACGCCACGTCTGAAGGTCGACGAAGAGGATGGCGTAGTCGATGTCGACATCGGAATCCCTGGCTTTCTCGGATGGGAGGTCGAAGATGGGCCAACTTCACCGCCGATCCGCCACCACTCACTATCAGGGAAAAGCTATGATGGTGCAACGTCAATACGCAGCTCTTTCTCCCACTCAACAACTCTTGGTGGAATGGCTAGAGGAGAGGAAACCAGTGTGGCTGGCTACCTCAAACAATATCATGAAGACTTTCGATTGCAGGCGGTCAGGCCGTATCCTGACCTGATGTCTGAGATCAAAGAATCCATGCTCAGAGAAAGTGACACCACTCTCAGCAAGAAGCAGGAATCGGTGAGCATAGAGGACAGTGAGTCTGGAGCTTGGTCGGTGGTAAGCTCGACCCTGGTGGTTGACGTTCGGAAGTTCACCGTGGAACGTCTCGTTCTACATCGCAAGCGACGTTTCGATGACAAGTCAGACCCAGTGACGCCGGTAACTCCGAGTGGTCAAGCTTCTCCGGCCACGAATCATCGATTCACGGTTGATACCATTGGAGATTTCGATCCAACCCTTGCGGAAGCAATAGAAGGCTTGCTCGATATGTCTAGGAAAGTATCTCACTTACGATCTACCTCGGGCGTGACCGCCTCGGGTGTGGCCACGCCTCCAGCATCCTTTGGCCGGGAACTTGATACGCGACCAAGAGCCCTCAGATCCAATTGTCGCCACGCTGTTGCGGACGCTCTGGAGCAAGTCGTGAGGAGTGTCAGCGAGGGCTTGGATAACCACGAGAACGGCCGCACCATAGGCCCACCAGTAGGTTCATCAAACACCAGCAGCTCTAAGAGCGTGACTGGCACCAACATGCTTCGCGAAGGTGTCAAGAATTGGCTCCTCAAAGTGGAAACGAGGAGGCTTTCTACATCACATGCGTGGAGAAACAACAAGGATGACAGAGAGTGTATTAGTATGGAGTGATGTTCTGATGAAGCGATGAGATACCCCTTGATGCAACCTGTATTATTATACGAGAGTTTAGACGGCGTGTAACACTAGCTAGCAATGAATGACTACCTATCAATCTAAATGTCCTTTGATCCATTGTTCGCTATTGTCGTACACTTGTAATCCCGGTCTGGCGGTAGGTCATGTGATGTGGCTTGGCGCTTCGACCTCGAGTCCAAGTACGCGCTGGAACTCGAAGCCTGTTCATCTGCTAGAACGACGACGGCTCGTCTACTTTTCGACATCAGTGGGGATTGGTACTTTCACATCTCTTCGACGACGCCGCCGATGCACGACGGACCTTAGAGCAGCATGCACGAGTCCATCCGGACGCGCCATGATGCGAGTTGACTTCTCGGATCAACCTAGAAGCAGCGCAAACCCTCGGTATCATGTCGACCTTGACGCCAGCATCGGCTGCAACATCTCGACGAAGAGGCAGCTCCTCGTCGACCGTCAAAGGGCCGCGTCTTCCCTATGCACAAGATACACCTAAACGTCCTTCCGGTCAGCCTTTGATGATCAGTGCTACGACATGGGTCCACTTCGATAAAGACTCGATCGACGACATGCTGATCCATGCGACGATTCTTGAGAACGCCGGCATCCGGGAGGGTGACTTGGTGGAAGTCAGGTCAATTCAAAGCTCGCCCCAAGCCCGAGATTTCCAGCCTTCAGGCAGAAGAAATGCTACCCCATCCCCCCACCGAAGGCCATCAACAGCCGAGAGCAGGAAGCATGCCGAGTCAAAGGCCATTTGTCTAGTCAAAGTTGCCCCATCCGAACTGGCCTCGAAACAAGCCAGCTTCGAGGTGTCCCTGAACCATAGACTGGCCACGGCCTTCGGTATTCGTCCACGAAGTGATGTCGAAATTCGGCCAGCCAGTCTCGAAGACCATGTTGCCTCTCATGTCGAGTTCAGCTTCCGAGATGTCTACCTCGCTCGCTCCGACATGTGGCGCCTAGTTGGCCAAGAGCTGGCTGGAAAAGTAGTTCACACAGGTCAGCGCATCACTTTTCTTGGTAGTGTCAGGCTTGTCGTCAAGGCCGTACATGTCAATGGTCACAGAGTCGCAACCGGCTACTTCTCAGGTAACACCATACCTGTATTTCGGAGCGAGGCGGCACGATATGTCATCTTTATACAAATGTCTCGAGAGATGTGGGACTTTGATTCGGAGGGCAATGGCGAGATCCTCTTCAATCGGGTCATCAATGGATTCTTGCCGGATCTTTTCAAGCGATGGACTGAGCTAGAGGTTCGCCACCTCGTGAGCATCGTGCTCTTCAGTCGCCAAGAGTACAGCATGTTTGAGGTCGCTGACCAATACCTCAGACTTCCCTCGAAACCGAATGCTCGGACGAAGTCGCATTCCTACCAGGACTTCTACAAGGTTGTCGTCACAGATATGGCTAGCGCGCAGTGGACAACCATTCTTGACGAGCTTAAAAAGAACTTCAGGGTTTTCCTGCGTGATGTTTCGCTCCACCGCCCCGTTGACGATGGTCTATCAGATACGTCTCACTCCGCCAGCCACGTACCGAAGATTACTGGACGACCTACTACTGCAATGAAGGGCAATATCCTCGAGGCCATCAACTTGGCATCGACTCAATTCTCAGATGACTATCTCGATCGCGATCTGATTCGCACCGGCATCTCAGTGGTGGTAGTGACAGCAGGCGCAGGGGTATTCGAGGTCGACAGGACATTACTCAACTTGACCTCGGAAAATCTGACCAACAATGGGATCGGGATCGACATAGTCTGCCTCTCAAAGATGCCTTTGCATTCGGTCCCACTCTTCAAGTACCGAACATCAGACTCTGCAGATTTCGATGCGTCAAGCCTGAGTGGCACTTCCAGCAGCCCACAGCTTACCAAATCTCAGGCCTGGGCAGGCGTGAGCGCCTCCTCCTCCTTCAAAGCATCACCTCTCATCAATTCGGTGCATAGCTCGAGCGCACATCCCTTGTCGCGGTACTCTTCGTCGCTGCATATGCATGACCCAGACAAGTGGGCCTATGGAATACCACACTGGATTGATCTATCCTACTGGTCGCCGGAAGGCCCAAAGTCGTCGAGTACACTGTCTCCGCTGTCGAAGCACGAAGCACCTACATCTAAGCACAGGAAGGCACCCTTCACGCCTCGCGTACGAATGTACGAGGTGCAGATGATGGGCCTGATGGAAATGGGTATGGCTGATATCAGCATTCCTTGGATGTCAGAGACACAGCAAAATGAGCTACACCAGCGAAGGCGTAGAAAGCCTTCTCAAAGGACGGGATCAAGGAGTCTATCCCATTCCCCAAAGATCTCCAGGCGAAGTCTCCGGTTGGAGTCTGCATCCAGTCGGGAGCATGGACTCTTGTCTGCTGGAACGAGGTTGCTCGGCGGTATGTTCAACAGGATGGACACCTACGAGGACGGGCTATTCAAGCGACCACATCGGAAACGACATGCAGTCACTTCGCCTTCCAAACGCTCAAAAGGTGTCTACGAGACTAAGCAAGTCTTGGCGTCGAAACTCGATAGCACGGAGACAGATCTCAGCTTGGTTCAGTCTAGAGAAGCCTTGATGGCTACGCACCCAAAGCTCGTGAAGACCGAATCCTCACCCGGTTCTGATACCGCCAGCATCGCCACGTTATCCAAGCATCGCAGTCCAGAAGCGATCAGGGCTGCAAGGAATGCGAGCTACGCGCTCAGAGGCCTTGCACCCCCTATGCGGGCTGTCGCTAGTACCGAGATCAATGTCGAGAATGTACAGGCGCATATGCACAAGACTGAGAGTTTGAAGACACGACCAAGCATTGCGAATTCTGCTCAAAGCATCCGATCGCTTTCATACCACAAGAACATATCTCAAGCATCAGGCGTTTCTCGGGCAGCAAATGCTAATCAGCTATCACCGGTTTCTTCGCGCACTGATAGTGACAGACCATCGACACCGATCCGCATATCGAATTCTGCTGCGAAGGCAAACGTGGCTCCCAATGGAGAAGGACACCGCCACACCAAGTCGGACCACTCACTGACGACAACGGCACGAGAACACGATGATCTGAGTGATCAGGATGCAGGTGCAGCCTCAGGCACTGAGGGCAACGGTAGCGACAGTCCCAGCGATGAAGAAACATGGGATTCTTTCCCAAGCTCGGTGCCCAAGAGCACCTTGCCCTTCATACGGAATGTCAATGCTTCGAACCCGCTAAAGGGCAACCCAAATAGGGAGTCCTTTTTCGGTCGCTGGCAGCACCTTTATCCTCGCAAGCCACGTGCAGCCACTGTTAAATGGCGATCTCTATGCACTCCAGCTTCGGTGCCTTTGACAACCGAAGACTTTCCTTCCAAGGATGAACTTGACAAGGACTTCGATCAGGTATCGTATATCGTCTCGTTTGGCGAAACTGAAGAGATCGTTGAGCGACCGGAATCGCGGGATGGGTTACTGAGAGAGATGCTGTCTCTGCGGTTCTCGCACGGGTACCAACTTGTCGTTGGCGCGCGGATGAACAAGTTCGAGGGCCCTGGGCTGCATGATGCGTCCTTCTTCTTCAATCCGGAAGCTCAAAGACATGACGGCCAGTACCTATTCATGTCAATGGGCAACACAATACAGAAGCTAGCCCTTTTGGAGAGGAATAGGATCGGTGTCACCCGTTACCAACGAAAGCCATTCCAGGCTCAAGAGACTCTGCCAAAGCAGGTATCCTACAATCACTATGTACAGACAATTCTCTCGGCGCGATATGTCGGAAGAACGATGCAGCTTGAAGGGTTCGCGGAGCAATATCCCTGGAAGGAAGCCGACGCCTTTCTCGCCAATCCGTCGCAGGGGCCGGATAACGAGGTTCAGCGACTTCGCTTCTGGCGGGCAAGATTCGTTCTCTTACCCGTTGAGCCTCCTGCCAATGCATCCCGATCGACTGCTGCTGACGGTGAGGAGAATGAAGAAGATATACACCTTCGTGGCATTCGGGCTCTGACACAGATATGGCAGAAGATCCGGTACATTCCCCCTGAGGACCGCCGTCCAGCACAAAACCGCATGAGCTCTTTCAAGCCCAAGGATCGCAACCCCTTGCGAATCAACATGGAGACCTTGAATCCGTCTGAGCTAGTAGCTACTGAACTTGACAAACTAGTGGCGGCAGAAGAGGCAGGCGACGTGCAAACTACGCAGCTACTCCCAGAAGACGAACAGTTTGATCGTGAGTCTGTGAAGCTGGGCAAGCTAGCTGCTGCTCTGCAGGGCGAGAGAGGCATCGAGATTAGAAATCGAAGATGGCATCTTCGCTTACATTATAGCTGTTTCCACGGCGAAGAGTTCACCAACTGGCTTGTACAGAATGTTCGAGACATCGACACTCGCGAGGAAGCCGTTAGTTTTGGGAATGAACTGATGAAAGAAGGTCTCTTCGAGCATGTCAATAGCCGCCACAATTTCAAAGACGGCAATTTCTTCTACTCGATCAAGTCGGAATGGCGAGCACCGAAGCAGTCAGAGCTGAAGCAGTCATGGTTGACTGCGAGCAGACGTTCAGACAAATCTGTGCCGCCTACCCCCCTTGTCGAGCAGCCACCAAGCCAAACGCCTCTCACTACCCGGACGAGGTCTGCGTCGAGCCTCGCAGTGGCACTCAGCGCTCAGACTTCGCCGGAGATGACCAGGCCTGTACCCGAGAGAAAGCGATTAGCAGTCTCTTTGAGCAAGATGATCCGTCTGGATGTTGATACACGTAAACGATCGGACCGACCGGAGATCGTCAGCCTACACTATGACCGGCTGCACAACCCGGAGAACTGCTATCACCTGGAACTGTCGTGGTTGAACGTCACATCGAAACTGGTCGACGATGCCATAGTTTCGTGGACAACGACAGCAGAACGCTATGGGCTGAAACTTGTGGAAGTTCCCATCGTGGAGGCATCCAGAGTGCCAGAGAATGAGCCGTTTCGTGCACCTTACATTGTCAAGCTCGCGCAATCTCCTCCCAAAGGACCTCTTGCCACCAGTGGCAACGGCAACGTATATTTCACTGCTACCTCTTTCACACCTCATCAATCTCTGAACAGCGATCTTCACTTCTATCAGAAAGCCATCTTGAAACGTTTCAATTTTGTCCTCGATATCGAAGGTATCTCAGAATTCCCGGATAACGTCGAAATCAATTACTCGTGGGGTCGTCTCAACTACAAATATACTCAATTCATCCATCGATCTGGTGTGATACTTGCGCAAATCACTGATCAAGGAGGGATACTGCTACTCGCCAATCGACTGTACAACTCGCGCCTCGCGTCAGCCCGGGACACATCATCCAAACTCGAGACCACCAAACAGCTCCACGCTGCAGCACAGAACCTCCGCCCTGCCTCCACCGCTTTAGCTCCGTTTCGGCCGGAGACGCAAATGCCGGCTTCTGGTATTGTTGGCATCAATGTTCAATCACCCTCGTTATCTACCACATCCAATCTCCTATCCTCTCCTTCGCCTCTCATTCGGCCACTCCCGCGTCCACTTGCCCTCCCACCACTTTCAGCCCCCGCGACAACCACCAACTCAGCAAGTCCCAGTGCTGTCAACTCGACCTCTTCTGTTCCCCTTGCCGCCACCGCCCACCTGCGAAGTACTCCCGTTCCAGCGCATACGCCACTTTCCACCCCCGGGCTCGCCGGTATGCCGACATCGAACCCCATTGCAACGAGCGCGGCGGCCGCTCCCGCTGCACAAGCACAAGAAAGAGTCTCTGCCGATGTCTTTGGCTCCCGCCATGCATTGGCGTCTGCCTCTTTGGCGACGTACGTCACACCCGAGCAGATCAAAGACGATCTCGAACGGTTCTGCTCCGATCCGAACTTGCTGCAGGCCTTCTACGTCGACGTCCAAGCGATCGTAGCTGCCGCGGCGCAGAGCTCGGCTGCCGGGACCCCGTCGGGCGAGGGCACACCCGGCCAGACAGGCAGTGAGCACGGCCAGCTCCAGGCCGCGGGGCAAGGCGGTGGTGGGAAAGCGGCGTCGAAGGAAGGTGGGACGTTGAAGGACCAGAAGAAGCGGGGCAGCACGAGCAGCAGTCTGCTTCGGCCGGTGCCCGAGGCGGAGATGGAGCTGAACGACTCGGCGGCGGCGCTGAGTGGCATTCCAGAGATGAAGTTGCCCGAGAGCGTGCAGGCGAGATTGACAGGTGGGTTTGGGGTTGGTGGGCGGAAACGAGAGGCTGGTGAAGGATCGGGCTGAGCTTAGAACCCATGGAGGACGACGAAAGAGGGTCCTTGAGGTTTGTATGTTTTACTAACTTAAGATGGAAGCAGCAGGACATGCTAGATTGGATTTTCATGCCCGGTCATTGTTCCAAGACAGCTGCTTTCTATAGGTGGCCCGGATCTTTGAGGACATGAGTACTGTTGCCGCGCCCACCAGCATCACCGGCATTTGCATTATAGTCCCAACGGGCGCTGCTTTGAGGCTTCGACTTGGCAACGCGACTGTCATGAATGGACACTACAAGCAGTTGAGATGTAAGGCCCGCAGGAGAGGTCTTGGTAATTCGCATTCTGTCGCTCCATCCGTCGGAAAACTCGGCGTTTTGCTGTATAACACAATTTCAGCCTCCGTCGATCAGTTCTGGCTATAATTTGGTATTATGTATATGCTCCGTCGACGGTTCTGGTGATAGAATGCGAGATCTAGTCACAGAGCAGGCACCACAGTTGATCTGGCAATGCGAGATCTGACATCACACGGTGAAGCTGCGTATTTGGGTATTTGCTTGAGCAGGTATAAAGCGACGACCAATTCCCGGCAAGTTCATGAACATGTCTACACTTGAGCAAAATGCATTTCTTTACCATCACCACTCTCACCCTGGTCGGATGCTGTTGGGCAGGCCTCACTATCCGTGACGAGACCAATGTTGGCAACGACACAGCAGGTGCCTGTCACTATGAGTACTTCAATCAAAAGGTCGACCACTCTGGCAAAGAAAATGGCACATTTACACAACGATATAGTCTCAACACCGACTACTACGAACCTGGAGGGCCTGTCTTCTGGATGCAAGGATCCGAGGGTGCGGATCTTGGCTGCATCGTGAGTATGCACCTACAATTCTCTGTGGGCAATTAGCTGAACTCGGCATCAGACCGACTACCAGGCTCTCGCTTGGGCTCAAGAATTCAAAGGTGCAGCTGTGGTACTGGAACACCGCTACTTCGGGGTCAGCAAGCCTTTCGGAGCCACCGACCCAGCAGAACAACCTGAAGAATTCCAGTTCTTGACCTTGGACAATGTCATGGAAGATGCCGTGGCCTTTGTGGACAGCTTGCGAGCCAATCTGACGGGCGGCCGTGAGTCCAAGGTCATCATAAATGGCTGCTCCTACCCTGGTTGGCTTACAACTCTGTTCCGTCAAAACAGGCCCAATACATTCTGGGGCGCCGTTTCATCGAGCAATCCTGTCGAAGGCTGGCTGACATCCGAAGACAAAGGCCGCAACTACGACTACAACAACTGGCTCAACAACGTTTATCAACAAGAGTCGTTCGAGGCGTGGAGCAACATCCGCACAGCATACGATGCATTGAAAGATCGTGTTGAGTCTGGCGATTTCTCGACCTTGCAGACCGACTTCAACACCTGCGACACGCCCACGGCTGAAACAGCACCCCTTCTATACTATTACGGAGGCTCGATCCACGGTCTCGCTGCGCAGTACAACAAAAAGGCTGTTGGGGTCAACCCGACTCCTTTTCCGCTACAGACAGCCCTTGACATAGCAGTGTCGGAGCCCGATCCGATTCAACTCTTGAACAGAACCATCTGGAGCTGGGTTGAGCACCTCGACATACCGTGCCTGGGCCTCGAGGCCTTGGGTTTCAGTGCTGCCATCGTGCCCGCCATTGAGGGGCCTAGTTTCGACTACATAACATGTAAGCTGTCTTTCCGTCGCATATGGGTTTTAGAAACCGTCCTTGACTGACCAAAGCCATCAAAGGCACCTTCTGCATGCAGGCCGGCGCCGGCGGCTATGGCAACGACACCTTCTTCACCTTCGGGCCCTTCGACTCCACGGAAGTGAAGGTGCAGACGTGCAAGGACGCCTACGGCCTCACACCGTCGCCCGCAGACGAGATGCGTGTCGAGTACAAGTACACGCGGGCCGACCTGCGCAACAGCACGCGCATTCTCTGGATCGGCCATGAGTACGATGGCACCACGGCGTATGCCGCCCGTGAGCCCGGCGTGACCCTGCCAAGCTTGAGTCCCGACATCGACGTGTCGAGGTTCCTGTTTGTGCCGGAGGGGTCGCACTGTGAGGAGCGGAGCTATCCTCGGGAGGACGACAAGCCGTCCATCAAGCGGGTGAGGGCGCAGACTGTTGAGGTCATTCGTGGGTGGCTGGAGTCGGCTTGAGTCACGTCCTTTTACAATATTGGCAAGGATTAGTCGCAGTGTACAGCATACTCGTATGTACTGTTTGCTCAGATCGCTGTGGTCTAGATTAGTCACGGCCGAGCATAGCCACGGGACGGGATGCTCCCTGTCGAACCGAGCCGCCCTCTAGACGCCCTAAATTTAGGCCACCACCGCTAAGCCTCGATCCCGCGTCTTGGTAACGACTCTACTCCGTCCTACCCAAACTGTTCCAGATTGGAGGACATTGATCAGCTACTCTGCAAAATGCACCAGAGTCCCCTGCACCGATGGCACCCCCGCCTTCGCCCCCATTCCCACGGCTGGGTCTGTGACTCCACGCGGTGATTTGGGCCATTAGACGACGTATCTAAGCTGCTGTCGCCCAAGCGAGCTGCAGTTCGGGGGGTCTTTCGTGTTGTTGTTGCTGCTGTTGCTATCGACCCTCCCCATCATCTTCCGCCATGGTATCCAACTCCAGCTCCGACAGGGGACTGTACACCCAGGTTGGCGGCGGCGGCGACGGCGTCACTGGTCTAAATTCGAAAACGCCGCTCAGCAGCAGCACCAAGAGCAACGAGCTCCGTGGCCGCAGGAGCTGGCGCGCGCCATACACGATCCTCGCCTCGCTCTCCCTCGGTCTGGGCATCTCGCTCGCGCACCACTTCATGAACGCGCATCTGGACGGCAAAGCGGTCAACGAGATTTCCATGTCTCAGTCGTGGGTGTCGCGATTCGGTACGGCGCTGGCGTTCCTCGCCAAGATGTCCTTCACCATCAGCGTGGGCGCGGCGTTCATCCAGCATCAGTGGATGCGGTTCCATCGACAGGGGCTCCGGATTCAGGACGTCGATGCCTTGACGAGCGTGCTGGGCAATTTCTTCAGTTTTTTCAGCAGCACCGTGTGGTTTCGGCAGCCGGTCTTGACTTTGATTGGGTTGATCTCATGGTATACACCACTTTTTTCCACTCTCAGCTGTTGACAAAGACACACATAACTGATTTCCTGAACAGGGCGATTCCGTTTGCCGCCGTCATAACGCCTGGTTCGCTGTCCGTGCAGCCCGTGCACAGCGTCAACACCACTTCTCTGCAGGTGCCGCAGCCGCTGTACAACGCCACCAACTATGGGTACATGCAAGCGGGAGGAGGTGGGTATGCCCTCACCACCGATCCGCGTCTCTACAGGCTGGCATTCAACACTGCGTCGGCAGCTCAACCGATCCAGTTAAGGTCTGCTTTCCCGAACGAGACGTACCACGTGCAGTTCGACGGCCCGGCGGTTCGATGCATCCCCGCCAACGACTCGATCGTCTACAACCTCACATACTATCATGGCGACACTCTGAATGCCGGCAGCAGCGGCAACCGAGACAAGTATCTCGCCTGGGTCCCCGGCAACGAAGAAGCACTAAACTCGTCCTATGTGGAGCAGTTCGACACGCTCGATCAGACGTCCGTCGACACGGCACGCATCTTCATCATGACCAACCTCGGCTTCTGGAACGTCACGCGCCTCACCCAACAACTCGACTATGCCACGACCCTGACCAACGGCTCCGACAGCACCTACGTCGAGCAGCGCCAAGTCAACGTCACCGAGTGCCAGCTCCACAACGCCACCTACGAGATCGACTTCCGCTTCCAGTACCCAGAGCAGACGCAGAACGTCTCCATCTCCCAGTGGCTCAACCCCGTGGCCGCCGCCGGGTTTTACAATCCCGTCGGCTCCACGGCCGACAACGCCACCGCCGCCACCATCATCTCCTACTCGGCCATGATGGACGCCTTCGGCCGCATGCTGGCCGGCAGCTCCTCCGAGAGCCACTACATCATCGAGCGGCCCCTCTACACGAGCTACGGCATCATGAGCGTCGACTGGGCGGACGGCACCGCCGTGCAACGCGGCTTGGAGCAGCTGTTCCAGAACTTCACGCTCAGCCTGCTCAGCGATTCGGGCCTGGTCAAGAACGCGTCGCAGGCGGACAACCTCCCCGTTCAAGTCACGAGCTATCCCATCACGTACGTGTACGACGCTGAAGCGCTGCTGCTGGCGTACGGTATCGCCTTTGTGTGCAGTGTCGCCTGCTGTGCGGTTGGGTTATACGCCTTCTTCGTCAACCACGCAAGCTACCAGAATCTGTTCTCGACGTTCGTGCGTGCGACGAACGATGCCGAGCTCAGATCTCTCATTAGCTCGAATGACGATGGTGCAGATCCACTGCCGAAGTCGCTGAGTCGAGCCGAGATATCCATGATGGACGGCTCACGTGCGGGTTGAAAATGGTCTCCATAGAAGAAACAGAATGTCAACCCCCTGGTCTCTCCCACTCGTCAAGGCTTCAGCTGCAGCTGCTCAGACAATCCGCAGGTCTCTGAGATTTGATAGCCTCAAGTTCTCCGCCGCGTAGTAATTGCACCGCCCGATTCTCTCCCATGCGCCAGGCACGCGTCGGGACGGCCGCAGCGCCACTCCTCGGTACCAGGGGCGCTCATCCTTCAACGGTCGCTTCTCGATGAAAGCCACCAGCACAAATGCTCCCTCGGGCATGTAGTCGGCACTTGCGGCCGCGTCGTCCAAGGGCACGTCTTCCTCCAGCCTCACACTCGTCTCGTTGACACGAAGTCGAAAGAGCTGGTCACCATTGTCCAAGATCCTTGGACTCCTGTCATAGACGAGCTTACTGTCGACGCAGGGGGCACGGAGGATCAGGAAGCCATCAGAGACCTGTCCGTAGGGATCTAGCGTTGCAAGCGAGCACTCTATGTCCTTGACCTGGGCGAGACTCGCGCCGGTCCTTTCGAGAAGCCAGCCGCCGCATTGGGCTTCGACGGACGCCCACGACCACGAGGGCGCGCGGTATTGCGCGGGCCGTCGTTTCCGCCAACCCTTCTCGACCATGCCGATGCTTGTCATCCATAGTAGTGCACCGGGCAAGGTGTTTTCGTAGATACCTGCATGGTAACGGCCCATGGCGGACATGTGCATGCGGCGGGCCACGCCGGACAGCGCGGGAAGCCGGTCACTGTCGAAAGCAAGGGAGCGGGCCGTGTACTGGTTCACGACCATCATCCACTGTGTATACCGTTCCTGAATGTTGTCTGTCTTCTGTATAACTCGCGCGTGGTCGAGCTTGAAGTTTCCCTCGTACTTCCCCGAGTCCCAGCCCTTGCCGGATTCAATGCCGTGGCACTCGCAGCGTAGGGCTTCTTTGCATTCCCATACGAGCTCGTGCTGCGTGTAGTGGACGATGCGGGATGCCAGGAGCCGTTCTTGGAAAACCCAGGCTCGGTCGAAGAGAGGCATTGTTTCGAATGTGACGGGATACTTGGCTGCGAAATCACTGTGCTCGATCAGTTGCTTGACTGAGACATTCATGGCCTCACCATCATCGTCAAGAATGGCGTAACTGGGACATCTTTCATAAAAGCATCCATCGTCTCCGGTCCTGGATCTCGTCGCGGCCACCACCACATAGGCGTTCTCATAGATGGACGACATCCGACTCGCCTCGGCAGCCCAGTCCGCAGCGTCGTCTTGAATGATACAAAGTGCGTCAATCCAGATATATTTCAGCCCAAGTCGCCTGGTAATGGTAATGGCGTCCCGAAATGTCTTCGTAAATTCTATCCATGGGATGCCTTGATATTGCTGAGTGATGTTCGTCTTTGTTGTCTTTGGGACAGCTTGGATCCGGTCTCGCTTAGCTCCCCATGAGTGGCTCAACGCGACGTAATTCTGTACGTTTTGGGTAGGCACGAGACAAGGAACATCAACAGAGACATCTAGGAGTCTCATCGGCATCTCTTTGTTGACACGACTCTGTCTGCAGGTGGAGTGCTTTTGCAGACAGTCCTGTATCCAGGATTTGATTGTCAGAAAGCACCTGGGGTCATCTGGTGTTGCTGGTATATCACCCACGCTTCTGATGCCCGGTGACGAGGTCGGCACACCAGCTGGCACATAGAATTCCAGCTCCAACTCATCCGGACCGTTGCCATCCCTCCTTGGTCTTTGGAGGCGGACTACGCGAATGTGGGAGTCCTCATCCACGGGACCGAAAAAGACGCTGATTTCGGACTCGGGCCAGGGCGAATGGCTAGATTCGTGGGACTTGTTGTATTCGAGTACGTTGCCACCCAGCCAGAAGCCTCTGAAGTGAAGCGCTCCTCTGAGGATGATATCGCATCCTTTGCAGCCGTCACCGGCAGCCTGACGGAGATCGGGCAGGTGCACGGTACTCATAAACCGACAGACTTTACACTGCACCCCGGAGCCTGAAATCTCCTGCATATTTCATCTTTTGATCTGAAAATTTCTCTGATCTTCAGTATCAGGCTGAAGATATGGTTCATGAGATGTAGTGCATCTAGACCTGTGGGTACCTGCAGACACCGGCGCCCAATCGTATCCCTGTCTGCTCTGGGCGGCACGGGTGTGTCATAAACGTTCAGCAATAAAAACTGTGCTACTTTGGCCGCCTTCCTTGACAGAGATAGCGAAGTTCTTGAAATTATGTGACTTCTCCGTCCACGAGATGCATCGTAAAGATCTGTTTGGAATTGCCTGCAAGACCTGTCGCCGCCGTGGAAGAAAGTGTGATCGCAGGCTACCGACGTGTGAGAATTGCGAGCTCAGAAGTGTAGAATGTGAAGGCTACGTTCTGAGGTGGGTCAATAATGCTGTCAAAGAAAGGTGCTCATCACCTGGGCATGCGAAAGACGTGCCTGCCGGTCAAGGAAGGTGTAGAGCAGGCAAGGCAAAGACCGTCGAACCGGTCACAAATCGTCAGCGGCCAATTCGTCGTATGGAACATGAAAACCATGCTGTACATCACACGAACTCCCAGTGCCAACGACCAAAAGCTGGCACGGTGCCCATCAGGTTGTTTCCGGCACCAGATGATCTCGACGATCTCGTTAGATACTGTACGGATCCATCAGGAGGACCGTGTGGCTGTGCGCTGCTAATCACATAGTAGATGTTCAAGAAATCAGCACAGCTTTCTATCTGGGCCTCGACCCCGCCGAATCGTCTAGCACTGGTCACATTCTCTTAGCAACCAGAGTCATCCCTTCTGTCCGATATGTCGTGGCTGCCACGGCATCAAGTCACCTTGCGAATCGGCTAGGAGACGAACAGCTACAGCGAAGAAGTCTTCACTTGCGGGTGAGAGCTACAGAGCTTCTGCGAGCAGAGCTGGAAAGCAAAAGCGACTACGGCGGTGGCCCAGATGTTGCGCGTCTGCTTTGTATGGTTTTGCTCGCCCAACTTGATGTACGTATAGCCTCACTGCATTATGGACAGTCTCATGCTGACTCTTATGGAAGCTCTGTTCAGGAGACTGTATTGAGTTCGCAACACATCTCGACGCTGCGCGAAGACTCATACAGCTACGCTGCCTCGATAGTAGAGCTCAAGGATTCATTGAGCAGCGTATACTATGGTAAAACTCTTTTACTTCTTGTACGGCCAGCAAGACTGACCAGGCAACCAGGCTGGATATAATGGACGCGACTGCGAATCCAAGAATGCCACATCACACACAAGCAGATATCAGCCGCATACTCAACAACTTCAGACACCAATCAGGGCGCAGAACATGGGGCTTCGATGTGTTCTACTGCCCAATCGATCTTTTCGAGCACATTGGCGAAATCGTAGTCCTATATGAGTCACAGCGCGACCAGCAAGAGATTGCTATGCTCAACAACATCGACAAAGCAGTCCGCATCATTAACGCAATTCAAATCTGGTCTATGCCCGTCGAATCTAAGCTACGCCACCACACAATCGAAGTATGGCGAACGGGCATCCTACTTTACTTGGCTCGCCTGTTCCATCTTACTAACGATATCTTGAACAAAGCGGATCTGATCGAGACTATTTTCCATCACAGACACGCAATACCTTCCAACACAAGCTGGAGCTACGCAACTTCGTGGCCGTTGTTCCAAGCTGGGTTATTGCTGACCAGTGAAGACCATCACAAGACATGGCTTCGAAACGAGTTACACTCTAACTTCCAGACCCTGGGATGCTTTCACCAAAAGCTTGCTGTCGATGCTTTGGATCAGCTGTGGCAGGCCAACGACGATGTGTTGGATCCTTTATTGGCGATCAAGTCTCCCTTTCGAAGAGCTATCTTCTATTGAGCTGTGGTACAGTCTAGCTGACGCCAAAAATTGGCCTTTTCCTACGGAGCCTGGTCTGTTTGACCTCATTCTTATGCGTATAACGGTATTGCCACAAGCTTTAAGGACAATATCTGGCAAGTTTGCTAGGCGGCAATAGACTCTTCGCAACATGTGCTCATTTTTCTGGGTAAAATCGACCACAGACCGCACCAATCTCACGCAGCAGCCTCTCCTTGACCGCTGGCTCTGCCCAAGAGGAATGGACAGCATTCTTCGCCAACCTAGCAACATCCTTATCGTCGAATGCGCACAACCGTTTCGCCAACAGCATGTTCTCCAACACCCAGCAATCTTCCATATACGCCGGATCATCACTATTAATACTAATCTTGATACCCGCATCGTACAATTTACGAATCTTGGGCCCCAGCTCCGCAAACGTCGTATGTCGCAGATACGACCACGGACAAATCGTCATGCCCACATCGCGCTTCACAATCATGTCGATCAGACTCTGGTCCTCGGCGGCGTTGAGACCATGGTCGATGCGATCCAGCCCTGCGCCTGCAACGACAGAGGCCGCCTGCCGGATGTGCTCGTGCGTGTTCTTGGAGCCAACGTCGCAGTGCATCGTCAGCTTGAAGCCGTCGCGGCGCGCGAGGGTGAAGACTTCGTCGAACAGGGTGGGCGGGCGGTCCGTCTCGTTGGAGTCGAGGCCGATGCCGATGATGGTGTCGCGGTAGGGGAGGGCGGCTTTGTAGTGTTCCATGGCGGAGGAGGGGGAGAGGTCGCGGAGGAAACACATGATGTATGCTGATTTTACCTGTTTCTCATTTAGTCAACTGTCTGGCGTGGATCAGTAGTGTGTGGGGTGACGATGGAGGCATACATTCAGATCCGCCTCGGCCTGTTGCCGTGCTTCTCGAAATCCTACCATCATAGTATCCCAGCCCACGCCCCGACTAGTATGTCCCTGCGGATCGAAGAACAGCTCACAGTACCTCACATTCATCTTGGCCGCATGCTCAAAATAATGCATCGCCAAATCGAAGAAGTCCTCCTTCGTCTTCAGACACTCAAACCCTTCATAATACGCCTCAAAGAACTGAAACCGTTCCTCGTCGTTGTCGACGCGGCTGGGGTCTGGGCGGAGCAGGTCCATCGCAACCTGCATTTCCTCGAGAGTCTTGAGCTCAGGGCCGTTCTTGGCTATGCGCAACTTGGTTCCGTTCCGTTGCGTCAGCTTCCAGCGTAGCTCCGCGGTCAAGGTCCCTTCGAGATGGACGTGTAGCTCGACCTTGGGGATGCCGAGGACGAATTCGTCGCCCTGGGCTATGAGATCGTCTCGCAGCTGCTCGCGGAGCCGGACTGGGAGGGCTTCTTCGATGCCCATGGTTGGTTGAATGGTCGAATTTGAGGCTCACACTGAGGGCTGAAGTCGAGAACGAGCTGATCTTGGGTGAATTCCACAGACACACACTGCGATCGGCCAGTTTGGAAGCGCTGACAGTGTCCCATATATATATATATATATAGAGTCTCTCACAAAAAGTCAACGGCATCTCCAGCGTGTGGCTTTCTCACCTCGGGATATCTTTGAGCGAAGCAGGCTCAATCAGTCTCGGATCTCAGTCTTTTGCAACTCATAACTCCATTATGGACCAGTCCCACGGTGTAACAGCAAGAATGTTCGACGCCAATGACTCAACCACAGCAAGTAGTTCTCGGACTATTCCGCATGAGGAAGGAATGTGCGTCGGCTATTTCCCGGCCTGTCTCTTAACCTCACATCGTTTTGATCAGGGACCGGAGTTTAATGCTGTAAGTCGCTGCTATTGCTCCGAAAAACGACGGCTCGTGGTGCTTCATGATAACGAGGTAAATAACTTAAGATGTCGAGCTGGTGGTCGGCGCCTTTGACGTCGTCGGCGCTAAGTTCCGCGATTGAGAAGTTACTAACTTACTAACCCTATACGGTATATAGAATGAGCACCCCAAAAGTCTCGAGGACGGGACGACCAGGATTGGCCAGTGGTCATAACTCAACCACTGATTACAGTCATCAGGCCGTGGTTCATACGCATTTGGCATTCTTGGCTTACCCTGGCGTATAGTACCAATCTGTGATGTTGGATACGCGTACCGCATTACCAAGCAACAGCAAGTATATAAGGGTAGTGGCTTGACTCTCCCCAAACTTGCCTGGCTAGGCCACCATCACACCAACAGAAAAAAGAGCAGACAAAATGGCCAATATAAACGACCATGAGCTAGACGCTAGGAACACGGGCGCCGATATCGACGACACAAGTAATGTAGACCTGCAGAGTCTGCCACCAGTCGACGGCGGCAAGGCTGCCTGGCTCACACTTACAGCATGTTTCTTCCTTGAAGCCACTGTCTGGGGGTACGCAAGAGCTTCCTTCGTCGAATCCACACTGTTCATGTGTGAGATGCTGATATTTCTATCGTATACAGGTTCCTCCATTCCTACGGTGTCATGCAGGACTACTACCTCCAGCACGAGCCATTCATGGGCCAGCCCGGCCCTCTTGCCGCCGTGTCCACCACCGCCACGGCGATCATGCTCTTCGGCTCGCCATTCATCTCCCTGATCCTGCAACGATTTCCCAACCTCAGACGCGTAGGGGGTTGTGTTGGCCTGGCCATTATGTTCTCCGGGCTCCTCATCGCGTCTTGGACCAGCTCTTCAATGGTAGTGTTGTGGACTCAGGGTGTCATGTATGGTATCGGCGCCTTGCTGGTCTACTTTCCAGCCATGTTCTTGATCGACGAATGGTTTGTGGAGCGCAAAGGCTTTGCGTTTGGAATCTCCTGGGCTGGCACCGGAATTGGCGGTGCTTCTACGCCGTTCTTCTTGCAGTGGCTGCTGAATACGCGGGGTCACAGCACGACTCTGCGTGTGTGCGCGGGATTAATTGTGGGTTTTCCTTTTTGTTCAAGGACCTTCTGATGTCGACTCGCTGACTCTCGCAGGCTGTGACTGCGCTGCCATGCGTCCTCTTCATGAAGCCCCGGATCCCAGTACGGGGTCCCCGACGGCTTCGACCAGTAGATTTAGGCTTCGTCAAGGGAAAGAAGTTTTGGATGTATCAATGCCCTAGCATTGTTCAGTCCATCGTCGCTCCGATTCCCAGTCTATGGCTGCCCTCCTTCGCATCGTCAATGGGCATGGCTGCAGCAGCAGGCCCGCTGTCTCTCTCTCTACTGAATCTTGCCTCATGCTGCGGGTTCATGCTCCAAGGACGACTTGTCGATCGCTACCATGTCAGTTGGGCCATCCTGATGGCTACCCTCGGCTCCACCATAGCCGTGTTCGGTTTTTGGGGATGCAGTACCCATGAGGCCATGCTGTACGTCTTCGCGATCCTCTTCGGGCTGTTTGGAGCTGGGTACCCTGGTCACTGGATTGGTTGTGCGTCAGATATGAAAAGGACTTTCCCGAATCTGAGCACAGGTTTAGTCATCTCCCTACTTTGTGCTGGGAAAGGCGTGGGCAGCATCCTGGCTGGTCCAGTCAGCGAGAAGTTGTTGTCGATGAAGCCATGGCATGACTCTGCATTGGCTTATGGATCATCATATGGCACGACCATCATTTTCACAGGTACATGTGTGTTTCTGGGAGGTGCTGGTGCGTTTCCACGCCTTGCACACAGTCTAAGCATACCGCTGAGGAATACTCTTGCGGTTGAGGCAAACTCTGTGAGAGCATTGAGGACGTCTGTAACCACCTGAGAAGCCAATCGATGCTGTCGGCCTGTTGCCGACGGACGACCAAAAGATCTCACTGTCATACACTTGTCCTTCTGCAAAGTGCCAGCAAGGAAACTCGTTATAAGGGGTATGTCCATCAGAACAGCATTTGTAGGGTTCTAAGTTTGCACGAAAATGCAACTGTACTGTCTGTTCAAGTCTAGGGACACATACGGACTGGCCCCGAGATATTTGGTCTCTTCGTGGACAGCCGTTCGAGAAGCCTGGTAGCATCTGTCTCCATGCCACTCAGTGGCACTCACCTTCACCGTTTGTTTCGTTCGATTTCATTTCAACGCAGTTAGTAATCAGGAAGCCGATGTGCTACCGGATGGTAGTGTTCTTCTTGTATCGGGTACCGAACATCTTAGATAGTGTCTTGCCTACGTTGACAAGGCTCACTCCGCCTCGCGTTTTGAGAAAGTCAAAACACTAGGGAGCTGGTCAAAAGCCGCCTTGCGCCTCGTTTGCTGCACGCGCCGTGCCGTGCTTGCGAGTCTTGTGTAGTGATTGGGCAGAGCAGCATGAATTCCGAAACTTCGCATCTCTTAGCATTGGGGGCCGAGATGCAGCCATGCAGCCACCCTTGTACCCAGGGGGCCTGGCCTGCTAGTGTTGCACAAGAAGTACGGAAACCGCCTTGTCTTTAGCAGTTGTTATTGTTTCTGTCTTCTGTTGTACTGGCCAGCCTTCCTTATGCATTCTGTCCTAACAGTATTGCTCTTAACTTCCACAGGCTGAAGCGACCTCGTACGTGTGATACACAGAGAGCTCTAACAGGCCTGTGCTGGTCCGAGTTCCGCCCGCTGCGTACTCAAGGCCTCATTGTCACTTCTGAGATTTGTATGCAGCTTTTCAGACGATCACTAGCTACACAAAACAGATCTTGTCAGCAGAACAACTATGGCCGGCAACCAGGATGGATTACCGAAATACACGAAAGTCCAGACAGCAGTACATGATACTACATCTCGTCCGAAAGAGACCTCGAAGCCATGGGGATTTGATCGAAATCGCAGTTGCTTCTGGATGATTTTGTCCCTCCTGAGTGGCGTAGCCTTGACCGTCGGCCATCACTTCTTCTACGCTAGGTTTGACGGTCAGCCAGTCGACGAGGCTTCGATTGACCAGACGTGGATCATTCGAATAGGTACCGTGTTTGCTTTTGTCGCCAAAACGCTGCTCGTCGTGGCGGCTTCGATCGCTTTCATTCAACACCAATGGTTGACGCTTTCACGTAACCCATTGAAGATCCGCCAGATCGATACGGTGACTGGTATTCTTGGGAACGCTCTGTCGTTCTGTGAAAGTCGGATATGGTTACGCTTCCCCCTGCTTACCATGCTGGCTATTGTTACATGGTGAGCTCTGAAAAGGAAATTCCTTTCACTGTTATGCTAACTCTAGAAAGGCTACTCCCGATTGCTGCCGTTGTCACACCAGCAACCATAAACGTTGTCGCAAGGGATGATATCACGAGTAGCGATAGTGCTCCTCCACAGCTGTATCTGGACCCTAACTCGTACGGCAATCTGCAAACCTTGGTGCGATCAGATTACATCGGACCCTCGCCAGACACCCTACGTACAGCCTACGGTAGCGCTATGACAGGTCAGATACTCGGCATCACGCAAGCAAACCCCAACATGACCTACACTCTGCAATTCCTCGGACCGGCCCTGCGCTGCGACCACGCTGATGCTGCTCTTGTGAGCGATGTGTATGACTCCTACATGGACTATTTCACCGGCATTGAAAATCAATACTACTACATGGCATGGGTGCCTATCAGCGATGATAGAGGCAATCTATCTCGTGCCTTTGGAGACGATGCCGCCTCTCTGGACACAGTATCTACCGACGCTGCGCATTTGTACATCATCCCCAACACTTCTATTACAGGGCCAATGTTTGTAGGTGGAATGCCAATCACCTCGGATGATATGCATTACGGATATCAAGATCTTCTCGACTGCAGTTTGCACAACGCATCGTACAAAGTATTCTTCAACTTCACGTTTCCAACTCAAAGCATAGATGTGGTGTCCCGGGAGCTGCTTAATCCTGTCAACGTCTCGATCGACATTTCAGAGTGGCAGCGCTCAACTGGACCACCTGATGTTACCGCTCGGCAAGCACAGCGTATTAGTTATCAATCAATAATGGATTCTTTCGGTCGACTGCTTGCCGGCTACGAATGGTCCAGGGACGGCTTCGTGGTCACGGAAAAGACCAGCTGGAACATGATTGCGATCGATTGGACGACTCGAGATGGGACTCAGAGAGGCCTCGAACAATTGTTCCAGAACATCACGCTCAGCATGCTCGGCACATCATCCTTGACGCAAGTATCCCCCTGTTTCTCGCACGCCGAAACTCAAGCTGACGAGCAGAATTAGCATGAACACTACGATCGCAGCCCAGAACCAAGTCCCCGTCTCCGTCATCACCAGCGTGAACGTCTACTCGTACGACCCACGCGATCTCTGGCTCGCATACGGCGTAGCTTGCGGAGCCACTCTGGTATCAACTCTTCTGGGTCTCTATGCCATGTGGCGCAACGGCGGTGTTGGCTATCAGAGCATCTTCTCCACCTACATTCGGACGACGCGGAATCAAGCGTTGCAGGATCTCATCGAGCAAGACGACCACGGGACGGAGCCCCTGCCCAAGAAGCTTGCCGAGACGAGCATTATACTGGATACTTGACCGTACCCAACGACAATCGGCAAGTAGGGCAGATTGAGCTTCAACCCACACAATTACGGAGCAATACCCGCACGTAGCGAAGTCTCTCGATGCGTTGCGCTTCACTGGCCGTCATAACATACTGAACATGAATATGGGCGCCGGCATCGCTGAGTTTCAGATCAATATGCGTCTCAACTCGCGTCGCATCGAGTACGACACAGCAAAAACCAGATCCCACGACAGTATTCTGTGTCTGACAGGCAAACAACCCCGCCCGACTTCATGGTCTACCGCCACCAGTCTCCCGTCTCACATCTCACTGCTCCTGCAAGAGCGCCGTACAAACATGGCACGGCGCATCTGATCATGCAATGAGCAGGGAGCTGCGCTGCTGGCGTTCGGCAACGTGGTTCGTTGCGCTCGGCGAGGAGGAGGCTGTGTAGGTCCTGCAAACTGGAGTTGAGTTATGCAACAATAATGTGCTCTTGACCATCGAGGCTGCCGATTGGGATGACCGTTTGTTGGTTGACGGCAGTACTGAGGTAACAAGACTATCAAGGGTACCGCATCAGGGGAGTGACTGTCAGCTTGGTGATGCCGGCAAGACTGGGGTAAGAAGGAGGGCATCCACATCAGGACATGGTGTTCGAATGTAGCGTTTTGCGCGGACCTAAAACGAGGGTGCCTGCTTCGAGACTGGCCCATCCAATGCCACGTGAGTTTGATCTACACTTCACTTCTTCTACATCTCTTCGTGCTAGCTATCCAAGTCTCCCTCTCCGAGTCGGCCCAAGCCTCCCAAGCCCCCTCCGCCACTGACCGCGCCAATCCCGTCACGACTACCTAGATTACCACGATTTCGGTTTGGACTAGCCGTGCGACTGCCCCGTAGCCCATCCAGGTCCAATCTCTCCCTGCTCTCAGTCCGGACGACCAAGCCCGCCCTATCGATTGGGCTGGGCTTCAACGTCTTTCGTGGACTCAGCTTGCCGTTCCCAACTGCAAGGCTGCCCTCGTCCTCGTCAGATTCGTCTTCAAAATCACGCAGTTCGAAATCCGATGGGTCGTGGAGTGGAGCACCGGATTCGGGGTCACCAGCCAGGCGCGAGTACGGAGTGCGCCCGCAACCCAAAAGGCGACGGAGGAGAGACGGCTGCTGGGATGGGTTCTTGCGAAAGCCGTTGGGCGAGCCAGGCGTCGAAATGCCCAACCATGCGTATGCGCGAGAGCGGCGCTCGCGACCGCAGAGGAAGAAGGACGCAATGAGAACAATGAGCAAGAAGAAGATGAGACCGGGAAGGCGATGAGCAGAGTCAGACTTGAACAGTGTCTCGTGGACCTTGCCGACAATTCCCCCAGAAGAGGGCACCTCGGGTATCTTGGGTTGGAAAATATTGGTTGATGAAGGGTAAACGAAATCACTGGGTATGGTACGTCCATCGTTAGTGCCGAAGCCAACGGGCTCAGAATCCAAGCCCTCGCGCAGAGGGGTGAGGGGCGGGATGGTGGACGAGGCGTAGAGGAGAATTTTGCCAAGCGTCCAGGTTACTTCTGTCTCGCGGATTTCGTCGACAGCTTGAAAGGGCGAGTTAAAGTCATTGGGATTTGACGTTCCATTGGATTCAAGACCAACCCGTGGGATTCCGATTCCGTCATGCAGCATGTTGATGAGCCAGGAAGATTTGAAGCAGACCTCTTCGGCGGTTTGGGCATCAACTTTCTTGCCCCATTCGTGTTCTTCGACTTTTGCTTGAATCGTGGACCAGTCCATAGAGCAGAATTCGCGAACTCGTTCTTGGTAGGTGGCAAAATCGTAAGCTTTTTCGTCGTGACCCATCTCGAAGATCTCGTGGGTTGAGTGCCAGAAGTTAGATATGCCGATGAAATGATTCACATCGAAGTCGATGGATGGGACGTGCTGGCCGTTGATTAGGCAAGGCTCGTCAGGGCAGGGAACGGAGAGTTCGAGAAGGGGGTATGTATCTTTCAAGCATTGATCAATATCCCCGGTGCCAATAAGATGCTTATCTTTGGTGCTGTCATCCAAGATATCATGCGAATCCAAACTCATCTTCACGCCGTGCGGCAGGCACGGATCGGGATATTCAGTGATCGACTCGCCGTATGAATCTATCAGATTTTCCAGATATCGGCGGCGCGCCTCGTTGATTCCATAACCAAGCCAGGTGGTGGAGAATACTTTGTACTCGTCATTGGAACCATCAATCTTGCGCAGACGGAGGAGCTTGAGATCGTTCGAATGCTTCTCTGCCTCGGTCGCATTGGGCACAAACGCAATCTGCGACGATGCGCCGCCCATGTCGAGGAAGCCATAAGTATGGTGGCCCTTGCCGTGGTCATGCTCGTTGGTAACCGGGGTCTTAAAGCCACCCACCAGATAATTCGCCGCAATCCATCCGTATAAACCCTCCGTCTCGCCGGGTATTATTTGTACATGTAATCCACAATCTGGTAGATAGAAGTCGGTCTGTTCTTGGAAGTATGTGCAGACACTGTTCAAGACACTGTCCTGCTGGTGCTCTGGCAGCAATCGCATGCCGGCAGTGGCAAGGAGGAAAACCGGAGTTTCTGAAATGAGCTCTTTTGGTACATATTCGAGCGCATGGTCAACAAGCGGCTTGAGGTGATCGTCGCCGATCAGCTGAGGAGTTACACCGTAGGTCGACAGACCAGTGTGAACTTTCTTGGTCCACTTGTCTTTGGTCTTGATCTCTGGGAGTTGTTTCAGGTTATTGTGTTCCAGCTGGGCGCGATCATTTCGGAGCCATCTGTAGATATAGATACGGGTCCCTGACGAGCCAGCGTCGAGGACTATTCCATAATGCCATTTCTCCGGGTTGACCATGTTGCCGAGAGTATTACCACATTGTATAGGGGATTCGAATCAACGATGCCGAGCGCGCGGAGGTATGGCAGCAGCAGCAGATCGAGACGAAGAAGGGAAAGCGAGTGACACGATAGGCAGAAGGTCGGCGAAGGGGCGTGAAAAGGCCAGAGATGTTGGATTGTTGATGGTCAAGATGATACATTTCACATGTTGCAGTCGTCGCAATCGACGCGCGGAGATAGCGGGGATAGAGGTGTGGGGAAGGGATCGAGAGTATCCGGGGAAGGAGCGACCTGCGACAGCAGCCACCAATTGCCGCGGTTCAACTGCGCAGGTACCTTGCATATATCTACTCCCAACAGATTTATCCCCCAGGTTCTGGAGTGTTTCCAAGGCACAGCTTGTACCCAAAGCATGGCTGCCTGTCCACTGACGGCGTCACTCAGCTAACCCGGCCACCACCCCATCCTCCTCCACCATGGACCCAGAAACGAGCAAAGACGTCCCACCAGGACCAAAGCCCGCAGAAGATGATCCGGACCACAGTCTCGTGGAGCGAATGGCTCGCTTCCGCAAGAATCCATTCAACTTCGCCCATGAACTCTCGCTTTTCATCAGAGGTGTGGGTTGGCGGTCCTACGACAACGTGATCGGCCAACCCTGTTTCTATCCGGCCTATTCAGAGAATCTGAAGAGCCTCGTCATGAAATCGCCGATCTTGCAGCAGAAGCTGTCACAGTTGACGGAAGCTCGACTTAAGGTCGAGGAGGAGCAGCATCTGCTGGACTCGGACAGTCCATCGTATTTGCAAGACAAAGAGATACGCAAGACGCAGATCATCTCGAATCTTGTCGAGATCACTCAGGACATGCTCGACAAGATGATGTGCAAGATGGACAGCAAACCTTACCTTCGAAGTGCATACTATGGCGTCACTCAGCTCCTAACTCGGGCGTATTCCAGTATACATGTCTCACAAAAGGAGGTTAAGCGGCTGCGTGAGGTTGCCAAAATGGCGGCCAAGGAGAAAAAGTCCATCATTTTCCTTCCAAGACACACAAGCCATATTGACTATGTCTCGTTACATCTAGTCTGTTATTGCCTGGGCCTAACCTTGCCGGTAGTGGTGGCTGGCGACAACCTGAATTTCCCGGTTGTTGGAAACTTTCTGCAGAGCCTGGGGGCCATGTGGCTGAGGCGGAGCTTTGGCGACGACGCTCTATACCCGACTTTGGTCCAGTCCTATCTCGATACCATGATGCAACAGGGCTACAATTTGGAATGCTTTATTGAAGGCACTCGATCACGGACTGGCAAGCTGCTGGGACCTAAGTTCGGCATCTTGAGCTTCTATCTGGATTCGGTGCTATCAGGCAGAACAGATGATGCATACATATGCCCGGTGTCGATGCAGTATGACAGAGTCATCGAAGTTGACTCTTTTGTGACCGAGCTTCTAGGGAAGCCTAAGCAAAAGGAGAATCTCGCCGACTTTCTGTCAGCCTCGTCTCTTCTTGCCCTCAATTTCGGACGAATAGAATGCAGATTTCAGGAGCCATGGAGCTTGAAGGAATTCATCAAAGAGCAGCAAGCTCGAATACCGCCTGAGACGGAGCCTCGTGACACCCGTGTCAGAATATTGCGCACGCTCGGGTACCGAGTTCTCTCAGATATCAACAAAGTCTCGGTGGTCATGCCCACAGCTCTCGTCGGCACTGTTTTGCTGACGCTTCGTGGCCGAGGTGTTGGCAAGTCAGAATTGGTGCGGCGTGTGGACTGGCTCCGCGCGCGCATTAATGCCAACGGTGGACAGGTCTCAGACTTTCAAGATTTGTCGACATCCGAGGTCGTCGATCGAGCTCTCGATGTTCTAGGATCGCAGCTTGTTGGGCGAGTTGACGGTCTTGCTGAAGAGACATTCTACGCCATCGATCGATTTCAGCTCTCCTTTTACCGCAATATGACCATTCATCTGTTCATCTCTGAAGCCCTAATCGCTGCAGCACTCTACACCCGCGTCAAACAAGGAGGCGGCATCGCCACGCAATCTATTGCCGAACCTGCTCTTGTGGAGAACGTGACCTTCCTCTCCCAACTCTTCCGCGGGGAATTCATTTTTCCTGCAGGTCAGGGCTTACAGCGCAATATCGAGGATGCGATGGCCGGTCTCCTCCGCGACGAAGTACTTTCTATCACCCCATCGACTGACGATCAGACGCGAACAGTTGGCCTGTCAGAGACCGAACGTGCTCTTGGCCGTGAGAATTTTGACTTCTATTGCTTTCTCATCTGGCCTTTCGTTGACGCCGCTTGGCTAGGCGCCGTCTCTCTCTTCTGCCTTGTGCCTCCGACTGATTCTTCCCTGGTCTGGATCGACATGAAGCGCGTCCAAGACATCGCGCAGCTCTTCGGCCGTACACTTTACCACCAAGGCGACCTGTCATACTTCGAGAGTATAAACAAGGAGGCATTGAAGAACGCGTATACACGGTTTCAAGAGGAGGGCATCGTATTTGTGGCGAAGGGAGCAGCTGCTAAGAACGGGCCAACAGTGCGGCTGGCTCCAGATTGGCTGCCACAACGAGACCCTGCAACAGGACAAATCGAAGCCCACGGGAGACTCTGGGACTTTGTGGAGCGTATCGCACAGCATAGACGAGAAGGGAAGAACCGACGGGATGGTGCGACGGTCAGCACGAGGGTGTTGGCACTGGCGGAAAAGCTGAACTGGGAGCTGTTTGGAGAGGTCGAGGACAGTGACAGTGAAGGAGACGTGAAAGGACAGGTGCCGTTGAAGAGACGGACTAGGCGAACGAAGCTGTAGGCTGGCATTATGGCTGGAGTCAATGGGAGGATTTGCTGCAAAAGGCGAGCGTATGACCGTGGCGAACAGACTAGTCTTGCTGAAATGATGTATACCCCAGGGGCGGCGGATGACACTACACTTGTTCGGGACCGATATTCTAGTGTGACACAAAAGGTCGACTGCTTCGGATTTGCTGGTTCCCCGGTGATTGTCTAAAAGCGTTGCCCATCGGAGCAGCACGCAACAGCAGTGAACTAACACGGCCCTTTTTGTCGCCGTTGAGAGACACAACACACGACGGACCCGTGCCAATGACCCTTTCTGAACCGGTTTCCGACCGTCGCCCTCCTTCGCAAAATGGCCCGACCACACCACCGAAGCACCGATATTCCCCGGGTCGATGCTGAGGGTTATCTTACAAGCACTGCTTTGTCTGCTTCCGACACAACACATCTCACGCATCGCCCCTATTTATGGCGACGAGCTTACGGGCATTCACATGATGACCGAATGCGCCTCTTTATCCGCACTGAATGCTTGGAACGCCTCTTCTTCAATGACCTGATGTACCTTTGCCAATGCCATATCTAGTTCGTGTCGGCCTCCCACTCAGGATTCTATACGATTATTGTCAGCATTCCATCGGTTGAACAAGGGCACGGAACGCGAACTCACCTTCCGTAGAATAACCAGCCCCTCTAGAACGGCACTCATGCAGATGTACTCCTCATCCTCCAGCTCGGCGCGCTCACCGTACGCCAGCAGTACCGGTGTACTTTGTGTCTGCCAACCCGTAATGGTCTTGGGCCTACCCGCCTGGCCGACCACATCCACGGCCTGACCCACACGTACATTCACCGTCAAAGGCTTCAGGTTCTCGTCTAGTGTGACCAGGAAGCGGGGGCACATCGCTGTGACCAAAAAGTAGAGGAGGTAGTGGCTGTCGGCAAGGATGAATTGTTTGGCGTCAATCAGTGATACCAGAACGGTCAACAGACCAGCGGCAGCGACGCGCGAGAGTACTTGGCGATCGGTATGGAAGGGGTTCAGAGTCATAGTGCCCTTGCCCATGTGCACCATACCTTGAGCAATGCGCACCATGAACAAAGAGTTCTGGTCGCGGTGATAGTAGCTGGCGAGCTGGCGAAGTAGTTGGGCGAGACGTGCATTGTTGGTGCCAGCACCCACCAGACCCATGGCGAAGATGGCGTTGATGGCGACATCATTGTCATTATCGTGTGAGTATCGGGACAGGGTGTCGTAGATCTTCATCTGGGGATTCGAGGGGGAAATGAGGCCCATTGCCAGAGGAACCGCCTTGCGTATGTTAGGCTCACCGTAGTGCATCAAATGAGCAAATTGCCGAAGAATCATGTCTTGCCCGACATCTTCGCCCATGGAAATCAAAGACAGACCGAGAACGGCGTATGACTGTACAAGTTGCTCACCCTTGTTGTCGTCCTTGTCTTCGATATGGTCGTTGCAGGTATGCAGGAGCTCTTGGACCTTCAGCACAGCGCCAGAGCCAGCCCATGCACATACGGAGGCGAGTGTTGCAGTAGGCGCAGCCATAGGATGGTCGATGGCCTTAAGGAGCTCCAATATGACATCCACATCTTCCTGGCGGCCAAAGTATAGTAGAGCGAGGCCGAGAGCCATAAAGCGTGCCCATTTGTCCTTTAGCTGCTTTTGTCGCTCATCGTCCATCAATTGGGTGGCGATGGCTTCGGCAACCTGATAATTTGAGGAGCCAACGAAGATCATGCCGAGGGAGACCGCGGCCATTGCAGACAGCTGTATCTCTAGGCTGTTGTCCTCTAGTACAGGTAGCAGAACCTCGAGGAGATCTTCCCTGGCCGAGCCAGCATAAGACAGGCCAAGGCCCATGATTGCTGCCATTCTCATGGCAGGCTTGCCAGTTTGTATAGTGTCGGCATCGCACACCGCCATCGCTGGATCGCCCTCCGATCTGACACCAGAATTCATTATACCAGAGGCCAGAAGAGCGCCAGCCTTAATGGCGTCCTCATGGGACTCGTGGAACGGGTTGATAGTATCGAGACCTTGGTCAACATTCCACTGAAGCAGCATACCAAGTGACGCGGTTGTTGAGAGCATGCCATCGTCTTTAGTCTTCCACACCCAAGAGTTCTGCTTCTCGCTCACGAGCATAAGGTTGTCGGAACTGAAGCCAGCGTTGACGAAAGCATTGACAAACGCCGATGCCAAATTGTGCTTGGCAGATTCGGCAGCTGCACCGCTTCCTCTTCCGCTCTCCAAATGGGTCTTGTAGATGTCTTCGGGTACCTTGGGCTCAAGAATATTCAGCTCTTTTGCAACAGTCTGGAAGTGGTCAGACAGCTTGGTGTTTGACAGACACTCGTCCACCTCTTGTTCGTCTGTGGTCTCGGTAGGCAAATCTAAGTATTGTATCCTCTGTCGAGCGATCATGAAGGCGAGCTGCTTCCGTAGAACCATGTCATCTGTGGACTCGAGGTCCCGTCGTATTAACTCGTGGTCATTTAGTCTGATGGCTATGACCATCGCTTGTGCAAGCTTGCCGTATGTCACGTAGATATCGTGAGCGGTCTTGAGAAACTGTTTGTCTTCGGGAAAGGTGAGAAGATTGACCATGGTGGTCATATACAGACAAGTTCGAGAGTATGTGTTCTCGTCCAGGAATTTGGGCAGCTCTTCAATCATCTCGAGCTCACTCAACAAATCCACCGCGTCGGCTTCAGCGTTGTGCTTGATATAGTATGGGACGAGAGACAGAGCAAGTTCCGATAGATCTTGCACATCTTTCTCCTCGGTGAGGCGATTCTGATATTCCTGGCCAATCTCCAATGCAAGATGTCTGATGTATTCATGACCCCACGACCCCAGGTCATCCGACTTGGACAAGAGTCTGAACCTCAGAGTCTCGAATTTGGTTTCATCGCCGTATGTCATGCCAAGGACTGACAGCATGTCCGCCAGTGAATCTCGGTCCGCGCCTGCGGGCCACTTGTCATACAATGCGGCAAGCTCATCATAATGCGGTCGGAGAAACTTGAGAGGCTTGGGAACAGCGGTCATGGAAGACGTGGAGGTCTTAATAAAGTTCTTGATCGAGTCAATGGAGGGTTGATAAAGGCTGGCATCGTCTTCTTTTAACCGTTCCACCAACATCTCCAGGTCGGACTTGAGCTGCTCGTCTTCTTCGCTCAGATCCTCGTCGGGTAGCTCTCCAACTTTTCCATTCTCCACAGGCTTGCCATCCTTGTCGATCTTAGAAGAACTATCACCGTTGGACATGGGTACATCCTCTTCTTTGCCCTTGCCCTTCTCCGTAGCGGTGGGCTTCTTCTCATCCTGCGCCATCTTGCCTCGTTAGAGGCGAAAGATTCTATGCGATCGAAAACAGGGGCAGCTGTGTAGGCCAGCGAGTTTATCGGCAAAATAGATACAGCGTATGTTGGGAGAGGTGCGCCGGGTCGGAAACAGGATTGATAATGTTGTGATGGAGGTAGGCAGAAGGTAGATTACATAGGCCATATTGACGGGGGCGTTCTTTCCCCATTCAGCATGTTTGCCGAGAGTCTGTCCGCAGCTGCAAGCACTTTTGTACATTCACTTCACGACATCAGACATCTCTACCAATAGTACTTAACGGGCTATTGCGACACACAGCAATGCCTCGCTACTCTAAAATCCCGGCGATCCTGCGCACATCTACTCGCTCCAACCCCGATGTCATCAAGCCCGCAACACCTAGACTATGGAACGCGAAGAGAAGGATAAAGGTCAGCCAGGGCCTCACAAAACCACAGTATCTCGCGTACAAAAGGAACCCGGAATCCAAGAATTGGCGAGATCAGGTCTCGCCAGATGTCGCTGAGTTCATAGACGTCAACACCTCCGATTCTGTCGCCGACCAAGCGATGCGCGATCATCCTCTCCTCCCCGAAGAAAAAGACCGGGTACTCCGCAACCCAGCCCGCTTTTTCAGCAGACCATACAATGTCCCTGTGCAGCAACGGAAACAGGTCTTCTTGTATGGCACTACTTATCTGTACTGTATCCGGTGTGCTAATCCTTGCCCAGCCCAGATTTCACTGTCTCCCTCCTACGCACTCCCCAACAATCCCCATTCTATGCCAGCTTCATTGTACCTCTTTGGTTCAACAAGCTGGATATGAAGTCCTATCTGAAGGAGCTATATAGCGTCGACACTGTGCACGTGCGAAGCTTCGTCACCCAACGCGGCTTGACGCGGCGACAACACCCCTCACAAAAGAAACAGGGCGCATGGTACCGCCCAGAATCGATCAAGACCATGGTTGTGCAGCTGGTTGAGCCATTTGAGTGGCCCAAGCCAGTAGAAGACCTGACCGAGTAAGTTCGAACAACCTCGCATTCTCTAGAGCCAGGACCCGGGATATCAGATACTAATGAGATGTAGCTACGAGCACGACGAATACTGGCGCAGTATGAAGGCCGAGGTCGACGTACAGCGGCGTATGGGCCAATTAGGAGAATTGAAACCTAACACTGAACACCGCCGGACGATCGCGCAGCAGGCCAGAGATCTACTTGCGGGCAGGTCGGTATGGCAGCCTTCGTGGAAATCAATACCCTCCGATGTGCGAGTATTGGAAGGCGTAACAGATCCGCCTAAGCCGAAGAGCGAAGACTCCGGCTTGCCTCAGCTGCCATGAATATGCAGGACAACTCCCACATCTCGGAACGAGCAACAGCGAGATTGAACGAAGAGAGCAGGGCCGGATACTCCTCCGAGTTCAGTCAGCATACAGTCGACACTGGGGCCCTAACAGAACGGTGGCTCCAACACTATGGGATGCATCTCACTGCCCAGTGTCCCGCGTGGGTGACCGTCAGGTGGCTTCGGAGTGCCCTGGCTTGTACAAATCTACTGTAGAACCATAAATTTCAAGGCCATGCCATTACTACACATGAATCCAAAACGCAATGCAGGCAATGCAGCGCACTTCAAATCAGCCGAATGACCAGAATTCTCAACAGACCACCAGGCCCCAGACTGTAACCAACTACTCGTTCACCTTCCTTTTCACATCAGCTACCCCATCACTGCACTAACCCACGAATCCTACAACCGACTCTCCACCTTGGTCCAATACCGATCACTCGCCCACTCGCTCTCAGGCCAGATAATCCTCAGGGCCTCATACACATGCTTGACATGGACGATCTCCAGCTCGCGCTTGACCTCGGCCGGCACGTCCCGGACATCCTTGCGATTATGCTGGGGCAGCAACACCTTCTTGACGCCGGCGCGGTGCGCGCCGATCAGCTTCTCCTTGATGCCGCCGACGGGCATGACCCTGCCGCGCAGGCTGACCTCGCCCGTCATGGCGATCCCCGGCGGCACGCTCTTGCCGCTGAAGAGTGAGATGAGCGCGATGGTGTGGGCCAGGCCGGCCGAGGGCCCGTCCTTGGGCACCGCGCCCGCGGGGCAGTGCACGTGGATGGAGCGCTTGTCCATGATGTCCTCGGTGGCGTCGTGCGTCAGGCCGAGCTCAAACGCATGCGCCTTCACCCATGTGAGTGCGACTTCGACGCTCTCTTTCAGCACGTCGCCCAGCTTGCCCGTCAGCTGTACGCGGCCTTTTCCTGGCATGTCAGCGACCTCGATGAAGAGGATGGAGCCCTGCCCGCCCGAGGCGTAAGCGACAAGGCCGGTGACCACGCCTGGGCGCGATCTCTTCTCCGCAATCTCCTCCTCGAAGCGTTCGATGCCTAGCATGTCTTCTAGCTCCTCCAGCTTGACTTGGGGCGAATACGAATCTGGCTGGTTGGCGTCACGGGCGTCGGCGTACTGAACTGCTTTGTAACGGCAGACAGAGCCAATTTCGCGTTCGAGGTTGCGCACGCCAGCCTCGCGCGTATAGCCTGTGATGACGGCGTCGACCACAGCGTCGGAGAAAGACACATCACTTTCTGATAGGCCATTCGTGCGGATCTGCTTAGGAATCAGGTGGTTGTTGGCGATGTGGCGCTTTTCGATCGTGGTGTAGCCAGGAAGCTGAATAGTCTCCATGCGATCGAGAAGAGGTGGAGGGATGGTGTCGAGTGTATTGGCTGTAGCAATGAACAGGACCTTAGAGAGATCGATGGGGATGTTGACGTAGTGGTCGTTGAAACTGTGGTTTTGCTCCGGGTCTAGCACTTCCAGCATCGCAGCGGAAGGATCGCCATGGAAGTTGGATGAGGATATCTTGTCGATCTCGTCCAGGAGGAAGACTGGGTTGGCAGTACCGACCTTCTTAAGTCCTGACACAATGAGGCCGGGCATGGCGGCTACATAGGTCCGACGATGACCACGGATTTCAGCTTCGTCGCGAACTCCGCCAAGAGAGATGCGATGGAACTTGCGGCCTAGCGAGAGAGCAACAGACTTGGCCAAAGACGTCTTGCCTACGCCCGGAGGGCCCACTAGAAGCAGAATGGGGGATTTGTCGACCATGCGCTTGGACTTGAGAACGTGGAGCTTCGCGGTCGCGGCATCACGTTCCTCTTCGGGAATGCGCTCTTCATCTTTGTCCTGCTCTTTCTCCTTCTCGTCAGTGTCTCGAGGAGCGAGCTGATGAGTAAGTCGACCGATCTGTTGGTCAATATCGGCATTGACTGATTGCTTAAGCTTGAGCACAGCCAGATACTCCAATAGACGCTTTTTGACCTTCTCGAGACCGTAGTGATCATCATCGAGCTGCTTTCGAGCGCGCTTCAGTGTATCAGGTCCCATCTGATCCTCAGTCATCTTCGTCCAGGGAATCTCGGACAAGTTCTCGAGATATGTCCGGATCACTCCGTATTCAGCATTCGCGGGGTTCATCTTTTTGAGTCTCCGTAGTTCCCTGTCGGCGACTTTCTGCGCTTCTGGTGATAGGCCGGCTTCAGCAATCTTCTTCTTGAGCTCCTCGACCTCGTTGACCTCGCTGTCGTCTTCAGCGTCGCCCTGAGAGGGGCCGCCAGGAGGCATACCGCCCATGCCGGACAGTGCTCTCCTCGCCAAAGCCTCGCGCTGCTTCTGATCTAGATTGGTGATATCGATGCCAGAAGTTGAGGGCAGTGTTGTAGATGTGATTGATGTGATCTTGATGTTGCCATTAATGCCGGTGATCTGCTTATTCAACAGAGCCAAAACCTTCTCCAGCCGCTCGTGCAGATCCAATGTTTTCAGAACCCGGAGTTTATCTTCGTAACTGGCCTCGATGATATCGGTCATGAAGTCAGCCAGCTCGCCAGCCTGGGACAGATCCTTCTTGGCGATGAACAGTTCAAATCGTCGCACAACAAGAGGCGACAGTCCCATCGAAGCAGGTCTGAAGAGCGAGGATAGCCTTAGCAGGGTCAGAAGCTCACGCGATCTCTGCTTCAAGCGAGTGAAGCTGGCCCTAATGTCGCCGTCATTTGCGGTGGGCGTTTCCTCTTCGAAGAATTGTACTTCCGCTTCAAAGTATGGCCGTTCGTGGAGGATATTCTCAACCTTGAACCTCTGCAGGCCTTCGACCAGCAGGTACGCCTCTTGACTTGGGGTGCCTTGAACGCCAACGATCTTCGCAAGTGTACCAAAGCCGAAGATGTCATCCTTCTTGGCCTTGTTAGGGTGGATTTCTTGATGTGGCTCCGACTTAGACTCTTGCTGATCACTATCAATGAGGTCCTTCCCATCCTTGCTGAGATACGGAGAATTGAGGGGTACACAGCCGATTGGGATGTTGGCAGTGATGGTGCGGTTTCTAGTTCGCTGAAAGGCTGAGGATAGGATCAGGGGGATGTCGGCGCGACCCGAAACAGGAATGCGAAGAGTGACTCCTGGAAGCAGAACGGCATCGCGTGCGAGGGGAATCAGAGGGATGGTCGACTTAGCCGTGTAACCCATCTTGATAAGGTGGGAGTAGGGTATTCCTCGATAAGGATCTACTAGATGGGTTTATTCTCATAGAAGCATGACAAAGGAAATGGCGTGACTCCTGGTAGAGGATGCAGGCTGCAGTGGCACGACAAGGCAACGAGATGCAGTCATGGAAGATGATGGATTACACTTGCGACCGAAAGCCGAGGCTCGCCGCCGACAAGCACGTGACTGGGGGAGATAAGATCCGGGTTATCAGATCCGATCTCAGGCGAAGCGTGATCGAAAAGTTCACAACCAGCCACACTTTCCGTACCACTGTCGCTCTTTTGCTGGAAATAGTGGCGGCAGGTGCCTGAACAACGTACACATCGCCAGAGGTCACAATGAACTTGATCCACACCGCGTCGGGACGCAATGTTCCTCGTTTGCAGGACTTCAATGCCGAGATATCAACATTTGCCGTGGGCACAAGGAAATCAAAATTGGCCTTGAAGCAGACCGAACTGGCCGTTGAAGCACTGACGGCAGCATGGCCCGACTACCAGTACGATGTCAAAGCTAGAGACACTGCGGCCGGTGATATCGACAAGATAACACCTTTCCGAGATATGCCCGTAAAGAATCTATGGACTCACGAGTTGGAGGCGCTGCTGCTCGAAAAGAAACTCGACATCCTGATCCACTCCCTCAAAGGTAAGTCTATGTTTGTGTATCGTAGGGAAAATCTAACAAGGCTCAAGATGTGCCTACACAACTCCCGCCTGGGTGTGAGATTGGAGCAGTACTAGAGCGAGAAGACCCTCGCGATGCCTTCGTTCTCAAGGCCGGCAAACCACACTGTAACATCCAGGACCTGCCAGCAGGTGCTGTCGTCGGCACTTCTTCAATTCGCAGAGGAGCACAACTCGCACTGAAGTTCCCGCACCTCGTAATCGAGGATATGAGGGGAAACATCAATACTCGGCTGAACAAGCTGGATGCGGAGGATAGCAAGTTCGATGCATTAATTCTAGCAGCAGCAGGGCTTCTGAGGATTGATCTTGGTGATCGTATCTCTCAGTACCTTGACTCTGAGAATGGAGGAATGCTGTACGCCGTCGGTCAGGGTGCGATCGGCATCGAGAATAGGTGCAATGACCTCGATGTCAAGACGCAAATCAACCGGATCAACCACCTGCGAACATTCCTGGCGACGAACGCCGAGAGAGCTCTTCTTCGGTACCTCGAGGGTGGCTGTAGCGCTCCACTTGGAGTTGAAACACGGTGGTGCACAACATCGCTGCTGGAGCTGAAGGCAATCGTGGTCAGCACGGATGGCCAGCAAAGTGTGGAAGTCGCTATAGCCAAGGAGATTGCGAGCGTAGAGGACGCCGACGCCTTCGGAACCGAGGTCGCTCAAGAGCTCTTGTCCAAGGGCGCAGACAAGATCCTGGCGGAGATCAAGGCGAAGAAGCCCACTACCGTTACCGACCTTGAAGAGAAATGAGCGAATGCTGCTAGCCTCTGTTCAAAGTGTTGCCAGCGCCTTTAGTATTGGCCTCGACAAATTCGTCCCAGTCCCGGGCCTTCATGGTGGCAGCATCGACCTCTTCCATGTTATCCTCGTCCGGCTCAGGCTGGGGCACATCGCCGCCACCTTCAATGATGCCTCCTCGACGCCTCTCCTCCTCGAGATACTCGTCGATGCTCATGGTAGGCAGGTTATGGCCAGGGCGGAATACACCTCCTCGCATTTGGGAGCGTTTGTCAAGGAGCGTAAAAGGCTGCATGGGCTTGCCCTTGGAGTCCAACAGAGGTCCCCCTTTGCGGCCGAGACCGGCAAGCGTTGTCGGACCATCAAGCCTCTCAGAGTACCCATCTGTCCTCTGAGGTGCTCTGGGATCGTTGCGTGGGTCCATCATAGGCGTGGGCTGAGCCTGTTGCATCTGTGCAAGGATAGCTGTTTCCTGGCTGATGGAATCCAGTGATTGAAATGATTCATGTACAAAGAAAGCGATTTCGGCCAGGTACAGACTTCGGACAGTCTCGTCATCCACGTGGTTCACTTGCGACTGGCTGCTCAAATACTGTCGGAATAGTTAGCGTAAATACCAACTCCCAATGGTCGAGATGCCTACCTCAAGCTTCTTTTTCAAGTCCTTTCCTTCCTGAAAGCGCTTGATCTTCAGCCGCCTTCGCTCCTCAGGGTTGGGAGGTAGGAGAGCGAAGCTTGTCTTTCCCTCCTGATATCGCTCAAACAGTTTGTGATCCTCGGTTGAGAGCATAGAGTACTGGTCTAGTCTTGTCAAGAAGTCGTCCAGCAGGCCAGATACTCGTCGTAATGCTGCTAAGCGATTAGCATCGTAGGTCCTTTGCAGCAGCTCAGCTATCAAGTAGTCAACTGTCAGATACTGTAGGCTCTGCGTTGACAGGTCGTCGAGTTCCTCATTGGGGCTGAAAACCGCGAGCTCGCTGATAAGTCTTTGGCATAGTTCTAGGTCTTGAAGTGTGGCTTGTAGCGTATCCTTGAAGACGCTGCTGCGGGGGTCAAGATCGCCAAGTTGATCTCGCTTTGCCTTGGCTTCGGTATATGTCTCGCGGAGAGATCTGTCGGGTACTTGCTCGGCCATTTGTGCGATCTATGAACGAGATATCATCGAGAACGGAACAATTTCAACACCTGGTCTGTTGAGGAGAAGCGGCGGGGTGTATGAAGCAGTGATGAGTAGTTTGCCTAGGGTTTTGAGAGACGTCTTAGATTACTGACAAGATCTGCGGATCCAAGAGACGCTATGAGCATTGGTCAGCGAGAGGTTCGTTAGAAGAAGGCGAACAAGGCGGCGAAGCCTGGCTGCACGCGAGAAAAGTCTGGCCAATGATCGCCCGAGACTCCTTGGCGAAAACCCCACTTCCAGATCGAACCTTCACATCGCGTTCATGGCTGAGTCATAGCATCTCGTCTTCTGTTCACTCTAGGCCAGACATGGCTAATTACGCGGCGCAGAGCCTCACATATGTCCCTTGAACGCAGTCATGGGCGGCACGATTGCGGAGGCTGGGCCTTCCGAAGAGGTCAAGCCGGAAGTGGAGGGGGAGGAGGAGATAGAGGTCGAGGTGCCCAGTGAGAAGAATGCCGATTTAATAATGGGCGTACGTATTCGTTAGGGTGTGACTAAAGCAAGTCTACGAAACTGACCCTTGCAGACCAACAAGAGCAGCATCGTCTCAAAGAGAAGCGTGGAGTTGTTGTATCTTCCGAAACCGCATTTTCATCGTTACTTTGTGAAGAAGCCATTACGGCGGGCACCGACCATTAACCGCGGATACTGGCTTCGCATGCGAGCTATTGATTGGGTTGTGCGCAAGTTCCTGGAGAGGCCGACTGAGAAGCCCAAGGTAATAATCAACCTGGGATGTGGCTAGTATGTCCAGCAGTATAGCCCTGCTTTGGGTTTCTCCCTACGACGCCCAGTGCTAACACGTACTCAGCGACCCGCTACCGTTCCAATGGCTGTCTACAGAGCCCGAACTCTGTACAAACACTAAGTTCATCGACATCGATTATGAGAAACTGATGGAGTCTAAGCGAAAGATCGTGCTTGAAGCCTCGGATCTGGCCAAGCTCTTCCGGCCAAACCATGCATCGCCTCCCAACGACGGTGTGCTGCTTGACAGTGACAAGTACTACATCCTCGGCTGCGACTTACGCAACCCAAAGAAGATCGGAAGGATCATCAAGTCGCTCGTCGACATTCAAAACTGCATCGTGCTCTGCGTAGCTGAGGTCTCCATTACCTATATGGCTCCGGACGACTCGGATGCTGTCTTGGCCTGGTCAAGTACCCTTTCGCCTGATGTTACCTTTTGCTTGCTGGAGCAAAGGTCGCCGGATCGCGCTGACAATGCTTTCACCGCCACCATGATGAAACATTTCGAAAAGCTCAACACCCCTCTGCGGTCACTCCTCAAATATCCTGGCACTCATGCTCAAACACAACGCTTCAATACTGCAGGTTTCCCATACGTAGAATGCCAGAGCTTATGGGACTTGTGGGCAGACCCTCGATTCTTATCCCCTTCACAACGAATGGCTCTAGACCACGTTGAACCTTTCGACGAGTGGGAGGAATTTGCACTGTTTGCATCGCATTATGGCTTGACAGTCGCACAGACTATCGACGAGCCACTCATCGATCCGCTCCCACGGGACTTCAAACGACGCGACTCGGAGGGCAGCAATCTTTCCGACTTCTCTACTCGGACGGTCTCGCCGTACCGGGAGCAAGCAGAATGGTTCGCGTACACCTACTCGGAGAACCCTGGGAATGACGGCAAGACTCATCACGGTTCTGCTTACCAAGTCCCATTCCAGAATGCCGTCGCTGTGCATGGCGGTCAAGGACCTGCAGGTAGATTGGCTTCAACAACGGTCTATGGGCCTCCGGATGATACAAATATTCATCCAGCGATAGCTCCGGACGACATCGGTGGCCGCTGCTGCCACACTCTCACAACACTTCAGAATGGGCAGAACATGCTAATCGGTGGTCGCGGGAGCCCTTCTTCGCCGTACAAGGATTGTTGGCTACAGACTGAGAACAAGTGGCAGCGAGTGCAAGACCTGCCGGAGCCACGTTACCGGCACAGAGCCGTCAGCATTATGTTTCCCGACAACAACCACGGCGTAGCAATATTCGGAGGAAAGACCTCGCCCACTGCAGTTGCCTCGGATCACCTGCTGTGGCACCCTCGCACTGGGTGGCGGAAACTCAGATCACTACATCAGGATCCCATGCCTCGCTTTGGCGCCACCTTCGTCCGACTCGGCTTCAATCACGGCTTGATGTTTGGTGGGATGCGCCAAGACGGTATAATCTGTCAAGGCTTGTGGCGGTGGAGGTTGATCGTACGCGACAGTATCATCGTTGGTATCAAATTCAAGACGTCTACCGCCCTCGACACATCCGCTGGCATATACCCCTGGCTTGGACGGTTGGGCGCTTCCTACTCGGTCATCCGAAGTGAGCTGCTTATTATTGGCGGAATCTCAAAGCCCGGATGCATACCTCGAGAGTACGAGATCTTGTCAGTGATGGGCAGCTTCTCCGCCTTCAGCGACTACGAAAGGGAAATGGAGCTACGCACGATTTGTGTGCTACCCAAGATCCCGCGAGGCACCCCTCGGCCATTTCTCATTGGCCATAGCACACATCGTACGCAGGGCGAGACAACTCTGATCGCAGGAGGCGGCTGTACTTGCTTCAGTTTTGGCTCCTACTTCAACAATGGATGCTTCCTCTTGCATGATCATGAGCAAGGTGTTCTGAGCGCTTTCAAGCTACTCAAGCCTACGCCACCAACTCCTCAGCTATTACCAGAACCTCCCCTCACAAACGGCGAGGCTCCTCCTAGACCAGTACATGTTAGCGCAACAGTATTGCAGACGGAAGCAGAGTTTCTCACCCTACTGCGGAACTCTGTGCCCAAGATCATCAATCACACAGATATGGGACCGTGCACGAGTCTTTGGGCACCGAACTACTTGAAGTCGAAGACATCATCCAGCCGCAAAGTGGTAATCCACTCGGCCCCTACGCCAACGATGAACTTCCAACGCAAGGAAGCATTCAGCTACACTACACTGCCTTTCCACCTGTTTCTTGACATCCTCAACAGTGCGAGCAAGAAGCCGTCGCCTGACATACAACCACATATGTACATGCGCGCCATCTCATCTACCTCCCCAAACTCGAAACCTGCGATACTGTCTAGTGACTGGCCCGAGCTAGCTGCGGACTTCCGTCTTCCTACGCAGCTGAGTCTCATAGCCCAGAACCTGCACTCATCACCACTAAGAATCAGCATGAATGTGTCCATGTGGCTTCACTACGACGTCATGGCCAATGTCCTCTTCCACGTATCGGCGTACCCGAGACCTACTCCCAAACACCTCATCCTCTTCCCACCAGAGGATCTCAAACACCTATCCTTTCCACCCGGTTCCACAACATCCACACTCGAGCTACTCTCCGACACAGCATCCCCGCCCAACACTCCCGGACCAACGAGCCCCGGCTCACCCCAGACCCCCAGACCACCACCAGACCCATTCGGCAGTCCCGCATATCCGCCGGGCACACATCCACACCTCGTCACGCTCCCTCCCGGCACCGCCCTCCTCATCCCCCCTCTTTGGGCACACTGCGCCGTGCCCTCCCCTCCCGGCATCATCAACACCTCAGTAAACGTCTTTTTCTACTCGTTACCACGACCACTATACGCCGCGGGCCGCGACGTCTACGGCAACCGCGACCTAGCCGCGTACGAGGAAGGCAGGCGAGATATAGAGAAGATGGTCCGGCGCTTCAAGACCGTGCCGGCCCCGAAAACAAAGCCGAAAAGACCATCTGCGGCGGCGGCAGCAGCAGCAGCAGAACCGGCAATATTGCCGGCAGAAGAAAAAGAAGGAATGAATGGCTCTGCGGCGAGGGGGGTGTGTGCTGCGAATGGCGATACAAAGGACAACAAGGAGGTGCAAGCGCCGCCGGTCAGCGGCCTGGATTCGATACCCAAAGATGTTGCCAAGGCGTACCTAGAGCGGCTTGCGGCCGAGATACTAGAGAGAGCGGCGGCTTTGTGATTATGTTCAGCCAATCGCGGAAAGTAGGATATTGGTTTCTACCCAAAGAAAAAAGACAAGAAGGGCTTTGCCCCATGGGTACATACATGTAGCAAACACTTATGAGAATGCTTTTGTGTGTTAAGACATGAAATCTTTTTTGCCTGCATGCTACTTGATCTACCTAGAGGGTTGCGGGCCTCAATTGCGACTCTCAGAGACCCTTCCAAGGGGTTTGGCGAGAAGGCAGGACTTTTCGATATCCGGTCTGTTTGATCAGGATCGGTCTAAGAGCGAGGTTCCGCAGCGTCAGCTGTCCTCGCTGGGCTGATGAGATGATGCTGGCCAACGATAGCATAAATGCCGTTGAGTCGTGCTTGCTGAGCCTGTGCTCACGCAGCAGCGAGAGGGGCAAGGCCAGGTACGGGACAGAGACTTTTCGAGGCGGCATCGCGTCTCGTGAGACGCGATCTTGTGAGGGGAGAAAGCCACAGTTGAGCTGGGCAGAATCATTTATCGCGAGATCGACGGATTCAGGGGATTCGATGAAAGGCTCGAAATGTCGCAGCTTGCCTAATAGATAAAGGGTAAGTTGGCTATCTACAATAACTTTCTCCGATTGATGGAAGCAGGGAGTGTCTGATGTTTGAATAGTGCGAATAATAGCTCACGAAGGATTCCAATCCGGTCTGCATCGTTGTAGTCCCCAAATACTCGTCTCCAAATGGCGACTGAGGGTGAGGTGTGCGGATCTTCTTGGGTCAGACGCTCAAAGATGTCGATGGCGGACTGGATTACAGGTCTATTCGTCTTGAAAGAGTCGCTGAGCTTGCCTCGGAGATCGTGCCGTGGCGCCCAGTAGTCCTCGCCCGGGAAGTGATGAGCAGTGACCGTAGGATAATCAGTCTTCATTTTGGGCCTTTAAGCTGTTGAGTGGTACTGATATTGAGACAAAGTATTGTGATCTTGCTGAACAGCAGCGGAGGCGTGGCTTCGTGAATGGAAGGTGCAGCTGTGTGCGTGGTAAGAAGTGCCAGCTGCACCAGTCCTTCTCTGGAGAAGGTCGAAGGTGTGCGCTGAAGAGAAAGAAGTGAAGAGCAAGACTACGGGAGTACGTAGACGATGGGAACGGAGTTATGATGAAGCAATTTGTGAAGTGCAGACGTCGGCACAAGTAGTAGTTGACAAGTGGTAAGACTCTTGTGCTTGTGGCTCACAAGTTGACAGCACTGACAAGTTCACACAGAGCTTTGCAACAGATAGTGACACTCTATGTGCGCACATGTGGATTTAGAGAAGTGAGTTCTCTGTAGCTACATTGCTTCAAACTCAAGGATACAGTACAACTATTCTCACCCTGAACGATTAATGTGCTAAATACAGCTCGAAGGCCTGCAAATGGATGCTTTTAATGACAGGTCTATATGGACCACCAAAGCAAAAGTCAACTGCTGAACATGAGGGATCGCTTGTCCGAGGATTTAATAGCCACTAGTATGTACTTACCAAAGCATGTCAACAGGTCCATTCCCTGTGGGACTTGCTATACCGTGTATACAACCAGCTTTGCGAGCGATCCACCCGCAAACCCTCGTCCCATGCAACAGCCTTGCCTCTGGCGAGAGACTAAGAAACTGTTGATGTGGGCTTGCAGCAATTGTTCAGGATGTCGTTGGAGTTTACAAATTTCTGGGCGCGACAAAATTCAAATTGTTTCTTGGAAACCCGCCCTTTCTAGTTCCTACTCACACCCAAAGCGAGACGACGACCTTCTGGGCTGACGTCGGTTCCGGAATCGAGCCAAGATGGCTACTCAGTACAAAAAGCTGAGGTTGTAAAAATGAAGCATAGGTATACTGGTGAAAGTTGTCTTGCGTTGAAGTTTGAGTTGTTACACCTCTTCTTTTGCCCACTAGCACACAACCAAATAGGTCTGACTGTTTCAAAGAACCAGATTCACCCATGGCAGTCATCGCCGCTCCGGTGTCGGGTCCTGACCTTGCAACCTTTAGAAGAAAGAGAAGAGCCGTAAAGAAACTGTTTATGGGTGTGTGTAGCTCATATTTCCAAGATCTCATTGATCCCGGACTTATTTCATCATATTTATTCAAGTTGTAACTCTCAAACTATCAAGATCTCTTGCGTTATTCGTCGCAACACTGGTCGCCAGGAGTACCGGTGAGCCACCACTGATAAAGCCAGCTCTTATTGGCGAGTACGCGAGTTGACAGGGATGGCTTCAGCTCGTTCAGGCGGCTCCACTCACTCGTTAAGGCCTACCCTTTGCTTCAACATGTCAGCACCAGCTCCTATCAGTGAAAAGGAAGATGTCGTTGCTGCTAGAAACTCTAATCGCAAGGAATTATCGTGAAGTGATCAAAACAGCTGCAACATGCCTCTTTATCCCAGCTATGATTCGGCCATCTGGCAGATGGTAGAATGGTGGTATCGCATTCCCGAGCCACCGCCGCGCACGCGCGACCCAGCCAAGCCTCTCCAAGTCATCGCGGTTGGCTTCTCGCGTGCCGGCACCGAGTCCCTACAGCATGCCCTCACGAAGCTCGGGTACGATTATTGTTATCATGGATGGGACATGCTGCTGGAAGAGCCGCAGTACTCGCAAGCCTGGACGCGCCTCGCACGTAAAAAGTGGCATTCCAAAACGGGGGACTGCCGTATCTCGGCCGCCGAGTTCGACGGAATCATCGGACATGCCGTCGCCGTTGTGGACGTGCCGGCCTCATGCTTTGCGGCCGAACTCATCGAGGCGTACCCAGAGGCGAAGGTTATCTGTAATCAGCGCCGCGATGTGGACAAATGGTATGCCAGTGCCGTCAAGCATATTGTGGAAGAGGTCAACGAGTCTCGTTTCATGTACTTTTTGACCTGGTTCGATGCCGAGTTCTTCTGGAAGTGGACTTCCTTTGAGCGGTACCTTCTGCCGCGAAGCTTTCACGCCACGGACTCGAGTCTTGGTAGCGGCATCCGTTCGCAGGGGAAACGCGTACAGCGAGAACATATGAACGCGGTTCGAGGGCAACTGTATCACCGTGGAGAGACACACAGACTACTGGACTGGTACCTGGAGGATGGATGGGAGCCATTGTGCAAGTTCCTTGGCAAGCCGGTACCTCAAGAGCCCTTTCCACGCACCAACGATGCCAAGGGTTTCGAAGGACGGGTCGAGTCCATCGTTAGTAAAGGCCTTGTACGAGCAGTCACTAACGCGAGCCTATTTTTCGGTGGTGTAGCACTCTGCACTAGTGCTAGCATCTGGTGGCGATGGTATCGCTGACACTGTGGGGAGGAGACGACGTGCCTCGATGTAGCGAACAACGTCGTGGCGAGAGGCCCAAGCTATAGAGGCCTGATAGTAATAAAGGACGCTAGGAGTTGACTTGCAACAAATCTCTCTGAATGACTGACTCCCAGAAACTGATGATTTTCTTCCTGTCCACGCTACTAGTATTTGAAGCGGTGTATTTCTCTGAATCTCAGCCGCTGTTCCACAACCGCGGCGCCTGCAAAGGCAACGCAATATTATAACCTGCTTTGCGTCCTTTGTACGTGATTCTGTGCCGTGATTTGGGAAGTACGGCGAGAGGCTATGGGCAAGGAGTAGGTTTGCCCAGGTCTACCAGACTTTGTAGATAGCCATCCAATTACTAGACCTAAAGGAAGACGCTGGTAGTCTTGGGTCATGTAGAATTTTCAGGAACTGCTCAATGCCAGGTACTTTTACTGCTACCAATCAAAGCTTTGGGGTCTAATGCTGATCTTTCATGATACTAGTACAGAGGACGTGTACGGAGGCAAGGTTGCCGGAACGACCGTCACCTGAATTCACCAGCCGTCTCCATCGCATCCTCACGACGACTTCTCTCAAGCCGACGATAGACTCTAGTAAGCTCCATCTGACCGAGCAAGCGAAGTTCCCTCCACGGAATACTGCTTGCATCTCTGCCGCCAAGTCGGACGCCCTTTCCATATGCATTCTTCCACCGTACTTCGTCAGCGACGGCGCGTCTGTTCCGTGATCCCCTAGACGATGCGCCACAGCCGCTGTCTGAGCCCTTTCGAGACGCTTTTCCGTCGAAGGAGCTGCCGTGATACCACTGCATATGCTTTGTGTACTTGGACTCTTTCGAGAAACTTAGATTACATCGGTCGCAGTGATGACTGCTCATTTTTGTGGGAGACATGGTTTTTTCTTTTCACCAACGGGATTTGTTACAAAATGTGGCAGCAAGTAGAAGCTGGACACTTACACCAGGTCGGCCGTGCTAGTAGGCATTGTGCTAGATCAACCACGGTTCGATCAGCGGGTTGTGGAAACAAAGGACTGCCAGCCACTCCCTTAGGTACCATATGTCCCCCGAAGTCTAGGTACCAAAGACTTGACCCGGAGACAAAGACCTTACAAAGTCGTAAAGCAAGAGGGCTTCTATACTTACCACCAATTGCTACAGCACGGTCCTCCGTCTTTCTCTCGTTTTGAAAATGTCCCTTTGTACTTGCCCAAGCTCTGGGCAAAAGCTGGGGTTTGCCTATTCTTGCAGAGTCCTACACAGAACAGCAAGATCGCCCTTGGTTAGATGGAATTCAGAGAAGTAAGATCATGTCGCTATCGAACATGGCCCTTGCGATACCGCGGTCGTCAGCCATGAGTTGCATAGGCTATATCATCCCTACGCTCCGGACGCTCTCCCTCCCAACCGTGCTCACACAAAAGTGCGGCGCTGCTGCGAAACATGTCGTCAATGTCTTGTTGGGTTCTCACACGAGCTCGAGGCCCGTATCCCTCGAACAAGCCGTGGAAAGCACTACCGCCAAGTCGAGCCGGCGTCAAAGAAAGAAGTGAAAGCAGACCATGAACCAAGCAGAAGCGGCAGCTGAGGAGGATAGTTGAGACTGCCGGCGAATCGGTATACGGGTTGACAGCAACTCTGCAGAAAGATACTGTATAGCCTTTCTTAAACCATCTGATATGCCTACTTACGCCTTGTATCCCAGATGATCAGCCGTCTGTTGCACGATGGCATGAAACTCAGTTGTCCCTTGCTCCTCGCCCCCTCTTCAGACAGCCTCGCAGGCAGTACAAGTAGAGTGTACTCCACTTTGGGCCGCGTACCTCGGCAACTTAGCAGCGCCGCAACCTCAGCTATTCCCCAGATTTCCCTGGGACTGCGCCTTTCTCCAGACTGGAGTGGAGGCCTTGCTCGGTACCGAACGTCCTCATAAGGTATTGCTTATTACTTCGTGTGAGCAGCACTCAACACTCGCTATCAGCTCGCTCGACTTGGGTCGCAACCTCTTGCAAGTTGACGACCTTTCTGCCATCATCCGACGACTTCTCCGCCGCATCCACGAGCGAGTCAAGTGAAGCTAGAGCACAGCCCACAATGTCACGAGCAGGAAAACGCCGTCTCGATGCCCTCTCGCAACAACTCGTGCAAGGCATCCCCTCCGAAGGCGACTTCGAGGGCATACCACGCATACGACATGTCGCTCCGCCCTCAGCAGGCAAGCGTGTAGAGGGGTAAGGCCTAAACCCATTCCCAGCCATTTACCATATCACCCCGTGCCTTTTATGACTGACACAACCCCTCCAGGAAGGTTGCCATCGTCACAGGCGCCAACTCCCCCATCGGCATCGGCCGTGCCGCCGCCCACCAATACGCCGCCAACGGCGCCCGCGCCGTCTACCTCTGCGACGCCTCCTCCACGCACCTCGAAACGCACAAGCGCGAAATGCGCGAGCTCTACCCAGACGTGGACGTCGTAACACGGGTTCTCGACGTCGGCGACGAAGCCGCCGTGCAGGCCGTTGTGGCGGACGCGCTGGCCACCCACGGCCGCCTGGACATCATGTTCGCCAACGCGGGCATCGTGGGCACGCCCGCGACGTTCGCCGACATCAGTGCCGAGGGATTCATGTCCACGATGCGCGTCAATGCTTTGGGGGTGTTCCTGTGCGCGAAACACGCGGCGTTGGCGATGCAGAAGACGGGTCCCGGCAAGGAGTTTCCCGGCGGGAGTATCATTGGCACGGCGTCCGTGGCGGGCCTGCGCTCGAACGCGGGCAGCACGGATTATTCGGCCAGCAAGGCGGCGGTGGTGAGTCTGGCGCAGACCATGTCGTATCAGCTCACGGGCACCGGCGTGCGGGTCAACGCCATCTGTCCGGGCGTCATCGAGACGGGCATGACGCTGCCCATGTACGAGCAGGCACGGGCGCGGGGCACGCAGAGTAAGATCGGGCAGCTGAATCCGCTGCGGAGGGGCGCCGTGCCGGACGAGGTGGCGCGTGTGGCGCTGTTTCTGGGAAGCGATGAAGCGAGCTATGTCAATGGGCAGGCGTGGGCGGTCTGCGGCGGGCTGAGTGCAGGGCATCCATTTGTGCCGGGCAAGCTGGGCTGAGAAAAGAACAAGAGGAAAGATCTAGAGCTTGGGCGTAGCAGTGTTCATGATTCATGATTTAACGTCCTGCTGCAAGACGGACAGCACTTTACTCGGATCACCCAGTGCATGGAGCAGATCGGCAGCCTCCTGCTTGAGGTCCTTGTTCTCTGTGATCTCCCCTTCTTCGCCCTCATCGCCTTGTTCTTCTTCTTCTTTCGATGCAGCTCGGTCACCAGAAGGCACGACAACGTCTTCGCCGAATTCTTGCAGATACCGCTCCTCAGTCATGCACGGCGCAGGCAACTCATCTGGTGGCTCGTTCTTGACGTAGAGCGTCGGGTACTCCATGACTGTGCGGCCTCGTAAGATATCCACAATCTTGTCGCTGGGCTGTAGGTGCTTCAGCACCTTGAGCTTCGAGGGCGTGTTCGGTCGAAGGAGGTAGAAGTGGCTGTTTTCGAACGTGATCAACGAAGCCGAGTCGAGATGCGACTCAGCGGCCTGCGGGCCGTCGACAGCAGCATCCTCTCGGCTGGGGGATTTAGGCACCGCGTCAGATCCTTCAGACTGCCGTTCCGAGGCCTCCAGAACGGCACTCTGCTTCTTTCCTGGGGCACCATCGTCCCCCGCCTGCCGCACAACAGGTCCACGCTTCCTCTTTCCCAGACTCTTCTGCGCCGGCGCCGTCCTAACCACACCCTCCCACGCCTCCCGCACCGTACTCTTCTCCAGCACATTACCCACTTTCCTCCGCCCATCCGGCAGCAAGAACTCCACCGTCCACATCACGCCCCCATGATCGACCCTCGTCTCATTCTCCTTCCTCCTCTTCATCCCCCGCGGCGCCCGCCGCCACAGCACGCCACTCTCCCTCACCAGCCTCTCCAGCCTCGCCGAGTCCGTCTGTTTCGCTCTGCTCGCACCCGACACCCTCAACGCCCCACCATCACCGTTTTCATTCCCCTGCTCCTGCTCCTGCTCCGCCCGCGCCAACGACCGCTCCAGCGACGTGATGAAATTAAAGTCGGAATCGATGCTGCTGGCGCAGACGAGGTCTCTGCGCCGCTTGTAGGCCGTGGGGTCGCGCACGCCGGAGCAAGGGGCGCGGGTCTTGTGCTGCTTCACGCAGGGGAGCGAGCAGGTGTGGATGCTGCAGCGCGGGCACGTGTACTTGAGGGGGCCGACGTGGCAGATGGCGCAGAGGGCCGTGAGGGGGGTGTTTTCTTCGTCCATGGTTTCTGGGCCCACTGGAAAATTCAGTGCGCTTTTGAGAGCGGCTATGAATGTGGAGAGGTAGGCATCGGGGGCTTGTGATTGAGTAAGGGTAGAAACGCGGCTGCGGCGAGGTAGAGCGCGAGTACGAGGATCTGGAGAATCTGGAAATTCGCCATCTGATAAGATCGGACTTAAAGTGGTATCATCTCCGGCCTGTTCCTCCCAGACCTGGACGGCATAGAGTCAACTAGCTTGAGATCCTTTCTAACAGTGCTTATGGGTCTCGATTCTGGATGTGTCCCTCACCCTCGTCTTTGGTACTTTATGTGAAGCGATCGTTGTTGGCACATGCAATCTCACGCATCAAAATCTGTGCTCCTGGTAACCCCTTCCCACTCCTCGAATGACTTGAGCGTGCTCCTGAGCTTTGTTCCAACTTCCTCCCATGCATCGTTGCCGAGCAAGATACGCAGAGGGACATTCTTTCCCTCAGCAATGCCTTCGTTTCGCACCAGATCCAACACGATAGATGCCAGTTTCACCGGATCGCCCGGCTGCCGTCCGCTCTCATTGCTTACGGCAGGAAACACTTCTTTGTAGAATTTGGTGTATTCGGGATTGGTCGACTCAGCGGTCTTGACCTTCAAGTTGCTGGAGGAGAGCAGTTCGGTGCGGAAGCGGCCGGGCTCAATGAGCAGCGTCTTGACACCGGAGCCCATCATGGCCACTTCGTGGGACAGAGATTCTACAGCACCTAGAGCCACTCAGCACGCTCGTTCACCTGCCAGGATCGTTCGCGAGAAAGACTCACCCTCCAAGGCATGCTTGCTAGCCGAGTAAGGACCGACCGTGGGATGTGCAACGAACCCATTCAAGCTGGACACAAAAACCAACGTGCCTTGGTTGCGTGTCCGCATATGCGATAGCACAGGCTTGGTCACCTTGATCGTTCCGAATACGTTGGTCTCGAATTGTCGGGTCCAGTCCTCGTACTCCAGCTCCTCCCAGACGCCCAATTGGACATGGGCGGCATTGTTGATCAGCACATCGATATGGCCGTGGATGGCGACAGCATGGGCAATTGTGGCATCGATCTCGTGCTGTGGTGACGTGACGTCAAGTTGTAGGACGCTGACACCGTCGAGCGAGGAAAGGTGCTGAATGGAAGCCGGGTTGCGAGCTGTGGCGATAACGAGGTCGCCACGAGCAAGAATGGAGTGAGTGAATTGCAGGCCGAAGCCAGAGGAACATCCGGTCACCAGCCAGACAAGTTGCGGCATCCTCGTAGTTTGATGCTGCTTTGTAGGGTGTGGGAAAACAAAGAGCAAGCCACAGCTTTGCAGTGGTTGTGCCTGTACCTATATCAATGAAATCGTGGCGCTCCTGTGTCGGTGTTGTCGTGCTCTGGACCAATGAACGCCTCATAGGTTTCCTTACAGGCCATGATGTACACCCCGTACACTTTCTGCGCGGTGACTCACAAGCATATTGGCGACAGACACGTCTGCCACGCCGGCGACATCGCACTTTACCTTAACGCCGCCTGCCATAGGGTAGCGAGGGCGTGAGTGAGGGGTCGAGACAACCTCAAAAGAAGGCAACCCGAGCGGACAGGCGATGTTCTTGATGAGGGAAGAGCGGCCGCTTTGCCCTTCTGGTACCTCCCCAACGATTGCTTGCAATGCATCAAATTGCCCGTTCTGCCAGATGGTCCTCACTCGAGCCGTCGGCGTCAATTGGCGCCCTGAGACTTGCAGCTTTGCTTGACCCGGCCGAGAACGCTGTCATCATCTCAGAGCTTCACATTTTTCCTCTCCAACGATCGTCTGCTTTCTCTCGTCCGAGAGGTTCTATTCCAGGCACTTAAAGTAGACCCTGAGAACCGGACTCTCAAGAGTCCGAAAATCCGGAAACAACATCACTGCAACGCCTGGCGTTACGTAAGGTCTGTAGCCCAACGGTCGACCAAGCCCCGTCAGTTGTCGTACCAAGTACCACAAAGAGGAGCGTCGCGCAACATCGATCTCGAGGTCAAAGGCATCAGGCATTGTGTAGTCAACGTCAAATCCCTCGCACCGTCCTTGGCAGTCGTTCATGGGGACGATGGATTATTAAGATCTCTGTTGGGATCACCACAGAGCCATGGCACTCCCCATGGCTGCGCGCAAGGCTAGTCAATTATCAAAGTCCTGTCCAAAATCTTGAGAGCCATGCCGTAGACGCTCATCGTATAAAGCAGTCGCCGGGCCCATGGCTACATGCTAACCCACAGCACTTCACTGACCAAACATCCTTCACTTTAGACCAGCCTAAACCAAAGTATACACCAACGACATGAAGGTCGCCGTCGCGGGCACGGGCAATGTCGCCCAATACCTCTTCGAGGAGCTCACCAACCACGGACACGAAGTAGTGGTGCTCACCCGCAAGACGAAGCCGAACATCAAGCTCGAGCAGCGCGAGACCGACTACAGCGTCGCCTCCCTCATCACCAACCTCGCCGACACCGATGCCCTAATCTCTACCGTCGCCGACTTCCTCGACCCCAAAATGACCACGCGGCTCCACCTCACTATGCTCTCCGCCATCCAGCAATCCACGCGCTGCAAAACCTTCATCCCCTCAGAATGGACCCTCAACGCCGAAGACCACCCGGAACAGCCCATGCCCATGCACGAGCACACCCAAACCCTGCACGGCGCACTCAAGGCCGCCGACCCCTCCATCCGCTGGACCATCATCTCAAACTCCTGGTTCCTCGACTACATCGTCCCTCAATCCCAACGCCATCTCCGCGACATCGGCCCCCTATGGCCCATGGACCACGCCACCAAGACCTTCACCATCTACGGCCCGGGCACGCAGCGCTTCAGCGTCGTCGCCGTGCGCGACGTCGCCCGCGCCGTCGCCGCTTTACTCGACAGCACCGCACCCTGGGAGCAGTACACGTACGTCGCGGGCCAGGAGGTGTCGTGGAACGAGCTGTTTGAGATCATGCGCGAGCGGGATCCGGCCTGGAAGCGCACGGTCAAGCCGTTGGCGGACACGGTGAGGCATGTCCTGTCGGGCAATGCCGACGAGGCGCTGGTGGGGTATTTTGAGTTGTTGACGTACTCGGGGGCGTCGCTGCTGCCGAGGGAGCGCGTCGAGAGGGATCGCGCTAGGTACTTCCCGGGCATCAAGTTTCGGAGCATCGAGGAGGTTTTGGATGATGCGGCGGCGGCGAGGCCGGGTGAGATTGTGTAGGTAGAATAGAGTAGAGTAGGGTAGATAGATGGCAAGAGGTTTGTTGAAGAAAGGAATTTTGGATTTGAAATTGCTCAGATCATCAACAGATGTTTTCACTGAAGCAAAGCAGTACGCCTGCGGGTATTGTAACACGGTACTCTCAAAAACAACATTCCCATTCGTCGCAGTCCTGGATATCCTCCCAAGCCACTGTACGGCTTCGCGCGCAATTTGATCGATGTGCCAAGGCATGGAACATGCATTTCTTAGTCAGGTGAACAGATCCTGCACAAGTCCTCTTTCGTTTACCTTGCGTAGTCCGACAGCACTGGCTTTGCCTAGGAAGCCGCCCGCCATGCTGCTCTGGTATTGTTGATGCCGGCCATCAGACCACAGAAGCCAACGATGCCCGAGTTCATACCCGTCAAGCCGCCCTCAACGCTGTAGTGGATTGCCACAGGTAGCCAAGCTGTGCACACCTGCAGGTCGCTCCACCATTTGCGATCGAAGTCCTCCTGCTCCTTGGCACTGATGCTATCGCCCTTGGACTTGCGCTCCCGCATCAAAGCCGCATCCCGCCACAGCCTGAGGAAATCCGTGCTCACGCCCACCAACCAGCTTCGGCAAGCCCACTTCATCGCAGTGGCTGGCCCGCCCATCTTCGCAACCAGACCGCCCTTCAGCACACCCTTGTTGGTGAGAACCAGCACGTTCTCGGTGAACTGAAACCCAATGTATCCCGCACACTGGGCCAGCAGGATCTTGTGCTTAAGAGGATCGCCGCCCTTCTGGTTAAGTAGCGACTTGAGCAATGCGTATAGCGACAGTAGGCCCGTCAGGCGGAGAGTGGCACGGAAGTCAGCCACCATGGCACCCAGAGGCACTAGTGGGGAAGGGCCGGCAACAAGTGCAGACGGTGGAATCTTGATATCGCGTCCAATGAGCTTGCTGATATTGGCAACTAGGGCGGCGCGCGAAGGAGCGGCTTGGTGGAGGTACGCGAGCAGGTAGAGCGAGTAATTGATGGTAGAGAGAGTGGAAGAGAGGCCGGCAGATGTCTTAATGGTTCTATGCGAGCTTAGAAGAAGTATTTGCCGAGTAGATGCTGTACATACCTGGACAAACGGAGAATGAACTCATCGGCCCGGGAGAGGCTGGACTTGACATCTTTAGGGAGGCGCGAGATGCCTCTGTGTTGCGAAGGGTCGAAAGGCTGCGCTTTTCCGCTCTGCGATTCACTAGGAGGCAGAGTCGGGTCGAGCTGCGACGGTGTAGCCTTCTCACTCATCTTGGGCCGAGGTAGTAGACGTCGTTGCTGAGGTAGCAGTAAAGGTGAGGTGAGAGTTCGAGGAAGAGTCAAAGTGACGGTCCTGGAGGATATATCGATACGAGGTTCTGCGTGTCGGCCTCTTGTCAGCTGCAGGAAAAGTAATCAGGTCTAAGGTGGTCGCGAGTTGGCGAAGGGTGCTAAGATGGGTTTGGGCAAGCAGGGCGGAGATGATGCGGGGGCCTGGGAATCGGAGCCTCGGTACAACTGAGGATGGCAGGACTCCACCATCACAGCCCTAACCCTAAAGTGCTTTCGAATGTGAGTCACGTGAGGCGATACGTCACCTTCCATGCTCGCGTCAACTCTGCTCAGCCATCGTCAGGCGACACTCTTTCTCTCCTTGCTTGAACCGCATTCATCCTCTTAAACGCAGTCTCCTCGATCTGAAAGCAATTCTCAACCATTTTCGATCTCCCTCCCACGAGCTCACCTTCAAAATGACGTGCGGCGACATCTTTCTGGGCCTGTTGGCCATAATCTTCCCTCCTCTCGCCGTCTGGGTCAAGCGCGGCATCTGCAGCGCCGACAGCCTCATCAACATCCTGCTCTGTGTTCTCGGCTACATCCCCGGCCTTCTGCATGCCTGGTATATTATTGCTCGCTTCCCCGAAGAAGAGTACGACTATGAGCATCTGCCAGACAGCGAGAACCGAGTCACATATTACTACGTTTCGCACCAGCCCGGCCAACCTCGCGATTATGGCACTCAGGGTGGCCAACAAAGACAGCCCAAGCCAAATTCTGCGGCACCACAGGTTCCACAGCACTCCAGGCCAGAGCCGAGTGGGCCGAGTGTGGGAGCTGGCACTAGCGAGCAGGGTGCGCCGCCCAGTTACTCGGATGTGGTGAAGGGTGACAACAAGGTGCAGAGCCAGGACTGAGTGGCTGGTTAGAGCTGCCCATAAACCGCGAGTTGCTCACCACATATGCACAAGGCAGAGGTATTCAGCATCTAGAGGAGCAATGATTCTCTGCGCGGTTTGTGCAAGAGTTCGATCAGAGCACGAGAGCACCATCAGGATTCAACTGGCCTCGACTTGTTGATCGTACGTCTCACTTCATATAGCCAGTCACGTTCCGGCTTACATAACCAAAGTCTGACCGATTTATATGGAATGGACCTGGTACTTCGCAAGGCAAGATATTGGCCAATCCACTGTCAGGCCCGGTCCCAGAAAAGGCAGAATGAGTAGCATTCAGGCTCTCAAAACAGGCGTTGACTTGTCAGCCATCTAATAATCTTACCTCTGAACCTTCAATGCTTGCCTTAGTGCTCTTACTGGAAGGCGTTCGTGTTGTACTTCTCTCGCGTCAATGTTCTGCATTGTGCTCACCTCACCTCACCCCAGCCCCTTACTCCAGACTTTCGATTGCCTCTACGTACGTTTGCAGCAACACTCAATGGGTTCTTTACCCAGACTCAAGGCTTGGGGCCCCAGCGACCAAGCGAGACGCGGCCATTGGGTTTCCATTCTGCTTTCTACGGGAGTCACGACGCGGTTGCCGTGCGCCTGACGACGGCTCACCATTTGCTACACCGGATTCGCGATGTCTATCCTTTGTAAGATACAGGCGCTGCATTGCATCGGGTGTATCAAACGAGGGGGAAAGCGGATATTGGGACTCAGGACGACGCCAGTAAGATGTAGCTTTCGAATCATGGATTTGGTTGTCTATGATATCGCAGAGGCTTTCGTCTCTCGTCTGTCTATTCGCTCAATCAGCACAGCATGACATTGTGTCGTCCTCCAGCCTATGCTCAAGCCCATCACTTTAGCCCCGAGCGTGCATGGAATGCCATGTCTCGCGCGATACAGTCATCTGGCGGAGTTTGATCCCATCCAGTCGTTGACTCTACACCATCATCAAGCTCAGGCGTTCTCACTGCCAGAGTCCTTCATCGATACCTTGCCCTCAGCCTTCAACTTTTCTAGGCGCTCGAGTAGGTGTTTGGGTGGCTGCTGTCGGTAGCCCTCGGGGTTGTTTTCAGTCCACCGCCACAAATCATCGCAGGCATCCTCCATCGTCCGCTTCGCGACCCAGCCCAGCTCCTTGTTTGCCCGTGTGGGGTTACTTGTCAGATCAAGCACATCACCAGCTCTCCTCGCGACCACCTCGTACGGTAGGTCACGTCCCACTGACTTGGAGAACGCCTTGACCATCTCGAAGACGGTCGAACCGCGGCCGGTACCCAAATTCCAGGCTCGGACGCCGGGGTTGTTTGAGCGCAGGTAGTCAAGAGCAGCAAGATGGCCTTGCGCAAGGTCGAGAATGTGGATGTAATCGCGAATGGCGGTGCCGTCGTGTGATTTGTAGTCTGTTTCGGGAGTCAGAGTAAGTACGTGCCGGGGAGTGTAAGGGCCGACGAGTCCGGGGGTTTTGGGCATGAACGAGACAATACACGTACCGTCACCAAAGACCAGCAGCTTTTCGCGCTTGCCAGTCGCGACCTGAGCTAGGAGAGGGAGGAGATTGTAAGGCACACCAGCAGGGTCCTCGCCCATGATAGCAGAGGGATGACTGCCTGCGGGGTTGAAGTAGCGCAGGAGGCCAGCATTCCACTTGTTCACACTTGCTTCGTCGTTGTTCTTGCGGGCGTTGGCGCGTTCAGCATTGATGTGGTCGGTGATCATGAGTTCGGAGCAGAATTTTGTGTTTCCATAGGGGTTCGTAGGACCGAGTGGGCATATTTCGGGGATGGGAATCATGTTTTCGAAGCGCGTGGCATCGCCATAGACGGTTGCGGAAGAGGAGTAGACAATGTTGGTGACATTGTTCTTCTTAGCCGCGCGTAGAAGGGCAAGGGTGCCGTAGACATTGACTTGATAGTAGTCGAGAGGAATCTCGCCTGATTCTCCAACTGCCTGGACACATTCATCAGTCTCATGTGCTTTGCGCCGGAGTTCAACTCACCTTGAGAGCAGCAAAGTGAATGACGCTGTCAATATCTGGGTGCTTCTTGAAGACCTCATCGAGAGCACTTTCGCTGGTAATGTCGACCTTGTAGTATTCAGGCTTCTTTCCGCAGATGAGCTCTATCCTATTCAAAGCCTCAGGTGAGGAATTGTAGAGGTTGTCAACGATGACAACTTTATAGCCGGCTTCGAGCAGGGCGAGTGCGGTGAAGGAACCGATATAGCCAGTGCCACTGTCAAATGTTAGACGAGATACTTGTCAAGGGCCACGCAAAACTGACCCAGTGATGAGACACGATCCCGCCGACATGGTTGCGGAGTGTAGCTGTAGCTTTCCGAGACAGGTGGGGGTTTCGCGGGGTAGCAAAAGAGTAATGAGCGTATGCGCGTAGGCGACGGGCAGGTCGTGTGGGTGGAAGAGAGTAAGTCGGACAGTAGAAGTGGCCGCGTCGACGATGCGATCAACAGAATATGTAGTCTGAACGGCGTGCGCAGTGTCAAGTTACATTGGACGCTTTGATCGACGAATTTTCGGTGGCTTGATTTAGTGCTGCTGTTCCTTGCATGTGTTGCGTATTCATCCCCGCCAAATTGCGCCAGTTCCAGGCTTACCAGCGCCACGGTAGCCAGGCGGGAGCTTAACTCAAAGCACCGTTTGCCCCCCCGAAACCCCCCCGCAATTTAAACTACAGCCTCATACAACTCCAAGTTGCAGCACGCCGTGCATGCCCACTGCAACCTCATCAGTCGCTCATCAAATGTTCCTTACACGTCACAGTACATCAGCGATGTCGACAAGTACATCTACGTGACTAGCTGTAGGCGGCCCTATCAGCTGCTCGCCCCCTCCCTGCTGGACCCCAGCTCAACATCTGTTTTGAGTGACCTATTTTCCCCGGCTGTGCCATTACGACTGCCGATGGCTATATCATTGCCTGAAGGGTATGTTCGTGCATATAGGGCTCCTCACATGCCCTTTCCTTCCTGTACCCCGCGTATTGTGGCAGGTGCAGTCAGGTGAGAGCTCTCTGTAACAATACTAAAGGTCACGGTTGAACGGTCCCTCGGTCTATGGGCTAACAAATGGATTGGCATCAGCTTGGTTGCTTCTCCTCTGATCTATTTCCAAGACATGTGTCTGTTCGGATCAGACTCCTATGCAATCTGTCACCATGATTGCTCTTCTCTACATTAGTGGACTGTTAGCATTGATACTGACTGCTTCTGCTCTTCTGGAGGAACGCTTCGTTGCTTTTGAGCCCTCCTTCGGAGCTTTAGCTCTTTCGAATGCAACTATATTGTTCGCTACGCACGACTTCGTTGGCATTGAGGTTGCTGTGAACAGCTTGGTCGATGACTTTGAGCAGATCCTGGGTGTCCGCATCCCTCAATTCACGGTCACTTCGCAGAACGTGTCAAGGACTATATACGACAATAATGCGTCTACGGCCATTATTATTGGCAGTGTTAGTCGGAGCTTTCTCATCCAGGATATAGCAAGTGCGGGCAGACTCGATCTCGCCAATGTTGATGATCAATGGGAAACCTACCAGACGGCGGTCGTGACAAACCCGCTTCCAGGCCTTGATCGAGCATTCGTCATTGCAGGAAGCGATTTGCGCGGCGCCATGTTCGGAGTCTACACTCTGTGCGAGCAATCTGGGCAATCCCCATTCCATTATTGGACTGATACGCCCGCGCACGAGCACGACGAGATCTATGCGCTGCCACGAACCACAATCCATGGGCCCCCCTCTGTCAGATACCGAGGTCTCTTCATCAATGACGAGGCACCTTCTCTGACTACTTGGTGGTCTCAAGGGAATAACAAAAAACATCAGCCATTGGACGCGGCTTTCTATACTCACGTCTTTGACATGATGCTACGGTTGAAAGCAAACTACATCTGGCCAGCTATGTGGAAGAGCAGCAACAATCCTCCTGGGAACATTTTCTTTACAGACGATCCCGAAAATATGGCGCTGGCCGAGAAATATGGCATTGTGGTGTCCACAAGCCATCATGAGCCAATGCAGCGAGCAACCAACGAGTGGAATGTATCTGAAACAGGCGAATGGGACTGGAGCATAAATAAGGCGAATGTTACCAGGTTCATGGATGCAGGCATACGAAGAGCAGCGGGCCAGGTCTCCAATGCCAGCTATGTCACACTTGGGATGCGTGGAGCCGGTGATGGCCCCATCGAAGGCGACAACGCTACAGATATTCTCCGAGATGTCTTCTCAGCACAGCGGACCATCATTCAGAAATACTACGGTGCAGCTGATGCCGTGCCACAGCTGTGGACTATCTACAAAGAAGTAGCAACGTATTATGCAGCCGGTCTTGCACCTCCGGATGACGTTACTCTTATGTTCACCGATGATAACTGGGGCAACATACAGCGGCTGCCAGTCGACGTCAGTGGCGAAGTGACCAGGAGCGGTGGCATCGGGGTCTATTACCACTTAGAGTACGTGGGAGCCCCACGACCACACAAATGGCAAGATACAAACCACCTGCCCAAAGTGCTGAAGGAGCTCTCGCAAGCATATATGCGCGGCGCACGGCAGATATGGGTGATCAATGTGGCCGACATCAAGCCCATGGAGCTGCCTTACGGCTTCATCATGGACCTTGCCTGGAATGCAAGTAGCATTACATTCGGAAGCCTTCCACGCTATCTTGAGCTGTGGGCTGCTCGCGAATTCGGCCCAGCCCTCTCAGTGGACATCGCTAAGCTGGTCATGGACTGGAATCAGTTACTAGGTATGCGCAAGTTTGAGATGATTCGGTCGGACACGTTCTCACTAGAGAACTATCACGAAGTCGAACGGATGCTGGCTGCTTGGCAAGACCTGGTCGATCGTGAGGATTCGTTGTATAGAGCATTGGACAAGGACCGGCAGGCGACATTCTTTCACTACCTCCACTACCCCATTCAGTCAGGTAACATCTACTACAAGGTGACCCTCGGTCAGACTATGAACGCCCAATATGCGATACAACGCCGCAACACAGCCAATGCGGTAGCCGAGCGAGTGATGGACGATTTCGGACGAGATTTTGACCTCATCGAAGAATACGATCAGCTGATGGATGGGAAATGGAAGCATATTCTCTCGCAACCAAAATTTGAGTACAGCAGCCCTGTCAATGACAAAGAGTCATGGAAGTCTCCTTCTAGAGACGTGCTGTCGAACCTCTCGTATGTTCAGTTACGCCAGAATATGGACGAGAGCATTGGCAATCTCGGTATCCAGATCGAAAATACCTACAATGCTAGGGCAATGGGTCGCTGGAATCCTTCAGCGCATCGGGTAATGCCGACAGACGGCGATTCAGACTATGGAGGCATGCCTCTGATGCAGTCCATGAATCCGTATTCAGGCTCCTCCAGGCGTGTGGATCTCTTCATGAGAGGCGATCATCGCGTACCAGTCAGATGGTGGCTTGATGAATGGGAGCACGACTGGTTGTCCGTGAACCCTGTCTCTGGCAACTTGACACAGCGTCGACCGGAGCAGATCCTGAATTTCACCGTCAACTGGCCACAGGTCCCGGCCGGGTTTAATGAGACAGTGTGCGTACAGATTCGGTGGGATGGTGACTACTACTGGGACTATATTAGACTCCCCATTCAGAACCGTCTAGTACCCCCTTCATTCCGCGGCTTCCCTGAGGTAGACGCCGGTGTAGTCTCCATCGAAGCGGCTCACTACCAACGCGCTGCACCACAAGCCATCAACGATACAATCTTAGCCAATCAACCGGAACAGCCAGTAGCATTTGTCCAATTCCCATACCTCGCAACACGCAGCAATTCAGGGTCGATTGCCGTCCGCCCTTACCAGGCCAGTCGAGCTCGCATCAACGAAGGCCCAGCATCGCAAGGAGGACAGGCCTCGCCAGGCTTTCAAAACACAACCGAAGGCCTACAGCCTCCTTCGGCTCTCCCACCAGCTAACAACAGCAGCAGCACCAACCTCACAGCCATCAACCCCCCGTCCACCGCCGCCGCCACCACCGCACTCGTACAGTACGACATCTTCCTCTTCAACTACACCGAATACCCCGTCAACGCCACCGCCTACGTCACCTCCTGCCTCGACACCGACCCCACACTGCCAATGTACTACTCCCTCACTGCCGATGCCCAGCCGCCGATCTGGACGCGCGTGCTGCCGGAGCCCAGGATCCCCGGCGACACCCCCGCCGGCTGGATCGACACGGTGGCGGATCAGGTTTGGAAACTCAACGTGACGTTGGGGAATATGACGGAGGGGCGGCATGTGTTGACGTGGAGAGTCAATTCGCCCGAGATCTATCTGGAGAAGATTGTGTTGAACTTGAGGAAAGGAGCGGTGAGGGAGAGTTATTTGGGCGTGCCGGAGACGACGTTGGTGTAGATTTTGGCGGCGTCGAGCCGTTTGCCGGCGGTTATGGAAGGGGAATTATTACCAGCGAAAAGAGAATCGTGAGAGCTAAAGGAAAAGTGTAGAGAGGTGATAGTTGAGTTGGCGGAAGTGTCGTGCGTGGTTTCGGTGGGTGCGTGCTCTGCACCTATGATACTCGATCGCTGGACTGATACGATAATGACAGGAGGATGTTCCTAATCCTCTGGCGTGCAAGAAACTGCGAGGTTCATTTCATTCTTCTATATAGTCGTTGAGCCTTCCTCCGTGAGTACCTAGGTAGGGTGCTGGTGAGAGGTGACATTAGAAGATGGGAATTCGTCAATGCCTCACTTTCGTCTGCTCTGGACGCTCCCACGCTCCCACGCCCATTCGCTGTCAGAGGCAAGTGTGAGCATGCAAAGCGAACAGATCTGAGGTAACGTCAAGGAATATATTGCTTTCGCGAGGAGGGCGGGCTAACAGCGAAAGTCGAATGGAATTTCGTGCAACACACGGCCAACAGTGGAGGGATCTCCTCCCCCCCCCCTTTCCTAAGGAACGCCAGCCCTTCTGAAGACGAACAATCAGCAGTCCACTTCTCTCTCAGCCGCCGCCTACTTCATTCATAACGCCGCCATCCAGCTTGACGACCTCACCATTAACATAACCACACCTGGCAAGGAACATGACCCCCATGGCCATCTCCTCGTCCGTCCCAGACCTCCCCGCGGGGACCTCATGGCCCTTATCCTTGACCTTCTCGTCCGGCATCTCGGCCTTATTCCTTTCATCACTCTCCTTCATGGTCATCTCACTAGGGAAATACCCGGGTGCGATGCTGTTGACGCGCACGCCCGTCTTTGCGAACTCGCGACTCATCATGCGCGACAAATGCGCCGTCGCCGCTTTCGCGGCGTTGTAGCTGAAATGCGCCTGGCTGTGGCGCATCATGCCGCTCATGCTGCTGATGACGATGACGGAGGCGGCGTGGCCCCGTTGCACGCCGCGCTGGAGGAGCGGCAGGAAGGCGACGGTGGAGAAAAACACAGAGGTGACGTCCGCGTTGTAGGTTTGGTTCCAGTCGTCGACTTTCTCCGACCAGAGGTTGGCTTTGAGTTGCGTGGCGTCCGAGGTGTCCGGGAAGCCCTTGGGGCCGGCGATGCCGGCGGCGGCGACGAGGAGGGTGAGGTGGGATTCCTTGGCTTCGATTTCGGCCACGAGGTTTTCGAGGTCGGTTTTGGAGGTGACGTCGCAGGGTCCGATGGGGATGATTTCGCCGTTGAGGGACGAGTCCTCTTGGGATTTGGGGTCGTGGGTGTTGGCGGCGTTGTCGAGGACGTGCTTGCGTCGACTGGTGATGTAGACTTTGGCGCCTAGAGACGTTAGCCGTGAAGACATGTCCCCCGGGCTGGAAGAACCTACCATTGGCGGCGAGGGCCTGGGAGGCCATGAGGCCGATACCAGTACCGCCACCCGTGACGAGGCAGACGGCGTCCTTCATGGAGAAGAGGTTCGCTACATGGAGTTGGTCGGTCGTAGCCATGGTAGCGGGAAACGGTGGACAGGGAAGACTAGAAGTGGTTTGATATCTTTTGCAAATACAGTCTTCTTAACAAGACTAGAACCGGAAAAAGGAGAGCACGAGACCAGCATTGTTGTAAAGTAAGTCCAAACGAGTTGAACATTCAACGTAGGAGTAACCGTGACGTCACGGTCTCAACGACAGATGAGGTCAGTCAGAGTCGCTACAAAAGAGTCGAAGCAACTGAGAGAATCCTGGCTGTGGCCGGAATCTATAGTTGCAATCCCTCCATCCACTACAATCATACGCAGCAACGGAGTGACCAGGATTCGACGGCTGCACCGTCTTCCGCGAGGCTTTATGCCCCTGTCCTCCCAACCAATCACCATTCACCATCTCCTCATCACCCGCTCGTTGTCCATACAAATTCCTACCACAAAGGTTGTGGCGTGAACTTGTTCCAGAACGCGAAATGCCGTTTCGGCATTGTCATCGTCCAATTCGGACGGGATCCTCCACGATTCGAGCCTTTAGCAGAACCGCGGGAGGGAGCTCTGAATTCGTCTTTAAGACGAAAGACCACGATGGTTTAGGCAATCGGGACATCGGCCTCGAAAACGATGCGATGCAATCAGTGGATTGCAAACAACACTCTGTTGTCCACGCGGGATCTACCCGCATTCTTGCTAGACACTCATGCTGCGAGCGCCAGGGCCGCCATGGCTCTGACGCCAGCTTCTGTCTTGTGACCTCCAGTGAAGCCGGATGCATGGATGAACATTGCTCCATCCTCGACATCAGCACCAAGAACATTGTCTAGCTCTGAGTCGCGAAGGCCTCTCCACGGCTCAGGTAAACTCTTGCGGTTCTGGAAGCTCGAGAGACTGTGAGAGACGCATTGAATGCGCCACTTGGATCCCGGCTCCTCCTTCTCGGGATAGACAACGTAGAGCACCTTCTGGGCATCCGAAAGGCCAGCTTCATCCTCAATCGTGTACAGGTGCTCTTTCCAGGGAATGCCAGCGCGAGGAATTGTCATGAGCTGGCCGGAAGGATGATTCTGCGCCCGATTCTCAAATGCGTTCTTGACGATAGCGCGTGCCGGTAGCCAAGCAGTAGCAGCACCATGGAGTTTCCTCAAAAATGTGGTGCCCATGAGGTTCGAGGCAAGACCAAATCGGTAGTCCTCCTCAGCTTGGGGTTCCGCCTCGGTAGCGCGACTAACGCCGGGATTCAAGGGATCTTCATGATTCAAATCGCCCACCATGCTTGCCAGTGTCACGCCTCCTGCACTGAATCTCTTCTCAATGCCCGCCTGATCCAGGGCTGCAGGGTCGTACTGATTGATGCCGTTGTCGTTGGCATCGACCGCTTCAACAAAGTCATCGTACAGCTTTTGGTACAGAAGTTCGACATCCGGCGAGTCAAGAGGCTGCTGGGTATGTTGGGCAATGATGGCTTTTCCGAAGTGCATGTAAACAAGCCCCGCAGAGGACAGTTTAGTAGCATGGTTGGGAAAGGTGGTATTGAAAGTCCGCTGATGGTGATCATATCGCTTCTTGCCATTGTCATACTCTCCTCCAACATCGACGACGGTATGACAGGTCTCAAGCAGGGAGGGATCGCGCGTGCGAACAAGGGCGGCCGATTGGTACTCGGGCAGCATCTTCAGCATGTACACCGCAAGGGCTTCGTCGGCGTGGAAGTGGCCATTATGGGTGCCGATGCGAATGGGATCCATCTTCAGTCGTTTCGCAGCTGTCTCCGCTGCCATTCTCAACTGACGGAACATTCAAAAGAGAGCGGGTGGTGGGGTGGGCACGGACTGAATAAATTTATGCCGCAGCTCAGCGAGGATGACATGCCAAGTGATGCGAGATCTGATTGGCTGAGAGCCTGAGCCGTGAGCCTTGTTTCCCCCCGCTCCCCCTTGGGAGACTCGACTCACTGCTGGTCTATCATAGCACCACATGTTTCCAAGGTTACTATGCTTGCGTGTTATCTGCCAGCGAGGCTTAGAGGATATAAGGAGGGTGTCGGACCACCCATGGACATGGAATCTCGCCATTATGAGGATTCGGTGCTTAATCGTACGTCCGGTGCTATGACATTGGCGAATATATTTACGCGATCCAGCATGGCATTTGTTGTGGTGAACTTGCGGTGATAGTAGTGAAGAATGAAGTCTTTGTACATTGACAATTATAAGCACACTGAAGTCGTCCACTCCAATCCCGTAGTCTGCGCCTGTCTATACACTAAATCTCCTCCTTCCACTCCTCGGGCACCATGGGTACCGGTACCCTACGTCGAAGATCTCGGAGCACTGCTTCGGTTCCCTTCTCGATGACAGCAATACGTGGAACTCGAAACAAGTTTCCCATCGACTCGAAACTGCGTAAGCGTCCAGCTTCGCGCTTGTCTGCAAAGTTGCCCAATAGTCCAAGTGCTGGCGGCAGCTGCTCGATCTGATTGTTGCGGATGTCAATCACCTCTAAGCCCCTTACACCCTCCACGTCCACACTACTGAACCAGTTATCCGACGCCAGCAAGGTAGTAACGTTTGGGTACCAGGCTCGAACCCAGGGCACATGGCCAGCAAGACGATGGCATGAGATGTTGAGCTCTGTCAGCTCGGGTGCTTTGAGATGTGATGTGAGGGCATCGAGGGAAGTCAGACCCGTAGACACCACATATAGGGAACGTAATGCTGGCAGAAAAACTTCATCCGTCAGGCATTCTGTTGAGTGAAGACGAGGGTTGTGCGAGATATCCAGAGACTTGAGCGTCCACTTCAGCGCAGGATGGCAGAGCAGCTCCACCGGGAGCGTGCTGAATTCGTTATTTGTGAGGCGAAGTGTATGAATGGGAACCGTGCTCGACTCGAAATTGATAGTATCCACGTTGATAGATTCGAGGCCCTTCGAGGACAAGTCAAGGACTCCATTAGTAGCTTTGAAGGCATATTTGCTGTGTTCTGCGCCTTCTGCACCATTCACAACCTCTCCAGAAGCTGCCTCCGAGCCTCTGCTATTATCACCGCGATCTAGACGCTTTTCCAGATCCAGCTTCAAATCAGAGGTTGGCATGCTGATGTACTTTCGATCGCGAAGCGGGTTGCCAGCCAGTTCAAGCGCAGTCAATGCATCCATGGTTGCGATCCGAGCGTCGATAGCCTTGATGTTGTTTTGGCTAAGGTCGGCGTTCTTCAGAGAGTGCAATTCCCAGATCGCCGGCATGTCGACCACTTTGTTCTCTGACAAATGGATCGTCACCAACTTCTGCCACTTTTCGGCTGCTGGCAGTGCTGTCAGACGGTTGCTGTTCAAGAGAAGGGTCTGCAACTCGATAAAATCTGAGACTGGAGCAGCGAGGCCATCAATGGCATTCCAGGACAGATCCAAGTTTCGTAGCTTGAGGAAACCACCACTGACGCCCTCAAATGCTATCCCCCCGATCTGGTTAGATTTCGCCTCAAGCTCAGCTAGCTCCTCGCAAGAGGAAAGGGACACCCAAGGTAGCTTTATCAATTTATTTGACGATACGTTCAGCCTCTGTAGCGATGACAATTGCCCGTGTGTGAACTCGAAGCCATCAATCTGGTTGTTGGACAAGTCAAGGACTCGAAGCGCAGTCGTCCCTTCTGCGCTGAAGGGAAATGAGCCTGTGAGCTTGTTGTTTGCCAAGTAGAGGCTCTGGAGCTGTGGGATCTGCCAAATAGTCTCAAGAACCTCGTTGCCGAGTTGGTTGCCGCTGAGGTTCAAACTCGTTAACCTCTCCATCCGTCGTAACCCTATAGGAACTGAATGAAGGAGATTGTTACGGATATCCAACATCTCAAGCCCAGCGAATTGATTGGTCTTCTCATCGTCCTCATACATCTCATCTGTCGACCAGTCCGGGAAGACGTCATCTGAGATGACTTCAAGTTTGTTGTCGCCCATGTTGAACTTGGTGAGGTCGACCATCTCTGACCAACCCACCGAAGATGCCGTGTTTTCGTACATCCTGAGGACTTCTTCTGGGACAGTATCAAACCCCATGGCGGCCAAATTCAAGCTGCCCGATGCAACAGCTCCTTCAAGACGCTTTCGCAATAAACCTTTGTTCGACTGTCCTGGTTCGATTGGCTCACCGGGCCAAGCATCGGCTTCAAAGTTGGCTGGCGTGATCATGGCATTGCCCTCGACGCTGGGTTGAGAGGTCATTGCTGCTCGCTTGGCAGCTTTGGCTTTTGCAATAGTCTCTCGTAAAGCTGCAGATGACTTGGTGGAAGTTGGAGTGGGAGGTTTTGCTTTGTTCACACTCGATGTCGTCGGAGTGGAGTTTCTTGGAGCTAGCACCTTGGGCCGAAGCCGGGATGGTGGTGAGGCCGCAATCGTATTTTCGCCGTGTGATCGTGGTCGAAGTAATCCGGCGCTGCTTACAGAAGAACGCGCCCCAGAGTTCGAGGCTGATTTAGCTGGATCTTTGAAAATCGAGTCAAGGGAAACTTTGCCGTCGCGTGCACCCGAAGCGCCGGAACCACTTATGCCCGAGGACTTGATTCTCATGGTCTTCGATGCATAGCTTGGGACTTTTGAGCCTCCGGTTTGATTGCCTGACTGTGAGCCTGCAGCCGAGATTGCGTGCACTGACCGCCCAAACCGCGCACTACCGCCCTTGACAAACGCCTTGGGAGGAGTGTACAGCGAGCCTGGAGATGGTACAGCAGGTAGAGCATAGTCCCGGGAAGGCGATCTTCGTCCCGGAGGCCTGAACATGTGCTTCACCGGTGATGGCGGTCGTCCACTGGCGGGCGTTGTAGGCCGCGAATTGCGCATACTAGATGCTGGTCGTACCGGAGGACCCATAGCGCCGTCGCGGATAGCTACGCTGGACCGTCTTCGCCTGACAGGTGATGGAGATGGCGAGATTGCGGATAGAGTTTCCATGGTCCGCTCAGTCAAGGATGGTCTTGGTCTGCGCTTCCCAAGCTCCGAGATATCAAGCTTGTCTGCAGCAGTGTCAAGCTTGGCTTGAGGGTTCTCATCGCCATCTTCGAAGACGGGCACGTGGGTTCCCGAATTTGGAGGTGTGGTGTCTAATGTTGACATCGCCGCCTGAAGAGCATCTCGAACAGGAGATCTGTGACGGGTTCGGGATTGCTCCGCGGCTGACCAGCCGTACTTGTCGCGGACTGATCTGTTGACATTCTCACCTAGAGGCGTCGGTTGAGCAATCTTAGATGTATTTGGCCTCGATGGACGCGGCAGATGCGAAGACTTAACAGGATCTTCACCAGCAGAGCCTCGGAGAAGACTGAAATTGTCGTGGGAAGCCCGCGGAACTATCTTTGGGAGACGAGACAATCGTGGTAGCGTACCAGTACCAGTGGTACGGTTCCGTTCGGATCCTTGGTCCATGCTGGCGTTGGGTCAAAGCTCGGACCCCAGTTTGTCATGGGAAGATTAGCGAGGCATGAAGGGATGAGAGTTGGCCACCTCAGGGATGAAACAACAATACTTCACAGTCACAGGTCAGGATGGCCTGGTCTGTACTGTCAGTAGTGGAGGCCCCCTTTCATGTCAACACAAAAGCCGAAGTTGTACATAGCAACCACCGGTGGAGTGTGCCAAGCATGAGCGTGGTCAGCCGCGTTTTAGCGTGGCACTAAAGAGCATCCGGCGTTGAAGCGCCCGCAGCCAACCTCCCCTCCTCTTCAGCCTCTGTCCAGCCCTCCCATTTCTCATTGTCAGGAGGCCGGAAAACAATCAGTTATGGCACCCTGAACCTAACATGGCTCCCCTCATTCTTCCTCCGGATACTTTCTCACACGCTACGAGCTTTGAGCAAATGCAAGAGTTGGTCTAAGTCCGTGCGCCAGGCACCTCCAACGCTGTCCACCTCTATCTCAAGACACGGCTCACCGTACCTCCAATAACCGCTTGTCGCAGACTGCGCAACATCCTTTTTCGACACTTGTTGGGCGAAACAACTTGGTAGCAGCCATGAACACTGCCACAGGCGATACGGTGGTGCCATCAACCCCGCCTGCGTCCTCACCGCTTGCGAACCCTGCCGACAAAGCCCTCGCATCACCACCACCTATGTCGTCTAGCATGACACCTCCACCTTCCTCGCAGCCGGTGCGCTTTCGCTCTCCCGGTCGCCGACTTAGCGATGAGCCATCTAGTGCGCTCCTTGTTTCCCCGCCCTCGACCATCAAGTACACTGCAGGTACTTCGCTCCCAGATGCCGACACAATCGCTAGTGCAGACCTTGGACAACTCAAGTCAATGGTCAATGATCTTATCAGTGCCGTCAAAGAAGCCCGCACCGCCGCGGCGCATTTCAAACTGCAGTTTAGCCTGCTCGACATGGAGACGCAAGAGTCTGCGCAGCGGGCCGAGGTCGAGCACCAAATGAAGCAGAAGGAGGTCGAAGTTCTCCAAGCTGCAGAACAGAGACATCGTGCAGCCCTATCCGTCGCTGCGCGCAATTCGGCACCCCCTCCAAATGCTCAGATAGAGGCTTTGACCCAGACATGCAAAGACTTGGAGGATGACCGCAACACGGTCGAGCGCCGACTTGAACGCGCCAAGAAGCTGATCGAGCTTGAGAAAGACAAGTCGGAGCTGCTGTTGGAGGAGAATGTGCTATTGAAGAAGCGCATTCGAGAGAATCGCGAACACTTCACCCAGTTCAAGAGCCAGTCGCCCATCTATACCACACCACGGGATCCTTTCACGACTCCTCATCGTCGCGCGCCTCCTCGCTTCCCAGAGAGCTCCTCCAGCCACCAGCCATTCGCGGCGCTCCTCGCTGCGGACCAGGTTCTGAGCGGTGAATCCTTGAGTGTACCGTCTACCCCGACTAGGACAACTCATGTCACCAAGGTGAAGCATGGCCACACCCGAGGAGCCCATTCGCTATCCTCTCTACATACCACACCCGCGCGCAATAGGCCAGTGACGGCAGATGGTTTTGCAGAAACCAAGTTCCCGATGTCTGCTCCTGGCTCGCAGCTAGTCAACGAGTCCGCAGAGCGAGAACATCATGACCGTGATAGTACCATCTCGGTCTCGGACGTAGAGGAGTACCGCAGTGATGACGACGTGCAGCAAAGTCAAGCAAGTTCATTGGCAACAGACATGCTGCGCAACAATCCAGCCACCCTAGAATCCTTGCGGCTTTCTCAAGGCGCGGAACGATCAAGCAACGTGTTGCAAAGTAAGCTGTTCGGCAACGTCAAGAAACCAGCGAAGCTGCCAGCTAAGCGTCGGGGAAGCTTCGATGATGGTGCGATCAAGGCAAAGAAGGCGCGACATGATGTAGGAGTTGGTTTGGGGATCGACTCGTGGCAGAGACCATGATCGCCAATCATAAGTACAAGCACAAAGACACGAAGAGACGAGAGATCAATGCGCAGAATGACCATGACAGGCTTGGGTGCTTGGGCGCATGTGTTGCGTTTTCATGGTATCAGCGATTGCATGCGTGATGAAGGAAAGGCTAGGCGACCACTTGGTTAGGATTCACTGTACAGCCATTAAGTCTCATTGACAAGATGCACAAGGAGGGGTTGCAGGGCGCAAGTAAGGCACAGGATATGGATTCGGGATTTGTAACATAGTATTCCTCATCTCAGCCTTCAGTCAATAGGCTCTTCAATCAATCGATCACAAAGAAAGACTGTTGCATTGCGAGTGCCAAAGGTCAGAAGCCCCTAGTACTAAATAGGTTAGCGCACTCACCTCATCCACTAGGCCGTTTCTGGAAGCCAAGATTTGCTCTCACACTTCTGAGAATTTGGACATCACTGCTTCTACCGCAGTCGCTTTTCCACGATCACCTCGAAATTAACGTCCCTCTTTCCTGTTGTTGTGATTTCCAGTCGTCAAGATGGTGAGTGCGCACCTGTGAAACAATGCCTCCGCGCAACGAGTCACCCTGCCTGTCGATTCAACAGAATATTCGCTAACCGCAACCTCGAAATCTTCTAGGCGATCAAGCACAACAACATCATCCCGAATGGGCACTTCCACAAGGACTGGCAGCGTCGGGTCAAGGTGCACTTCGAACAGGCCGGCCGCAAGCACCGTCGTAGAGATGCCCGTATCGCCAAAGCCGCCCGCGTGGCTCCCCGCCCCGTCGACCGTCTGCGCCCCGTGGTTCAGTGCCCGACCCTCAAGTACAACCGCCGCGCACGTGCTGGCCGAGGTTTTACTCTGCAGGAGCTGAAGGTACGAAAACCCCCAATATCCAGAAGACAGGTTGAAGCAGGTCATGATTGAATTTCGAGAGAGGTCTTTTGATGTTGAGCCCACAACATACACGCACCCACACATGACAAATTGTCCTAAGCACAAGAAACACTGACACTTCCCCAACAGGCCGCCGGCATCCCCCGCAAGCTCGCTCCCACCATCGGCATCTCCGTCGACCACCGCCGCCAGACCACCTCTGAGGAGACTCTCAAGCTCAACGTCGAGCGCCTGCAATCATACAAGGCCCGCCTGATCCTCTTCCCCCGCAAGGCCGGCCAGCACAAGAAACTCGACTCCAACCCCGAGGACCTCAAGCTCGTGCAGGATGCCGACAAGATCGTCAAGTCCGTCGGTTCCGTCCTGCCCGTCGAGCCCGGCACGGGCGTCGCCTTCGGCGTCTCCGAGGTCAAGAAGGGCGAGATGCCCGAGGGCCAGAAGGACGCTTACGCCACCCTGCGGAGAGCGAGGGCCGATGCGCGGTACGCTGGCATGCGTGAGAAGCGCGCCAAGGCCAAGGCCGAGGCGGAGGATGCGAAGAAGAAATAAAGAAAGACAGACCCCCTGATCGTTCGGCTTGGCCGTTGGACAGGACCCAGAACTTCTTCTGATTTCGTGATGGCGTACGGGTTCGATGCGATGATGAAATGGTGTGTGAAAGTCTGTTCGTGAGGACCGTGGCGAAAGACGTTGAGAACGAAAGCAGACATGGAAGTGTTTGTCATCGATGGCAGAGGGAGATGTCGCACGGCCCCTTTACCTGGTCGTTGGCAGATACCCTGCATCGTAGACTAGCGGGTGGCTCATCACGGACTGCGATGGCACTCAGATACGATCTGCGGCGTGGTCATGAGAGTGTCATAGCCATAGCCGAAGCAGACCAAAACGCAAAATTACGAAATGCTCCAAATCGATGTCTCGTGTCTTCCCTGTTTGTTTCATTTATACTGGGTAGCTATAGCACACGCTGGCCACCTAGCACGCCGCAATAACCCGCAATCGGCTCAGGTGCGATGAGCTCATAACAACATCCTATCATGGGGTATCAATAATCATGCCATCCCTCATCCGCATCGCGGCGCAGACCACTTCAAGTGATCTTCCTCCGCTTCTTCCTCCTCTTTCCTAGACCCTTACCCTCTGCCTGAGAGCCGGCTTGAGAGCTCGCGTTCGTGCCTGCCTCTGCCGCGGCGATGGTGCTTTGCTCCCCAGTCAAGATGCCCCAAACAGCTGTGAAGGCTGTCTCGAAATTGTCCACCTTGGCCAACTTGGCAAACAGACTTGTAGCTGCCTGAGCTGTTGAGTCTGGAACACCGGAAGGTATTATTTCTAACATGCTCGTGGCCTCGCTGATAGGCGTCAATGCGATTCGCCAGCTGGCGAGGACTTTTGGCGAAAATCTGTCAGTCTGACGGGTTGAGCGCTGACTGTTGCTCTCAGGCTCCGAACTGGGAAGATCGATGGTAATTGACGTGTCTGTAATATGATGCGAGAGGGCTAAAGCTTGATGACCTGTAAGCTTACGAGTTTGGACAGTCGAAATACCGCCTTCATCGTCTTGATCCGCATCTTCAACATACTCTCTCCGTACGGCTAACAAGGCCTTCGCTCGGTCGACGGCAGCAGAGAAGTACTCCCCAAGGCCCCAAATGAGACCAGCCAGATCTGTCCGAAGCAGATCATGCGCGAGTCGATGTTTAATCCACAGATACAGCTCATTGCTCACACCTTCGGCCTGGCGGTCATCGATGTAGGATATTCTCTCCACAATGATATTCTCCGGATCCGTGACAATCTCAAAGATGGCGCTGAACGTATGTGGAGGCCAAGGCGGCGGTGCAGAGACTTTGACCCTGTGAAAGACTTTTGTGTGTCCACTGACTAAGCGGACTGAAGTCTTTGTGGACAAGACCAGAGCGCCAGGTGCGAACAGGTTGAGATGAAGCAACTGGCGGTCCATAGGAACTCTCGCTGGTTTGTAGTCGAAACAGGGTTCTTGCAGCGTACAGGCCATGCCGGCCGATTTGATTAGATTGATAAAGCTTGCATCTCTTTCCACAGCTTGGGCAATACTTTCCGTGTCCACAGCCGTCTCTAAGGTTTTTGAGCTCGCCAGCAGTGTTTGCTGTTGATTTCTGAGGGCCTTTAGGATGTCTTCCTTTTCTTTGATTTCGTTTGGCACATCTTGTTCATCATCTGCCTTGTCGTGGTTGTTGTCTCCATTAGGGGCATTCTTAGGTGCCTTGTCAGCCAGCTCACGTGCTTCGTCTCCTTTCGCCATCTGATAGGCGCGAGAATTTCTTGACTTTGGCTTCAATGGACTGCTTGTAACAGACTCGCTATTCCGGAGTCGCGAGCTGTGTCGGCCACCACCCGAACGTGGACCGCGAGGGCTGCTACTAGTCGAAATACCTTTTGGCCGTTCAGGTGGAGGGTCTCGACCTAGTTGTACTGAGGTTGGCGGCAATGCTGAATCACCCTCGTCCGACGACAACGAGAATTGCCGACGCCTGCTTTGCGAACTCTTGACAAGACGAGGCACACCCGCATAGCCACTGTCGTGCTCATCTTGTAGCTCATGTGATAGTGATAATCCTCGTTGTTGGCTTCCGCCGCCAGCATTTCGAGCCCATCCCTTCAAAATGTGCCCTGGGCTTAGCGCAGCAGCAGCATCTTCGGACTGATCAGCAGGGGCAGTGTTGTTCGTGGAATCGGTATCTTTAGGGTCTGTTGCGCCGCTAAGAACATGCTCTAGGAGTCGCCGGTGGTCTTGCGAGGGCTGTGACGGTTTGTTCGAGCGTACAAGGTGTGGATGCGCTCGCTGTAAAGAGGCTTTAGTTGGTGATTGATATGAGCGGCGGGGTGTAGCGGGCGCAGAACGTGAGTACGAGACTGTATGACGGTCCAGGGCTGAAGGTTCCTCAGAAAGTCGCCTTCGCTTCGATGGACGCTGTGACATGCTGGCCGCGGGTCGTGCCTGCGTTTGTGCGGAACGTGTACCGATGGCAGGTTCTCATCACATTGTGCAGAAAGCGCGTCGCGTACGCGACCGAAGAGGAGAAAGCGCGGCCGACCGGCGCCAAGCCTCGTCTCTAGATGACGTAGCCTGATTCTGAGAGCACTCGACTCTCGAGATCTTTCCATCCTAGACATTTCTTCTCCTCTCATGGCGCTCTGGGGCCAACCTTTACGTCTTTCAGGACATCCCCGGACATGTTGCAACTGTTTACGGCAGGCTCAGAGAGCATTGGCAGCCTCGGGAGATGTCGGCAGCAAGAACAATGGCAGGAGGCGATATGTCTTAGCAGAGCAACGACGGCTATTTCAAACATCAAAACCTTTGAGAGATGACGGGCTACCACGGCGACAGGCGCAACCATTGGGCGACTTCTACACGGATCTACTGGCTACACCAATCCCCAAGGACTCCAAGGCAACTTCGGACTTGCCTACGTTCGTGAGCGCCGAAGACGAGTCCAAGGCGGAGCGAGCGGCGAAGCTCTTTGGCAATATACATGGGTCCGGCTACGAGCGAAGGGTGTCAGACAAACCGGATGCTACATGGAGGACGATCAACGGCGTACCAATAGCACCGCGACCCGCCGAACCCGACAACTGCTGTATGAGTGGGTGTATGCATTGCGTCTGGGATGACTATCGAGATGATATTGAAGATTGGGCAAAGCGCCTCCGCGAAGCACAGGCAAAGGGGGCGGATCAAGGTCAGACGGCAACGCCCAAGGTTGACATGCACCGGCCTGAAGTTGCCAGTGCGTCAGGGAGCATGGACGACGATGGGGGGGGAAGTGAGTCTCTGTGGGACACGCCCAGCTCAAGCGCTGGAGAGGCGGGTGAGCTCTTTGCGGGAATTCCAGTGGGAATTCGTGAATTTATGGCCACAGAGAAGCGTCTTCGAGAACGCAAACGATCGCGCAAAGAGCAGGGCCGTTGATGAAGTGGTCGACGCATGTGTTTTGCCAAGTCTAGCGTTCGAGCGGGTACAGGCATGTTCTTGCAATAGGGTCAGAGATCCAGGTATTCACGTACAGTAGAACTCTATTTCATCTTACGTGGCGGTCGGGCCTCCATTTTACCAGCTTTGATGCTCGTCCAAGACCTTTGTTCAGCGGCGATGGCCCCCAGGCATTTTCCCCATCCCGAGTCGTGCGTGTTGACATTAGTAGCTAGGGGGGTGGCCCAAGTGGACGAGGCGGCTCGACAGAGAAACCCGCGTATGCACATTCAGCGTGTCATGCAGGGTCCGGTCCGCGTAGTCTTGAGCCCAAGTGGGCATGCAGCACTCACCGCTCTGCCGACTCCCAAAACCTTGGACACCAAAATTTATTCAGAGTAGTCCACCGACAGTGTCTTGGCGCTGGAGTGGTGGCAGGCGGGTCGCGAGCCGTGCAACTGCGGCACAAGAGAGCCACTCACCATCTTGCAGCATCTTCAACAACCCTGCTCTCCTTCAAACCTGAAATTGGTGACAACACTCACGCGACAAACATCCTCGCCATCCGCCACCCTCTATCCTAATTCTTCACCGCACTCTCCCTCCGCGTTCCGCCCCGCCTTCTTTCCCGCCCATACTGATCCCGCGACGCGCCTGCCTTCAAGAATGACATGTGAAAGCCTGCATACCTCACACTCCTTCAACTCGGCCGCGATCGAGGACGTCAGCGCTTAAGTCCTGTCGGCCTCATATATAGCCGACTCGCTGGCGACGAAGCCGCCGAACCTGGCCTACGATCTCGCCGGCATTGTTATCGCCACGTGGCACTGAAGCACCAGCGACGTCCGAATGTTCTTCGTCCGCTTCGTGTCGTCTATCTTCTTCCTCTCGCTGATTGTTCTTACTATTCCTCTCACTTTCGACATAGGAGGTCGAGATGCTGGACTGGCTTATTCACTATCGCTAGCCTCGTTCTATTTCCTCCTCTCTTTGTTGCGCGTCTCAACGCCAGAACGTGCGCCCATCCGAAGAGTCTTCATCAATACGTTACGTGGGCTACAATGGTTCATACTGCCCAGCTTGTGTCTGTGGGCGTTGGGACGGTTCTCGATAGATGCCGGTCCCGATGGTGGATGGGTCGAGCGTACATTCCGGCTGAAGACAGAGATCCTCAGCAACAGGTCCATTTCCCAGTACCTCTTCGGCCATGAGGGTGTCCTCGAAACCGTCGCGATTGGTGGCTGGGATAAGCTGCTGCGCTGGTCATCTCCCATTTTCCAACTTCTCGAGGGCTTCTGCAGTCTGCTGGTGATTCAAGCCATTGGGCAACTGTCCCGATGGTTGGTCAACAGGAGCGAATGGAGCGACTTCTGGATGCTGAGCGTCATTGTAGGCGCGGCCAGCGTCAGCTCAGGCTCTGTCTACTTTCTTTGGCGCGTCCTGCAATTTCCGGACATCTCCAGCTTGGACTCAACTCTCATCGGCATTGCGATCGCTTCGGCCATCTTTCTATGCGCTTACGGCATCGTTTCGGGACGGGGAACAGCAGTAGAATCGTCGCTGCTTTTCGCCTACATCGTGCTGTGTATTTACCAGATCTTTACCGACTACAAGCCCAATGAGCCGGTCGATGCATCCTTGATGGCCGATGGCGCACCTGCACTCCCACCATTCCCGCCGATCATCATGTCATCCTACACAGCCGTGGTCCAGCTTCTTTCAGCACTTCCTGGAGTACTGTGGGATGTGCTGGACGTCATTGCCGCTGCCTTCAAGGCAGTTGCCGCCTCGGTACTCATCTCGCTTGGGTACAGACTCTTCGTTTTCTATGCCTCAACGAGGATTATTCCAGCCATCAACGAGAGCGGTGCCAGAGGCCTCAGCATCGAGCCGACTTTGGAAGACTCGAATGCTGGCAATCAGTTCCTGGCCTTTCTCAGCTGGTTCTCTCCTAGCATCCTCATCGCCGTCTACACCAGCTTGCTCATGCAGCATTTTGCGACCACTATAGGCGGCTACTCGCCAGGTCTCACCGAGACCATCGGCGCCTGGTGGCACGGGAACGGACAGCCAGGCATGGACGGCAATATCTGGAAATGGGTCAATCTGATTGGTACCATGGCACTGTACGCAGTTGAGCTGTGGCTAGGTAGGGAAGACGAGATTGATGGCACTCACTGGAAAGTGGATTGAACAATGGATATCGATACCTACGACTCATCAGCGTCCCAGCCACTACGGCCAACTAAATTGCAACACGCGCCGAATCTTCGTCTCATCTAGAATGCAAGATCGCGCACATACTCAGAGCAGGAGGGCATCTGCAACCCGAACATCCTGCTACTCGGAAGAGATTAAAGGGCGCAGGAATCGCAGCTTGGTGCTCTCAGGCACGAACACGAGAAAGATAAGGAGGGTTCCAAGCTTCAGTAGCCTGCGGCGGAGTAAGAAACGGCGATTGACCGATCAAATTCAGAAACACACCGGAGTGTTACGATCAGGATCACCGCGACCCGATGCGGCTCGATGAACAGAATGATGCAGACGTGCCATTCACCAGCGCCGGAAGAGCACGTTTCCACCTGCCGCATTGCGTCCGCTAGGATGTGTTATGTTGTCACCCAGCCCCCCCGTCGAAGACCGCTTTGGACACGCCACGCTCTTCCGCGACAATCAGGAGTTGCAACAGCGTACCTCATCACTATTCATCTTCTTTGGCAGGCGAAGTACGTGGGGATGGGGCAAGGCCTGGCAGAGAATTGAGTTACCTCACGTTCCATCCAGATACCCCTACAAGACAGAATGATAGCAGAAGTTAGTTTGACAAACATATATCCCCACCAGCCCAAACATCATTTGATGCCTACACATTGGATTCATGCGTAGAGGATGCTTGCTCCTCTCCAAAGCCCTCTCAGTTCGGAAAAGAAAAACATTGCTGGCGATCTCTGGAGATTTGAAAAGCATACCCGTGGTCAAAAAGGAGTCATCAATGCCTCTGCCCGGCTCAGTAGTGCGTCAATCCTGTCCCGTGAAAGGGGGGAGCTTCCATATTTTCGTTTCTTCGATCCCAACGATCGCGTGAGCGGTAGAGTAAGCAGTACCTAGCACTGGAAGTAGAAACCAGTAACGCCTGCCCACAGCATACCTAGCATAACATAAAATACGCCCTTTTTGGCGTTCGTAACACATCATTCGCACCGCGAGAAAAGGTGCACATCCTTAAACACGCAACCTCGTTCCTTCGACAAGCACCCCATACCGCAACTTTGTCGGCTTGCCGCTCGACGTTGTTTCATCCATTTGATTTCGATCTTTAGTTGAAGAGCACTCGGCATGTGCTTCAATCCCTCATCCAGGCCGCCATGGCTGTTCACAACGCCATATCGAGATCACCAGCTCCTGTACTTCAATCCAACAGTAACCTTGCAATCAAGACTCATTACCGCGAACCATGATATAACACTCCCGCGCGCATCCCAAAGACTATCTACGAATCGGAATACCTTGCGGACCGGCACCTCCATCTTTACTTGTAGTAATCGTGTTCGCGCCACTGCCCTCTTGAGCCTCATCCACGCTAGCAGTCCTTGCCAGGTAGCTGCTCTCCTTGATTGGACTTCTGCTTGCAGAGTGCCCGGGTAAACCACCACCAGGAATGCCATTGATGCTTCCCCGGTGCAAGCTAGCGGGACCTTGACCTTGGTCGGCGGCGCTACCGACTGGGGAGGAGACCTGGGGCGGTGAACCGGCAGATACGGAGTCACCTCGCGTCACAGTGTTCGTCAGGGGTGACATGTGAGGGATACCGTCGGCCTAAAGAAGTCAGTATACCATTGCGAAAATGCAAGCAGGTCCAAGACGCTAGATGACTGATCCCAATGTGGGCCGCGAACAGCATGTCCGACACCAAGACTAACTTGCTAGCGGATCTTGATTCGATGAGGGATAACTGACCGTGGGATGCTCAGTGCCGATTGAGGTGACACCAGTATCACTGGCTTTGCCAGCTTTCGAAAGGGCATAATCTCCGGAGTCGAAGTATTTGCGCTCCTATTGGCGAGTTAACCAGATGAACCAATGGCTGCTGGGTGCGGAAACATATTACCTTAAGCTTGTTCTGGAGGAGATCTTTCTTGTTGGGAAGCTTGCCGTAAAGGCGGAAGAGGCGTTGCTCGTCGGCGGAGAGGGACTAGCGGAGTTAGCAATGGCGTGTACTTGGGTATCTGGCTGCGTACGTTGATGTCAATCTTGTTCTTCTGATGTGGATTCATGGTTGCGGTTGTTCTCCGACACTGAAGGCTGCGGTGTTGTACAGGAGGGAAGGACGAATGCCCCTTGCTAAGTAACTAGCGCAGACAAGGTGCCAAAGCGATAGTGACAACGTTTATGACGTATCTGGCGTTGGTACGGTAGGCCTTTCGTGTCTGTTGATCGCTCAAAAGCTGTTTCCGTGATACAGCAGTGACTGTTGCCGTGTAGGGAGCTTGCTAGGGTCTCAGTCGAGGCAACAGCTTTGTAGGGTTAGATCGAGGAGGTTCCGTTGGGCGTGTCGACGTACTGGGCCAGTACGAAAGATCAGCGGGACTGCGAATGGGTTTTGAAGCTGCAAACAAATATTTGGTTTCCACAAGGGATGTTTGAGGTTGAAGAAAGTGTGGGGTAATGGCTGGCTGACAAAGTTTCCGTGACTGCTGAGGGGGCAGCAAGGGCAAAAGCGAAGGTGAGGACGAAGGCGAGTTGCCCGCAGGAGCGCGGCGCGCGGAAGTTGCGAGATCGAACTGGACACGTGACCACCACGGTGAAATGTATTTCCGTAGGCTTGCGAAAGTATCACAAAATGTTCATCTTTTTTGTAGCTTGTAAGATTCATTACACACCCCTAGCATCACCATGTCACAGAAGAAGGTATTTGTAGTCGAACACCTCGACCCCGAGCTGGGCCCCTGGTCTGGTCTCGAGTACAAGACCATTGCCCAGGAGTCACGTGCAGCAGGTTGCGACTTCATCCTGTCTTCTGTTCCAGCCTCGTTGCTGGCCAGTGACGAACTAAGGGATGTAGGTGCAGACGCAAAAATGGCAAGTGTCGAGGACTATTTTGCTGCTCGTAAGGATCGTATCTGCCTCTTGGATCCTCAAGCCTCACAAGAGCTCAGTCCCGCCGATGCATCGAACTTCGATGTATTTCTCTTCGGCGGCATCCTTGGCGACGACCCCCCAAGAGACCGGACAAGCGAACTGCGAAAGAAGGGCTTCAACGGTCGTAGATTGGGTCCAAAACAGATGACCACAGATACTGCCGTCAGAGTCACCCGCCTGGTCGTCCTGGAGCAGCAGAAACTTGATGATATTTCGTATGTTGACTTTCCAGAACTAAAGCTCGGCGAGCATGAGTCCACGGAGATGCCTTTCAGATACGTCGTCGATGGATCTGGCAAGCCAATCATGCCAGATGGTATGATAGACCTGATCAAGGCCGATGCCGACAAGGGATTCGACCAGCTCGATTTCGTGGATGAGACAGAAGGCTTGGAAAACATGACCGTCAAATGATCTGTGGCACTTCTCATGATTGGCACATGGCCTGAGAGACATGGTGCGATCAGAATCAACGTACGATACGCGTACGAACACTGGTATTGGACTACGTCCGCCATTGGATTCAGACCACACCACGGGACTGCAATCTGATTGGCCGTCACACTGAAATGTGCATGAACACGATCAAACAACGCTCAGCCTACGAGTAGCAGTGTTGTGGGGCTCGCTCGCAAGTGGACATTGTTGGATGAGTAGGATCTGCGGCTGCGCCGAGTGCTTTCGATGGCGTGCCAAAATCCTCGTCGGGTGCATGCATCCCTGGTGGAAGCGGACGTTCGATTTGACCAAGCGCTACGAAGTGCCTGCCAGTGACGTCGCTCTGCAAAGCTGCGACCTAACTGGCTTATATCATATGCACCAAGGTCTGCCTTCGCAACCTGCAGGGCCAAAGAAATTACAAGAGTCCGAGAATGCCTGAATGGACAAGGAACCGGGTCCGATAGCTTCAGGATCTTTCCTCAAAGCGTTCATACGGATCCCTGGCTCAAGATTCAACAACCAAGGCGATAACATCGCTTCGGAGACGGTGTGGTCAGTGGTCAATGCTGCATGCTGCGGCGCACCAGAATCCTGGCACCATGCCAAGCTACTGTTGCGCAGGTGGTTCTAGGGCACTTCTCGCGGATTCGTGTCTTGTTTATGGAAGTCGCTGGGTGGCATTCCTCCGAGCGAACAATGCTCGGTAATCCTGGAAGTCGTGGCTGTCTGGTTGTGGTCCTGAAGCATTCTGAAAGCGCTCTTCCCCGCAGCCTTGGTGATGCTTGCATATTAGCCAAGATTTGACCACCCCCGCATCTGCGAGGGAAATTAAAGGGGCGATGGGAGATGGCGGCTGTGATGCAGACCACCTGACGGCGACGACACTTCCTTGCATTTTGCCAGAATATCGATCACCCTACCATGACCAACGACAAGCTCATCCCAGTCGTTGACATCCACAGCCGGCTGTTTCCACGGATAATACTGGAAGCTAATTTGCACGAGGACTTTCTACCCATCCGAACTGGCTTCGGCTTATATCAGGTGGGAGATATAAGGATGGACCGTACCCGTGACTGAAGAGAAACGATATGAGCATCAGGGTCGACAAGTTACAGGCCTTGCCAGCTATTCACTCGGTTCTCTTCTCACTTCCAGATGTGGTCTATCTTCAAATTTCTGTTTGTCGCGGTTGGCGTAGCCGCGCTTCCTCTCGAGCCTGCGTCAGAGGTTTCTGATGCTTCAGCTTTAAGCGAACGGCAGTCTAGCGCACTCCCTAATAGCTTCCAGTGGAGCTCCAGCGGCGTACTTGTTAGCCCCAAGAACGACGGCAAGAGTGTCAAGAATATCAAGGACCCTTCCATCGTCTACTACAATGGGCAATACCATGTCTTCGCCAGCATCTATACCACCGGCTACAACCTCGTCTACTTCAGCTTCAGCGACTTCAACCAGGCCAGTTCTGCCACATTCCACTACCTGGATCAAACGAAGATTGGATCCGGCTACCGTGCTGCCCCACAGGTTTTCTACTTTGCCCCGCAGAAGCTGTGGTACCTTGTTTACCAGAACGGCAACGCTGCCTACTCGATCAACTCTGATATCTCTAATCCCAATGGGTGGTCTGCGCCGAAGAACTTCTTCTCCGGCACCCCCAGCATCATTCAGCAAAACATTGGAAACGGAAACTGGGTTGACATGTGGCTGATCTGTGATTCGGCAAACTGCCACCTGTTTTCCTCTGATGACAACGGACACTTGTATCGCAGTCAGACGTCTCTCAACAACTTTCCTAACGGATTTGGCAATACTGTTATTGCGCTTCAAGACTCCAATCCCTACGCCCTATTCGAAGCCTCTAACGTTTACAACGTTGGCAACGGCAAATATCTGTTACTCGTTGAGGCCATTGGTAGTCGGGGTCGCTACTTCCGCTCCTGGACCTCGAACAGCCTGTCCGGAATCTGGACACCTCTAGCGGCGAGCGAGTCCAACCCATTCGCGGGTGCTGCAAACGTGAAATTTAGCGGCACACCTTGGACCACCAGCATCAGCCATGGTGAGGCTGTTCGAACCAATGTAGACCAAACCTTGACAATCAGTCCGTGCAAATTGAGGTATTTCTACCAGGGCCTGGATCCGAATGCTGGTGGTGACTACAACTCGCTGCCTTACAGGCTGGGCTTGCTTACGCAGACGAACTCGGCCTGCTGAAATGTCGTAGCGAAAATGGTCGGGAAGGGCATTTGTATTTTTGAGAAAACTGCAATCGAACATAGCCTCTAAGTGTATCAACGACTGTTGTCCGTGGTGAAGCTGCTGCCTTATAGTGTCGAACATGCCCGTTATGGCTCGTTGCACGCCAAGGCTTGGGTGGACGCCTTACGCCCTATCGACCTGAGTTGTCCCGTCGCCTTTCCGTGTCCTGATCTCTGCTCATCTTCACATCCACGATTGCTGCCCAATGGTACGAACGTTGAATGTCTCGCCTTCAGCACAGCGCGCCACTCCCGTTGAAGACGCCAGAACTCCGGAAGCCAATAATGCACTCAGCATCCTTAACTCTGGTACCGGGCGCGGAAATGCCACCCACGCTGCCGTCACCATAGTCCCCTCAGCTTCGACACGAGATACAAAGGTGTCGAGTGCACGCAAGCGGAAATTTGCGCCAAAGTCACGCACCGGATGTGTGACATGTAAGCTGCGCAGGGTCAAGTGCGATGAAGCGAGACCGAAATGCGATCGATGCACGAAGCTAGGCCTTGCTTGTGATGGCTATACCGATTTAAAGACTATCAATATCAATCTATTTCTAGATCGCACGGATCAAAGGAGCTTCTTGTATTTCCGAGAGCAGACGCTGCCACAATTGTCGAGCTTCATAGAATTTGGTCTTTGGGATCAGCTCGCACTTCGGCATAGTTATTCGGAGGCAACCGTCTTGCGGGTACTTGTGGCCATTGGCGCCTTTCATGAATATCTCGAGACCTCGAACTTGGATGAGCGCCAGGAGCGTCGGCTCACAGCTCTACAGCTCTACCATAAGGCGGTTGCCAAAGCCGCGTCAGATCTGCGGCACATGGTTACAGCAGACGCTCTACTCGTTACCATCCTTTTCACGTTCCTTGAAAATATCAAGGGCAGTGTTTTGAACGCCGTGAAGCATCTGAAGGCCGCTGCAGCGATTCTTGCTGGTCATCAGCATTCTTCGCCTGGAGGTAAATCGGTGTTAATCAGTACAGTGCTTACACCGATCATCAACAGGTTGAATTCCGTTCTACATCTTCTGTATGCGCCATCATCTGCCATGCTACGAAAGGACGATACCGAGCATCCATATTCATCTTTACTAGAAGCACACGACGATTTCTTCAGCATAGCTGAAAGCATTACTCTGAAGCTTGATACGCACGGAAACGCAGTAGCTAATCACTGTGCCTTTCTCGGCCAACTAGACAAGTGGTGGGAGAGGTTTGGCGTCTACATTGCCACAGCTGGGGGCATTTCATGTGGTTGTGAGTGGCCTGAGAATCTGGCGCACCACCAGCTTGGCTCAGCCTTCCTCGAGATTCTGTATCGCACAACCCGTGCCCGCTTGCATACTGCACTTACCGGTCTCGAGACAACCTTCGACCTTTACGAAGACAGTTTCCACCGTATCCTCGATCTGTCAACAATCATAGTGCAGATTCTGAGGTTCTCCCCGACGGCGAGCTCGTCGGTCCGCGACTGTATTGGCTTCAAACCAGCACACTTTTTAAGCTGTTGGATGGTCGCGGAGGGCTCCAGAAACCCACATATTCGTCGTCGGGCCATCAAAATACTAAAGCAATGGCATTGGAGCGATGGGCACTGGGACACGTATTTGACTGCCGACGCTGTCAGTTGTATTGTTAGGCGCGAGGAGAGTCACAGCCCCATACAACCGGTCACATGTGCTGCCGATATCCAGGAGGCAAATCGAGTGCGGTTTCTGGGCGCCAACTATTTCCGATGGGATACGGCAACAAACACCCCTGTCATTACCTACAGACTGACAGAGTGTGACTTTGTGAAGATTAGTGTCCTCTGTCGTGATCCTAGGTCAGACGATCGCACGCCCAAAATCATGGTGGAGTCGCTCTGGTTGGACCGCCGCAGCCATGGTCTCGCGATAGAAAGGACTTGCAGCGTTCCCAGAGCGATCGGTGGCTTCTTCCCACAGGTACAACGTGCTCACCCAACCAAGCTGTGGGCGATGCTAGACGAATCCCGCTCGCCTCTCGACATCTGGCAAGCACGTCGGTTCAAGATCGTCCACCCTCCTTTCGATCGGGATCCGAACCGCGGTCGGGTCGTGGATCAGGGTAGGTACCCGATCATGGAGGAGAGGGTAATGGGCCTGTCGTTCAAGACGCTTTTATACAGCAACGAATAACATTGCTCTTACAGACGGCATCGTTGACAGAATGGGCTAGGATAAGACCTCAGTACATATCCATGTTGATGATCTTAGTGAAGGCGTCAATACCGACAGCTGAACTGCACATCCTTCAGCTCAGATCTAGCCGAAAATGGAGCTAATGTAAGGATGGTATTCAATTCATGAGGCAGCCAGACCAGGGATGCCTGTTGACAGTGGGCAAACCGTGCAGTGGCCTCGTGGAAATGATATGCATGGACGGAGCTGGAGCAGCGTATGGACAGAGCCAATAGAGCAAGCAGAGGGACGAGCTTGTTCAGGCAGTGAAAGTCTTGGCAGAGAGTGGCCCGTGCTTGGCATTATGGAGCTTTGAATGAGTCGCCTACTGTACTAGTGCTAATTTACTAGTACTAACTGGGCCATAAGCAAGATCATGGGCTGCTCAGGGGCGGGCGCCCCCCACCAAAGGCCATTCGCCGACGCCGGTCCGCGATTCAACGCTTCTGTCCCGCTATAGAGAAGCCGTATAGAGTTCGCCAAAAGCATGGTGTATCGTGGCCGCCCGAGTCGAGGCTGTGAGGCATGCAGGAAGGCTAGTGTCAAATGTGACGAGAAGCGTCCTGGCTGCTCACGTTGCTTGCGGTTGAAGAAGTCATGCGATGGCTACCGCAAAGTAGACGAACTGAGAGTGCTGGATGAGACTGGAAGAACAAGATCCAAATGTCTTCAACGACGGCATGGCCGTGAGACCAGGTTGAACCCTCTCATGGTGGACCTCATGCTAGGACCCATGTCCAAAGACGCCGTGGTTTGGTACTTTTACTACAGTACTATGGCAACCCTTACGGAGCTGGATCATTCCTACCATATCCATTCAGAGCTCCCAAAGATGTATACCAGCAGCCATGCAGAGTCTGCCCTATGCCTGTCAACTCAAGCAATCGCACATGCAGCTGCCTCGCGGGCTGGCAAATCGACATTGAGAAACGCAAGGCGCTCATATGGACTCGCTATATCAGCGTTAAATATAACGCTTCAGGACCCACGTCAGGCTGTTGCTGACGAAACTCTGTACGCGGTCCTCCTACTTTGCGGTTACGAGACGATCACTTGCGATTCCGATAAGCTGACTGGATGGACCGCGCACGTGAGAGGAGCTGCCGCTTTACTCGTCCATCGAAGCAGGCAGCGATCTATGGGTGGCTTTGGTGCAAAACTGTACCAATTTGCAAGACGAAGCATTATCATGTGCCACATGCAAACCGGCACACCAGCTACTATTCCCTCCAGTCTTTTCCGAGGCTCCTTGCCGCCTGACGAGAATGCTGTGGACCAACTATTCTCGTTGATGTCTAGGCTTTCAGAGATCCAGCATTCCTTACAAGGCGGTTCGGTGTCGGGGTCCGCGAAGCAGCGAAAATTCGTTGGTGAACTTCGTGCTGAAACCAGGTCTCTTCAAAGGGATTTCCTGCATTGGCAAGCCAATCTGTCGCCCGCATGGAGATACAACGTTTTGCAAAATCTCCATCATACAGACTCTGGAGAGTCAGAGGACCGAGAATTCGTTCTGGTGCAATTGCACAGATATCCAGACACATATACCGCCCGACTGTGGAATTTATATCGAACTTCTCGCATCATCCTGTATTTCGTAATGGACCGTGTGCCTCATGATACGAAAACCGACGCCACGGCCACATCCCACCTGAGCAGCAATGGTCCAGCACGATTCGAAGTCCTGCATCTGGTCAGCGATATATGTGCAAGCGTACCATATCTGTTGGGACAGGATCCAACTAGCTGGAAACCAGCCAGAGTGTCCGGAATGGACAGTCAGCGAAAGCGGTCATTCACCATCCCCAACCAGACTAACGGTCAAGACCGGAGTCACTCTCTGTTATGGCCGCTGTACGTTGCCTCTGGCGTGGACTTCATACCCGAGCCTCAGCGCGCCTGGATAAGTCGGCAGATCGAGAGTATGGCGGAGAGTGGAGAGCCGTTGGCATCACGGCTGGTGGATCGCCAAAGCCAGACTCTTCGCGGTGGAACGGAACCCTTCGCCTTCGACTGTGTGTAGATACACCGCAATGCTGCACAAGCCGTAAGGAACTGCTACCCTGGATCGCAGAAATTCCCAAGTGCCGAAACCTTAGTGGCTACACACACTATGTTCGACAGACTAACCAAATGCGGTCAGCTTCACGATGTCCAATCAGAACGCTCGTTGGCCCCAGATTCCAGTTTCAGAAATAGTCCAACTTCTCCTGAGGAATATAAGATTCTCTGTTATGGCTGATATGGTCTGGCTGCGTGTGAAGCTCTCCCAGCATCCTACCCGTCAACAGAATATACGTGCTTTGGTAACTTGCCTCCAAAACATTCGATTGAGGTATGGGGGATCAAGGCAACACATCGGACCTGGTCAGACCGACCGACTATGGCTTCCCACAAGTATCAGCGAAGCAAGCTCTGACACCTCTCGATATGAACATGCCACGACTGTATGGCACGCGCTGGATCCTGTGCTTTCCCCTCGAACCTAACGCGGCCAAGCAGGAAGTTTACAACGAACTAAAAGCCGGCCTTGCAAAAACCATCTCGGAGATCCCCTGGACCGCTGGAGTAGTCGGGCCAGAGACAGGTTCAGAGCCAGATCACAGCAGGATCGAGGTCGCTGACGGGAACAACGGCGTCTTGTTCAAGTACAATGACCTTACCGCCTCAACAGCCCAACACCCGTCATATGAAGAGCTGAAAACGGCCCAGTTTCCACTTTCAAAGTTCTCAACGGCGCAACTGTCGCCGCTGGGAGTCATGCCAGACAGAGAACCTGCCCCTGCCATGGCCGCTCAAGCCAACTTCATCCAAGGTGGACTGCTGCTGACGATATGCGCACATCATTCCGTCTGTGACGCAGCCGGCCTCAACACGGTGCTGCAGACGTGGGCTCAGATGAGCTCCGCCATTGCCAGCGGCTTATCCTTCGACAAGGTCGACCCAGCGTTCCATGACCGCACCCGTCTGATGACAGGCATCCCCGGCGCCGCCCTCGCCGACTTCCCCGAATACGTCCTGGCACCGACGCCACCCGCCGCCTCCACCGACGTGAACACGCACCAAATGGCCGCCACGCCGTTTCAGATGCCCGACATGGCCGCGCGCATCTTCTTCTTCACGCCCTCGTCCCTCACAGCCCTCAAGACCGCTGCCGCCGCCTACTCGAGCAACGACGCCCTGCACGCGCTCGTCTGGCGTCACGTCACCCTGGCTCGTCTCGCCGCCCGCGGACGGGCAGATCCAAATGACATCGCCGAAGGCGTCACGGCCCTGTTATTCTCCTCCAACATCCGCAGCAAGCTCAGCCCACCCCTGCCCCACAACTACACGGGCAACGCCTCGGTCGGCAGCATCACGCGACACCTGTCGTACACGGAGCTGTGTGGCGGCGGCGGCTCCGACGGCCTTGCCACCGCCGCCGCCGCATTGAGGAGTGCGGTCAACGGCCTGAACACGCCGGACCGCGTCGCCCTGACGATCGGACTCATCGCGTCGCGGCCGAATCCCACGGACCACAAGTTCGCGTACAATGGCTTCCTGGGCCCGGATCTGTCGAGCACCACGTGGGCGGACCTCGACGTCTACGACACGGTGTGGGGATCTCTGGGGACACCCGACGCCTTTCGGATTCCCGGGGAGGGCGCGGACGGGGCGATGATGGTGTTGCCGAGGGTTCGTGGGGGTGGGCTGGAGGTCGTCGTGGCGCTGGAATCTCGGGCGATGGCGTGTTTGCTGGCGGATGAGGAGTTCTTGAGTTGGGCTGAGGTGCGGCTCTAGGAGAGAGTTGGGGAGTAGAAATAGTCTTGTTCTCTCTCTTCGTATCCCTCTCGCAGGTGATTATGGATGGTATGAGAGGGGCGGTCGGGGGCCAAGCTATGTGTTTGCTATATAGGACGAGTATGAGATCAAAAGGATAACATTGAAGTTCCTAGTCTAAAAGTAGCACGACTTGTAAATACATGGCATAGCTTTTTCAAGGTCTACAACAACCAATGCTACAGCCACACCGTCGTCTTCAACACGACGCTGCGATGAAGCGAAAAGCAAGGCGGGGTTTATGGTCAATACGAGAGTGCACCAAAACACCTACGTGAAAGTCCTGATCTGGGAGGCAGTTGGTGTACCTGTGGGGCCTGGTCAGAAGGAGCGGAATGCATGATGGCCTCGGAGACACCAGTCTCCAGCCTTGCGACCAAGGTTAGCAATGCAACAAGGCGAAATAGAGTTTTGGTCGCCTTGTCGGTGAATGGTCCGGAAGTGGGGGGCCTTTGATTTTAGGCCAGGCACTGGCAGGCGAAGGGCGTCTCCCGGACGCTGTACTAATCACCAGCTGCAGTAGGACTTGAGGCTGTATATCGATGTGGAAAGCCACTGGGCCGCGATTGTCCACGTGAGGCTCATGAGAACCTCGGATGTGATGCTGCTTCACCAGAGACAGCGTGGTTAGTGAGTGAGTGCCGCTTCTTGAAGTCATCGTATAAAAAGTGCTCAATGAAAAGTGATAAACGCTTCGTTGTGCCTGCGATCTTCATGATATCGCTTCTCAAGCAATCCTCGTATATATATCTTGAGCTTCTTCCATCTGTGAGTGGCGGGTTTGACCGCTAATTCAGAAAGCCGTTCTCTCCAAGTGGCATACCCAAACCATGAATCGCTCCATATACTGGCCACTTTAGAAAGCCATCAGATCTGCAACGCTGTTAGCTCGACGTCCCAAGCACACCCGTCTCATCCGGGAAAGACTTACCTCTTCCGAAGAGCGCCCGCTTGCTCCAGTCCATCATCAGTAACAGCCTAGTCCGCAGGCTCACGCTCTGTGCGAAGTAGATACTCCTCCACAGATACACCGCCATCAAACCACCGCTAAAGTTCAATCCGCCGAAATCGAAGATAGCCGCGTTGCCCACGTACGCCAAGCTGCCCATATGATGGTATTCAAAGGCTTTGTACGCGGCCTCGTCCAGATCTCCAAAATCAACCTCGTTCGCTTTCCACCCGGGCATGGCGGCTGCGACCTTGTTGAACTTCCTGCCTAGGTACACTCCCTGCTGGTTGGCCCGCTGCGCCGTGGCGGGTAGAGAAGTGAGCTTGGTGTCGATCTGCATCAGCAATTCGTGCAGCTCGCCGAAGTCGAGAGTGCCAGATTGGTCCACGTCGTACTGCTGGAAGAGCTTGTCCAGGCGCTTGAGATGGCCGGCAGCCTGGGGGAAGCGCTTCTTCACCTTCTGCGCGATTCCGCGCCAGTCTTGGAAGGTCATGTGAATGTCGCGTGGATCCTTGCCCTTTTCGAACGCGATACCGCGCAAGAACGTAGTGATGTGGTCGGCGACATTGTTCTGAACAGTAGAGCAGTCGCCGATGGAGTACACATCGCCCAAGGGTGCACCGATGAGGCGCAGATGCGTGTCCGTCTCGAGGGCATGGCGGTTGTTCTGGAAGTCGGGGCCGAGCTTCTTCGCAACAGTCTTCGCAAAGTCGGTCTGCGAGACACCGGTAGACCAGAGACAGAAGCCCATAGGGAGCTCCTTGGTAACAGCATTCTTGTTTTCATCGAGTTGCGAGAAGATGATCCTATCCGGCTGCACCTCCTTAACACGGGCGTTGGTGAGAACCTCCACCTGGTCATGCTCAAAGCGCTTCTCGGCATAGATGGACAGAGCTTCATCGTAGGTGTTGAGAATGTGCCCTCGTGACTGAATGACGTGCACTGAGACCTCGTTCCTGATAATCTTCGGAAACGAGTTAAGAAGATCCTCGTTTAACATGTCGTAAAGCTCAGCAGCGAACTCAACACCCGTCGGCCCACCTCCACTGATCACAAATGACAACAATCTCTTCCGCTCCTCGTCACTTGTGGTCGGTAGACAGGCCAGTTCCAAATTCTTCAAGACCTTATTCCTGATCAACCTCGCATCCTCAATCGTCTTCAGGAAGTTGCAGTTCTCGAGGCCTTTCACACCGTGCGGGTTGGTCGTACTCCCTACTCCAATGACCAGCTTATCGTACGGCAGGTAGAAATTCTGCACATGCCCTTCACTGTCATTGCACTGCACTTCCACCAACTTCTCCGTAAAATCCACGTCCACGGCGTTAGCACGTAGGAAGTGGCCTCTCAGCTTCTTTACAATCCGCCGCACAGGCTCTACCAGGGATCTCAGCTCCAGCGTACCGACAGTCGCGCTGGGTAGCATGGGCGTGAAGAGGAAGTAGTTCTCTGGACTGACGACCGTAACATGATAGTCTCCGGGATTGAGTTCCTTCAGCATGGCCACACTACCCCAACCCGTGCCTAGGATCACAAGTTTCGGCTTGTGCTTCTGATCACGAAGCTCCTGGGAGTCTTCATCGTCGACGAGGACCTCGGCGATCGGTAAATTCTTTGGTCCTCCCCGGCGAGGCGACAATGCAGCTTGAGATACAATCATGTCTTCTTGCGTCACTCCCTCCCGATACGTGGATGCATCGTAGAGGAAGAAGCCAATGACGAGCGTGCCCGAAACAACGATGAATATGCCAGTCCATGCGAAAAGCCGATAGAAGAAGCGGACGACAGGCCCACGGTTTGAAGGAAGTTCTTTCGTTGATATCAGTCTCTTCGGAAGGAAAGGAAGGCGGCGAATGGCACGGGAAAGCTTGGAATTCGAGGTCGGCCGGGAACTGGTGAGGAAGATCCGGCGGGGTTGGATCTGCAAGAGGAGGCGAGAGGAGGGCGTTCTAGCGCTACGCAGCGCACTCACCGCCGATAGAGAACGTGTGTGAGCATATCGCAGAGGTAGGGAGCTCGAGGGGTTTCGCAGCCCGTGGCGGGCCAGGCGCGGAAGAGCTTCCATGCGGACTGTACACTCTGAGGTCGGAACGGCAGCAATCTCGCTACCTTGACACAGAGTTCATGTTCAACTTGAAGCGAAGGACAGTGTCTACCGAAAAGGTACTCGTGAAGCCGAAGAAAAGATATAGGAAATTATCGAGATGAAGTCACGGAGGACGACGGCAGGTCTGAGTTGAGCTGGGAAGCGTTGGATGCGTCATGGCTCCGATCCACCCACCGCCGATCCAAGCGAGATCCAAAAGGCCTCGCCCGTTGCAGATAGCGCCTAACCATAAACCGCTTGCTTAGCCGTAGCTTAAAAGGCGGTCTTGAAAGAAACAAGCATTCGTTTCTACACCACGATAGACTAAGAAGACATGCGAGTTACAGTGGAAGCGAATATTGATGGAAGCAAAGGAGAATGGCTGATGATTCTTATCTGCAGTAAATCTTCTCCCGCAGCTCAACTCCCTCATCCATCTTGAGAAGCCATTCTGCCTAGATAATTCATCAAGAAAGCCTTGTTCTCGGCGCCGGTAGTGCGCTTCTCCGTTGGTGGTCGTTGGCCAGCTATGCCACTCCCGACCGAAGCCATGGATCCCACCCTCGACTTTGTCGACACCGGTTCAATGGCCGAGACGGGGACTTCATCCTTGGGACTCAGTACTTGGCTCGTGGAGAGTGGCGATACCACTCGCGATGACTGTTGCGACAATTTTGCAGGCGGAGGCGGCATTTTGCCTCCGAATAATGACAGAAGCGCCTGCTTGTGAGAATCTGGATGCGACGCTCGCCTCTCGGACGCCACGTGTTCCTGCTCGCTGGATTGTTCTCGCGACATGGCGGCTGCACCCTCAACCAACGTAGACGGGCTTGGTTCAGATTTGTCGACTGTCTGCGGCCTACGCAGAATCTGAGGCTGGAAAGCAGGCTTGGATGGCTCCTGCTCCTTATCCTTATCCTTCCTACTAGCCTTGGGTGTCCGTTTGGGTGACTGGTTCGCCATCTTTGCCTTTGCTGGCTGAGGAGACTTGACACCCTTTGGAGTCTGTGGTCTGGCAAGAATTTTGACCGGAGCTGGTTCTTTGGGATTGTACAATTTCCTATGAGTTGTGAGAGGGCTGCGGCCCATGCTGTTGGAATTTTTCTCCTGCTTCTGCGAGATAGCCTCGAAGTTGGGTTGGTCCAAGGGCCCGGGGATAGTGGCCGCGGTCTCGCCCTCTTTTGGTGAATTGCGCTGCTTGTTAAACCCTGCAGATTCATCCTGCTGTAGTAAGGCCAGAAGCCGACTCTTGTTTGGATCCGGAGGCTGATGTTCAGCTGGTGTTGCCGCGAGCTCTGCCGGGTTGCTTGGAGGTTTGGCCGTAGCTTTGCTAGCACCGAACAGGCCAAGTAAGTTACTCTGGTGAGCATGGTTGGAATCGTGCATCATACTCTCCGTCGGCGAGACTACTGTCGTCGCTGTATTTTGTGGAGGTGGAGGCGCCTGTGTAGTTTGCGGGGCTGGAGCAGGTTGTCTCAGAATATTTAGCAGGGTCTGGCTGGAGTTGGGAGGCTGTGTAGGAGCTTTTCCACGGCTCGGAACGACACTGGGTGGTGGCGGAGGAGGAGATGCAACACCCTTGAAAACATCCAGTAATGACTTCGTATGGTTTGTGAGCTGTGGCAGAGCGCTCGCAGGGGGAGCTTCCAGGCCCCTCTCTGGCTCGGGATGTCTTTGATGGATCATGTCTGGCCCACCTCTCACAGGTTGCATTGGAGCAGCCGGACCAGCCACTCCATGCGCGCCGACGGGCAACTGGAACGGGAAACTAGCACTCAAAGGCGGCTGATGAGGCTGGCGTGCGGGTACGGTCAACGTTTGTGTGGCTGGAGGCGAGGTCGGAAGCTCTGACTGAACGCCAAAATGCGGTGGAGGTGATATGACGGCAGATGGATGCTGTGCAACGTGCGACCTGTGAGGAGACTGCGGCGGATCCTGGTGGAAGGAAACCTGGTCCAGAGGTGTCTGCGGCGATGCTCGAAGTTCGGCGGCGGATCCATTTCTCAGCAGTGATAGCAGTGCATTGGACTTCAGCGCATCCACTTGCGGCATATGCGTTGGCGGTGGAGGTTGTGGCTCGAGTTGTGGAGGCACACCAGGAATGTTGAACATCGCTTTGAGTTGTGATGTTGGATCCGCGTTCGCAGAGGATACCTCTGGAAGGTCGCTCGCGACTTCGGGTCGCACCGCTTGGAACTGCTCTGGAACGACCTCCATCTCCGACTCTTCCGCAACCAGAGGCGGGGCCGCCAGATTCGAGCTATACCGACTATCCCTTTTCTTTTGTATAGCGATCCATTTCTTTAGATGGCCCAAGAAAGGAGCGACCATGTAAAATTTGTTTGCACTGATCCCGGGCTGTTCTTGACCATTGCCTTCGTGCTTGTTGCGCTTTTTAAAAGTGGGCAGATCAGTGAGCTTGTACCACTCAATTTTACTGATCTCCTTTCTCGTACGTGCCTCAAAATGTGTATCTCGTGGAATGCCGCGGAAGACAAACAGCTTCATATGCTGCTCTCTCATGGTCATCTCGATTGATTTGACCTGGTCACGCTCAGGGACTAGGCCGGCCGATCGTAGGTCGAGGCCCGTCTCTTCGTAGACCTCTCGGACGGCGCAATCCAGGTCGTCCTCATCTTTATTGATTTTTCCACGCGGGAAACTCCAATTGGCGCTCTTCTTCCATCCTTTGACTAGTACTACCTCATCCATGTCATCGTTCAGCATGATCGCGCCACGCACGGGAACGCGCTGCTTGTAGGACATAAATTCCGCGAAAGCGGTCTGATAATGCTGAGCCGACCATTGTGCGAACAACGGACAGTGCTGGAAGATCCTTAAGCTGAAGTTCCGAAGATCGAGGTGCGGCAGTGACGCGTCAAGGGGGCGTATGAAGTCTTCGTAGAACCATTGTGCTTCTTCAACTTGGAAGCAAATTCTTTCGACAGAAGCGAGTTCCTCCTGTGGTAGGTTTAGAATAAATCTGACGCAGAGGTCATCGAGCCCTAGATCCGTTAGCTTCGAGAGGTGACACCGTCGACATGCACATACAATCCTCCAGCTGCATCTCGTGTCTGAAAGCGCAGTATGGGCAGCCTGAGCATATCTAGGAGGAGACAGTAAGTCCTCTCCAGCGAAGGCGAGGTGGAGGTGAGTTGGGTAGGAGCCGATGACTGGGTGGCTGGAGGGCCCCGCAGGATCTGAGCTTGACCTGAATGGGGTATTCGTGTGCGTCGAGCGTTGGGTTGTGTTGCTGAGAACTTGAGAAATAGCGAGTGTCGCAAATGTTGTAAGTTGCAATTGTATCGAAAATAGCAGGAGAAACGGAGTTGTAGGACAGGCGGGTAAGGATGCAGTTACAGAGGCGCGTGGCCATGCAGTGGTCGGTTAAAGCAGGCCGCAGGTGCGGAGCCCGCCTTAACGTCTATCGTGGCAATGCCTCACCGTACAGAATCCGCACGCCAAGCCCCGAACTTTACATGCACTGATCAAAATCGAAGTTACTCGCAGACGGCCACCGCGACATCGTCAATTCCAACGAGACTCTCAGTACGCACACCCTACACCTTGACTCTCCCGCAGAGACTCCTCACATCGCAAACTTCCAGCAGAGACTGACCAGAAATCGCCAGCTTTCCCACGAACCTCGCAACCCTCACCACACCCGCAATCATGTCTCACGAGTCCGTCTGGTTCTCGCGCCCGCGCTCTTACGGAAAGGGTGCCCGTGGCTGCCGTGTCTGCACGCACAAGGCCGGTCTGATCCGCAAGTACGGCCTCAACATCTGCCGCCAGTGCTTCCGCGAGAAGAGCACCGACATTGGCTTCATCAAGGTACGTCTACTGTGGGAAACCAAGATACGGGCGCGGTGAAATAGGTGGGAATAATTACTGACTCTCGACAACAGCACCGATAATCTATTTTTGCACGTTTACGAAGGGGCGACAAGTTGGACGCGGGCATGATGGCGATCTGACGCATCGAACGAACATGAAGAAAAGCAGCGATGGGGTGAGAGTAGGAGGGATATGAGGCAGCCACGACCGGGCTCTCGGCTATGGTGGGAAGCGCGAGCGTGAACGACGCGCTTCCACAACTGTTGTACGGCAGAAGCTAGTGGTGGGCGCGAAGACAAGTCGGTCGGTTGAAGGGCTCGATAGACTGTACTTTCACAGCACCCCAAAAATACGACAAAGATTCCCACATTCAAAGGCGAGGACTTGCAAAACATTGGCACTATCTTTGGGGACATTCAAGAGCTCATGATGCTAACGCAACTTTGTTGACTATTAATTATTCCTCGCCTCCATGCAAACGATTTGCTTCCGGCACTGCTGAGGGAGGGATCGCGCCCATCTCTGATATCACCACATCCAGACACTCGGCGGGCGTGACGTCGTACATGAGACTCAGGAGGTAGAGATTGTTTTGATCCCGCCAGGCTTCGAGGCCTCGTGTCGGCTTCTCGGGTGCCTCTTCCTCCTTGCTCTTCTTTCCTTTAGGAGGGGCGCCAGCAACAGGTGTCGCTGCACTCGAGGTGATGGTTTCGATGTCTTCGACTTCAACCAGTGCGTCAGGTTCGCCCAGCTCATTCATCATAATGCTGTCCAAGGCGACCTTCCCCGTGAATTTGTAGAGTTCGCAGAGCACGATGACGGGAGCTTTGCGCTTAGTAGAATCCTTAACCATCATAGCAACCATTGCTGTGCCGGCCCTGGCACTCAGCCTGCCGTTGCCGAGCATCGTTGCCGCTCCGAGCATGCACTTGGTGACGTCCTCGACCACATCCGCCAAGGCGTGCAGGAGGCAATACCTCGTCTCAATCCCTTCTCTGAGGAGACTCCTGGCCAAATTTTTGCCCTCGAACATTGGCCGTGAGTCAACCACAATCACGCGGAAGTTCTTTCCATTCCTCGCCGCGGTTAAGAGTGTTTTCTCGACCACACTGCTCTTACCGTAGGTGAGTATGGTATCTCCGTTGTCGATTCGTTGACCAGCGTTCTGGGCAATCACTTCATCCGCCAATGTAATCTTCTCTCGAAGATAATTGTCGATCGCGCTGTTCAGATACTTTTTCGCTTCGGTCTCTGCTAGATCCGGGTCGAGGGCGGAAATGAGCTTCTTGAGCCAGCGAATTGCATTACCCTGGCTTACTCCCAATGGGCGGGCGTTGTTGATGTAACTAATCTGATGGCTGAGATGAGTAGTGAGATGTCTGGATAGCGCGACGCCCGGTGGTGTGGTGTATGATTGTATGACTTTCTTGAAAACAAGCAGCATGGCGATACAACGAGCATTTCCGCCACAAATCACATAATCACGTAGTTGCAGACCAAGGGACAGGACAGCAGGGTGTATTTCACGGCCTGCCGAGGCAAGGGTCGTCTTTTCCTCCTTGGATCGAAGGTGCGCAAACATGGCAACCTTTTTCTCAATCTTTGCTGGGGGTACCGGCATTGGCTGATTCGGGCCCGGTGACCGCAGTGGCAGCTGCTTTACCTGTGTCGAGCCAGTTCGCTTGTGATGTGATGGCTCTGTGCTATCTTTTTTCGCTCCGACTGATGGCCGTCTCTGCTGCTTACCCGCGGCCGCCGGTTGAGACTGTGAGGCTTGTTGTGCTTGCGCGTCAACGCCTTTCTGCGTCACCTTTTCCGCCCGGCGAGCAGCCTTTTCTGCGGCCTTCTGCTTCTTGATTTGCGCCAGGGTCAATTTGACGCCCGCTCCAGCTTCTGCAATATCCTGAGCTGTGGTAGAGCGTGCGTTCTGTTGTGTTGGTCGCTCTGGCTTTGTAGTTTTGCTGTCGGCTGTGCCATTGCTGAGAGGTTGCTCACTCGTGTCTGCTGGTGACTCATCTTTGGATGCGGGCATGGAGAATGATGGCGCGGTAGGATCTAAGGTAGCGGTCGTAGCCAGAGCAGAATCATCGGCCATGGCGGACACGGCTTGTTGATCTTTACTTTCGTGTCGGTTTCTACTCAGACGCGCGCTGTCCAAAATGTTAGTAGTTGCGATAGAAAAGTTTAGGTGGACATTTACCGCCAAGGCAATATCTGTAACATCTCCGACAAGGCTGAAGACTTCCGCTTTAAACGCTGCATTTTACATTTTCTACAACTGTCCAGACGAGTTCGAAAACCCCTGCTCAGACGGTGCATGAAAGTCACGAGGGGTCAGTCAGGTCGTCAAAATACAGATGTATGCTCTACCTTGCATTCCACACTGTTGCAGTGCCTGCAGATGCAGAGGCCATCTTGGTCTGTGCCACGTGTCGGTCGTTCAGCCATTAATTCATGCCACTGGGTACCAAAGCTATCAAATTGATGATAGGCTCGATATCTCGGATGCCTCATTCCATGCTTGGGCCCAACATGACCACGCTGAATCTCAACTCACCTCCTCCGGCCGCCTCCTCCCGCTTCAGAAATGCCTGTACACCAAGCTCTTGACCCTTCTCACTCAGCACATCATCTTCCTCGCCTAATTTTCCTCTCTTAAGAGGTCCTTTCCTCCTTCCGTCCAATTCCCAGAGGTCGCCATTCTGAGCTTTGATGAAGGCAACGAAGTGAAGATCGATCGCAGCTTCAGCTTCCGGGGCACTTGAGTCGCCCTGCTGCGCCGCGGTGGCATGTGCATTCTCCAGCGACCTACTCTGGTAGAGTAGCTCAGCACGCTCAGATGGCTTGAGAGGGATTGCTGCGTTGCGTAGCTTGTCGAGGTCACTGTCAGGCACGATGTATTCTCTTGCGCCGCCGTTCATGACAGCGTGAAGGAGTCCCATGAGGCCGCATGCATTTCGAATGGTCTGTTTGAACCAGACGACTTCCTCTTCTGGTCCGGAGCCAGTGTATTCTTCTTTGGACGCGTCCTCTTCTCTGCGGAATTTCTCGTATGTCTCGGTGACAGGAAAGACTAGTAGAAGAGCAACGGCGGGGCGGGGTAGAAACTCGAGGAGCGATGGCTCTGTCAGAGAAAAGACATCATGCCACTGAAGCGAAGGCGAGAGACCGAGTTCTCGGACTAGGCTTGTCATGACTTCCGGGTTGTTCTCTGAAGGCCGAGTCAATTACTGCTTAATAACTGGGGAAACATTTTCATAGGTCTCAAGGGGCTTACCAAGAGGCACGAATGCCTTATTGGCAGTGGGAACGTCCACGTCGGCCATTGTGATGCCAGCGTAGAGTGTTATGGGAGAAATGCGGATTGTGTGGCTGCCTATGAAGGTGAGTCAGGGTGACCAGCAGGCAAACCATCAGATACACGCAGAGTGCATTGCGTCAGTGCCAAACGCCCGGAACTTAGCCGCCCCACTACTGCAGGCACACCCCGCGGTACCACGATTGCCCCTGCAGCACCGATGCATTATTCGGCCCATTGATCAACGTCTTGAAACTTGAGTACTTGATCGCCCCAGGACCACCACCCAGCTGTCAGACTTCGAGCGAACAGCTCTAGAGCCTCGTAGCGGAGAGGAAGAAGCTGCTCAAACAGCCGCTTCAGCGATGGCTTCCGAGAATGCACGTCCGGTACAGCGAGTAGGATTTTTCTCGGAATATTTTTGCACGATGCAGCTGAAGCGAAAACCAGGAGGGTCTCGTACGGTTGTCTCCAAACACCGTGGATGCTTGTCACCGGCTGACCCTCAGCCGTGATTTTCAGCCAGGTCCACTCGGCTTTCAGGTGGAGGTCTAGACTGAGTAGTGCCTCAACCACAGATGTTTGCACCGCGTCTTTGTTCGTTACCCAAACTGCGACCAGACCATCTGCATTCAAATGCGACTTCAGGATCGGCAGTGTTTGGATAAAAGGATCCTCAGCCTGATTCTCGTGCGTCCTATACGCGGTAGACCTGCGCACGCTGCGATTTGACCATGGAGGGTCCAGGACCACAAGGTCAAAGCTCTTCCCAAGCGCGTTGAACGCGTACATGCCATGTTTGACTGAAGACATCACGAATGCAGTCTGTGGTGGGATGAAGTATTTGCTTTGTCCTACCTCAAGTCGTGTCTGAGATGGCGAAGGATTCACCACAAGAATATCCTGGATCTCGGACTGCTTTTCGAATCGGTTTGCGCCGTCGAGGGGTGACAGAATCAATGGAACTCGCAACGCCTGGTCCTTACGGCCATCCTTGATGCTGCCATCATAGTCATCATACCTTTTTCCGGGCTCGCTCACGTTTCGCGGCAGACACCAAGGGATTCCATAGCCGCCAAATCGCGCCCTGCACACCGCCAACGCGGATACGAGTTCTGCTTCCCGGAGACGTTTTCGGGCGAGCCGATCGGGATCAATTCCACTCAGATGTTTTGCAAGTTTTTCTCCTTTCGGATCCGTGCTTGAGTAAGGCTGGAAAGGAGGCGGACTTGATTTGATTCGTAAAGCGCTTGCCTGAGCATCTTCGATGGAATTGGGTATGTCAACCAGTATGACACAGGTAGCGTCATAACACGCGCTCACAGTCGTGAACATGGGCTCTGTACATCTCGCTGAAGACCGAGCTTCGATGTCACGACCGCGTCATGGTCCCTTGCATTCTATGCAAGACCTTCTGTTGCCTTCGCTTGTATTGTGTTCGGACAGGAAGACAGCGCTCGGACATGACCCAGCTGAGCACGGACTTACTAGCAGGAATAAGGCGCTGCCAAGGAATGTCAAGTCACAACCCTCTCAACTTGAACAATCGGCTGCCTCAGCACCTACATTCCATCAATTTTTTCTCCGGCGACCCATCATCAGCTTGCCACTAACTGTCAGCCGCTATGTAGCCGCATCAATATCAACCTGCCGAATGCAGTAACATGCTCCGTTGATCGCTATGTGCACAGGTAGGTCACCCTCCTCAATAGAAGGTGCTCCCAATGCGCATCCCACTCTTCTTTGGCTTGAGCGACAGGCCTTCCTTTTGACTGTCCTGCATGTGTTTCATATCTCGTTTTTGGCCGTAAGTCATGTCGCCGGCGGTCTGACCGATACTGTTGCTGGTTTGCGCTGGTCATGAGTTCGTCCATTCACACCCCTCCGCCCCAACATCATGTCGAACACAGGAGCTCTACAGGAAAGAGGCCTGAATGCAAAGGAAAACCCTCAGAGCCCCTTCACCCCATCCCAGAACCGCGCAATCCTGCTCACAGGCCTTTCATGCGCGTGCGTGAGCCTAGTGGTCGTCATTGTTGCCCTACGATGGTTCGTCTTGATGAAGCGCATATTTCGACATCGCTTGATCCTGTACCTGGTGGCTAGTGATACGTTCAAAGCAATATGGTACTTCGTTTTCGCGGTCGTATCTACCTCTCGAGGTCCGGTCTCATCTGGTTCCAACTTCTGTCAGGCCAGCGGCTATCTTTTGCTGCTAGCAGTCGAGGCCTCGGATTTCGCCATACTCTTGATTGCGGTTCACACCATGCTCTGTATCTTCGGACCGAGCAACAAGTCAGGTGAAGCTGGACTGTACCCGTACCGCAACTGGATACTTCCATTCTGGTTAGGGCCTCCCCTCCTCTTCGCCTCACTAGCATTCATCAATGGGAGCAATGCGTATGTCACGAGCGGCACATTTTGCTTCCTGCCCAAGAGACCTTTCTGGTATCGACTTGCGCTGGGGTGGATACCACGGTACCTCATAATAATCACAATCCTGTGCATGTACACAATCATCTACATCTACGTCCACGTCAAGTTTCAAGGCTTCAAGAATCTGCAAGCCGGAGATTCCTCGACAGATTCTGCCAGTGCTTCCAGACGAGCTACCGAAAGCATGCCGATGATTACGCCGGGCTCACAAAATCCGAGTGAACCAGAACCCTTGCCAACGGTCGCGAGCCCGAGCCCAGCCAAAGTCCAGAGTGAGCGAGCGGTGAGAGTGCACCCATATGACTCGAACGGCAATGGTGCTACGAACGCTACTCCCGTGCTTGGGCACAATGCGCCGTGGGACTCTATGATGTTCTTGACACAGTATTCGCTTGACTCTACGCAGCGCAAAAGTACAGCGGGGGGAAATTTCGCTGGGACCTCTAGCCCTGAGCAGGCGAACCGATCAGAACGGACATCAAACAATACTTCTGCGAGTAATGATCCTTCCGTCGAAGGTCGTAAGCAATCAGAAGCACCTACAATCTGCACGAGCTTCACAGGGCAAACAGCCTCGTCGCCCGCCACTTGCGATAATGACGCAAAAGGCGCCGCGGGAACAAGAGATCATCTTCGAGAAACCCGGGCGGCTATTCAACGCCAGTTGCGCTTTCTCTTCATCTATCCAATAATCTACATTCTGATGTGGGTGTTTCCTTTCGCCAATCACGCGATACTGTATGATGACCACTACATTCTACATCCACCGTTCTGGCTCACCATCGTTTCGACGTGCTCGGTAGCACTCCAAGCAGCCGTCAACGCAATCGTCTTCTCCTGGCGGGAGAAACCGTGGCGGCGAATCAAAGAAGACTCAAGGCTATCGCTTTCGTTTCGTTTCAGGAAATCGGCGAGCAGCCCCGAAGACGAAGTCAGGCAAGAGCCAGCAGCACCCAGAGTTGACAACAGCCCGCTCTGGTGGGAAGCTGAAGGTCGTAAGAGGCAGGATTCTGTTTGGCTTGGAACCGATGTCGTTGAACAAGTTCCTTCGCGGCGACTCCAGCGGACCAATACTCTAATGAGCATTGACGAGCAAGCAAGCACGGAAGCATAATTGAGCGTAGCATAGCACAATTATAGAAGCACCATATACATAAGAAAACACCTTGAAACCAACCACCCACGGCGCTGCTGCGAAATCGGCCATCTAGCATTGGGCCGGCCATAAATCTACCAGCTGGGTGCGGCTACCCCCGGCTATGCCCGCCCACAACGCCACAGTGACCACCCCGGCCCTGATCCGAACACGGCGGGCGGTCTAGGCGGCGAGGGAGAAAGCCGGGTGTGGCGCCCGCGTTGCGGAGTGCGGTGGCCGAGGTCATCGTTTCTCTCCCTCCAAGCAATTTGCCCCGAGCATCACCTGGACTTTGCAGTCACGTTCCCTCCCATATACCCTCAAGTCCCATGCGCACCACCCCGTGAATGCTCCCTCCCTCGCCAGGTACGGGTATAGGCCATGCCGCTCCATCAGCACCACCCGCACAACCATCTGAGATGGACGCTTCCCGGGCACCCTCCCGCGTGCTCGAGGAGCCTGTCGGCACACGAGCTCCGACCACGGCCTCGCAGCATGCGTTCACCAATGCCGACGACTCGGTGACACTCAAAGGAAATCAGAATGCTCTGAAGCAGGAGAGCCGCATCAAGAGCTTGGATCACTCCCTCCGGTCCCTCCTGGCTGGAGGCATGGCCGGATGCGCTGTACGTCATTCTTACTATCTCCGCATAATGCGTCCTCTGACTTGGATCTCTTGCAGGCAAAAACAGTAGTCGCTCCTCTTGACCGCGTCAAGATTCTTTTCCAAACCTCGAATCCCCAGTTCGCCAAATACACGGGCCACGCATTCGGTCTCTTTCGCGCCATCCAAGACATATCTTCGACCTCGGGGTTGCGCGGCCTGTTCAAAGGCCACAGTGCCACTCTCCTACGCATATTCCCCTACGCGGGCATAAAGTTCCTCGCCTACGACCAATATCGCGCGATCATAATTCCCAGCAAGTCCTACGAGACGTTATGGCGACGCTACATCACGGGCAGCCTCGCGGGCGTAACCTCGGTCTTCTTTGCCTACCCTCTCGAGGTGATCCGCGTGCGACTGGCGTTCGAGACCAAAGCCGATGGCAAGTCTTCGCTGTCCCAGATCTTCAAACAGATCTACCACGAGCAGCCACCCCAGGTCCGCCCGAACACCTCAGGGGAAGGCGCGATCGCAGCTGCAGAGAGCGTCGTGCAGCGAGTCGTGCCCACTTCCGGACTCATCAACTTTTACCGTGGCTTCACGCCGTCCGTGCTGGGAATGCTGCAGTACGCTGGAACTGGTTTCCTGGTTCACGACACAATCGGGGACTTCTTCCGGCACCCACGATTCGCGCAGTATACCTTGATGGTCCCGGAGGACGCTGCGCTGATGGCTAAGCCGGCCGACGACGGTAAGCGGTATAAACGACCGCAGCTGAGAGCGGGAGCGGAACTCGTGTCGGGGGCGCTGGCCGGTCTGGTTTCGCAGACCGCATCGTATCCGCTTGAGATCATCCGGCGGCGGATGCAGGTGGGCGGAGCTGTGGGGGATGGGCATCGACTGGGCATGGGCGAGACTGCGCGGCGGATCTTGCTGGAGAGAGGCTGGCGAGGCTTCTTCGTTGGGCTGAGCATTGGGTATCTCAAGGTTGCGCCAATGTCGGCGACGAGCTTCTTCGTCTGGGAGCGCGGCAAGTGGCTTCTCGGCATCGACTGAAGAGTCTGAGAAATATGGCGCTTGTGATCGACTTCCATGCAAGCTTAAAGGTTCGCGATCATCGACAGAAGCCCGTGCGATACGGCCAGGTGTCGCCGGTTCAGGCTACCCACCATCAACGAGGCAAGACACTTACGCCAGATGAAGCACACTCTGAAGTGGAAGAGACCGCTCGATACACCAGAACGGAGAGGGAAATCGATTCAAGGCGCAGCCTCGCCATCTTTCGAGTTGGGCGTCATCCAGAGTGCAAGCCAGATCTGTCCATCCCTCCATGAGCAGCACGGCAGGTCCACAGCTCTTAACACGACAGACACACACCTGTGTACGATTTACCGCGCACACTACGAACCTTTCAGCCTACCGTGGTAAAAGAGCCGTGTCATTTCCTAGGCCCCATCCCCTCGATTAGACGCCTCAGGCACAGGCGCAGCCAGCGGATAGGGGTCATGTGTGTTCCGAAGCCGTGTCCAGAGTGCAGGGGGCAAGTGGAACAACATCGCAGAAAAGAGGCAACGTTCTTGCGGGTGGCTTTACGGGAGTCCTGGAAAGCGAGCAAGCAGGTGGGTCGCATTGGGTTGAAGGCTGACTGGCGAGCAGTGGTATATATTCACGGTATATATATTCGCACCACAATAACGATGGTTTTTGGACATTTGATCTTCCTCTCTTGACGGGGGCTGCTGCTGCTGCTGTTGTCGTTGTCCTCTTTGCAGAGACACGAGTCGTACTGATGTTGGCGGCTTTGCGTCCGGATGGAAGTTGGAAGCTACGGCGTCAAGACGAAAGACACTCATTCATGCACAATAATGCAACTAATTCTACTGACGTGATATTATCTTTGCTAAGGATAACTCGCGTCGTGGGGGTAATGTCGGAATCTCTCGCCTGGGTCTGGCACAGATGGTCAAAAGAGTTTATGGTGTCTGTAGAAAAACGGATTTGGTCGTGCATATGGTCGTACATTATATCTACAAGTGGTCGGTCTTCCTCCTCCTTGAACAAGGACCTCCTCAACTCATATCCCCTTGAATAAAGGTGCCCATTCCTCATCTCTGCGGGTGCCTGACTTGTTATCCGGCTCTTCTTGTTCTCCATCCTCCACCAGCTCCTTCTGTCTCCTAGCGTAATCAAGCCGAGCGTCCGCCTTTTCTTCCCGCCTGATGCGCTTCGTGTTCCTTGCGTTCCACAGCTCCTCCAGGTTCATCTCTGCGCGCTTCTCCTCCGTGAACAGCTGCACCACGATGCGCTGAGACGTTTCTCGAGAGCCAAAGCCGACGTACGTAGGGTCATCGTCCGTATCGTTCTCAGGCAGCTCGGAGGAGGGGTTGGTGTACTCTTCCTCGTCTGCGGCGTCCATCTCTTCGGCAGGCTCCGCTACGTCTGCCGCAGTGGTCTCGGCTTCTTCGAGCACAACATCGTCAACTGGGCCTACATTGACGCAGACCCACCCCGTCGTAATGCCGTCGTCGGCGCCTTCCTCGACGCCCGTCCTTCCAGCTTGTCGCTCTAGCTTTAATCTCCTCGCCTTCCGTCTCAGCTTTAGTTTCAGCTCGTTGCGCCCGAGCAGTCCATCCGCATACGGCCTCAGCTTGTATGTTGTACGTAGCCAGCGACAGAAGCGATCTGCAGAGACGTTGAGGTGCTTGACGGAGCGGGCCGTCCCAATTATCATCAGCAGGTTGGCGCCCAAAGCGGGCGGTGGGGAGAGTGTGCGTAGATCGAGCAGGGTGAGGTTGTCGAGGCCGATGGAGGTTGAGAGGTGAGTGAGAACGGGCAAAAGAACGGCGGGTGGATTTGATGGCAGAGGAGGTATTTCTTGTCTTGCTAGAATTGGCGAGACCGGGGCAGGAGGTGTTGGATTCGAGACTTGGAGATACCATGGTATCTCTGACGGTGTGCGACTTTCTGGAGCGGTTGGCTCGGTGTCTAGGGGACTTGAGGCATGCTTCTCGGCCTGTATTGGAAGAAGGCGGCGAGCGGTCGTGTGTAGCTGTCGCTGTCGCTGGGATGTTTGGAAGGATCGCAACGGGAGCCGGGAGATTCGTTGAGCAGGTAGTGAGATGCCGGCGATAGATGTAAAGGCGTCAAGGAAAGAGTAGCGACATGCCTGACAGTGCAAAGTTGTTGGTGACATAGCTCTCCGATCCGTCGCGTGCGACACGTAACTGCTGCCTTCTAAAACGCGAAAAGGATGAATGTTGACGACCAGCATGCAGACGCTCACGCTCGCGCTCGCAAAAAAAGTCTAGAAGTGACGTCGCTCTCGCAGCTTGAAAAGTCAAAATGACACAGAGAACGCCTACTATCTCCGGGTTGCTGGTGGTAACCTGGTCATTTGAATTATATTACAATCTTGCGACTTCATGTACTACGCGTAGTACGACTTGGACCTCAACTTCCCACAAGTCAAGGGACCTTTGCTGTTTGCATGTCATCGCAGTCCGTCAGAGAATCTGACACTGTTATCATAGTGCCTTCCAACCTGACTGATGCCCAGAGTGGCCTCAATCCTAATCCGTCCCACGCTCAAGCCAAGTTACCACATATGGATGCGCGGTGACTCAGGTTCAAAAGGCATCCTCAGACCGTTTGCCAGCAAGCCACCCCAGGCCATTCGGCTCACTGCACCCAGCGCTGTCAGTACTAGGCTAGAGACCTTCAAACCGAGGAGATTCAGTGGGTCGTGCCGGAGACAGGACGATAACATCGTGGACACCGGTAACATTTCTGACGCGCCGACAACGCTCATTCGGAAACAAGCTTACCGTGCATCAAAGCGCACAAGGGCTCGACGAATACACGCAGATCGCAAAGCAAAACCGCCTCTGCTCAGACTTGGCGTGATGACCTCGACCCAGCTACAGCTCACTGAAAGGGAGGAGCTCTTCAGACAATGCCTTCTCAGCTGCCGCGACTCCATGACCTCGACTCCGGGCATGAAGGACTTGGTCTTGCGTTGGACTGGAGGTTGGGTACGAGACAAGCTTCTAGGGGTGCGGTCTCATGACATTGATGTCGCGCTGTCCACCATGACCGGCATGCAGTTCGGCGAGGCCTTGCAGAGCTTCATGGCTGAACATGAGTCAGAATATGAAGAGCTCGCGCAGAAGCAAGGTTTCGCGGCTGATATCAAAGGTCTGCACAAAATCGAAGCCAATCCGGAAAAGTCCAAACACCTGGAAACGATTACAACTCGCATGTTTGGTATTGATGTGGACTTCGTCAACCTACGAAAGGAGGTATACGATGACAGTAGCAGAAACCCCCAAGTAGAATTCGGCACGGCAGAAGAGGATGCACTGCGCAGAGATGCGACGGTCAACGCCTTGTTCTTCAACCTTGACACTCAAGAGGTCGAGGATTTCACACAGCAAGGATTGACGGACATGAAGAACGGCATCATCCGCACCCCTCTAGCACCGTACCAGACTTTCAAGGACGACCCACTACGTGTATTGAGACTTATCCGTTTCTCCTGTCGCTTGGGCTACGGGATCGAAGAGTCGGCGTTACAGGCGATGGCCGACCCAAAGATCCACAAAGCGCTGAGTACGAAGATCAGCCGAGAGCGTGTTGGCATCGAGGTTCACAAAATCTTCCAAGGACCCAACGCTTACGTCGGTCTCACTCTAATCAATGACCTGGGTCTTTATCCCAATGTCTTTGCCAGTCCTGGCAGCTCCGCACCGCCGAACCGCGATGCAGTGCAATCGGCATACGATGCTACTCGATACATCCTCGAGCAAGAAGAAGACAACTTTTCTGCGCGGTATCTTGGGCAATTGACATGGTTGCTCGCTTCGTATGTCCCGTGGTATAGCCAGGGTCGCACTATAGCCGTGAAAGAAGCGAGAAACGCCATCAAGTCGAACAATAAGCTGACTGGAGCCCTCGGCGATGCTATCACATTTCGCCCATTGATTCAGCAAGGGATAAACGTGGTCAACAAAGGCACGGCTACGAGAGGCATCATTGGCATGATCGTGAGGACCTCTAAAGGGCTCTGGAGACCTCACCTTCTGTACAGTCTGTTGTGCGATATGGTGGACAATGATTTTGAAGAGCAACTGACTCGATACCAAAAGTTCTCCGACTATGTGCAAGAGCAGAATCTCCAGGATGCTCACTTGGCTGACAAAGACCTTGTCTTGAAGGGGAACGAGATACAAGATGCCCTTGGTGAGCGGAAAGCTGGGCCGTGGCTGAAGAGTGCAGTCGATATGGTTGTTGAGTGGCAATTCGATAACGAAGCCACGGCAACCAAGGAAAACGCAATCGAGATGATAAGAGCACGAAGAGGTGACTTGGGCTTGGACTGAAGAAAGCGCTTGCTACAGCTTCGACTCTGAACCAGTTCTTGCCTTCGCTCGCAGCACCACATCGCGAGCCTCCTGCCGCACTGCAAGATCGCTCATGATCTCCTCGCTGCCGCCACCAACAACATGTACGCGGACGTCGCGGCTAATTTGCTCAATGCGAGCTCCCTTGCCGGACTTTGAATACGCCGCTCCACCCATGATCTGCATGGCTTCACGGCACACTTTCTCCAGACAACGAGTACTCATGACCTTGAGCAGCGCAGTCATGCCACCGACATTGACCTCCGTGCCGGTCTTCCGCGAGTGTTCAACGATATTGCACAGCTGCTCCAAGAAGGCCTGGCTCGGCTCGATCAGCGTACCCATCTCCGCGAACTTCGATTTGATGGCGTAGTGCTCGATCAGCGGCTTGCCGAATGTCTCTCGCTCACAGGCGTACGCGTAGGCATCCTGCACGCACACACGCGATAGTCGGATGGCAGCTGTGGCGAGTGACAGCCGTTCAGGATTGAAGTTTGACATGATAAGGCGGAAGCCATCATTCTCCTTCCCAATGAGGTTCTCTACTGGTACCTCAACATCGTCGAATGTGATAAGCGTGGAACCTAGACAATGTCAGAAACCTCGGTGTCCTCATCCACCTCCGCAGTCTCAACTCACCACTAGCATGCACGCCCTGGTTTTCAATGCGTGTCCTCCTCACCCCCTTCGCCGCCAATGGCACCACCAGCAAACTGATCCCCCCATGCCCCTTCCCCCCCGTCCTTACCGCCGTCGTGCAATAGTCCGCCCAAATGCCATTCGTAATCCACTTCTTCCTCCCATTCACCACATAGACGGGCCCCTTCCTCTCCGCCGTCGTCCGAATCCCCGCCACATCACTCCCGCCCTCCGGCTCCGTAATGCCCAAGCAAAACCGAATGTCCCCCCTGGCGACGCCCGGCAGCCAGCGCCGCCGCTGCTCCTCGGTCCCAAAGCGCGCGATGGGCGGACATCCAATACCGTTCCCACCGCCCAGACCCCACGTGACGCCGCACCAGCCCAGGCGCGCCAATTCGTCGCCCACGATGACGCTGCACCACGTGTCCCACTCGTCATAGGGGATGTTGGCGGGCAGAGCCACGCCGCCCGTATAGGCGGGATCGGTCACCGGGTGCACGACCGCGAAGCCCTGCGCGCAGTGGTGACGCCGCACCTCTTCGGGGACATGCCCGGAGGTTTCCCATTCTTGGGCGTGGGGGAGGAGGTGCGTGTCGACGTAGGCGCGCACGAAGGCGCGGAGGCGGTGGTGTTTGGGCGTGTAGTACGGGTTTGGGGTGGGGAGTTGGGGGAGGAGGGGTTCCGAGAACGGGGTTGGGGCGGTGGAGGGTGGCATGGTTGGGTTCGGTTCTGGAAGGGTTGGTCTGGTGATTATGGTGTTCTTTGTTTGAAGCTCGGGGGCTTCGACGTTATGTTGTCGTTACATGGTCGCTGCGTTGTGGCTGCGGTGGCAGAGACACTACTAGTAATATGAGGTGAGGAGACGCGTGCCGGCGAGTTTGGCGCCCGAGGATGGCGTTGGTCAGCCGAGGTTAGGGAAAGATCAGGAATGTTTAGCGAGGTTTGTGCTACGCATTATCTTATGTCGAGACTCTGAACGGTCAATGGTATGTTGATTTTTGCGTCACCAACATTTAGAATCTATATTTCACATCCTCAAAGCTATCCGTGCCAAAGACGTATAGCCACTTCAGTTCTTGCTCGGGGTCGTCGTTTCTTATGCCGTGCCTAGCATTGCCGGGGATATAGACCACGCTGCCAGCGCATACGTCTTGCTCACGGCCGTCGATCTCCATGACGCCTCGACCACTCGTGATATGATAGATCTCGGCCTGTTGATGGCGGTGAGGGCACAAGTGTCCCTGTCTCGGTGGACATGTCGCAATGCCCACCGTGAGGGAGTCTGTGGCTGTCTTGGGCGCTGAAATCAGCGTTTTCCATGTGACGATGCCGTTGGTGCTGTCAGGGAAACACTCGGGTTGCTGTGCTTGAATCGAGCTGGCGTCAATAACGACGCTGGCTGCAGGTTTGCGACTGGATCCGAACAGGCCTGACAGGCGTTGAAAGACGAATGCCATGGCGGTGATTCGGGATGCTCAATAACACGGCTCTCACCACGTACATATCCGACGGTGCCCCTGCTCCTGATGCATAGTATATATATGCAAACGTGGCATCGATGAGACCTCGGGGAACCGTATCCTGATCTGGAAAGCCCATCCACATGGTACACGTATCACCACGAGTGCAAACCTACCTCTTCATAGTCCTTCCTGGACATGATCGCGGAGTCGTTGTGACGATTCACTGAGCTTGACCTTTGTGTTCAAGGCGTTGGGGAAGGGGCCTCTGGTCGCAGCGGTCAGCTTTGGACATATCTTGGCCTGGAAAGAGGCCTTGCCGGATCAAGACTAGCGCGTGCCAGGATATCGCCTCACCTGAGTGACGAGCATCGTTGCACCGCCATAACCTCCACCTCTTCGTTACTATGCATGGAGTCGCTGATCTTCGTGATTAAAGCCTAGTCCATAAGCAGTTGTGCTACTTGCAGCCTGTCCCCATCTTATAATAGCTAAGATCGCCCCTGACAAGGCATGCTATGGCGAAAAGAGATCCGGCTTGCACCACCGACCAGCCCGACTCGGTTGATGAGCCAATCCTTGTGGCACACGTTGGAACACCAGACCTAGTCAGCCTCTTTTGGGAGGGGTAAGCCTCCACTCGACCAACATGGAGTCCTTCACGTCTTTCTCGGAGCAAAGAGAAAATGCCACGGAGGCCCCCCCCGCGGTGCCTGTCAACACTAGCGTGCCTCCGAGCCCGACGTATGCGGAGTCAGAGGGACCCGTATCGACCACAATATCAGCACCGGCTGTTCCCGCGACTAGTTCTGTCGAGGAGGGCGGCAATGCCGATTTAGTATCAGACAACGATCCCGCCTCGCCGGGCTTCCCCCAACTCTCCAATACGGCCTTGGAGCCACCATCATCAACTGCCGGCGACAGCAAGATGGACGACGAAGACGAGGAGATCGACTTGTCCAAGTCGTTCCATCGTACTGCGAGTCCTTCGCCCGCGGCTCTACACCGAAATAAGGATGCTCTCGTCGGAAAGCCTGGCGACGAAGGCGTCATCAAGATGCACAAATTCACCCTCTATGAGACTTTGAATAACTACTACATCGTTGGCACTGACCTGCTTGACCTTCACTATCGAATACTGAAGATCGACCGAACATGTGAACCGGGCGAGTTGAACATCACGGAAGATGGCGTCGTCTACACCAGAACAGAAGTGGCCCAAATATTGAACGCTATCGATGAAGGTAACAAGGCGACAGGAGGACTGAAGGCGAAAGCAAGTTTCTGGGGCTTGCTTGGTTTCATTCGTTTCACGAGCTATTACTACATGATATATGTCACCAAACGAAGTCAGGTTGCTCTGGTCGGCGGTCACTATATTTACACCATCGAGAAGACCGAGATGCTGCCTCTCACGACCAGCGCGCTTGCCAAGTTCAAGAGCGAGAGGCACATTGACGAGAGTCGATACGTTAACATTCTCAACAATCTTGATCTGACCAAGTCTTTTTACTTCAGCTACTCTTACGATTGTACGCGCACCCTGCAGCATAACATCATGCGGGAGAGGGAAGCACTTCAGGAGGGTCTCCCAGAACCAGCAAAGAGAGATCACAACGACATGTTTGTATGGAATCACCATTTACTGGGACCTGCCAAAGAGTCGCTGAAAAACCCCTTCGATTGGTGCCTCTCCATTATCCACGGTTATGTCGACCAAGCTGCGCTATCAGTCTTCTGGGGCAGAGTCGTATACGTGACTCTCATCGCTCGCCGATCCCGCCATTTCGCCGGCGCAAGATATCTGAAGCGTGGCGCCAACGATCTGGGCTATGTCGCGAACGATGTCGAAACCGAGCAGATCGTTTCGGAGATGAAGACAACGTCTTTCCACTCACCAGGACCTGATCTCTTCGCAAACCCCAACTGGACATCCTTCGTGCAGCATAGAGGCAGCATACCACTGCACTGGTTACAGGATTCCTCAGGCGTGTCTCCAAAACCAGACATCCAGCTTAGCGTTGTCGATCCGTACTACGTCTCTACTGGGCGGCATTTCAACGACATGTTCCGAAGATATGGCACGCCCATATATGTCGTCAATCTAATCAAGCAGAAAGAGAGGGTCCCCAGAGAGACCAAACTATTGAAAGAATACAAGGATGCCGTTGATTACCTCAACATCAACCTACCTAAAGAGCACAAGATCCTCTATCGAGCTTGGGATATGAGCAGAGCACAGAAGAGCCGAGGCGAGGATGTTATCGGCATGCTCGAATCAATTGCAGACGATATTCTGCCGACAACTGGTTTCTTCCAAAATGGTAACAGTCTGGAAGCAGGGCTTCGGTTGCAGAATGGTGTTGCGAGAACGAACTGTATCGACTGCCTGGATCGAACCAATGCTGCCCAATTCATGATTGCCAAGAAAGCACTAGGCCATCAGCTGGTGGCACTAGGTGTGATAGAGAGCCCGGAGATCGACTTTGATTCGGATGTGATCAACCTGTTCACCCATATGTGGCATGACCATGGCGATACCGTGGCAGTACAGTATGGCGGTTCGCACCTCGTCAACACCATGGCAACTTATCGCAAGATTAATCAGTGGCATTCCCAATCACGCGACATGGTAGAGACTTTCAAGCGATACTACAACAATTCATTTATGGACTCCCAGCGCCAGGAAGCATACAATCTCTTCTTGGGCAATTACGTTCTGCAAGATGGACAGCCTATGCTTTGGGAGCTTACGACCGACTACTACCTCCATCACTCCGATCCTCGCTCCATGTTCAGCAGGACTCGACCATCCTATCGCCAGTGGTATACACCAGAGTATCTCAATGGACCCAGCATACCGCCGACTATCTGGCCGCAAGAATTTCGCGATCGACCGCTCCACTTCTTCGACGATTTCTGGGTCGAGTACTACAGACCACTCGCCATCTCAACCTTCAAGAAACTCCTGTCCTTCAAGATGCATTCCAACATGCGATATATCCCATTTCCAGAAGCCAAGGAAGGCAAATACGACTATTCACCTTTCACGGTCCGCAAAGATACCGACCGCCACGGCTCAGCCAAGTCCAACTCCCGCAATAAGGGAGTACGGATCATCGCGCCCTCGGACGAGAGCTCCACCATCGCAGACACCAACTCTCTCACCTCCATCGACGCCCGCCTTGCAACCCCACTGGAGCCACCGAGCAAGCCACCCAAACCATCCACCCTGGGCCCCTGGCTCGATGCCCAACAGCAGCTCTACGGACCCAACCGCAAATACACGGGCATCATCAAAGAGACCTCGTTCGAGGTCGCCCCGCCCACACCCCGCGTGCCCAAGCTCCCATCCACCACCAATCCCTCCAGCGGCGCGGCCACGGAAGCCCAGACACCGCGCGAACTCACCAAGGCCGAGCTGGCCATTTCGGCCTTCACCTCCCTCATCGTCGCCTCGCTCGAGCCCGCCGTATCTAAAAGCGAAGAATACGAGTACCACCGATACATCACGCACCCGTCCACCATCCCCCTCATCACCGACACGGCCGTCGACTACGACAAAGCCCCCGCCGAATTCCTGGAGTACGTGTCGCGCAACCCCGCACTCTTCGGCGCGGTGCGCGACTGGGAGGTCACGGAGCAGGATCTGCCAGACGGTGTCGGTGACGCCGGCGCCGGCTTCGGGAACGTCTGGGGCGGCGGCGCCGGTGCCGACGGGGCGCGCGCCAACCTGAGCGACTTGACCATGGAGGAGCGCGCCGAGGTCAACGCCGAGGTCTATCGCGACTTTGGCGAGAGTTCGATTCGAGACGAGCCCCTGACGGTCACGGCGGAGGATTTGGGCAAGAAGCGCTATAAGGCGTATCGGCAGTGGTTGAAGGGGAAGAGTCTGTTTAAGCAGAGGTTGGTGGTGGGTGGGGAGGTGGTTTGAGTGTCGTGTGTATGGATTGTGATCCGCGATGGCGTTTTGGGGGGCTTCCAGAGCGAGCATTCGTGAGCGTTCGCCTTTGCAGCCTGGTATATATAGATGGCGTGGAACCCTGCATATTTAGTGCTGCGATTTTCTGGGTTTCGAACGCGAACCGCTTCAAGATACCCCTTCTTTCAATGCAAACAGTCCTTCCAACTCTGGCTCTTCTTCAACTAACTTGCTTCTCGCCTTCTCCCACAGTTCCCCATCCACCAGGGTCGCCAGCTTTGCCGCCACGGCGCGACAGCTGTCCTTCATAGGCGCCAGAGCCTCGTGCTGCTGCTTCTGTGCGACGCCCGCCACCTCCTCGTCGTCCACGGTTGACAGCCAGGCCCCCACGCATGCTCTCAGCACCTCGCCCCACCACTCTTGCCGCACCCGCTCTTCCGCTACGTCGACCACGGCGCCGATCGCGCCAAGCGCCGCGAGCAGGAGACCCGGCGCACTGGTCGCGAAGGGGTCGCACGCCACCGTCCTCAACAGCGGTAGCACGCGCTGCAGATGCGCGGTCGCGTAGATGCCCATGGCCCCCGCCACTTCACCCACCTGCGCCACAAGGAACGTCGTCAGCTCCACGTGGGAGGTATTGGTGCCGGCGCCCAAGTGTGCCAGGCTCGCCAGCAGGCCATGTCGCAGCAGCAGCGTCAGGTACCCCTGCCGCTTGCTTTCCTCGGCCCCATGCGATGCCTGCGACGGGGTGGAGTCCGGGAGCGATTGCTGGAAGCGCGCGCGAACCAGCGAGAGGTATGCCGGGTACAGCGGCCGCAGGGTCAGGAGCGAATCTTCCTCGGGCGTGAGGGAGGGGAGGAGCATGAAGTTCGGCTTGATGGCGTCGATGAAGACGTCGGTGAGACCGGAGGGGTGGAGGATGTTGGAGTTGGCGAGCACGAGGGCGTCACTGAGGTGGTGGAGGAGTTGGAAGCCTGTGGCTTTGGAGAGTGGGGTGGTGTCGTCGATGAGGTTGAGGAGGGCGGGGGTGAGGAGGAAGATTTGTTGCTCGAGAGTGGGTTTGAGGATGGAGGCAGGGAGGGTCGGGTAGCTTTGTAGAATGGAAGTGAGGAGCGGGAGGGTGAGGGTGGAGAAGGCGAGTTTCCAGGGTTTGTCGCTGTCGTCGAGTACGAGGGTTTGGGAGTGTGGGAGTGTCACTGCTGGAGCGAAGTGGGTCTTGCGGCCGGAGGGGGCGAGGGACGGCTGTGGGTTGGCGCTGAAGAGGGGTTTGATGATTTGGGTGAGAAGCTCGCGCAGCGTGTCAAGGAGAGATGATGGTGTTGGCTTCTCTTGGTATGCATTGAGAATCCTTTGGGCTTTGTCGTGGAGGGTTGTGTTAGCTGCTGCTGACATCGGCGGGAGAGTCAGGCGCTCTATAGGGGCTGCGCGCGTTTCCTCCGGCATAGCTCGGCCCAGCAATACGGTCAATGGTCCTGCAAGGATTCTGTACAGGCTAGGTGCACACGCGATGTTGAGGCGCGGTAACTCCCGAAAAGGCAGCCTCGTCGAAAATTGCCAAGATCATGCGGAGTTATCTAGCGATATTTCCGGATGCGCTTTAGATGGATGCAGGTACACCAGATATCACGACAACTTCAGAGAAGTCAATCACAAAGCGTCTCACACTGCCTCAGTCTGTGACACCGTACCCGTACATCAAGTACATGTCTGCGTGCCTGCACAATTACCATAATGAGACTCGCATAGTAGCACAAACAAGCATGGGTCAGACCAGGAGCGACAGATCGCTATCTCGGCTGAGGTTACGCCGATGAACTGCAAAACTATATACTATAGCCCCTGAATGAATGTCTACGTGCTTCGCCGTACCAACGCTATGCGAAAGAAAATTACTATTAGTTCTCAGCGGATCGTCAAGGTCTGCTGTTCGTTCAAGAGCAGCTCATGTCGATGAGAGGATTATAGTAATAGTCGAGGACGGCAAAGGACGGGTTGTCAGCAAAGTCATCCTGTTTGAAATCGATCAGCCAGATCTGCTTGCGGCTTACGGATGCGACTTACCAGGATATACCAGAATATGTTGATGTTTGACGCAATGGAGCCACAGGCGACATCCCACCAGAACTTTTGGAGGTTGTTGACTGAGGGAAACGATGCACCAATGGTGGCACCGCTGATCGGCCAGCCAGTCTCGGTCGTCCAGACCTCTTTGCCACCGGAGACGGCAACCACCTTGTCATGTGCCTCGTAATACGCGTTCTTGGCATCGCCATTGTCGATGCTCTTGCTGTTGTGTATGTCAGCTACGGTGATCTAGAGATGGATTAGCGGAAATTACCCTTCAAAGTAAGCGTATGCATCATTGCCTATCCAGTCAACGGCATCGATGACGGCCTTGTTGGCGGGGTCTACCCAAGCTGTCCAGGTGTCGACGTGGCCGATGGTGGGAGAGGCACCGACGCTCCACAGCATGCCTCTGACATCCCAAATCTGCTGAGCAAGGAAGTCGGCATTGGTCTCTTGCCGGTAAAGGTCCTCAGAGCCAACTGAGACTGCTAGGATCCAGTCATGACCATGTTGTTGAACAGCCTGAAGCAGGGCCTGCTTCTCGTTCTCAAACTTGTTGGCGTCCTGTGTCCAAACACCAACTAGAAGCTTGGTGCCAGTCCTCAAGGCGGCTGGGACAGCGTTCTTCAAGGTGTCACAGTCTCCAGAGGCGTAGAGACGGACGTTGGGGAACCCACCCGGCAGGGTCTGTAGTCGCTCAAAGGCAAGCTGCCAGTCGTTCTCGGTCCTGCAAGCGCCAGAAGCGAGATGACCGGCCAAGTTGAAGCCCTTGAGAGCAGCGTTCACACCCGACAAAGCAGCGCCAAATGCGAGGATCGACGCGAACTTCATTTTGATCTGCAGGATAGCGTTTCGGCGGAAGTAGATCACGAGCGAAGATGTATTGAAGTGTATTATCGTTTGTAAAGAGCGACTGTAGTGAGTACTACTAATAAAGAGCGTATGCAAGGAGAGGAATGAATGTGTTGGTGTGGCGGGGAAGACGCACGGTCGAGGACATCCTACCTTTTTGAATTCTTCGGGCCTGCAAATGAAGCTGTGATGCCCCGGCCATGATTCTGAGACCTGAGGTCCCTCTTCGGAGAACTCGATCAAGGATGATGCGGCTGATGGAGACGAGAAGTGGGACGGTTGTGGATTATGAGAACGAGGTTTGTTGAAATTGGTGCCGGCCAGGCCGGCCCGACCGTCCAGGTAAGCCACAACCGCCCGTTAGATACTGATCGCCGCGCCAATTTGTGGCTTAGAAGGCTTGTTCGCTCAGCGGCGGGCCCTCCAAGATTGGACGACCAGGTTCTGGCACCGAAGTACCGCGAATTGGACTCTGGGGGTGCTTAAAATTGCCGGACGTCCCAGATGAGCTTGTGAGACCACTCTCGAATTGATGCTTGATGGTGCATCGGTGGCCATGGTAATAGAAAACTCTGCGAGCAACGATGAAGGGCACGAACAAGTCGATGACTTAGACTTGGTGCTTGACCTAACCCTAACGGCACGCGCCTGCCCAATGAGGATTAGCGCAACCATGCCAGGGGGTAACTGCCTCTTGGGATGCATCGTCGTAGTCTTGTATAGTAGTCGAGACTTGACTCGGAAGAGAATTAGTCACCTGGCACTGGACGCTGTGAGAATTCGATTGCACCGCTACTTCTGCCTGAACTCCATGAGTATTAGAACACCGGTATGGCATGGAGGCGGAGGAGGGTACTGTTGGGCTGTCTCGCAGCAGCTCTGCTCTTTCTCCTCTACCGGCTTCCGGAGGGTAAGGCTACCCTGCCAGATCCTTCCAACCGATGGATGAGAGCATTACGCGGCGACAAAGATGCCTTCCTCATCAAAATCGATGGCAGCATTGGCGACTGGGTCTCTGTTAGGGGCAGGGAAATGTACCCTGTACAGACCTATATGGAGCTCCCACACAGCTCGCGAGAGCATCCGTGGCCACATATACAGCACGACTTCGGCCACGGCTTTGACCCAGGTGCTCAGCTTGATCGGCAACAGGCTGTTCTGAATGCTTTTCGGCATTCGTGGGAGGGTTATAAGCAGTTCGCGTGGCTTGACGATGAGCTCACCCCGGTTTCTGGCGGACGCAAGGCAACCTTCTCCAGCTGGGCTGCCACTTTGGTGGACTCCCTTGATACATTGTGGATTATGGGACTCAAAGACGATTTTGTTGATGCTGTCAATGCTGTTAGTGGCATCGACTTCCATACCCCTGATAATGTCCCCATCAACGTCTTCGAGACCAATATCCGTAAGTTGTTCTATCTCTGGAAGACCTGCAGCGCGCAATTTGTGTTTGGATTGCTGATCCGGATTGTCGATCCCTGTAGGGTACCTCGGAGGCTTCCTCGGCGCGTACGATATAAGCAATGGATCATACCCCATCCTTCTCCGGAAGGCAGTGGAGGTAGCTGACATGCTACTAGGTGCCTTCGACACATACAATCGCATCCCCATCTCACATTGGCACAAGAAATACGGCGAGAAAGCTGAGCCCGAGACTACAATTGCCGAGCTCGGCTCTCTTTCTCTCGAGTTTACCCATCTCTCTCAACTAACTTACGACATGAAGTACTACGATGCTATCACTCGCATCACCGACTGTCTTGAAGCACAGCAAATGTCTACCCGCCTTCCAGGCCTCTTTCCCCAGACCGTCTCCGGTCGCGACTGTAACATGCACCGCGACTTCACCTTTTCTCTTGGTGCATTCGCCGACTCGTTCTACGAATATCTGCCAAAAATGCATCAACTCATGCACGGCGGAAATCCCAGCTACGAGACGATGTATCTGCGCTCCCTCGCCCCCATCACTGCGCACTTGCTTGCCAAGCCAATGACACCCTCCTCTGCCGACATTTTGTTCCCTCTTACCTATAAAGCAAACCAACCACATCCTGCGTCTGTTCCACAGATGCAACACCTCGCTTGCTTCGCCGGCGGCATGTTCGCCCTAGGGTCTCGCCTCTTCTCACGCCCCGCCGACCTTGACACCGCCCGCCAACTCACCCAGGGCTGCATCTGGGCGTACAACGCCACACCGACAGGGATCGCGCCCGAGCAGTTCCACTTCCTCCCCTGTCCGTCTCCCCAAGGACCCTGTCCCTGGAACGAGTCCGCCTGGAAGGAGGCGCTCTGGCAACAGAATTCGCTTGATGCGTCCCTGGCAGACCGCAAATTGCCGTTCGACGAGCGGGTCACTATGGCGGTCGAGCGCACCAGCTGTCCGAAAGGCATGACGGGATTGGGCAATAAGGGTTACCGCCTGCGGCCGGAGGCGATCGAGTCAATTTTTCTGCTGTACAGAATTACAGGCGACGAGAGCCTACGAGATGATGCTTGGCGCATGTTCCAAGCTATTGAGAAGCAGACAAGGGCGGAGTTTGGGTATTCGACTATCGATGACGTGACACTCCCGGCCGCAGTGATTGGAAACGATGAAGGAGAGGTTGATAAGACGACCGGCAGGCGGAGGGTGCATAGGAAACTGGACAGAATGGAAACGTTCTGGACGGCAGAGACGCTCAAGTACTTCTACCTGATCTTTGGGGACGCGGACGTGGCCAGTTTGGACGAATTTGTATACAACACTGAGGCGCACCCTTTTCGGCTCATGGCAACCGAGTAGACAGTGATTAGCAGGGTCGGCAGATATCCGTACCACATCCCTCCGACTTTGCTGGCTTCTTTCTCTATCTATTCGCTTGACTCACGTGCATCGGCCTTGGTACGGCATAATGGCGACTTTGTACCCCCGCCGCCGGTCCAGGGTCAAATTGGGGGTAACCCGAAGCTTCTCCAACTGCAGCACGCCAGCTCGCAGTTCTCATGCACCTGCGTCCTCCGAACAACGGCCATATCATCCCACCAGACAGATAAATTATCCGCTACGGTACATAAGCCCGACTTTCTTTTCCCTCACATGCCTCATTTCCCACGAGCAACGCCAGTCATCACCCGCACCCTCAGTACAGCCCTCAGGCCCATCTCATCAACCTCAACAACCACCCCGCACTACTGCTTCCGACGTGCCAAACCACCAACGCTGGCTGCCGCCCCCTCCCACCGCCTCCGGTCACTAGCCTCGCACATCCAAACGCGCACAATGACCTCCGCCATGGGCCAACGCCTCGCCGGCAAGACCATCGTCATCACTGGCGCCTCGAGCGGCATCGGCGAAGCCACCGCGCGCGAGTTCGCACGTACCTCCCCGGCGGACCTGCGCCTTATCCTGACGGCGCGGCGCGTCGACAATCTCAAGAAGATCGCATCGGAGATCAATGCCGAAGTTGGTGACGGTGTCAAGGTCCTGCCTGTGCAGCTTGACGTCTCAGACCCCAAGGCTGTGAGTGGGTTTGTGGGGAACTTGCCCAAGGAGTGGCAGGACATTCACGTGCTGGTCAACAATGCTGGCCTCGTCAAGGGCGTGGATAAGGTGGGGGATATCAGCGGGGCGGACATGAAGGTCATGTTTGACACGAATGTTACGGGGTTGGTGAACATGACGCAGGCTGTCTTGCCTATCTTCAAGGCGCGTGGGAGTGACGGGGGCTCGGGCGATGTTATCAATATTGGAAGCATCGCGGGGCGGGAAGGCTATCCCGGTGGCAGCATCTACTGTGCGACCAAAGCGGCAGTGCGGACGTTTACTGAGGCGATGCGCAAGGAGTTGATTGCTACACGCATCAGGGTTATCGGCATTGATCCTGGTCAGGTGGAGACCGAGTTCAGTATGGTGCGGTTTGGAGGCGACAAGAGCAAGGCGGACAAGGTCTACGAGGGCGTCGAGCCTCTGACGGGGCAGGATATCGCAGAGGTTGTGGTCTTCACCGCTGGAAGGAGGGAAAATGTCGTGATCGCGGATAGCTTGATCTTCCCCAACCATCAGGCTGCTGCTACGGTTATGCATCGGAAGACTGGTTAGAAGTGTTATAGACCTGCAGATAGTTTATGTACATGAAAGCACTATCAAGGTGTTCAGATATTCGCTAGTACGTGATGAGCTTGGTGGTCTCAATTCGAGATCGCGTGGGATAGAACAGGAGAATCCTCTGCTGGAAGATGCGGTTGTGCAAGCACACCGTAGGTCTATGTGCTTCAACATGCGAGGGTGAGAACCTTGGTGGTACAGAACTATATATAAGCTCGCAGAGGGGAGGACGACTAACGGGACGGTACAAGTTGCGTCGCGTGCAACTACCTTGTAAGCGCTACTGGGGAGCCTTGCTTGACATTTCTGCAAGGCTTGGGTCAATTGATCCTTGCGGCGGCGAAGTCGCTCGCCGCTCGCTGCAGATCAGTAGAGTGCCCTTGTTTTACCGCATATTCTTCGACATTCTAAGCTCTATGCGGACTTCAATGGCTCGCTCTGAAGCTGTCGAATCCGGTGCCGGCACTTCCTAACGTTCGACGTCGACATTCGCACCATGAGACGGCCACCAGTACCGCGGGCGCTTCAGTTTCATTCTTCAAACGAGAGGCCTTGCTGTTCAGCGCGTTATTTCCTGCAAACACGTTGAGGTTCTGTGCATTACTTCGTGTCTCTTCGGTCCCCCAGGTCCACGCCTCCAAGATGCCAGGCCTACCATGCAAGTTCCTTCCAGGCCAGAGCGCACACGACAGCTAACCCTGCGGCAGCGAGTATCGATCTCGACGAATGCATATCCCAACTTTACAAAAAGCAACTCCTCGCCGAGTCCCTCATCGAAGCGATATGCGCCAAAGCCAAAGAAATGCTGATGAAAGAGTCCAACGTCGTGCACATATCTGCGCCCGTCACTGTTGTCGGCGACATTCACGGCCAGTTCTTTGACATGCTTGAAATCTTCAAAATTGGCGGGTTCTGCCCGGACACCAACTATCTGTTCCTCGGCGACTATGTCGACCGCGGTCTCTTTAGTGTCGAGACTATCAGTCTGTTGGTGTGTCTGAAGCTGCGGTACCCCCAACGAGTACATCTCATCAGAGGCAACCATGAGAGCAGGGGCGTCACGCAGAGCTACGGCTTCTACACAGAATGTGCAAGGAAGTACGGCAACGCCAACGTGTGGCATTACTTTACAGATATGTTCGACTACTTGACGCTGAGCGTGGTCATCAATGATCAGATCTTCTGTGTGCATGGCGGGCTAAGTCCGAGCATACATTCGGTTGACCAGATCAAGATCATCGATCGCTTCCGAGAGATACCACATGAAGGGCCCATGGCTGATCTGGTCTGGTCAGATCCAGATCCAGAGAGGGACGAATTTTCGCTCTCCCCGAGGGGCGCGGGATATACATTTGGTGGTGATGTGGTCAAGAAGTTCTTACAAGTGAACAATATGGGCCATATTCTGCGGGCGCATCAACTGTGTCAGGAAGGATACCAAATATTGTACGACGACCGGCTGAGCACTGTATGGAGCGCACCAAACTACTGTTACAGATGCGGCAACTTGGCCAGCGTCCTGGAAGTTAGTGATCAAGGAGAGAGGTTCTTCAACATTTTCGATGCCGCGCCGGAGAACGATGCGCACAGAAATGAGCAGCAGCAACAGCAGCAAGCTCAGGCGCAAGGGAAAGACGGTGCCGGAACCACGATTGAATACTTCTTATGATGGGAAGGAGGTGGGTGTGCAATGTCCTAGCAAACAGCTAGACGTCGTCTTTTGTGCATATGCTGTATGAATGATACCCGATTGAATTGTTCCTGGGCACGCTCGCTTGCTTGATGTGATAATTCCATGGCAGAGGTCTTGGAAATGCCTCGATCGTGTCCAACTGATGGCGTTCCTCAGCGTTTCGGCTGCTTGTTTACTTCCAGTCTTTCGCAATGTCGAAGCTCCATTCAAACTTCAAGTGCGTCGTATCATCGTCGTCCACGAACCGAGAGATAGCATCGTAGTGACCACGGGCCATCATGCCGCTCGGGGCCTCCTCCGGGGAGAATTTCTTGGTGTGAACCGGTCGATCGGTGGTGTTGGGTGAGTAGCTGCCGATCATCTCTTGATCCTTGCCGAGAGGGATCCCTTTGCGCTTGAGCTGCTGGACATATTTGAGACCGGACAGAACTTGGTGCTGGACAACGAAGGTGGCCTTCATCTGATATGTGCAACCTTCCTTGATGGTGAAGGGTTTGGACTTGAGAGACTCGAGGGCTCCAGGGGCAGACAGGTCAATGGTGATGTCGGGACGGCCTTCTACTTCCTTCATAAAAGTTGGAGTGAGCAAGAATGAATATCATTTGCCGGGACGTTCCTTACCAGGGCCAGGGCCTTGATGATGCAGAGACGAGGGTCGTTGGGATCGCTTATGGAGTCACCCTGACCGAGACCTAGTGAGGCCTTCCATCTGTTCAGAGCCTCATCATCCTGGTCTGCATCCGTGGTTAGCCTGGCAAGCGAAGCAGATGCGGACACCCTGCAGAGCTCGCCGCAGAACACTCGCGAACGGCGTGAGAGCCGGGGAGTGCCACGAGGATACAGCAGCAAGTTGACAGCTCAGCTGGACTTACCGAGCTTCTGATACTCATCAATGGTCTTCTTCTCCCCCACCTTGAACCCCGGGGTCTTGTCAACATTCAGTTCTTCCGCCATGATGATCAACTGTGCAATTCAGGGAGTATTTGAAGGGTTGAAGGAGACCAGAACTCAGGCACTTGTGAAGTAATGTTGAAGCTACGGTAACTGAAACACAAGAATGCAACACGTTGTCGCCTACACCGATGTCTTGCCCTCACCGATCGACATTGAGGTGGGATGTTCGGAAGCAAGGTTTCCCCGGGACCGCATTCGCCCCACCTGCACTTTACGCGGTGGTGTCGTATCGCGTGGGAAGCGCGACAACTGTAGTTCTCCATATTCATCAACACTTCCACTTTCACCACTTCTCTTCGCGCCAGACCTTAAGCCATGCCGGGACGGGTACTTTCAAATCCTCAGAAGAGGGTCCTTACGGACAGCACAAATACACACAACACGCTAAAGTCGCCTCCGTCCGCGAAGAAACGAAAGCTCAATACCACTCTTCCCAACGGCAATATCCCTTCCTCTCAGAATGGCGCCGATCGCTTCAAGTCAAAGCTCGGCTCGAGTCAGCCAAAAAGCCAGTTCGAGACCGAAGTGCTGGAGAAGATGACTCAGGATATCACTGGACTCAAGGAGAAGAACGCAGAAACAGACCAAAAATGGGACCGCCCTCCACTGGACGACTTTAACGACAAGACGGATACCCTGCGCTTCCAGCAAATCGAGATTGAAGAGGGAACACTGCACGGTGGTAAAGTCACTCTCAAGATGTTTGGCGTCTCAGAGGTACGCGTTCTCTGCCCTAGACCCAGCCTTTGCTAACAGCGTCAGGCCGGCCATTCAATAATGTTACACGTAACAGACTTCCTCCATTATATCTACGTAGCGGCGCCTGTCAATTTCCAACGGTCTGATCTACAAGGATACAAGGCGTTTCTCGAGACTCAGATTGCCCAGCATCAGCCTGTGATTCAATCTGTTCAGATGGTCTTGCGAGAGAACCTATACGGCTTCCAAGGGAATCAGAAAAGCCCCTACCTGAAGATTACCGTGACAGATCCCAAATTCATCAACAGGTTGCGGACCACAATTGAGGGTGGGCTTGCAAATTACAAGAACCTGTGGAAAGGGGTTGAGGGCAAGATCCTCACGTTCGACAACATCCAGTATGTTCTACGCTTCATGATCGACACAGGTGTCACTGGTATGTCTTGGGTCGAGGTCAAAGCTGGCAACTACCACATGATCTCCGCATACGAGAGGCAATCGAATTGCCAGATCGAGGCATACTGCAATTACCATGACCTCGTTGCTCTGGGACACGACGGGGAGTGGGCAAAGATGGCTCCCTTGCGTATCTTGTCTTTCGATATCGAATGTGCTGGCCGCAAAGGAATCTTTCCTGAAGCCAACGTGGACCCCGTCATCCAAATTGCGAACGTCGTGACGAAATATGGCGACTCAAAGCCTTTCATTCGGAATGTTTTCGTCCTCGGCAAGTGCAGCCCAATTGTCAACACGCAGCTTTATGAGCACGAGGGAGACCTCATTCAGGCTGAGAAGGAGATGCTGATGGGATGGCGAGACTTCCTCGACAAGGCAGACCCAGATGTCATTATTGGCTACAACATTTCCAACTTCGACTTCCCATATCTTCTGGATCGAGCTAAGCATCTGAAACTTCAGAAATTCCCATATTGGTCGCGTATCAAGAGTGTCCAGTCTGTGGCAAAGGATACGAACTTCTCCAGCAAGCAGATGGGCAATCGCGATACGAAGGCGACGAATACTAATGGCCGCATCCAACTTGACTTGCTGCAACTTGTCCAGCGAGATCATCAGCTTCGAAGCTATACCCTCAATTCTGTCTGTGCAGAGTTCCTGGGGGAGCAGAAGGAAGACGTGCACCACAGCATGATTACCGAACTCTTCAACGGCACTCCAGACTCTAGGCGGCGTCTAGCTGTGTACTGTCTGAAAGACGCCTACCTACCGCAACGTCTCATGGACAAGTTGATGTCGTTGGTGAACTACACGGAAATGGCCAGAGTCACTGGTGTCCCCTTCAACTTCTTGCTGTCGCGAGGTCAACAAGTCAAATTCATCAGTCAAATGTTTCGAAAAGCACTTGCCCATCAACTGGTTGTTCCGAATCTGTCGAGTGATCAGTCAGAGGATCAATACGAAGGCGCCACCGTCATCGAGCCAACGCGCGGATACTATGATGTACCTGTTGCTACATTGGATTTCGCCTCCCTGTATCCTTCTATTATGCAAGCACACAACCTTTGCTATACCACGCTGCTCAACAAGAATAGCGTAGAGAAGCTGAAGCTGAAGAAAGACGAAGACTATATCGTTACTCCTAATGGCGATCTCTTCTGCACGGCGAAGGTTCGCAAAGGACTCCTCACGGAAATTCTGGAAGAACTACTTGCAGCCAGAAAACGGGCTAAGAAGGAGCTGGCTCTGGAGACAGACTCTTTCAAGAAAGCCGTGCTCAACGGTCGTCAGCTGGCTTTGAAGATCTCAGCAAATTCTGTCTATGGTTTGACGGGTGCTACCGTTGGAAAACTTCCCTGCCTTGCAATCGCTTCAAGCACGACCTCTTATGGTCGACAGATGATCGAGAAAACCAAGGCCGAGGTCGAAGCCAGATACACGATCGCCAATGGTTACTCGCATGATGCTCAGGTCATCTACGGTGATACTGATTCCGTCATGGTCAAATTCGGCGAGAAAGATCTCAAGAAGGTGATGGAGATGGGTGAGGAAGCTGCTAACTACGTCTCCGCCAAGTTCATCAAGCCGATCAAGCTCGAGTTCGAGAAGGTATATTTCCCATACCTTTTGATCAACAAGAAGCGCTATGCCGGCCTATACTGGACCAAACCCGAAAAGTACGACAAAATGGACACGAAAGGTATCGAAACCGTCCGTCGTGACAATTGCCGCCTTGTTCAGAACGTTATTGGAACGGTCTTGAACAAGATCCTTATTGACCGCGACTTGGAAGCTGCTCAAGACTATGTCAAGGAGACCATCTCAGCATTGCTGCAGAACAAGATCGATCTCAGCATGCTCGTTATCACAAAAGCCCTGACAAAGGACGACTATGCTGCCAAGCAAGCACACGTCGAGCTTGCCAACCGCATGAAGAAGCGTGATGCGGGTTCAGCGCCCGCACTTGGTGATCGTGTCGCATACGTGATCGTCAAAGGTCGTGGCGACAGCAAGAACTACGAGAAGTCCGAAGATCCGATGTTCGTGCTTGAGAACAACGTCCCAATCGATACCAAGTATTATCTCGACAATCAACTGGCCAACCCGCTAGGCCGTATCTTCGAGCCTATCCTCGGTGAGAAGAAAGCCAACTCGTTGCTCGCAGGTGACCACACACGCTCCATCTCGGTCGCTGCACCCACACTGGGCGGACTAATGAAGTTCACCAAAAAGACTCAGACCTGTATGGGCTGTAAGAAGCCGCTGGTGGGTAAAGAGGAAGCCGAAGGCGCCGTCTGCGAGAATTGCAGGCCGCGAGTCGGCGAGTTGTACACGAAGCACGTCAAGAAGGTCGGCGACCTGGAGGTGCGTTTCGGCAGGCTGTGGACGCAGTGCCAGCGCTGCCAGGGCAGTATGCACTCGGAAGTGCTGTGCAGCTCAAGAGATTGCCCGATCTTTTACATGCGCATGAAGGCTAGGAAGGAGGTCGAGGAGGCTGGGCGCGAGCTGAGCAGGTTTGATCACGATGCTGGCGCTCTCTGGTAGTGAAGGAAGGTCACATGGAACGTGGTGAGATGTAGAGCATCCTGTTTCCATCGAGCTCGGTCCGACAAGCGACGGGCGACGGGCGACGGGCGACGAGGCGTTTTCCTTGAGGCATACGAGTCCCGGGCGGCCTTTGTGTAGATAGGATGGATACCCGCGCGCCCCAGTCTTCGCGTTCAATAGAATGCGACTATTCTCGTTGATTTCCACACCCTCTACCGCGTAAGAACCTGACCACGGGAGCGGAGCTAGATGGAGGAAGCCATACAACCCTATGACAACGTGAGAGGATGAGTCCACTTGACCTGTATACACATGGACCTTGACAAGCCAAAAGCGGATTGTCTCGATGCAGGAAAGGGAGAAGAGAACGACGGGGCGTGAAAGTGAGTTCGAATTTCTTCAGTTGCATTATCTGCTCGCGCTGAAGGTAGGGGTATCTCTTTTAAAACGTCCTTTACTGTCTCTTGAAGAACGCCTAGGGTACTGGCACTTGAACCGCAACCCCTTGACCGTAACGGCCTGGGTTAATGGGTTCAAAAAGATAAATGAAAAAGCTCGTCAGTCATAGCTCATAGCTCGTGGGTGTCGCGTGTTGCCTGATTCTCGTCCTCTTGATCTTCCTCTTCTGCCCTCTTCGCAGGTTTCAGGGGGCTTCTTTTGAACCTCAACGATCAGGGTCACTGTCGTCCTCCCTTGTAGCTCTCCTCCTCCTGGCACCGACATCAACGTTTGGTCTTACGGGGCACTTGCCCTTCACATCTCTCTCGCTGTGCGGTTCAAAATGGTCGGTCTCGTCCTCAACCTCATTCCTCTTCCGCTTCCTGATCTCCTCGGACTCGCTTCTGCTCACATATCCCGCCACCCTACCATGACACATCCTCGAATTCGGTTCCTGTTGCTTGTTCCGCATCTCTTCCATCAGTCGCTGATCCACACCCCCATCAGCACCAATGTCATCCACATCCGGACTTGCTTGAGTCAAGAGCGCTGTCCTCAGGTGGCATGCGCCAATAGCAAGGGCCAAGGCATTCCAAACGTCCATGCCTGCTTCTGTAAAGGTGAAGCGTCCAAGCAAGTGAATACCGCACGTTGGGTCCGAGGTAGTGGTAGCCGCATCAGCATTGCGGGCATTGAGCGTGAAGATGCTAGCAGTAGGGCCGACGATGAGGAAGCCGATGATGACAGGCGGGTCGGCGCCCGGGGAGTCATCGTGTATCTGTCGGTCCTCCTCGGTGGGTGAGGTGGATGTGGCGTGTAGGTGAGGTGTTATAGACTTGGGCTCGCGCTTGAGTTGGCGAGGCGAGGGCGGTGGAGTGAGCGTATCGGTTGAGGGAAAGAATTGTCGGTGGTAGACCAACAAGCTGTACATATGACTAGCTAGCTCGGAAATGGCGGTCACGGTCGTTTGGCCGGCACGTCGATGTGCAATATGATGGATAGGTGTGGTTCGGTTGGTGTGGTAGAGGTCTGCGTCGGTCAACGACCAGGAGATGTAGTCTTCGAGGCCCTTTTGAATGGTGTACTGGATCCTAATAGTCTTCTGTCTCGCCTGTATCTGGTCGCGAACTTTGTGGCCGACCTCGATCAGTTCGCGAAGGGCACGAATGGCATGAAATTGGGGAGAGAACATGTTCGTGATCAGAGGCACATCTTCAAGATCGCCATGAAAGAGAATCAGTGGGAAGGTTTTGAAGTCAACCATCCAGGCGGCTGGCAGTAGAGGCTCTGTACCTCGAAGACCGAGATGGTAGTACAGCCCTGCCTCGGATTGGTACCAAAAGCCGGAGTCGGGGTGAATTCTGAAGGCTTCTGCATGACGACGGGCACGCTCCATCTGTTCGGCATCTTGCAAGCCGACAAGTTTCGAGGCACGAGAGGCACCGGTGATTATGGTGCGTGCATCCGCTTCGCTGTTGTTGGTAGACGGTCGAATGAAACGGCGCATGCTTGGGGCTTGACTGCGGCCAGAAGGTGGTGGCATGCGCATATGATCTCTGTCAGCGAAGTCTGCATGATGGTATGCGTGCATATTGCCTTTGTGAGACGGAGAGGTCTGGTTTGGCGAAGGTAGCGGGCGTCCTTTGTCAGGCTGCAGCCAGTGCTGTTCCTGGGGTTTCGAACCGGTATGTCCCTGTCCATGGCTGTGTTCTCGGTTGCCTCTGTGGTTGCCACGAAGCGCAGCATTGCGGCGGTCATCGTCGGTACCTTCCCATCTCGTTCGCTCATCCGGATCATCGCACCAGGCTTGATATTCACGGGGGTTCAAAAAAGGTAGGTGGTCGTTCTGCCCAGGCTGCTCATCGCCGGTGACGTAGCGAACGAGACGCTTGACAAGGACGAACATGGTCACCGGAGGATATCTGCAGCAGGTAATGGAAGGCGCCAGTGGGAGCGCAAGGCAACTGCTAGCCTGTCAGCAGTCTGTGGGACCGCCTGCGATGGGGGAAAACGCTCGTGCTGTGCAGAGAGCGTGCAGGTGTCGCGCTGTGTCGCTGGTCGAAGTTGCGAGGTTTAGGCAGACGATTTAAAGACATGGTAGGACGACTAATTCACGCGCGAGATCAGAGACCGGCTCGGACGACCAAATGACGACGGTGAATAATGTACAGCAGGATGAATTAGTGACTGGTGGATGCGGCAGCCTGCGAGCGATTGAGCACCGGCAACTTGTGAAACAAGGCAGACGCGACGGCGGACGCGGTGCTCAAAAAGTGGACTCCACCAAACTGGGAAGGAGATCATCACAGGCATACTTCCTTTCCGATCAACATGGACTCACTGTTCCTCACGATTCAGGCGGCGAACCTGATCCGCTATTAGGGTAACAGGTCTTCGTTGCAGCTACAATAACCTCCTGCTGGCCTCTGATGCACGCTTCGAAGCCAGCATGGACGCAGCGGAGGCAGACTTCGATGCCAAGCTCTACAAGGCCTCAGGAGACATCATTCCCGAACTGCAGTTCAAGCTGCCATTGCTAATATGGCACGAGGGAGATCGACAGAGACTACGGACGCATGTACTGTATACAAAGTGTGAAGAGTTGAGAATCCTCGTGAGCGCCAGACCACGTTTCCCGAACCCGGCTTGCAGCTAACATTTACATCCAGCTTGACCGCTTTCAGGAATGGCCACAATTGCTCGACCCTGTCTTAGCCCCAATGGTTCAATGCGTCGTCGATGCCTTTCTATCCTACATCACCACAGTCCCGGAGACATACGGATATCAGCCGGATGAGTCGAAAGCTCAAGTCATTCCACTACCACTAGCCCTCAGTCGTCTGCTGTACACATTCTGCAAGGTGCGAGGCTACAAGGTTATCGTCCGTCTGCTAAGCAATGAGCCGCGCTATGTTGAGCCCATGCTGTCAGCGTTCCGCCAATGGGAGACTTTCCGGGCACGGTCTGCTTCGGTGAGCGCGGTATGGGAGGAGAAGTATATTGTACTTCTGTGGCTCTCCCACCTCATGCTCGCTCCCTTTGAGTTGTCGACTCTCTCTACTTTCAATCGACCAGTTTTGTCCCAAGACTTGGGAGTAATATCACAGGGGCTGCCGGATGTCGCAGTCGACGTCCTGTCTCTTGGCTTCCAGAATGTCAGCAGTCCGAGCAAGGAGCGCGAGTCTGCGGTCATCTTGCTAGTGAGACTGGCCCTGCGCCGTGACATGCAGTCTCTCGGACTAGCTGAAAAGCTGGTAAAGCATGCCGTAAAAAAGCTGACAGAGCCACCCGAGGAGAGAAGCGCTTCGGTCTATCCTGCCATTGGCCAGCTATCTCTGTTGTATGCCCTTATGAATCTGGGTACCGACTCTGAGGTGGCCCCATTCCTAGCAACGGTCTTCCAAGCAAGTAATCTTCTCGCAACCTCACCGCTGGAGCATCACGCCAGTGTGCGAGGATCTGCACCGGCAAGAAAGCTTCTCGCCAAAATTACACGAGTCTGTCTGACTCATGCAATCGCACTAAAGAACAATGTTCCTGACCTCAACGATGACAGCGTTAACGCAATGCTAGAGGATGGAATTCAGAATTACCTTGACGCTTTGGGCGATATGGATACTCCCGTGCGCATGTCGGCGAGTAAAGCCCTGAGCATTGTCGCTCTGAAGCTCAATAACGACATGGCAGCGGAGATTGTGGAAGCAGTGTTGGCCAGCCTCTCGGAGAATATTTTGCTGGAGGACACAGCTACAACCCGCCTGATAGCAAAGACGGAGCGTCCAGAGGAAGATACATCTGGTATGAGGCGTAATGTCAGTGCTGTTGATCCTCTGAGATGGCACGGGCTTATGCTCACTCTTGGACACCTGCTCTTTCGTCGTTCACCGCCGCCCCATCTCCTCGCGGACATCATCGAAGCACTGCTTTTGGGCCTCGAGTTTGAACAGCGATCCAACGTCGGAACGTCCGTGGGTAATGGTGTGCGCGATGCCGCCTGCTTCGGCATCTGGGCACTGTCCCGAAAATATGGAACACAGGAGCTGGAAACCATCAAGATTGGACACATTGCGGGAACGGCTGTCGATATCTTTGAAGCATCGCAGAGTGCTCTCCAGCTTATATCAGTCCGCTTGATGCTATCCGCGTGCTTCGATCCCTCGAGCAATATCCGTCGTGGCTCATCCGCTGCATTGCAAGAACTAATTGGCCGTCACCCTGACACCATCATCGAAGGCATTCCAGTCGTTCAGGCCGTTGATTATCAGGCGGTCGCACGCAGATCGAGGGCAATGACCAGCGTCGCAATAGATGCAGCAGCTCTCGACATGATATATCATGAAGCACTTCTACGAGCACTTCTGGACTGGCGAGGAGCAAAAGCAGCCGATCCCGATTCCCGGCGGTGGACCAGCATCGCCATGGCGAAACTGAACACCACAACCTCAGCTTCGCAGAAAGAAGGCCTCCTGAGGCAGATGTTGAAGAGTCTCACAGCATTGAAGCCCAGAAACCTTGGAGCTACCGCAGGAGCTCGGCACGGGCTCTTACTCAGTATGGCTGCGATCATTGATTCTGTGCCGGATTTCGGCTCCCCTGACTATCAGAGGGTGAAAGCAATGCTCACGACTATCCACCTATCGATCGTGACCGGCAACTTGGAAGGTCGCACTACGAACGACATGGAGCTTGTGATCGAAGCCATCGGGAAATTTATTGACGCTCTAGCGCGCTCTGTGCTATCTGAGCCGGTGAATGCCGACTCTTCCCCCACCACACAGGAAATGCTCGGTATACTCAATCACTGCATCCTCGTGTGCATCAAGCCGCAGACGGTGAAGACCTGTGCACCGGCCGTATCCTCCTTGTTCGAAAAGCTCGCTACTGGCAACAGGAAGAGTCTGCTGAGCTCCTGGCTCGAGACGGATACCCAAAAGAGGAGTGAGATGGTCTGCAAAGGGCGTCTGACCTCGCTGGCGCAAGTCCATTCGCTTGCTGATAATGTTCCGCGTGAGCAGAAGAGCATCGTTGAGTTCTTTGTGGACGTCGTGGCTGGCAGCGACGCTATCGAGACCAGAACAACAGCAATGAACTGTCTGTCCACCTTGATTGAGCGATGTACGGTCATGCAGTTTGAGAGCCTCGATTTTCCAATTCTCGGTAAAGCCTTGGTTGCCGGGCTCAATGATTACACGAACGACCAGAGAGGCGATATTGGTTCGCTGCTCCGACTTGCCAGCATTGACGCCGTCGAGGTCCTTTGCAATAGACCCGGCCATCCAGCGCGTCTGCAGATGCTTCAAAAGCTTATTCCATACATTACCCGTCTTGCAGCAGAGAAGCTCAATAAAGTAAGACATCGAGCTTGGAGCTGTCTGCAGCTGGGCTGGTCCACACTCGGCCTGAAGCCAGAACTGGACGGCTCGTCCGCGCACCTGGCAGACATCTCAAGTCTAGGCTACTTCCAAGCGCTTGTGCCGTTGCTGAAGAACGCCGACGTGCAGCGACAGCTCGTGCTCGGGTTAGCGTCTTCTGCGGCAGGTACCACGGAAGAGATTGGTCGATCCTGCTGCTCTGCTCTCGCTGCATTTATAATGCAGCACTCGAAGGAAGCGCAACAGCGACTCTGCAGAGAAGTCTTCCTGTCCGTACTCGCAATCCTGAAAGACGGTACTTCCAAGGCTGACCACGAGACGATTCCAATGCTCGACTTCCTGGCTTTCCTGATTGAGCAGGACTTTATTTCGCTCAATGCGCTCCACGATGGCGACGCGGGTATGCTGTGGGATGTTGTTCAGCAAGTCCATACACCTACGGCGAGCATGGAGCGGGTAGAAGCGTTGATGAGGGTGTATCGGGTGATTCTAGTCTTCCCGCAGCTCCGGACCAAGGCGCTGGACAAGCTGACCCGGCAGCTTCTGCACCGGTACCCGAAAATCCGCAATGCGGCTGCTGATTCTCTCTATCTGGAGTCTAGTGATAGTCAGTTGGTCAAGGCGGACTGGAATGCGGCTGCCGCGACGAACAAGCCGGTGGTGCTGGAGCTGCGGAAGAGCTTTGGAGTTGCCAAACCGGCTCAGAAGGCCGTGGTGTCGTCGAATTAGATCAGATAGACAGGCTACTAGGTGTCGATAGCGTTTGACTTCAGGCATCTCGACACCGCCTCCTTGATGGCCTTTTCATTGAATTCCTCCCAGACTTGATACAAGCTGATGATCTCCTGAGTGCCATCGATCATTTGCTTCAGATCAATGTCTGATTCGACAAGAAATTTGATCGTATTGGTGAATTTCTCCGACTGCTGAATGACGGCCATGGTCTGCGCGCGGTCGGGCGTAATGAGTCGAGGAGGCTCGCTCGCTCCAGGACGACCAGCGCCATTAGTCTGGCTTTGGTTCGCTGATGCAGCCGTCGTAGGCGGGTTCATTGGGAGTCCGTGCATCGCGCTTCCGAGGACACCAGCCAGGCCGGGTCTTCCGCCCATGGACGAGAATGAGTTGCCGTCCACGCCCATGAGCGAGTCCTGGCCGGGGGGCCTGGCCGCATTGCTTCTCGTGTAAGGATAGAAGACCACAGCAAGAAACATGGCAATCACCGCTATCAGATGTGGTGCACAGGTAAGCGGGAGGTCGGTCATGTAGCTGTCGTTGATGATGCACCACGCCAAGCCCAGTTCGTCGCTGGTGAGCTTCAGGTCTTGGTTGTCTTTAAGGTCGATCAGTGTTCTGTAGGGGTGCCACACGATGAGCTGGGAACGCATCTCTGAGATCAAGCAGAATTCCATCTCGCCCAATCTCGACACATCGCCAGGCACGAACTCGGGCCAAGCCTGACGCGCTTCGGACGCCACGATGCGGATGTGGTGAGGCGATTCTTCCGTTTTGGAGGCCAGGTAGAACGCGGTGGCCGTCAGGAGATATAGGTTGACGTTCTGCATCGGTGTCGATAGAAAGTACCGATGCATGTAGACGAGGGCCGTCGCCACGCACTGTTGCCGGAACGGTAGCCGTTTGGCTAGTTGCAGCAGGCGGTCCCGCAGGAAGATGAACATCAACCGCCGGTCGGCATAGGGGTGCTGATGTACGAGTTGTGCGTGTGGCTTCTCGACCTCATCACGGATGCTGGCAAGCTTGTCCCTGCTGAAGCTCCAGGAGGTTTTCTGTGTCGAGGACCAGTAGTTGGCGGCCATACTTGACGTCGGTAGCCCTCTTCCGGCTTTCGGGGCCTCATTCACCTACCTTACAGGAAAGGCATTACCAGGACGTGACTGCTGCTTGACAACATGGTCTCAGCGGCATGTTGTGAATGTGTTGTGCATGGAACAATAGACACCCACTCAATCCTCACAGAGGAACACCCGTCGGTGGGCGTCAAAATAGGCGCGACAGTTAGGCGCGAGTGGATGCCCACTACGTCATTAGCCCACTGGCAGCCGACCCCAAGCTTCACAGGTCACAGATCGACTTCCACCCACCCGACGGCTACCACTCTCTGCACACACTGAATGCCTCTGAACACCTGCACAAGTCTTCCGTCACGGCAGTTCCGCGATCACCTTATCTCTCTTCTCTTCACTAGTCGCGCCAACAAAGTGGCAGCCCTCTAGCGCGTTCGCTGAAGTTACCACCTGGCTTGCGGCCAGGCTGAGCGCAACTGGTCCGCCATGAACCCACACAGATAAGAACGTCTCTACCGACCTGGGAGCATGGACGGAGAGTCACGAGAGTCCCGCGAGAAGCGGATTCAAGAGCTATGGCAGAAACTCGACACCAGCTCTGCGGGGCAGATTGATTTGACCGGCCTGAAGAAGGGATTGAAGAAACTCGACCATCCACTCAAAAACGCCGATGACCTGCTGCACGATGTCCTGAAAGCAGTTGACACCTCTGGCGACGGGCGGATACAGTTCAACGAATTCCTGGTCTTTGTTGAACATGCCGAGAGAGAGCTGTGGCAGTTGTTCGAGAGCATCGATCGAGACAACAGTGGTGCTCTGGACAAGGAAGAGCTTCGGACAGCCTTCCAGAGAGCTGGGCTTACAATCAGTTCTTCCAAGCTCGACCAATTCTTCGACGAAGTCGACACGAATCATGATGGCGAAATCAGCTTCGAGGAGTGGAGGTAGGCTGGCTTTCCCCAGATTCCCGCTTCCGGGCGACGACTAAAATGCTCTGCAGAAACTTCCTGCTATTCATCCCAGCAGGCGTGCCAAATCTGCGAGCTGTGTTATCGTATTATTCGGCTACCGCAAGCGTGAATCAAGAGGGCGACGTAAACATCAACGACACACTTCAAGGATTCGGTAAGCTGTCCCGTTGTTCCCATTCACTTCTCTTTCCACGTTACCCTTCCATTCACCTTCGCTGTGCCCTTATCGTTCTGCCGGCATGAACCCACGGCGGTGACGCAGGCGGCGAGGAACCTGGTATGAAATCGAGTCGAAACTTCGCAACGATGACAGCTGCCGCACTGCACCACCCACTTCGACTGAAGAGGCGAAATGATCGAGGAAACCGATAGTCACTGCATTTGCAAGGCAACAGTTGTTCACCATGCCCACCTTCACAATCAAGATCGAGCCCAGAGCTCTCCTTTCCTTTCTCGCAGGGGTCAGCTTCGCCAACGTCACCAACAACATTCACGTCAACTACAAATCAACCATGGTCGTCCACGGTCCACTTACGTCGCCTCCAGTCCCGCCTCGCTCTCCTCCCAGAGACTTCTGATCTGTCATCTTTCCCGGCGACCCAAAGTCTTCTCGCGACTGGGTGGAGCGCATGCTCGAGGTGCCAGTCAACTAGAGCATAACAGCAGCCAACATCACCGCTCTCAAGAAACGAGACCATGAATGATGGGGAGAAGAAAGAATGAGGAATCAGACTTGAGACTGTTGCTTTTGCCACGCTTCACATTTTCTAATCATTGCTCATCGTTAATAACGTACTAACAGGGGGCCTTTTCCCTGTCGAATTAGGCTACTTCATTGCTGGCGGCCTTGCTGGTATGATTTCTCGAACAGCTACAGCTCCTCTCGACCGTTTGAAGGTCTACCTGATCGCACAAACTTCGACAAAAGAAGCTGCTGTCGAGGCCGCAGCCAAGGGCGCGCCTATCAGCGCGATTCGACACTTTGGTCGCCCGCTCATAGACGCATGCAAAGACTTATGGGCCGCGGGGGGCATCAGAAGCTTGTTTGCTGGTAATGGACTGAATGTCATCAAGGTCATGCCTGAGTCAGCCATCAAGTTTGGCGCCTACGAGGCTGCAAAGCGAGCATTTGCTCGGTTGGATGGCTCAGATCCAAAGCATCTGCACCCAACAGCACAATTCATGGCGGGTGGTATAGGTGGGGTTGTATCCCAGTGCATTGTTTACCCGCTCGACACACTCAAATTGTGCGGTCCATGGCCCTCTCGAAGGGTGCAATATGCTGACGCAGCTTTACAGTCGAATGCAATGCGAAACAGTCCAAGGAGGCATGCGAGGCAATACTTTGATAAAACACACGGCGGTGAAGATGTGGAAACAGGGCAAAATCATGCCATTTTACCGTAAGTCCTGTCCTTTCCTACTCAAGATAAGGGCGCCAGCGAGCAGCGAGCAGCGAGCAGTGGACCACGATCTGGTCCTGGTTCAGCGAAACGTCGCTGTATATACTGTCTCACACATCCGTCTCCTGCACTCGAGTCGATGATCTTACTGCCGTTTACCCCCAAGTTCTGACAAGCTTTTCATAGGCGGCCTCGGCATGGGACTCGCCGGCATGTTTCCCTACAGCGCCATCGACCTCTTCATCTTCGAAACCTCCAAGAACCTCTACCTCGCCTCACTGGCCCGCCGATATCGCTGCCACGAAGAGGACGTACACATGTCGAATCTCGTGACGGCTTCCATCGGCGCCGCTTCCGGGGCCGTCTCCGCCACCGTTGTCTACCCCGTCAACCTATTACGCACGCGCCTCCAAGCCCAAGGAACCGTCTTACATCGGGCGACGTACACGGGCATCGCGGACGTGACGCGCAAGACAATCCGCAACGAGGGCTGGAGGGGCCTGTTCAAAGGCGTCACGCCCAACCTGCTCAAGGTCGCACCGGCCGTGAGCATCAGTTATGTCGTTTATGAGAATTGTAAGGCGTTGATGGATTTGCACTAGATGGAATTTGACCAGAACACATTTTGGATCTCCGGTGCCTTTGGAGCGAAGGCTGCACTGCACGGAATGACTGCAGTCGCAGCAGGACAGCGATCGATGGCCGAGCGGCTCACAACGCGAGTCTTTTCCCACAGATGTGGCACCACAGACAGAAGCCACGGATGGCACTGGGAGATAAAAGGGGAAGAGAAACATGACTGTTGACGCTGGGATCACGAACCACCCCCGTCAGTACCCGGGCTGGCAGGCTGGCAAACAGGCAAACGGACAGACAGACAGGCTTGCAAGTCCTGGATGTAGATACATACATACCACCAAAAGACTGCTATAACACTTTTTCTTGGTAGCTGCTCTTCACATTACGCCTTGCCTCCGTACCGGTGATGGCCGCGCTCGACCCTGCCCCGCCCCAGCCTGCCGTCGAGAGTGTCGGGCAACTACTGGGCGGCCAGAAAAAGTAATGCGAACGCAAGGAGGGCAAAGTTGGAGAGCACGCTCGGGAGGGCGAACACCCCAATGAGTGCCACTCCGTGGATGTCGTGTAGTGTAGTGGCGACAAGTGAGAATGGATGGAGACGGAATGAGAATGAGACGTTGGATCGTCGCTCTGTCTGTCTGTCGTGGCATGGTAAGTCGCTACGCACTTGCAGCTACCTCGTCGGTATGTATGCACATATGGCATTTCTCGGTTCTTTCTTCTTCAAAAAAGCTTTCAATCTTGTGTTCGTTGTTCGTGCTCCGGTCTAGTACTACTAGGGCCGTTCATTGTCTCTCTCACACTCATTACATCTTCTTCTTCGTTTTGCCTGTTTTGCCCGTTATGACCGATTGTCCTCATCCTTGTCTCTCATTGTGCGCGTATGGGAACTCAGACGGTCTGCTTTATCTGGCTGGCCCTTTGCTCGCCCATCTCGCTCTTCTTGTCTGTTTCAACAGTGAGCCCAAGGCTACGACGACGTTCAATGTCAAGATCGACGTAAACGTCACAAACCGCTTCCCGCCTCCCGCCTCCTGCCTCCATGCCCCAATGCCGGCCGATCCAATGACCAGTGCCTATTCCGGGTACCTGATATTTGCAAGGGGTTTGGGGTATCATTGGTTTCCTTCCTGTGTGCCCCTAGGTTGTGTTCCGTCCGGGTTGGTCTTCTAGTTACCCACCGATGAGCCGCCGTTGTCCAAAATGTTGTGAACTTGATGAAACAGCCACACCCTTCCCGCACTTGGCTCTTTGTTGCGGCGCTCGGCGTCGAGAGTCCAGACCTTATTTGATCACTCAAATATCATCGATCGAGTATGAGAACCCGCGGAACTCCTCTTGGTGTGCCGGGCTCAAAACTACCAATCATGTTAGTGACACATTCAGACCTAAGGAAGGGGTTCTGCTTACCACTCTGTACAGGCGTCAAGACCGGCGTGACACTGGTGAACTCTGAATCAAAGTTACTCGTATCCTTCGCGTCCTTGATGGCGGGTTTGAACGGCGTCGGCAGACGCTTGTGATAGACATCATCCCAATTGACGCCTTTGAAGAAAGCGTGTGACATGATCTCCTGAGCGTCTCCGGGGCCGCTACCAAGACGAAGATCCGGCTCTCTCGTTAGCAACTTCTGCAGTATCGACACACTGTCCCTAGGCATGTGGATTGGGTACAACGGCTCATCGGCCAGGATGGCATCGTAGATTTCGTCCTCATCCTCTCCGCGGAACGGACTCTGCTGCAACAGCATCTGGTAGATCAATACTCCGAAAGCCCACCAGTCGACAGCGCGGCCATACTTCTTGTCCAATAGAATCTCCGGAGCCATGAATTCCGGCGTGCCGCAGAAAGTGCTGGTCGTAGACCCGAACCACATATTCTCCTTACACAGCCCATAATCCGCAATCTTGATATGCCCGTCAAGAGTGAGGAGAATATTGTCGAGTTTCAAGTCACGATAGATGACTCCATTCTCGTGAAAGTATTTGAGCGCGAGGCACACCTCGGCGGCGTAAAATTGCGCGCGCTTGAGCCCAAACTGACCACGCTGGATGTGCAGCATGAGATCACCACCGGAAATATACTCCATGACAAAGTAGACGCGAGTCTCGGTCTGGAAGCAGGCATGCAGGTTAAGGAGGAAGGGGTGACGTTCCTTGTTGGCAATGAGGAAGACGCGCTTCTCCGACTTAGTAGACTCAACTTCGTCGTTTTCGATGATGAACTCTTTCTTCAGTACTTTGATGGCGTAGAGCTTTTTGGAGTTCTTGGCTTCAGCAAGCATGACCTTACCAAAGTTACCCTTTCCGAGCACGGCAAGGAAGTTGAAATGGTCGAGCCCAATACGTGGGCCTGGGCCGCGACCAGTAGGCAGTCCTTGTTGGTCCTTGCGAGCGACTTGTTGGGATGGAGGTTGCTTGACAGGTGAAGTGGGATACTGTTGAGGTGGCTGATGCTGTTGAGGCGGTGGCTGCTGTGGTCTTTGCTGGGGTGGCTGTTGATGCTGCTGCGGGGGTGTATGCGGCGTCAGTGGAGCTGCTTGTTGCTGCATCTGCTGCTGTTGCGCTTGCTGTTGAGACCTTGTATAATGGTCATACGCACGTGGATCATACGAGGCATGTGCGGGGGGAGGATTGGCTTCCGCTGCAGGTGGACGAGCGTTGGCATATCGGTCCTGTGGCCTGGTTGGACCATAGTCAGAGGCGGTTCTGTCGTATGGTTGAGAGGTAGGACGCATGCCACTTGCAGCCGCGGCCGCCTGTACAGCAGCAGCCGAGGTGGTTCGGACCTGTGGCGGTCGCTCCTGGGGTCGTGGTTGTTGTGCGCCTGGTGGCTGACTGTAAATGTTTTGCGCGGCACTTACCGCTGCCACGGAAGGAGGCTGGTCGTACTGCTGAGTCTGTTGAGGGGATAGGGTAGTTGACTCTGAATTGAAGCTCTGAGTCGGTGACTGTGGGCCAGGCCTGCCAGACTGTGGTCGTAAAGTCCGTCCGCTCATGCCCGAGCTAACAGAGGAGGTTTTGTTGTGGTTCTTGGTACGTTGAATAGTCTCCAGAATCTCATTAGCCACAATCATAGACATACCGCAGAAATCAGGAACAAGATGCTGGCATCCTGCGTGACATGTCAAACCACACTCTGTGCACTTCTTCGCATTTTTGCGACCAAGAGGAAGCAGGTAACCACAGTGGCAGCACCAGTTAGCACCAATGTTGGAGAAGTTATCGAAGCGATGAGGGATACGATGGTTGATCTTCTCCTCGTCCGGATCCGTCTCGTAGTTGGCCTTGCTAATGCACTTCGTGACGACTTTCGGGTAGCACTTGGTATGGCAGGTATACTTGCAGTCTGTGCACTGCATACCAGCGGAATACTTAAGGAAGTCGCCGCATAGCGCACAGCGCATGACGTTGTAGAACTGTTGCTTGACAAACTTGTGGCCTTGTTTCTCCACAACCTCTTCCTTCTTCTGGCGCACAGCACCTTGACGGTTAAGTCCCAAATCGTACGGCCGTCGGCCACCGGTCTGCTTTTGGAAGCTCATGGTCAAGTGGATTCTACCCGCGGGCTCCAAGGAAAACCAAGAGTCAATGTACACAGCAGGTGGCTGAGGAGGCTGCTGAGGAATGCCAGACATAGTCCCAGCAGCGGCTCCATCGCCTGGAGGCATGAACGGCGATGCGGGCGGAGGTTGAAACTCTGGAACCGGCTTGCCGCCAGGACCCATTCCGCCGCCGCCGTTGGACATCTTGTCTGCTGAAACCCAGCCTTGCTGTTGGAATTCAGATTCAATCTTTTTGCGACGCATCTCTTCCGCAATATCGGAAATTCTGATCCACAAGAATCCAATCGGAATGGGCCTATCGCCAGATTTGTCGTACACGGTCAGCTCAATCTCATTGGCTTTGTCGATATCGACATTGAAGGTCTCCTCTGTCCAGCGGTCGGTGCGAGTCGCTCTCGTCTTTGCACGAACATTGTCCTCAACCTTCATGATAACAAAAGTTTCGGGTCCACGAGAGAATCGGGAAGTGGAGGCATGGTCAACGTCTTTGATCGCATGGATGCGCATCTCAAGGAGACCTGTGAGTGGTTTTCTCATGTTGGGTGCATTAAGGCTGTCGTCATCACCTCCATCTGCAGAGTCAATGTCTACGTGCAGATCGGTGTACTTCTTCAGAGCTTGCTTGAGGAGCTGGACCTTCTGGTTGCTTTCGATTCGTCGGCCCTCGGCATCTGATCTGCTCTTACGATCTCCCTCATCCTGATACAAGCGGACCATTTTTTCGATACCGGCTTTATACTGCTTTTCGACCGACAGCTTGAATTCCAGTTGGGACAGCATCTGCTGAATCTTCGGCCCAAGGTATGGCGTATCATATTTGATCAGGTCTGGACGTGTGTTAGTAATACTTCTTCACTGTACAGCGCATGACTGACCTAGCTTAGAGAAATTTGGACGAGGCTTTGGAATGGGAGCGTTCTGGCGGGGATCCCCATACGGTGCTCTTGGAGGCATCATGCCAGTATTGCCTTGACTGTAGCCTCCGGGGCCAGGGTCGCCATAGTCGCCTCTGTCGCTGGGGTAGAGATGAGGGTCTTTGGGTGGCGGAGGAGGACCACTACCGGCGGGCCCTCTACCTCCATGAGCAGGTGGGGGAGGGGCGCCGTCGTTGTCTCTGCCCATTTTTCGGAGCTGCAGTTCTTCCAGCTTCTCTTCTAGATAGCCGATATTTCTTCTGGAATCTCGGATGTTGCTGTCCACACGGGCTTGCACGGCAGTATTGTTGGTGGACTGGCGCATGTGGCTGGCGGCATTGATAAGAGCCTTTTCGCGCTCGATCTTGCGGTAGACTTCATTGATGGCATTGTCGTTGTCCGCCATGGCTGCGGCTGCTGGAGGGTGTCACCCCTCACGAGAAAGATTTTTACACCGAAGCCTGGCTGTGTCGGAAGGTGGAAGATCGCGGTCGGACGCGGGTTGGCGGTGGGGTATGAATCTAGGTATGGGCTCAAGCGAGCGGGCAGCGAATGCGCATTTGGCAGCGCGTGCGGGGCGGGCAAAGCGTTCGAAGAGGCAGCAGAGGGCAGTTTCGTCGCCCCGCTGATGGAATGAGAGTATTGCTCGGGAAAAATGAAGTTATGGTAGGAGGCAGCAAAGATAACTAGATGGAGGGATGTGGTTCCAAGAATGATGGCAGAATGGAAGTGCCCCAGGTTCCCGACCCACATGCGTCAGGCACTGACAGGGTCTGTTGGTCGTGCTGAGCAGCCCGGCGCCACTCGTCAATGGCCCTCGCCACCGCTAGGACAATGATAGTGGAATGATGCTGTGATAGGGTGGAAGGTGCGAGAAGCCAGTGGTGTTGATGATTGTTACGGCAATGTCGTACGAGGAAAGAGGAGTCAGCATGCGGTCCTACCACTGCAGTAAGTTGATGGTTGAGTGTTGTGAGGGGGATTGTTGACAATGAGAGGCCCCAACCAATGCCAGAACGGCACTGGGCGGCTTTTCACTCGTTCCGTCATCTTATAACATTTGTGCGTTCACCATAATCCAGCTCGTCTGTAACTGATTCTCTAGCGGGCCGGTTGTGGGACCAGCTATTCGTATCTACGTATAGACCAAGTGCTTTTGCTGCACGAGTCGTTCCCAGCTGCCTTGTCCCCGACCTCGACTGTCGCAAGAGTGCAATGGCTGCACATGCGACACGCGACCTTGACTTCCTTCTTCCTCGGCTTATCCGGTCAACCCACAAACCAGGCTCTGGTATATCATTCGACGCCGCCTTGTGGTTCGCTCCACACAGATTCCGACATTGGGTATTGCCACAGACCTGCTTCCCTTTTTCTCCTGATCGTCCAAGTAGGGCAGCTATTGCGCGAGGAGTACTCCGTCTCATCCCTCTCCTATTGGCGCTGAAGTCATTACGCCCCTGCCGAAGAACTCACTCACTGTCCCGAATCTATTCGTACTTCGGCCCAATGCTGCCTTGAAGAGTTCATGCTGCTCTGTGCTTTCCACCTGCTGTCGTCTAATTGCCTTGATGGTGTCGTTGCCCGGCTTGCACAATGGGCATTCTGCTCTGTCATCCTCGTCCTGTCCAGAACCGCTCTTGTTTAGGCATTCTTGATGGAATGAATGGCGGCACAGAAAGTGAACAGTTGGCAGCGTCAGGTTTCGAGTGCATGCTGAACACCGTCGGGCCTGAAATACTGCGGGCTTACTGCCGAGGTCCTCGATCTCACTTCTTTTTGATTCGGTCTCTTTCCGGTATGACTCGACCAGTCGTCGATTGGCTTGGATCTCCTTCCTCTCTCGGGCAATGTTGTCGGAGAGATAGTCTTTGACCATACCCATGTTGACTGCTCCTCCCTGAGACAGAATCTTGACGACTTGCAATGGGGCTAGGAGGTTTTCCTGGTCAATCCTCCGGAGCACATTCTGCAGCTCTTCTCGGACACCATGCTCCTCCAGGATCTTTGGTGATGAGGAGAAGTAGGTCAGAGCCAGCGGATACAAGCTGAGGTCTTCTGGCCCGTACTTTCTCAGCGCAGAAACGGCACCTTCAGTATCTTTGGCTGACGTGTACGACCGAAAAATATCAGCATACATGCTCGATCGTTCGCGAACCAACGTGGTCCCAGCTGGAAATTTAGATAGCGATGACAGCAACAGCACATTGGATGTGTCAATAGCCGACTCCTTCGATTGTGATCCTGCGAGGTCTCCAGCAATGAACTTCGTCGCTTTGGCTTCCAAGGCTGCTTGCTTGCTTGCATCTTTGGCAGATCGCGAAGCATCGAGATACATCTCAAACAACGTTGTTGCCAGATCCGCTCGATCCTCTTTTGAGAGATCAGGCTGTGCTATCAGAGCCTCCAAGAAAGTGATGAAGTAATTTGGATGCGTAATGAAAGACGAGAACGCCGTACGAGGCCGTGGTGGCGTATATGTCGGTACAGGCGTGCTTGTCACGCCATCCGATCCCTCGGCGGTGTCTGTGACCTCTTGAGCTACAACTGTTTCTGCAGTGTCCTGCCGAGTCATGAAGGGCACGGTCCACAACGCAGAGAGGTATTGCGATGCACCACCTCCACTCTGGGCTCGGACTTCCTCAACAGCTGGCACGTCCTGTTTGGGGACGTAGCGACCAGTGTAGTAGTCGACAAAGAGCTTGGTCGTCTCCTCAGGACAATGCTGCAACAGGCTGCGCGCATACTTTAGGAGCACCGGATAGGCCAATTCAGCCGACAGCCGCCAGATGTACTGCAGCGCCTCCGCATATTTCTTCGAATCTTCGATCAAGATGTCGATCACCAGCTCATTTTCACCATGCTTGGTAGCCAGATATGCTGCTTGATCGTAGTAGCCACCTTGTCGACACATTGCGATTGCTGTGTCCAAGTCAAATTTGAGATCTCCTGGAGTACGAATGAAGGCATCGAGTTTCTCCGTGTCTTTGAGCTTAGCATAGCAGTTAAGCAGCAAGGTCGTGTGGTCAGCTGTCGCTTTATCATGCTCGTGTAGCTCCTCCAAGTAGTCTACCAGGTTATGGATGCGTTGCGTGTCAAGGAATTTCCTGATGACCTGTGACGGTTCCGTATTGTCGATGGCTCGAAGATATTGCTGCATAGCTGTATCGTAATCGCCCTTCTGATACAGGAAGTCACCATACTTTCGGAAAATGATGTTCTGCTGCAACTTGTCGGCTCCGCTCTTTTGCGCAAGGTTGATGGCGTAGATGTAAAGGTTGCGCTGATACAAGATCTCGAGCTTCTCTGCCAGGCTTTTCTCCTGATATCGCAGAAGCTTACCATCTGTTGTAAGCAAGAAAAGCTCGCCCCATTCGACAAAAGCATACTTGATCTGTGAAGGGAGAGACTCGGTGTGCGCGATGAATTTCAAGTCCGTGTCAAGGATTGTGAACGACGAAGTTGTGAACAGGTCATCCACCTCATCGCCTCCAAGTTGCCTGAATGTCTTTGATTTCGAGAGCGATGCAACTCTCGGTGGGCATATCAACCCAACGTAGTCGTTGTACATGAGGACGCGTGTCTTGGGCCCGTCAAACGCGTATGATGGTCCGCGTCCATTCGGCCCATAGTAGTAGACGGCGTCCTCGCGCGCTACCACGATGTCGTCTGTTTCCGGATCCTGGGTCATGCACCCGACACTGCAGCCTCTGTTGTCCACTGTGCGCACCGCCTGTCCTTGGCCCTTGCCTGAGATGACAATACTGGAGAGACGCCCAGTCGTCGCAATGTAAAGCACCTTAAGCGTACCCTGTCGCACTTCCAGTGCCGTTATAGGGTCTTCCGATTCGAAGACAGTCCTTTGTTTGGTGCCGCGGTCGTGGATCAGGTCGCCTCTTATGACTGTCACAGAGCCGTTCGCAAATCCTACCGCCACTTGCGTAAGGTCGTTCAGCACGACGAAAGCTGTGACTGGAAACAGCCTCTTTCCATTCTGTACGGCTACACTACACAGACACCTCGGCGCGCCCGTCCTTTTATCTGTCTTATCAAGAGCCCATACTTTGAGAGAGGGGTCGCTGGAGAGGTCTTCCGATATGGTGACGAGGAAAGCAGTGTCAGGTACCTGTCGGAGGTGCCTGACCGCGGCGTCGCCATCTGAGACCTTGAAGCTGCGGGTGACGTTTAGGGCTTTTCCCAGCACTCGCACGTGCCCGTCGGTCGTCCCGAGGAAAAGAGAGTCGGAACCGGCTGTCAAGCAGCTAACATCGTTCTGAATCGACAATCAGCGGTCGAACTGGTCAGAGTGGAATTGGTCACTCACATCGAAGACGTATGTCCCATCCTCGTCGGCAGGGACGGGTACCTTGGACGCTGTGAAGAAGGGGAAGGCCTTCCAGCTTGTCAGCGCCATTACTGGCCGTCCCCTAGCTCAGTCAATTGCGATACCAGAGCTCATGGGCTCCAGGTGAACGTCGCACTGGTGCCGCCTTCGGCGCCTGGCTGGAACACATGAGGTTGGCCCCCGGCTAAATTTCGGCTTTTCGGATTACCCAGGCAGTAAATAGAAAGCAGCACTGCAGTACGACCTACGACAGGGCCTTCGAGGGGCAACAAGCGCCAGCTGCGCTTTTGAGAAGTACGAGCTTCTGGACAGATTTCACTCTCGAGATAGCATTGAAGTTTTGTAGATTCTTCTATTTGCAAACAGCAGAATATGGCTTCAACGACCCGCGGCTAGCTAATGTGTTGATAGGTAACATATGCTCATTACATCGTCAGTAAGCTCATCGTGGACTCATTGCCACTAGTCTTCCCAGCTGAACCTCGCACTGCGGGAGCTCGAGTTGTGTTCCTCATGGTCCGTGCTAAGTCCCTCTTCCACGAATCTCGAGCCACGACTTGGTGACCGCGAGGGCGCTCGCCCAACTAGAGAGGGTGTTAGGTGAGGACCATAGCTAACATGAGGTGAGTGGCTCTCGTTTGAACCCGGCTCACTCGGCTGAGTGTGTCTCTGAAAGCCGCGAGCCATTGTCGCCTCTGGAGAGACAGGGCTAGGCACAGAGTTACTGTTTCTCTGCGAAGCATTCCCGGAGCTATTACCAACAGGGCTGATGCCTTGCTCACCCGATGACACGGTGCCAAATGCTTGGCTATGTCGCGGACTGTATGGGCTAACACTGTTGCTCAGACGCGGGTTCGTCTCGGCAGGCGTATATGGCGGGACTGGCGACGCGGAGTTATTGCGGCGCCTATAAGCAGCAGCTTCTGCTTCTTTTGCCTCCCGCTGACGCTGCGCAAGCTCGGCAGGCTCCATGGGGTTATTGCGTTGCATGGTGCCATTGCGATTTTGTGGATCTTGGAAAAACGCGGGCGATACTTCCGCTGCTGGCATTTCGAGCGGCGCACTGCCAGGGAGTTCAAATCGCGAATGAGCCGAGTCTGCAGGGACCTCGGTTGGCTGTCGTTTGTCGCCCAGCAACTCCGACACCGTGGTATTGGACCCGGGGGATTTAGGCGATTTTCCAAATAGGCTCCGCCGTTTTGGTTCCTTCGATACTGCTGAGTGATCTGGAGCAGCTCTCCGTCGGCGTACCAGGAACCAGATCAAAGCGGCAAGAGCAATGATGACAAGGCCAGCGCCAACACCGATGCCTGCCTTTGCGCCGGTCGACAAGCCAGATCCACTCTCGGAGTCGGGTCCAGGAAAGATACTATTTGACGGTCGCGTAATAGCCTGCAAGTTGACATTGTTTACGGACTCCTCGCTGATGACCGCTTGAGACAGAGTGAAAGAGTTTCGCTCATAGTCGACCATCAAATATGCCTCTTGCAAAAAAACACGGCCTATGATGAATTGTGACCTGGTGCGTCGTATAGGAAAGTATGGCAGTGGTGGTGAATTGAAGTCACCATCGAAATTGGGGAAGCCGTAGGTCAAGTCCAAGTTGAAAGCACTGTATGGCAGTGTTAGCTCGACGTTATCCGTAGAGCCTGGGAGTTTGCCAATATTAAAGGTAAAGGTCAGATTCCAGTTTTGAAGATCGTCTGGAGAAGCTGATTCGTTGGCAAAGACATACACGCCCAATGTCTCGTTGTAAGTGAGGTTCAGAGCCTCGGCGAAATTGTCGCAGACTGCCTCTGGCAGCCACAAATACGGAGTCGAAGAATCTATGGTGAAGACTGCGGCCTGGGAAGTTTGGAGTAGAGTCATGGGGTTGAGGTTCCAGTTTGGTGGAAGGTCGCCCGCTGTCGAGGAGACGGTAATGGAATTGACGGCGACAGCAGGCGCATAATCAGAGCTCAGAACGAATGAAAGGTTATTTGGCGTGAAACGATTCGCATCGACACCGCCCAGTGTTAAAGAAGCCGGAACGCCTGTAAGACGGTATGCGGCTCCGGCCGTATAGCCATAGCTGTGACTGGGAATGGCACTGTCGTTCTGGACAAGGGACGACAACAGAGGGAGTCGGTTCTCCGAGCCATTGATGCGAGTCTGCTGAACTCCGAGGCCCATCTCTCCAACCCAGACCGCAGACGTGTTTAAAATGGCGACAATTTGGTCCACTTCGGACACATCGTCGTTGAGTGCGATCGTGTCGAGGCCATAATATCCAAACTGCGAGTTATTGAGCGACGGATCAGATCCAAGCTCGTAGAATCCTAATCCCTGAAATGTTGACGACTGGTTGGAGTAGAAGACGCCTCCACGGGCAGTGGCGCAGGCGGTGGTGCCATCACACGATGCCGTCCCCATGACCCAGGTTTCTTGCGACAAAGTGCTCGGTAAAACAGAGAGCCATTGTTCTGGAGTGCCCACACGAATGGTGATCGGGGACCATTGTCCATCGTAGCCCACATATTCAGTCGAGGTTGTGCACACTATCGGCTGCGGATCTTTCGCTCCGAGGACACCGCAGATGTATGTGGCCAGGAAGAGACCGGTGTACAGAGGGGATCTTCGCGACATGTCGTGCGGACCACGTGGCCACACAATTCACATTGGCATAATCACACAGGTGTGTGCGCAAATCGAAGGGTTGGTACAACTGAGGATCGCATTCGGGCAGTGCGGACGAGTGAAGTAGACAAATCTTCTACAAACGAGTGCTGGAAGCGCAAATCATCGCGCTGCTTAAAAGAATGAGCAAAGTATGGAGGGTCTGCTGTCGCCGCTGCGGCTGATGTCGCGATGGTGGGCAGCGAAGCAGCGACCGAGCAGGATGTCTCCTTGCATCTGGCTGCCAAACGCGCTACCACCAAAAGAGAGGTGCTACTGTAGCAGCACCCCAGCCCAGCGAGCCTCCAGGTACGGCCTGGGCGAGCCACCAATAGGCTTCGGAAGTGGCCTTTTGGCGGGTTTCAATAGCTGGTGCCGATCCTCTTGTCATTATGGAGGCCACCGTGCAACTCGCAAATAGTTTGTTCGTCTACACAGCACTAGTCATGAACTCGTCGGCCACAATGGGTATCTCGACAAAAGTCTGTCTCTGCCTACGGAACAATAGCATGGAGGTGAAAGCGGTCTCCGTTCATGGTTCCCGACTGCGGTTGCAGCAGGAATAACAAATCACACGCAGTGAACCTGCCCAAGGGCCCCAACATGGTCTGACCTGGTTTCAGGCAGGTCGTAACCAGAAGCTTCCCACATAAGCAAAGCTCTCATCGGCCGTTCTCGGCTTGCGCCCATCTCTGCATTCTTCAGAGTCTGCACCAAATTGAGTCGACGAAGATAACAGTTTCCGCAAGCATTCCTACGGACTATCCTGAAACATCCTATGCTCGTTCACCGGGGTTTTCCAGCCCGTGGTATATTAGTCGATGCATGCTGACAAGCTTGAGCCATCAGAGACACCCGCAGGAGAGCGATTGGGAAGCTTCCTACAGGCTGTCCCCCGATCGCCCCGTTCGGGGCCAAAATGCCCTATCGTTGCATGTATTGGTTATTGCCCTTCTGGTCATCGGTCCTGAATATGGACTTCGGTTCTTGCAAGGATCACATATCAAACGTGAGGGAGCATACGGAGCATTTTGAATCTCCACTGCAACGCCTCCGAAGCTTGACTTCATTATACGAGCAAGCCTTTTCCTCATCTCCCCCTGTATGCCCACAGGGTACGGAGTACAGGCGGAGAGCACGTTTCGCGGGACTCGACGACGTCTTTAACGACCAGGCCATCCCCGAGCCTCCCGCCCAATTTGCGAGCTAGTCATGGGTAGTGTGTAGCTAAGGCCCCAGCTGCGAAATGCCATTGGCATTGACTAACCAACCCGGTATGCCCACGCTTTAGCGAGGCTTGTCCCACCCTCGATTCCCCTCCTTGGTTGGTCAAATCGCAGATTGTTGAGGGGAATAGCGAGGGTTCATTCCGCATCCTCCTACTGCGTATGCCGGTCCTTGCTCATCCCGCGCCTCTAGCAGTCCCGCTTGGTCGATCAGAGTGCGCCTTACGGACGTCCTGGGCCGGCTTTTACTTTCACGTTTCCCCTAGAGCAGCTGAATCATAGGCTTCAACCTAGCTCTCGGTGCGGCCTGTCTCTGGTGTTAAAGTCTACTTGCACTGCTGTCGCAAGCTTGTGTCCTTTCTTTCAAATCCTCTGGTTCCTACGTTGTGTACTACCACCAACCTCACCCCGATTCTACATTCGCTTTTTACGGTCGCTATCGAAATCCATCCAAACCTATTCTGGCCCATACAGATCACTGCTTCTGGAAACGGCCAGCCCAATTTTGCGCCGAGATGAGATCTTGAGGAGCGGCGCAACTCTTCAGAATACAAGCCATTCGCTCAGCCATTCGCTCAGTCATTCGTTCTACGCCGTGCCATGCTTAGGGAAAGCTGTTGAAGAATACTATTGCAACAATCAGTCGCAACGATGAATATGCTCATATCGTTCGCTTTGCTGCTCTCTGCTCATGTGCAGGCCCAAAGATATGGTCTGCCTCGAAGGTTAGAAGCCAGAGGTACTTTCTCGGGCAATGAGACGGCTCCGTATACAAACTCATCCATAACGACGTCATGGACCTCAACTCTTGATCACGCTCCATCATTGTCGCCGCCATCGACAAGTACCGAACAGAAATCTACTGATTCTTTGAAACCGCCATTACCTGATCAGACGTCGACCCTCACAGGCTCCGAGAAGCCGGAGCCAACCGGTGGACCGCCTGGCGGCGATGCCGATGGTGCTGTATGTAGAGGCGGTATGCTTACTTACTACGGATCCGTCTATCCTACAGTATATTCTACTGTGACAGAAATCTACAATGTTACACTCAGTGCGGTCAATGCAACAATGACCGACAGCGAGACACTCATGACCCCCTCGCAAGCGGCATGTGGCTATACCGTTGTTCCTATCAATGGGCCGGAGCAGGCGATAGCCACCATCGAAGGTACTGTAGATCCTGCTTTACCCCAACCCAAGCAAACGGTCCTCTCGACAGGGCTAAGCCCCGATAACATGACACTGGTCGACGGAACTCCCTTCACTGAAACAATGTCCATCGGAAGTCCGTCACGTAGCGGCGCCCCTAGGCCACCAAAGTTCCCAGCTGCGCCCGTGCCAGAAACTGGTGAGAGACCAAGTCCAGTTGTAGGGGGCCGACCTCCCGCTGCTTCGATGAAGGGATCTACGATATATGCAACGGCACCTTACACGAGTACTGTGATCGTCACGAAAAAGACACCAGTACCTGTTCTTCCAACGGCGCAATCGCCACCACCAGTCTTCCAAAACCCACCACCTACCCAAGATCGAAAACCTCCTGTGCAAGAGACAGGTGGCCGCCCTGGCGCTGGAGGAGACTCTGTTGGGGGCCCTTCCGGCGGTGCACCAGGTGGTCCGAAGGACGATTCTGGAGTTGTCTCCTTGATTCAGATATCGAATGGCATCGGTATCAGCGCTGGTCCGAATGGGATAGACTCCATTCCCGCGACAGCTACGGGAGGCGTTGCCCCACAAACGACAATCGATGATGTTCCCATTGCGGTGCAGCGCTCTTCGGTCTTCTTCGGCAGTTCCGCTGTGGCTATTCCCACTGGTCGTGACGAAGCCGTGATTACTCAGGGTGACGCCACCTTCACACTTCGGTCGAACGCGATCGCTGGCCAATCGACCACTGTTGCCTTCGGACCGTTAAGTCCTCAGGGTGTCGTCAGCGTGCCACCTACTCGGGTCACTGCTGCCCCAGGTGTAGTCGTCGAGGTGGCCGGCTCTACCGCTGTGGTGGCTGGCACGACATTCAGACTTGACGAGCGCTTTTCAACTGTCATCACAGTCAGCGGTCAACGCGTATCGATAGGACCTTCTGGCATCGGTCTACCGAGCACAACGATCCTCGCCGGCCTGGTGACCCAAGCTCCGGCAATGGTCGAGACTGTGGGCGATGTTACCTTCACTCTCGACGGTAGCCGCGTGATCATCAGTGGCTCCACTTACGGCATTGCCACCGACTCTCCCACCGTCACAACCGAATTCGACGGCGAGGAAGTCAGCATTGGTCCTGGTGGTATCGGCTTCGATTCCACCACGTTCAAACCAACACAGGCCGAGACTTCAACGCGCGAGGATATGGCGCAGGCCACTGGATCTGCTGGTGGTGGTGATGGTGATGATGGTAGTGATAGCAACGGAGCAAGCCTGCCAGGGAAGTCGCTTTGGGGTGCCTTGGCGTCGCTGCTCGCTCTTTTGGTGGTTTTATGACCGGCTTGAGGCCTACTTCTACATTCGAACGGTCGATTTGGAGGCCCTTGGACTTTTCCTACAAATTTTACGATTTAGCATGGCGTTGGGTGGTTAATTTACGCTGAAGTAATAGCCCGAAGATAGTGGAAAATTTCGGGCGGGAAACACAATGGAGAGGCTGGTGTCTGGTAGATACTGGCCGCTTGCACAGGCCGACACACAAATCTGGTGTATGTGTATGGTTCATGGAAGGAGAACGGGAACTCTCAGTTGTGCGTGTAGGAAATACCCACGGCTACTGAGCGGGATAGGTGATTATGGCTGGCTGCCTGAACGGCTCGATGATATTGGGATATGTAGTGCGCTTTTGCCTACAGAGAATGATTTAGCAAGCGATATGAGCGAGATTTATATAGATGTCGAAAAAGTAGCAAGATCTATCTGTCCAAAAGATCTGTGTGTCCTGCAATGTATCCAGTCGATGGGCTGCCGCGCCCGCATCTACACAGGCATTTGACGCCGTCTACGTGAACTTTCTCAATTGCTCGCCGACCACGATTCCCCCTACAGTCATGATGGTCGCCATGAGGAGGTTGATGCCATTATTGTCGAGAATATCGCTCCCGGAGCCAATGAACCGACTCTCGTGACTCGTCGCGCTGTCCGCGGCGCTCTGACTTGCACCCTTCCTTTGCTTCGTTGCAGCTGCAGGTCGCGCATCAGTCCCGGATCCCGACGCTGATGAGGCTCTTCGGTGCGTCAGCACCTTGACGCCGCCCGCGCCTTCGACCACCTTGCCTGTTCTCCGATCTACGACACTCGCCTGTAGCACGGCGCCCAGCAAGCTGTCCAGAAGACTGCCTAGAGTGCCCCACACACTCACCCCTACGGCCAGCGCGATCTTCTGCTGGACGGTCCACTCCCCTTCGCAGAACGGCAGTAACATCAGGCTCGTCACGCCGATCACCGCGGCGCCAAGTGACCCGTATAGCACGCCCGCCACCGTGACGCCGCCATTCGTGCCGCGGGGCACGCTTCGCCACGGCGCGGTGATCAAGAAGGGGGTGCTGGAGGACAGAATACCGAGTTCGCTGGAGAGCGTGTCCGCAGCGGTGGCGGCGTAGTTGGCCGTGGCGCCAAGCAGGCACCAGGAGAGGTAGTTGGCGGAAGGTTGGGCATGGAGTGGAAAGCACTGGCCGCCGGAGTTGGGGCGGTACAGATACTCGAGCAGGCAGAGAATGCTGGCGCAGAGCGAATTGGCGAGGACCTGGATGTGCGTGCGGGGGCCCTCACCCCCGGAGGCGCCGGAGGAGGAGAGGGTGAGTCGGGCTTTCTGTTCGTGCTTTACTTTGGTGGCGCTGGTACCAAGGATGAAGAAGGTGCCGAGGAGGGTGAATGGGAGTGGGGACTCTGGGAGTGCGTGCACGGTGGCGGTAATGCCAGCTACTATTATACCGGGGATGGTGAGAGATTGTCGCCGGTAGGAGCGGAGGAGTAATAGAACGGTTATAGGCCCTGCTACCACGGCCTTCATGGTGGATGTGGGAGTCGTACTGCTGAAGAAGATTTCTTGCAGCTGGGAGCAAAGAAGACGGGTGTTGATATGAGTTTGGTGAGCAGCGAGCAGTGAGCATCAGTATGCAGATGGTAATCATTCAACGTGAAGAGCAAAGCTTGACCGAGGATCTGCCGCAGAGCCTCTCACGCTGCAGTTGATGTAATCTGCTGGCCGCAACTCACCTCATTTTCTTCCCAGATAGCGTTTGTTACACCTCGGTCGAGGAGCTGCATTTGCATCACAGACGAAGTATGGATAGTCGGTGTCCCTGCTTATACCATGCAGTCGATCCTGACTAAGGTGGCACGCACGGCGCGCCCGCGTCTGTCGTTGGCGCCCTTCCTGCCGCTACAGTCTTCAGCAAGACGGACGCTCCACTTAGCTCCTCCCTTCCTCCTCGATGAATACACTCCCCGCTACCAGCTGCTATCATCTGTAGCAGAATCCAAGAAGCGGTCGCTGGCATACGCTCATCTTCGTCAGTGCAACCTATGTCCCCGGCTATGCAATGTCAACAGATATGAGACAACCGGGCACTGCATGATTGGCGCTGAGACTGTCAAGGTCAGCACTATAGCTCCGCATTTCGGCGAGGAGCCATGTCTCCAAGGCCACAATGGGAGCGGCTCCGTCTTCTTCAGCGGCTGCAACCTGCGCTGTGTCTTCTGCCAAAACCATGACATTGCACACCAGAAGCAGGGTTTTGATCTGACGCCAGAAGAGCTTGCGGACTGGATGATCAAGTTGCAGCAAGTGGGACGTGTGCACAACATCAATTTTGTTACGCCAGAGCATGTCGTACCCCAAGTTGCTCTGGCAATTATGGCAGCCAAAGACATGGGTTTGAGGGTACCCATTGTCTACAACACGAGCTCTTTTGATAGCCTGGATAGTCTGAAGCTGATGGATGGTCTGGTGGACATTTATCTGCCCGATTTCAAGGTCTGGGAGGACGCCACGAGCAGACGGTTACTCAAGGCCGACTCATATGCCGAGCACGCGCGCAAGAGCATCCAAGAGATGTATCGACAGGTAGGAGATTTATGCTTCACACCCGATGGCATCGCCCGCAAAGGCGTCTTAGTGCGACATCTAGTCATGCCGGGGAAGGAGGAAGAGGGCGTGAAGATCGTTAACTGGCTTGCTAGCAGCCTGGGCAAAGACATATTCGTGAACGTGATGGAACAGTATCATCCTGACGCTCACGTCGGTAAGTCCCAGCGAGGCTCGAAGACCGGGTCCAAGCGCTACCCAGAAATTAATCGAGCAGCCACCGAGCATGAGGTTGGTAAAGTGCAGAAAGCCGCTCGCGAAGCCGGCCTGTGGCGCTTTGTTGAAGCTGCTGCTCATGGTGGTTTCAACATCTAGTCCACGGCTCGATCCCAGCCTATTCATTGCCGGGAGAGGGTTTCAAGCCGCAACCGACACTTGGTCCGAGCTCCTTTGTGTTGAGTGGACAAACACTTCTGTGTTGAATCTCGACACATCCTTTGTGAACGGTCTCGGACGACAGTATGGCTCCGCAGATAAAGTATCCGTTCTGCTTCCAAGGCAGGCTCGGTGCATTAGGCAAAGCTGCAATATTCAGCCATGGCACAGTTTTTCCAGCCCGGCATGGTATCTCAAGCGGCATTGACAGGCCAGTACTCAACTCTATATCAAGAACGGTTGTATCTACTGAATGCATTAGCCGACGATGAGAGCCAGGGCGAGCGACTAACATATGCATTGGCCGGTCTGCAGGCTCAATTGGATCAGAATGAATCTGCGGATCTGCCTTTGAGCTCGAAGAAGCTCAAACAACAGGTTAAGGCCGTCCGCAACAAGATCGGTGCCTGCCAACATCGGGAAAGAGCTCTTGCATCAAACCTCACATCCATAACGGCTCAGATGGAAGGAATGAAGAGATACCAGTGGTTGACTGCCCAGCATGAGTACGCCATGCAGATTCACCAGGCTCAGCAGCATGCTCACAGGGTCCTCATGTCCCCAGCGCGGCCGGATTTTGCATTAAGGTCACCCGGCACGATGGACCTTGCCACGCAGATGCAATTCATGTCTCTCGGCCAGCCTGTCGGTCAGCAGTATGCCAATCGAGGGCCGTTAGGATCATATTCTACAGTCGTAAACCAGCCACTGCTATCAGCCCAGCTGGCTGTGCCGTTTCCTGATTTTATCCACCATGGACAGCTCTACATCAATATTCCACCTGTCCTGGGAGACTTGCAGGCATGTGAACAACCAACGGAGCCTTGCCTTGATTATGTCGACTCGCCGATGACGGCGTCCTCCGCACCAAGAACGTGGGGTGCGTTGCCTGATGTAGCGGGTTGTCAGCGATCTGCCAGTATGCTCCTCGCCACAGGATCGACTCGGCTATCGTTCTCAACACCTGTGTCACCAGTCAAGGCCATAGAGACTTGTGCAATTCGGAGGCTAAGCCTTCTTGATGGGACGAGTGCAGCCATGAAGTTGGAGCGAAAGGCTGCGGAGGCGGAATCGAGAGGCCTTGCGGATGGAAAGGTATGACACTCGCCTGTGTTTAAGGATCCTCTCACTACAGAGCAGTGTGGCTAGCTTGAGAGCATACACAAGAAGATGTGCATTGCAAGAAGAAGGATCAGGAGGAGGAGGAGGAGGAGGAGGAAGAAGAAGCAGCTGAAGCACGCATGGAAGATGGAAGTGCAGTTGAGGTTTCTCGCAACCTGCCTGGGCTGCAAAATACGGGCTAGCAACAAACAATCAAACAACAAGACCATCTCTCTTATCCACCTCATTTCCGCACCACAACGCGAACCCAGATCTCACACCTGTTGGAATTTGTCTCTTCACATTCGTTCTTCCTCAACAACTGTGTTTTGGACCACAAAGTCACAGTCATTGTGCTGGACTAATCAAGCCACACCTGACCTTCAACCTCCTTCTCCTGGACCTCCGCGACGCGACATTGTTTGCTTGGCTGCGGAATGGCCTGTCTGCGCCTCTTGATGGGCTTCTTGACTTATGGTCTGATGATCTCCTACCTTTCGGGCGTCTTTGCAAAAGTCTTCGTCCTTGATGGAATCGACAACTCCCTCGACAATACGACCTTCGACTATGTTGTTGTTGGTTGTGGAATAGCAGGTCTTGTGGTTTCTAATCGCTTGAGTGAGGACTCTAACACTACTGTTCTCTGCTTGGATGCCGGGTCTCTGTAAGTGGTCCAGCTGAACGCCTTTCAAAGCCACTGACGACTGTAGGGATAATTTTGAACCCCTGATCCAGTGGCCTGTCTTTATCGGGCACCAGCCACCTTTGTTCTACGAATGGGGTATGGCAACCGTTCCGCAGATTCAGCTAGATGGCAATTCTCGGCCTGTCCCATGCGGCAAAGGTGTCGGTGGCGGATCACTCATCAATGGCATGCTGTGGAATCGAGGCAGTCAAGCCGATTTTGACTCCTGGGAAGAGCTTGGCAACCCTGGCTGGGGCTGGTCCGATCTCCTTCCATATTTCCGCAAGAGCGAGACCTTTACGCCGCAGGCGTATGCCGGTCAGGACTTGTCCGACGCCGACCAGATCGACTCGTGGAATCCCAAAGTGCATGGCTTCAGAGGACCTGTTCAAGTCTCATATCCCGAGCACCTATGGCCTCAGTCCTGGGCCTGGTTCGAAGCGCTTGAAGAACTTGGAATTCCGAAGGCCGAAGACCCCAATGATGGTAGCAACGGAGGTGGTTACTTCATTCCATTGAACATTCATCCTACGAACCAGACAAGATCCGATGCACGTCGAGCATACTGGGATCCCGTGTCGAATCGCACCAATTTCAACCTTGGTATCAATGCTCAAGTCACTCAAGTCCTCTTTGAGCCCGTCGGACCCGCCTATGCTTTTCGCCATGCAACCAGCAATCGCGCAGAGTTTGGCTCATTCCGCCGTCAGCATCCCGAGGGTCGGTCCAGACGCGCCTTTGCCGTCAGATTCGCATTCAACTCTACTTCTCCTCATCAGATCGTTTCTGCTCGTCGAGAAATCATCCTCGCAGCTGGCGGCCTCCATACACCACACTTACTGGAGCTGTCTGGCGTAGGCGACAATCTTCTGCTATCATCGCTAGGCATCCAGACTATTGTGGATCTTCCAGGCGTTGGCAACAACCTTCAGGACCATGCCTTGGTCCACCTGAACTATGCTTATCAAAACGCCAGCATCGCCTCCCCAGCAACTCTATTCACAAATGCGACCTACTACGCCGAGGCCCAGTCCGAATACATTGCCTCCAAGACTGGCCCATTTACAGCCAAGCCCAGCACTGCGATTGGCTTTCCATCGCTAAGTCAGATCACCAACGCAACTTATTCCGCGAACGCTAATGCGCTTGCGTCGCTGGACAACGCCTCGTCTTATTTGCTGCCTGGTATCGGAGATCCTGTCAAAGCTGGGGTCGCAGCGCAACTGCCATTTCTTCTACGTGCACTGAACAAGTCGTCCGTGCCATCGCACGAAATCCTCAACGACAATTCCGGCGGCCTCGATCTCTCGCTGATGCGTCCCTTATCGCGTGGTACCGTTCACGTGAGCTCGCCAGACCCCTGGTCCCACCCCACCATTAACCCCAACTGGCTTGCACACCCTCTCGACTTCGCCATCATGCGCGAGGCGATGGTCTTCAACCACCGCTTGCTGCAAACCCCGCAGCTGGCGGTGTTGCAGCCATCCTTCGCGCAGGTGCCAGTGAACGCCTCGTATTCACTGCTTGAGGCCATCCTGAGAGCAGGCGTCGGTACGGAGTATCACTATTCCAGTACTGCTGCCATGCTCCCGCGCGAGCTGGGCGGGGTTGTGGACCCCAATCTGACGGTCTATGGGACCGAGAACCTCCGCGTCGTCGACAGCAGTGTGTTCCCCATCATCCCGGGGGCACATCTGCAGGCAGTGGTCTACGGTGTTGCGGAGAAGGCGGCCGACGTGATTCGTGGGAACTGGCAGGAGAGAGTGGGACGGCTGGAGCAAGCGCTGGACTGGCAGGTGCCCACTGGGGAGTTCTGGCTGTGGTTGGGAGAGGAGTTGGGCTGGCCGGTGAACGTCGGCGGCAAATGAAGAGATCGGTTGCCTAGTTTGGTTGCCTCGTGGGTTTGTAGGATAGAGCAAGAATAGAAAATTCTTGGCTTCGAGTTTGTTCCTTCTCGCACGTCTCCTGCGTTCTGGATTCATGGTGACTCGAATCTTCTTTCGCTACTTCGCGCCTGTTCCAATTCTTCTTCGACTACTCGCTGCTAGTACGCCTTTTACGCCTCGTTACAGATTACGCTTCAACCAATTACTTGACGTGATGATGTGGATCCAAAATGTGACCCCAACTTCTGTCGTCCTCACAGCCCACCATGCCGAAATCATCTCACCAATTCTCATCATGAGGGAACGCAACACATGATCCAACCCATCATGAAGCAGACTCAGCGGATTCTGCTCTCACCCAAATCAAGATGGGAACCCTGGAAGACGGCCAGAAATTGAAAAGAACGCGACGCTCGGCGCCCAAGGTCAAAAGCGGATGCTCGACGTGCAAGTAAGCCCTCCAGTACGCCATCTACGCATTATGAATCTCACCAGTGTTCCATTCTAGAATACGCAGGAAGAAATGCGATGAGACACGGCCCTTCTGCGATCGCTGCTTAAGCACTGGCAGAAAATGTGATGGTTACCCGACCGAGTCGGCCCATGGGCGATCGACACTGCCCACGGCAGGAGGCTGGACCTGGGAACAGTGTGCAAAGACACCTCAGTGGCACACTCCGAACGGATTGCGACGTGGAATCCTGCCAGGTATTGCCCTTGTCCCCACTTTCAAGCAGATGAAGTGCAGCTGCTTGGTGGGCGGTGCTCGGCAGCATACTGTTAGTTGCTTACAGCGCTCTCCTTTGTACATTTCGGCCCCAACCCACTTGAAGCTCGCTTCTGAGATCGAGTATTTATGCTTCGACTTTTTCCGCCATCGGACTGGGCCAGGATTCGCCGGATACTTCGATAGCAGCGCTTGGTCTTTCCTCATCATACAGGCATGTTACACAGAACCAGTGGTTCTCCAGGCTGTTGCAGCACTTGGCGCTGTTCACCGGCGATATGAGCTTGGCATCACTCCAGAAGCCTTCAAGTACTGCGAGATTGCAGACCGACTTGAACGGCAAGCTCGTCGACAATGGCAGCTTGAGGCAGCAAAACAAGGCACGGTCACGAAGCCAGAAATTCACATGGTGTTAGCGAAGCTTTTCGCGTCGTTTGAAGCTTTCCAGGATCATCCTGAGCTCGCAACCAAGTACATGTCATCTGCCTTCGACAATCTGCTGCGGCAACGAGTAACTAGAGTATTGGTGCAGCAACAGCCGGTGAACGTCACTCTGAACAACCAGACCTTACGACAGTTCTTTCTAAAGCTTGAACATACTGCTGCGTATTTGTTCGGTATATCGGCCGATGTTCAAACATACAATATCTCCAAGATCGAGCCTGGCTTCGAGATGCCATCAACGTTCGCATCAGTAGCACAGGCGCGAGACTGCCTCTTTGCCGAAGTCCACCACATCTGGGCGTTAGACTATCGCACAAGCACGCCTAAGGATGCCCTGGACATGGCACAACGCAATCATCTCGGCCGACTAATGATCTGGTCCGGAGCCTATGCCGACTGGGCCCAGACATACAACCCTACCGAAAACGTTCTTCTCAAGAGGCTCCGCCGGTTGTTGAAGTGGTATCGAGAGGCTGCGTTCCTTCAGCTGCTGCTGCAGACAACGCCTGGTGCGCCTCTAGATGAGCACATGGTGCTTTCTTGCAGCGGAGACCGCACCTTCCTGGCCAACAGTTTCCATCGTTCACATTGCGAATGCACCTCCAGCATGACCGCTCACTTTGCACGACTCACATTGCTCTCCGATGGTCTAGTCGACGAGAACGTACCATATGCTGCCTCAGCTTTGCAATACGGTTCGAGTACGGGGATGGGCCTGCACCTTGGCTCCGCGGGCTGCCGCTCAAGCGACATCCGACAGCAAATGACGGCGCTGCTCGCGCCATCAATGGGCGGTGCTGACAAAGTCTGGGATGCCGTAGGCGTCTATACCATCGCGGAGCGTGTCAGCGCCTTTGAGGAAGAGGCAGTCGAGAATGCCAGTATCCGACACGTTGAGGATGAATCTTGGCATCCTCGTGGGATGGACGCTGTCGAAGCTTATCCGTGCGAAAGCTCCCTTAAGTGGGTGGACATTACCTACTTCATGGAGGCCAAGTCCCTTTGCTTGGTCTATTGCAAGCCTGCGCCACGCAAGTGGGTGGGCGACAGGCCGACTGATGTGCAGCCTGGCTGTGTGTGGGTGAGGGAGTGGTTTCAGCTGGGATAGCGGTATGGGGACTCACGTGCTACTCTGCAAGTATGATGCTACGAAGGTTGCAGCCCTGTACTTGCTCCAGCGGCGATCTTGATATTCCAGTCCTACATTCAAAGTTAGTCCGTGAGCATTGCCGTCTACACATTTATTTAGCACAGAGTTTCACAACAAGCCCCCTCCTCATGCCTCCAGTTTCATCATGACTCTCGTCATTGTACGGGCGCAGTCGTGTCCCTAAGCCTACCCCTGTATGCCCAGCTCTGTCGGTGTCGTGCACGATCCACGAAGGTTCGTGTTCTCACCACCTCTTACCCCCTCCTACATCAAGCCTCGCCTTGGCGATCGCCAGCACCTACCCAATCAGTCTTAGCGCGCCGATTGACATCAGCTTCTGTGCAGCCCTCTTAACTGTCAAACCCGTCGCATCCAGGATGTCAAAAAAACCTCAGCAAACCTTTTCATACACACATATCGTCAAATTGACAGCCAGTTAGAGCATACGCCATGACTGTGTTGGTTACACACGGTCTTGCCTGGCCAAGATGGCAGGCCTCGCACCAGAGAGCTCAGGGACTCCGTAATTCGTCCAAGATAAAGATGCGGCGTCCCGCCGAGCAGGCTTGTGTCTGTACTTGCCACGGACTACACAGTCCAGATATGAAGCATACTACACCGCGATAGTCGGCCTTCGAAGGGTCCCGCGATTATGGCGAATGCGAGACCGAGACCGACAAACTGACCGCGTTTTCCTCTCTCCAATATTTTCATGCTCTGCCGTGGCTGGCAGCCCGAGTGCTTACGGGATTTTGTATGGTAATCAGCCAGATCATGCTTTGATGAGCTGACCATGCAATAAAATAACCCGTACCCGCCTACCGGCATGCCTCAGGCAAGGACTCAACCGTGTAGGAGTGTGTTATTAAGCCTGTAGCATCCACGGGCCTGAGTACGAAACGGCAACCGGTTCAGGTTTACTTTTACGATACTTACGATGACTGCCCACCCTGCACTTTTTCTCACAATACTCTGTAGATACTGCTGACGAAAACACCGCCACGCGCAGCTCAGGCTCGCTCTCGAGGCCGAATCCGGCAAATCTGAGTGCCTGCCAGCTTACTATCTGTACTGTAGCTTTTTCGCATACGGACCCCGAGCATCACGGCAGCGGATCGTTCCACGGTTATTTCCGCCCACGCCGTGTATCCATATCTTACTCGCCCCATCTGCCTGGATCCGGGCGCAGAGTCCTATTACAAGTTTGGTTACTGGGTTTGAATGTTTATGGACCCATAGGCTGACCGCAGCGGAGCGTAGGTACACAAAATAGGCAAAACTGATAAAGGCGGGCGAGCTTTCGGAAGCCTGACGCCAGACAACACATGATGCTTGTATTGCGAAGCTGTGGGACTGGAATCCCGAGTTTTCTCTTCACTTCTTATGACCGTCGCTCGTTCGCCTTCTGGGCACAACTTCGTTGAGGAATTTGGCGTTCAGGTTGTCAAATTGTCTTCGTGTACGCGTGCTTCGACCGTGATTGATCACATCGACAGCAAAGAAACCCCCAACCGTCGCCTTATTCAGCACCACTTCTTAGTCTCCAGCTCGTTACTTTCTCATCGGAGAGAAATTTCCTCCTCTATTCATCAGCACTCCCCGTTCAGCGAAGCAAGCATCTGGCCCGGACTCAACGAGTCACAAAATTTGCAGCTCATTTCCCCACGCCCTGCAAGACACAAGCCCAGCAGTAAAAGGATCGAACCACACCACAAACCATGCCCTCCCTCTTCGATCTCCCGCCCGAGATCCGCCACCAAATCTACACCTACCTTTTCACCGACCTCACGCTCCTCCTACGCTGCACGCAGCCGCCACCACCGCCCGAGTCCGCGCCCCCGGAAGCCACGTGCCGCCGGCCGCCGCGAATCGCCGTGTCCGCCACCGCCTTCCCCACGGCCGCATGCCTCACCTGCCGCGCACTGCACCGCGACCTCGTGCATCTACGGCCCGCGCCGGTGCACACGCTGCGCATCGAGTGCGACATGGCCGTGACGGCGACGCTGCGGGAGCAGATGAAGGGCGTGCTGCAGGGCACGGGCGTGCGGGGCCGGGGGCTGGATGCGATGCGAGCGCGGCGCGTGGTCGTTAACCAGGAGGGGGTTTACGCTTTGAATCTGGGGGTTATCAAGCTGGGCATGCCGGCGTTGCAGGGGATCGAGGTGCTGATGCCACGTGCGGATGTGGCGGCCGAGTACGCGACAGAGTGGGTTTGGAAGGTGTTGCAGCGGGGAGAGGAGGGGAGCGGGGCGACGGGACAGCTGGTGAGGCCTGGAGAAGGGGAGGAAGGGTGGGGGAGTAGGGAGTTTGCGTTTGGCTGGCTGCATTCGTTCTTGGGGTGGGAGCTGCCAACGATGGAGCGAAGGGGGAGGGAGGTGAGGTTATGGGGGAGGCAGGAGGTTAGAGTCTGGTGGCGGAGGGAATGCTTGGCTTGCGTCGTGAGTATTGCTGCTGTTGCGGGCAGGAATGGTATGCTAACTGAGCTCACAGGAAGCGTTGCACGATATTGAAAACCGAAGGGTCGTTAGTGTGCGCATAGTCGAGGCCAGTTCGGGGTGGAGGGAATGCTTTGGTCACCTTGAGGGCACATCGCAGCCGAATTTGAAGAAGACGACGGCATTCTTTGGGAAAGGCCATACCAGTCCCGAGATCCCCCTCGAAACCAATCTCGTCACTATTCCTTGAGACAAAGCAGTCTGGTAACGCGCTCAAGCGAGCAAGCGGCGCAAAGGCGCTGTGATGAGCCATCGGCGCCTTGGGCAGCAAAACGGGCAGCTCGTCACTGTCCGACGTGGTCTGGAGTGTTAGGAAGGGGCGCATCGCGTGTTTCCGACGTCTCAGCATGGATTTGATGGTCCAGAAATTGTGTGAAAAGGGCACTAGATGTGGGCATGTTCTTGCGGACATCGTTCGCACCGGGCTCGCGTGCAGGCTCTTCTGTGATGCCCAACGTCATTATCTGCCGCATGACCCACACCTCAATCGATGCTGACGAGATTGAGGTTCGTCGTTTGTTCACGAAGACCGAGCATGATAAGCGGTGAAACTGGCTCAACAGTCTGGGGACAATTTGCTGTGTGCGAGACGCTGTCGGCAGAGTGGTCGGCATATCCATCGTGTCAAGCTGCTCGGCTTGGACAACACATCCAATTCATTCAGTCTTCACCATAAGGCTGGGAGCCACCAGCCCGACCTGGAACGTACATGGAGTACGGAATACCAGTGTTCCCCGGCAGGATTTTGTCCAAAGCTTGAATATTCCGCACCTTGTGTTGTCTACGGAGTAGCAGAGGCGGCTCATCGTTTGCTTGAGCGAATCACGCCAAACGATGTGTGGCGCTTGTTCTCTGCTCCTCAAATTCCGTCAGGCCGCCCGCAGCCAGTCTCCCCTGGGCACTCCGGTGGCCAAGGACTCCCGCTAGACTGCAAGAAGAAGACAGGCTCCGGGATCAAACTTGAGTGGCAGAGAGCGGTGAGAGCAGGCAAAATTGCAAAATTGCTTGAGAAACAATATATTGGATTCACACGGTCGCAACGAATATGAGCATCAAATACGGTGGAAGCCTGGGCGGTGCCATGTGGTCGCCAGAGTCCTAGTCATCGTCGAGGCGAGCATGGATGAGCCTGGAGCACACAGGGCAACGACTTAAGCGTCGGGGGGAAGGATGCCGGTCAACGGGAGGCTGGCGTGGCTGTCTCGGCGCAAAGCGGCTCTACGAATCAAGGCAACCGATCACGAGGAGGCTGCACGACACGATAGGCCGCGGAGGAGGAGAGGATGGCCCCCATGTGCCTTCCAACAGTTGATCACTGCAGGCCGAGAAGAGGTTGCTTTTCCCTGTTTCTGCAAGTGCTTTGCAGTGTGCAGAGAATGAGATGAATTACTGCGTCCGCAGGCCATTCGCCATTTCTAGAGGCTCGCTTACGGCGTCGTTTGTCGTGGCAGGCATCAGATAGGAGGCATGACCCGGGCGGCACTTGATCCTGGTCAAATTGGTCAAAAGAGTGACGGCGGTGCAAACGTGACCGACCAGGGTGAGTGAACGAGGCGAGATCAGAACCGTCGGGCATGGTTGCACGCTTTCTAACGACATTGGCCTGCAGCTGCAGATGGTCGGACACATTGATGTTGCGTGACAAGCGTCATCAGCTGCAACATGGCCCATTTCAGGCCGACGTCGACGTGCAGGTCCAATCCAGTGTACATGTACTGGTTCAAGCTGCAGACCAGGTGCAGGACCGAGGCTTTTAGTGCATGCAGCCTCTCAACGCCTCTGTGTCGAAATCTACGACATGACATGCGGTGGCTCGCGATCTCAGCACCGAGTCAGCACCAATGGTTGGTTGGCTTCACGCCCAGGCATCCGCAGCGCCTGCTGTGGCTCGAGTGGGTTCAACAAAGACAGGTCAACCCCTCCGCCCATGTCCCCCATGTTCAGCTTGCCGCATTTGCACTTCGCTTGCTCCCGTCCGCGCAATGGTCCAAGATCGTTCTTGGTTATTATTCATGGGTTCTACGGTGAGGTGTGCCTCCCATTCAGGCTTCAGGTTCTCATCGCGCCATCTCATTACGTTTATTTGAGTCCGACGAGCAGCAGTGGGCAAAGGCCGACAAAACGACTTTATCCCACCCAGCCCGCACGCGCTATTGAGTCAAACACCCTTCCGAAATCGTGTCGATCACTTAGTCCACCAGCCAAACGGCTCGCATCAAATGTACAGTATTATTCGGGTGGACGAAGCTGCTACCGTGAATGGAGGAACTCTCGCGATCGTTCTGCACATGTGAGATTCGCATGTACGGACGGACGTAGAAGTGCTGAACAAAGCAAGTACTTGAGATGGTGGTGGTGGTCTGCGACTCGTTCGTCTCACACCCTAACGTCGTGGCTTCCCCTTCCCGTTTTGCCGCAATCTTATTGTGGCTTCCAGAACATCGTGTTGCGGCTGAAGCAGTCCCACCACCAGCCTTTCCTCCTTCCCCCCATCGTAGGTCTCAACACTGTGAGGCACTCGCCTACAGCAAATTGTTTCTAGGTGAGATCCGGCGTGGGCAGGATCGACTGGGCATTTGACGCTTGTGATGCTGCTGCCGCGGTCGGACATGCTTTGGCGCGTTCCGCTGCTGATCGTCGACGTGGCTAGTCTCTTCTAGGCACTGGGACTGAGTTGGCCGGCAGGGGCCTCTTGCAGGGGAAGGGTGGATTTAGCCATGGCTTTGCGTGCCCACTCGCCGTTTGGGGCCTGCGAAATGGCTCCGGCCCCTGCGACCTTCCTGTCCTCTCAATTCTCTCATGCCGCTATCACTGCTCCCCAACTACTGCATCTCCCCTCCTACTTGCATCTATCTCGCAGCTTGATCCTGACACCGCAACTTCTACCTCCGCCCTCGACCTTCCCTCGTCTTCGACTCCCAATCATCAGTCTATCGTCTGTCTCGCTTTTCGCTGCCTCCGTATCGTTCCCCTAGGCCCGCGACATCCGAGTTTTCCGCACCAGTCTACCGACACCATCCACACCCACGACTTTATGACTCGATGAACATGAATTGACGATAGTCCACATCTGCCATAAAAAACATACCTCGTTGACCCGTCACCGCCGCGATGCCAGCTCCTCTGATGGACGCTGTCGGCAGCTTCACTCACCTGACGGACAACATCCCAATCTGGCTTACACAACTTGAATCTCTGTCCAAGTACACCAAGGAGAAAAACAAGGAATTCGTTGCCGAGTATGAAAGACTGGTGAAGTCCTCGAAACCGAAGCGTGTCAAGTCACCTTCAGTCTGCTCTATCCAGTCTGATAATAAATCCATCCGACTGCCAGAAGTCGAGCCCTCGAAACCATCGGGTCTCGAAACAGCTCCTGACTCTGCTGTCGATCCTCTCGAAGCTGGGACAAAACACATCTACGCTGCACAGGTACAGAGGAAGCGGAAACCTACTGCTTCGCTCCGTTCTGGTGCTTCCGGTCCCCAGAAATTCAGGATAAAGCATCAAGTCGTCATATACTATGATGCTCATATCCAACAAGAGTTTGATGCTATGGTCAAAGCTGTTGGGATCGCTCGGAATAATTTGCGGAAGGGCAAGAACTCTCTAACTGCAAACCGTGGCTTCCAGCTGCCCAATCTTTCCAAGCGCTACGAGGGTCTTACGTCGCCCTCACTGGAGAACATCAGATCATTGTCAAAATATCGCAGCTCCAGTATGAGCCCTAGTGGCTCCAAGCTCAACCTTCGAACATCTGCTCAACCACAGGACCCAGATGAAGCTGCCTTCATGAATTCGGACAAAGTCCTTGAAACCGTACAGAGTCTGTATGAAACTGCTGCTCACCAGTTCCTCCGTGATGGAGATTGTCAGAAAGAGCTGGATACTGCAACAACTAGGCTCACAGAGCTGCTGCGGACGGCCAAGTCTACTGCAGAAACTCTCAAGGCTAAACAGTTACAACAACAGGCCGATGATCCCAGTATCAGTGCCAATGTCAGCAGAAACCCAAGCCTTTCGGATCAGGGCTGTCCATCATTGCTATCCGACAAGTCGTCCATGGAGCCACTAAACCTTCCTTCGGTGCCAGTGAAAGGTCAACTGTCGGCTCTCACCCAAACCCTTGATGATATGCGGGAGAAAGGGGTCGTTAGCGCTCCTCCCGCCACAAGTGTTCCTGCACCACAGGGTGTCATGGCTATTGAGGTTGACGACGGTAGTGATGCCGGCAGCTTTGATGATATTGACATCTCTCAGTTTCGGTCGAACAGACTGAGGATGAGGGCTTAGCATAGCAGTCATTCATCACTCTATGCAAACATTTGGCTTTCCTTTTGTGCTGCGGCTTAGCGACTTCAAGCATGCATTTGGCATTACAAACACTGGCAAAAGCACAATATCCCGTCTTGCATCACTGCCATGATCTGGCGAGCTACCCGAAGACCCAGATGCGAGGTCTGTTCTACCCTGAAATGGTCGGAGATGTGGCAACGATGTGTGCAGGGATGGGCTGGGAGCAGGATTTTCCAACGTCTTAACGGCCGATTTTTGAATTTTGCGCAATCTTCTTTTGATCTGTTTGAGCGGGATATTCGACGGAGGGCTCTCCTACATGGCATTTGTTTTTTAACGGTCTGGCAGGCGAGCGTGCTCAATCACCGCATATTTTTTCTTTTGATTTCATGGGACCAAAAGTGGAAGAGTTATCTATTGATCTCTACCTGCTGCGAGCGAATAAGTGACCACTACTACACTGTTATCCCTTGAGTTCTCTGGGATGGAGGAATGAGAAGCTGGATGGATGAAGCAAGGAAGACACAGACTTTGACGAGGTGGACGGCAGAATGTGACGAAGGATGAAACGGCAGATTCGAAACCCTGGCTTCTTGTGTAGCAGCGCAACACGCAGCATCTCTTTTCGATTTCTTGCAAGTTGCGGCGTAGCACAGGGCGGAGCGGAACGTGTATTACGCGGAGGCGTAGGGCACTACTATCAGGCCGGGCAATACGAGGTCGAATGGGAAAATATCTATTTCACCTTGTTCCTCATTTTTTTTTGGTCTCTATGGGCATGATCGTTCTCTATCTGTCGTTCTACTGCTACCGTAGGCTCTCGTGAGGCAGTACGACTGAAAAGTGAGGCTCTCCGGCGAGGCACGGTACGCTCGAAAGGCCACGCTCGTGCCGATTAGTGCCTAAACTGCCTCACGTGCAATGTACAAGCCACACCCGGTCCGGTCCGTTTCAGAGAACAGCCATCTGCGGTGCAGGATGCTTCTGCAGCTACGGAGTAACTTTGGCTGCAGTCTCGAGTTCCGCGCGTCGTCGCTCCAAGTCTCGGCACCAAATAGTGCTTTTCCTGGCAGATTGAATAGAAAGGACCGCCCAGGAGTGGGGGGGTGAGGCTCGGATGCCCCACGAAAGTGACACGAAAGTGGGCATGGGTGATTTGACTTGAGAATAGGCAAGCATTGTTGGGTTAGTTTCAATAATGATTGCAACTGCCGCTGCAACAAATCGTGCGATGCGCAGACGCGCACGTTCCTGTGTCTCATTTGTGGACGGTTCCGCATCGGAAACAGCAGGAGGGTTGGCTTACGCGAGTGCTCTAACCTGCTGTAGTAGTAGCCATACAGCGTGCTGAGGATGATCACCCGGCGAGCGAATGCTCGTACCGAGTTGTTATTGCGTGCTTTGGGCTGCTGCCCAAGACGACCGGTGTTTACGGGGACTTGGGAGATAGACTCCGGGGGAAGGCCCGCGATGCCGTAGTGCAACGATGATCTAACACGGACCGTGATAGGTGTGGTATTGGGCGCGTTGGCGAAGGTTCGGTCCGAGATAAAATCATTGTTTCGTTCTGGCTGCTTCTCTCGCTCACTGCTCTAGCTTGAGAAGAGGCGTGTGGTTGATGAACGATCATGGAAAGCCTGGCCAAAGGAGCTCAAACCTGAGACTGCGCAGCCGAGCCAGCAGCGGCCGCAGTCGCCTGCTGCTTGGCAGCGTTCAGGCGTGCCTCCTGCACCACACCCATGAAGAGCTTCTTCTTGACCTCATCGGCCCAAAGACCGGCAACCTCCTCACCGGCAATGCGTTCGCCAGTCCGGACAAGCTTCTCCATCTCGCCATCATTCTGCACCTTGATGTTGCGGTTGGCATCAGCGCTGCTCACAAGCTCGCGAGGGCGGGCAGTCATGGAAGGTCCGGAGGAGCGGTACTTGTTGGCTGCAGCACGAAGCTTTAGGGAATGATCGTGGATGCGCTTGTTTGAGAAGTCGCGGTTCGTGTAGAGAGGCGACTGGGAGAGAGTCGAAGTCCAGTATTTGTTCCACAGCAAGTCAAGCAAGTGGCTGTCAAGACTAGACTTGAAATGCGTGACTTCGAGAGGGTAGTATGAGTTGGAGTGTGCACCATAATCATCTTGCTTGTCTACGGGGACAGGTTGGAACTCGTCGTCATCGTTGAAGCCTTTGTTTGCGGGACGATGGCCTTCAGGATAGGTGCGGAAAGCACCAATTTCGACTTTGCCCGCGGAGACCGTGCGCTTGGGATCGATGACAACAGCCACGAATGGGTCGTTGACAGATTGCTGCAGCATCTCGGTAGAGACGTCGATACCGGACAACCAACAGCCGTAGCCAGGGTGAGAGTGGTACCATCCGATCGGATTCTCTTGTTGTCCACCTCCATTCCGAGCCAGCTCGCCAAACATGACCATATATTCGTCTGCGTCGGCCTGAGCGTTTACACGAGTCTCGGTACCTTCAACAGGAAGCCTGAAGGCATCTGTTATGATCAGGGACGTGCCACTGACATAGCCGGTCATGAGGCCCATTATTTCAAGATCACCACCACTCGCAGCGTGAGTTGTCATTTTGAGTAATGCCAGGGCGGAGATTCTGACGTGGGTGAAATAGTTTGGGTTCGTTCGCCATGGGTGCGCATTTTGCAGAGCCTGGTATTCAGAGTGAGTGGGCAGCTTGTAGAGTGCGTTGGAGGTAGGATCGACTGTAATGATGTCGTTCTCAGCCTCCCACGTGCGCTGAGCCGCCGTGGGAGCCATGCTGAGCTTGTGTGAGAATCAGAGGGAGTCGTAATAACCAGGAGGTAATGTTAGAACTGCAGTGATCAAATCATAGAGGATGGGTTGGAGGGGTTGTGCAATGGCCATAAGACTCCATAACCTTTCTCCGCAACGATGCCTGCGGAGTAACAGAATCTCCGATCCCTAGCGTGATCGACCACATCCAGGGAAGTAAGGCTGAACAAGGCTGAAGCTAAGCTGGAGATAGGCCTTTGGTTGTCGCAGCAACCAACGCCTTTTCGGGAAAGCGCATGTACACATACCATCGAGTTGACTCTGGGGACTTTGTCTCCTCAAGAAGACTCGCACCGACCCATTCCTGACCGCAATGCGCACTGGCCTTTCTCTGAGATCTCAAATGCTTCATTGCACTTTCTCTCGTGCTCTACAGTGACCGAATATACACTTCGAGCTGGGCGTCACGCCGCAGCGCTGCTCCCGTTCGAACTCGAGCTCCCCCACATTCCAGTGCTTCGACTGACGCTTTGCGACAATGTCTCCGCCCATGGACACCAGTTACCTTACAACTCAGGTGAATACGATCATTGGTCAACTACACACGATATGGGATGAGATTGGTATACCTCGCAATGAGCGCGAATCGCGAGAAACAGAGCTCTTCGCCGCTCTTTCAGATACTCTACACAATCAGCTTCGTGTGGTCAACTCGTAAGTCTGCCACCTTAAGAATCTGGATGTTTCTAACATGAACTAGACAGAAGAATGAAATCACAGAAGAAGCCAACGATATTATCAAGACCATCAAGCAGATGGAAGCATCACTAGATGATGAGAAACAGCGAGGCGGCTATGACCTTGGTACTTCTGGCCTTCGAGTGACGTTTCCGCTCAACGAATGTCTACGTGATCTGAAAGAGAAACACAACATTGTCTTAAGGCTCCACCGTGAGCGATTCGAACAAGTCAAGAAGCTGGTCCAGGCTCTTGAGTCATACTCGTCTCATCTTGAGGCGTCGTTCGTCAAGATTCGGCTCCCACCTACGAACAGCAGTACCTGTCCACCAAACTTCGATTTGTCTCCTTCTTATGTCGCCACACTCGATGAAGAATTTACCAGAGTGTATGATGAGTACAACAAACGAGTGAGCCTGGTCCAGAGCATGGGCGAAGAAATGATCCGCCTTTGGTCCGAGCTGGGTATTCCACAAGCGCAAACAGATTCATTCATTGTACAGCACTACCGCGAATCGCCTGAGCAGCTCGGGCTCCATCAGTCAGATGTTGATAGAATCAAAAGCAAGCGTGACAAGCTGGTCGACGAAAAGAAGAGCAGGGAAAAGAGGTTGGCCGACATGAGAAAGGCTGTCGAAAACTTGTGGGACAGACTTGGTGTCGAAGAACCTGACCGGAAGGCTTTCCTCGCCGCCAATCGCGGCTGTGGCCTCCGGACTATCAATGAATTCGAGGACGAGCTGGCGAGACTCAACGAGTTGAAGCGACAAAACCTACACCTCTTTGTTGAAGATGCACGTGTGAGACTTCAGGAACTCTGGGATGTGCTGTATTTCTCCGAAGAGGAGATGCTCGAGTTTACTCCGGCTTTCTCGGACGTCTACAGTGATGCCCTGCTTTCGGCGCACGAGGCGGAGATTGAGAGATTGACTGTACTCTCGGAACAGAGAGCACCCATTCTCGAGGCCATTGAGAAGCATAAGTCGCTGGTTAACGATAGAGAATCGCTCGAAGCTTCGGCAGCTGATGCCTCGCGGCTGCTGATGAAACCTCAGAAAGGCGAAAAGCGCGACCCAGGTAAACTTCTTCGAGAAGAGAAAATGCGCAAGCGCATTGCGAAAGAGCTACCGAAGGTCGCTGCTGCTCTAGTCAAGACTCTGCAAAAGTACGAAGACGATTATGGCAAGCCGTTCTTGGTTCACGGTCAGAGCTACCTCGAGGAGCTGGAAGACATGGAGACGAGAGCGCCGCCTCCTCGATCAAAGACCCCGAATGGGATGGCACCACGGCCCAAAACTCCAGGTGCTCAGCAGACAAAACCCACACAGCCGAAGTCAGCTCCATCAACTGCTGTACGGAATCCGCCTTCACGTCCACAAAGCTCCATGCGCGGACATGCGCCTTCGAAATCCGTTAGCAAAACACCTACTCTTAGTCGCGCGGGCTCGAACCGGTCACAAGCTCCACCTTCCGTAGCATCAACCACTGTGCCGTCAGCTCAGAAATCTCCGTCAAGGATTCCAGCCAGAGTGCCACTTGCGCACCTTCAACACGGCGGCAACTCGCCTGAGCGTCGCCAACAACCTCACCTACAACAGCAAGGCGCACAGCCAAATTACGCTGCCAGTGCACGAACAATGGGCCCTCCTCGAGCTCCGCCTCCAAAGATGCGTGATCTTGCCGCGCAGCCTCCTCCCCAGCCCGCTCATGCTCAGTACAACCCGGCTCAGTCGCAACGCCCAATAAGCACTCGCTCGGACAGCTCGGATGAGAGCGGACGCTATGTTCGCCCAATGTCTCCTGAAGATGTCTACGACGATCGGGAGCGCATGTCATATATGTCAGCGTCACTTGTGAATCGGGATCGCCAGCTCCAGCAATATCCTAGTGCTCCAAGACCTCCGTCCAGACAGCGGGATCACGATCCCTTCAAATGCTCAACTACGCAGCATTCAGCTGCGATGGCTCCTCCACCTCGCCCGGACCCAACGTCACGACAGACTTCGAACACTTCTTCAAACATGACGAACGGCACCACTGCCACGAGCAGCTCAGAAAACTGGGAGACTTACTCTGATGTGAGCGAACTAGAGCCTGATAGGGACGGTAGAGATACATACTATCCCAACAGATACGACCCAGCACCTCCACGACGGACGCAAGCCGCGCACTCTCACATGGGGCCACCGCCACCAAAGATGAGGCCGCAAGGCTACCACCCTGCCCCAGCGACTATCCATATCACGGATGAAAACCACTACATGATGGGCGAACGACTTGCCAGTGTAGAAGGTAGCGAGGGTGCTTGGAGCACGGAGGCTGAAGAGACGTATTGATTTCGCAAGGGTTGCTTGAACACATTGGATCAGGGTATTGTGAGAGTAGGAGTTTTTTGAACATTTCAGACTATGATTGACACGAGACATGCCAGCGAACTAGCGTTCATTCTGTGGGAGTTTATGCAAAGACTACTCTCCAAGCTCAGGCATGTCTGTCTACTCGCATAACACTGTTGTTGGCTCTGCTGTCGTCCCACTTTTTGTGTAACAACTTTCACATTCAATGAACAAAAAGTTCTAAGTCTGCCACGTACAACCTTTGTCGAATCGTGCTCTGCCCTCCATAGACCGATCCTGGCCTGGCATATGTGCAGGTCAAGTGATCTCGAAAGCAAATGCCGTTGTTGTGTCTTGGTGCTCGACAGGCAGCAACAACGAGCCTTCATTCAGCTCGACCTCTCTCTCACTCAGCACCTCGGGAGCCTCGAACTTCATGAAATGGTCCTTCTCATCACCGCTGAACGCCAGCGTCTTGACGCCCACTTTCCCCTCCTTCTCCCACCCGCTGATCTGCACCGCCCATTTTCCCGCCCTCGCCCTCGTACCCGCCAACACTCGGACTACCTTCCCGTCTGTCGTCGCATATACATCGCCCAGTTCCTCGGCGCCTTCCGTTGGCTCAGTCCTGACCCGCCCGCCCACCATCTCCCGTGCATAGTATAGATACACCTGATACTCCGCGGTGGGCCAGTATCCGGTTCCCTCCAGCTCGTACTGGTCCGTCCCTGCGCCCGGCTTCCCCAGCAGGCCAGCCATGAAGTCATGCAGTGCGCCCCCCATAGCCCAGTTGCCACGGAGGCCCCAAGCATTCTGCCTCTCCAGCTGGGCGATCCACCACGCGCCCGCACTCGGCAGCTGCTCCGGGTACGTGGCGTACTCGTTGACGTTGATATCGGCGCGCCCGGCGTCCTCGGACAGCCCATGTTCGCCCAGCATCTCCCTGAACAGCGCCACACTGTTCGTCATGGTCGACTCCGTCTTGCCGCTCTCCATGTGCCACGCCCACTGATCCGGCACCTCGCCCGTCTCGCTGACGTGCTTCAGATACCCCATCCACCACTGATTATCCCTGCTCGGGAAAGCACTCAGACTCGGGCCGGTGAGCCTCAACGTGGGCAACTCCTTCCGCAGTCGCTGGTACGTGCGCGACCACAGCCGCAGCCAGCGCTCGACGCTGCGGCCCCAGAAGAAATGCAGGTCTGGCTCGTTCCAGATGTCGAAGACCAGGCCGTCTAGGTGGTCGTGGGCTTGGGCATCGGCGATCCAGCGCGTGAGGAGGTTGTCCCAGTGCGACCAGTCGTCGTTGTCGCCGGGCCAGAGGGCGTCTTTGGGCTGGCCGCCGTCGGCGCCCCAGAGGTCGGAGATCAGGTAGATGAACTGCCCGCCGTGGGAGCGGGCGGTGCGGTAGTTGGAGAGCGCGGACGAGAAGCGCGCCTCGTAGTCGCTGACGGAGCGCGCCCAGCCGCGGTTGGAGGGTAGCTGGGACCCGCCCGCACGGGTATAGCGGAAGTGGATGTCCTGAGAGTCTTGGTTAGAGAGTAATTATGGCTTGCTATGGTACATAGCGCCTCGTTCGCGGTGACTCACGCGGTAGAAATGGTCGGGGATTTGTAGAGGGTTGTCCGGAATGCCATAGATGAAACCTGAGGCTAGGTGTTGGGGTGGGCCGGTCTTCTCGTTCAAGAAGACTTTTGCTGTGCCAGTCACCGGAGGCTTTGCATCCTTATCTTTGGCGGCAGGAAGGCCTTCTAGCATGGAGAGGTATTCCGCTAGGAGAATGGGGTCAACGCGCCGTAGACTTTGCCTTGCAAGGCTGCGATTGAAAGGGGTTGAGCCTACTAGACATCTTGTTTAGACAAATTCTTCCTTGAGAATGCGTTTCGCAGAGTGTCTATTCTTCCAACTTGCGTTATTCGTTCATCGATGACTTTCCGCCTCCGCTTAGGTTGTGAGCCAGAGCGCGGTGTTCATAGTCTTCAGTGAAGCGTGTCTCTGACGACTTGACAGATGTAGTTTGGTACGCCATGCTCCAGGCTAAGCGCGCCAACCTTTCGTTGCCGTGTTAAGCCGACGTCGGAGAGCCGCCGGCTACTTCCAGTGGAAGCCTTGCTTTGCCCAGATGTGCCCATGCTGGGTGTGGCGATTGCCATACAGCACTGGAAGCTCAGCGTCCGGTGGGATACATCCGGCGGGAGAAATCTATAACCCGGCCCACATGTCCGGCTCTGTTACAGTAGTCCATTGAGGAGCTTTGATTCTGCGGGGGTGTGGTGTTGTCTCGGTTCTCCAAATGGTGGGGTATCCTATGGGAGGATCGTGCTCGTGAAGCCTTCGCCAGGTTTGGAGACGGTACTACAATAGTCTCCTCTTGAGGGGACCATCGCGGATGCGGCTGGCGCTTTTCGGAACTGTCACGCACATTGAGCTTGGATTCTGGCACGAAAAGGAAGGAAGCCCATCCCGCCGGAGCCTTCGGGCCCTGACCGAAGTTGTGGTCCGTGGTACTGGTTTCCGTTCTGAACAGGCGCAAATCCACACCGGACGATGTCCCAATCAAGCATACGGGGTAGTCTTTCCTGCGACTCGCGTCGAGCAGGGCCAAAGCTTCTCCGCAAAGTTGAGTGAGACCATGCTGCCGCGTGGTCTGAGATCGACGGTCTGCCCATGGGGACGGGGTGACCACTGTCTCCACCGCGAAGCTCTAATGGGCACGATGTATGAAAACGATGTCTATGCCCTCTGCTCTTGGACGTGCTTCTCCGCAAAGAAAGGCTTCTAACACTGAACTATATTCTGTCTGGCTTCGTGAGTATGGCAGGTGACACATCCATGTCTCTGGAGAAGGAGACTTCGGTCGAACAGCACGAGACAGTTTCAGAGGCTGTCAACGATGTCGCAGTCTCAAAAGAGTGGGCGCACGCCGAGGGCAAGAAGGGTGCCGATCAGGAGCATCAAATGACGCTCTTGCAGGGAATCAAAGGATACCCAGGAGCGATCATGTGGAGCGTGTTGCTTTCAACGGCTATAATAATGGAAGGGTATGATATCGTTTTAATCGGCAACTTGGTACGTTCCAGGCTGATGGATACTGGGATCTACTGACATGCCCGGCAGTTTGGTCAACCAAAGTTCCAGGAGCATTATGGTACCTGGCGGGGGGAGGATCTGGGTTACCAGATCTCCGCTCCATGGCAAGCTGGTCTCGGGAACGGAACTGCAGTGGGAACGATCATCGGCGCCTTTGCGAACGGCTGGTTGACGCAAAGGTTTGGCTACCGCAAAACACTCCTTTGCGCTCTGGCAGCTGTGACTTGCTTCATCTTCATCACGTTCTTCGCCAGGAGTCTGCCCATGCTCCTGACAGGCTCAATCCTCTGCGGATTGCCTTGGGGAGTCTTCGCCACAATGGTTCGTTGCCCGTCTGAGGATGGCTTGCCATGCTGACACCTGCCAGGCTCCCGCCTACGCCAGTGAGATTTGCCCGTTGGCTCTTAGGTCATACCTCACCTCTTACGTGTGTTTATGCTGGGCACTGGGTCAACTAATCTCGGCCGGTGTTCTGAATGGATTCCAAAGCAATATGACGCAATGGGCTTTCCGCGTTCCCTTCGCCATTCAGTGGATCTGGCCAATTCCGCTTGCGATCGTGCTGTTCTTCGTTCCGGAGAGCCCGTACTGGCTTGCGAGACGCAATAGGCTCGAAGAAGCCGAGGAAGTGCTGAACCGACTGTCGTCGAAGAAGTACCCTGCCGACACCAAGAAACAACTCGCAATGATCGTGCACACCAACAAGATCGAAGACGAAATCTCCTCTGGTGGTAGCTATGTCGATTGCTTCAGGGGCATCAACCTTCGTCGGACGGAGATCGTGTGCCTGGTTTTCATCACACAAAATTCAACGGGGGTGGCTATCGGAGGGACGGTAAGTCACCTGCACTGATCAAAGTCTCTTGTTGAGACTTGGAACTAACTGTGGTGTGCTGTTGTTCATAGCCCACTTACTTCTTCGTTCAGGCCGGCGTCGGAAGCGAGCATGTCTTCAAGTTTGCAACCGGCGCCTTGGGGTTGGCATCGGTTGGCGTCATCATCTCGTGGTTCCTGCTTTACCGCGTTGGCCGTCGAACGCTTTATGTTTGGTCTTGCGGTGCTCTCGTCGTTTTGCTGCTGCTCATTGGCGTAATTTCGGCAGTCAGCCAGTCCCAAAGCGCCAGCTTCGCACAAGCCGGACTGGTACTTGTTTGGGAAATCCTCTTCTATGCCACAATTGGGCCTGTAAGCAACAGTGACATCGATCTGATGCGTACAGTTGGCTGACACCGCCTGATAGGTCTGTTATACCATCATTGGAGAGGTTCCGGCTGTCGGCGTCCGCAACAAGAGCATCTGCATAGCCCGGATTGCTTACTATATCTCTCAGATTACCGTTGGGACGATAAGTCCGTATCTCATAAATCCCACAGCGGCCAATTTGCGAGGGAAGGTTGGTTTCTTCTGGGTGCGTACCTTTGCGGATTTGTCGAAAGGAAGACGGCTAACGAGATCGGAAGGCGGGGACTTGCCTCTTGACCTTTATCTGGTGTTTCTTCAGACTGCCCGAAACCAAGGTGAGTGCAGCAGATGATTTTCGCACGGCGGCATGACTGATTGTGGGTTTCAGGGTCGAACTTTTGAAGAGATCGATCTACTCTTCGCTGCAAAAACTCCTGCGCGCAAGTTCGCCACGGCCAAGGTTGACGCGTATGCAGAGAGCTCGTCTCGAGTTGTGCCAGAAAGCGCGGATAATGCAGACAGAGCTTGAGGTCGAAATCGTCTCGAGCCGCAGTGTAGCGGGAGCTCGTGGGAGTATTGTGAAGAAGGGAAACGCGAGAACAACTGCCCGGAAGAAGTGGCCATCTTTTCCGTGCCATGGCTTGACGCACCAATTGTCGGCCGCACTTGAAAGCTTGTTCTGACCGTAGACAAGGATGACTCCTTTGCGACCCTGCAGTCTTGGGCAGAAATAGCACTTATCACGGCTCGCGTCTTGAGACCCGGGGCCCGACCTCCCCACTTGTCATGAGTTAAATCGTGGATGGCTATCCCATAAAAGTTTCGTCCTGTGATTCTTCTGCACATGCTCCACGAATTCCAGACACGTCATCCAAAACATAACTGCAGCTGCCACAGCTTCATCGACGCTGAACCTACGACTCCGAGCGTTCTGTTCCAGCATCCGATGGCTTCAGCGTATCGATAGCATGCTCTTCAAATGGCGGGGACGCGGAAGTCAGAAGTACGGTCAGGTGTTGTTTCTCTTCTTCCTGGTCCTCCTCATCTATCATGCACTGTCCGGGGGCGACATCATCACCACCACCACACGAACACACGATGCTACGCCTGGAGAATCAACCAAGAATCTCAATCCCTTCATCGAGGATCACGCACGGTTCTGGCGGGCTTTGTACTCGCACATCCTCTTCAACGACCCGGAATGCACGCCTCCAGAGCTCGTGGGCATTCCGCACAAACTCGATGTCATGTACGACCCAAAGCATGAGCCTCCACGACCCGACATCTTATGGCTGCAACCTGCCGATGTCCAGAAGCTCAAATCTGCGCACGCCAAGTTCCTGGACGACGTTCGTACCAAGAGCCCTCAGATTCCCTTCCAGCCAGACTCCCGAGGTATCGTGGTGACGGCCGGCTTCAGCCAACTCCCAGTCGTGGCCATCAGTCTACGTATGCTCCGCCGCACTGGCTGCACCCTTCCTGTTGAGGTCTTCCTCGCCTCCCAGGCCGACCATGACACCTTCGTATGCGATCACATATTCCCCTCATTGAACGCCAAATGCCTGGTCTTCCAGGATATCGTTGTTGCTGCCGGCACCGGTGTAATTCTCACCCGTTTCCAGTACAAGATCATGGCCCTCCTCTTCTCCTCGTTTGAATCCGTCCTCCTACTCGACTCGGACGCCTTCCCGGCTACCAACCCTACTGATCTCTTCAGTCATCCAGTCTTTACCTCCCATGGTCTGATCTTATGGCCTGACTTCTGGTACCCCTCAGAATCTCCTTACTACTTTGAAATCGCCTCCATCCACTCAATCCCGCCCCTCAACGCCCGTCCCGCGACCGAGTCGGGGGAGATCCTGCTCAACAAATCGCAGCATGACATGACCCTCATTCTCGCCGCCTACTACAACTACTACGGACCAGATATATACTACCCGCTGCACTCCCAAGGCGCCCCCGGCCAAGGCGACAAGGAAACTTTCCGCTGGGCCGCCGTCGCCACCAACTCCACCTTCTACTTCGTCCACACCCCCGTACTCGCCCTAGGCCACGTCGACTCCAACGGCGAATTCTTCGGCAGCGCCATGGCGCAGCACGACCCCCGTGCCGACTGGGCGACGCACCGACTCCGCAGTCCACACCCCGGCACCGAAATCGACAACGACAACGACAACGCCGACGACGATGCCTCTTACCCAGCCCCTCGCCAGCGGCCCCAAGAGGCCGCGCTCGCAAACCCAGACCCAAAACATCCCACTACTCCAGACATCCGTGTCCCTCCACTCTTCATCCACGCCAATTTCCCCAAATTCGACCCGGGCACGCTCTTCCTCTCCACCACACAACCGCCGGGCCGCGTGGGCCCCACGTTCGACAGCAACGGCACGAGCGTGCGGCCGTGGGACGACACGCTGCGTGCCCCCTATGACTACGTGGGCTATGATCTCGAGGCGGCGTTTTGGGAAGAGATCAAGTATGTGAGCTGTGAGTGGCAGGAGGGGATGGGCGCGTGGCGGAAAGTGAGGGGTGAGGGGGTCGATGTCTGTATGGTTGTGAGGCGGTGGGCGGAGAAGGTGTTTGGTCAGAAAGGGGCGAAAGGGGAAGATACAGATCAAGGCGAGCCGGCCGGAAGAGCTGGCGGTGAAGAGAATGGGCTACCTGGGGAGTGAAAGAGATTGGGGATCATGTCGAACTCGACTCGGTACTTTTGATTATGGATTGATCTTTTAGCAAGCCATTTGCATCGAAGCTAGAACTAGGATTACAGCACAAGCATGGAAATTATCGCAATGTCCACACACATAGGCGGAAGCACAAGAAATTTTGTTACCCTCAGTATGACGCGAGCATCGGCACTGTTGATACACTTACTCGTACTCGAACTCTTCAATGGACTGCTGCTGAGCGAGGATAGATGATCAAGCCTCTTGTCCCACCAGTCCCTCTGCTACTCAGCTTGGCAGTATGTATTCCTCCCGGCAGCTGATGTGGTGCTGGGAGTGGTACGTGTGGCAAGGGTAAATTGCTGTCAGTGCTGCCAATGCGTTCCTCATATCTTCGCAGCTCTGCACCATCGTCGGAAGTGACCGTCGATCTCGTTGCACTCCGGAGGCAAGGGAAGAATCGCTGCAGAAGGACGCGTAACATTGGGAGGCATGCACAGACTACTGCGACCGACGCCTCAGCTTGTGTCCACACGGTCGAATGAAGCGTGCCTGCAGTCGGGTCATCGGCATGGCCTGCAGTCGATAGAGTTGTGTAGCGAAGAATTGCAGTCAGAATGACAAAGAGCCCACAGCAAAGGATGAGCGCAATGCCAATGAAGTGTGCTGTTGGAAGACCTAGCGAGCGAATGACCGGAAATGGAGCCATTATAATGATGATGTCTGAAATGATATTGTAGATTGCATTGACACGCCAGAGAGTCAAGGCGGATAGGCAGGTCCCCTCAGAGTCCCGATTGTAGATCTTGTGTATTGGTGAGCACTGAAAGATGGTGAACGCCGTGAGAGCTGTCATGAAGGCCAGAATGATGGTGAGTAAGAGGAGACAAACATGCCGGAAAACGCGCGGGGAGAAAATTCGATAGTAGAGCAAAATAATTGATGCTTTGGTTAAGTTGATGGTGAGCTTGTAGTAGATCTGAAGCTGCCAGAAATACTATTCACGTATCAGTGCCTATTCCGAAGCACTATCAGAACAGAGAGACCAACATAGAGAGCGCTTTCGAGTGCAGTAGATGTGAGTTCAGTTGATTCGACACCGTACCCAGCGTTTCCAGCTGCAAGGGCCGCTGCGGATTGGGCGAGGAGAAAGGCCTTTGGAAAAGATGTGAGCATTGTCGTCTGTCTACGGACCGGGGGCAATTCTTACCATGGCCAACAGAATCACCCAGTCATCGTACCAGATGCGTCCGGGCACCTTGAGTCGCCAGAATATTCGATTGCAGACGAAAACCAGTGCCATCGAGGGTCCAATGACCGATAGCACAGCGAGGCTTCGAGCTGGACCGGCGAAGCCCAGACGATAGATGCAGTCAGTCGAGTCGGCGGACGAAGAGTGCGACAACAACGTGGGAACAGACATGTTAGAGATGTGAAGTTGCAATATTCAGTACAAGATTGATCGGTTGGGATTTCCAGGGCAGCGAACCCGACAGAGTACAGCAATTCATCGATGACAGAACGACTCACATTGCATCAAGGAACAGAGATTTCAAAGGAAGGCTTCTGGAAGGCGCGATTCCGGGTTGGTGGTCATGCAATGGCTGTGGGTTGCTCCTTCCTGAGTTGCGTTCGGCATGGAAATTGTGCGCGGGTTGGAAGGCACGGCTCTCACCATCCACATCTTGATACTCGCCACGAGTCTTCACGTCCCGGGTACCTGCATTTGTGGAGTTGTGATGATCAAAACACCTCCCAGGCCAAGCACTGTTCTGCAGTAGATTTGGGGAACAGCTTGGAACTGCATCTTGCCGTACGAGCTGTTGCTGTCACAAAACCTCTCGAGAAACATGCTATGCACACTCTCTTGCCAACGCAAACGCAAGATTCCCTGCGAGGTTAGAGACAGAGGGTAGGGAAAGCTCCAGATAAGAGCTACGTGAGGGGTGTTTGCTCAATCGGAATTGCTGGTTGCAACTGCTTGAAGGCAAACAGCCACCCAGCTCCCGTCACTGTTGCTATAGAGGGACAGCCTGCCAAGAGTGTTTAGATCTGCGCATCAGACGACTTGTAGCGGCTGCGATTGAGATGGCGCACCCGGCGCGGTGCTGACCTTCATCACAAGCACAGGTCACAACTCGAGAGCTCGTACTGACTCCCCGGCGCTGGCTGAGTGATCCTAGGGCAGACACCGGGCAAGGTCAGACTGCTTGACCTCAATTTCGGGCTCCCACGAACGGTCTGGCCTATGTTGGGGGACGTTCCCGACCACGGCGCGTTACAAGAGAGTTGGCAAGATCATCGAGCGCATTCAAGCGATCCTTTATGGGACTGCGCACGGACCACCATCAGAAACAACCTGCCAAGGAGAACGGCATTGGCCCATCGAGCCTCATCCGACTACGTCGGCTCTACCCATTCTCATCCAGGTTAAACTATATGCACAAAAGCCATAGCTGGCAACAGCTATACACGTTTGCTTTGCGACGCTCAATTGTTTGAAAGCGGTCCGCTGAGAAGGTATGCAGGCTAAGATGGCGAGAAGGTTGCGGCTTCCATGGACCACAGCAGCAGTACTACAAGCGCCGTACGTCGTGAGGGCGATGTTGCGCTCGGCTGGTTCTAGCGATCTATATTCTACTAGTCGTGTCATCTCAGTCTGCCAGCATTACATGAGCGGCCCGCCAGATGGAGCTCAGCAGTAACGCTATCTCGAGCGTGTTGCGAAATCATGGCAGCGTCGACGACATCCGACTCACGATGCCTCAGCTGGCACCCTTCGCAATTCACTCGGCCTCCTGAATGGTTCATTGTCAGCTCAACGACCATTGAGCACTCCCAGCTCATGCACATATCAGACATCGGGCTCAAGACCTAGTCACCCTCGGCGACGATTTCTGCAATATCGTATACCATATACAGCCGTCCAACCTACCGGAAGCGCTTTGACAGTATCCATTTTTTGGAGTCTTAGTGAATGTGTGCACTTGACAGCAGTGAATCTGTCTAAGTGATCTGAGTCTACTGCCTATAATCACCATGTCACCAATGCTCTCGGCTAAGGGCGGCCTGCTGCTGCCTCGCCAGCCCCTTCATCACCACTGTGACAGCAGCACCTGCCTATACCAACCATTCACCCACAACGATATCACTCAACGCGTTGCTATGGGTGATTTCTCTTCACCAACGCGTTCCGAGCTCCTTCCTTGTTACCACTTCAATCATTGCTATCTGACCATCATCAAAATTCATCCCCTCCGAGTCGTTCTCCATTTGATAGACTGCGCCACTACAAGTCTCTCACGACAGCCACATCGCTTGCACTCCGGCAGACGAACTTCTCGGATCGAAAGCCCTTTTACCCCACGTTGAACATGAACAGTACTCTGAAAGCTGAGGCTGTCTCCTTTCACCCTGTCTCGAGCATTCAGAGCACTTTGAACGCTGAGGCTGTGCCATTTGACCCGATTCCGAAGGTCCAGAGCAGCATGAAAAATGCGGCTACTGTCTTCGTGCCCCTTCCGAAGATGAAGAGCACCCTGCACGCCGAAGCTGCAAGTTTTACGCCCACTTCCCAGTCGACAGCTACGGTCGTCACTAATATTGCGAAGCCGACCTTCAACCCTGAGGCTGCTGCCTTCATCCCTGGTCCCTATACCAGTATCAAGATCGACGTCGCAACCAGCCTGAACGACTGGGTCTTCAGCTCTGATCCTGAGGCACCCGCGTTCCTGCCCGCTGTCCAGGCCGTCGAGAATCCCCAGCGCGAACAGGAGTTTGACTTATGCGGTAGCGCCAATCCCTGCGATTCCTGCGCTATACCGCTGCCGACTTCCAACATTTGCGCGGAACAGTCTTTCTGCATTCTCAATCCCGAAGCTGACATATTCGCTCAAAATCGTGGAGACACAGAATTGGAGTGTTCCATATCCAGTTTTAAGCCTGAAGCTGCCGCCATTGTTCCGAATGCCAGCAATCTGCAGTCAGAAGGTTTCTCGGCCGGTCTTGACCTCGATCTCGATATCGAGGCTGCTAGCCTCACTCAAGGTGCCAGCACGTGGGCAATACCATCGTCGCCTCCTTCCCCCGCTCCATCTACGATTCATCCCGGCCCAGAAGCAGAGAGCGCCGCAGGTAATGCATACATCCCATCTCCTGAACACGAATTCTTTGGCAATGATGGCTACTTCCCCATACTTACACCCTACGAATTTTATTACTACTACGATGCCCATCACCTTAATTGGCTTGGTCATCCCATTGAGGAGAAGTCCTTTACACGTCCTGCAACTTCACTGGCTATCATCATGAGTAAGCCGAAACTATTGAACAGACCATTGGAGGAAAACGACAATTATCAGCTGCAGGTGCTCTTGAAGAGTGCCTTCCGCTATATCGATCCTGTTGTGTTCACTGGCAGTCGGGAGATATTAAAGCTTGGTGGTACTAAGCTTGAGAATGCTGCCATTGGCCAAGCCCAGAAGTTTTACTCGCCTTGTGGTTGGTGGCAAGACGATCACTACGGCCAGGACGAGGATATTCCAGAGCCTGATCCTGAGGATGAGAACGCATATGGTCCCGAAGATGTGGTCTTCAACGGCTGCAGCAACGATACTGATGTTGTGATGCCTGGTCAATACTTCCTGCGTGCGCACATGAAATTTGCCCAAGAAATTGGAGAGATGAGTGTGGTGCAGAAAGGCCGTCGCGAGTACATGCGCGAACACCGTGGTACCATGATCCCAGGGTCTGCCTTGAGGAATGTTTCCAATATATCGGATTTGGACCCATTCGAGCAACCTCTCCGTGACTGGGCCTATGAGGTGGAGGACATAGATGGTCTTGGTTCCCAAAACGTCGCACGGGAGCTGGAGCAGATTCGCGACGGGCTGAAGATAGCTAAGCCCGAGCGTTCATTTCCTGCGAGAGTAATTAAGTCTGAGGAGGAAAGTGATCCACAACACCAGGCTCAGTCGGTTCAGAAGGTCGACTTGAAGGACCATGAGCTCGATGGGCATCCCAACGGTGGCTCTGGCGGCTGTGCCGTCAGCAACGAATCAGGAGTATGTGTTCTGGATTTAGTCAGTGAAGAGACCGAGAGCCCGAGCAGTCTCGAAGGCTGTCTGCAAGCCGAACCTCTGACTCCCAGCAAGTTTGTCGACCTGGATGCTGCTGTAGTTCTGGCTTCAACAACGCCTATCGACGCTGGAATGAGTGCTTTTGAGCCCGGGGACGAGTTCACGGAGCTAATCGAGGACAAGTGGTTCAGCCAGGACATCGGAACTCAAACGCGAGCCGTTTTCGATGTCGGTGGCCACGCTACCATTGTCAGCGTTGTCGAGGCGTCCTCAAACAACGAGCTTACTGTCCCTAACCCTGCTGAGGACAATGACGAGCCCGCCAGCTCTTATGAGGATGCTGTCTGTTCGTCTCCCTCTCCCTCTACAGCCTCACCAGCTGAGGAGGCTTGGCATAAAGGGGAAGTCACCAAATATGCCACGGCTCAGCGCCCAGTGAGCGGTCTCTGGCTTAGCACAAAGCTCAATGGCAGCTCTGTGCAAGGGCAGAATGAGGTTCTTGTCACAGAGCCATCAAAAACGGTCCAGAAGCTTCTGCCTGCGCCCAGCAGTGACTGTTCTTCTACCAACGTCATCTGCAGCACTTCACTCAGTGACTTCCCTTTGCCATGTGGTCACAACTTGTCATCAACCTCATTACCTCTGGCACCATCTTCTCTGATCGACCCTCAGAGACTTCTCCGCCGACCTGCCACCTTAGTTCACACTCCCTCAACCGCAACAGCTATGGCACCATCACCACTCATCCTCTCCGCGCAGACGCAATCGCAATTTGACGGGTTCTCAGGCTTTCATGGCGCCGCTCTCTTGCAGCTCGATGTGAGCACCGCTACCGCAGCTGGTTCGACAGAGCGACAATATGAGTACACACCTACCTCCCTCCAGTCTCGCCATGATCCCACAATGCGCCTCGGAGTTGTCACTTCTGGCACGCCTGAGATTACTGAGTCACCGCACTCCGACGAGGGCGAGAGTGCCGAACTTAGTACTCCTACGCCACTGGCCTCAACACACAACTTGGGAATAGGTGTCAGAGCCGGACATGGGAGCCAAGTTGCAGCCCTGACGCCTCATAGCACGCCAACTCCGGCCATGCGGGCACTGTCTAAGATCAAGAAGCGCGGTGAACAGGTCACCAAGACTTCTACAAGCCAGGACGATCAGCGAGCGACCTCCCCTATGCCTGTCATGCCATCTCCACCCGTTCGTGCGCCAGCACAGCTTGTCGACAGCAACTCTGCGGAACTTTCATTTGCCGATGCCCTGAACATAACGCCCCCCTGGGTTGCAGCTCGCCGTGCAGACCACAGCAGACCTGGCCAGCGTGCGCCTGAGATTCCAACTGCAGCGCCATCGACGCCCGTCCGTGCTTCGGCTCAGCTCGCTAACAACGACTCGCCTGAGGTCTCTTTTGCCGAAGCACTCAACATCACGCCTCCGCAGGTTGCTGCCCGACGTGATGCTCGCGCAAATGCTGCAAATGGCCGCGCTTCCCGCCGAGATATCGAATCTTCGCCCGCCAGAGGCCGCGCCGCTCGTCGTCGCTACGCCAACTGCCTAAAGCTGCGACCTACCACTGGCTCGGTGGGAGTCACGCCTACGACCGCGAGTGGCATCATTCGTCGGATGCGCGACTCGAAGCCCCAACAGGAGCAGAACGATGGCCTGATCACCAAGATGTGGAAAGGCTTCAAGGGCGTCTTTGGCAAGGAGATCAACGTGCTGCGATACTAGCATGGGCACGGAGTCTGGAGTTCTGGGAGAGGCGTTCAAGGCATGTACATCAGGACTTCTTGTCTCTGGATCTGAATTGGTTTGGGATGCGGCAGGATAGCCGGAAAGCGCATTTTATGCCACTATGACTATGGATTACGACTGGATTAGATGGATATGGACAGGCCAGCAGAGGCCTGGGCGACGACTGCAATGAGGATTTTGGGCTTTTGAGATACCCCTGTACCAGTACCACGGCTTGCAACTGGTTTGATGACGGAATGAGGACATTGAGGGCGCTGTGTTGCAGACAGCATGGCATTTCTGCATGGCAGTCTATTTGCTACTGTCAACGCATATGGTTTGGGGGAGCAGCTACCTCAAATGGTAGAGAGAAATGGTCTAGCATCAAGAATGAATGAGCATGCAAGAGTTCTGTGCTTTTTTACCATTCTCCTGACTGTGAACTAACTATTTCTTCGCCATCCTTCTGTCTATAACGTTAAAAAAAATAACACCATGAAGCCCCCAGCTTGTTCGTTGCGTAGTAGGAATCCCAGAGGCCGACGAAGTCCACCGGTAGGGATTTCCCCTCGGATGCCGATGTCGTACACGGGTTGGCAAGCGTTGGGGCGACGACAAGTTGCACAGTCCTCAATACCAGTGCTGCTTCGGGTTCATATCTCCGCACGGGTGTTGTGTCATTGTGCGAGTTTGTCGGGGGATTTCCTTTGCATCTGGTCTATCGTGTGTATGGTTTGTCAGCAGGGGAAAAAAGCTCCGCGTTGACAGGCGCGTTTCTTTTTGATGATGATGATGATGATGATGATGATGATGGTGTTGCGATACACGGTGGCAAGCAGGCGGGCAAAAAGAGAGATAGAATGAATCTGGTATGTCTAGGGTGATTCTTTATTTTGGATTTATGGTGTATTCGCTCAGCATGCGGCTATGCAGCTAATGCTTGTGTGGATAAGTCTGCGGGAAGCCATGTTGTCTCGCTCCATGTCTGATGCTACCTGCCCATAATCATGATACCAGGTGCTCCATTACTAGTAAACGGACGCACTGTGCTAAGCCGCCATCCAGGGACTCATTCCAACTTTGAGGCGTACCGTTCACAAATGCTTGTCGACCGCAGCGCGGATAGCGCGCTCGTTTGCGCCGACAATCTCCTCGACTTGCTCACCGTTCTTGAAGACCAAGAAGGTGGGCATGGCGCGAATGCCGAGTTCCTGCGCGACGTCCGGCACCTCGTCGACATCAATCTTGTAGAAGTCGACGCTGTCCTTGTACTTTTCTTCCTGCGACATGGCGCTCACTTTGGGGGCAATCATCTTGCAAGGTCCGCACCAGGTGGCGAAGCAGTCGACGAGGACGACGCGGCCGGCGGAGGCCTGCTTGACGGAGGTGTTGAAGGAGGAGTTACTGTGAATAGGGTTAACGCCGTAGCTCTTTGAGGATGCGGAGGATTGGGCAGATTGTTCGCGAAGTTTGCGCTGGTGGTAGGCTACGTACTCTGCTAGGTTGTGGACCGTCATGTTGGATGTGGTAGGCTGGAAGTTTTGGGTGGGTGTGCTGGAGAAATGTCTTGAGGTTGTAACGCGTGCGAAGTTGCTGGTAGTTGTTGTTTGGAGAGGTGAGAACTGGGTTTTCGATATTCGGAGACCCGGTAGTGACGTCGATATCAGGCGTGGGGTTTTGGTGAAGGATGTTCGAAATGCAGCGGTCAGAGCCGGGGTATATATGCTGGGTCTGTGCCAGCAATGTCAGATGAATAATGGTGAAGACTCGAAGCTACGACGCAGGGTCGGGAGCGGTATTTGTCGCGTGTTTGCAAATTGTGGGAGAGATGAGGGATAACGGAATCAACTTACGGCATGGGAAGCGCGCGGCGAGGGGTAATCCGATGTGTCTTTATGCCGGGACTACCACGAGGGATGGAGGGGCTGCTTTTAGGCTGAGGACTATGAATGGCAGGCTTAGAAATACGCTGAAATTTGATAAGAAGCCTTCAGGCAGCTTCTAGCGCTGCTTGGAGCAATGATGCCATTGATTGTGCCGCCAGGATTTGGAATTACCTGCCGGGCACGTGACAGGGCTGACAACGGCAGGGGTTGAATAGTGATCATCAAAAGATTGTTATTGATGGCATCATTCTTCTACTTGCAAAGAACAGCCTCGCTGACCTATAGTAGGCAAATTTACGCTCGTGTGTCCGTCCAGATCGTTCATTATGCTGTAGCATTCCAACCCAAAGGGCAGAGATAGTCCTGCCATCCTCTACCCGCGGGTTATCGAAAGGAGCGGCAAAGGGTATCGAAGCGTCGTCGTCAAAATTACAGAGCACACTAGGCTCGAGTCTCTCAGAGACTTTGCACCACTTTTCGTTCGTAACATAGGAGATGGCCCGAGTCTGGGTTGTTGGAGGCTAACAACTTTCTCTTTGTCATTTCTGAGGAATCGTCTCCTGCGCTGCAATGGCATTCGCGCGTTGCGAATTCACCGAGTGCACGGACGCTCTTCTGATATCGAGTACCTTGGCACTTCCGGCACTGATCTTCCGGGCATGACCTTTGCCATAGTCGACACTGCGAGCACGCATGATGGTCATTTCTTCTTCGCTTTTTGGCGACTCATTGTCTTCATCTTCGCTCATAGCGCCGGCATCGGCTGATTGGAAATCCTTCAGTAAACCCTCTCGAGACTTTGCGCGGGTCGCAGGCTTAATGACGGTGGGCTGGCGGCCCACACTTCCGTGCCATGTCTCTCCTTGATTCAAGGTGCGTGACATCGCTGGAACTGGTTGGGCCACGGATTCTTCTTTCTGAGTCTCTAAAACGGTACTGCTTGCTCGTCGTGCTGAAATAGTAGACCGACGCCTCTCGTCCGGCTCTGGTGAAAGGCGGCTAAGGTAGTCGTCTGAAGCAAGTGCCTCCTCCATCTCATCTGGCTTCTGGTTTAACTCCAGATGCATAGGACTCATAGGACCAGAAAGTCGTTTAACCGGTTTCCCCGAAAGCCACGAGCCCTCCGAGTCCACCGACGCAAGGGACTGGCTAAGGGCATGACCAGCGAATTCACTATCTCCCGACATCAAAGACTGCACTCGACTATCTGGCCGGCCTCGTTCTAGAGTGGGGGCACTGGAGTTGGTTTCGTCCAGCGTTCCCGATTGTGAGCGAACAAGATGTCTTGCCGTAGGTGACGTGATGTTTACAGGCTGACCACTTGTTATTTCAGGGGACTGTAATCTCGAGTCCGGTGGTGTGGGATACTCCGGTAGATCTTCCTTGAATTTTGACATCGTTCGCTGTGGAGTAGCCGAGCCAGAGCGTACAAAAGTTCTCTGCGAAAGCATCAGTTGCGGTGGTGGTTTGCGAGCGAAAGATTCTCGACTGGTGTTTGAGAACTCCGATGGTGTGCCCCGGCTGCGGTCAGGAGCAGATCCTTTGCGGCGGCTACCACGTTTGAAGAAACTAGTCCAAGAACTTGCTTGCTGTCCGTTCTGGTCTGGTGCCTTGCGGTCACGTTCGAGGCCGGCGGCAGCTTCAGGTGAGATGTTTTCCTTTTTGAACGAGGCTTGAGATGAATTGCGCTCGTCTAACGGTGCGCGCAGAGGTGAACTAGGTGGAGAGATTGCCGCTTGAGATGCCTTGGGCTCTTCCAAATGATGTACCTCTGCGGGTTTGCGGCCTGGGGACTTCACAGAGATATGAGGTTCAGCCTCGTCCTTTTGGTCAAAAGACTCCTGCGTGACGTCCAGGTCTCCCTCATCGTCAAATGGATTGCGAATCTCATGACTCGTGACTGGTTTTGTCGGTGCTGGATCGGAGAACGGGTCGACCGGCTGGGCAGATGCCTCCGGTGCCCTAGGCGGTACGTCTGCGGCGGCTGGGTGGTGTGGGTGAAGTTCCGCTTGAGATGTTCGCGCAAATTCTTCCGTTCGTGCTCTTCTCGTGTCTTCTTCGCGCTGCTTTTCGGCACGGCGCTGGAGCTTGCGCTGTAACTTGAGCTTCTCACTGTCCCTCTTTTTCTCGCGGCGCTTCCGGTCGCGTTCCATCAGCTCACGCAGGCCTGCAGAATCCAGACCGTCCGCCAAGTCATCTATGCGCTTCTTCGATGGGCTGACATATTCCTCCTCGATGGATTGCTGCACTGGGTCCATCCGTGACGGCTGTTTGCCGAGGCTACTTCGACTTCTTCCGTTATACCTGATTGTGGGCCTAGGACTAAGCGCTGCGAGAACGCCAATCTTGAAACTGTTCTGGTACAGAGACTCGTCGGTTTCGCTGATGTTTTCGGGTATAGGTAGCGACACTTGCGATGAAGGCCTCCTAAGATCGCCAGGCACATGTCGCGTCTCGCGCTGCAAAGGCCCAGACCCAGAATACGTCGCAGGCCTCTTAGGCTTCGGTATAGGAATAGGTGCGCTCATGGCTCTCAACTCTTTCTCCCGGGCATGATCGTCAGCTTTTCTCTTGCTCGACTTCTTTCGAGGCATCGTGGGGTCGTAGTTTGGGCGAGTGGCGTGGAGGGTTGGCAATTGAGAAGCCGCGCTGAAATTCTCCGGTCCAATGCTACTTTGTGACATGTTCTGGGTAGTGTAAGAGTTGCGGCGGGGTATAGGCGTAGCTCGTGCATGAGGGGACCCGGCTACTGGCGATGCATATGAATGTTGGGGTGGACGTGGCTTTGAGAGTTTTCGTGCTCCAGCGTCTCGACCCTGCGCAGGCTCCTGTCTGGCAATCCTGGGATTGCCTTGCTGAGGAGTGGGGCCATCGTTGCGAGCCATCGGCGCCGGGTCCGACTTCTCGAGCAAAGAAGTTGTGTGTTCTGTTTCCGTATTCGTGCGCTTGCGATTCTTCTTGTTGGCGCCAAAGAACCAAAATCCCATAATGAGATGATGTCAAACGTGACAGGCGCAGGCTTCAGCGCATGTGTGATTGCGATTGCAAGGGGCGAGCGAGGCGAGGTCGCTTCCGAGACCTTAATCGATAACGGCTTCGATGGGTCGACATCTAGGTGGCTCCAGTAGGAGGCGTCGGCATTCGTCTGATTAACGGGCGAGGCTTAAGAAGGGCGGGAGGCGTCGTCCGGCAGGGGCATCGAGGTACAGTGTCTTCGTGATCCAGAGGTGAAACTCGTCAAGCCTGCAAGCAGGGACCAGGGCAGTAAGACTTGATTCAACTAAGCTGCAATCCGCAGTTCCGTACAGACGGCAAGGCGAATGTCAAAGAACAATGGTCAAGGATATTCGAGTAAGTGGGCGCAAAAGCAGGTACTTGGAGAGGTGCATGAACAGCTCTAGTAAAGAATGCAGAGAAGGAGAGCGGAATAATGGGGATCGGGCATGATGAGGAGCAGCGCAGCAGCAAGGCGGGTTGGCGTTATCCACTCTGAAGTCATCAGCAACACGTCGACGCCACCGCGTTGGAGCTGCTAAACCGCTTTCTTCCCAAGGGCGCCACAACCCCATCAAGCGACAGTCCTAACAAACCCCGGCCACTCGCATGGGCAAACAACAGTGCGGGCAAGCACGCGAACAAATCCAGCAGCATTGAAGGTCTGCGGCAGATTTACAAGAGGGCATTGGTTGCACGTCAATGGTGGCAGATCATCTCACTTTCCGCTTAAGCAGACGACTATCCAATTGCCCTGATTCTTTCAATTGTGGGCAGCGTGATCCCTCGCAATGACTGGCTCTCGCTGACTGCACTGGTGATCGCCTAATTTTCGCCGACCAAAGTCCATGGGAGATGTCGTGCAGTAAGGTTCATACTCGCTGCTGCACCGAGCCAGGAAGTTTACAATCCTGTGACAATCTCGGAGTCATAGACGACTCTGGTCGCTGGCACGGACGTTTAATGAAGTCGCGCCCAAGGGCGCGTTGCAGCTGCTCACAGCCACCTGCAAAATCCTCCGAATGGAGGCTGAGGTAGCGGCCGACGGCGCCGTCGGTAACTACTGCAAGTGCACCACTATGCTGGAGCTCCGGCAACATGACGTCGGATACTTGGTTCATGGGACAGCTCGAATCGAAGTTCTGAGAATGAAATGCCATCGACTAGATTTGCCGATGACCGGGACCGTAAAAGCGGGCTTTGCTGGCATCATCTGTTGATCAAGCCGCAGATCGGCCTGGCAGCCCAGCTCAAGCTTGATAGTGGTGGCTCGAGATGGCGTTGTTCCTTGCAGGCTGTTCGACGCATGCATGTTTCAGCGCCGTAGTTGGATCTTGTACCTTTTTCTCGCTTCTGTCTTGGATGCGGTAGGCAACAACATTTACGAGACGCAGAAGATCCGAGTACAGAAATGATGGGTGCAGCAGACAGTCCACACCTGGCTTTGTTTCAGACCCTTTCTCTACTCGGCCAACACTTCCGGGCCACATGTGGCCGCCATGATCAATCACCAAAGGTCGACAAAATTGACAGCAAGGCTTCTGGGTTTCCTAGAAGGTCACAATGACGGATTGACAAAATCCACGAACGGGCTTCCCGGACTTACAGCATATCGCTTTTCAAGAGTTGACAAAATTGACTGGTGCCTTCCTCGAATCCACACCAGGGGCTCTGGGGTCGTAGTCTGCTGTGAGTTTCGGGAGCATATGCAGGCGGATCTTGAAGACAATTTCATTCTTTGGTTGCTCTAATCTGTCTAGGCCCGGAGCAGGGTCATAGATGCGCTCGGCCGTCCGTCTTAAGTACTTGCTGTACAAGACTAATTACCTCCTGACAACTGCCGTACGACGACTGATAGCCAGCTCCAGCATGCCCGTAGCAATGCACGACCCGTACTCCACGGATAATCTCTTTCTCTAGTCTCGTCCCTCCCCGTCTCAGCGGCCGAAGACCGACACCGTGTCGGATGATTGACAAATGCTCAATACCTTTACCCTTTGTAAGATTCGGACATAATGCCACCGCCCTCTCCATAATACGAACAGCTAGATTCGGATCTGGCTGTGAGTCCCAGTTTCCTTCTTGATAGCAGCCACCCAGTATCGTTCCGCCACCAGCGGCGCGTGTCATGATGTAGGCCAGCTCGTCACTTCCATCGTCTGTACCGCTAATAGAATACATTGCATGGGCATCGTTCCTTACCACCACAACCTGGCCTCTAATGGGCGTCATGGCTTGGTCTTCAACACCACCTAGCTTTCGTGCTGATAAACCAGTGCAGTTCACCACGAGGTCAGCGCTGTTGCTGGCATGATGCACAGAAGCAGCGTCGCCAACATGATCGAAGACCGCTCTCTTAAACACCACCCCATTGCGGAGACACTGAGAAACCAGCCATGGCAGATAGATGGCGGTATTGATGCAGACACTCTCAAACTCTACACCGCTTTGGATGCCGGGTCTAAGCTCATGCTCAGGAATATTTTTCCACGTCAACCATGGATGGTGACCAAGTGCATCAATAAACCTGGTTGTTGTCAGCTTGCGGTCTGAGGCTGAGATTTGGTTTCCTCTACTTCTGGGCCTTTGCGGAGCCAACATCCTTCGTCCTCACGAAGATTCTGGTGGGCTGAAAATGGATGCCGGCTTCGGGATGGCTTTGAGCGAGGTTTCGGAGAACTGGCCAGGTGTGTTTCTCCCATTCGTGTGCCCGGTCGCCGGACACGGTCATGAGGCTGCCGGATTAGTTAGGCCCTCGACTACCTGGGTACGCGTTGAGGCACCTACGGAACATAATTGGCACCAGCCCATGGCGAGGCATATTCTATATCGTAGTCTCCTGGCATGTGTTTTGCAGCGACCGTAACGCTGTAGCCTTCTCGAGACAGAAGCAGGGCTGTGGTTAGGCCTATGACTCCCGCTCTGACACGTGGACTGTTAGTACCAACTGGTTGCAAGGCTGCAACGGTGAAAGGAGAAGAGTCATACCCAACCACCACAATATTCTGGGACCCCATGGCGGTGAAGCTGTTCTGCAAGCTGAGCAATATTCACTCTCGCACTGACAATAGGGGGACGTGTCTGAATAGACCCAGCCTTCCGGTATTCTTGGAGGCACTCTTGTAGATACTCGTACTCACTCACTCGACTACTGCAGTGGTTAATTCTGCTTGTCAATCCTCGACTTCTCCTACTCATCCCAAGTACTTGTAGCGCGGCACTACCTCATCAAAAGGCGTACAGTTGTACATCTGAGGAATACTCCAACAAACCTCGATTATTCGCAACCCCACCTCCAAGCAAATACTTCCGCCTATCAACGGCTAAGCTAAGCTCTTACGGGCAAGAGCGACCAAGGTGAGCCCGGGCTCCCATGCACAGCGTCACTATTGCGGCTGCCCGCGTGCCTGTGGCCTCAAGCAGGCTCCTTCAAGGCTCAAGCAAGATCGTCCATCCCCTACATCCCACCTCCCGTCGGCAGCAACACCTTGCTGTTCGCTGCCTCGACGGCATTTCGAAGCATTTATCGTTATTTGTCGCCTGATGATCTTGTCAATGGCTTTTGTGCAACCATGGCTAACCATGCTATGTCCTCGCAGCTACCCATCATGGTCCGAAAGCCTAAGGCTGTCTGGCCCGGCCTCATCAAAGATGGAAAGTATAGATACAGCATTGCTGGAGATGTAAGTGAAATTAATTGGAGCTCAACAACGCCCTGACCTTTTCTAGGGCAACTGTCTCTTCGCGTCCTTGTCCGACCAACTGTACGGCGACCCTACTAGACACCCCGAGATCCGCACTGCTATTGTAGAGCACCTCCGCAACTTCAGACCCCTCTTCGAAGGCCACGTCCACAAAGATGATGTGCAACAACGCAGAGCGACTCGTTCAGCTGCGACAATCCAATCCCAAGAATCCTACGACGCGTTCGAGGATTATCTAGCAGTCATGTCGCGTCCAGGTACCTATGGTGGAGAACCTGAGCTGGTTGCATTCTGCCAGATCTTCGATCAAGACGTGACAGTCCACCTACCCAAAATCCGCCATTTCGATAAAGAATCCTTGTTCTACACCAACGAATACCGAGAGAATAAGGTCCTCCGCTCGTCCCTACATATCGCCTACGGTGGTGAAGAGCAGGGTGCCAGTGGTCACTACGATTCGGCCAGGAATAGAGATGGCTCGCACCCTCGAAACAACCAGAGTCCGAAACCAGAGTCTCAACAGTCTCAGAACGAGCTTACCGCCACTGTCGGCACCACATCTGGCAGCAACGATGCTAGCACAGTCAACAATAACCCGGCCATCTCCGCTCCGACTGCCAGAGCCATTCGCAACAATCGGTCCGACTTGTCACACGAGCTCATTCACGACATTATCCAGAAAGGCAAGAAGGAAGTCGAAGGCAGCCTTGATCAACTAAATGTACGGGCCAGGAGCGCTTCGGTCTCGTCTTCTCACCGAAGCTCAAGCTCAAAGCGATCACTTGAAGAAGAGGGTGACAATCCCCGCCGTAAGCGTGCCGATCGCCGCAAGAGCACCCGCAAACGGACTGATATGTCAACCGTTTCTTTCGAAGTAGACGAGGATCAGGGCCAAGCCGATGCTCTCCCCAACACTCCTGCAAGCACCCAGGACACCGAGACATCCTCTGGCGTCGGTGAGCTGGACCTGTCAGATGACGACGATGCCGAGTATAAGCCTGGCGACCTCAGCGATTCTGATGCAGCTCGGATGCGTAGACGCAAGATCATCAAGCCAGCTTCGAGAGCTTCTTTCATAAAGAAGTCCGGTGCCACTACACAAACCAGCCACCTGATCAAGATCGCTGAACGACCTCGATCCACCCTGCGAACATAGAACCTCAAGGAGTTACGGAGTTGGTGCATCTTCGGGATTTGCGAAGATTCGATACTGCATAGCGATGGAATGGGAATGATACCCTGCATGATCTGGGTCTAGATATGAGGAACTGATTTGCGCTAGACATGAGCGCTAGACATGAGCGCCAGAAACGGGGTCACAACACTTTGGCTGGCAGGCAGAAGAGCATAGGAAATTTGCTCGGTGCATTGATGCTCAAAGGACTGCATAGTCTTTGTAGACTCCAAGTCAATGACAACGTATACTCGCTAACATGGATGACTCGACTGCCGCGAGATCCTGTCCCTTTCTGTAAGTCCTGAAATCGTGTTCTCTTCGTCAACATGAGGGTTTGGGGCCCTGGCTTGGCCTACGTGAGCGTCGCACTAGCCTTCTTTGCACGACAAGCTGCGCCATACGTGCTAGTAGAGTTAGCTCCAGTGCTCGTGGCCTTCAAGTTTCTATATCGTGCCTGTTGAATCATCCTAGTCACCTTTCACTGCTGCCTACAACGTTGTCTCCTCGATATACCGCAATTCTGCTGCTCCCAGGACCAGATCCAAAAGCATTCCAGCTTCGTTCTCATCGATCAGCGCAACCTCCTCATATCCCCCTGACGTCCGTCCCTGTTCGAGTCTTTTACCTCTCCCGGTAGCTTGCGCCGCAAAACATTCAAGATGGATTTCAGCAATATTTTGTGAGTCGCAATAATGCAAAGAGGGCCAGTGGCCCACATCGCGACGAATCTGACTCTCCTACTATAGCCGCATCGCCAACATGGTGGTTGGCGCCTTGATGATTCTGTCAGGTCAGTAGATGCTTCACCCGATCTTTCTTATGGGATTCTGCTAACCGCTTACGCAGGCATTGTTACCTTCTTCGAACTCAGCATGTACGTGCCGCCTCCAGTCGCCCTCATGCGCATTCTAGACATTTACTGATCGTGATTAGCCGAACCATCATCGTTGGAATCTACCTCGTGGTCTTTGGTCTTGGTACGAACAAGTGATCCCCAGGATTTGATGCGACGACACTAACACTCTATAGCTGTTGGTGGGCTTGAGCTGCTGCCCCAGGTTCCTCCTTATCTTCCAAAATACGCCTCCTTTTTGTTCAGCTTTCTTGGTCGCGGCATTTGTAAGGTTTCCCCAGGGAGCAAAAGTCGCATCCACTAACCTGATGGCAGTCTACATCTTCATGGGCACTTTGTGCTTCGAGCAGTTCACCATTCTTTATATCTCTGGCAGCATCATCGTCTTCAGCGGCATTGTCTATGCTGCTCTGGAGTTCGTTCCTTCCATCGAGCCTCCTTCGAACATGCGGGACGCAGACGCCGGTTGGGGCGCTGAGCAAGTCTAGATACACTGCAATGGCTTCTTTGCTTGCGTGAAGGATCTTTGCGCAAGTCCCTCAGCGACACCCCAATTGCGGCGCGTTGAGATGGACGGCGCGCAAAGGCTCTCTTGTGTTACTATCAGACTATTGGCAATGATGGGATTGGAGCAGGATGTTCAGATCACGCTCAAGGGCCGGCACGGCCTGCGAGCGCCAGCAATGTCTTGCAGCGGGCGAATGTAGGCATATCTTCGAGCATTGCCTCACTTCAGGCTTCCTAGCGTGTCGGCCTAGGTCATATTGATGTTATATATTAAATCCACGACGCTACAACCCGGGTCGAGGCCTTCTCTGGGCTGCCAGTGTGCTATTGCCAAAACTGCAGAAATATACCACTGTACACAGCAATTCGATGTTCTGCGGCCTTTAGGTAGCTGAGCTGTATTAACGATCTCATCTGACCTTTGAGGATGTCAGCGTTTGGAACGGGTCAGAGTGCCATATCCAGTACTCTAACAGTAAACAGGCACTCTCCAAGACCGGAAAAACCAGTCTCTGGACCGTTGCAGTGTGTCACGTGACCAATGGAGCCACGTCGTCCGTCTCAGTAACCCGCGTGGCCAATTATATCCCAAATGAAATTGCTGACCTCCTCGTGTTCTCGCCAGCGCGTCATTCTGGGTCCTTCACGCCTCCCTCCCAAGCGGTGTCACCGCTTTTCATAATTGCGACTGTGATCTGTTCAACAAGTCCCTTATGAGAGATCGCTATCTCATTCTTCCACTTCACAAAGGTAGTTTTCGGTTATTATTTCTCAAGGATAGGGCTGCTAAATCTCCCAAACTGCCATCTCAAGGCTGCCACTTTGTACCCTTCCAGAGCCCATCGTTCTAAACCACACTGCAATTTTCAGGGCAACCGCAGGCAGGCTCACCACCTGTTCCTACGGCCTATATTTCGATCTATATCGAGTGCATATCGAACTTGTGCAAGCCGACGTTGACCGTACGGGGGTTTATGTGAGAGGTGGATGTTATGTTGGCGGTTCAGTCAGCAATGGACGCTCTGAGACGTTCGGCGACTCACGCTTCGGGCCAGCCAAGCATTCTGCGACAACCATCAGCTGAGGACTTGGACGCAGCACATCAATTAGTTTCTTCGGCGAGGGGCGGGAGAATAAGTCCATCACGACCGAATGAGGGACACGGTGATCATGACTCGGCTTCGAGTGTTAGCCCAGCCTTGGCCGCGATAGATGGACCTGACAGGCAGCAGCGAAGAGCAAGCAGTGAGGCAATGGAGAACCAGCCAATGGGTGGGTTCAACCAAGTGTGCAGCAATTGCGGCACAACCAAAACCCCACTCTGGCGACGCTCACCTGCCGGCAACACCATCTGCAACGCCTGTGGTCTCTATCTCAAGACTAGGAATACGATGCGCCCCACGAACTTCAAGCGAAACGTATCTGCCGCGCCTCCAGAACACCCTGCTCAAGCCTCTGGGCAGTCAGCCGCGGCTCCAACGATATCTGGAGTCTCTGCTACCCCTTCCAATTTACCATTTCGTGAAGCCGAACATCCTCCAGGGTCTTGCCCGGGCGGAGGAAATTGTAACGGTGCTGGCGGTGCACAAGGCTGTGGCGGCTGTCCAGCGTTCAACAATCGTCTGGCGAGGGCTCAGAAGGGGCTCGCCACAGCACCAGCCATACCTCCAGAAGCCGGATCACAGGCAAACGAGCGACGATTGACTCCCACCGACCCCGTCACTACAGATGAAGCTGCACCGCGGCCCGCAGAGTCCTCTTCTCCAAGTATGCTTGTGGCTTGCAAAAATTGCGGCACGACGGTAACCCCTCTCTGGCGCAGAGATGATGCAGGACATCCTATCTGCAACGCCTGTGGCCTCTACTTCAAACTCCACGGTTCCCACCGGCCCGTGCAGATGAAGAAGTCAACAATCAAGCGGCGGAAACGAGTCGTACCGGCATACGCAGGTGGTCCGCCGCGATCCGAAGGCGCTTCTGATCACGCTGCTTCAACCTCGCCAGAGCCAATGGAAGAGCAGGATGTTGGCGGCGGCGGATATGAAGAGGTTGATCCTTCAGCACCCAACCAGCCTGCGGCCAAGCGGCGAAGACCGCATATGCCTGTTGATTTCACCGGCTACAATCCAGCACCTCCACCGTTATCGACAGTTCTGAACACCAAACCGCCCACGACCGGTGATCAGTGGCGTGCGAAAATCATCGCCCCTCCGCCGGGGTCAACATCTGATAGTCGCATCGATCCTGCGCTGGAGCAGCGTGACGATAGCAAGAATGAGAAGCGGGCCAAGTTGATGCGCGAGATGGAGGCGATGAGAGAGGCTTTGAAGGCGAAAGAACAAGAGATGAACGAGCTGGCATGATGGGCCACTTCCCAGGGTGGCAACGGCACATACACGGGCGGATATGTCCAGCATTATTGCACAGAGTTGAATGGCATCAAACGGCGGCATGAGCATAATGAAATCAAAAGAACAAAATGCAACGAAAGACCTGTAGTAGGTTTCGATTCGTAGCACAGCATGGCGCTTATTTGGCGGGACTATTCTGCGCTGCGCTATCTGCATCATTCGGGACAAAAGCCATGGAGCAGGATTGGAAGAGGTTCATAGCGCAGGATAAGTTTTCCCACGCTCAGAAGAAGAGCTACTTGTATGAAGACTGGAAAAGTCGCGCCCGTCAGGCAGAATGATTGATGCCACCGTGCATCTTAACTTTGACTATATGTAAACGAAACGCCCCTGCGAGAAATCCGGCGCTCTCTTGCGGTTCCTCCCACACCATCGCAAAGCGCGTACGAAAGATCGAGTAGCCCACCACAACGACTTACAGCAATGCCCATCCACGATATTCGCGAGAAACGTGCAGTTAGCCGCCTTCATCTTTCGCTCTCGCGAACCCTTGAGTCTCGCCCAGAGCGGGTTTATGAGATTTGCGTTCCCGGCCGAGGCGTTGCTGCCTGCATTTAAAACGTTTGCCAGTTTTCTGACGAGTGTCTTTGGACGCCCTGCAATATTCCAGACGCACAGTTCTACGGGCTTCTGTCTTGAGTGTTCCTAGAACCAAAGCTTGACGAGTTCTTCACTGACAGCGCTTGGCGTCATAGTACCGTTCTCCGTGATCAGTGCCGTGATCAGATACGGTGGCGTTATGTCCACCTTCTCCTCCTCTCTTTCTATCGTCTTCTTGCCTTCATTGACATTTCCGCCCTCTCCCCCTACCTTCCTGGCTTGTTGGCCTGACGAAAACGTCAATGTCGGCTGTTTAGTCCCCATCTTCGCCAGCTCCTCCGCGCCGCAGCCCAGCGGGAACTTACGCACGAATTTGAATGACTCGACGGCGACGTAGAGCGGGATCCCGTGCGCGTGCGCCAGGAGGGCTAGCTGCTGCGTGCCGAGCGGCGCGATGATGCCACCATTCTCGAGCACCGCACTTGCGGGGACAATGAACAGGGCGTCTTGGAGTTGAGTCGGGGTGAGGGATGATAGTGCGTAAGCGACTTCATGCAGCGGCAGTATAGTGCTTGGCAGGGACGCTGAGCCAGTCGTATTTGTCGCAGGCGCAGTGGGCGTGGTAACGTGCGCCACGGAAATGGAGCGGTCGGCTTCTATGGTAGTGGTGAGGAGGGTCCTGATTATGGGACAGGCTGAGTCATACGTGAATAGGATTGCAGACTCCCTGATGAAGGGAAGGGCGTGCGATGCGATTTTCGAGCCAGCGCTCTTAGCGCGCTGTATGAAGACGCGGGATTGGGAAATGAGATGCTTTCGCAATCCAGTGAAGTCGGAATGGTGCAACAAAGCACGTGATTGGAACGATGAGATGATGTAGCGTTGAAACAGGTCCGATCCGGCACTTACAGGGATAGGATTATGCTGGGAGTGCGTAAGGATGCTAGACTGCGCCTCCAGGAGTGCAAGAGTCTCGGCTATGGTGGTAAGAGGGTTGTCTGAAAAAAGTGCTATGAGGGATTCTATAGCTGCCAGCGCCGGGGTGATGCTGGGGTCGCGCTTGAGGAGAGAGTTGTAGTGAGCCACAATGTCGAAGTTGGTCGAGGGAGCCAGCGCGGCAACCGGCGCCGAGCTGGAAGACGTGGACGGCGGGCTCACGAATGCCATCGTGTTATAACCGGGCACTGCAATTGAAAATGGGCATCAGCCGCCGTGACCCCTCAGATCTGTGAGGAGCAAGCGAAACCTGCTCGGTTGTAATGTGACCAACCTGAGGAGATGAGCTCTCGTACGTTGTCTTCCAGCGTCATAGAACGATCTCTGCGCGTCGTCTTCGACAATCTAAGAGGTTTGTAGAGTCGGCTTGATGTAGGCGCCAATACTTTGTTTGCAAACGAGTCGATGAAAGTTCCTGGGCGAAGCATGTGGTTGACTCACTTTTTTGATACACCGCACCAGCCACACTTTCAGCCTCATGGCGAAGTTCAAGGCTGAATTACCACGCTAGTCCCAAAATGCTGCAAAATCAACAAACCGGATGCACGACTCCCCTCTCAATCTTGTCCTACCCAATACTTACGCCTTGTTGACATACTCTTGCTCCTGGTCGCACTCACCAAAGACGCCACCGCCATGTCGCAATATCGATCTTCTCAGCAACAGCAACAGCCGCGCGGCAAGAAGAAGGAGGAAGACCCCGATGCATTCATGAAGCTGGTACGTACACCAGTTGCAAACACGCACGATCGCTAATGTATCTTCAGTCCGACAGAGAGATCGCAGGATGCATCAGTGATATAGGTGTGCCGTTCCAGCCGACCGATCTTCAGAAACCGAATCCGCAATTGATTCAGATGGTGTTTGAACACTTGGGCGAGCTCCTCTTAAATGCGACTCGAGACTCCATTGACCCTGCCATGCGCGCCGCTGCCGAAGACATCTGCCCTGGCGACACAGAAATTATACCGTTCGAAACGAGAATGCTCATGGGTTTCTTCGTGAGTTTGCGACGGATGCTTATCGAGTGCGGTGTTCACGACTTCTCCTTCAATGACCTTGTTCGGCCAACGTACGAGCGACTGGTAAAGATTTTCTCTTACATCATCAACTTTGTGCGCTTCCGGGAGAGTCAAACCACTGCGATTGATGAGAACTTTAATAAAGCGGAAGCGACCAAAGCGCGCATCGAGACACTATACATGGATAACCAAGACATGGAGCAGCGGCTCGAGGACATGAAGCGCAACCGAAAAGCGATGGAAGCTGCTGTTAAGGAGAAGGTGAAAAGGAACGATGAACTCAAGGCGCGACTGCTTGAGTTGAAAAAGGGTCAGGAACGCATTGCAGAACAGCTAGAGAGAGCAAAGGCCGACAAATCCCGGGCGCAGGGCATCCTTGAAGAGAAGACGGAGAGACTGCTAAGACTCAGGCAAGAGAGCGAAAAGCTCAAGCCATACGTGCTTGAGAGCCCCGGCAAGCTACAAGATGAGCTTCACGACCTTTCCAACAACCTGATGCAGGAGCGGCAGCAAATCGACTCTCTGGAGAGGCGTAATCGAGCATTGCAGACCTCGGGTGATAGCTTTGGTGTTGTTACGAATGAGGTGCAGTCCTGCGTGAAGGTTCTCGAAGAAATCTCGGTCGAGCTGCATAAGGAGGAGGAGGAAGAGGCCAAAGCGGCAAGAAACCGAGATCAAGTCGCCGATCGCAGCAATAATGTTCGTGAGATTGAGCAGAACGAAAAGATGCTGCAGCGGCAGCTTGAGAAGTGGGAAGAGCGAACAGAAGCCCTCCGACAGAAGCACAAGGACCGCGACGAGGCGAACAAGGCCAAGATGGAGGAGTTGCGCGCCGCCCAGAAGCAGCTACGCGAAGAGAGGACTGAGAAGGGCAGAGAGACAGATCGAAGGAGAATTCGCATCGAGCAAACTGAGAAGAAGGTGAGTCAAGCCGAAGATGATCCATAACAGCCGTGCTAATCCTGACTAGATGGCGGACCTTAAAGAGACGATCGAGAAAGAAGTTTACGACATTCGCGAGCAGTACCAGAAGCTCGAGTCACATATCAAGCTGTACATCACCGAGATGGAGCAAAGCGTCTGAGAAGGCCACCTCAAACGATAATGACGCGATGACAGGTGTTGGCTGCGTGTTTGTTGAATACCCCTGGGCGCTGGATGATATGTTGGGTTATTGGAAGTCTTTAAATGAGCATCTCGTCTTCATCTTGCTGTGTGCGAACTTGCGCTCGAACCCCTGCGAATGTGAACCACCTTGACGCAATAGCTTTAATGGTCATGGATCGACCGGCCCATCTTGAGCCCTCTAGACCGATTTTGACAGAGCCACTCAACAAGGGCACTTGCCTGTCCCAGAGACGCGACCCCCGATCCGGATGGGATTGGTCTCGAATGTCTCTACACTCGGTAAGTAGGAGCTCCTGTCCAGCAGCGTGTGCTGCCGACACAGCCGTGGCTAGAGACCGTGAAAGGCCCTGCAGGGTGAATTCGGACGTGCCGTGATGAAGCGCCAGCAGATCGACGATGATCAGGCGGGAGGCCGGTACCGATTGTGGCACAGAGTCCGCATTGTAACTCGACAAGTATCCTCGCAGCACTAGGATAGTTGGGCAGTAAATCAGCTTGACGTGTTTGCTAGCCGCAAATAAACGCAATGTCGGTGTCAGAAAGTGGTGAGCATGTGGCTGGGACTCCGGCAGACCCTTGCCGGCCCCTGGATGAGGCTCTGCCTGGGAACTTGTGGCATCTGCCGAGTGGTGCTGGACTTGGAGAGCGAGATGGTGGAGGAAGTCCTCGCGTGAGATGCAGACGATTAGATTGGTTGGGGTCGGCCTGTGTTCTCGCGTCAGGTCTTGGATAAGCTCAATATGGTACTTCCAGTCAGACGAAACCAGGTTCATGTAGACGACGAAGAGACAAACGGTGTGAGAATGGAGCCGCCGTTGGATGTGTGGGCAATCCGCGTTGAGGATGGACTACGCGGCCCAAATTGCGTCATCATCATTGACAAGCCAGGCAATATCGAAGCCTTGGCCTCAGTGCCCCAATTCCTAGAACTCACTCTCGCATGGACACGTTCTGCAAGCGAACGATCGTGGATGTTGCTATGCGCTGCGGTTCGCTGGTGTCAAAACGGCTTTTGTCCTGTTGATAGCCAGTGTGGAGCACGCATGCCTGAAACCCGATCGTGCTTTGCCATCCTTCGCATCAGGCGTAAGGCAAACATCTCCCCCCTTCTGTACACGTCGCCGTGCGTCTGTCGTCTCACAAGGAGCGAAGGTTACACAAGAACGTGAGCGGTGACACGGCGCTGACTGCCATTCAAAATGGACTCAGTTGCCCGTGTCTCTTCTGCTCTGGATCCAGGTGCGCCGCTATGGACTCCTCCTGGCTTCAACATGCTGACCCCACATTCACAGCTCGTGATTTAACCCTTGAAGCAGCCCAAGCAGTCGGTATTGGAAGGGCGGTTAATACCGGTGGTCCTTCTAAGGGTATCCCCTTCGCAAAGCTGAAGGCTCTGCTCGACAGCCGCAGTGACCGTGACATTCTCGATGGCTTGAGGAGGGTTATTGCTCTCATCTACCAGAACAAGCCAGGCCTGCCGTACTTTTCGTCAGTGGTTAAAAATGTCGCCAATCCGAACATCGAAGTCAAGAAGCTCGTCTACATCTATTTGCTTCACTATGCCGAGTCAGACCCAGATCTGGCGCTCCTTTCAGTCAATGCCATCCAGAAATCACTCACCGACACCAACCCGCAGGTGCGAGCCTTGGCGTTGCGGACCATGTCGGGCATGAGGGTGCCTGTGATTAGCCAGATTGTCTCCCTGGCCATCAAACGGGGAGTCAGCGATATGAGTCCTCACGTTCGCAAAGCCGCAGCATTGGCCATCCCAAAGTGCTACAATTTGGACCCAAACTCGCTACCACAGCTACACGACTGCCTCCAGACTCTCCTTGGAGACAAGCAGTATTTTGTTGTGGGTCCTGCCGTCCAAGCCTTCCTCGAAATATGCCCGGAACGCATTGATCTGATTCACAAGCACTATCGTGGCCTGGTGCGAAAGCTGGTCGACATGGATGAATGGAGTCAGCTCGCAACGCTCAAACTCCTCGCCAATTATTGTCGGCGCTGCTTTCCGGTCAAGACGCAGAAGATCACCAAGACTACGAAGAAAGGCTTTTATGAGGATGAGCCGGATGAGACAGAAGAGACGGATGAAGTAGTCCGGATCCTGGATTCCGATTTTGAGAGCTTCCTCAAAGCCTGTCGAAACCTGCTGCAATCCCGAAGCGCGGCCGTTCTTACTTCGGTGGCAGCGATCTTCTTGCATCTTGGTACACCTGAGTACCTTGCATCTGTTGTCGGGCCATTGGTTGCTTTGCTCCGATCAGGTCCGGAAACGGCGGAGATTGCACTCTACAACATCGTCGCTATTGCACTCGAGCAACCAAAACTGTTAGTGCCCTACAGCTCTCATTTTCTGATCTCAGGCAGCGACAGTCCGACTACATGGAAGCTCAAGATTGAAATGCTCACACTAATATTCCCGTACGCCGCTCTCAACTTGCAGTCGCTCATCTTGAACGAGCTCGAGCACTTTTGCCACTCGTCGTCGATAGACCTTGTGCGCGAGTCCGTGCAAGCCATTGGCCGGTGTGCTCAATCTTCGCCCGATAGCTCAGCACGATGTTTTCGTGTGCTTCTGAATCAGATATCAAGTTTTGACAACTTGTTGGTGTCCGAGGTACTAACTGTTATGCGCCACCTCATGCAGCGAGATCCAGCATCTCACCACAAGACCATAGTACGGCTAGCTCGAAACCTGGATCGAACCACCAGTCCACAGGCGAGGGCCACAATCGTTTGGCTCGTTGGTGAATTTGCCATTCTCGATGATCAGAAAGATGGCGGTTCCGGTAGAACTGGAATAGCCCCTGATGTTTTGCGGATTCTAACAAAGAATTTCTGCGGTGAAAGTGAAGAAGTGAAGGCACAGATCGTGCTCCTGGCCGCCAAATGCTACCTGTTATATCTCCAGGAGCAGAGTCAAGGCGATACTGCCCGGGTTAATGGCGACAAGGATGGGACACGAGATGATGCGGAGAAGGAGGCTCAGGGCATCAGCAAGGATGATGCTCTCCCCAAATTATGGGATTACGTGCTCTTACTTGCACGGTACGACACATCCTACGATCTTCGAGATCGAGCAAGATTATTCAAGAATCTGCTGGTGGAGCCGAAGTCGACTCAGCTTGCGAGCCTACTTCTACTTGCACCGAAGCCGGTCCCCCATTCACCGTCACCCTCCGAGAGTCGGAAGGGTGTCATGATTGGAACTACCACGTTGGTACTAGGAAAGGATGCCGCCGGCCTACACGGCATCCCAGGATACGAAGAACTGCCTGCTTGGGTAGAGGAAGGGCAGGAACCAAACCCTCAACTGAGAGAGGGGGAAATTGTCGCTGCTGGTGGCGATGCCAGGGCGGCAGTCACAGCTAGCAGCAGGCTTGATGAGGCTGTGAAAGAACAAGGGCTTGAGAGAGTTGTCGCATCCGGAGCCAGGACAAAAGGTCTCGCCGGCGCCGCGAAGGCAAAGAACCTGGACGACTGGCTAGCTGAGAGCGATGAGGAAGAAGCATCGGAGTCTGAAGAAGAAACGGTTAGTGAGGTCGAGACCGAATCCGAGGAGGAAGACGATGAAAGCGAAGAAGAAAGCGAGGACAGCGACGACGAGGGGGATCAGGCGCAGAGAAAAGGGCTCATGAGCGGATAAGACGCGCTCATGGAAGCAGGCTGGATATAGCATGTTTTGCTGCAACGCTCCTGTTCTGTCACCCGATCGTCTTGGTGGAGAAAACGGTAGCTCAACAAACGCCCGTCAACCGACTCGTGGCAGTGATACCGCGAATCTCTTTTGGCATGCTCATGCTCTGATGCTCACTCCCTCACGTACGCAGCATTACCAGGGATGCCTACCGATGCGACCCGGCCCACTAAAAGCGAGCAGTGACAACTACTGTGTACAGACTGATCGGCGGTGGGCACACGAGGATAAATTCTCCTACCGACGGCTTTTTGGTGCCGGTCACATTTTTTCTCCGGTTCCAAGAACAGCCGAGTCCCAAAGTGAAAAGACCCGGGCAGGCCAGCACATGCGAGCGCCAAGTGGTCGTAGGTGGCAAGAGCCAGGCGCATGGGGTGTGGGTCCCGGCGGGGCGTGCATCAAAGGCTTATTAATCCCTGCTGGCTCCATCGCAGTGGTGCGTCCGGCGACCCACTCGCATCCCAGCAGTGTGGTAGTTGCGCGAGTCATGCTGCTCTACCCGAGTCATGCTTCCCAGGAACTGCTTGCCGCCAACTTTGTACTTCGCAACGTGTTGACTGCCATGCATGCATCGATCTAGTCATGTACATTGTTCTCTGACTATTCGCTGGTCTATCAGTCCTGCAGAAGGAGTCAGTACCTGCACAGACTGGTAGCATATCTGCCTCGCCTTATTGATTCTCGGCTCTATGCTGCCTATTCACGAGTCATCTTAAAGCACGCAAGAGCAGAAAAGGAAGGTCGTTAACCATTTTCGAATCAGTACCACCCCCTTCCGTTACCGTGATACCATGCAATACTTGGAATGCCAAGATGCTATCAACAGTCCTAGCCTGTATCCAAGAGTCAGTTATGGGTCCGTCGTCGCTGTTCTTGACAAAGGCAACACCACCTCCAGGGGTCCGTTCATCGAGCGGCGAGCCTGGGACGGTCCGCTTTGCTCCCGGCACTTCGACAAGGGGAAACGCACATCACATCCTGTATATCGGTCGTGACGTTGGCGACATCGATGAAATGCTAATTACTCTGCGCTAGGTGCCATTACCGAAAACATCCTACGATTATTTGGCTCCCGATTTTTGATTTCATGGTACTCCTGTGCAGCATCTGGCCCCATGGGCCCCGCGCTGGAAGCCGCGATTCCGAGGCATGGAGACCTCGTCGATCTTGACCAGCTCCCTGGCGTTCCCAGACTGGGGCAGCGAAATACAAGGACGTTGGTTTGAATGCCAGGCGGTTCAAAACTTCCATTAGTGTCAGTTGAGCCTCCCTCGGGTCTCTTAGTTATCTCGTGAGTAGGGGGCGAGAATGCAACATTCACAAACGTTGCTTCTGAAGCCTCGTGTTCCCAAATACGAGGCTAAAGCTCTTAGGATCGGAGCCGGCAGAGCCTCACCGCTGCTCAGAAGATCAACCATACCAGATCAGGAAGGCGTTCACAAGCGAAACCGTTGCCTACGGGGATTGAAACCGTCGCTTGTATCGGCATGTACCATAGTCCTGGCGCACCGTTCCTGCGTTAAGCCAGAAGAACACCTCTGAGGTACTGACTAGCAGTGACGGGCCGCAAGGACCGAATTTCAGGTTGATGCTGGACGCCTTGCCCCCAGGCTGTGGTAAGATAAGGAACGGACCCGCCTGCGAGCGCTATAGGCACGAACCGTAAGTTTCAGTATGGTCCCAGGCGGCTAAAAGGTGGTGTCGCCGGTCTCGACACAAGATAGCATGTCTGTATGCTTACCCACCAGTTCGAGGTCTTTTGTGCATCTCGGGGTCCGCAAAGTGCCTCCTATTGAAGTCCCGCCGGCAGAAGCCGTTTCGAATTTTGGTCTATAGGGGCCGGCGCAAGTTATGGTAGTGGAAGAATGGAAAAGATTATCCAGAGTCTGACAGACCGCGGTCTCGAGAAACCCATAACGTCGCTGCGCAGGCCGGCAAGTGCCGCTTGCTTGCTTACAACTGCCCCTTGGCAAGCTCGTTCAGCGAAACATCTTAGTCGCCGAGATCATACACAACAGAACGATGGCCCGACGATTCCGAGTCTTCCAGCATGACACGATCGTGAAGCTTCGGCCGAGTCGGTGACTTTTACCAGAACGCGCCATGACTCCAATGAGCCTTCGAGGTTAGACATCCAGGTGTTGGAACGGGAAGTGACAGCCTTATTACAAATCCAGGTGGTGATCGAACGGGAGACGACGCAAAGTTGGTGCCGCCGCAGATTAACCCAGATCATGCATTACAGATCGTCAGAGTTTGGGCTTGAGATCAAACCTTGAGTCTACAAACGGCGTCGCCGTGGAAGTCTGTAGACGACACGGGTGACAGTGATGATTCATGAGCAGCACTACCGTCTGCGCAGGTGTTTGCAATTCCGCAGGGATCGATGATGCATGAAGCTCTGCTTTGCCCGTGCACATCTATCGACGTTAGACAAACGATTCACGAGCCCCCGTCGGATCCCGGAACCGTGGGTTCTGCGCAGGGCTACAAGGGGCCCAATGGGCCTGATTCTTCAGGCGTGACGCATCTCGATCCATGTTCACAGCTAGTGGCTTGTAGCGATAGACCAGTACAGCACTCCCAGTACGTCCGGACCTCTATAGATTGCTGTCCAAGTTTGCACCACCCCATTCCCCTGATCTTGCACCCATAAGCAACCGTCTGACCGTACCGAAGCGCCCGCCATCCATCAGACATCCCGCTCTCCGCTGACACCCCAGCGGCTGTTCGCATCCCTAACTCGAGAGGAGGGCCTGAAGGGCAAGGATTTCGCCCTGCTTACATCTGCTCCCGTAGTCCGTAGACGAGTGTGGACAAGAAATTCTCCGACCCGACCCTATTGCAAACTGATCCCACAAGTCCGAGCCAGGGGCGCGAGACGGTCAGACGACGATTGGAGTATAAGCCGAGAAGGAGCAAAGCAAAGCGACGCGAGAGAGACCAGCGATTCTGAGGCTGTGATATGATGAGCAGATCTACGGTACAACTAACGTTCACGGGACTTGTTGTTCATTGGCGCTTATGGCTTGTCGATAGACTCCGACGGCTGAGCAGCGAACATACTGTTGCCGTCGTAGTGATCGTTCAAGGCGGTATCATGAAGAGAGTGGCAAATGTAAAGTCAAGTGAAGATTGTGCTTTTTCATTGATCTCGTAGTCCGCTGCGCGGCGCTCGACTTGAGCAGCGCACACGGTGAGCTCGCAATCGAGAGGCCAGCAGCGGTACCTGTGTGCTGAGTGATGATATGGAGTGGTATAGGTTACCGGTGGCATGTGGTGTGATAGACCCGGGAAACCCCCATCCTTGAGATACTTGCTCTTCCTAAACATCAAGATACCTCCTTCTGCGAGCAACTCATATCTGTGTTTCTGTCTTTTCGTCTCCCGTCTTTTCTGAAGCAGCAAGTACTCGGTCATGACTGGTCGAGCGACTGATCCGGGTCATCTCTGTGTCGTCATTCCGAATAAGCTGTGCTGTTGGAAGACGGCCTACTTCCTCTGTACACCATTTTATAAACTGCGAAATGAAAACAGAACGGGGATATCTCATAGCCAGCCATGGCCTTCCTTCACAATCGCAATCGCATTATCACTCTGCTGAATCGATAAAAAGTATTCCGATACTCCATGTGGAGCTGGGTAGATAGCTCAAGTGAGTCCAGTCGAACGCCGTGGAGCAAATATGCGGAGTCCGCAAGCATGAACGCTCAATAACAAATCAACTAGGATATAGATGTCTCGTAAGCGTACGTGTATGAGCAGTGCTCGAATGAGTGGTCGGAATGAATGGTGAGTGTCGTAAGGGCATGCTGTGGTGCTTCGGTCAGCGAGTATATCACTGACATCGTCTGTGTGACGGCCAAGATTGAAACAGGGCGAAGCCTTGTTAGCTGGCAGCCACGGGCTGCGATGATGCTTCTGTGGGCGGTGGGTCCAGTTTGGCTTCTTTGGTGCATTTGTCGCAGATTTGGTGTTTGCAGTTGGGACATTCTACCGCTCCGAGATCGAAACCAGACTGGCACTCGTGGCAAGTACAACCCTTTGAAGCCGTGGTTGGGGCATCGGCGGTTTTGTCGGCGGCGGCCTTGCCCTTCTTCTTCTTTGGCGGATATCGAATACATTCGGGGCAACGCTTGTGTTGGCAACTAACACATATCCTGTCGTGACCGTAGACTGTCTTGCAATTGTGGCAGGTGTACTTGACCCGCATACGGATCGGCTTCTGAACCCGTTCCCGAGGCGCTTTGGGGCGGGTCTCTGACGCCTGCCAGTCCTCATCGCTGAACTCGAAGTCGTACTTCTTGAAGATAGCGCGGGCTTTCTCGAGGCGCCTATCGGCATCTGACTGACCAGGCGGCTCGGTTGTCGTCTTTGGTGCTTCGGGCTTAGATTCCTCTTTAGACGGTTCTGATTTGGCGGTGGTGCTGTAGACGTTTAGTAGTTGAAATAACATGGACTCTGAGTCGTGGCGACTTACGTAGGTGCAGGAGTGGAGGATGAGGCGGCAGCTGGCTTGTTCCTGAACGATTCCTTGAACTTCTTCCATGCCTTGCTCAAGCCCTTCTTCTCTTTCTTGGGGGCGGTAGAGGACTCCATGTCGATCGGCAGAGTGACAAAGCGAGGCGATGTCGTGGCGAGCACAGGTCGTTGCTCAGGACGAGAAAAGCAACGACGTTGCACTTGGAGGACGGCGGTGACAGGCACTTGAAAGGAAAGGAAAGCAGACGAGAGGATGGTCCCGAGAGCGTGGAACGAGAAGTGGTGAGACAAGACGGCCCAGGCAATCAGAAGTGCTCAAGTGGGGAGACGGGAGTGTAAGCGACGGGGCCTCTTGGGGCTTGGACTTAGGCTGGGTCTAGTTGGGTGCTCCAGGGTGTGGTTCGTGCACGCGCAAACTTTCCTGCTGGAAGTATCTTGAGTCAGGGTGAACCAGACCTGAGGGTCTTTACGGCGGCTACAAATGGCTTTTATGGTGTGTGCCTTGATGCTGGTGTTTGGTGGCTGTCCATCGCTCGTGCACAAAAGGGTGGTTAAGCGTAGGCGAGGCCAAATCATTCCTGTCCCCCAGCAGACAGAGAGGGTCGTAGTTGCAGCCAGCCAGTTGACTCAAGCAGGAAGCTGTTGCATAAGTCGCAACAGCTGCAGGCGGGCAGCGGCGGAGATGCTGGTGCTGATGCGGCTGCGCAAGCCGTGATTGGAAAGTCGCCTAGACCATCAGAGCTAGGTGACCCAAGCAGCCGCCAGCCGTCCAACCCGCAGGGGCGGCCCACGTTCTTCCTGGTACCGAAATTGAACGCCAGCAGCGCCAGAATCCACTCACAACTATCGCGAGTCAATTGTCAAACACGATGAACTGCTCGCTTACCGACTCAAAAAACGGTCTGATGGTGGCCACCGCCATGGCTTTATTGGAACGAAGTACGGAATGGGGAGCTGGACCATGGCATGCCACCGAGGTTGCGGAACCGTGCCAGCCGCCCAGCAGCACCCATGGTCGGCAGTCACAACTGACAGGTCCGCTGCAGCCCTCCAAGAAAGAATATCCCGGCACCACACCCTCGTACTCATGACACCATGATACATACCGCGGCTGCTGGTGCTCCCGCTAGCCCAGGCGCCGTCTGGTCGGTTATCAACTAGCCCGCCACAGCCAATGCTCCCCTCGTCCTTTCCGTCTGGGGAGCCATGCCGCACCCTGGAACGCTGCCCCGTACCTCCGTGAGCCAGTCCTGCGAACCATCCCAGATGCACTTCTAGGCTTCTATTCCTGTCCAACCATATCTAGTCCCCAAGAGGACGCACCGTTAGCTTTCCTTGGGGCTTAACACCAGTCTGTCTGTCGACAAGGACGTCATTGGTAGCGATCGGCCAATACGAACGCACGGGAACTCGCAAACTTGCAAACATGCTATGTTTTCTTTCAGGTCCCAACCATCAGGTCGCTGCTGAACCGCGCGACTCATGCTACACGTAAAACCTCACATCATGGTGAGGGATTCGTGTCCGCTACATCATCTCCGACTCGGTCGCTTACCGTTTTACTGCCGTTGTGTCAGCAAGCGAATGCAATAGTGCGGTGTCAGACAATTCGCTGTTCAAAGGACCATTACCTCCGTGGCAGCCCATCCTACATGGAGCTGGTCGCCCGGTGACAGCCTGCACGCACCTGGAAACGATCTCCGCCCGCGCCGTTCGAATCCCCACTCCACACTTTGCGGCATGTTCTTTTGGTTCCGCCACTGATTCTCCATGCTGGCCCGCTAGCCAGCTGGCACCTTCACACTGGCCAGGGTCCCTTTCGCGCGATTTTCGACCGAAGCTATCAGGCTACAGTATCCGTACAGTATGCGCCCGTGGCCTGCTTGCCGCCGCCACATTACATACCAGGCACTTTCGACCCGAAGCCGGGATTGTCCACAGCATGTATGCCAATCCTGAGCTGCAGGCGGATTGATCACTATAACATCCGCGCCGTAGCTGCGGTTACTTCCCGTTAGCATATCGATCATGTCAAAGTTTCCCAATTCCAGAGGATCTCCTAGGCAGCCGAGAAAGTTAACGAAGACGTGACTACCCGCTCATCGTTTGTGCAGCCAAACACCTACACCCTGGTAGGCTTGTCGCTTTCGTCATGAACCCCCCATAGTCCATGTCACAATCTTGACGGTCGGCTATGAAACAAAGGTGCAACCTGCCGTGTTTCTTGCCGGATGTCAGGTGTGGCTCTGAGAACTGCGGGGATGATGTGACCCTGACAGGCTAACCCTCGTCCTACAAAGTCGATCGATGCATTGGCGATCGTTGACATGGAAGCTAGACACAAATGAAGCACTCCAGCCATGTTTGCCACAGCAGACGGCCTTTGACGCCTACTATGGAAGTGCTTCCGGTCCAATGCACCGACTTGACTTCTTTCGAACCTATCCAGCACACGGATCCAAATTCGTGATCAATGTATCACTATTGCTAGCGTACTGCACGGCTCAAAGCCAAGATATGCTTTTCCGGGCATCTGGCTACGATTGAAAGTCAAAAAGGCTCTGTTGATAGAGCCTAGCATCAGCAACTGTTGATCGATATACTCCATACTGATGCTCCTTACTGCCCAGTCGCTCAAAAGAGCAATGTTCACCGCCAGTGTTCTCTTCTGCAAATGATATCGGACGCTAACGATGGCTAGGCTGCCGCGGACACGTAGCGAACATCTCCCGCCACGTTGCCGCGAAAAATACCCACTCCACTCTCAGCTGGATAGACGACTGCTCGAAGTTTGTCCCCGCAAGATCCTAGGCTCCCATTCTAGTCGAGCTGCCTCACAGCGAGGTCATAGCGTATGTGTCAGTCCCGGAGATCTGGGGCAGTACTTCTCTTGTACACTACCTCAAGCACGGTGGATGCAAGGGGTGAGCTCGATGGCAAACAGGCGACAGCTGTCCAAGCCAGAGCGTCAGGCAAATGCCCCAGTAGAAGATGGTCGTTATACGAATCGCAACTACACATCTGCCGACGTGACGACTAGAGCAATCAAGAACTTAGTGGCCGGTTATCGCCCATTGTCACGATCCTGTGAACACGTCCACCTCTGATACTTGGTATCATGAGATTTGACTGCATGGCCCGGAGCGTCCTGATTGTAAAGGTCTAAATGTGAGTGCATCGCCGCGATGCCTGGCGCGGAAGTCGCAATTGCCTGGCTCTTGACAGACGCAGGAATCGAGACGCGGGACGTGCCTGCAGGGATGTGTCTAATTTGTCAAGGAGAACTAAGGACTTCCAGCCGTGTACGCGATCGGAGTACTTGGGACTGAGGAACCCTCGGAGCGCAATGTCAACTTTCGATCCATTTGACAAATCTTGACGGCCGTGTTTTACGTGAATAATGCACTTCAACTGCAAGCGCGGCACCCATACGGAGTACATTAGGGCCACTTCCCTCCGTAAAAAGCGATAAAACAGAGTTGAGATGCAGCTGTGCTGGACCCCTTTAGGTCGGGTTCGTCAACGGCCTCATACCATACTGCCCAGGCCTTTCTAGTGCGGTTGGATCTTATGAATTGGCGATGAACGGCACAACACGGACATTCGAGTGGAAAGCCTCACGTCCAACAGTGCTACTCACTATTGCTCTCCCAGCTACGACTACAGCCAGATTATCTGCTCGCGTGGTTGCGTCCTTGACACCAGCGCGCCTACTGTGTTCTTCGCACTATATGCACCCCTGCAGACAGTTCCCTTTGTCAATGCCATCGGGAAGCCGATGACTCCAGGCTCAAACATCATGGTCGATCATTCTTCACCATTCCTTTCGTCGCCTTTCGTGCCTCTGATGACCATAGTAAGTTCCTGTAGCTGGCCAGCAAACTGCCGTAACCCGTCAGGCAGTGAACGGTATTCTAAAACGCGCTAACGATACACACTCTTTCAATCACGCCGTCAGATCTGTCTCAACTCCCATCATTGCCTCAGCCTTCCGTGCTGACGGTCGTGATCTTTTCTTATGGCGTCGAGCTCAGCGATCATGTGCTTGTGCAGCAACAGCTCGTCACTTACACGGCGCACACGGCTGGTAAGATGTAGAGTCTAATTCGTGCTAGCGACAGGGACGAGATTTGACATGTATGAACTTGGTCGTCCGGGACAGAGAGCACGTTCTTGAGTGCCGTGCATGAATTTGAGCATGGCACGAGGTGATGGTTGTGGAGAGGAAGGGATTGGGAATTTACAGAGTGTATTGAGGGATTACGATATGGTTACAGAAGGTATCTTTGCTCTGACTCGCACCTCACAGAATGACGATGGGCATGCTTCTTCTCTCTCTCCCCCCCCCCGTTCTCCGCCGGAGATGAGGAGAAGGAAGATGGCACTTATCTTAGCAGTAGAGATGTTCCGGGTTCTGCTGACCCCGTCCTGCCGGCCTGTTTCGTGTATCTATGGTCCTGGTCTACGTGGGAGTCCAGAAGATACAGGTGACAGAACGTCAAAGGGCGAGTAAGGCGTTTGACAGCACCGGTACCATCGTAAGATATGGTGCTCATCTTGCCCTGATGCAGTTCTGATCCTTTGTAAAGGAGATATTCAAGTTCGGTTGTGGTTGCACTCAGGTCAATTGCACCGGTAAGGGCCCACAGGCCTGCATTGAGCCCCACGCCAGCCAAATTAGGCTTAAAAAGACGTTTAATTCAATTACATCAATGCCTGAAAAGTCTGCGCAAATTATGCCACAAATTCGAGCATAGACTTGTTCACAAGGTTGTGTAGTGTAGTGGTGATCACTCCGGATTTTGAAACTGAACGTCGTTTTCCGGCAACCCCGGTTCGAACCCGGGCACGACCTCATTGATTTTTTGAATTCGCTTGCAACATTCATTCTCTCAGATGAGCCCAAGCTCAAATAGTTTGGCGCAGGATCGGGTGAGAGACAATCGTTTTTTGGCAGTCGTAGGACGTGATGCGCATGGCGAGCGGGAAATGATGATGAAATTTTGCAGGCAGCGAAAGCTTCGAGACAGTGGACACAACAAGCCTTGCATTTCATGTTACACGGGACCGTGGTGTTCCTATAGATGCTACGAGGTTGTAAGAGACATTCGTGGATTCTTGTTCTGCATTAGTTGTTGCCTGATTGCCTCGCTTTGGGGATCTGTGCGACATTGTTGACGGCCCGGGATTTATTGTGGTGTAGAGCAAGGAAGTGGAGGATGATGATACAGCAGGAGCTGTGCGCTGTACAGTCTCATTTATTGTATACGCCACTCTCAAGCATCTTTGTCTTTTTTGATATCCTCCTCTGCGTCAGTATCATCTTCCCCCTCCACCTCTACTCTCTTCCCTTCGACGCCCTTTGCAACCTCTTCCTCCAATATGTTCATGTACTCCCTGTCCGTCCCCACCAAGGTCACGACATTCCTCTTCTTCCCCCATCTTGGGTAGCTGCCAACCTTGATGCCCTTGGGTTCCACCTTTTTAGCCAATTCAGTCAGGTACTCGGCCACCGAGCTCTCCGCCAGTGGCGTGCTGAACAGCATGCGGTAGGTGCCCTTGCCCTCAGGATCCTTCAGCCTCGGCAATAGCATCGGTTTCATGCCTGTTAGCAACGCTTCAAAGAGCCGTGGCACGCCCGGCAGTATATGTATATTCCCGTTCACCACCGAGATTGGTACCCAAAGGTCATCCTTCACGTATATGACCTGCTCGTCCTCACTCTTACTCGGATCCCACGGCAGTTCCGCCATGCGCATCTTCGCTTTCAGCGCCGGGCTCGGATTGTCCCAGTCAAAGTTTGGCTGCGACTTGTGCGGCCGCGACAACCGGCGCATCTTTTCCATCGTCTTATCGTGCAGCTTCAATTCCAGCCCGAACGCCTTCGCTATTGATTGGTAGGTGATGTCGTCGTGTGTAGGTCCGATGCCACCGGATGTCACGACGAAGTCATAGTTCTTGGACATGCGCCGCGCGGCTTCTATTATTTCGTCCTCATCATCTGCGATCACCTCGACGCGCTTCATCGCCATGCCGAGCGAAAAGCAGAACTTGGCCAGGTAGGCTGAGTTGGTGTCGACCGTCTTGCCGCCGAGCACCTCGTCACCGATGATGAGACATCCCGCCGTGTGTATCATGTTCTTCTGCTGCCCCGAGGACAGAGATGGTGATGTCATGGTGGTGCTAGCTACAGCGGCGGCCGAGCGATGCGTGTAGTTCGGGAGCGTACGTGAAAGGTGCCGGGAGAGCTGGGAGACGCGGGCGAACATTGGGATGTTAGCGAGCAGGGTACATTGCTGAGTTGGCGAGGGTGGGCGTGCGGCAATGGTGAGCTCGTGATGCTGGCAAGGATGGTGGGGCCCGCGATCTGGAAACGAATCTGGAGCGGTTCGTTTAGGCGCCCTCGGGCATGCCCCCCACGCCTAGCGTAAGACGTCACCGGCGTGCCGCCGCGGGATGACGGGACAGATCCTCACAAGGCAACCATGCGTCTTGATGTCCGCCTTATTCGACGACATCAAATGACCTAAAAAGTCTCCCTAATTCTCATTTTCGATCTGTTTAGCAGAGTGGACGTGTTTCCATCTCACAGGGTGCTAGGCCAGCCGGAACCGTAAGCATCGCGGGATATACATCGACGATTACATTTTCACGTTTGACGACTCTTTCGAATCTGTCCCACAAGCATGGTACGCAGCTCATTGCTCGGACCCGATCGGAGCTCACTCATCTAGTCCGACGCAAGGTTATACACCTTCTCGCAAGAGACCAAGGATGCCCTACGGAAATTCCGCCTCGGAACCTCCAGAGCGAAGGATCCCCAGGCCAAGATCTGTTCGAGAAGGCCCATATCCCTCGTCTCAGAACATGACATCCTAACACATACAGACATGATCGACACCAAGACCCAGGAGATTCGGGCCCAAGATAACGACACGTATTCGGACATGCTCGAGCTGGCCGACGAGCTTCCAGACTCCTCGCCTCGATTCGTGCTGTTAAGTTATCCGCTTACCCTGGTAAGACGAGACAACCTTTTTTCATTGGCTGCCCCTTGAGGGGCTTGGCTGACTTGAGACAGCCATCCGGACGCATGTCCGTGCCATACGTTATGATTTACTACCTACCGGTCAACGCCAACCCGAACTTGAAGATGTCCTATGCGGGCGCGGTGGAGCTAATGCGCTCGACGGCTGAGGTTAACCGGGTTCTTGAGATCACGGACGCGGAGGATTTGCAGGAGATAGAGAAGAAGCTGCAGGGCGAGGACTGATGGAATAGGCACGTACGTGGTTAACCGAGGGGGCATGTGTGGCACCGTAGTCCTGCTGCAGGCTACATGGAAGGATTCTGAGGTTCATTGATAGATAGAGGTTGCAAAAAAGCCCAGGGTTACCACCAAGGGTTGGGCCCAAACCCAGGACCTTCAAGGTGTTCGACGGGATGCACTCCGACCGACTAATCTTCGAGGCGTTATCCTGCTCGAAGAGAGCCCATTCGTGCGGTTGTTTCACCAGAGAAGCCCTTGCATCCGCGTTTCGCATCAGCTCAAGTCCATCATGTCCAGATCCTCTTCGTCGTTGCCGCCGCCGACACCGGTCGCGGCCATATTCAGGTCCAGCAGCCCATTCTTGACATTGCTTCCAGCCTTGTCCTCCCCCATCCCCAGCGTCGGCAATGCCTTCGACCATCCCCGCGTACGCAACCCCTTCGGATCCTTTCCTCCATCACTCACGCTCAGCACGCTCTGCTGCGCCTCCCAATCCATCGACTCGCACAGCCTCCTCTCTCCCCATTTCATCAATTTACCAGCCAACCAACGCGCCTCCTCCCTCGCCTTTCCCACCGTCTCTTCAAGGTACCATCCCTTCTCCATACTCAACGCCCGCCCAATAGCCTGCAGCCGCCGCTCCAATTCACCTTCGGAGCCGATGACTTCTTGCGGCGCCTTCAGCACCTGCGTGAGCTCCAGCGTACAGGAAAGCAGTGCGTCGTGCGTCTCGTCGATGTCGAGGTCACGGATCTCCAGGGCGCGGAGAGCGAGCAGGAGCTTGGCTGCGCTGTCCGCAGCGGCAGCCCTGGAGTGTGGCGAGGGTGACTTCGCGGTGGAGGGTCCAGCGGTGGAGATGGGGCCAATTGGGTACGCGGCCAGCGCATCGTGGAGAGCGTAGAGGGCGCGAGGGACGTTGCGCGTTGCGCGGCCGCTTCGGTAGGTGCAGATGGGGCAGGTGCCGAGGGCGTGGAGGACCATGTTGAGGGCGTGGAGGACCATGTTTGTCGAGAGCCTGGTGATTCGACTTGAAACTGCAAGATTTGTGGTTGCCGTGTGTTCAGAGATCGTGGTGTGATTCGAAATGCGAGAGAAGTCCGAGCACGGAGATGCAGCTCGTACAAGGTAGGTGTGCATGAAGTGGCTGGCCGCAACTTTCCTGCGTTACCCGGCGGGATTCGCAACGATCCGTATTGCTGTTGCTATAGAGGCTTGACTTGGCATGGTGTTGATAGGTGACACGCCGGGTGAACTCTGAACGTGCAATTAGATGAGGTGCGTGAACATGGCGAGGCCGCTTTTTGTACCTCGCTCATGAGAGAACAAGGATTTGCGCTATGATGAGAGGGGATCTGTGTCAGCCAGTGAATCCATATACCAAATCAAATTGCTGCAATCAAAAAGGTCTGTTCTCGACTTGTTCCACATTGACGTATGTTCATGTCCGCAACAGATTGTTTGGCGTTGACACGATTGGCGCTACTCAGTAGGTCACGGTCTTCCGCTCCAGATACCACGTGCAAAGATGCCCGAGGATCGGTCTCAATGGGCAATTCCAAAGCTAACGAAGGTATCGGAGCCTCGTGTGCCTTGTTGCGCTGCTGCTTCGCTTGCGGGGCGTGAAGTACTGCTCTTCAGCTTGTTATATCCCATACACTGGCTATTCAATGTGCTTGTCAAAAGGATCTGCAGAACCTTCTGACTCCAGCCAACACCAGGAAGGGAGCACGCCACGGCGCGAGAACCCGTTACTCGACCATGGGAAGGATGACTGTAAGAAGCATTCTGGGTGAGCATACAGCATTCTTGTCTTCGTCTTTCTGCTGATATAGTTGACGACACCAGTACATGCATCGAAACGACCAGTGACAAAAGAGTGCTGTCTGCCATCATAATTCTCAACAACTTCAGCATAGTCCTTGAAAGTAAGACTTTTCGTCCACAAACCGCCGGCGCAGCGGATTGCATCAGGAATCTCGAACGATGTAATCATCTCGGTCATCCAGTGTCAGCCGAAGTTCCTGGAATGGCTTTGGGTCGAGCATTGCGTTGTCGAGTCCGTGAGCGCACCGAAAGAGAATGCAATCAGAACACCTCACCTCGTTGCTGCACCAAAAGACCAATCCTTGACTATCCACACTGTGGCTGCACGACTGAATGGCCGCGTCATTCGGCCGCAAGATCAACCAATTCCGAATCAAGACCACACACGCCGGATACTGCCGCATTCTCACGCATGTCGTAGCTTCGATCGCCCGTACAGTAGCGATTTGAGCTCACGACTGTAGACGGAGCTGCCGCTGTTCAGGCTGTATGCCATGAGCCGATGTTGGTCCGGGGTAGCGAGGGGAAATAGCCGAAGGTGAAGTCGCTGTGATGACCTCCTCGTGGCCGTAGGAAACCAAATTCGACGGACCGAGGGCTTCATTCGGCAGGACATCGACTCGTGAAGTGATGGGTGAAGTGGTCCCGGCCGTTTCATAGCTCCTTGATATTAGCAGTAAGTGCGTCATCTCATGCAGGCTGAAACGCCTTCCCCAGAAATCGACCTGTTGAATCCGGGGGCGGGAGTGCCGTTGCAACAGGGGCAATAGCACGACATGAAATCATCTAGATGGCAACTGCGGCATTGTTTGCCTCAAAAGCGATGGTCACTGGCTTCTAGAATGGGGGACTTGTGCCGCACGACGGCTTGCGTCAGATGCTGAGATAACGTCCAATAATTCGTCCCGTCACAATGTGGCTGCGGTAGCCAGAGGAAGGCTTTGGTATTCCGTGGCTTCCATACTTTTTGTGGAAGAAATACGGCATGCATAGGGTCGATAGGGCGCACTCTGAATCGAGAGCTGCCCCGGTTTTTGGAGGAGAGGTGAGACTAGAGCCAATCAAAAGTCGAAAGCATGTGTCTCAAAAGCCGTCAACAGGGAGTCGGATGCGAATGGCTGGCTCTTGTAACACGATGAAAGCCAGCCGCGCACACGACGATGATAAGGGCGCTAGGAGAAAGGAGCGCAGCCTACGGCGTAGATTCATACTGTGCTCATTTCCAAGGGAGTAAAGGGGTTTTAGGCCATGTTCGTTGCGACTTTATGGTGCCGCGGCACTCTGGATTGTCCGCTCAAGCATTTCGGACAGTCTTGGAGCAACGAAGCACTTCTGTGAGACAATCTCCACGATGTATATCTTCCAGAAGACGGACTAGAAGTCAGAACTCGGCGGCTTCAAGATCTGGGACAGTGGATCGATGGCTCCCTGCAGTGACCCACAAGGGCGGCCCCCTTTTTCAACCAGACCAATAAGGGGCACAACCGAGGTGAAATGATGCGTAAAACCATGCCGCATTGGGTCGCGAAGGCTTGTGAATAGAATGCCTCTGCAGTATGTGCCCCAGACAAGCCAGACGTGCATATGCGATGACGGTCAGAGCATGTAGGGGATCAGGAACAGGCAACTCACTCGCCGGTGCCTTTGCCATTCAGGAAGCCGGACATGTGTCGGGCTCGGGCATTGGCAGAAGCGTGGGTCTTGCAGCTGACGCCGCGTGGTCCATGTCAGTGGCTGGAGGCAATGAGATAGGACACGGTCTGTACAGAAGCAACTAGGATGAACTCACCAGGGACCAAAGGCGTGGTAAGGGTGGTACTACAGAGGCAGCTAAGGGCGCCAATGAGGGCGCCAAGAGGAGCCCCCTAGCCGGCAACGGTGGGCCCGCAGGTTGCATGTTGCGGGTGGAGGTGCAGGTGCAGGTGCAGACTGCAGACTGCAGGCGCAGGTGCTTCTTCGCTCTTGCCTCTACCCATCTGCGCGAACCAGAGAACAGCTGTGGGATACACAGCGTTCTTCTTTCCAACCCTTGCACTTCCATCTATTTGCCATCTTCGACACTCATACCTGCCATTAATTATTTCGCACCGTCCGGTTCCCTTATCGACTCTGTTGAAACGTGCATTCACATCCTCGGAACCTCCTCACTCCACCCTTTTCGTGTCCTTGCCACCACCTCCCGCGCTGTCACAACATGGCTTCCAAGGTTTGTCCCACCCTGCTTTCCGCCGCCGATTTTCTGGAGGCGCCGACTGACACGTGTCCTCGCTGCAGTTTCTGCGGGAATACAAGCTGGTTGTTGTCGGCGGAGGAGGCGTTGGAAAGTCCTGCTTGACCATACAACTCATCCAGAGCCATTTCGTTGACGAATACGACCCAACGATCGAAGGTATTTGCTCCCGACTCCCGTCGCACAACACTTGCGTCCCTTTGCGCACACCCCGGAGATCATTGTAACTAACCATGAACCCATCACAGACTCATACCGCAAGCAATGTATGGTCGACGACGAAACCGCCCTTCTCGATGTCCTTGATACGGCCGGTCAGGAAGAATATTCAGCAATGCGCGAGCAGTACATGCGCACCGGCGAGGGCTTCCTGCTCGTCTATTCTATCACCTCGCGTCAGTCTTTTGAGGAAATCCAGACATTCGAGCAGCAGATATTGCGTGTAAAGGACAAAGATTACTTCCCAATCATCCTTGTTGGCAACAAGTGCGATCTGGAGCATGAACGGGTCGTGTCTCGCGAAGAAGGCCAAGCGCTGGCCCGACAATTTGGCTGCAAGTTCATCGAGACCAGCGCTAAAAGCAGAGTAAATGTCGACAACGCATTCTACGACCTCGTCCGAGAAATTAGGAGATACAATAGAGAAATGAGCGGTTATGGGACTGGCGCGCCTCAAATAGGAGGCGGCGGTCCCGGTCAAAAGTTGGAGATGGACGACCAGGCCGAAAGCGCTGGTTGCTGCAGCAGGTGCTCGGTCATGTAACGAAGTGGAAGCACAGAAAGAAGAGCAGGGCAGCGGCAGCGCTGCAAGTTGGGCAACATTTTCTCCGATATCTCTTCCTACTCGCAAGGAGTCGTGGTGTGTCTACAATATCTCTCCCAGACGCTGGGGCTTTTCTAAAAGCATGCGGTGGTGGCGGACCGGCGGACAGCGGCGGAACTGTCCAGACTCTTAGGACTCTCGCATTGGCGACGAGAGGGATCCTAAGGGCAGAAAAGTCGACTTTACGACTGTGGCCTTAATCTCGGAGAGCGGCTTCTGAAGGCAGACACGGAGGGCAAGGTCATTGGCCGTTTATCTGACATCCCCTTCTTACAATGCCACAACTACTAGACTTCTTATATTATCTGACTCTCTGACAATTGGGAGAGGTCTGCAAGGACTCGGGGCTTCTACCAGGGCAGTATCCAGTTGGGACCACAAGAGGATCAGAGACAGCTGAAGTACGTACGTGATCGTCTGAACCGAAGTCCCAACGAACTGTACCGGCGTTTTTAGTACTATAGTACCTTCCGTTTGGGGAAGTGTAACCAGGCACTCGGAGTATGCACAGTATTCAAGTAGTTTAAAGGCATTGACACCTTCTCGTCGGCCATATGAGAACCTCGACGTAAGCGAAAGCACTACTCATGCACTGATTCACAACCCACGAGCGCCGACTCCAGCATCCACCGCCTCAAGCACGGTGCCCTTCTTGCCCACGCCCTGTTCCCACCTCCTGATATACTCCGCATCACACGCCTCCTCCACCCTCTCCCTCACCTTCCGAACCACCTCCCGCATCTCTCCCCTCTCCCTCCCCTCCAGCACATCCAACCAAGCCCGCACGCCCACCCTAGTGATCAACGTATTTGCCCCTTCCTCCACGCCCGCCACAGCCCAAAAGCATCGCAACACCCCCCTGCGCACCTCCCGCTTACACCCGGCGCGCAGACACACGCTCCCCAGCCGCTCCCACACCCCGGCCCGCCGACACAACTCCGCATCCTGCCTCGCGCGCATCCCGTCCGCCAGCACGGCCAGCAGCCGCAGCATCTCCGCCTCGCCGGCGCCGGGCGCCTCGCTCTCCGGCTCCTCCAGCAGCACGCGGCTGACCCAGTAAGGAACCACGCGCGTCAGTGGCTGCCAGTTGGGCCCGCGCATCAGCCAGCGGTTGACCTTGCCGTACATGGCGTCGCTGGGGTCGGTGATGACGCTGAGCGCCATGACAGCCAGTTCCGTCACGATGGCGGGGAGGGGCTGCTGGTGCTGCTGCTGCTCGCTGGTGCTGGTGCTGGCGGTCTCGATGGCGTGCTGGCGTGCGGTCTCCAGGAGCTCGCCGAGGAGGAGGTGCAGTTGCGTGGCTTCGGAGTAGGAGGAGGTGAGGAGGGAGGGGACGAGGTTGGTCAGGGTGGAGAGGGCGCCGAGGCGGACTTCGGAGGTGGGGGAGGAGAGGGAGCGGATTTGTGTTGCTAGGCGTGAGGTGCTCGGGTTGGCGGAGAGGTCGGAGTCGGGAGTGTAGGTCGGCGGGAGGGGGCGGTGAGAAGTCGGAAGCGGTATGGGCTCAGGGAAGACGGAAGTGATGTTGTCGGCAGTGGAGAGCTCCTTCTCGGGACCTGCTGAGGACGAGCGGGATGGCGCTGGGGATGGAAGTTGATGGGTGGCCGGGTCACGAGCTTGAGCCTCAAATGCCTTCTTGAGAGTCTTCCTATGCCTTTTGTGCGACTCGGCTGCCGACAGCATGCGAGAGCGGAGGACCTCGAGAACGGCGGCGTTTTCGTCGCTGGCGGCGAGAAGCGCGAAGAGAATGCTGGTGAAGTGGATGGTCGTGGTGAGATCGTCGTTTTGGAGCGCATGAGGCCACTGTTCCGCTACGGCACAAGCTACGAGGCTCAATCGAGTGGAGTCCGAGACCTCCTTTTGGACGTCCTCCAGGTACTCGACATACTTGACCGGCTGCTTCATCGTTCGGATCATGCAATTCTCGAGGAAGAGCATGAGAGTCCCGTCGTAATTCTCGAGTGTCGAACTAGTGCTCCTCAGGCTTTGCTCAAGAGCGATCCAGGCAAGCTTGCCGGGGCAAAGTATGCCCTTCTCGACGAAGATTGCTTCGAGCGTACTACGGATGATGGGCTCCGCGGAAGCGTGCGAACGATCACCTGTAGCGTCGATCAGGAGAGCCATAATCGGCGAAAGATGCTCGGTACTGGGCTTATGCCACCATTTAGTGCCTCGTGAAAGACCGGCAATGGTTACTAGAGCGACCTTTTGCGTTTCGAGACCATCCTGGGCTGGGGAATCATTGCCGATCCTGTGTAGCTGTTGAAGGACACCAAGCAAGGCTGGGGTAATGTCAAAGCTGGAGGCTGCAGTCGCCGCTGGCAAGACCTTTTTGTACGCAGCCATACATTCGAGCACAGCACCTCTAACTGCCTGGTTGTCTTTTGGTGTCTTCTGGAGGGCTGCTACTATCTCGTTGTATAGAGGCGCTCGGGCGGTAATGATGCTGGAGAGCTTGGTGATAGCTTGAATCCACAAATGGCGTGGTCCTGATACGGATCTAAACATCTTTATGACGGTCCCCAACTTCCGCAACGCGACTGTCAACAGGCGACAGGCAGACATGGTGGTCATATCTTCGGTCTTCTTGAGGAAGGCCGTAGTCGTTGTTCGATCCAGAGATCGAGGTAGTATGTTCTCGGCAGCAATCGACAATGGTGGCGGAGATATTGCTGAACGGACACCAAAGCCTAGATGTGGCGGCGCTGGTAAATCCACAACCGAGAATAGAAATCCAAACTCTCCAAGCCAGCTGTCGTCGTCCGACGGTGCGCCTAATGATTTTGGCCGCTTGCAGAAGTAGTCTGCAACAAGCTCGGGCGCCGCTGCGAAGATCTTGGTGACCAACTCCGCTTGTAGGACATCGGAAGCAGGCTTCAACTTCTGCAAGAAAAGTGACAGGTTAGTGTTCTTGACGGGAACACTGGTCGTATAGTCGTCTGCATAGTATGGTGAGTCTAAGCCTAGGTCGATGCCAGAGTCATCATCGTCGAAAGAACCATGGAGCTCGTAATTGGCCGGGTACCAACCGTTCTGAGCGACCACGGCACCAGTATCGGAGGTGCAAGCATGTATGAGGAAGTCGTGGGCCGCCTGGCGAACTGATACCACATCAGTAGTCTCATCTACCTCCTCAGCCTCAAAGTCGTACAGTTGTGCGAATAGCTGAAGGTTGCCAGCATTGAGGAAGCGAGTCTTTGTGGCCTTTTGAAGCTCCGAGCCCAGGAGACTTAACCGAACTGTCTTCAGAATATCGCGAACAATATCACCACCGTCAAATATCAGGCTCCGGATGCATGAATACAACGCCTTTCCTTGCGTGATCAGCTCAGTCTTCGCCTCGGCATCCAAATACCTCAGCATAGCCAGAAGTAGACGTTGCGCATTCCGTCTGACCGTTGGTCGGCGGCGATCTGCTTCATCTTGACGTCGAGTGGACGCATCAAGCAGTGTGTCTAGACGCTTGAAGAGGACGTCTCGTCGAGAAAAGACATCCGCTGCTAGTGCACCTGCGTCGAAGCTGATCATCTCGGTCAGGAGTCGGAGGCATGGTGAGATCACAAAGTCCTTGTGCTTTGGCGCAGATAAACCACGATCCAAGAGATGTAGTTGGTCAGACTTCAGCAAGCTGTGGCAAAGGGAGAGGCCGAACTCGCGGAACTCTAAGTCATTGCTGATGGTGCGGAAGAACTGAGCAAGAGCCGCAGGCACAGCAGAAGTGATGGCGTCGATGTTGTTCTGTGCTGCAAATGACCATGTCGACAGCAGGTCCCGGAAGTCGACCTCTTCATTCGAGGATGATGACTGATCGTCACAGTACTGTTTGAGCACCTTGAGCAGAATCGTCTTCTCGGTGGGCTCTTTGCTTGATATTTCTATCAGGAAGCTCCTGAATCTATCGATCCCTATGGTCGAGTTAGAAGAGCACAATGGTTTGCGAGGGTCACGGACCGGCTTTTACTTCTGGCTCGGCACTCTGCCGAAATCGAAGGAGGTTGTGAAGTTCGAAGGCACCTCTGATATCGCCGTCAGGGTGCTGCGGGTCATTGTCCAGTCTACGGCGCTTTCTATCTCTGGGACCATCTCCGGCCATGTCGGCGGCAATGTCGAGTGCAAAAGTCAATGAGCAGCACAATTCTGATCTTGGTCTCTGATGGCATAAAAATTGAGCCCCCAAGGCTGTGGAAATGCTTCGTAAGGCTGAAGTACTGCCACTAGTGCCGGTGTATAGGGAACCAAGAATCGGACTCTCAACCCTCCAAAAAATGCTCTACCTTCATCAATGATGAACGGAATCGTGTCATTCAACCTGCAAAATGCCTGGTATGATCTAGGGTGTTCTGAAGATTGCAAAATCATACTCTTCAGCGTCACGCAGGACCAAGACTTGCTTGATCGACTGCTTGATCATGCCAAAGTCGAACCCGGGAAAACAAAAAACGAGAGGTCGTACCCGGAATCGAACCGGGGTTCCCGGAATTTTGAAACAATCTTGATCAGAATCCGATGTGATAACCGCTACACTATACAACCCTGAATCAAGTTTCCAGTTGGGAAATCTCGGTGCTGGAAGTTGGTGCAAAATTTGGAGCAGCAACAATATAAAGAATTTCAAAAAATCCCTGAGCGAGCCCCAAATCTCGGCTCTGCTTTCGCTGCAATAGCCTTTAATCCGGGCGTCTCGCGCCATGATCCCGCAGATCTCTCCTCAGATTTGCGTTCATAACCAGACCTGAAGTGGCTTCGGTCGCTGAACGCACGTGATCTTCTTCGCTATCATAGCCTACTCGCTTCTGTCCGGTGCTCCGCGTATATGCGAGGAGGCAGGTAGCAGGGACGGGAGCGGGCCCAAACCCAGGCCAGGTCCTCGTTTCCTCAAGCGGCGCTGGACGGTTTTCCAGGCACGCCTCTGCCTATGAGCCCCCTATGGGCAGCCTGCTATCACTGTTTGCTGGGCACCCGGGGCAGGATACGCAGGACTCTCTCCCAGACCCCACGCAGTTCAATATCATCGATGCGGCTGTAGATGGTAGGAGCCACCGGGACAATAAGGGTGGTGACAAAAGGATCGTTACTGCAGACAAGGACTCGAAGGTAGACTACGTAGAGTCCGGCGAGAGGGGAGATTGGGCCGTGTACGTGACTATACGTATATATTTACGCATGAATCAGATGAAAAGTGGGCGCGATGTTCAGGATAACGACATTCACAAGGTCTCGTCGACAGTCGGTGACTTGCTACCGCGATTAGGAATATATGTACACAATTGTAGGTCTACAACCTAGACCGATCGACCAACTTTTCGTGAAACGTCGTATATCACATGTGTGTCTCTCAGCATTGCCTTTGAACCAGGGCGTAGAATCAACTTGAAAAGATGAGAAGACTCATAAAACTCGTCAATCTTTCTCGAGAGACCCTGAAAGCTGTACAGTGTAACCCCTATACAAATCTTCATCCATCATCAGCTGTTCCCGTGGCCTCGGTCGTACATCAACAAAGGCCCGGAAAACGGAGCGCTCAATCCAAAGCGCTCAGCACCTCCGCCACTTCAAACACCTTCGCCTCTCCATCGATGCCGTTCTCAGGCACGAATTTTCTGAAGGCGGCCCGTACCTCTCTGGGAAGCGGCCCAAACACGACCTCGCAGCTCGGCAGGAGCGCGCGGTCTTGCATTGACGGCGTCAGCACAGCGATCTCCTGCGCGATGTGCAGCGCCGTCGAGAACTCGGCAGCTTTTGCTTGAGAGCCTGGGATACTGGTTGTTTTGTTAGCTGTGCTGCTGTTGTCAACTGCGTGGCAGGACGGGGAGACATACACATAGATACTAGCCCACGCGTCCAGTACAAATACTCCATCGTCTGTCAGATCCGCCTGCGTGAACGAGGGAATCTCCGTCAGTGTTGCTTTATTGGAAGGCTTGCTCGGACTCGTTGCTCTCAACCCCCAGAAACCTCCACTGCTCTTTGGGCGCTCGAACTCCAGTCGGTACAGCTTGCAGGGGAAGCCATTCTTCTCGTCCATGCTCCTCATCGCCCAAATATCGCTGGGCTTGAACAGTGTCTTTGCGTTGGGCGCAGAGAAGCTCTCCCAGAATGCCGCAGGCTCCTTCCCTTCCGACACCTCTTCGATCTCGCCTGTCAAGCCGAGATCCATGCCGATAAGACGTGCAGCGCCAATCTCGTCTGCTCCAGAGCCCTGGCCCTTCCAGAGATAGAGCTTGCCAAACTTGGCAGAGATAAGAAACGGGAAGCCTGAACACAACGCTTCGGAAGAATACCCGACTTCGTCGAAAGCCACATGCCCAGCATGCCGCCGCCCGCACAACATATATAATGCCGCGCTCTTGTTCTTGCGAGTGACAAGGATGCCGCCAACCGCAGAGAAAAAGTTACCGCTCTCCTTGCCTTGCTTCATTACGAGAAGCTTGGCTGAATTCTCCCGGGCAACTTTGCGGCAGAAGATCTGCGCATCTTCGAGGGCGGAGGCAGAGATAGCGTCACCGGCCCAGATATAGACCTCCGTGACCTTCTTTGCTGAAGCTTCAAAAGTGTGGACGACGAGGTACATGCTTTCTTCGAAGAAAACATGCTCCTGACCTGGGGAGAGGAGAGTTTTCTTACCATCGCCTGTGATTTCGAAGACTTGACTGTTGAGAGTTTTTGGGCGCTCGGGGGCAGCTGAGGTCACGTTGAGGATGGTTTCGGTATCAAAGTCGGCTTTCTCATCGGAGCGAGGTACGGGAGTGAAGAAGGCCTCAAGAGCCTGACGGGTTGGGGAGACCGCCGTGTTGGGCTTACGTGTATCGACGAGGGCGGATGTTTTGAGGTCCCTTTCGGGAGGTGGCGTCAATTCCTGTGTCTTGACAGCCGCCGTGGCTGGGAAGCCAAATTGCAGGCCCAAGCCAGGGGGCTTCGGCTTCTTGTCGCCAAGTTGAGAGCCTGCAGCCTCATCAGAAGGTTGCTGGGGCCGAGGCGAGTTCAACTTACTCCTACTGGGAGTCAGAGGCATGGCAGCGGTGGACTTCGACGGGGTGGCTTCTCGCACGGTGCCGTCCGTGGCGATATTGAAGTTCTTTTTCGGTGAAGTTTTGGGTGGCAATGGCTCAGCTTTCTCGATAGGTACGGGCGAGTTGTTCGAAATGCGACGAAGCTCGGGGGACTTGGTGGCCACAACCGGTAGCGACTCAACTTTATCTTCTGGGACAGGAGACTGGTTCGATATTCGCCGCAATTCTGGAGACTTCGACGACACGGCGGGAGGTGTCTTTGGGTGTTGAGCATCACGAAGCTTTGCGACAGGCTTCTGCTTTGGCTCACGGCTGACCGCTTCTACCTTGGGCGTTAGGGGTCTCGTAACGAAGGCGGTACGACTTTCCGTAAAGTTCGACTTTACGGGGCTACGATTTGCGTTCTTGATATCGACTTCCCCAAGCAGCGTAGTTGGGTTCATCGAAACAGCCGCCTCTTGCTCGGCAGGCGGGTCGGCTTTGGGGGCTCTACGCTTTGGCCCTTTGGCGCGCCCTTTGGTCATGTGAGTTAAGTTGGCTGGGTCTTCAGTCTTTCCGGTATTGGCATTTCCAACTAACATGGGCATGTCACTGGACGCTTCTCCAGCGGAGCCAGATTCTCCAGACGGCTTAGGACTGTTCCCGCGTGCGATGAGCCCTGCAAGCGCAGGATTAAGTCTAGCTGCCAATCCACCAGAAGTGGTTTTCTTCAGTTGCAAAGCGCCGCCTGTGACTAGTGATTGGGTACCGGCCGCAAGGCCATGGGAGCTGCTCTCTGATGTCTTTGTAGTTGTGCGAGATAGGGTAGTCTCCGGTTCTTTATGAACCTCGATAGGCTTGCTCTCCAATGGTTTCGAATGGGGCACAGGGGTCGCAGCCGCTGATGCTCGTTCAGAGAGGCTCTCAGGGAACTTCTCGACAACAGTTTCAGAACCTTTAGTCAACGACTTCTCGAGAGGCTTGTCAACTGGCTTAGGAGACACTTTCTCTTTTTCAATCGGAGTTGATGACAGGTTTCGAGATTTGATGGGCGGTTGCGGCTGCTGGGTCGGGAGCTCTGCAGTACTGATGATTGGCTTATCAGTGGAAATCTTGGACTTGTGTAACGTGTTGCGTCTTCTCAGAGCTTCTGGTAGATCTTGCGCTGGTTTTTCGGGGGAAGCATCCCTTGAATCTGACCGTTTGTGGGCCGTCCCAGCTCCTGCTTTCATCGCCTCCTTCTGCGCGAGAATGCTCTCTTTGAACTCGTCCACACGCTTGCGCGGCTGCGGGCCGCCTGTAATATTCAAACCCGATTTACCGCGCGTGATGTTGTCCTTCAATGTGTCAGGAGCCACATAATTCTTGGTCTCCGCCTTCTTTAGCTTGCCAAACACGGACTTGAACTCTGGCTCGTCAGAGTTGGCTGTGGCCGAGCCAGTCTGGCGGCTTTTGAGGTTGGCACGGAAGTCAGTCTTCGGTGGTGTCTGAGGTTTTGGTTTCAGCGCAGGTGGTTTCTTGTCCATGCTTTCTCGAGGGTCAGGTTTACCGTCGTTAGCTTTCTGAGTATGTTGCAGAGCTGAATCAGAACTAGGCGTAATTTCGTCCGCAAACTTCCTGGTCTGGTTCACGGATAGCTTTGAGGCGGTCTCTGGAAGAGTTTCTGCTTCCACAGGCGGCTTGTCTTCCAAAATCGTGGATTTGCCGGCATCCAGCGTGGCCTTCGTGGGACTCAGTACTGGAGAAGGCTTTGGTTGAAGATCAAGCGGCTTCGTTGTTGCGCCTAGAGTTGGTGAGCGCAGAAGACCACCTGTATTGACAGGGTCAAATGAAGTGGGTTGACTCTCGGTGTCTGCAAGATCTTTCTGGCTCTTTGATCGCTGCAGCCCGATTTTCCATGCGGGCGGCTCTTCTTTGGTAGGCGAGAAACGCGGGGATTCGGGCTTGGAGAGGGCACTCTCGAGCCAGCTCGCTTTCGTAGGGCTCCACCGCCGGGGGTCCATAGTCTTGGAAGGACTCCGACTCAATTTGGAATCTTCCTGGCCGTCTGCCGGGGCCGGTTGCGAGGGCACTGAAGCTCGGTTGGAGGGCGGCGCGACCAAGCCGTGCGGCTCTGACTTTGATTTTTGGATGGAGGGTTGGATCGACGCTTCTTCAGCATGGCTAGAGGACGGCCGAGAGGAACTCTGCGGCGAAGCGGTTCCGTCGCGAGCCAGTCGTGGGTCCCGTGAAAGTGTGCGCGCATGGCCGAGAGAAGGGACACCGGGAGTAGGAGGATTGAATACTGGCCGGTTGCTCGCAACAGAGTCCCCTCTCTTTAGGCCAGCATGCGCCTGCACGCTCCATCTCTTGCTGACACTGTCGTTTCTCCGCATCATAGCGCTCTGAACGAAGCCACCAAGACCTTTAGTTGGAGAAGGGGGCCGGCCCATCGAGCCAAAAGTACTCGAAGGCTGACCTGAGCTGTTCTCTTGGTCTGAAGGGCCGTGATCCAGGACATGCTCCTCGTGGGGCAACGATGGTTCAGTGGGAGAGAGCGAGGGGGCTGGACCGGGGTTGGAAACATATGCCGCGGCTGGATGTTTGCGGGGAGACTGCGGTACAGATGCTCTCTTTCCAAATAGCTCACTTTCGCTGTGCTCTTTGGCAGGCTCGGACGGAGTGAAGGTTGGTGTGAATCGGTCCTCGGTCGTTCCCGAAGCCATGCCTGGCAGTCTCATGCCCTGGGAAGAACGTGCCGAGAGCACAACATCGTCTTGTTCGGACTTTCGGTACGCTGCAGACCCAATGCCTCGATCTTGTGTTTGTCGGAACCATGCCGGATCTTTCGAACCCAATGCCGCTGCAATATCTTTCCGCGAAGGAGATTCTTGCCCGCCTTTCTCTGCAGTCGTGGGAGCGTTTTCCGCCGGGCCTCTCGAAGATCCACGAGAACCCGAAAGCGGGCGAGAGCGCACTGAACCGATACCACGTGAAGTAGGTCTCTGCTGCCACGACAGAGTGCCGCTTCGCGACAAAGCTGTAGCGTTGACGGGTTGTAAGGATGGGGAGTCGGGTTTGTCTTGAGGGGTCTGTGGCAGCGACCGGTCTTGCTCAACACTTAGCGGCGATTGTGGTCGGCCTGTACGACTTGGGCTCTCATCTGGCCGTCTCAGTGTTTGAGCTCGTGATCGAGGAGTTAGACTGACAGGAGGGTCAATCCTTCGGTCGGCGCCAGGAGTAGAGGGCAAGGATAACGGGGCCGCGGGGCCGGTCTTGACGGGTGATATCGACCGTGCGCGCTCTGTTCAAGGCATTAGCATCGAATGGGTAGGAGCGGCGATAATGGTATGTACCTGCTCGTCGGGCTTGCCGCTCTCTTTTGGCCAGCATCATCTGCTCCTCCGATCTCCGCGCCTGATCAGCATCGCTGTCAGTCTTCTTGCTTAGACTCGCGATCCTGGCCAGAAATTGGTCGACATCTTCGGAGCCATCTCTTGACGCGCTCATGATGGCGTGCGGGGCCGCGTAAATACAGCTCTAGTCGGTACAGTACTTTGTCCTTCGAGACACGCGGCTGGCGTCTGCACGTCCGTCTCAGGGGACTAACGTGGAAGCGTAAACAGCAAGGACCACAGCGACGGTATGAGCAATCTGCAGCGATTGTCCTGGCGGGCAGATGCAGAAGTGGGCGGCATTGGAGGTTGCGTAGAGCTGATCGGAAGTGGTTGTTTGTTGCAGATGCGGAGTCGGGTCGCGATCTGACTTTGGCGGGTTCCAGCAGCAATAACAACAACTAACCCTGCTTGTCTCACAGAAAATATTTTTCTCTCAAAAACTGATCGCTATACAAGTGAGTCGATTTCTGTGCTCCTTTTGGCAAATCTACAGAGGCCAGGCCACACCCTTTCGCTGCGGCCATTCAGCGGCCTGTGCACCGGCGTTTCAGAATGGCTTTGTTTCAAGAAACGCGCTGCCTTGTTCGCCTTACGAGGCTCCGGGTTCCGATGGCTAATACAAGAACAGTCTGTCTCTAGCATCTTGAACAACCCAGTCGAGTCCTTCTTCTAGATTCTTCCCAGTCATAGCGCTGCATGGAAATACCATCCATCGATGTGTATGAATCTGTGGCAGTTCCAGCCCATTTGTCACCTCCTCAACGCTCATGCAACCAGTAATGTCAGTCTTGTTTACAAACACCAGTAGGCTGGATCCGGACAGTCGCTATGACTTGTCAGCAAGAATCTCACGCGTCTTGTATACCACGAACCTCTTCCAATAGCAGGCCTCTCAACTCCGCTCGGCAATCTTCCATGCGTATCCGGTCTGTAGCATCCACCACCCAGATCAACGCGTCCGTCTTCTCAAAATAGTTCCGCCAGTATGATCGGATGGTTTTCTGGCCACCGACATCCCAGATGTTGAGCTTGTAGCCTCGAAAGTCGATGGTTTTGATAATGAAGCCAAGCGTCGGGCTCACCGTGTTGACATCTTCATGCATGATCTTCTTTACGATCGTTGTCTTCCCCGCATTATCGAGTCCTCTGGTAAGATGTTAGCTGCTCGAGTCCAACCGGTCTACAGCAGCCATACAGCATAAGAATGCGCATCTCCTTGTCCTTCAGCCTCGCCTTCCGCAGAATAGAGAGCATGATGTCGCGTTAACTAGCTCATGAGTACTGCACAAGTCATGCGTGCCTTCAGCCGAGCCCTGGGGTTTGCTGCGCATGTGATCCTCGCAGCTTGTTAGTCAGACATCCACACATATGTTGCACCGTAGAGATGACTTGGGTTCTGCAGCCTAGCTGCAGTTGTGGATGACTTGACCGGCTTCCCCGAGGATAAGCCGATGCGTGCAGCCCTGCCAAGATGTAGACGGCTATCTCAACCTCACACAGGTCTCAGATGTTACTCGTTAGTCTCCACATCTTGTACAATTCTACATACAGGCTTCTTAGGCTGGACAGTGGTTTCGTTGATCACCAAAACAGTCCGAAGAGAACTCACGTTGAGCCACAAAGCCATGTGTTGGAGTCATAGCCGAAGCAGCGAAACGGTGTTCTTGCGCCTATTGATGCGTTCGAACACGGTTGTATACTTCGGTGGCTGAGCACCCCTTCGACTGTTGGGTAAATTGGTGAGATTTTCTTTGCATGGGCAGAAGCTTGTAACAGTCACACCTACAGAGAGCTTGCAGAAAGCCTGCAGCGGTGTAATGGAGCCTCAACATCGGGCAAGACTTCTAGGGATCTTGCGAGGCGCCAATCCTGACAATAATGAGAGGGGCTTGCAGACTAGAGCTTTGGAAGTAAGAGAGCCCAGGGCTAGAACGCTTGTGGCTCCTGTGAATGCTGAAAGTGAAGGATCACCGCTTTGGAGAGGCCCATTGCCAAGCCATCACTTTCACCGTCCTGCAGTCTTCCCTAGCCATCATCTCAGCCCGCGAGAATTACAATGTATATCTTCACAACCAAATACTTTCTCAAACCATAGCGAGATCTCGACCTTCAACGCCAACGCCGTGGGCACTTTTGAGGATCCTGCAGGTATGCCACGCCCAACCTCTGAGGCTGGATCATGGGGAGCATGGGCTCCTTTACATCGACCCAACTTCGATTGCGACAACTACGGCAAGCCTGGACACACGAAAATATCTTGTAATGCCCCGAGTGCCCAAGATCAGGCCCCAGACGCCAGCAATCAGACCACATCGACTTCTGATACCGCCAGCTTGTTACAGCGGAACAACTCTGCAAGCCGAGGCTTAGGTCATGGTCTTGTGGTGTCTACTGCACAAGACTTCGCTCGTTCTTCCAAAGCTGCAGCTATGCATAACGCGTCAGACGGCTGTCGCGCATTGGAAGACTCAAACTCCACCGATAAAGCTTGCAAGTTCGATCTCGTGGCGTCTCAGCCGCCAGGCGGCAATTCCACTGCGAGCGCCCGCCGAACAGTTGGTAAGATCATGGTCTCACTTCCTTCTTGTACAGTCGATCTGACTCTGACTGCAGCGACTGGAGAATATTCTCCGAATCAAGCCACATCTATTATCTCAAGCAATAATCATACCACTCAGCTCGGTATCAGTCTTCCCGCTCCTTCCAAAGAGACACTCTCCGACACTCCTTCATTCCAGGCTCAAGGCGAGTTCAAACTCCCTATCTGGGGTCGAGGCTCAAGCGAAGCTCCACCAGCCTCCACAACCGCTTCAGTGACTGCATCAACCTCTATGTCGCAAGCCCGCGCAGCTCCCAGAGACCACCGTCCCCCTCCCAGTCGCTATCATCGCGAAGAAGATAGCTATCTTCCGGCCAAGAACAGAGACAAGGTTGCAGCTATGAAAGGTGAAGCCGGAAGTGGAGATCCGTCATGGGAAGAGTTTGAGCGTAAGAGACGTGAGATTCGAGCAGATGTGGATCAATATAATCACAACAAGCGTGACGACAAGCATGCTACAACAAACCTCCACCTGCTCCACCGCCTTCGGCAGCCGTTGAAAGCGAGTCAGGAACATCGCATCCAGGCACAAGTTGGGCACTACGCCAAGCTGGGCGAGTCACCGGCTAATTGGCCCGTTGACGCCAACACGACACAACCTGGCCAGGCGTCCGCCGCCTTCGCACGTTCTAGATTGGAGCTCCGAGGTCGTACGGTCGACACAGAAGTGAGAGATCATATTGCTACGCGAGCCAGCCAGGTGATGCCTCGAAAAAGTAATGAGTCGAATACTGAACCCAGGTATTATGCTGCTACCCATGCAAAGCAACATCAAGCCAAGCGTAACCCGCGCTGGGCTACTACATCTGAAACTAAAGCCGAAGCTCATGAAGTTGACAGCAATGCCTGGGGCTCCGTTATCCCAGATGATGCAACACAATCTGGTGACTCGGTGGCTGCTATCAACGACGGCAACGTCTTCGTGAGAAGAGACAAGCACGAAGCCGATGCGGCTTTGGTGGGTTGGGATGGAGGTTTTATGCAGCCGCCAATCGACTGGGAACGACGCCCAAGGATGCATTCTCAGCGGTTTTATCCTGGTTTCGGCGACTATGGCGTGTTCTTAGAAGATGTCTTCCACCACCAGTATCCTGAAATATGCTTTGCTGCTATCCCACCTGAGAAGCTGATGGACATCGGTCTCCATGCTGATGGTATTGGACTTGCACCCCGAAGTCACACCATCACTGCTCAGAACATCATGTCGTACTTCGGCTACGGCAGTGGTCTCGAAGATAATGTCCGTCATGAGATCAACAAATCCACCAGCGATGACTTCGACCGAGAAGGTCGTAGCGATCATGTCGACCTTGAAGAACTGGGCTATGCAGAAACCAGCGAGGTCTATTGTCAGCGTTTCCTTGCCTACATTTCCAAGCACGCGGCAAAGAGCAACAAAGTGATACCTCAACCGGAGCCGGAAGCGGAGATGCCAACCGTCGCCACATGTGAACCCCTGTTGAGTATCTACCTGCGTCCTGCTGCCTACATCGACCTGCCACAGCTTACGGAGATCTACAACTGGCATATCGCGAACGGACCTCGTCCAGCAGAGATGGTCGCCATTCCCGAGTCCGATATGCGTGACCGTTTCGATGAAGCTGTTGATCACAAACTACCTTTCATTGTAGCCGTGGAGAAGGTCAAGGCTAAGAAGCAGAATCGTGCTAGGATGCGTAGCAATGGTATGGCGAGCAATCATCCAATCCAGAACACAAACCCTAATTATCAAGCAGTGATTGTTGAGGAGAAGATCGTGGGCTGGGGTTACGCCACCGACTGGAGCGCTTCCGACTACGTTGAGCGCATCTCCGCTGAAATTGAGATCTATGTTGATCCAAAGTACCGTCTTTTGGGAGTGGGAAAATGCCTGATGGACAAGATGCTCCAGATATGCGACCGCGGCTACCTTGTCAGAGGCGGCTATGACTTCAACTGCTTGCCCGAGAAGGCACACATGTACAGTGAGGGCGGTGCGCGAGACTTGCACAAGATCTACTTCATTCTGCGAACTTGGTCCACACCACTCAAGACTGTCAATGAGGAGACGACCAAGAAAATCCACGATCAAGAAGATGAGTACGACTTATGGCTGAAAGAGTGGCTCGAGTCCTGGGATTTCGAGCAAGAAGGTCGGCTGAAGCAGATTGGTGTCAAGAATGGTCGCTAGTGAGTCATCTCCGTAATCCAGGTTTGTGGTTGTACTGACTGTTAGTAGCCTAGATCAAGTCGTACTTGGTCGTATGACAATGTGGCAGCCGAGGGACGGCGAGGTCCCCGATCCTCTTCCCGGCACAACCTAACCAGTACAAGACCAGGACGGCGAGTAGGGGTGTATAGAGTCCCATCTCGATACTCCGCGACGACTGACTGCTTAACTTGATTGCGCGCACGCTAGATATGCAAGGGTGGCCTATTCGAACGCGTGCCGACTCAGGAGAGCCTCTCACTGATTTCCAACTGGACGTGGCCGATGCCTACAGTGCATTGCACAAATGGATACATCAACGGACGAAACATGGCACAGCGCACGAGTTCAGACTGTCGTGCGTCTTGTAGGTGAACTCCATAGCGAAGAAATTAGAAAAGGATTACAGTACAGGCAACATCTCAGTATGTCCGCTCCTAAAGATTGTTTTGCCGTCCACCTATGTGCTAGTGACTTGCGGGTAGTAGGCTCTTCAAGTTTGCTTCTACACGAATTATTCCGTTTTGGGGCCGGCAGCCATTAGCTGCTTTGTGCGTCTGCATATTCATACTCATTGACCATAGAGGTCTACGGATGCAGGTTGTTCGCCCAGGCTCGGCTAATAGCAGCCCAGAGAACGCACGTACCGATTCCGGTCTCGGCTCAACTTTCCGATCCTTGTTGCACTCGCATGCGGAATCGTTCTTCCAGCAGCAGCCCCGGGAACGGCGCCTCGCGCAAGTGGCCAGTGGGGTTCTGCGCCTTTCATCGCTCCCCAACAGTAATCCGAATCTTACGCCAGCAGACAAAAGAATGCCTTTCTCAGAGTGGTACTGGTGCCTAACCTCTTTTTTGGATGCCAATTGACCAAAAAGGCTGTGCAGATCTGGGCTGAAAAGCCACGTTGCTCACCCATGGCGAAATGAGAGCACGCAAGAGATAGCCGAGGGCGCTGCTGGCGCGATTAGAGCGGACGATCCAGGACGGTTGGGGGAGTGGCCCAATCACAGGTAGCAGCGCCCTGAAGATTCGAGTCGTTCAAGCTTAGCCCAGCAGCTGCCAGAGCGGCTTCGCATGCAGGTCGTCTCGGCGACCCTTTTCCCGACTGCATGGCCCAAAGCGAATTATCTGCGGCTCGATGTCAGGCCATGGATAGAATCTAAGACGGACGCTTGGGATGTGTGACGGCCCAGGCGCATGATACTACGTACAATAAATCTGCCAGCAGTAACAGTCAGTAAATCGATAGGCGTGGGTAGATTTCAGCCGCACACTTCAAGAGGAAGATTTCTAGACTGGAAAGCAAGACGCCGTGTTCCTACACTCTCCTGAACTTCATGGTCAGTTCCTGCGCTTATCGCTGCTGCTTGTCTACAGGGCAGACGCGGGGATCACTGATCCCGTACTGCGCACGGGACACGCCACGAGAACGCAGCGTAGAGTTCATGCAGCCGGGGGTGCGCCAACTCTAGCTTCAAGACATGTTCACAGCTGCTCTCCTCCAGCAATTGGTTGCCGATTTGTCAGGCTAGAGCAAATCCCTGATGTTTGGGGCAAGAAACTGTGGGGCACTGGGTAAAGCTTGTGGAAGAACACACGAAAGCCGAATTTTGGGCAGCGTCTTCTCAACCAAAAGGCGACCAGTGCGAAGGGAGAGACCGGGGAGGCGCCGGCAGGGGTATCACGCGAAGAACGCCCAGGAGCACAGAGATGGACGTTCGAGGCAGGGATGGAAACTGCAGCACACATGTTGGTGACCCTTACAGCAGCAAACAGGGAAGCACCGAAAATGCTACTCGACTTGCGCATCCGATTTAGGCTTCGCGGCATGGTTAAGGCAGCTGGAGAGAGCCCAAAGTTAGCATTTTTAGGCTTGAAGGGTCGCGAAAGTGGAGCAGGCAGCCCGCGAGCCCGCTTAGTAGGCGATGTACGCCGCGCGACAGAGACCAAGCACGACTCGCCGGTCGCTTGCCATAACCACATCCCACCTCTCACCTCATCCCATCCTCTCTCTTCCATCCTTTCCCGCATCTTGCGCCTGCTTCCTGCATTTTCCATATTGCAACTTCCTTCCACCTCTACAACCCGCCTACATCCCCTTCTCTCTTCCGCCCTCGATTCCGATCTCGGTGTTTCGCTGCGGGTTACCTTGCCTTGCTTTCTGCGCCAAAAAATCTGCCCTTCCAGATAATCGGAGTTGGTCGAGTCTGCCATCTGACATCCGCGTCGAAATCGAGTATCTGCTTCCCACATCTCTTGCGATCGCACGTCTACTCTGGTACGTGGATTCTCCGCTAGATACCTTCTATACATTTCAGATGCTTGCGCGACCCAGGTGTACTCAGCTGTGCGCATTAAAGCTCGGCAGACTCCCCGGCTTTGCGATCCTCCCTGCCTGAAGCGGTCGGACTGTCCTCGGCTGCGCCCTTGACCTCGAAAGCACAGCGATTATCTTTCAAGGCCTTGCACCTACTTTCGAGTCAAGCTGTGCGGCGTCTGCGCCCTTACCTGACCAACCTTTCCTCCATGCACAATATGCTTCAACATTCCGAGACCAAACGAGAACATTAACTGACATATTGTACCATCAGACTTGAGCGATTCACTTCTAACGTCCATCACTACTCCGTCCTGTCTCTTGACATTTTGCGTTCTCTGGCGCACAGAGTTGCTGCCTTGTCATCAAAAGCTTCGTTCGACAAACGCGCGCAAGCATAATCCACCGACTAATCCTTCAATCGTCGAATCATAGTCGATTGGACACCCGACTACCTTTGTTACCAACAGTACACTGAGCTGACAGGTAAGTGTGACATGTTTTTCATCCATCGACCGGCGCCATCCACACACAACCACATTTTCAACGTTGGTGCCTGGAGTTGTAATATCAGCCTCACCTACACTTTGAAATTTCCACTACAAAAGCGCCCCGCTTTCCGTGATCTTCCGCTGACCCTTGCAGTTCTGTATCTTACACTTGATTTCGCAACTGAGTTCGCGCGTTGTACTGCAATTGCCCAGCATGTCTTACGAGAACTACGGAGGCAACTTTGCCGGTAATGGCCAGGACCAGAATTCTCCTACCCAAGTTCCCGGTGCTCAGGACCCTGCTGCTCCCGGTCAGAACAACACTTCGGGCGCCCCAACCATGCAGTTCCCTTCTGCCGATCCTAACCAAGGCCCGCAAGCGCTTGCGCAGACCCCTGGTCAGCCAGGTGCCCCTGGCGAGCAGAAGACTACTCTCTGGTACATTACTCGACGATATCATTTTCTTTGCGCTAATATGTGCACAGGATGGGAGAGCTTGAGCCATGGATCGACGAGAACTTCGTGCGCAACCTTTGGTTTCAAGTAGGCGAGCAAGTTAGCGTTAAGATGATTCGAGACAAATTTTCTGGGTACGATTCCAACGCTTCATATCACAATGATACCGTTCTGACGATCTGCTAGCAGCAATGCGGGCTACTGCTTCGTCGACTTTGCCTCTCCCCAAGCTGCCCACAAGGCTCTTCAGCTGAATGGGACTCCTATGCCAAACTCCAATCGGTTGTTCAAGCTCAACTGGGCTAGCGGTGGTGGGCTTGCTGATCGACGGTAAGCGAGCGATGTGTGATCTACATGGGGTCTGCTAACAACCTTGTCAGTGAGGAACGTGCTATCGAGTATTCGATCTTTGTCGGCGATCTTGGCCCCGAGGTCAACGAGTATGTTCTTGTCTCGCTCTTCCAGAGCCGCTTCCCGTCGTGCAAGTCCGCCAAAATCATGACCGATCCGATTTCTGGCATGTCCCGTGGATATGGCTTCGTTCGTTTTTCTGAGGAGGCAGACCAGCAGCGTGCTCTCAGTGAGATGCAAGGCGTTTATTGTGGCAACCGTCCGATGCGCATCTCAACTGCTACTCCTAAGAACAAGGGTGGCGCTGGTAATATGAACCACATGATGGGTGGTGCCGCTGCCGGCGGCGCCGGGCCCATGGGCTATCACCCTCCTCCTCAGATGCACCCCGGCAATCACCAGCCCATGGCACCTTTCTATGGCGGCCAGCAGCCGATGAATCAGTTCACGGATCCCAACAACACCACTGTCTTCGTGGGAGGTCTTTCTGGCTACGTCACCGAGGACGAGCTGCGTTCTTTCTTCCAGGGCTTCGGTGAGATTACCTACGTCAAGATCCCGCCCGGCAAAGGCTGTGGTTTCGTCCAATTTGTTCAGCGCCATGCGGCGGAGATGGCCATCAACCAGATGCAGGGTTACCCAATTGGCAATTCACGTGTCCGGCTCAGCTGGGGCAGAAGCCAGAACAACTCGGGTCCCGCCGGTACCCCTTACCGCCCAGCGCCTCCTCCACCCATTTATCCATCGATGGGCATGCCTCCTGCCCATCAGTATGCTAATTATGCTCCGCAACAGGTATGTCCCAACATCATTACATTGAATCACAGCTAACAACTTCACAGTAATGGGTTATTACATCCTTTGTCAGCACAAAAAGCGGGCGTTTGACGACGGACTGGGAACAACAATCTTGACTCATCGCGGATCTGAATTTTAGCGTCATCGTTGGAATACCGGGAGGCTAAAAGTTCCTGAATCTTTTTGCACCTTTGTTTCCTTCGAACGATGAGCCCGAACAGGGTACCTTTCTCCGAACAGTACCTGCTAAAGGAGAAAGGATATCGTTGGTTGGTGGTGTAATAACACGACCCTCTCTCGCTCTCTCGATTGATACGTTGGAATAACCTTGAAGACGATCATGGATGCAGTGACATGAGGACACAGCATGCATTCTGTTTCACCTGATACGGGAGTCGAGCTTTGCCATAGTCTTTCATTCTTTTCAAAAATTGCAATCATGCGGGGGCCAAAGGAACGAGAATCACGCACACACGTACAACGATACCAACGGCAAGAACGACTGCTACGAACCGCAAAGGTTTTTTCGACAGCATCTGACGGCTAAGTTTGGGGGTGTTTTGTTCTTGCTATTGCGAAAGTCACACAGTTCGAAGGAGGGGAGACTCGTTGCGGCGTATGCACGATATCAAGAAACTTTCCATACTGTTCACTGTCATTGCTCGGAGACGAGTTCGCTATCTGGTTGTTAATTTCTGTATTTTTTTTGTGATTTTGTAGTCCGTGTGCCTACCCTCGGACGCCGTTGCGTTGCTGCCGACTTACTGAGCGTTCTTCATTGTCGGCCTTGACCAAATGGTGTGTACTCCTACTACTGCAGTGGGATAGCGAGCTTGGCGCTGGTGGCTGCTGTCGAGCAATGGGAATATAGCATGCATATTGTACCTCTCACGGAGCAGATCGCGAGACTGAGATTGAATACCTATACTGTAGCATCACCTCAACATAGCGAGATATCGGGGATGTGGAGTGTTATTGTCTAGTCGTCTGACGATTTCCGCCACCACACTTGCTGTATGCTACAACTGTCTGGCGTCAAGTGGACAAATGTCAGATTTTTGGTGCGTTGGAATAGCGCTGGACTACTTCTTCTATACTAGGTACGGTCAACTTTGTGAACACTGGGCCAAGAGCGCGTGAAAGCATCAGGCTGCGTACTAGCCTTGCCAAAGGCTCCACAACCCTCAACCTTCGACTTTCGAGCACAGCTCCGACTTCTTCTCATCGTGACATTCGCGACATCCTAGCTAACCCAAACATCTCCCCACAAGGCATCTGAGCCCACTCAAGATGCTCTCCGTCCCTTCCCCTTTGCTGCTGCGCGCAATGCGATCCCTGCTCCGGCCGCAGACCCTTTCCGTACCTACACGCGCAACCCTCAAATATACCGCCACTGCTACTACTCCCACGCTCCGCCAAACGACCACAGCCCGCGCATTCTCACAGTCTGCGAAGCGCTCCATGACGCTTAACCAAGTTCGAAAATCACCGCGCACGTCAAAGAAGGCTCGCCGACCTATCTCGCCCGCCATGCGCGACCGCCCGGAGATGAAGGGCGTCTGCCTCAAGGTCGGCATCACGAAGCCCAAGAAGCCCAATTCCGGGCAGCGCAAGACGGCCAAGGTCAGATTGTCCAGCGGGCGTGTGGTGTCGTGCTACATTCCCGGAGAAGGTCATAACGTGCAGCAGCACAGTGTGGTGATGGTGAGGGGCGGCAGGAGTCAGGATTGTCCTGGTGTGCGGTACCATCTTGTCCGCGGGGCGTTGGATCTGGGTGGTGTGCCTGGAAGGATCAGGGCAAGGAGCAAGTACGGCACGAAGAAACCGAAGAGCTTGCAGGTGTGAGACTTTTGAGGGTTGGAGGAGCTTGGCTGCTGGGGTGAAGAAATGATGCTGAGGATTTGAGGATGACAAGATGGCGGGTGGTGGTATGTTTGCGAATCTGGTGAGCTCAAGTGGACGAGATAAGAGACCTACAGCGATTTCTGGTTCAAGCTGGCAAGTGTTTGCCCAGGCGCACGTTGCAGGCGCGAGAGGCTACAACACCGCTGGTGCGCTGGGACCGTTATCTCTGTTGACCTGTGGCTGTGGTCTAGACAGGAGATCAAGGTAGCCCTCGTGCTTTCCTCGAGAACTCCACAGTAAGGGCATGGGAGTCTCAGCTAAATCTCTGCACATGGGTTGCCAATCGAGGTGACCCACGGTTCTGAAAGCAACAGGTCATCAAAGGGTAGGAGAACAGAGGATGCTATACAGAAGGAAAGACAGTCGGCATTGTTCTAGAGGAGGGTTCCAAGCGCCCTAAATGCCGTCTCCCGTGTATAATTGTATCAAAAACAGGTATCGAAGCCGCTATTCGCTACAAGAGCTGAAGTTTTATCCTTTTGCCCGTCCATTTTGCCATGCTCTGCTAAATCGTTGCACGCTGAAAGAGCTGTGCGTGGAGCTGGTATTGCTTGCAGTCCAACACGCTGAAGCGGCGGATCTCAAGCCAAGCGACCCTTTTTCTCAGCACTTGGAGAGGGTAAATCCCCTGCTTCTCTCAAACCCTTCTCGTGCCACTCGGCCAGTCGATCGACGAAGTCTATAATCTTATTCCTCGAAAAGGGAGTGAGGACCAAGGCGATAGCAATAATGGCACACACCCCGAACGAGATGAGAGCGTACCGGACAGCAGCCCGCCATCCATATAGTCATTTCGATTGCTCAGTCCAGCCGTCTGGTTTCTCCATGCCGTTCAGCTCGAAGAACCGACTGGTGCAACTATAGCCCTTCCAGTCGAAATTGTCCTGAGGATTGCAGTGACAACGCAGCTTGAGGCGAAGGTCCTCGCCAGTCGGACAGTGAGTGAAGGGCACATGGTAGTAAGCGATGTCGTTGAAAAAGTGGATCTCGTCTTTGTTGAGCAGGAGTCCAGCCGCTATCGAGTGCACAGGCGCATCTCCCCAACGCTCGTAGAAGAAACCGCCATCGCGATCGAGGCTCTCAAAGAAATCGACGTAGGCATTGCTGCGTAGCCAGTCCAGGTTGCCAATCTCGAAATTGGACCACTGTGAAGCAGTATGTTAGTTAACGTGAAAAAGTGTTACCAAGAGCACGAGAGACTCACAAAGTGGCACTTGTTGTATGTCTCTCCACCATCGTCGGAGAGGAAAGACATGCTGTTGTCCTTAGCAATGTGCTCAGGATGGTTCCGCATGAATTTCTTAGTCGATTCCCATAGCGTAGGAATCGTTTCAACATATTCATAAAGGGACAAGACGAAGCTGTACTTCTTCTTGTTATCCTTCATGACGCGGAAGGGATCGTAGTGCAGGTCGCAAAAGAGCTCAACAGACGGCTCCACACGCCAGTAGTACTCGTAATTCATCATCAATGGGTGACGGAAGAAGAAGCCAGATTCGAAGCGACACATATGGCGGTAGGACACCGAGTCGCCATAAATGATCTTGCGTTGCCGCATATCCTCACGCACGGCCTCGGCTTTCTTCTCATCGATCCACGGGGGAAACGACCAGTGTTCGTTTGGAATCTCGCCATAGTGTGTTTTGCCAGAGACTAGGGAGCTGGTCACCTTCTTGAAATTATCGTCGAAGGGTTTGTCGTTGAGAAAGACCCAGTCATAGTTGTAATTCCTGTTGAACCTGTCTTCTACTTGGCGGATCGAACGTGCGATCTCCCAAAGATCGGTATTGCGGGCAAGGGTAACAAAGGTCGCGTTGACGCGTGCACCAGGTGCCGGCGGAGATAGTTCATTAGGAGCAGCGGCCTTGTCGATAGGCGTTGTTGGCGCGGCCTGCGCGGGCTTCTCGACCGCGGTGTGCGGCTTTGCTACGGCAGACGAAGCTTTTACATCTTCTGGGCCCTTCTCTACCTCTATCGAACCGAGTCCAACTGCGCCCGGTCGACTTGCGGGCACGGGTGGCTTATAAGTTGGTAACGATGAGGATGAAATGAAGTATAGTATTGCGAGGCCGAAGACAGCGAACAGTATGTAGCGCAGGTATCGTGCGGATCCGCTGGCCATGATGGAAGGTCTCGTATTCCCGCTTTCGGGCTGCGATGGTGATTGAGAGTGAGAGCGACTTGATGTAGGTGATCCGTGCTCAGTAAGGGGAAATGCTTTCTCGTCGACGTCCGCCGGCATGCGCGAAAGGGGTCTCAGTGAGCTAATGAAATGTAAGAATGTCGTCCCTCGAAGGGGTTGGCCTGAGGACTCGGACTCCTGCGGGGAGGGTGAGAAGTGAAGACAAACGAGTGGCGGCCACCTTCGTCAGAGGAGAAAGAGGATGGTTTTACAACAATGCAGAAAGGAAAGATACTCGAGCCAGGCCACGCGTCGTGGACATCAGACTTCGCGACTCGTAATGTTGAAATGAGGTTATCCGGGGCAAATGCGCAGATGAGCAGCCTGATTGCGGGAACCCCTTGCCCTTCAGGTTACCTAACCCTTGTCTGGTTTCTTGCAAGGCTTAGCGAAGAGTCGTGGCTGAGTGGGCCGTGGATATGCACGCCTGTCTCAGCTTCAACTTAGGCCTTTACGTCCAAGTAGTTAGAATAAGCATCGCCTTAAGGCAAGCAGATGTAAAAATAAGTCAGACTACACACCTGTGGCTGCTAACATCAATGGACGCTGTCACATGTGCTTCTAGCAGATTATCAACGTTGTACTTCTGCCACTTGCCAGTGTGTGGCACTATACTTCGAGAGTCCTTCGTACTGTCATTGTTCGGCTGAGTCTGCCGTACTTAGTACGCCTGGACCTGATGTTCAAGCGAAGCAGATGAAACACCACCGGCTTACTTAAGATCTGCTCAACCAGCCACCAGAACGTAGCCGATATAGCCCCCAATGCCGGCAAGAATCTCCAGCACAGCCTGAGGAAGTGGTATGGGGCTCGGCTAAGCTGCCGCTTATGGTGCCCGTTGTGTCATCCACTTTGGAATTCGTTCACACTCAAGTTGCCCTCGATTCACTCGGACGGTCGCATCTTCTATTGATCGTTGCCTTACTTGATTCACACTCCAGTCTTAGCGGTACAGGTAAGGAGTGGGGTAAGCATACAAAAGCAAGCTTGTCTGCGACCGTTCCAATTCCGTACATCTTTTCCAGCGAGCGATGGACTGCACAGATTGACCCCTCCCTGCTGCGCAAGTGAGATCTCAGTCATGTCGTTCTTCGGCTTCGACACCAATCTGCCCAAGGACAAGTCCGGGTCGAACAAGGGTATCTTCGAGCACAATGACCCTTTCGCCGGAATTGCACAGGCGCGCAAGCTGCAGGCGTTTCAAGGCAATGACGAGGAAGAGTATGCCAGCCCCCAGCTTGTCTGTCTTTAAGCTAATCTTGGACTTTATAGACTCGACTTCGAGGACACATACGATGGCTTGGCCGACAAGCTCCAAGAGACGGGTGATGACATGAACGACGATACCTTCGGAACCGGTGCAGAAGCTGGACCTGGACAGGATAGTGTTGGTAGAGACTTTGACTTTTTCGGCAACACTGCACAAGTCTCCAATGCTATCGGTGAGGAGCAGATGAGATATCACCTCCAGCACCCTTCTGCTTACGAAGAACCTGCCACGGCTCGATCTAGCAAGCCTAAGCGCACCGGCTATGAGAAATACGAGGACCCTGGGTACATCCCTGATATTCAGGCCAAGTCCGGTGCATGGAGCTCCAAGACTCCCGCCGCTCCCACTCAAGCTTCTGCAGAAGCGCTCGCGAGCACCGGCCGCGGTGCTCCTGCCCGAAAGATGATGAGCCTCGAGGAAGTTGAAGCGCAGATGCGTGCCTCTCGCCAACAGCGACCCCAAGTTCCTCAGCAAGATCCCTATGCCTTTCACCATCACCAGCCTCCTAGCCAGCCGCAACAGCATATACCGCAGCCAACTCCTCCGTACGCTCAAATGCAAGCTCCTCCAGTTTCTCAGCCGATGCCACAGGTCCCCCCACCGCAACAGCGCACTGCACCTCAGCCTGCACAAGTCCGAGCTCCACAACAGCCGCTACAGATCTTACAAAATCCCAACAGACCTCGTCACTCACCCCAGCCTAGCCTCGACAGAGGTGCGGCTGGTCCAGGTGGTCAGCCTGTTATCACAAATGCCCAACAGCTGATGGATCTCTCCGACGAGCAGCGTAAAGCGTACCTAGAGGAAGATGCTAAGCGTGCTAAGCGCAATCACAAGATCTTCTTGTTGTCCAAAGGCAACGGTCTCATGAGCCCTCAAGACAAGAATTTCATCACTAGAATCCAGCTGCAGCAGCTTGTCAGTGCGACCAGCAATCCCACGGACTCCAGCCCAGAGGCCGCGCTTGCTGAAGATTTCTACTATCAGGTCTATAGTCAGATACGTGGGGCCCCAAGACAACATCCCACACAACCGCTAGGTCATTTTGCGCAAACGTACCTCTTCCAGACTGGCAACCGAGCAAACAACAACCGTCGGCATCAGATCACTGGAGACAATCACATGCAGCGAATGCAGCAGCAGGTTCAAAGAGCTGTTGAGGCCGCCAAGCTGAAGCCCAAGAACAAACAGCTGATCATTGAAGGCAGCTTGGGCAAGATCTCTTTCAGTAACGCCAAGACCCCGAAGCCTCTGCTCAATATCAAGCGGCAGGAAAGTACCGATGCGCGACCTACAAGCAAGGGTCAGGCATCCAGCAAGAGCGATCGGAAGACCAGTCTCAAGAACATTGAAGCTGTCTACACCGACTTGATGAACCTTGAGGACCAAGAGAGAAAGATGCCTCCCCCGCCTCAGGAGGGGGATGCAGATGCAGTGCAGGCGAGCATTGAATGGCGCGAATCTTTCAAGACGCTTATCACCAAGCTCTGGCAGGACCTGAAGGTTCTTGATCCCATCGTCCCGGGCGCTCTCGAGACTCACCCGTTCATTGCGATGCTGTCGTTTCCCAAGTGCAAAAAGCTCATCCCAAGAGTGTTCCGTCTTATCGATTCTGAGCAGCGCGTCACAATTCTCACTATGATCGTGGTGCACCTGGATCAGCTTGATGTCGTGCGCAACGGCAAGACGCCACCAGGGGAGTCGCAACCCCCTGCTGCTGTTCGTGAAGAGATCGAGCTATTCTCCCAACAGGTGATGCCTTGCTTGCTGGGTTACATCACTGATGCACCAATCAACATCATCATTGGTCTTCTTGGTCTTATCATGGACCATACCAACTTGAGCGATGTTGTCCAGACAAAGATTGGTTTGTCCATGCTCACAATCCTGCTCAGCAGAGCCGAGCTTGTGAAGGAGACGGGTACGGTCGGCGATCAAGACTTCCAGCAGTGGTCCACCCTCTACAACCGCCTTTTCGATATTCTTGAACCACTGTTGGTCCTCATATTTCCGGGCCCTGTCAATAGCAGCGACGATGTCTATGTATGGCAATTCCTCGCTGCTGTAGGTATTGGCGCGACCCCCGAACAGCAACAGAGGCTAGTGATTGGAGTGAAGGATCGAGTGATGGAGACAGTGATGCAGAGCAAAGCTTTGCCAGCGGACATGTCGAGCGTACGCCTGGGCAACGTGAACTTGTTCATGCGAGCTATCGGACTTGACGTCGAAATGCTTGGCTAAGTCGATTTTGCTTAGTCCGAATTCGTCCGGATTTGCGACAATAAAACAATACGTATCTACACACGCAGGAACAAGGCTGATGCCAAAGGCGGCAGTGCCATTTCAGGGCGATTGTGAGCTCTGCTGCGGACAGCTTTCTAGGTTGCTGGAAAGGGAATGGTCTTGAGCTGGAGATAAAGATGAAACCCAGCAGCATGACTCCTGGCACGATCTAGGACTGTTTAGGATCTTGCAACAGATCTTGTGCCAATACAACCCTATCTCACGTACTGCGTCCCAATGAATTCCTAGTGTCTGTATGAGTACGTTAGGATATGCTTTGGGGATATGCTGATGCATTTCTGTAAAGATGGCTCACATAAGCTGCTACGGCCTACACAAGTATTACATTGTTTATTCTTACGCCCGAGTCCAACTAGCGGCGGATACACCTATTCTGTCCGAGGGCTCTAGTCGATATGAATTCGTACGAGTTCGGGCATAAGCCATCTCGTCTTAGTGACGATCATTTCGCACCAATTCAAAACGTACTATCAACAACTCTATTGTGTTTTGTATGTGCATCTCGAAATGGTGGTGACATACTTCCGTCCTCATTCGTGCGAGTATGGCCTGTACCCAATCGCCGGCTCCATTGCAGTGACCACCCTTGATGCAGATAAGTATAAGAACAAGAGTGCCACAATTCTACGTTTTCCGACTCCTCAACATTGACACTCTATTTGAGTCAACTTCCTAAGTGCTTCAAGACTTTCAGCAACATGCCCAGTCCGCTAGAGCCACTCGCGAATCCTCCGAGCCTTCTAGGGTATCACAGACAGCTTGCTCCTTCTGCCGGGGTTAAGGTCAGCCCTCTTTGCTTGGGAGGCATGAGCCTCGGTATGTTGGTTTTCATGTGAGATTCGCTCGAGGTGTTGACTGTCGCTAGGCACTCGATGGGCGGATTTCGTTGGTGAATGCGATGAAAAGGCTTCCTTCGAGATTCTTGACTATTTCTACAGCCAGTCAGTCGGGCCCCCATCGCGTTGCTCCCTTCGGGAAATTGACAGCATACAAGAGGCGGCAATTTCATAGACACAGCAAGTAACTATCAAGCCGGTGACTCGGAACGCATCATCGGCAAATGGATGAAGGAGCGAAGGCTCCGCGACGAGATTGTGCTGGCCACCAAGTATTGCGCGCCATGGCGATACGATGAAGGCCGTAATATTGTACAATCCAACTTCGGTGGGATGAACGCCAAAGCGCTGAAGCACTCACTGGAAGATTCGCTCGAAAAGCTGCAGACGAGCTTTATTGACGTGCTCTATGTGCACCACTGGGACCATGCTGCTGGTATCCGTAAGTTAGGGTCCTGCTGATGCTGTTCAGCTTGTGGCTCACTCAATCACAGCGGAAGTGATGCAAGCCCTCAACGATATGGTGGCTCGGGGCAAGGTCTTGTATCTGGGTATCAGCAACACACCGGCTTGGATCGTTGCGAAGGCCAACGAATACGCCAAGACACACCAGCTGCGACAGTTCGTGATCTACCAAGGACTTTGGAATGCAGCCAAGCGGGACTTCGAGCGTGATATCATCCCTCTGGCCAGAATGGATGGCATGGCGCTCGCTCCCTGGGGCGTGCTCGGTCAAGGCACGTTCAAGACCAAGGCTCAAAGGGAGGCAACCAATGGTAAGATGCGTCAGGCGATGATCGCCTCTGCCGCAGACCAAGAGATGGTGATTGAGAAACTCGAGAAGATCGCTGAGCGCGAAAGCGTCTCCATGCAAGCCATTGCATTGGCATACGTCTTCCATAAGAGCCCTTACGTCTTCCCAATAGTTGGGTCAACGAAGATCGAACAGATCAAGGGCAACATTGAGGCACTGGGCATTCGCCTGTCACGAGAAGACCTGGATGAGGTTGATATGGCGACAGGGAAACCTTTCGACCTGGGCTGGCCTAACAATGTCTTCACACTGCCGTCAAAGCGGGATGTCTCAGGATCTGTCATGGCGAAGGATTTGTTCGCCAACACACTTCACTGGAACGGCGACGAAGTGCCTTTCGCTCAGCCAATACAGCATGGGCAGCACTGAACGTATCGGACAAGACAGGAACGCAGCATGGGAGAGTTGGCGATAGAAAGATAGTGCAATAAGGGTGTAGTCAGCCTTGCCGCATAGAGAGTGGGGTAGGCCAATCAAAGCTCGGGAGAAGGGATCCGTGGCTGTGGCTACGACCTGCAAGAATCCTGAGATGCAGACGCAACTTGTTCTCGGTTGTCACTCAATTAGTTGTACTTCGCATTTCACACACATCCTCCGAACCCGACAAGTTCCAACCCCTTGATATTATTCGCATGAGTAACGATTTCCTCTTGCCGTCTAGCGAGACGACTTTCGGCCCTCTCAGTCCACGAATTTCCCCACCGCCGCCACCGCCGACCTCCTTCAGGTAGCCTCCCAAGCTCTGGCACTGTTCTGGGAGAACACTTGAGATTCTGAAGATATCTCTGCCATCTGCATCTATCACGAAGCATTGTACGATATCGCCACGTGCCAGCGCGTTGTTTACCAATTATCAGAGCACACGACACATTCAAATCACCTAACCGCCCAATGACGGCATTTCCAACACAACAGCCTCACGTCGACCATGCCTGGGCAATACTCTGTTGAGGATCTCCTGAAATTGAGGGCATCTCCATTAATCTGCAAGCCTCCGAATCTTCCTGCTATTGATGAATTCCTTTCTACACAAGAATCTTCCACGAAAAAACCTACTACTCGCGGTCGGCCTGAGGATGCCACCAACCAGTCTGAGGGTTTCCCCAAGCGACCGCTTCTAGATGCGTCTCAGAGAAAGTCAACTACTGGTACAAAAACTTCCACTGTTTCTCCGATCTTGCTGACCCCTACAGACCCAGACCGCATCGTGCTCGGCCCTCCTAAACGATCATTTGCCTCATCTAGCGCACGCGCCAACGGGAAGACAGCAGATGGCGATGAAGGAACCAGAGATGGTCAAAAGAGTCTTGGCGAGCGACGAGCCAACGGTCGCTTTGCCCGCGAAGAGGGCGACGAGAAGTATGGCCGACGTCCCCGCGATGACGACGGCGAGGCGAGACCACGCCGAGACTATGAACGCAAACCGAAATGGGCGGCCGAAGAAGGCGAGGAGCAGAAACCGCGCTCAGGCAAGAGGTTTGATCAGCCGTGGTTCAGATCCGACCGGCCAGGTGATTCGTTGGAGGATACTACCCGAGATGGTGATCGTGAGTGGCGCCGGGGAGGTGGAAGGGAACGCGGTCACGACAAGCACATGCCTGCGGAAGCCGAGCCAGAATGGATGGATGCGCCGATTGAAGAGGAGGCTGCCGCCCCGCCGCGCACTCAAGAAGACTTCCAGCGCTGGCGAGAGCGCATGAAAGCTGGCAAGCCGGCTGAGACCAGCGATCAGCCAATTTTCAGTCCTTTGTCTCCACCGCCGTCTGCCATCGAGCCCAAACCCCCCCTCCCACAATTTTTCGATGAGCCAGACGACTCCATGGACAAGTTCTATACACGACTCAGTGAGCAAAAGGCCGCTGCAGAGAAACCCCAAACTGTGACCAAGCCTGCTGGAAAGAGCAAGTTTGCTGCACTCTTCGGTCCTCCGCCCCCGGAGATGCAGAAGGCCGTTTCTCCAGAGCCGACCTTCCAACAACAACCTCAAGCTCCCCTGCGCGAACAGTCATCCAGCGCCGATCCTATCCAGCAGATGTTTGGCACAATGTCAATGCGCGAGAAGCCTGCACCTCTATCTATGTCAGGTGCTGGACCGGGGAGTCCATTGCCGCCTGGCGACGATCAAGCCGGTTTTGCGCGGATACTGGAAATGCTGCAGGGTCGAAGCAATAATCCTACACCACAAGGTCAAGAAGCGAAACCGTCGAGGACTTCTCTTCACGGAAAGGATAGCCAGGATGTGTCGGAATCGTCCCAAGCAGGGCCTCAAGGTATGCCGCTCCTTCAACTTTTGAATGGAGGGAATCCGGCAGGTGCCAGAGGTCCCGGTCCAGAGAAACCTACAAGTACAGGTCAAGACTCCGGACCATCGAGGGCTTCTCTTCAAGAGCGAGGCCCTCAGCATCTCGTAGAATCACCGCAAGGAGGACCCACGGGTGCGCCTCTGCTTCAACTTCTCAGTGGAGGCTATCCGGGCACCAAGGGGCCAGAACCAGACCGACATGTCACTGCACCCGAGCGATTTGAGTCGTCTCGTACCCCAGTTGAACATGGGCACGGTCGTCACAGCAGTCAGAAGGACGAGGTCCTATTGAACCTCCTGAAACAAGCGAACCAGGTGCCCAAGCCTACTCCAGGAGCCGAGCAGTACGGCCCAAGAGGCATGTCTGGCGAGAACCTGAATCGTGCAGCATTGGCTAGAAATCAGATGGCCTCACCTCCAGGTATTCCCGATCCCGCCATGTTACAGCGTCGCGACAATGGCCGCCCTGACGAATCGACGCACATGAGATATGGCGATGAAATTTCACCCCAAGAATACATGGCTCGACGATCGGCTGGCGAGCCTCCTATGTACGGCGATGAGCAGCTATTCAATTCTCTCCGTGGGGCCAGCGGTGGGAAACAAGGTCAACCACCAAGTCATGGCCCTCCACCAGGCTTGGGGAGGCCACCAGGTCTTGAACAGATGCCACGTCGTATGCCCCCACCCGGCTGGGCCGGGCATCTTCCTCCCCCACAGCAACAGCAGCAGCAGCAGCAATTGCAATACCGGCAGCAAGGCCCTCCTGGGATCCCTGGCGGTCGTCCAAATATGCCTCCAGGATATGGCATGCCTCCTCCTTCCCAGCAAGGACAAGGCCAACGTCCTCCCCAGGGTTCGGCTCCACCGCCACAGCGCAAGTACACTGGCGAGTCTGGTATGCCGATGATGGGCCCGCCTCCGGGCTTCATGGGAAATGGACCGCCGCCAGGACTCCTGGGCCTACTCAACCAACAGCCTCCTCCACCACAACAGCGATATCACATGCAAGGCGGCCCACCTGAGCCACAGGGGCTGGGGCGTGCATTCATGGATATGTATGGCGATGGACTAGGGCCCACTGGTCCACCTTCTGGTAGAAATGGTGTCCGCGGAACGGGCGGTCACATCGGTGGGTACCGCTAAGCTAGACCCACTCAGCGACTCATGAGGCATCCCCTACTGTCTTGTCAGGGTTAGCTTTCACGGCGTGGTTCGTGTCGCCGCATGGGCGATGCTCATGTTGTCTTATTGACGTGGGTGGCAGTCACGAAGAGCGAGTGCAAATCACCCAGAGGCTTGCCCCGGAACAACAGCACAAGCAGACGAGACGGGGATACATTGTGGGCGTGGTGAGGTGCAATGCACTAGCGTTGACTACAAAAACGAAAGCTCCTGTCGAAGGAAAATGAAAAGGCAGCCAGCATGCAAGCATGCATGGTGGACTCGGAGCGGACGCAACTCAATTCTGAGAATGACAAACTACGTTCCCTCGCCTGCTCTAGTTCAACGTCTTTGATATCTTTCCTCGTATCTGTGCACCGTTTCCTGGCCGTTTTCGCTCCCTCGGATTGTGCCTCATTCAGAGCGCCCAGGCCCAGCTGTGTTTTGCCCACTCCCGACGGTTGAGTGGATTTTCTCATCGACGTGAAGGTCCCAAGGCGTTCTATCTGCAGGCTGCTCCGCCATACTGGCCAGCTATGCCTTCTACAGCCTTGCCCGGCACCACAGATCATATGTGGTTGGCTCGGAGAGGTCGACGGCGCCGTTTCAGGCAGGAAGAGAGGAATAGAAATGACTGGGAGCTGGTGGGTTGATCTAGCTGGGCTTCCAGAGGTGAGCTGCGACTGTTTCTACCGTGCGCTCGGCTGCCTCTGTCTTCGAGACTGATCCGTGGGAGCTAGGTGTTTCTACTGACTGCGCTGCCTAAGCCTTGCGCTTCTTGATCTTCTCAACCAAACGCTTGACGTCGTCTCGGTCGCCCTGACCGTTCAGGCCAGCGGCCTCTTTCTTGCTTTTGCTCTTGCTCTTGCTCTTGCCATCACCCTCGGTCTCCCGCTCCCCACCCTGCGACGTCTTCTTCCGCCGCCGCCCCTCCTCCAACAAGTTCTGCATGCCCTTCGTGCCCTTGAAGCGCGGATTCGTGGGGTCGATGGCGAACTCATGATTCCCGAACAACCGCCCCGCGAAGCGCGGGTCGGCGGTGTCCATCTGGAACTGGTCGCCCTCGACCGTTGCCGAACGGTCCTTGTCCTTCTTATTCTTACCCTTCTTGAGGTGCTTCTTCCTCGCCGCCTTCTCCGCCTTCTCCACGTCGCGCATGTCAAAGTGCCGCAAACCCTCGCCGTCTTTATTGCGGTCGTCTGCCATCAGCAACTCCAGCTCCGCGCGGGACTTCTGCTCCGCTGCCTCTTCGGCTTCCCGCTCGAGGCGCTTTTTCAGACGCTCCTCCTTGCGGAGCTTCTTCTTCTCCGACATGGCGGCTTGTGCTGTGGAGGGGTCGGAGGGATCGGCGAAAAAGGGGTCGTTGAAACCTGCATCGTCTTCCTCCGCAGCTTCCTCTTCGGCAGCTCCTGTAGGCTCGCCGTCCTCCAGCTCATCGGGAACGGGGCGGCCTTCACGTATGGCTTTCGCTTTCTCCCGTCTACGAGCCTTGCGCTCCTTTTCCTTGCGGACATACTTCTCGATAGTGGTTTCCTCGAGCTCCTCAAGCGAATTCTCGAAGACGCCGCGCTTTTTGTCAGCATCACCGGAAGTGAGACCGGCGGAGAATGTGATCTCGACGTTGCCGACGGGTGCCCTATCCTTCTTTGACTTTGAGGGTGCGGGGTCAGACGCAAGTCCCAGGAGGGACCGCAACTTCTGGCGTTCGGTTTCCTTTTTAGAAAGGCCGTCGCCGGCGTTCGAAGCATTGACTTCGTTTTCGGGTTCAACGTCCGAGTCAGAGTCAGAGCCGATATACGCGGCCAGATCAACACCCTCGATATCACGAATGTCCTTGCTTCGAAAAGCTGCGGCTGCGGCTTCTTTACGATTGGTGTCTTCAGCATCCCAGGTCAGCTTGACCTTGCTGTGTTGTAAGGCGTCCGTGACGAACTCGTTAGGCTTATAACTGCTAGATATGCTTTCGCATACTTCGCGTGGCTCATCTGTAGAGAAATCTGTTTCGTCGGGAACGAAGCGCAAGTCGAAGAAGTTGGCGGTGGAGAGGTACTCGGTGCCATCCACTGCATCATATATGTGCTTGGCAGCGACGGGAGAAGAAAAGGTGAGGATGGCGTAGAAGTAGCGGAGCCGATCGAGTTGGTAGCTGCGGAGGGCTTGAGAATCGAAGTCGGTCGCACCATCGTCGGGCTTGATCAGCTTCTCTTTGAGAGCTTCGTCATCGTCCTCGCTTTCAGACTCGGAGCCAAAATCCTCGAACTCATCCTTTCCGTGCTCAGGTTTGGGGCCAATAGCAAAAATCTCTTTGGGCGGTCCCTCCATCTCTTCTCTCTGCATGCGCTCCTTTCCGAATTCGCTTGGGTATATGGCGACTTTCAGTAGCTTGCCGCTTGACTCCACAAACGAGGAGAACACTGCCATCAGATCCTCGGCGCGAATATTATCCCAGTCCAGATTCACAACCGCCAGCCTCGAGGACACTTCTCCCGTTGGCACTTCGTTTCCAGTCTGTGGCGATAGTTCTGCCTCCTCCACCTCGTCCTCCTCTTCACTGGATGAGCTCTCATCACTGCTACTATCCTCCTCTTCTTCAGGTCTACCCTCTCTCAATAGGTCTCTCTTCCCCTTCACGGTCTTCGGACCTCCCACTCGTTCCATCTCCAGTCGCACGACTTCGTCATCGTCCGGTTCATCGCTTTCCGAGCCCCCGTCATCTTCGAACTCATACTTTCTTTTAAGCCGTTTTCGCTCAGAATCCGCCTCTAGTGGGCGACCGTACCTGTCCACCTTCGCGTGGCGGGTGAAATCGTCATCATCCTTGAGGGCACGCGAGAAACGTGCATCGAGCTTGACTTTATGGGCTTTGGAGGGGAGACGATAGCGTGGGTCTGTCTGGATGGAGGCGAAACGGGAATCGGTGATTTTAGGGTCAGAAGAGGTCGCGACCTTGCGCTTTTTGGAAGACCTTTTGTCCATTGCCGACTGCTTGCAACCGTTTGACAGAGCACCGTAGGCAAATATCTTACTGGTCTCTAATAGGCGAGTATGGCAGTCTGCGGCGTTCAACTTTTTTCTCCGCAGATGTGCGGCACTGGGATAATATTCTTCCGAGGATTCCCCGCATGGATAGTGGGCCGCTTGCTGCGCGTTCACTGCCTGGTCGTCATGCTTTATACGCCGGCAGGAAATGCGAGTGCTGGATTCGTGATTAGTGAACCGATCATGGCAGTCTCGTAAGAATGAAGTTTCAAGGATTTCCCACGCTCTAATAAATATCAATCTACGAACTCAGGATCTCACTGCGAAATATCACGCCGGGCCCAAGTGATACCACCAAGGGAATCGTAATCCCCAGAATGCCTACCTACGAAGTAATCCACCGCTGCGACCTCACTAACGAACAACGTGATGCTCTCGCAGCTGCGATCACAGAAATCCACGCCCAACTTTTCACGGTCTCCAAAATCTTTGTGAATGTCTGGTTTAGGCACTGGCACGAGGGCGGCCGCTACGTAGGCGGCCAACCGGAGTGCAACAACTGCATCAGAGCTTTCGTTCGCGGTGGCCCAGCCAGATCTCGAGAACAATACGTCGAGCTGGTCAAGCAGGTGCGAGCCGCCTGGTACAAGGTCGTGCCATCGACGCCCGACAAGGAGACATTCTTGCACGTTATCAACGTCATGGATAGTATTGCTGCAGGTATGGAGTTTGATTTTTGGACCCCACCGGCGGGCGGGGATGTCGAATGGTTCCAAGAGAACTGGAAGGAGTTGACTGAGAAGGCGAAGGACTTTCCGCAGATTCGAAGATTGGTGGACGAAGTGAGGGACAGGGGACTGGCGCCTAAGCTCTAGGATACACCTTAATTGAGATCCTGAAACGTCGACAGGCGTTCAAATGGTCACTTCTGTCATTGAAGTCTGAGCTCACCCTACTGAAGCGTCGAAGTCTATCGTCATTTGCTCATGCTGGTTGAGATGTGCCATGCAATTTGCAGATAAGGAGAGGACGAGTGTCAAGAACTGGGTAATTGGGTTCGACGATGAAGCCAAAGCAGCTAGCACCTGCTTCGCGGCAAAAGTCTCTCGTGAAGGCTGTAATTCGAGGAGGGATAGATCAAATGGGCCAGATGAAGAGGTACCTGGGTTGACCAATGAGCTGCCCGATGTGGAGCGCACTGATCCTGACTTACAACGTCAATCCAACCCAGACTCGCCGTCCTAGTCTCTTATTCCTCATAACTGCTAGGCATTGACAAAGCCTAATGCGTGCGGTATAAACACAAACCCACCAACGTATGGCTCGTTGCTTCACTTGATGGTCGGTCCATGAATCAAACCTCATTTAGGTCCAAAACCCCGGTCAAAGACTGTAATGCGAGGTCGTCCTGGTGTTGGACTCTCTTGCCGCGAATGCTGTGTACGCGATGGTTGAGAGCAAGCCTGGTTCTCGTGCAGTATAGTCAGTAGGAAGCTCACTTCCCACAGACAGACAGCGATCCTAGTATGAGCTTGAGTTTGCTGGAGATACGATTAAACCTCCTATTCGTGGAGCAGCTCTGCTAGGTCACCACTGACCGAGGGAATGGTGCGTTAGCATGGGATTTTCCTCCCAAGCGAAAAGCGATTGAACCATATCCGTGGAATTGAGCCGATCCGCAACACCTTCGTGATCGACCACTGGAGCTGACAGTGGACGACATAAAACAGCATTGCAGACACTTTCTATGCAACGACGATTCTACATCGAAGGTGAACTTAACCTGATGGCATATGCACAGCACAGGTACGTTGGCCGCGGGAAGAATAGGCAGAAGGCCACAATATTGACTCCTCTGTCTGTCATACACTCAGCAAGGCTCTGCTACAGCCTCGCCGCCTTATGTCGCCTTCCTGGCCTATTAACCTCATTCACTCACTCCCACTCATTCTGCCTAGCAACCAGATATTTTAGAGATTCTGAAAACCCTTCCAACAATCGCACAGACCTACAAGCAAAAACCAGGCAGGAGAAAACCACTAAGTCCTGGGGTCGAGTCGATGCCACTGAAAACTTTACGCCTAATGCAAATGCAACAGGTAGTTTCGGGGAGGAATGCTCAAACAAAAAAGAAAGATGCCACAAGAAGCCCAGGTCAAGATCTCTCAGTAGGAGTACTAGCAATGCTAGTAGGGTCCACGAGACCTCCTATTATGGGAGCACATTCCTCTGTTCTTTTTGCCTTTTTGCCTTTTTACAATTTTGCTTCTTCTAACTTGTCGACCGTCAATTCTCCAAAGGTTTCGGTCTGCGTAGTGGGCGGCGGTTTGCGTCGCTGCGTTGACTCAGCAGTGAAATTGCGACCTGCCCGAGCCCAAGTCCCCTAAAGCACCGCAACGACAGTCCCAGATCCGGACCTCATCCAGACCGGCTACTTTCTGGTGGCAGCCTCCTATATCGTGCTTTTTGCTTGCATTATCGTATCATTGACAACGGTCGGCGACATACCTCAACGGTTGCTGTCAGGTGCGTCACGCCTGCTCATGCATGCGCCCTCTATCTATCGCGACGAGACATTTACAAGCAGTTCGAGGTGAATCCAGGCCCCACATTGACGATTTTGTTACCGTGCTAGCGCTCAAAGATTGAATATCACCTGAGCAATAATCGAAATGTCCGTAGTCATTTCGTTGACCAATACAGAAGTGGATATTCTCTGCTGCTTGTACGCGGACAAACTTGGACACTCGGTTGCTGCGGCATTAAAGCTTCGTGATCGGTTCCGCATTTGGTCTCACCAGGGAGCGATACAGCGAGCTCTATTCCATATTGAAGTGGATGAGGAGCAGTCCTCTACGGCGATAGATCCCGGAAGTCGGATGCTTTGGCGCCAAGGGCCCGCTACCTCTGCCAAGCTACTAACGACTCGACGCCTTTCCTCGTTGTCAACCTGTTCTCCAACCTGCCAAGTACTTCCTTATCTACGATGGGGGTTTTGCTTTCTAACGGCAGCCTCTTCGAGAAGGAGAAGCCCGTCACTGACCACCCTGCCAACGTTCTGGTGGTTGCGATCAAGTTCTAGTGACCCACACCTATTCGCCGTTTTGGACTCGTTCCTGCGTCCTGGCCATGTGCCGCCCACCTCCAACCCACCCGAGTACTCGGGCGTACGTCTTGGTCAATGTCGGTCATTGGTCCCCCAGCTAAGGTTATCTATTTACTTGCCTTTACCGGCCCATATTCATGCTGGTGTAAAGCGGCACTGTGCCGAAGATGGGCACCTCAGGTGAGCTACCCACGACCGAATAAGTGGCACCATATGAGCTATTACCTATATAAAGGTCGAAAGTACTTGTCGGTGAACAAGAATTCGACAGGCTCTGAGCGCTCACTTCCCAGATGGCTGCCACGTTCTTCTCCGTCCTGTCTCTTGCGACAGCTGCCGCTGCTTCCAGCGTGCTTCAGCTCAATGGTACTTCCTACTATACACCGGATCTGGTAGAAGCCACACTTGAGGGCGATGCACTTGTCCAGAAGACCACCCCGTTCACATTCCTTGAGTTTGCGGATGCAGCTTGTTCAGAAGCAGACGTTTCAGCTCTCGTTGGAAACTTTCTTACCAAGGATGATGTCTTCACCGAGCCGTTCCTGGCTACAGTTCTCCTGTCCACAGAATCAGGAGCTCCTGTTGAGCTGGCTGAAGATGCCAAATCCTACCTGGAGCAGTCTGCTGTCCTTCATGGTTCGTTGAACGGAACACTTCGACCAGGTCCTTACTTCCTCCACCCTGACGGCACCATCACCAAAGCGTACAGACTTTACGCAGATCCAAACTTCGCTTTTGTGGAGTCGGTCACGGCTGGTGAAGATGGGGCATATGTTCCAGTGACAGGCTCGACCGGAGATCGCGCAAATGGCGGCGTCAGTGTTGCAGTGCCTTCTCGACTATACTACCCACCACCAAGCGAAGAACGCCCACTCGAGGGTAAGAGATTAGGCGTCAAGGACATCTTCGATATCAAAGGCATCCGAACGTCTGCTGGCTCGAGATCTTACTTCGCATTAGACAAGATTGCGAGCGAGACGGCTCCATCTCTACAGGCGCTGGTGGATCTAGGCGCTGTATTGGTTGGAAAAACGAAGACGACCCAGTTTGCTCTCGGTGAGGCTCCGACAGTCGACTATGTGGATCAGCTTGCTCCATTCAATCCTCGTGGCGATGGCTATCAGAACCCACAAGGTTCGTCAAGTGGCACAGGTGCCGGTGTGGCTTCCTACGAATGGCTTGACTTCGGAACTGGATCAGATACGGGAGGGTATGTTTGTGAAATCCAGATAAACCTCAGTTGCTAACTCGGCCAGATCCGTACGCTTGCCTTCCATGCAGAATGGTCTTTTCGGCATGAGGACTTCCAGCCAAGCTCTGCCTGTCGACGGGATTGCTCCGATCACGCCAGTCTTCGACACACCCGGCCTTCTTGCGCGGTCTGCCAGCCTTTTGAAAACGGCATACGGCGCATGGCTGCCAGCTGCCCCTTACTCATCCTACCCGAAACGGATTCTTCTACCAGAAGAGTTCTGGCCGCCAGTTAACGCGACCAGCTCCGCCAACGAAACGTTCTCGACCTTTCTCAATTCCCTGTCAGACTTCCTCTCGGCGCCTCTCGAGTCTATCGGCCAGAACGATTCTTTCATCGCCCATACCGGCCACCCCGCCGGAGTCTCCTGGCTCAGCAACTCATACTCCAACATCACCAAGTACGACCAAGTAAGGCTCGTGCGTGACCCCCTCGTGGCCGAGTACCAAGCCAAGTACGACGGAGCCTATCCATTCTTTAATCCAGTAGCGATGGTTGAATGGGCTTGGGGCGAGCAGGTCACACCAGAAGGCTACGAATCCGCTCGCTCCCGCGTCAAGACGTACGAAGAGTGGTTCAGGAGCCAGCTCGTGCCGACCTGCGAGGAAGCCATTGTCGTGTACCCCATGGGAGCTGGCAATCCCTTGTACAGGAATGTCTACCGTGCCCCACCAACACTGTTTGCAGGCGCCTATTCGGGGAATCTGCAAGCTGTGTACGCTGGGTGTCCGGACATTACCGTTCCCATTGGAACCAATACGTACAATTCGACGATCTCGAAGAGGGTGGAGGAGCTGCCTGTTACGGTCGGGATCATTGCTGGCGCGGGCTGTGATACCATGTTGACGGACCTGGTGGCGGAGCTCGCGGAGAAGGGTGTCATTGTTGGAGAAGTCAAGACTGGCAAAACGCTCTATTGATTACTGACCTAGAAGGACGACCGTTGAGGTTGCCAAAATAATAAGCACCCTGAGTCTTTTCCGTATCTCGAGGTCCTGGATTTGTTTTTAGGTCTACCCTGCCGCTCTACTTTTATGTGATCACCGCTTGCTTTGAGGCCTTTTGCTGGTCCTCAGTCTGCCTTGATCACCGTGATGCCGCCGTCAACCACCAAATTTTGTCCACTCACTAAGACACCGGTTAGTACATTCCTGAGGAAGCGGTCTTAGAGAGTTCATGCTGCGGTTGTGGGACGGGTCACCAAGTTGCTTTCGGGACGCTTCCTCTCAGCACAATGCTCTGCAGGAAGGAGAACTCACCAAATCCAGCACCAAGCAGATACTCCACTGCTTCCGAGATATCCTCTGGCATGCCGGCCCTGAAGCTGTCAGAGAACTCTCACAAGTCCAGGAGTCAAAGACTCACCGATTACTCAGATGCACCTCCGCGTCATTCCCCTCGACCTCCCACTTCCCACCATTCTCATCCGCCTTCTTACTCTCATGCTGCGCCTTGATCCTCCCGGGACTCACACAATTCACGCGGATCCCAAAATGCTGCATACTCACCGCCATCGCACTCGTCAAGCCAATCAGCCCGGCCTTTGTAGCCGCATACCCCTCCTGATTGGGATCGCTGATGATGCCACGGAAGCTGCTGGTAAAGACGATGCAGGGGCCGGCCCCACCGACATGCGAGTCCGGGAGCTTGCGCCGGTCGTCCTCGGCGTGCACCTTCATGTACGGCAACACGGCCTGCGCGAGCGCAAAGTTCCCCGTTAGGTTGACGTCGACGTACGTCTTCCACTGGTCCAGGGTGGAGGGGTCGGCCATGGTGGCGCCGTCGCGCCAGTAGGGGCTGGAGATGCCCGCGTTGGCGACGACGTAGTCGATCTGCCCCGAGAGGAATTTGGCGGCTTTGGCGACGCCGTCGCGCACGGACTGCGTGTCGGCGAGGTTGACTTCGGCGTAGCCGATGCGGTCAGAGTGCTCTTTGAGGTGGGTTTCGACCGTGTGTTTGAGGCCGTCGCCGTTGATGTCCATCAGGTAGAGCTTGTGGCCTTTGGCGGCGAAGTGGCGGGCGAGGGCGCGCCCGATGCCTGCATTGGTGGGTGGTTAGCTGTGGTGGAGGTATGGAAGAAGTGGTCTCGCTGGGGCTTGGGTACCTTGGCCGGCGCCGGTGATGAGGAGATTGGATGGCCCTTCGATCATGGTCGGTGGCGTTGTCGTTATGTACTAAAATAGAAGAGAAGGTATCGAGTCGAAGCTTCGCCCGGTATTTCCGTGACATGTAGCCTATCGATATCCTGTTCGTACTCTGACATCAGGAGAGCTACACACGACGGGATCTCGTTCCGGTGCGATCACCGATCAATTGATTCCTTGCTTAGTTTATCTACAGCTTGCGAGTCGAGCCTGTGATGTGCACAGAGGCGTTTTAGGGCCAATAACTCGTCGCTAGGCTCGTTGGCTGACGCTGAGCGCCGATAAGGCTGACGATTCAGGAGGCCTGCTTCCAAGGCGGAAGCGACTGTTGCATAGCGGCGTACTCTGCTTATCACAAGATCATTAGTGGACAGCGCATATACATGTCGACGTATGTGTTAGTGGAAAGACTGAGGTTCTTTACGTTCTGATGTTACTCGTGATATATTCGCTGCAAGTGAAGGGACAGGGGCGACGTAAAATGCCAAGTCTTTTACTGCCTGAGGTTCTGTCCGTCCTAAGGTTGCTATACAGTCCAGTGCGCAGAAAAGGAAATCTAATAGACACAGGTGTCATTATGGTGAAGTTATGGCTGGTAATGGAAGATTTGCTGCGATGTCAAAGTTCTCATTGATAACAGCCAAGTTGCTTCTGTTGTGGCAGGTCCGTTTTGCATCCATCTAGCTGCTAAATATATTCGTTATCTATGTACCTACCGACGTGACCGCCACACGAATATACTCCTTTCCCAATTCAGCTCATGCTATTCCCACATTGCCTTACCACTATCATGACTTAGCAACATCACAAGGACGGAAGCGAGACTTTCTATGGCGCCTCTCGATACTACTCAAGCTCCCGTTGGAGGCACGACGCGTGATCTGGTGACATTGCGCGAGTAATGTCAGGCGAGAGGCGCTGGCAATGGGAAGTACCAGGGAGGATTTGCAGGCCTCTCGGGCGTCTTCTATCGGCGATAAGATGGCTCATATCGCATCCGCGACTACACGGACGACCTCAGGAACACTTCTGTCGGCCTGGCAAAGACATGCCACTTTCCTAGGTGAGAGTTTCTAGATTGCCTCGCGGAGGATGCTCCTTTGGAGAGTGGACGCTTCCGGAAGCCACAATTGAAAAGGAGTCGTCGGGGCGAGTATGGTCTGCCTCCAGCGATAGCCACCAACACTTGGTCGGCAAAGCTGGGCCATGTTGCATTGTGGCACATGTCCAGCATCGTCTCCAGTTTTCCCGGTTTGCAACGCTGCCCGTTTCATAACGAATCGTGTCCCCTCAGTATGCTCAGCGTGGCACCACAAGGCTAGATTTGCATGCTGGATTTTCTTGAGAACCCCGAATCCACGAAGCTGCCGGATGATCATGCGGTCAAGGAGTTTACCGAGTAGAAGAAACTGCTCAGAGGCTGTTTACCAGCGAGGATCCTGTTGCATTGGACTGTATCATATGGACCCTTCGAGGTCAAGTTGCATCACTTGTGGGTGCCTGGAGCCCTGCAGGCCCCAGATGAATATGATCGAGGGTCATTGCCTGGTCAGTGAAACCACCACTTCTATCCTCGGCCCAGCTGGCATGTCTAGGTTGTGGGAGTCATTGAGAATCGTGACTTGTTGCTCGGGCTTCCTATCAACCTCACGGCGGAGTCCAACAAGGCGCGGAAGCTGGCGAGGAGGCCCTGAAGTGCATGCGAGAATGGGTCACAAAGGTCTGGTAACGACTCGGATATCGTTCACAGCTCAACAGGGGTCAACAGACTCGACCCGCGAGTTCCCCAGCCACATAGGAGATCGCGCCCACAGCGCTTCTGCTGTGAACCTGGGGATACCACTCGTCGATTTCGGGATCTGGTCTGTAGTCAGCAGGCATGGACAGCTAGAAATAGCGTATTGTACATTCAGTGGGAAACACCAAGGATTGTCAAAATTGACGAGCGAGTCCCCCAAACTCACAGCAGATCGCACCAAAAGTCTCTGCTGCGAGCCTAGGGGCGCTGCCCATCAATGCTGTAGACCTGACCTTTGGTCAAAGGGAAACAAAAAATCAATGAATTAGTCTCTGTTTTGTACTGCTAACTGAGCCTTCCGCCTGCCGAGCGTGAGCTCGAGATATCCTGGACACCCATATGCTCCACCAGATTGGGTATCATTCTAGATCATAAGACGTTCAACGCGATTCTTCAGCTCGTGAATCTGAGGCATGAGGTCGCTGGCTTCGTTGGTCGTGATTGAAGCAGCAATGACGGCGCGTGAGACACCACAGGCGCGGCCGAGAGCAGTCTTGCTGGGAACATAGACGTAGGGGACGTTCTTGTCCTCGGCGAGAAGAGGCAGATGGAGGAGGATGGCGAGAGGAGAGGTATCAGCCGCGAGAACGACAATCTCGGAGGTACCGCGATTGAGAGTCTTCGTAGCTGCAAAGAAGTCAGTTCCATGCGCAGCACATACCAAGAAGACACTGACCTTCGTTGGCGCCCTTCTTCAGCTGACGGTAGTTGGAGGCCTGCTGGACAATGTCGAGAATTTTCTGAGACAGAGCCTCATCGGCAATGGGCCATGCGGCACTTGGGTTGTCGGCCATTTCTGTGGGTTGGGAGATGTGATGCGGTCGGAGGCAGGATGATGAAAATTCGCTACTGATATCGAGCGGGATCACTGCAGTGGCTGCTCACCCTTTGCTCTGGTAATTGAAGTGGTTTTGTAGGAAAGAAAAGAGTAACCTTGTGGTTGCGATGCTCTGCAAAAAAAGTTGGAGCAGGCGCTCAGAACGACATGTGCCAAGCCGCTAGCACAAGACTTGGCGGGAGCTGTCCTTCGGCGTCTGCGTCTGCGTCTGCATCCTCGCATCATCCATCTGCGCTTTCACTCTACGAGCCATCTCCATCTCGCCGGCACCTGAACGTCCCAGGAATCGCAGCTACCCAGCAGCCTCGTTCTATACCCAAGTCTACCAGACAAAAAGGCGATCCGAAAAGCCGCCACCATGACTGATCTCTGGTTCGTACCTCTGACCCTGGCTGCCTGTGAGGCGGGAGCATTGACAGTTGCTTTTTATCTGCTGCGGCACCATTTATGATGCTTTGCTAACAATGTTTTCCACAGTCCCGTCTATGCGGTATGTTTACACCATTACGCTGACGAGCTCCGTCGCTCCGTCCCGCCCGTACGATGCACTTTTACAAAGAACTGACGAAGACGATAGCCCTTCTTCGGAGCAATGGGTTGCACGAGCGCCATTGTCTTCACCTGCTTCGGCGCCGCCTATGGCACAGCGAAGTCAGGCGTCGGCATCTCTGCCATGGGTGTCCTGCGTCCTGTGAGTCTCGAAACAGCTTGATTTGTATGTTGCTAACAAGTCTCAGGATCTCATCGTACGTCTCGAGTCCTCCCTAACAAGATTATCTCCTGGTTCGATCAGGATTCTTGGTTCAGCTTTGCTAACGCCAGCAGGTCAAAAATATCGTTCCTGTCATTATGGCTGGTTAGTTGACACCTATATGCCGACGCAAGTTTACTGATGGTCACGATAGGTATCATTGGTATTTACGGCCTCGTCGTGTCCGTCCTGATTTCCGACAACCTCACGCAAGAGCTTCCCCTCTTTACATCGTTCATCCAGCTCGGCGCTGGTCTGAGTGTCGGTCTCTCTGGTTTGGCCGCTGGGTTCGCCATTGGCATCGTTGGAGACGCTGGCGTGCGTGGTACTGCACAGCAGCCGAGACTTTTCGTCGGAATGGTCAGCAAAACACACATACTATTAAGAAGCCAGGAACTGACACGTGCCAGATTCTTATTCTCATTTTCGCCGAAGTCTTGGGTCTTTATGGCCTCATTGTCGCGCTGCTCATGAACTCCAAGGCACAGACCGACGTTAAGTGCTAAAGGAACTGCGCCAGTACGACGGAAGGATGCGCTAAGAACACCATTCATCCTTCCGCCTCCAGCAGCGAACGAGAACACGCATCGACAATTGCTGGCTCACTCTACACAGCAAAAAACGGCAGTCCGCAGCACTACCGACATTGTATGAACGCTCTAGACTATTCATCGACTTATGGCGATGCTGTCGAAATTGGTGACGCCGGCTAGGGGAAAGGGAAGTTGGGCTGAGGAAAGCTGTATGTAACAAGCGGCGGGCATTCGATTCCTAGGTCCTTGCCGCCATTCCGGCATTGCGCATTGAATGCATTATAGAGATAATGCTATATCATGCTCCCAGTCTCTCTATCTCTCTCGGCTTCCACTGTACTGCTGTTCCCTGTCTTCTGCCTTCGTTTCTCGAGCAGGCTTTTCGTGTTTTGGCGAGGGCATGACCGAAGGCAGCACCGACCACGGCCAAACGTTTAGCCCCCTCTCCCTCTCCCTCTCCTCCACATCACGCACGGGTATATGATGAACAGTACCCGACCTACATACTTCTCGGCGTAGTAACCCGCTGACTACTATCTACCTGAAGTAGTACTGGCGGCACAGACAGGGCCCGTCGGGGTTTGATTGTCATGCACGTAGAACATTCAATTTGTCAGGTCGGGTAGTGAGTGGGTGGGGTTGGGTGTTGTTCCGTGCACATCTAGCTTAAGGATATCTTGACTCAGGAAGCGTTTCTCATTGCGGACAGCGATACGTTGGAGTTATATTGCAGCGCTACGCAGCGCCATGGCAAATGCACCTGCTTTCAGCCTGTTTGTCTACTTGCCGTCGAGTTGGCGGATCTAGCAATCTAACATCAGCTTCAACAGTCGGCATCCGACCTCTCACCGCGGTGACAGCCTCACCATCATCCTCGAATCCCTGTCTAACAATGCTGTGAACCAAGAGCGAAGATCCTTCGAATGCCGAAATGAACACAAGTGTGCGTATGCGAAGCAAAAGCCCGCATGCTAAAACGCCCATCAATGCATAAGAGCCGTAATAGCTCACTGAAATGGGCAACCTCTATGGCCGTTACGTCGCCTGGTATGCAGCAAAACGGTGCACTCCATCGGACAGAGAGCAGAAAAGCTCACAACTTATCTTGCCTCCTTCGCAAGTTTCTCGTTCTCCTCATGAGCTGATGCATTGTCAGTCGTCACGGCAGTGTTGTTTCGAGGACAAGCAACTCACCTTCTTGTACTTGTGCTTCTTCATCTTCAACTTCCTCTGCCTCTTCACGCTTATCATTCGGTACGTCACCTTCCTTTTTCCCGGTACCTGGACGGCGAAACCTCTCCGTCTCCGTTGTCCCACACGTGCAGTTCTGCCTGGTTCCTGTACCGGTGCGGGCTCTGTCGGGGTGAAGAAGCTGTATTTCTCACGCAAGGTCTTGGTGTTCACGACGATTTCCGCGCTGTGCGTTTGTGATGAGGGGTTGAGAAGAGCCTCGAGCTTTGCACGATCACGACGACCGCGTGCTGCAGCGGCCTGGGCATCCTGACCCTGAATCTGAGCCTCTAGTTGGGAAGCCAGAGCTTCTTCGCCAGCCTCCTCCACAGAGGCAGCTCGGCGGTCGAGGGCATCGATTTGTTCTTGCGATAATGCCGTTGGTGGCGGCGGAGGGTGGAACGGACGGAATGCGTTTTGTGCCGGGCTCGACACGACCTTGAATTGATTGCCAGAACCATCAACTACACGGAAGAGCTCTTTCTGCGGAGAGGTCGAGTCGTCGCTAGGTTGAGCTGACTGTGCTTGTGTCTGCGCCTGCTTATCGGCGATGGCATTATTCAGGGTGTCGAGGGCAGAAGAAAGCGTCAGAACGAACTCATTTGTTTGCTTCGCTCTTGATTTCGATGGCTTTGGAGCGAAAATCTGATCAACACTGAAAGAGGCTTCTTGAGCTTTGGGACCTGGTCCTGTTATCGAGACGGGTCTATGAATAGCATAGAAAGAGGCAACGGCAAGGTCTGTCCCATGTCAGCAATTTTCTTATAAGCGGCTGGTGTACTGTGTACCTTTCTGGCCCATGTGCGCAGTAGTGGGCACGCTTGGGAATGATGAGGTCCAATTCTCTTGCGCTTCGTTTGCCTCGGCCTTCGCTGGAGCAGCGGCCTTCTTCTTCGATGAGCGCTCAGCAGGCTTTTTGCTCTCGGCCTTAGCTTCCGATCTGGGCGTCACTTGCTTCACATCAGCCGGAATCGTAGGCGAGCCATTGTTATTTGGGGGAGCAGGCGGCTTCGAAGAGGAGTGCCGCCTCTGATGGGTTCGTGAGGTAAAAGGCGCTATCGATGGTGTTGTTGGGCGAGAGGGTATTGAGGGTGCAGATCGGGCTGCGCGCCGCAGAGAAGAATTGAACATGGCTGACAGCCGTGCTCAAACTCGTCCCAAGAGTACTTGTGCCTCGATGGGCGGTGTGGTTTGGTGGGAGGAATGACGATGCAGGAATGATGAGTCGAGATAGCAGGTGATCAGACTTGGAGGCGGCAAGAGCCATGGCGCAACGCCTGCATGCCAAGCCACGGCTATGCGGCCGACGTCCGACGGCCGGAGAGCAACTGACTTCTGGCTCTACAGCAGCGAGAGACGAGTGTTTTAACATATGTGTGCTTTGATTATGTTTACGTAAGTTATGTGATTCTCGTATGCTTCCAGCTCTAGCCAAGAGAAAACTTTGAAAGATAGAGGATGCCTTCGACCGAATATGCCTGTTGCTCCGCCTCTAAGATTCGTTGCTCGTCATGAGTGTCAGGACGGCGTCTGCTGCTGACGAAAGCCGGTCAATGCATCAAATGTAATACATCGTGTCCCGGATGTTCGGATGGAGGTCTTGCTGGCCCTTAAACCAGCCATCGTGAATGGAATACACTTGAGTGGGATCCTCTGGATAGTAGACATCGTGGAGGAGTTCCTTGCCACGGTGGCAGAGCACGTCAGCGAGCTTCGCCGGTGCCGGGATGCCCGTGCTGGTGACTGATCTAGGGAAAATGAAAGAGAGGTTGTGCACCAGTTGCTCTAGATCGTCTTTGGACAGCTGTACCTCGTCCCACAACCGAACGTGATGGGCGGGACGACAAGTGCCTTGCAATGTCTTATGGCTCACGGCGTACCAGTCATCCTTGTTGCGCGAGACAGCCTTTTCATCGACAATAAGCCCTGGCAACGGATTCGAGTTCTTGTCGAAGGCCGAGCCTCGCTTATCATCTGGCGACTTGAAAAACCTGGTTGGGTGGCGCTTTTGGGTGTTCAAAATGAAGATTCTCGGCTCTGAAACACCAGCGTAGGCTTCACGAACTGCTTGCTTCATGCCGCTCAGCTCGCTGTCCAGGACCTGTTGTAGCTGTGTCTCTGAAACACCATCCCTGCACATGAACAGCACTGTTGGTAGACACTTGTTGCGCGAGAACCAGCGCTTAAGAGCCGTAAGGACCATAGCCCGGAGGATGGCTTGGGGAACAACCTCTCGGGACTCTTTTCCTGGGTCGGTATTTAGCAGCTGGAGGACCCCAGGAAATTGTCCTGGGGAACGATCAATACTGTGCACCAAACCAGCGATACTGGGTGCCCCTTTCATGTGGCCAGGGGGAGGATGAGCAATATCCAAACCCAGAACCATAGTGTTACCGCCGATGATATTTTCGAAGTCGGCGGGAGCAGCCAATCCAAAGTTCAAGCCCATCGACTTCATGTTCCATTTCAGGATAAGGTTGACAACTTCCTGTGAGCTGGCTTTCACAGACCCATCCTTCTTCCGCATAGATACGGTGCTTTGCATGCCCACAGTGTCTCCAGCTAGCTTGATCGTGTGGTACCATTGGCGAGCTGATGGAACAATGAAGCAGTATTCCACCCCCTGGCTCAGGCAGTGCTTGAAGACAGTTCGCAACCACCCCAGCTGATCTTGATCAGGCCAGTCAAGGACGTTGCAATTCTGCACTTGTACTGCCGGCTGGCTTGACCCACAGTGTTTCTCTATTTCCTCCTTGATCTGCCTCTCAAAGGCCTTCAAATTGCTGATGGGTGGTTCTCGACTTCGCTTCAACACCATGACCATATACTTGGGGCATTTCAGTGGCGCCCTAAGGAATAGCTTGTTGGCGATACTCCATTGGCCGCTCGAAGTCTCACGACTGTTGATAGTAGACTTGTTTCTGAATTTGAGAGCAGGTGAAGGTATGCGCCGTCCGGGCACAAGCAGCATGGCAGCTCGTAATCTCAAGGGAGTGCCATCAATGGTGCCTATAGAACCCTGCTGCTGCTGTACACCTAGCATCTGCAGGCCCTCTCCCAGTATGAGTGAGCTGTTCTGAGTCGGCGTTCTGCACGCAAACTTGATCATAGACTGAGTTTGCTCTGGCAACGCCAGGAACTTCTTGTAGGACTGGCCGGGGAGTACCATACACAGCTCTGCAGGCCAGAATAGAGCTCTCTGGGCGCCTCCAACATTCAAGACCATGCAAGTGGGTGAAACGTTGATTCCATAAGCCTCATAAAACCACCACTTGACAGTAACATCACGGTTCACTACAGCACCAGTTTTTGGATGCGTGTCCAGTCGAAATTTCGCATTATCGGCATCTCTGTGGTGAACCGAGAGTATTGGCTTGACTCGTTTCGAGCCAAATAGACCTTGCACCCTGACGCCTTTCAAGAACTGGCTCAGTTCCGGGAGGCTTCCTTGGTTGCTTGCTCGCCAGGTTGAGATAAGCTCGCTGGCTCGGTTGTCGTTGTACATTACGCCGGCTGTTGTGTTGACAGCAAGGACCAAGCCACCCTGGATGATCTTGATTCTGCGAATGTAGCCACGATAAGCTGAGAGGCCTCCACCGAGTGCCTGTCGTTTTGCAGGCGCCCCTGCAACATCCGGGAAGTTGAACTCGAGTGGGAAAATCTTGGTGCCGCGTGCAGCAGTCGTAAGACGAGGGTGAAGGGCGGGAAACCGGAGGATGATGTTGTTCAGAGCCTCATCATACTCATCCTCACGCTCAAGAACCGTGTTACTGCTGGGATCTTTGAAGAGCTCCACCAAAGGCTGTGTTCGTAACGGAAGAGCAGCCGATGTGATTCTAACTTGATAGAGAATCTGCTCGTTACCTGATCGAGGACCACTTTCCTCGCGCTCATAGTAGTCGACCGTGACAATAGTAGATACCCCTCGGCCAGAGGTTAGAGGACCGAAAGACCACAAAGTGTTCGTGAAGTTGGAATAAACTCCACGAGCATACTCTAACCGCTGGAGCAAGAGTTCTATAATTCGGCGGATAAGCCGGGCGCTGATGGGTGGGTGGCTTTGGCCGGCAGGCAAGCGACGAATTTCTACTGCCCATTTGTAGATCTGCTCAGGTGTGTTGCTGGGGTTAATGGGAAAGTAGTTGATAGAGACAAGTAGCTTCTCGCCGCGCTTGCCAGGACCTGAAGGCCTGGGTAGTTTGACACCGACGCTAAGCCGCTGCATTTTATTTGTCGGAGAGCTGATGGGTGGGTTGGCAGGACCACTCCGGGATCCTGTGGGAGTTCCAGGTTGAGAACCTTGGCCAGAAGTGGAAGTTGGAGGGGCAGCAGGACCGCTCCTGACTCCTGCGGGAGTGCTAGACTTGGAGGCCGGCATTGTCGACGTAGGAACTGTGCTGGTAAGAAGTGGATGAGGGGTAGGTTGTACTTCGCAAGGAAGAGGTGGGAAGGAAAGGAAGGAAAGGAATTTGGCGGGAGTGGATGGGGGTAGGTTGAGATGCGGAAGAGGAAGTTTGTATGGGAAAGGAAGAGATCTATATAGTAGAGAGGGACTGGACTGACTGCACAAGCACATGCTCGAGGGCACCGGACCCACTCTCACGTGGTGAATCAACGTGAAAGAAGGCCACGGAAGCTCAAGTGAGGTCGCAATGAGCTTGGAGGGCCATCTCGAACTTCAAACGAAGTCAACACCACTGGACCGGTGGGGTGAGAGCTCATGAATGAGGCTAATCCGCGCATATTTGCTTGGGTGCAAGCATGTCTGAAGCAGAGTGCTTGTTTAAGTGCGTAGCTGCGACGACATCGGGTTCAAGTAGTCCTCGGTCATGTCGTTGCATGTGGCTCAAAGACTGCGCCAGGCAATTTGGAATAGCTTCAGAGAAAGAGCGGAGAGCTTCACCTCACCTTAGCGTGCGTTCACTTACGGCAGAGTCCGGAATTCCAGCTTGGGATCTTCACGTCAAAGCAGCACGAGCCCTTGACATGCTCCGGCCGGTAGATACCATCCGTCAGCTCGACCAGCTGTAACATCATGAGGCCTGCCGAATGGAACCGCGAATGATTACAACTCTCCTCAAACCCAGTCCGAGATAGAAGGCGAAGTTGACTCCGAACTTGAGGGTGGAAGACTTTCAGCGGTCTTGGCATTGGTCAGCCTTATCGAAGGGGCCGCTTCTCATTTTTGATACACCCGTCTAGACTCATTGAGGAGGCTCTACGATCTATTGCTGGCCATCTACGGCCAATTGGTAATGCCGTCACTCTCTTCCTCTTTTGGTAGAAGTTCCCCGAGGTACGAGACAGTGTTGAAACCTCGCAGTCAGCCCACGCTCTACTTTGCATCCCTACGGCTACCCGGGGCAAGGGTGACCAACTCTTCGGCACTGGTGGGGTGTATGGCGACCGTGCTGTCAAAGTCTTGCTTGCGTGCACCCATCTTGACAGCCACGCCGAAGCCCTGCATCATTTCGTCCGTGCCTTCGCCCAAGATATGTAAGCCGACGACACGCTCTTCGGGACCTTGGACAATCATTTTGAAGGCAGTGGGATACTGCGCCTTGATGTCCTTCGGGAACACATCGTAGAACATTCTGATCTAGGTTAGTTTGCAAGTGGAGATTCGAAGTCCACATACCCTGAGAATTTTGTTTCGTAGACCTTCACATTTTCCTTGCCAAATCGCTCCACGGCGGCGGGCTCAGTGAGCCCCACGGTGCCCACGGTCGGGTGAGAAAAGACAACGGTTGGTATCTTCGGGAAGTTAGCATGGTCTGGACTGTCGACTTATGGTATCTTACGTTGTCGTAGTCCAGATGGGCAGCGCTGTACTCTTTTGGTCCGAACAACCTGTTGCCGAGCTGTCTGCCTGCCGCAATGGCAACAGGTGTCAGCTCCGCTTGTCCAGTGATGTCCCCCAGACTGTAACAAGGCTCGTTAGCTTAAGTTGGCACTGAAGACCGAGGGAGAAGGGGCGGCGGAGCCAGGATGTGGCCCGAGACAAGATTGCGTGGGTTCTTGCAGTGAACTCACTATTACACAAGTTAGTAATGAACGCGTTTCAGTTTGGCAGAAATGGGACAACAGCACAACAACAGCTGCTAGTGTGCGTTTTGGGGTCGTTTGGGGACTCGGTCGGTCGACATTCTCCTAGGAGAGAAGTTCCGAGACAGGTCTCCGCAACTCAAGTTTGGTAGACTTACCCTGTAAACGCCCTTTACCGATGTCTCCTGGAATTTGTCGACGATCACATGGCCAGTTTTGTCGAGCTTGACACCGGTGTTCTCCAAACCAAGGCCCCGGGTTTCCGCACCACGACCTATTGCCCAGAGGAGCTCGTTGGTGATGATCTCGGAGCCATCATTACTGGTGATTTTGAGCTTCTTCTCGCGGGGATCCGACTCGTCCTTGGCAGGGTTGAGTAGCTCGACTTTTTTGATCCCGGGATGCTTCTTGTGTATATGGACGCCCATCTCCTCGTAGTGCTTGGTCAATATATCCTGGACCATGGGGTCGAACTTGCGTAAGAATGTTTCGCCACGAATGCTGTATTGATTCTGGTTAGTCTTGTATTGGGACAAAGATAGGACGTTGTCCAAAGCACAGAGGGGTCAGAGATGCTCATGAGCCCGGAACTCCCAGAAACAAGCTCCGAACGCCACGAAGTGCTCCTCCGGCTAGCTCAGTCCGAGTCCGTGCAGACACTTACAACATATGTGTTTCTACTCCTAATGCAGCCATGACGCCAGCAAGCTCGACGGATATGTAGCCAGCTCCAACGAAGACCATGGACTTCGGTAGCTCCTGTCAAGATGGTCAGTGGTCGAGTATATCAACGAAACCGGAAGACACTCTCACCTTGATCAAGAAATACTCATCCGAAGTGATACCGTGCTTCGCGCCCTCAATGTCCTTCGGGACGGTGGCATAGCTGCCAGTAGCTATTGTTATGTGGTCGGCAGAAAGTGTATACACTTCTGAGCCATCATTGGGTGTTATCTCCAGTTCATGATCGGAGAGGAACTTGGCAGTTGCGTGGATCAGGTCGACACCGTCCTTTGCCCAATTGCTCTCGTATGCTCCGTTCAGAGTCTTTATCCGGCTATCCCTATCATCCACAAATTTGTGGAAGTCAAAGGGCACGCCCTTAGTTGCATCATAGTGGTAGTATTTGCTCTTGTGTATGGTCTCATTTATGGAGGCAAAGTTCCACGTCATCCTGCCAGTTGTCAGCATGCGCACCCGCCTAAAAGTTGGTGATCCACCCACTTCTTTGGAACGCAGCCAACGTTCACGCAGCAGCCTCCCGAGACACCGGCAGAGACCAGTGCTGTCTTCTTGCCGTACCAGCCCGCCGCTCTTCTAGCCGCTCCACTCCCACCACTTCCACCGCCTATGACAATATAGTCGTACTTCTTGGTTGTCGGCGCCATGTTTCTCGAGCTCGAAGTGAAATGTCTCGACACTGCAGAAAGTCTAGACGAGATAAGACTCGGAGTGAGCGTAGAAGTAGAGTGTCTCGACACCGCGGATAGTCTAGAGGAACTTGAGCTCGACGTGAGCGCAGAAGCGAGGGGGAGGGATGTTGTGATGGTCTGTGTGGAGGACGACAGCTTGATTGCGATACGGCGAGCTTCACCGACAACCATTGACATCACAAGAAAGGCAAAGACAAGGTCAAATACTGCACGATCGAGGTTATTATTTGTATTGCACTTGCGCGAAATCACCACCGACTGAATGACGACAGTTTCCGCCGCGAAGTACGGTAATGATGCTTTTTTTCGGCCGCGGTCCGTACAGGCTGCCCCTCCACTCCGCTCTCCACCCCCGGCAGATCCGCGGCAGGGTCCTGGACACATCTAGGCTTGACACGCTTACAAACCCGCCTGCATGTCGTTGTCGGGAACGCATCTCGGGTTGCGCGGTCCATTGTTGCAAAGACAGGCAGTGAAGAAACCTTACTGGACTGGGATTTGGGAAGGAGCCAAGGGTCGTGATTGACAATTGGAGCTGTCCTCACTCCACGCATTTCGTGCAATATCACCTCGATTCGTCCAGCCGGGAGATTCCAGATCACGCTGAACCTTTTCGCGTTCCTTGCTCCAATCCATCTTAGGGGCGACAACCTTGCAGTGATCTCCGCAAGGCTGTTGCATGCTGGTTTATGGTATCCTTAATCACAAGTAAATCATTCAGTGCAGACGCTCAGCCAAAATTTCCGATCGTATCCTGTTGCGAAGGAGTCAATGGCCTACGATAGCGATCACGGTGGACCAAGAGTCATCAAGGACAGTCGTAAGGTAAACATTTATTCGTTCTTCTTAGCTCTCCTCGTCAAAGGCTGGCATTGTGTTGTTGGGCTCAACGCGAAAGCTGACTAACGCTTGCGTGACTTGACTTGTCATCAGCCTTCTACAGGTGTCTGTTGCCATACAGACTTTGCATTGCAAAGAAGGGCCTCCCATTGACCTTGCAGTACCAACCCTCTGGTGGCTCAACAGGTTTGCGCTCTCCGAATGCCCCTCAAACCATGCCCTGCGACCCTCAGAGTTTACTCGTGTGACCTCCTTTGGCCGGCTGCTGTGTGTCAATGGTCGGAAACCATGGATATGCAGAGGGCGCATCCTGTGGGAACTGGCCCTGGAAGTTTGGTGGTCGCTTTTCGAAAAACGATTTCACCCCCTCCGTGTTGTCTTTGGAGCCAAAGATACCGTGTATAACCCTGCTGTCGAGCAAATGAGTCTCCTCAGCCGTTGCTGGTCCTCGGTACATCAAATCCCTCATAATCTTTGAACTGATCAGTGAAGTCTGTTTGGAGATCACATCTGCAAGCTCTAGGGCTCGCTTAAGTGTTGCCTCCGGCGAAGGCAGCAGCTCGCTGAAGAGTGTGCCAAAGAGCGGATGCTCCGCGGGGAGTACTTCTCCCGTGGTTGTCAGGTGGATCGCTCTAGGGCTCTGTCAGTACTCGTCGTGCTCAGCAACAGGGTACTAACCTCGACGTGCCGATCAGTTTCGGCAAAAAGAAGGACGACACTGCTTCCATGATAATCCCGCGCCTGCTGAAGACGAAGCCAACTTTGGCTTTGGAGTAGGCCACCCGGATGGCAGCTGGAAGGCACATGGTAATGCCCACTCCGACCGCGTTACCCTGAATGGCAGCAATGGTCGGTTTGCTACACTGATAGATCGCGAGAGATACTTTGCCTCCGCTACTTGGGGTCAGCATCGTCGAAATAACTCTCAGGCTCGACTCACCCGTCCCGATGATCTACATCACGCTCCGTCTTCGCGTTGGTGCTGTTCTGAGCGCCTCCTTTCGATGCTCCTCCAAGAAAGCCGATCTCCAGGTCAGCGCCGGCGCAGAACGAGCGTTCACCAGCACCGGTGATCACGACGGCCTTGATGCGGTCATCCGCTTCGATCATTTCGTACACGGTGCACAACTCTTGTTGCATTTGGCTCGTGAATGCATTGTGCTTTTGCGGTCGATTGAGCGTGATCACCAGGACCGGCGTTGGCGTGGGCGAGGAAGCAGGTACATGTCCGACCTTGATATGTCCAAAGCCCAACGTACTATAGGATGAAGGGGGCTGTACCACTGCCATCTTCACAAGCTGATGGAGAATTTAAACGGATGAAAAGATTTCAGCGTACTCGGTCAGCTAAACGCAACTCAGGTAGCTATTGTTTTGTGGATTTGATTATCTAGGATATGCAGTTAGCCGCAGACCTCGGTTCATTCTGCGGGTGCCCCGGACAAATCCTCCTGAAGCTCTTGGAGAAGCTGACAGCTCTTGAGATTGCGGGGTTGCCCCAGCCTCGAGTGCTTCTATCTGGAGCCTAACCACGGGTTTCGGTAGGAGGATCCCCTAGTTTTACCACCCTTCGAACGACTGCAGCGGGATTTGCGCCTTGCGAAGTAACATTTTCGTAGGTGATGTTTGACCCATTAACATTCAGGCCGGTACCTTGGCGTAGAACTCCTGGGAGGGCACGAGCATATGGCATACCATTTCATGAAGTTCGACCCTCTGCTTCCAGGGACGGCATTGTTTTACATCAAACACAGGTGTGAAGCTTGAATATCTAATGCTTGTTAAGAGTTATCTGAAGTGACTCAAGGGGTTTGTCTCGCTCACCCTAGATATGATGTGCCAAGACATACGTCATTGGATTCTGTACGGCAGCCTCGACGCGGTGGCGCGTGCCTTGCTTCAAGACAACCTCGTTAATTCTGGTCATTGCACTATATCACTTTGCTCTAGCTTCAACACCAGGCGTTTCATTAAAGTAACCAAATGCGACACTGATCGTTTAAGACCCTGCCTCTTAATCATTCTTGGGCCTATGTCCAGACCATGAGCATCTGCCTGCGGTCGCCTACAACTTCTTGGCAGATGATATCTATTGTCGCCACTTTGACATAACCTCCTTAACAACAGCGCAGTGCGGAGTCTCGAAGAGCACTGCCAATCCACCACGAAGAATCAATGACTCGAGCATCGCCTGCACGACTTGGACACTCCTGGGTGGTCAGTGAGGCTGACGGCAGCGGCAGCGAATGGAACCCTGAAGGAGATCTCAGCCTGTCTGAATCAGAGCCAGAACCATCACAGTCTAGCTCTACAAGAAGCCGTAAATCAGGCAGATCCGATGGCACACCAAGCAAAGGACCAGATTTCATCATGCCATTAATGGAGAGCATCCATGCCGCACCACGGCGAGAGACGCCAAACAGCAGTCCGCGAAGCACTCAGCCTCGCCGAAGAAACGTCCCGGCTTCACCACGCCAACAAACACAGAGATCCCGTCCAGTGGAGACGCGCACAGACTCTTCTGCGGACAAGGCTTGGGACTACTTGCTCACCGTATGTGGGTTCCTTCTAGACATCATATGGCAAGCACTGGTATACGTCAAAAAGCCACTGGCCATCTGTTTAGCAATCTACATGTTTGCAGGATTGCTTACAATGGTCTCCAACCTGCTCACAAGCTCAATATACGCCTCCTTCTCGCCAGTCTGTCGCATTCCAGGCGTCAGCCTCCTCAACCTTCCGATATGCTCCTACCATTCCCCTCACAATCAACCAGACGGCGCTTCGCAGCCTACCATAGATGGTACCTCGTCTGCGGATCCCGAGTTCTCCTCCTTGATGTCCGCGCAAGGGCACCTCTCAGAAATCCTGGATGATACTACCTCCTCCCTCCAACTTCCTCTGTCCATGAAGCGCAGTGAAGCATCCATACGCGATCTCCGCCAAATCGTGCGTTTCTCCTCCAGCCTCCCCCAACGCGGCGAATTGGTCCTCGAGTTCGACGGCTTCGTCGAAACCGCCCGCACCGCATCCTACGACCTCCAAAAGTTCAACTCACACGTCGGCCGCGCCGTGGACATCACCCTCTCCACCGCCCGCTGGACCGAGCGCATCCTGGACGACATGTCCCACCAAACCTCGCGCTCCTCCTCCATCCTCCCCCGCTTCATGAGCTCCCTCCTCTATCCCTTCACGCCCATCCCCTTCACGCAATCCCGCCTCGTGGACCAATACCTCGTGCACACCAACGTCATCAGCGCCGAGATAGCCTCGCTGATCGACGAAGCCCAAGCCCTCCTCCTCCTGCTCCAGAACCTCGAAGATCGCCTCGACGTCATCCACAGCATCTCCCTCTCCAGCCAGCAGTCTGCCCAGGTCTCCAAGGACGAGATCCTCTCCCACCTCTGGACAATGCTGGGCGGCAACCGCGCCCAGCTCTCCAAATACAACAACCACCTCCGCCTGCTGCGCCAGGTCGGCGAGTATCGCACCCAGGCCTTCGCGCATGTTAGCGGCACCATCCTCAAATTGCAGGCCATGGGCGCCGAGCTAGAGGAGCTGCGCACGCGCGTCGACGCGGCGGGCTTGGAGCGGCAGGTTAAGGGGGATAACAAGGCCGTGCCGCTGGAGGTTCACATCGCTAGTATCAGATTGGGTGTGGAGCGGCTAGAGGAAGGGCGCGCAAAAGCCAGGGAAGTGGAGAGGGGATATGTCAGGAGGGTCATTGACGTGAGTGAGAGGGGGGAGTTGGGGTTCGATGGCGAGAAGCTTGGGTTGGAGGCGTGAGAGCTGGACTTTTCGAATGCTTTTTTTTGGTTTCACGAGACTCAGGTATTGGATGGTTGGATGGTCGGTTGGCCGGTAGGATGTGGAGGTAATGATTACACTACGATGACGTCTCCCCCTCAGAACGATGTCCACGATGCAATGAGATGCGATGTAGTACGACACGATGCAAAGAGCGCGAATTGTTTGGCTATAGAGTTTAGATCACACGGCGCGAAACACGTACGTAACACAGATATAACCCCCCCCCCTTTTGGCAATCCTGACACTACTACTTCCATTACACGGCCCTTTCCTGCCGTTCACGGTAACACCATGCTTGCCGTGTCAATCACAGCTCCGACTGAGACGTGCAGTTTAGGGGAACATGTGCAATGAAGTTATGAGTTGTCTCGAGTCAACTTCTATTGGGGGGAAACGATGGACATCGTGCAAAGCGTGGACGGAAGCGGCGAGGCGACGTTCCGGAGAGCGGCGGAGGTCGTCTATTGTAGGCGCGTGGAGTGGAAGGAAGGAGACGTGTGGAACGAAAGCACCACATTTAGGTTGGGCAAAGGCGCAACTCACGGTGGACAAGCGAAGTGAGACTCGTTATTCACATTTCATGGGCCAAATCCACAAACAATGCGGTCGCCGTAGCTATTACAACAAGTCGAGCTTCTATAGTAATCATACATCCTCCAGAAGTCTTCTTGCGCCTACTCGACACCCATATCCTTCTTTGGACCCTTCTTCGGCTCCCCCACCTTCTGCTTATTCCCGCCTAACATCTCACTGACCCCATCTTTGAGATCATAGAGGGGCGACTGTAGCTGCATTGGGGATTTCCTCGCATGATTCGCATTATCTTTTTGGTCAATCATCTGTGCGGCGATGATTCCGGTGAACATACCGCCTAAATGCCCCGCATGATCGATCCTTGAGAGGGGCCGGAAGAGGCCAAAGGTCTCATATGCTAGCAGTCCAGCTAGAAGCATCCACATCTTGGCCGACAGCAGCTCTTTCCACGAATCGGGAAGGAAGACGATAGAGGCGTACCTATCAGCATTCAGCCAACAGAGTGCCGCGATCGTGCCGCACACACTGCCGCTGGCGCCGACGCTGCTAGTGATAAAGGTTCGTCTTGCGGCGTGGAACACCAAGCTGGCAAAACTTCCGCAAACACCACTGGCGATCCAAATTGCTAGGAAGGTAGGACGCCCGACTTCTTCGTGCAGACGGGAACCGAGTATGACAAGGCCGACAGCGTTATTGACCAAATGCCAGGCGCTCTGATGACTGAAAGTACAGCCCAGCATGCTCAGAGCACGAGGATAGCCAGGCGTCATGATGAAAAACTTGTTCAGTATCTTCCACAGTGGTGGAAATTTCCAGCCAACGTAGACGAGCAGATTGAGGCCGAGTAACGTGGAGACAGTGGCGTAAGTGAGGCTCATGTCGGGGAACCAACGGTCAGCGCGTCGTGGAGGGCCCCAGTATTCCGCGAACAAGTAGCAACCCATGCATACCAGCGCAACGAAGGCTGCGGAGGGCAGGACACGTTGGATAAAGGTCATCTTGTACACGTCTTCCATCGTCATCCGACTCTGGGCCTCATTTTTCGCTCGGAAAACCCATTTCTCGAACAAGTTGGGAGGACGAATCTCATCTGCTGACTCGAGGCCTTGCTCTGGCCGGTGAGCTAAGGCTTTGTTCTTGGTCTCCTGAACGAGTTGCTTTTCAGCTATGATTTGATCGATCTGAGTCTGCAACTCCTCCTCTTCGCGGGCGGCCTTGGCTTCATTGTCTGCACGGATCGACTCCAGCTCGCTGCGACCCCAAACATCACCTTCGCGACCAGAATCCGACAGCTCAGCCTGGTATCGGCCGGACTGAGGATGGTAGAGCCCGATGTCCTGGCCTCGCTGCTCAATCTCGGACGGTGAGTAATCTTCTCCGGCTTCTTCTCGTTGGAGACGGGCTATGATAGCAGCGTCTTCGTCCAGTTGGTAGTGTGTTCGTAGCCACTTCAGGGCAGCATCCTGGGCGTCTGGAAATTGGTCGAGGAGGGCCTGCATGGAGGGCGAGAGTGGTAGGTCAAGAGTACCATCGTTGCGGCGACCATGCAAGATGCGGAGGAGTTGGTTGGCTCTGTGGGGTGGAGGACAGCTTGCACCAAACACTTGTTGCAATTGTTGCCGCGACAGGTCACGGTCCTGGAAAGCTAGACCTTTCTCTTTCTCTTCCGGATGTTCATTCTTACGAGGCCGCAGGGCGTGGACCACCAAGGATTCACGGAATGGTGAACGGGAACTTCGAGAGAAAGAGCGCTTTTGCAGAAGAGATAGCTGTATACGTCCCGAATTTGGGAAGCTGCTGGCGTAGACATTAGGTTGTGGACTGGATGTTGATGCTCCGCGGAGGAGTTGAACTGGCGTTCGCCATCTTGTACAGGGCAGGCACGATCCTGCGAAGCGCTGGATCAGGACTTTACCCGCATTGTTCATTCCTACCAGCGCTTGCGTAGACCATGGGACGTGGCAGCATGGACTTCTTGCATGCGTGACTTCCACTTTGCATGAACGCATCGTCTGATCTTCTTTTCGCATCCGGCAACCTAGGCGAGACGCGACTAACTACCTAGGTACTAGCTTGCGAGGACCTATCCGGCCTGAGCGCCGCGGGTACAACGTTCTATCAACAGCACAAGTCCAGTTCGGCACAGCAGCTGCATTAACCATTAGGCCTGAGCACGACTGATGGTTCAAAAAGTCTTGTTGGCATGCTCCTTGCCGGCATGACGCCTAGGCACCTTCCGCAGCAAGTGGACGGGCACCGAGATTGCGTCTTCTGTTCTATCGACCTAACTTGATTTCAGCATAGATTCGGGAGCGTAGCACGTCTGCTCTTGTCCACGGCCACGACCAACAGGCCGCATCATGAGGCAAGAAAGTAGGTCCATGGTAGAAAAGTATGGTGACGCAAGTTGAACCATGCTCGTGGAACGCTTTGGTACAGCGGAATTATACACTAAATTAAGCAATACACGAATAATCGTAACGTCGTTGTCCTCTCAAGGAAACTCCAGGCCGTCCGGACCACAGCCTGTGATCTCCCCGAAATACCTGAAATGCGGTCAGCCAAACTGGGTTAGAAGAACGGTGCGATTATGTTCATGCAGCAGGATACTTGCACCGCCGAAGAATGGTGTCTCTTGGCCACAAGATGCTCGTTGCAGTGCCTATTGGGGTGGACTCACCATTGATGATCATCTGCGCTCAAGCCAAGAGTGCCCTTATTCCCCTTGAGATTATATGCTCCACTGCTGACCTTGATGTCGGCTGAGGTCACTGCTGCACCCGTGGGCGACGTGATCCAATACTCATTGGAGACATGTGCAAAGCCCAGGGCGTATCCCGGCAACTTTGGAACCAGATCTTCTGCATGGGTGACTCGATAGTTATTGCCGCGCGATGACACGTAGTTCACGAAGAACAGATTGCCTGTCATTGGTGCACCGTAAGAATACTGTCAGCTGTCAGTCTGTAGAAGGGAAGAACGATGCTTTTGGCGTACGAGGTCGACCGTGTACCCGTCCTTGCGCAGGTCACCTGCAGCGATGGTCGCCACCGCACCTCCGAGCGAGTGTCCTGTGGCAATGACTCGGTAGGTGGGCCATTGCTTTACAGCTGTCGCCAATACGCCCACGACCTGCGACTTGACGAACTTCCACGTGTCGTAGAAACCAGAATGGACGGTGCAGCCTGCACAAGCAGGGAAAGGCTTCTGGACGATGTTCAAGTTGGTGATCCAATTGCCCAGAGATCTGCTTCCTCGGAAAGACAGGACAATCAACTGTCTGGAATGGTCGACCGCTACGAAGCCAGTCCCATCCACCGGGCCTACACTGTCAGGGTGTCAGTTAGAGACCTATTTACGTCCCCCAAAAACATACTTCTGGAACTCTACCAGTGTGGTGGCACCGGCAGCTTGTACAAGAGGGCAGTTGCCGGCGCTGCATGTGACTTGGGTGCTCGAGCCGGGCAAGTTGTTCTCTGGGCAATAGCTGGCGGCACTGTATTCGGCCAGGTACTCGAGCTGGGTCAACAAGCCCTGTGGCACATCTGACGATGATTCAGTTACGGATGTGCCAGCACAATGAGTTGATACTAACCACGTCGAGATATAGCAGGTAGAGCTTGCACGAATCCCACCGAAAAGACGAAAAGGAGTGACAGGAAGGCAAACATGGTATAGGTATAAGGAGTGGACGCTCGAAAGCAAAGGATGGGCAAGCGACAGGCTCGAGAACCAAAGTCAGAACAGCACACACAACAGAGTCAACCAGATGCTCTATCCATGTGGCCCAGGGCGGCAACATTTAAAGAGACAACCTACCTGACCACCCCGGATTCGGCTGACCCAGGATGTTCTAAAGCGAGGGAGCGCCATGCTCTGTCGCGGCACACGGTCGCCGGATCTGATGTCTCACATCGATGACCCAGACGAGCCTTGCCACTGCAAAGCCCGTCTTGAACATTCATACTGAAGCTCTTTTGAGTATGGGAGACCCCGGTAAGCCAGGCAGCTAGCGCTGGGCCCAAGTCCTCGTCACAAGATTTACAACAGATCACGTCTCGAAAGGGCGTCCAAGCCGGGCGGTGCCGAGCACAGCGGGAAGAAAGGACGAACAAGGAGGCAGAAGATAGACATGCTGATGAAGGCTTGTTACTTGTTCGCGTGGTAAAGGAGATGAGGTTGCGGGGACGGACGAATCAAGGCAAAGAGGGAACGAACCTCGGAGATGGACCCTGCCTGCCCTGCACCTATAGCCGCTAAATTACAAGAGGACAACGCGGCTCGCAACAAGACACGATCTCATTTCGGCCGCTGACTCGTTTCGCCTTGTCTGTTTGTGTGCCCAGGGCACGAGATCAATAGTCGGCATGCGCCTACAGGGATGCATCAAATTGTCGTCTTTCGAGTGTGAAAGCCACGGCGCGGTCGACTCGCTTTCGAGCTTTCGAGATCGAAATATCCACGCCCACCCGGATCTCGTCACACTCGACATCTCGATATCTTCAACTTTATTTGAGTGGGTACACCGGAGCTGCAACGCCGCTGCAGCATGCTCGAGCGTGTCTTTGATACCGCACCGCACGCAGGTTGCAAGCAACCACACAAGTCTTGGGATCACGCCACTATGCTATCAAGGAGATTTCGCAGCTGTCGGCGAAACGCCACGCCAGCCGTTCGTACTGCTAACTCTCCAGAACGCCTCTTCAAGCCACCCTATACGAGCAAACTCAGCCTCGACTTCCCAACCCCTGTTCGCGACTTCCATCGTAACGACCCGTGCTGCAGACATCAAACATTCAACGTAATCCGTGTCAGCTTGAGCAGGTCATGGTATGTATTATCGACAGCCGACTGCGATCCTACTGATCGCCTATCCCAATACTGTGAGTGCGCCATCTACATAGTCAGCTGCGGCGCACAACCACCACGCGGCTCGTATACCGTCCCACACCAAATCACCGCAAGACTCACTGACACCGCACCGCACTCTCCATCACCCCCGCTCCTACAGCGGCCTCCTCCCCTTCGCGAAGAAACCCTGCACCGTCCCCTTCCTTCCTCGCATCGTGAACTCAAACGGCTTCTCGACCAGCACATACTCAACCTCGACCCCTAGCCCAGCCCCTGCAAGCAACGTCCTCATCTCCCCCTCAGAAAACCCATGCTTCGCAATCGTGGCCCGCACCTTTTCCCCCTCTTCCCGCATCACCTCATCTACCTCCTGCTCGTGGTGTCCCTGCGGCACCATATCCAGCACGACGCACACGCCTCCCGGCCGCAGACATCTCGCCAGCCTTGCGAGTAGCAATGCTGGGTCGGCGACGTGATGCAACGCCATGCTGATGGTGGCGATGTCGAAGTTCTGCAGCGATGGGTCCGCGAGCTGCTCTTCGGTCGCGGGGAGGAGGTCGCAGACCTGAGCTTGTGCTTTTCCCGGTTGGTTGGCTGCGCTGGAAGCCCAGTCGTTGTACGAGGACACCATGCCGGGCGAGAGGTCGAGGCCTTGGGCTGAGGTTACGTACGGGAGAAGGCCCTGTGAGGACGGCGAAAGGTCAGCTATTCTGAGTGGGGAAGGAATCGAGAAGCCAAGCAGCAAGGTCATGAGAAGGCAGGTAAGGTGGTTGGTCCAGCAGAACGGCTTACCTTGCTCGCTGTCCCGTTGCCGCAGGCATAATCGAGGAGCTTGATGGACTGCGCGCCCTTGCTTCCGTCCACTTCGTCGGCGAGGCGCGAGTCTATCCACGTGCGGCGAGCGCGAAACTGGTCTGTGCATTCCTGCATGAGCGGGCCAAAGTCGCTCTGGAGTTGAGGGTCGGCGGCGAACTTGCTGTGCGGACAGCGTCAGTCATCTAGAACGCGGCCCAAGCTTCGGGAGAAAGAAGATCATACTCATAATGCTCGCGATTGCGCGCTGTCAAGTCGATGTCAGACATGTTGTGTGTTTTATAGCTAAGGAGGGCAAGATGAGGATTCGTGAGCTGAATGCTGTGCGAGCAAGTGCTAGGCCGTTCGAATGCGACGTCAGGGGAGCTTTATCTACTCCTCCACACATATCTCCGCACGTCAGTCATGAGTGCTGGCTGCATCGCATCTGCCTGGCGGTCTGTGAAGTCGCCGGGCCATCGTGGTGGGCAGCACCCTCCACCGTTCATATCTCTCCGAAGCCCTTTACCTAAGGGGAAAACCCTTCAAGCTCTGTTCCCACCGCGGGGTTTTGAGTCAAACGGCGGGATTCTACATTCGAGTGGATGTTCTCTGTGCGAAAGACTCTTGCCTGTGTAGCCTCCGGACTGGCTACAATATACTTTCTGCTTGTCTCATGGGAAGTGAGGTTCTCCGGGCACCTATGCCAAGTGCCAAGCACAGGAGTCGGAGACTTGTGACAAGCCTCCTCCTGCTTCTCTGGCAGCGACACCTCTCGTGGGTCTGGAACTCCATGATGATACTATCATATCGATGGACATGACCAACGTTAAATGCGGCCTTGACTGAGTGAGGGGTCAGGATCTGCCCCAACTAGTACAAGCGATGCCACAATACTGAGGGTGTGGGGGTGAAAGCTCGCCAGGGTTAGGGCCGTGGGCGGCGTAGCACAAGTTCGTACCTAGACACTGTACTCGGCACAGTACTGTGTTCCGTCTTTCTTGAGATCAAGCCTGCTTCTTACACAGTGAGAACAGCTTCGAGATTGTTCGGCCCGGTTCGGGCCCGACTTTGCAATTCTGACCGGAGAGAAGCTCCCACCAGGCTTGGCCCAAGCTGGTGCATGGACTTACTACGTGATTCAAGCGAGGCCCAGTGCTCGAAGGGTACTCAAGCAGCGGGTCAACATGGCTTCCTGACGCGCCGTGAGTGTCTAGACGCGTTGGCGACGCGATAGTTGCTGTACGAATACGACCAGGCCGTGTCTTGTGCCAGGCAGCTTCAGGCAGCAGCCCCACTAAACAGCGGGTGTGGCTTGGGCTATTGCGAACCTTAGGCGATGTTGCTGAGGGTTATGTATCTGGCTTGCTGGCCCCAGTGTTTGCTCAACACTTCAACTAGATCATTCTGAATTCACATCCAACAGAGAAAGATGGCTGAAAGTACTACTAGCAAAAAGTCCTTCAAGGGCTCCTGCCACTGCGGTTTCATCACATACACGCTCGCGTGGGATACCGCAAGTGATGGTGACCCAAAAGTATTCCGGTGAGTCTTCCGCAAACTTGCTGGTACTTTTGCTACATTTTTACCCCCCCCCCC